ATCTATAGGCTAATAAAAGTCTATAGCTAGAGAAGTATAATATACTAGAGTTCTCTACTATCTAGCTATGCTCTTATAGTAATACTATTTATAAATATTATTTAGCCTATCCCTAGTAATATTAATTAGTTCTTAGCTTAGCTCCTCTATCTATATTAATATTCCTATACCTAATAGCACTTTTAACCTATACTTTAGTAATTAGATAATAGCTAGCTCCTTAATAGATCTATATATATTTAATCCTTCTAAAACCTAGGGGAGAAGGGCACGCTTCTATACTATTACTAATACCTACTCTTAAATTAAGGTATTGCCACTTAATACCTAAAATAATAGCTATTTATCTTTACTATAATAATCTAGTATATTATTATATTACTTAGAGATCTACTAAGTAATTACTAGCTATATTATAGAGAGTAGCTATTTACCTACGCTTTTTAACTAAAGCGCTAGATTGTTTATAACTTCTAGAATCTAATAGATAAGATTAAGCGCGGTCTAGGTAATTATAGGTAAACTAATCTTATAATTTACCTCTAGAATAAGGCTAGCTATATACTTATACTATAGAGTTGGCCCTATAAAGTTAGTAATAATAGATAGTAACTTCCTTTATATTTTATACTTAAATTATATACTATAAGCGTTATAGTTTCTACTTAGAAACTTATAGAAATAGTACTCTAGCGTAATACTAGTAAACTCTTTTATATTCTTATATATATGGTTAAGAACTCTCTACTAGAGGACTTAAGACTTATCTTTAGCCTTATTACTATACTTTACCTATAGTATAGGTACTAGGTCCTAACGTAGCATAGGCTTATTATTATTATAATCTAAGACCTTTTTAGGTTTTTTATTTAGCTACTATCCCATATAAGATATTATAGTGCTTATTAGCTTTTCTTTCTACTTTATAGTCTTTAAAAGTGCCTAGATATTAATAAAGCGGCGTCCTGGCTTATAAAGTATAGATTAGTATAGGTTAAAGTATATATTATCGCCTATATTAGGGAAGAAGTCTTATTAGTAAGTATCTAATAGATAAGATTCTACGCTAGGTTTAATACTAGAATAGAATAAGCTCTATACTTTATCTATACTTTATACTTATAGTAAGCTAGCTAGCTAGTTCTAGTTAGCTAGTTAAATATCTAGTCTATATAGGTCTTAGATCTCTAAGGTAACTTTTATAATCTTATTAAATATAGAGAACTAGTACTAAGGCGTTAGTTAGCTTAGATAAGTAGTATATATATAAATATAGATTATACTTATATTATCTATTCTATAGCTTACTATCTACTTAAACATAGAGATATTAAAAGTTACCTATCTAATTAAGGTGCAGCACTACTAGATAATTATTAGTCTCTAGCTAAGATTTCTCTATAGCGTAGCTAACTATTATACTAGGAACTTTACTTAATTACTAAGTCTAAGCTTCTCTAGTATTTCCTACTTAACTAACTAATTTAAACCTTAAAATAGCTAGCTATTATTAGATACTAAGGTTACTAGCTTAGTCTATATCTAGCTATAGTTATCTAGAAGGATAATATCTTCTTAATTAGTATAAAACTAGATCTATAAGTATAGTAGAAGCGTATCTATCTTTTAGATTAGCTTATTACCTTAGCTAGTATATATAGGGGCTAAAACCTTTATTATAGATACTATATACCTACTACTACTCTTCCTCTAGTAACTAATAAAGCTATAGATACTCTTTAAAGACTTCTACCTAATAGTAGCCTATAATTAGCTTTACCTTCTCCCTAATAACGCCCTTCTAACCTTTAAATAATAGCTACTTTAAATTACCCCCTTTAGCGCTCTTAGTTATAGTAACCTAGTTACCCTCTTTTAGGTAGTTTAGTATCTACTATACTTACACCTTAGAGTAAGTAACCTATAGCTAGTAGCTTATATCTTACTAAAGAACGCCTACCTTATTAAAAATCTAGTAGAGGTAATACTTATAGGCTTAGTTAATAGGTCTATTTATACTAATACTCTATTCTATAGTAAGCGCATTAATTAGGAATCTAGCTATTACTAGTAGGTATAGCATAACTTAGTTATAAATAGAGTTTATATCCCTAATTTCTTTAAGGGCTATATATTACCTTTTCTCTATTTAAGTAGAGATATTTACGCCTTTATACTTTATTATAGTTTTACTTTTATTAGGGTTAGAGTGTTTAGGTTAAGTAGTATCTTTAAAGATAAGAGGTTATTTATATATAGGTTAAGACTTTATATATTAGTATTTCTAGTATAGACCTCTTACCCCTAGGGGTAAGTAATACCTAAGCTTATTAGCCCCTACTAGGTGTTTCTAGTAGGCCTTCTATTCTTTACCCCTAGGGGTAGCTTTCTACCTCCTTTGCCCCTAGGGGCAGCCACCATTTTCGCCCCTAGGGGCAACCTAACCCTACCTTAGTGGTACGGTTTAGGGACATAGTATACCATTGTGCCCACTTGGCCTTCGTACATTGGCCGTCCATCGGGCTCCAGGATATCCCTTCAAACAGAAATGTGGCAAACAGACGGCCTGGTGGCACAGGCAGATCTACTGTGTGAGCCATTTAAGATGGCCAACGGTCCCACTTGTACGTATTGACGCTATGCAAAGTCAAACCTGCTTGTGTGCCACGATATCCTATCACATTAGGATCGTCCGGCTACAGACACATCACTGCACGCACCGCTTGAATTTGACTTTGGCTGACCATTTTAACCTACACTCAGATGTCAACTATACAGAACAATACAAGTCTGACTTCACCAACTCGACGAGCACTAGGCACGTGGACTTGACCTCTATGCGCCTGCACACAGAGTCAGGTTGCGAATACGGCGCAGCCTTCGAAGCCAACAGCTTGCTTCAAGCACCCGGACTGATGTTCTGGACGGATATATCTGCTGTGAAGGCTCCTCTAGATCAGTACGCCGGTACCTCCTTCGAGCGAGGAGGTCTGTTTTCGAATTACACGCGGCAGTGTGAGGCAGGAGAAGTAATCATGATGATTCCAAACGTAACGGGATCACAAACGCAGGTGGCTGCACAGCTCTGTCGACCGAGATTTCACTATGCACAGTTGCCTGTCAAGATTTCCGTCAATTCCTCTCTTACTGCAGTCACGTTCAACGAGTCCTTGTTTTCGCGCCTAAAAACGGAATTCTTTCCGGATAGGCTTGATTTGGGACATTTTCAAGAACAGTTCATTGGAGAAACTTGGAAAATGCATCTTGGTGGCCTGTCAAAATTTTCGAACCTTGTTGGAGCAGCTGCAATCCTGGCGGCTGTGCACGATTTCGACATTACTAAAACGATGGAAGATAAAAACCTGACGACTACAGCGGCAAGAATCAAGCATCGTGCGTTCGCAGAAACGCTCCAGACAGCCCTTAACAAAGTGAACGGTACAACTGAGACCAACGGAGAAGTCTATAGGGAGCAACGTCGACTCGTTGTATCACGGGCTGCGGCAATAACACTGGAAACCTGCCTTAGCATCACCTTGTGTCTCTGCCTGGGAACCTTTTGGTTCACACGTAGACATAGGAGACCATTAGGATTATCGGAAGATCCTGCTTTCTCAAACACCATTGCGTCGCTGTTGTCAGAAAGCGCGGATGCTCGAGATTACATGCAAAAACTCTCAATGTTTCGAACCAAGAGAACAACACCACCAGATCCTCAATTCCAGATTGTGGGTGCCTCACTCGTCTCGAGAACGTCCAAACATCACGCCTCGGCCGAAGCATCGACCTTTGTAAACCCCGACCCGAGCTCACCGTGGAGGCCAAAAACGCTATCGTCCTATACGATTGGAACCCTTGTTGCTTGCCTACTGTCATTCAAGATCGCCTTGATTGCTCTCTTCTGGTACTCGAAGAGGGGCGGGCTTTCTAGCTCAGTAGTACTTTCTCAAATCGTGATTGGCAATGCTGAGCATCCACTAGGCAACATAGCACTATACTCCGTGGTTCCTACTTTAATCGCAGTGCTCATTGGCCTTTGGTGGGGAGCCTTGGAGACTCGATTCAGGGCTATTCAGCCGGTGGTGTCTTCGGCGTACCGATCAGAGAGTAGCGGGAGGAGCAGTGGCTTGTCCTACCAATCTTCTTATCTTGTCTGGGCCTGTATCAGGGCAGTATCTCGAGGCCACTGGCTTCTTACTCTTGTATGTTTTGGGGCTACTCTGTCACAAGTTCGTGAGTGTAACCATGATATCTACATGATCTCAGCTAATCCGGCCTAATAAGTGACGATAACTACATCTGCTCTGTTCAAGAGAGAGCTTCACAATCGTACGGAAGTGCTCGAACAAGTGAAAGCACTACAGCTTCGAGAAGTCCCTTTCCTAGGCGAACTCATAAACACTGTATCCGGCAACTTCCACAACCAGGACGGGTTTGAAGCGCTCTCAACAACATTCGAGAGCTTCGTTGGAAATTGGATGTATAGCGCAGTCATGCAGATGACAATGAATGCATCGGAGCCTGCCTGGAGCATGGATGGATGGAGCTTCGTGCCCGTATTATTACCAGACAAGAACGTTGAAGGCCAGCATAAGGTGAGCTCAAATGGAACAACAATGTCTCCACCAGCGAGGATTTTCAAACTCAATACATCAGCCATACGAGCAAGACTCGTGTGTTCACCGCTTGGATTAGATCTGGAAGAAAGATTTTGGCTGTCCAAAGAGAATTTGACGGACCAAGAGTCGTGGAACCAAACTACGATCCCTGACGGTTGGACTTACGGTTACTCGATCACATGCCGAGATTACCTGTCTGATTCTAATCCCAATTCACCCCTGTCCGTCATTAATTTTCACCCCAATGTCTCAGACACGGATTCCTGCAGTCCCATCGATTTATATGCGACTCCGCTTTCCGGAAACACTCAACTGATTTGCTGTGCTGGGAGTTCAGATATACTACCAGGTACCGGCTCAGTTGGGAACTGGTCACCTTTGATGAATGACACTTTAGAAGCCGATGGAACGAAGAACTTCACTGTGAAGTGGATCCACGGGTCAGCTCCGGAAAATATCACCACCGTCCCAGGAGGCTCTTCCAAGCTGCTATGGCCTCAGCCTCCAAAGCTAGCGATGCTAGAGTGTGAACCGGTTATCGAGTCTGCTGAGGCAAGCGTTAGCATAGAGCAGTCCAAGAATCGGGTTCAAGACTACGTGATCAGGAGCGACCCATCGCGCTACGCCCCGGCATGGGCTGACAACTTCGTCAACAGACCATTACCTTTGGACGGGGATCCGGGCAACGTCACGTTCAGCTTTGGCCATCTCTTTATGAAGGCTCTATTGCACGCTGCGCAGCTTGAGAACTTACAGGGCTGTTACTCTCCGCCACAAAAACAAGATTGCGACGAGAGTCTCGACGACCGGACTTACAATATTAAGAGTTCTGGCCTTAATCTCGACTTCATGGCTTATTCGATGTTGGCACTGGCTGGTAACAATCCCGAATCTTTACTGAATTATAGCATACTCGAAGCAACCGCTCAAAAGACGTTCACCGTGTTTTTTCAGCATTTTGCAAGCAATAATGTCTCGCTCAACGACACTGGCAACCTGGTTTTCCAAAAGCCGGACGAAGACCTCCCTGCAGATTTAGGACCTGGCTACAATAGTGCTTCAAGCGGGGGCGACGACAATTATACTTTTGTGAGCCAGTTGAAAGCAACGCCAATGGCGGAACCCACGACCACCTTGACGATGTCGGAGCCTATCGAGATGTTACGCATGTCTCCGATAGCCACTTGGATGAGCGTTGCTATTCTTGCATGGCTGGTTGTGACTAGTATCCTGCTTCTTGTCTGCAAAGATCGATATTTCTCCCCGCTCCTGCGAAGCGTAGACACCGTGGCGGATGTGGGAATCTTGATTGCAGGCAGCGATGCTTATCTTGAACTGGCCCGGAATAAAGGTGCCTCTTGTCTACGCGCTGACAAGCATTTTCGAACTCGACTAGGATGGTTCAGAACAAGGTCTGGTAACATTAGGTGGGGGCTTGAAATTGCGGATAGTAATGCTGTGGAGTTCTTAACAGATGTAGAGGTTAAGGCACTTACTCTAGAGAGGAAAGATAGGGGCAGCTAGCTAATATAGGGTCTTAATACTCTCTCTAGATTATGACCAAACTCGAGTGGCAGACAATCTCCTTAAGACGCTTGACACACGTGTATGTATCTTAACGTAGTGATTGGTTCCGACAGGGCTTTTCTGATCAGGCTTCTTGCTGAGAGAGGCAGGAATAGCCATGATCTCAAATCTAGAGAATGGAGAAGGGAGAGTGCTCAATAGGAATGCCAATTTACTCGCAATTCGAAGATATGGACTGATTGACTGACCCTGATCTTAATTACCCGCGCGAGCGAAGAAACGTGTGGATGCCTCGATGACTTTCAGACATGGAGGAAAGGAGACAAGATAACCCAATGCATCGGGCGGGAAGAACTCAATTTTCGCCGTTGCCGACGTCTTTGCGACCGGCTATAGCGAGAGTGAAGCCCGTAAAGGGACAACAATCTGGTTGGTCTACGACGCTTGGCTACATTCGGGTGCTGAAGAACGTCTAGGCAACGCCAGGACGAGTAGCCGAGGATGTGGCTTGCGTGGAGAGGCCAGCCTATCTCGATTGAATGGTGCACTCATGGTGCACTCAATTTCTTCGAAGCATTGTTGTCCTACCAAAAGTGCTTGTGTAGCACTGAAACTTGATGAAGTCTGCTGAAAAAGGCTGGGTGACAACAGAACGCGTTCCATTCTACGGTGCTTTGGATGAGAAACTTGAGTCGGTCAATGTTGACGCCTGGCTGTTGCCATCAATATCTGGTGCATGTGCTGCGAGAGGACGGCGCACAGGTGCGGAGGGAATGCTTCCCTCAGAATTCGCTTCCATTGGCGAGAACCTGCCAATTCGCAGGAGACTTGACGACGGAGTTCGTTGCAATTAGACACCATGTCAGGCTTTGCGGGAAAGGGATGCCTTTACCGGGTGTTGTGCTCGTTGGTAGAAGTAGCTTTTATAATTATCAAAGGCGTAGGTGTGGGCGTGAAGCCGATGATGCCCACACAGAAAAAAGTGTCTGCCTACATTAAACTCAAGTCATCACTTACACCCCTATCCTAAGCTATGAACTGCTTTAAGGTGATAGCTTCCTTGTTCGCGATATCTGCGCAGAACTCTCCCGGAACTTGGGGATGGAATTTGTTGCAGTTCGCGACGATGCCGGACTGGGGAGGCCTTAGTGTGACGACTCGTTGAGTATTGCTCGGGATGGCTATGGGAGGAGCGTTTGTTGTTGAAGGAGTGGGTGCGCCCGTGAGTTTAGCAAAGGCTTCAACGCAGTGGGATTGCAAGGTATTGAAATTGTTGCAGTTTACATCTACAAGAGGGTTCTAAAGTGATTTGGTGATTTGAGTAGTCCAGAAAAGCTATAGTCGCAACATAGCCCTCGTGGAGAATCTTCGAATGTTGCACCAGGTCTTCCGGGCATCGCCTTGCAGTCTGTGTCTGAGACAATGTCGAACCAGAAATTACAATGGGCTGCCGCAGACGGGTCCGCAAAGTATGCAGGGCGCTCATCTGGCCGGGCAAGAGCTGGTGAAGCAAAGACCTGATGAGAGAAGCCGCAAACAATGCATGTTCAAGAGGTGTACACGATGGGAGACTATTGTATTCTCAGAGCGAAGAGAGATGCAAACCGATCAATCATTGATTATAGCACGATCGGGATTGAAATCACTCAAAGATTGGCAAAAGCATCATCAACGCCAGAAATGGCACTTTCGCAGACGCGACAGGATTTGGATGCGTTTGCGGTGCCAATAGTGGGCACTCACCTTCATGGTAGGCCATACAAAGCCTATTCAGACCGATACGCGTCATAGCGGAGTCTGAGATATTTTGTCTCTCGTTTGCCAACGCGATATAATCCGTTTCTATGGTGGCTTAGGCATATTTTAAGTTACTAAGATTAACCATAACTACATTTTCCTATGTAGCAACGTTACCACTACCTAAAGTATGGCGGTTGGCCTTAGTTACGGCTTTGGCAAGAAGATTCACTCGAAGTGCATGACCGATAGCGTTGCCAATTCGTTCGTGGGTCATGCGACTTGAACAGCTAGTTTCCTGGTTTTGTGGCTGGTGCCCCATCTAGCAACGGATACCGCCGCTCTAGCCTTAAGCTTGAAAGACCTTCGTATCGCGGTGAAATCGGCTGAAAAGGCTGAATTGTATCCTGCTGTTGGAAAGTCGCTGTCGATACGACCCCTCCTGGGCAGTAGTCGATCAACGGCCCTCGCGCCAAGGTGGGGAAAACCCTTTGGAGAAAAGGTTGTGTATTAAGCTGATGTACTCCAGAACCTTGATCGCTTTGGCTCCATGTTAACAGTGGTTCGATGCTGTATCATAGAGAATGGTGGCTGGCCAGGAAGAACGCGCAGCAAGGCTTTTCTACCATCTTGCAACCATGCGCATTGCTATCGTTTGCTCCCATATTCGATTGCCCACTTTTCGCTTTCACTGTTCTCTCCGCCTTCGCTAGTAGGCCGTCTCATGGTAACAATAAAATATCTGGTTGGGCCGCAAGAACTCCACCTTTGTGCGCGAGTCCGCTAAAAGACACGTGTGCAAAGGATCTCTGGCTGTGGATGATCTATTGTGTCTGTTGTCCACACCCTCGATCACTTCGAGATTCTTGTTATTCCCTCACTTCTCCTGTCTTTGCGGTTCACAGGGTATGTCATTCCACGTAATCCCAAACTTTATCTGCATGGGCCTTCAACATTGCGTGCACGCGCCTATCATAACCGTTTGTTGATGTGAATGTGGAACAAAAACTCTGGTGGCCACGGCACCTCGGCAGCCCCCGAGCGAATAAGAATGGCGATGCACCCTCCTTTGCGCTAGGCGGACATGGGGGCCACCGCAATCCCGGAGCCTGGCGCAGACACCTGCAGCTAAGCGACGCCCATCACACGCACGGACTTGCCAGTCCATATATGATTGACTGGTGGGAACCCGGGGAACTCAACCCGTCTTCCTGGAGCTCGAAGGATCATAGTTCGCACATTTGGTTCCGAGGCTCATACAAACCTTCAAGAGCCTCTGCGACGAAACAGCTGCCGTATGCCAATATAGGCTTCGAGGATTTGCTTTTGTGCATGCCACCACATTCGCTGATCGGTCAGTGTCACGGATCGCAGACGAATGTTGAATCTCGGGTGCGTCTCAATCATGCCATGCACAGGGGCATTGCAAACGATATCATCGTGTTGGACGCGGTATTGCTCGCTCCCGCACTTTTTGGTGAGAACTCCCCTCCAATGTTTTGTTTGCAGTGCATATCATCTAACGTTCCGAAGGATTCACGTAATTCCTCTCCTTGTCTTACAGCTCGACGTGGTCTCCGCAACCGGCCATGGTCAAAGAGGAGGATGTGGGCATTGTCGGCGGCGTGAACGTCGGCCTGCCAATTTTGATGACCATGGGGGCGTTCCTGACCATTGCGTTGTACAATGTCATCGAAATCACCTTCCTCATCTTCTCCGTCTTCAAACAATGGAGGGGGGTATACTTCTGGAGCTGCGTTATTGCCAATTTTGGTATCGTTCCTCACGCTATTGGATTCATCCTCAAGTTCTTCCAGGTCACCAGCCTGGACCTGCTGTCAAGCGCAATAGTCGGTGTTGGCTGGGCGTGTATGGTGATAGGACAATCAGTCGTGCTGTATTCTCGGCTACATCTGGTCGTCCAGGACAGGAAAACGACGCGCTGGGTCTTGTACATGATCGTGGTCAATGGGGTCGTTCTCGGCTTGCCCCTAATCACCCTAGCATTGGGCACAAACTCCAAACAATCCGCTCGCTTCTTACCCGGCTTCATGATATACGACAAAATACAGATCGTCGTCATCTCTGTCCAAGAAGCCATTATCTCTATCATATACATCTACGGCACAGTACGTCTGCTTGGGACTGGCGGCGACGGTAGGCGAAGGTCTCTAAAGAACCTCTTTACACACCTTATCTTCGTCAACGTCATGGTTCTGGTCTTCGATATTACACTTCTTGCTGTCCAATTCTCCGGCCATTATGAGGTCCAGACGACATACAAGACGGCTGTGTACAGTGTGAAGCTGAAGCTGGAATTCTCCGTCCTAAACCGCCTGGTTCGCTTCGTCAAACACAACGACGTCATGAGCAATCGAGCAACCATCGGTAGCAATGCCTTCTCTCTTCGCGCTCGGACAGGAAGCAGGAAGGCTCGACTGAGCAGTGACCCTCGCAGCCCGGGAAACTTCGTGAAGATCGACGAGGTTAGCTCGAAGGACGAGAACAGCAAATGTACGAATGTGACGACATCTCAAGTATGTATCGATGAGTCGGAGACGGTGGGCGTCGAGCTCGATATATATGAGCTCAACCCTAATAGGACTTGAAATTTTTCTTCAAACAGAAAATAGAATATAGGCTCGTGTACGAAACTAGCGAACCGGGTTCGGATTCGGGTCACTATTATGAAACGATGTACCGTTCACTCCAATCGCGGTTTTGTTCTCGAACACACCTTGAACGTGTTCGCACTCTCCAAGCCTGACCACATTATCATGTTCAAGAGACCCTCTTTGAAGTGTACACTGTGAAAAGAGCTGCGACCACGGAGGTCTTTTAGGGGACGTAGATCTGTGCTACCTTACAGTATAAATACCATGTAGGCATATGCTACTTAACGAAAGCGCATGTAGTGAATGTCTACTTTAGACACTGCGATTGTCAGCTCACTTTGCCTCGGGCCGATTTACATGGCCCAGTGTCAGGGGCTGAAAGTCGAGAGTGGGATTCGCTATTCGCAAGGATACGACCGGGGTCTGAAGCGATATTACGAATTTGCATGCGCAACAGACCCACATCCTTCTCATTCGTGCGCAATGTTCCAACGTTGTTTTTTCGCCCTGTGAGTCTTACCGAGAATTATTCCTTCCACCGTAACAGTCGCCGTCGTTCTTTACGCATTAGCTGTAGGTACCACTGCTCAATCTCGCATTTGTAATGGCACGGCAGCCAATGCCACGTATGTCCATGTTAGTAAGTGACTTACTTACTTTCACATTCAGTCAAAGCGATGGCATCTGCCTATCGTCAACAACGACCGTGCAACCCAGGAGTTCCGCGCTAATTACCGGCAGTAGTCGGCGGAGGGACTGCGGGTCTTGCCATTGCGTCCCGGCCGGCAGCCTGTGCTTCTGTTACCGTTCTTGGGTCTGGCAGTATTAATGAACAAGACAATGGCCCATTTAGTGATTCCGTACTACGGTCTGGTCATGCCGGTCCTGGGAACCACTTCAACCCCTAAAGTTTCAGCTGCAGAGCGCCTCATCCACTATGCGCAACGAAAGAATCTTGGAGGCAGCTCGGACCTCAACACGATGGCGTATCATCGAGGAACCACAGGGTCCTTCCTACCAAGGTTGGGCTGACTTAATCGGCGATCAGAGCTACACGTTTGATTGACTCGTGCCGTACTTGAAGCGAACATCTAACCTCATTCCTCCTAACCTGGAGAAACACAAAGCTCCCAATGTCACTGTGCTGTAAGATGCCGGCGCTTTCGACAATCTGCTGCGAGGGCCACTCCAGGTATCTAGGGCAAACTGGGTAGATCCGACTCAGAGCTGGATCGCTCATGCTTTACAAGCTACTAGGCAACAGCTCAGCCTGAGTAGGCTCAGCAGCGGAACGGTCGAGGGAGGAGTGTGGGACCATACGAGTATTGACCCTAAAGAAGCAACAAGGAACACGGGAAATAGTAGACTTAAAGAGGCAAACAAAAGGGCCGGCGCGACCTCAGTATATACTTACAGGCAGACGGGTAGAGAATCTTGACTCGAGTTGGCTAAAGGCTGTTATTTATTGGGGTTCTTCGGAGCAACAGCAGAATGGCAAAAGAACTCGAAGCGACGCCACGAAGCATGGTAACATTTCACTAAGTTTACTGGCACTAGATTGGTTCGTGTATGCAGAAATCAAGGACCAAGATAAATGGCGCAGCGGTCGCCAGTGAACAGACCCGTATCTACTTGTCGAGCGATACTAAGCTGTGAAGCCACCTAAACACTTCTATTTGACACTCATGACAGCCTCGATGTGATCCATCTCAAGCGATGTCTTCTCGCTCGCGGCTAAGAGTCTGGCTGTTTTGACGATGTTTTTGATTTGTCGCCCATTGAGATCCTTGTTTGCGAGCTGCTGCAAATCTTCGTCCCGAACGTTGCTCGCATACTTCGACTCTATGCTTTTCGGTCGCACAAATGTTCTCCAAACATGCAGTCTCGAATCGAAATCAAGCTTCGGAAACTGAATAGTCAGATGGATACGGGATTCGAATGCTGGGTCAAATGCGTCGACACGATTAGTGGTTAGGAACATGACGCCTTGGTAATATTCTAGCAGGCGCAAGAAGACGGATACAAGCTTATTGCGCTGGATGGACTTGCTGGAACGCTGCTCAAGGAAGACGTCGCAATCATCTAGGAGTAGGACGGCTCCCCATTTGGTGGATATTTCGAGTACGCGGCGCAAACTGCGCTCCACTTCGTCGGCTGACTCGCCTAGCTCGCCTGCGCCTATTGAGTACAGTGGGCTACGCATATCCTCTGCAACTGCGATGACGGTCAATACGAGATGCATTACATCGAAATAGGTGCGACTTACCTGACTCCGCTGTAAGGGTCTTGCCTGTTCCAGGCTCGCCACTAAGAAGCATTATGATACCTTGCCCTATTTTCTGTCAGTCCTCACTCTTCCGGAGACGCCGAAACGAAGGATCGTACTGACCCTTTCCTTTCATTACGTCGTCGAATTCATCCATCGAATTCAATTGCATGTGGACAAAACCTCTGATCAGTCGTTTGTAATCGTGAGGGAGTACTAGGCGGTCGAAAGCCTCTTCGTTCCACAAGATCTCCGCAATATTGTCGACATAGAGTGATACTATCGGTCTCTGTCAGATCATCTACGTATATTGCAGTCTGGACTTTGTCGCTTACCCCACTCTTTTGATGTTAGGCAAAAGCCGCGAACCATTGAAGTACAGAATACGTAATGCTCTTCACGTAGGGTAGTAGTCGAGGTACCTTTGTGATTTTAGCTCGAACGAAGTCTCTCCCGTCTGACTGGCTTACTGTTGGCTTGAGAGCGCGCCCTGTCTTCCCGGCGTCTCGCTTGCTGCATGGCGTATCTCATGGCCTGATACGCAGGTGGTGCATTTGTATCATCAAAGTCATTGTCATCTATATCGAATATAGATCCAATAGATGATTGTAGTCTCCCAAAATTCGACTTGTCCAGTGCTTGTAGAGATTTCTCAGAGCCTCCGTTGTAACGACTGTACATGGCATCATCCACTATGACGCGTCCGTATTGGAGCTACAGTATCAATTAACCAGATGAAATCATCCCGAGACAAGATAGACGTACCGTGGTTCTCCGTGAGCGGCCCCAAGAAATGTTTGCCAAAGTATAAACTCCAGCATATGCTTTGTAATGGCATCCATTCAAGCTCTCGAACTTCTTCCCCCGCTCAATGAGCTGAGCCCGGATAAGGTCGATATCAGGTTTCATGTATGCGGGAAGTACGGTCAAATCCACAATCCTCATGACATCTGCGAATTCGCCAATGGTAAGGGTCGTGCAATTGTACCCGAAGTTCACGCCATCTAAATCAACGAATTGACAAGCTAGTCGAAAAAGCTTTGTCCCGTCGCCAAGTGGTACATAATGTGAACTTGTTAGGCGATATAGACGGTGTTTCCCATCAACGAGGGAATATATCTCCATTCCGGGTTCGAAGATCGCCCAAAGGTAATTGAAGTTGATAACATTGTTGAGTAGGAGATCTCCCACTTCTTCGATGTGAGGTTTAATCTCAACGGACAGAATGTCGAAGAGGAGTTTGAAGTGTGCACTTTGGGTCTCCTCATGTTGTGAAAGCTTTGACGCTTGGCATAACTCCTGCCACCTGTAGAAGAATTCTCGGAAAGGAGCCGAAAACGTGAGATTCTTCAAGCTTGTCTTGATCCCTGGATAATTATGAAAGACGGGGCCCAATGCAGTCTTGATGAGTGGACTCTGCACTTTGATGGAATAAAGTTTGAGTCCTGATGATCCGTCATCTTCTTGGATTTTGTCGCGCTTTACAATTAGTGCAAACTTGGCCGAAGCGTCTGTATCACTTGGATTAATTCCAATATCACAGACAGTCCACTCTTCGCGGGGATCAGATCTGTAAAGATCCTTGCTGTCCAATAGCATACCAGGTCCAACGAGAGGCCCTGTTGCTTCCGAGTGTATTGACTCATTGTCATCTCCTGAGTGCTTTGTTGTGGTCGGCACTGAATCCGGAGGCGTCGGACGATCGCCGCTTGGGTAGGTCATGTGGGGAGGTTGCCTGATTGGCCTGGTCATGCATCGAATACACAGAGTAGCGCGATACAGATGCTGCGGCTGGATGGCAAACTATATAGGTACATAATCGGAATTTATAGGCTCTCGGATTGGAGCATCTGATACGACGTGAGCAGCCCCATTGCGCGGTGCAATGTGGAAGTGGTAACGTGTCTGACCGTTCATCCTTGATTTCCCATGCACTTTTTGGTAGCATGGAATGAGGCTGAGTGTGCCGGTCAACTCACCGGTTGCCGTGTAACGTCGTTTACAAGGCTGACGGATCTTATAGGTCTACGACCTCTAATGGCGTCGATCTGTTAGATTGACCGTAAGATAACCTGCACGGTTATGTTACGATACCCCACCTTAATGCATATTGTGATCAGATGCGTGATTTTTGGCCCCTTCGCACTGACCGCACCATACAGACTGTGGACTTTAAGTCCTCACCGGTCTCTGAGCCACGTTGTACCAACACGGATCCGCCACTCTTGAGGTAGGACATCATAGCACATACATATTGCTCGGACGTACGAATCATACACTTTAGTATATTTCTTATCCTTTGGTCGAATATTTTGCGCCACAATTGCCCAGGACAAACCATAATTGACCACACGAGATGTTGAGAGGGTGGCACTAGAGCACCATATACTGGGCTTGCATGTGAGACCGACGAGATCTTGAAACATCGAGTGGTATGTGCTCACGCAGTGCGCTGGAGCCACAACCTACGATCAAGCTCAGCGATGAACTACACTGGAATCTTCCAAAGGACCTGAGGACGATAAAGAAAAGAACACCGTCCGAAGCGCGTGGTTCCATCGGCCAATGTTAAAGCTGTGAGCTGCAGATCCCTGTCCCTTCGAGCTACATGTGCGAATCGCATCTATCGTTCCTCGCGGACACGGAGATCGAGAAAGATGCTTAATGAAGTACTCCAATCCCTGTGCACATATATGTGGGTGCACCTGCAGTTATTGCCAAAATATGCCCCTGTTCCCTAATCAGGGTGCGATTAACATCTCAAGATTCGCCGGATTGATCAGCGGAGGACGCTAGCCTTTCACAGATCCCCTATCCAGTACTTCGGGAAGATAGCAGCACACGCGATGTTCGTGCCAGCAAGTCGACCATCGATCGTGTTGTAGACTTTGCGATATAGAATGGATTTGGCTTGTTTTGGATCGATTAGGTAAGCAGACAATTGGAGTTGAGATCAGGGTGACAGCCTAATGAAGCATCGGTAATGTAGCGAACAGGACAAGCCATCGGAGAGAGAATTGGCTATTCAAGGAATGGATTCGGTCTACCTTGAAGCTCACACTTCGATCGCGTTGATGCAATCCCACCTCCAACAGAAGCATCTCAACGCTCTGCTCCTCATATATGAGGTAAGCCACGGCCATGTGCGCAGGAAGTTGCGCGGAGGTCGAGCATTTCTAGGCTGTCGAACACTGAACTTCAACGACCTTAGCGACGCAATCTCTATCATTGTCAACGACAAGTGGAACACGCGAGCTTGGGTACTCCAAGTAGGTTACTCAATAACATGAACTTAGTGCTGTTACTATAAACCTGGAATTACCGAAAGCCTTCGTGCTGAGCGGTAGTATGAACATGCTGTTCCCGCGTTTGAAAGAAGCCAAGGTTACCGGATGGACACTGATCTGTCACGAGACGTCACTCTCGGAGATGGCTATCTGACTCGACACCATTGTCCACCCTCTCCCAGTGTAGAAATTACCTTCCGCATAGCCATTTCAAGAATACCTGGCGAGGCAGGTGGTTCGAGCACTGGGGGACGGCACCGGAAAGAGTTTGAAACCTAGACCAACCGCAGATTTCACGAACACTATTCTGCGCCATTTACGCAGGGCCGTCAGACAGGTGTTGCGTTACTTCGTAAGCGTACCACTCGGTTGGCGGCAAAGGTCCCATTTAGGAAAGATCCGTCTGTAGCTTATGCAGGTAAGTGTTACATCCGTGTGACTAACCTTCATTAACAACGCATCACCTGGTACTTGCATAAAGTATGCAAGGCGGTCGAACATCGTCGATTCTGTGTATGAATTATCGCAAAGCCTCTTGGGTCCTTGTTTCCCAACTTCTTGCATAAATCCCAGCACTTTATGTCAATCTGCAGTATGGTCGATTCGAATTGGGAAGCCGGCGGAGAGCCGTCATTCACAAAGATCATATTCCCCGACGTGTACCCGGCCATTTACCCCAGCAATGCCATTGTACCGACTGGCTTCTCATTCTGTGTCATAGGTGCATCGCGAGGCATCGGAGCCGGTCCAGCTCCGCTGTTACGATGACTTTAGCGTCTCTTAGTGGCGTAGAATGAGCCGGGTGAACAAATGACGAGCGGTTGGCCCCAGAAAAAAGGCTTTCGTTGCCCCACTGAATACGTTTGCCTCTGTCGCTTGGCTGGCGAAGAGAGTTTCTGCTTGCACGTTCGTTTCCTGTTGTTGGTGCTGTCGCCGTTACTGTCGCCGTTATTGCCATTGCAGATACTCGTAATCACGAGGGGCGCGTAATTGTCTTTTCAGTGTTAGATAGAAGAGACCCACTTACAACGGAGTTCAATTACCTTGCTCCTTCGCCAGCTTCTGCACTAGCCGTTGTGACTGATCTCTTGTAGTTTCTGGAGGATTGTCACCGCCGGTCCCTTGCATTGACAGCTCGATGTACTCCCTTGCCATCACGTAACTTGAATGGTCCAGGGCTAAGAGCTTTCGCGCAATCGTATATTAATCTATACATAAAAACCTTTGGTGCGAACTCACTTCAGGCTAAATACAATCTTCTGTCTATTAGCTATAGATTCTAAGACCTAGGGAAACTAAGATTCTCTATAAATATAAATGTCTAGAAATAATACGCTAAATAAGTTACTTATTAGGGTACTTGCGAATGCATTGCTAAGTAAATAGCTAGGTACGACTAAGCTCTTTTAGGGAGGTAGTGGAGTCACATCTTGCATTTTGCTGGTTGAAACACAAATCTTTGCTCAAGTGGATGTCGCAACCCAGGGTTATTGTAGCCGGAGCAACTGTCATGCATCTCCATAGCTAACGAACAATACAGTTGGCGATGTCAATGGTGTTAGTGAAGGTTCGCAACGCTGAAGTCCACCAGCCTGAGATGCGGGTCCATCAACCGGGTGCAAGCTGATAGCATCCTTCATACCCTCTGTGTCGCAATGGTCCCTGTTCAAGAGATCCGCAACACGAAAACGATCAGGTTCTCGTATACCCAAATTGGCTGTGGACCAGTAACCATCCTCGTCGTTCTTGGCATCTGATTCGGATTCACCGTCACCGGCGACGATCACATCCTCTACGCAATGTCAGAATAGCTGCGAAACATCCTCATAAGGCTTGTGGCTTACCTGGACTGCTACCCTCGAAAGGCACTGGTTGAGTTGAACTCTTCCCACTTGGAGCTACTTCAAACATCCGCCAATGTATCATCGTATTGAACGGTCTATACAGTGATGTAGAAGGCGTCACTGCTTTTTCCCCAAACGGCAGAAGATCTGCGTCTGCCACGTGATGCGGGCGAAATACAACGGATTTCAAGGAGTCTAGTGACATACGAGATTACAATAGCAATATTCTTGCTTACTGAGCTGGATCCGTTTTAATCATTTGCCTTGGCACAGGTCAGTTCATATGATACAGGATATAAGGTCTTCGTGATCTCCAACAATCTCAAAACATAGAAATTTATTGCTCACAGGAGCCCAGCATGTCTCGTCACATTCTTGTATTTGGTGGTACTGGTAGGTTTCCTTCTCACGCCCAGCCCAAAGTTCTGGATGCGGCTTTAGCTGATGCTGATCCACGGTAGGACCCGCTGGTGTTGACTTCTGTCTCGCGGCGCTCCGAGCGGATCATTCTCTGTCTTTATACGTGCGGAATCCGTCAAAACTACCTTCAGAAATCACGAGTAGAGCGAATGTCTATACTGGACAATTGACCGACTCCCTGGCTGTTGAGAAAGCTATTGCTGGTGGTGCAAAAACTTGTGTATCTTTTCTCGGACCCGTTCCGAGTAACAAGAAGAAAGGGTCAACGGTATGCTCTCGACCAAGCGATCACCCTCAAAACATGTTATTGATCTTGCACAGCCTATTGCCGCCGGTTACAAGATTATTCTTCCATTGCTCCAGAAGCATAGATACACACGCGCTCTGTTCTTGAGCACTCCGTCTTTTCCCGACCCACAAGATCGACCCTCCATCATCTGGTCCATGTTACTCAAGGGCATCTATTACTTCTCGTACCCTGGGTATGCCGATATCAATGCTATGACAGCACAAATGGTCAAACTTCCAAGCGAATTGAACTGGACTGTGTTCAGAGTGCCAATACTGAAGGATGGTGCAGCAAAACCAGTCAAAGCAGGGTATCTGGGCGATGTTGGATACCAAATTCAAAGGCAGGGTTTAGCGATGTGGTTGCTGACCGAGATGGTTGAGGAAAAATGGATTGGAAAAGCTCCTGTGGTTACTGATGCATGATGCGAGAAGTTGTTGCAACTTCGGATGCGATAGACTCCATAGTCAAATACAGGGCGCACTATCATCAACCTTTGACCATCGTACAGCTTTCCCGTGAACAATGCCACAAGACAACGATAAGTGCCCATCTAGGCTGCTGAAGTCAAAACGCCGCATGAGACGAGGCAATTAAGGGAATAGCGAGAGGAACGCCTCTAGATGATACTGCGGAACCTTTCTGACGCAGAAAGTGCGGCCATAGAACGATTGCAAACTTGGTAGCGTGTGTTTATCCATAGTGTCGCGCCACCCAAGATCGAACAGTCGGAAGCTGTTGGGCCAATACCACTCGGTTAGGTCTCATATTCCTGTTGCCTGCCTTGATCGCAAGAGTCTGTCCCAAACAGCCTCAGTGGATAGACCTTGCTTTCGACTTGCTTACAGCTTTCTTGCAGCCCACGACGCGAAATTGCACAATTCCTGTATTGAGCGATGAGTTAAGCTCGGCTGATTAATTGCCCCAGGGATGAGGACAGCAGCGAGTACGAGGGTCGGAACGAATACGAGCACGAGAAAGAGAACGAATACGAATACGATGTCAGATGGATAAGCAACGGTGCCTGCTAGAAAGTTCTAGATGTCTATAGTAGCAATATTTTACAGTATAATTCACAGCCCTAGTGATTTCACCAGCTCTCTGGCAGCTGAAAGAGCAAGATTGCCAGGAGCGGCCTCCTTCTCACTTAACCGGCGCCGTGGAATAAGGATATACCTAGTTAGTGACGATATGAGTAAGACGATCCTCTGTGAAACCTACTATGGGTGCGTGGCTAGTCTGCCATGCACGCTCTGCCGCATTAGGGTAGATCGGATCGATCTCGAATAGCCCAGAGTAAGCTAAGGCAATACAAGATGGGTTGAGGCAGCTCGCCCGGGACAAACATTACCGAAGAGGTACATAAGCAGAACAGGTGAGCCGTACATAGAAATGCACTTTTGCCATCACAAAAACACAGTAGCAGACTACTTCTTACACCAATTAAATGATCAAGACAACAAGCTGCTGCTTTCTGGGTATCTGCAAAACAGCCGGAGGCCATAGATACATGGAACTACACTTTGACATGTGATTGACTCCACTCTGTAATCCAGGTCCATCTATCGCTCTTGTTGTTGAGCATATATGAGATCTCATCTACCAGATGATGCCCAGACCATCTCATGCCATCCAGCTGACCTAAGAGAACACTCCATAGCATAAGGATGACCAGGGCGAGATCATCTTTACGCCTTAGAGCGTTCAAATATTCGGACTGCAGTGTCGTAATCCACGGCTCTGTCAACCTGGCTTCCTGTGCCCTTTCCAACTCGTCGATGGTGTGATCAAAGACAATGCGCGTTTCTCCAGTATTGTCCTTTGCATTCAAAAGTCTTAGCCCTTCCAAGGGTAGGCGTGGCATCATGGAACTGGTCCTAGTGTGTTTGTTGAACATGCCCGTCAAATGATCTTGTTTGATCCATTCCTGGCTCACTTCGATCATAGACTTGATTTCAGTCATAAAAGTTGTTGATATCAGCGCTTCCTCCACAGTCGAGTGGGCTTTTCCGTTGCACTCGTGCCGGATGAGAGGTGATAATATGGTGCATACCATAACCATACAGGCTGTAAGGTAGATTGCATCGCAATTGCTTTCTGAGATCGTGCCGAATGCACTCCGTAGCCCAGCTACAGACTTAGCCTCGTATTGAGCAGCGGTACTGACATACTCATCAACCACGACGATTCCTTCTGACTTTCGCGCAATGTGCAAAGAGGTCAGTGCAAAGACCGCCTCCATCAAGTAGTCGTGTCGCAATGCCTCTTGAGTGATATGGTCTAGTGTGATGTCGTCGGTCTCGATCCTTCTGATAAAACTGTTGCGCGTATCTCTCGACCAATAGTACATGAGCTTCAGTTCGCGAAGTCTCGTTGCTTCACCTAGCGGTGGCTCTGGTTGCGTTTCGGTTCCAGTGGGAAGCAAACATGAGCTCGATGCAGTTTCCGGCCTCGAGACGAACTCATGCTCTGGATCGAGCTCGGTTGAAGGCCCTATCGAGGCTCCGGTATTCCTGGGTGAATGCTCGCTTGTCGCCCTTCGCTGGAGGTATGAACATTCATCTCCGCGACCCGTGCAAATGAGACAACGCGGGTATTTCTCGTCGCATTTGACACGGCGTCGCCTGCATTGGTCGCACCCGAACCGTGACTTTGTGTGTGCACGTCTAATTGGCATTGTGATTTGAAGGGTGCAGTACAATAGTCCAGTGGAACGAACCGAGAGCCAACTTTCTCACGACGTCCGTGCGACCATCCCTGGATACGCCGGACCTCCCCAACGAACTGACCGGTACGCAGTAATGAAGCTGCAGAGCGGAATGCAAATGTTATTATCGCAAAAAATCTGAATAGAGTGCTTTTTAGACCGATACGACCAGATTTGCTTACATACCGTTTTACCATAGGTCAATCGCTTTCATGAACGTGAACTCAATTACTAATCAGGCTGGTAGGAGCAGGCGTCGTTGCTTAGCAGTCATGCTCAACAAGAAGTAGATTGCAACTGCAGCACAACCCACAAGGTAGAGAGTTCTGCTTGGGATGCGATGTTGCTATCATTTTCGATAGATGAACGAGGTTGTAGATGAAGGCACGAAATTTACAGAAGGGCCGAGGAGGGTCCGAGGAGGCAGCGCATTGTGGTATTGTCAAGTTATCAAGAACATAACGGCAAAGACATTGCATACACGGAAACTGAAGAAGATCAGGAATTTATCTCGAGAGTGTCAGTGACTACTTACCACATCACGTAGGTTTACCCACTGCGAATTCTGCCACTATAAATACAATATAGGCCATTAGCATCGTACCTCCTATCCACCGACAGAATTTTGCACCACACCAGACCGTCGCAGTAAACACAGTTGTTGAAACCCACAGCACTCCTAGTTCAAGGGCGCCAATGTTACCCTGTCGGAAGATTCCCTTGGTGTCAAGCATGACAATCCCTGAGCAAAGTGTGAGCAGGAAGATATTGCTACCAGCTGTATTGGCAACAAGAACCCCGGCGTATCCTCGGTGACCACTCATCACAGCGATAAACTTTTCAGGCAGTGTAGTGGCGATTGCAAGAATTACCACACCAAATAACACGTCCGAGCTCTTAAACTCGTCGACAATGGTAGAGGCAGCATGAGAGAGCACATAACCTGCAAGGCAGATAGCGAGAAAACCGAGTAGAAGTCTTGATGTATGATATAGTAGGGCTCGGTGCTTCCTGCGATTTTGAGAGGGCGGTTGCGTCATAGAGCTGATGGGATTGAAGGTCGGAGACGTCCGTCCGTTGAAGTCGATGTAGGGGGATTCAATGATGTTATGGTCGTCTGCTTCAGCATCGTGTGTCCTATCCACGACAACATCATCGTCATATCCATCGTTGCTCTCATTATCGCTAGTGCCATTGCTGTCGCCATCGCTGTCGGAACCTTCCGGGGCAGTCAGATTTCCTCTGCTGATCGCCCACCCTACGGATGCAACATATATAGCGAAGAATGCGATTAACAAAGTGCCGTGAACTAGCCATACAGACTTTGCTGGGAGATATAGCATTGGCGTCGTAAAGGTGGTTAGAGCAAGCAAGACGAGCGAATACACCCGTGAGCTTTGGTCAAAGTGGACAGGTTCATCCTTGTTGTGAAACAAGAGGCCTAAAGAAAATGCACCTAGGATATTTGAGATGGCGGATCCAACAATATTACCGATGGCCAGAGATGCGCGATTGCGTGCAAGAGACGCGACAACGACGGCGAGCTATGACGCAGGAAGTTAGCAAGATAGACGACACGTGTGGTCCGCAGTTGGTAACGAACCTCTTCCCACTCTCCTCCTGCAGTAACGAGGCCAATGATGGTTTCAGATATGCCTGTGCGATGGGCGACAATGGTAGTGTGGTCAACAAACTTGTCTGCGCCGAATTCTAACAGGAAAAGGGCGGTAATGAAGACAGCAATGTTGAATGCGACGGCATCAGCATCCACCATGATAAATCCACAGATTGCGAAGAAGATAACGTGATAAGACAGAAGATGAAACGTTTGGCGAGGTGGAGAGATACTGTGTCGTGAGAGTTTCTTCCGTCGAAAACGTCCGTGCTTCAAACTTCGCTTCCAACGCGGGGTAGCTGGATTGCATCATCAGTCCCTGCTTCAAACATATAACTTAGGTACCAAACATCCACATCCTTCTTAGACTGAACTACCCGTACACCAGATATATGATACCGTCTCGCGTTGGTCGCAGAACCGTCAGACCAAATGTTACCTCTCTTTTACGTGACCAAGCTGAACATCCAAAGAATATATACATAAGCGAGCATACATTGTGTCCTATGGGTTTCCATCAGAAGATATTCTTGCTTTTTTATTGTCACAATCGTCTTTACCATCGAGAAAAACCACAAAATGGAGCTTTCATCGTTTTCTGATGATGGAGATTCCTGTTGATCCTTGTACTTGATTCACATGTTCACTGTTTCCTCATCTTCTACACCAAAAAGAACCCTCATTGGGTCTGAGTATTCCATGAACCCTACGCCTGGTTCGCAAAGACCGTATCCCAACAGTCTTTGGGCCTGTGGTTTCAGGGCCCTTGCTCTCTCGAGCGGTACCACAAGAAACTGATTCTCAGCAGGTCGCAACGTCGGTTTGCAGAGAAATATGCCAACGGTTTCTCTGTAATCGTCCCTAGCAAGAGCAGTATCGTCAGCGATGTGAAGTAATGAGTTTCGGGGATTGCAATGACATACTTAGTCACGTTCGCTCCTCCTCCATGGTAAACGTTGCCAAGAAACATGAAGGCGTCACCAGGCTCTAACTCCACAGGAACGGTTTCTTCATCCAAAGGCCGTCTATTTCGGTCCCATAGATGCGACCCGGGGATTGCAACAGTCGCCCCATTCTCCTTGGTCGTCTTCGTCAAGGCAGTTACGCAGCCGATCATGACGGGAAGCTCCTTGTCATGGGGATGATAGTCACTTGTTGCGTTTGTCAGTCGGTCGTGGCGTTACGAATGAACAAAGGCATACTTATCATCCCGATGTAAGACCTGTTGTTTGCCTCCAGGATTGATACGAAAGCCTACCGTAGAGGATATGATTGGTTTTCCGCTCACTGTTTTCTTCTTATCACCACGCCAAAAAGAATATGTTGAGGATACCAAAGCATTAGCGACGTCGATAAAAAGCGGCGCGCATGCAAGCTTGACGCATGCATCTGAATAAGCGAACAATCCGGATGCACGCTGAGTCGTGCTGGGGAAAAAGCCGTACTGATCGGGTCTGTCCCCATCGAAATGAGGCCCAAGGTCACTTCGGATTCTTTCGGCATGAGAAGGGGTGATGAGCTTCTCAACAATCACGCCGCCATCCCGCTCGACGATGTCGATCAATTGCTGTGAAGTGGTCGAAGCACTTGAGGCATCAACACGAGTGATGAAAGGTTTTGTTGTGCTCTCGCTTGCCATGCTTGAGTGTACTGAGAAATGGACTCGTCACATCAAGTCGGTCAAAGCAGCTTGGGTATTTATAGCTTAACGTCGGGCTCGCGATACTAGTCAATGATCTTGATCTGCATTCAGCATGAGGAAGAGCATGAGTGTTTCTCTCCCGAGTTACTCTATGCAGACTAGCGCATAATACAATGAGGTGTAAGAGTCGGCCAATGGGAAAGCCGCGCTCGGGATTCTTAGAGACCGAAATTCGAAAAGCCCCTCACAAAAGCCTGCACACCAGGGTGCACCCACAACATGGCCCTGCGCAACGTAAGATACATGCGCAAAATCGGGGCAGGGTCGCATATTTTTACCTTGTGCAGGAGCGAGCTAAATCCGACCGTTCTCTCTGACATCGGCGGAACCGAAGACGGATTTCGATGTAGGCCAACGTGTTGCGAAGTCGTCGCCTGTCACTCATCATCCAGCCAGGCTAATGAAAATCCAGCTTGGGCCTAGTGCACAAGAGAGCATCATAACCACTCTTCATTCTACACCCCGCCTGGATAATGTGATGACGATACGCAAGGCCTGAGGCGGATACGTGAACTCGGCGAGGAACAACACTCAAAAGGGCATACGTGTCGATGGTGTGAGAACTACACCATCTACTGCTCGGTCTGGTGCACAGGCGATGAGGAATACTACGATATCAAGAACGTCACGGGTCAATTAGAGAGTTATTCTAATGAGGATGACGAGAGAACGATGGAAAGCCAAACAGATATCAGACTTCAGAACGTCTCGTGATGTGTGTTGTTGATCAGCTCGATGCACTAATGATAATATTGAAGAGCTGTAAAGGTAGGAACTCAGTCGAGCCGAGAAGCATGTTGCAGCCAAAGAACGGGATAAATCCGTTAATGGATGCATTAGGGCAAGATCACGATACCTTTACTAACGAGCAACCCAAGGTTGATTTGATGAATGTACGTTAAGGATGTATTCGTGGGGGTGAGGGGCAGCAGGATGCGAACGAGATGGGTGCATGGGAGTACCGTGTGAATTAAGCGAGCGCTAGATTCGCAAGCCATCAACTTTTATGCATCAGGGTGACCCTCATGTATTGACATAGCCTCGTTTATAGAACGCTTATCATGATCTTTTGGCCCCCAACCTCAATGAGGAAGGCCGCAGGAATTGTGTAGCTTACCGCCCCGGAAACGCCGATTTACCCTTGTAGCCACCTAACCAGACTTGATAGGCGAAACCATACTACTGGCTTATCTCGTTGGACATGACGTTGACGATTTGGCCTGCGAGTTATAGTCTGAAATTACATGGGTTTAAGATCTCCCGACGTTCACCATCTATGCTCTAACAATGACAGGCGACAACATTTCCGCTGGCGCAGAGGACTACGACTTCATCCTGGTCGGGGCTGGGTCAGCCTCATGCTTGATCGCGTCTCGTCTCTCACAACAGCTGCCCGACCACCGGATCCTTGTTCTGGAAGCTGGAGAACATTATCGCAATGATCCCAAAGTTCAAACGCCCGGCCTATCGCCGACGCTTCAGTCGGATCCTGCTTATGATTGGGGTTACTCTACCGCGCCGGAGCCAGGCTTGAATGATAAGAGGGTGAAGCATCCGAGAGGAAAGTTGGTTGGCGGTACTAGTGCGATTAACAGTCACAGCGTGGTGTTTCCTAACTACGAGTGGCATGATCGCCTGGCGGGGGAGCTTCTATCAGAGTCAGGGAGAGCAGATTGGAGCTCCCAAGGCATGCAGGATTGCTACAGCCGGTGGCAGGCTGGAAGCTCTGGACCGAGAGTGAACGATGATGTTGGTTTTCTCGATCGTGTGCAAACATCGTACCCGCCTACTATGGATGTTCTCCAATTGCAGTGGATAAAAGCATTCGAGGAGCTTGGCCACGCGACAAGTACTACAGGTTTTGCCGAGAGCTCTGCTGGAGCAGTCACTGTTACCAATGCGATCGATTCTTCAAAAGGCGAGCGAAGTCATGCAGGTACAGCATTTCTGGAGCCCGCATTGAAACGAGGCAATGTAACATTGAGGACTGGCGTAAAGGTCGATAAGATTGCATTTGATGAAACGTTGACTGCTGATGGAAAGCTCAATGCAAAAGGGATTCGCTACACATACCACGGGGAAGAGCATTTGATCAGTGCTCGCGATGTCATTCTCTGCGCAGGCGTGTTTGAATCTCCCTTCATTTTGGAACGGTCGGGTATAGGATCCAGAAAGGTCCTCGCAGCCGCGAATGTACCAGTCCTGTACGAGCTTCCGGGAGTTGGTGAGAATTTGCAGGATCATCTCAACTGCGGCTTGTCATGCGAGACTCAAGACGATATCCTTACGCGCGACGAAGGATTATGGGATTCCGAAATGAAGAAGGCTGCATCGTTGGAGTATGAACGAAGCCGCACTGGTCGACTAGCGGAAGGACCAGCATACAGTTTTGCTTTTACACCACTGCAGATGCTGGAAACACCGTCAGAGACGCAGCAACTCACTGAAATAGTAAAAGATTCGGTGGAAGGAGAGACCAATCCGAGTTTACGAGCCCAGTATTCCGTCATTCAAAAAACAATTGAAAGCCCTAGTGAAGCGACCGCCACCACATTCCTGGTTCGCTCGCAGCGTCACCGAGACACTGAGTCTCTTCCCAAAGGCACACCGCCTTTCGTCAATGGGAACTTTGTAACTGTTATTGCCATGTTGGCTCATCCTTTCTCGCGTGGAAGCTGTCACATATCCTCTGATCCTTCGCATCAGCCAGAGATCAAGTTCAACTACCTTTCTCATCCCCTTGATACGGAGATATTGGCTCGCCACTTGCTTCTCATTGAGAGACTCTTCCAGAAGCCTACCTTCACTGCCATGACAAAGCCGCAAGGAAAACGATTACCTCGAACTTTTCCTTTCCCAGTTTCATCGCTCGAAGATGCGAAGAAAATACTCCCAACCAACGCAGCAACGAACTACCATCCATCCAGCACATGTTCAATGATGAGAGAAGATCTGGGTGGCGTAGTTGATGATGGACTGAGAGTATACGGAACGAAAAATGTGAGGGTTTGCGATGCCAGTGTTTTGCCAATCATACCGCGAGGGAACATTTTGACGGCTGTCTACGCTTTCGCCGAAAAGGCGGCCGAAATGATTTGCAGGGAAGTGAAGTCTAGTGTCCGGTTAGATTAAGGCATATAGGTTTTAGTATAACCTAAGGATTAGGTTAGAATGGTTTCTCGGTATGAGGATCGTTGTCAACTACCGTGAACGCTCCAATGACAGCCTTGCCAACTGTCATGTTAAGTGTTACTTTTTCAGATACTATCACTGCAATACCGAGGTCTTTCAAGCTCACAGCTGGGGCACATTACCCTGCGGTATTTCTTGTAGTATGTTGCAGTCATATCCCCGAGTTTCCTTTTCTCTGCTCGTCTATACGGCTCTCAAGAGGCAATCCACATTCCTGGACCAACGTCCTGCCTTCTTGTGTTCTTGTGTGCTTTCAAACAGCCGAGGGCAATTGTCGGCTTCGGTATCATTATTTGCCTATGTAGTGGCTTTCCTTATAGATTACGATAGTTTGTATGCTCGTCTCTTCGACTTAAGGCCTCATTCCTGACGAGATGTTCGTTTGAAACGCGCGACCTCGATCTTTATCTTCTTCATCCCAACCACCCAGCTCTTCATCCACACTTCTCGGAGACGAACTAACGTGGTAACTTTGCTGCACTACCACTTGAATGCTTCTGTCGCCAGTTTCCTTCTCAATCGAGGAACTTCTCCGGGATGACCTGGAAGCGCTCCTCGGCACAGTCACCAGCTCTACATCTGATGCAGCAGCGCCACGCTTGGAATCGGGCTCTGACCTCAGCTCAAATGTACCAAGCCCGTATCCGCTCTTTGTAGGGCGTGAGCGCCCGTATGACGACGATTCCGCGACATAAGTATTCCCGCGCCAGAAGTTCCGCCTGAACATGGGTCTAAGAATGGGCAGGTTCACGGTGATAATGCCAACGATAGTCTCGCGGACTCCCCAGCGGTTGATGTTCAGTCCAGAGGGGGTGTTGCCCAGGGTGAGCGCGGCGCGTACAATAGCAGCGGCGATGACGAACGTTCCTGAGCAGATGAACAGGGCAATGGCAATCTTCTTGCTAAGCTTTATCTGCAACCCCCAGAGCATCGGGACAGGAATGGCAAGGATTATGACATCGGTGATAACGTTGAGAATGGCGCCGACGTAGAAGTTTTGAGGCTTGAACGTACACGTACGGGGAGGGAGTGGGCGAACTTGCCAGTTCATTGCAGTACTGGAGATGGTGAGCAGACGCGCGAATGTGTTCATACGAAAGGACTTACGGGTGGCAGCCGAATGTTACAGTGAGAAACACTGCGATGTATGTTGCGCCGCACATCCAGAAACACCAGCGGACCAGACGATTCTGAAAAGTGCCCATTGTTATACGTCGATAGAAGAACAACAACATGAACTTCATGCACCCTAAGCCGTGTCAGTGTGTGGTTTTGACTCGTTGCGATCGGGGGCGCCTACAGATGAGTCCAGTATATGTATACCAGGCAGCTAGCTGTGCCTTTGATCCGTCCCGTACTCTATCGACTTCCGCGTCGGTAAGTGAATCGATCATAGTGGCTGGGATGTCGACGTTGGTGCCTTTGTGATCTAGTTTCCTGTGTTAGCACCGAGGTTTCCAGGGTCGTCATGGCCAAAAGACTTACAGCAAACATCAACAAGCACTGCATCCGCAGTGTATAGCGCCAGACTCTACGTGCTGTCAGTGGTGGGATATTGCTGGACTTGGGGTGTTTACATACAAGAATGGCAATATAATCATCTCCCTGGAATCCCCTGAAGCCAACAGATCGAATTCGAGCAATGTACCGCAATGTGATGATGGTGAAGCCGATGCCGTACCATGTCTGTAGCTGCGTTAGCAAGACAAATACCTCGGTCACTTAAAATACGCGTATACATACCCATACTTCAGCCAAGAAGCTGGGATCAGTCGGCAATTGAATGTGCGAGTCCGCCATGTCGGTTGAAGCGCGTAGGGGTCGTGATTGAAGAAGGTCCAGGGACGGCGAAACACAGATTTAATGGGCTATTGCGGACCCCTCGATCGCTTTGCAACTGCGCGAAGCGTTCTTTCTAATGCAAACATCCCCAAGCTAAAGGTCGGATGTTCTAGTCTGTACCTAGCTGCACATGGATCAGGGTCTGACTCGGCCCTTTGCGGGTGCTAGCGACTCAGCGTCATATCCATAATCCAGTTCCGCCTTGTGGTGTTAGTGTAAGGAGTTGCAAGGCGCACGCCGCATTAGACAGGTGAATCGTAATGGGTCTGGACCTAAGGGGGCCTCGCCCGCTCATGGCAAGTCTCTGCCTGTCTCCCAGTGCTCAGCAACGCATTCGTAGAGATCCTGTTGTCAGACTCTTTTTGTTGCGATCAGAGTGTCCCAGACCCTAGGCTTCGGTAGGCCTTTACATAATGGCAGCCACACTCGATCAACATAACTGCGCGCGTCCCATCGGGAGGCCATAAGCCGCATTGGAGCCCTTGCACCGATTAGCGATGTAGATCTCGAAGAGCGAAACCCAATCACCGACTAGAGTCAACGACGTCGAAGGTCTGTTCATCCTACCAGCGACCACAATCTCGGATTGGGCCAGTCCCGAAATTTTCTGGGGGTTCGACGGCAAGCTTGGTTGACTAGTTGCTTGGGTCTTGCGTGTGTGGCGCTACGAAGGAGCCCGTTTTTTAGTCCTTCTCCACCTTCGCGAACACCGGACGTTTGCAGCCAAGATATTATCTCAAATCTCGAGTTTTCTTTGTGTGCACAGAGCAGAGTCAACACTTTTTAATACAATACTACAATGATGTGCTATGGTGGAAAGGCGTAACTTAGAAGACCTCGGTGGGGAAAACATGAAAAAGAGCTCCTCCATACTGTCTCCGCATCTGTGCCGCTACGCTCCAGTCAACACGAACACGATGATGCGGGCCGGGTAGCACGGTCTGTGTACCTTTCAAATCGTCTTCGGATAGCGCCGTTAGTGGCTTTGGGGGAATACGATCCAGATCCCCTGACACGTGCCAGGTCAGCAAAATTGCGCACAACTGTCTAATGTTCCAACGATCTAGAAGTCGCTGGCTGAAAAGGTCAATGAGTCGTGAGGAAGTCCTTTCAAGCACCCGAGAGAAAATCGCCGAAAACCGTCGGAGACGGCCCGCTGAAGTCAGTCAAAGAGGGTATCAACTAGCTGAAATTATCGGCGCTCCTTCTACATCAGGAAATGTCGTGCAGCTCAGCAACTGACATTGTTCGTTCTCGTGCCGTCGAAGGATAAAGGTTTGACGAACCGCACCTGGGAAACCGCTGCAGAACGAAAGTCCACGTGGACACTGCAGTAGCGCAGGAGAACGCGCGGAACGTCAACTGGGAGACTAATTCTCGAATGGAAACTCCAAGTTCCAGACTTGGTTTAACTTGACCAAACGAATGGCTGCCTTGAGGGATACTATGCAGTATACTGTGGAGCCCAACACAAAAGGGGTTATATTCCTGAACGACACGATACCAGGAGGGCGATTAAATTACTACGTCAAAAAAATGGCCAGATCCAAGAGGCAGATCTTCCACTTCATCGGTAAGATTTCCATAACTGGATCCCTAAGCCGCGCGCTACAGAAGCGGACCGGAGTATTCTTCACTTCTGCTTCAAGACCCTGTCAAGCACACGATACCTGAATACCCAACTTCGCGCCCTCTTGCCCCAAATGTACATAGGAATAGTCGTGACTGTCACAGCAACTGTCGTGCCTCCGATGACGAAGAAGCAATCTCTAACGCCCTGTACGGCAATCCAATCGTTGGCGTAGAAGGTGAGGCCGAACGCAAACATGTTTTTGATGAAATTCATGATGGCAAAGGCCTCTGCAGACTGCTCACGATGGCAGTCGCTGACATATGTCACGACGGAGGTAGTTCCTAGTTGGACGCCGAGGTTGATCAAGCCCATACAGACGATGACAGGTATCGGCCACGGGTCTTGCTTGTACAAGGACTCGCCCCAGGCGAAGAAGCCAGTCGCCGTGAAAATCAGGTAGGTGATCATTACGGGTAAGCGGAATTCCGGTTCTAAGCTGTTAGCGATGATCCTGGAGAATACTTAGCCAGGGTAGGTTTACTTACCAAAGACTCCATTATTGCGCTTCGACATCCACGTAGCGACGCCGTCAACAACGTAACCAGCAACTAGAGTTGCGATTACGGACGCGACAAACGACGATACATTTGTCGCACCTACTGAGCTAACGGAGAAGTTGTAGGGTGGTGCTGAGAAAATTTGCGAAAGCGTGATGGAGATCAAGACGAGCCAGGAGATGCAGATGGTGAACAGAAGCGTCGCCCACATGACTATCGGCGACAAAATGAGGAAGAATGGCCGGATGAGAGTCCTCCAAAACGACACATGATCGAAGTAACCACTCCAGGGCTTGAGCTCTTGTACGTATGAGATCTGCGGCTCAGACGAAGTGGTCGTAACAGTCGGGCGATTTTCGATTTGCACCGCCTTCTCTTTCTCCGGCTCGTCTATATCCAGCGTCTTGTCGCTTGTGTCGATGTTGATGGCGTCATGTCGTACAAAAGCTGACTCGGGCATAAAGAAAATGACGAGGAGCAACATGAGAACCATTGCGCCACCCATCGCATGCATAGCAATACGAAAGGATCCTTTCTCGATGACTGAACCGGCGATAGGGCCTGCCAGGTTGATGCCGCCGAGCACACCGAGGTTAAAAATCGCCATCCTGAAACCACGTTCATGAACATGCCAGATATCTGAGACCGATGCCGGGATCAAGGCCTCGAAAGGAGCCATGCAAAAGCCCTGAACAGCTCTCGCACCTGCCAGCGAACCGAAACTCTTCGCCTCTGCAGCCCAAAAGGATGAAACGGCAAGTCCAAGGGTGGTCACAATGTACACTGGCCGTTTCCCGAATTTCACGGCGAGCGTGTTGCAGAGGAGACTGCCTACGGCGATGGCGACGATACAGGACCCGTTACAGCCCAATGTGAATCGCTGGAGAGGTACACCGAATTGAGTAGCAAGCGGCACAAAGGCGGGTGTCAAAAGAGGTCCGATAGCTGTCTGAGGTTAGGACAACCGCATGTTGTTGGCGTGCGAAGTTCTCACCTCCTACACAACCGCATCCATAGGCAATGACGAGCGTGAACATCTCTTTCTTCCATCTTGGCCAGTTGTATGGATCATTTGGTGAATCAGAGGGTTGAGGTACGAGGACGATTTTCCCGGTCTTATCGTGCTTGAGTAGGCCACGATCTATGCCAGCCACCTCAAGGTCCAAGCGACCCAGGTCGCTTAGGGGCGCTGTTCCAGGAACATGTTCAAGCTTGTTGTCGTCAAGTATTCCCAACGGCATGGTAGCGATGTTGTATCCGTACGATCGGGATCGATGAGAGGATTCAAAGATGAAGAGCTTCTCGCAATTAATGTGTCTGGATCTCCAGACAGCTCCGACGCGACAGCGCACTAAAATGTGGGGATACCCCCATGAATACAAGGGTGCATCCCGTGTGGCATGCGGGGAACATTGGCGCGGGGTTGAGCTCGAGGATGTTGGACCAATGTCAGGGCTTCGCTGCTAGGCTAACATCCTCCGACACGAGATCACCATCGGCATGTCTGAACACGGACAATTATTGGGGGCGCACGTCTCAACCCATGCGCCCTCGAGTCCTCACCAAACAGTACCCCACACGCGGCTGTTGCGTGTTCATACTGCATCTTTGACGCCCTACCTTGAGCCTCACTGAAGTCTAGATCTCTGTAAACTTTTGAGTTAGTCCTCTATTGGGTGCTGCCATGCGTCGCATAGCATTCTTCATCCGCAGCTTCCGAAGCTTTTAGAGTGTCACGCGTCTCAATGCCACGCTTTTTGGTCGTAGCCACCATCCCTTCTGGACTTGGTCGTGTCAACGCGCCTCCCTCACGTTTACATACATGATTCATATCATGATTAGAATTACCATCTCACGATGTTGACCCCACAGGAGGGCGACATTTGCCGAAAGATAATGAAAAAAGCGTACACAATCACTGCGATGTGACTTCTGCTTTCTCCATTTGATCAGTTGACAACGACTATCTTTGGATTGAAAGAATATCGCTGAACCTTGTAAAAGAGACACATGCCGATATCAGCTTTTTAGCCCAGTCATTATGAGCAACCTCAGCCGCGTGCGCACGATCAGGAAATACTGATCCCATCAACTGAGTGACCCTGCACACTTCTCCAGCTCATGCAAGTGCACCAACAAGGCCTTCAACCGTATTGAAGAGTGAGCCCATGGTCTAGAGATTGACACGGAGGCGCATTGCAGGGTCAACGCGTGCAGGTTGCTCGATATCCTGGGGGTTTCCCGGAAGCTTTCGAGTTGGGACCGGTGGTATCGTGTCCAAGGTAACTAGAAGAGCACTTAAATAGAGGATCAAGAGGCATGCTCAATTATTCTCGGTGGGAGCATATCCGCAACGCTAGTAGATTGGTGACGAGACTTCTGTCGAACAGTAGAACCCGTGAGCCTCACTTCGTCTGCGGTACCGATGAAATTGTACGAAGTAACGTCCGGTGGTCGAAGACTGACATGCGCAAGAATTACAGGTTGCAAGAAGCGACAACTGCAACGGAGCCAAACTAGAAGGACCCTATAAAACCCATGAGATCTCCTCCCTCGACAGAGGGGAAATTAGCTGGCAAACAACTTAAGATACCGCCCTGGTTCACTGAGGTTCTTTTGATCCTCAACGTCGTCAACGGCGTCGTCTTGGGGCATTACTTTAACCTGAAATGCGCATGCCCATCTATGATACGAGGGGAATTTCGCGTTTTGCAGTTCAGCGTTCGCATGGCAGTGGACAGCCCCTTCTTCCACCTCCGCAGCAGTCGCACCGAACGATGTCCCGATGCACGCGCCAGACACATATCGATTTGTGCGACTCGCATTGAATCTGACAGGTGCGCGAGATAAGTTTAGAGGTCACCAAGTCTCATCTTGACTTCCTCTATGTCATCGTTGATGTCTTCGTCTGTGCCCCCCTTCTATATCCTGGCCCACGTCTCTATCTACGCTTTCGGCGACGTACTCTACAGGGCCCCATATAGCGTGACCCGCTCCGGCTTTCAAGGCGTGCTTCGCAGTGCCGTGGATCCCTCGCAGGGCTCTTTGTCGTACAAGTCCATGGACTCTTCTGAGTTGTGGTGCAGCCGCCTATCCTCATTCACAACTGCGAGAAGCCCATTGATTCACTACGCGAAACACAATATAGCTCTTCGGCAAGCTGGCGTATACTTCCTTCCTGGCTCATGCTGAGTACGAATGAGGATCATCTTGGACAGTTCGGCTGCGGTGCTTGCTGGTTCGGAAAACGTAATGGTTATAGAGATTGGACACGACGGTTTCATCCGAAGAGTGGCGGTGCTCCCTGCTCGGACGGAACAACGGTGCGCCGTTTTTTGTGTTTGGGTTGGTCATGTTCGAGGTTGCGTGTTCTATTACGGTTTTCTCGCCCGGATGGAATGATAGGCGCAATTCGCACAAGAGAGCGCAAGAAGGAACGATTTAGCTTTCAGCCGGGGTAGCCTCGCCAATCCACCAATCAACGGACCACGCATTGCAGTTTATATACTGGCATCTGCCTAACGCTGGACATCATACAAACCATCACCAATTACTCAAGAATCAAAGGATGGCTTCTGTACCAGAACTTTCAGACGACGTCAAATGGCTCATCTGTGCTGAACTGTATCGCGATAATGTTGAGTTTGTACGACCGCTATGGCGAGTCTCGAGAGCCTGGCGCGCTGTGGCCGAACGGTTCGTGTATAGAGGTCTCGTGCTGACGCATGTTACCGATGACATATTGAAGGAGGATGCAAGGAAATTACGAAACCATCAGTTTGCGAAGAAGTACATGGAACATGGGAGGTATGTTTGGGTAGCCAAATTTCTCGTGCCCGCTAAGCGACCTTCATAGATATCTTCACATCACCAGGACTCAAAGACTGTCCGGAGGAGAAGGGATAATGAATCATGCCGAGCAGTTACAGACTGGCATCAAGCGAATACCGCCAAGCTTCTCCCTTACCGAGTCAGTCACTACCTCACCCACCAGAGATGACCTTTTCGGCGACAAAGATCCATGGACAAGAGCACAAATATTGTGGGAGCCTATAGTCACACTTCTCCCCGACTTCAAGCATCTTACAGATGTGGTTGTTCAGGTCAGAGGAAGACTTCCTGCTGGTATCGTAGCTGCGCTGGAACAGAGCCACCCAGAATGCCGATTGCATTTACGAAATTTCACGTTCCAAAGCCTTCATGAGGATGTTACCGATCCCGATGAACGCGCCCTGGCCACGTCATCAAACTTACATAGCCTCAGCATCCAGTATATGTTCCGCGACTCCCCTGGCAAAGACGATCATAACGAAGCCGCGGCTCTGCGTACCGTGGCTCTCGCACCGAACCTCAAGCACGTAACAATGCTAGCTTCGGCGCGTCCCAGGGGAAGACCAGTCCAGCTATGGAAGGGATTTATGCCACCTATCGATGAGCCAGACGGGTCGAAGTCGAGACTTGAGAGTTTGGCATTTACTGGCCGTCGCAGCCAACTCACAGCAGCAAAACTGTCGAAATGGCAAGAAGCAGCGGACCTATCGGCTTTGAGAATGCTCTCATGCTCTATAAGCTACCCCTATCCCCCCCGCCTTGGCTCTATGAACAATGCGTTCCCCTCTCTCACCGATCTGACGCTCACTGTTGAACTTCCGCCACGGAATCGTCACCACGATTGGGATCATGCAGTCCATGATTTCCTCTCCTCTCTCAACTCATTGACGTGCTTGAGTTTGTCTGCGAATCTGAGCGGTGCGCTTACAAGTGCTATCGCAGAAAGACACGGAGGAACGTTGGAAAAGCTTTCTCTGCGTCACCTCTGCGATCGAAACCTGCCACGCTGGGGATACAGCATATCTGCGAATGATCTGAGCATACTAGCATCCGCATGCCTACAGCTCACAGAATTTTCGCTGATCATGCAGCGCTCAATGGGCGACCGCACGGAGATAGAGTGCTATGAAGCAATAGGTATGTATGCTCTTCATCCTGATATCTCCCTTCTTCTGAATCACGCCAATGTAACGATGTCTACAAAAGGAAGCTTCCGAAAATTGAAGTACGTAAAATTGGATTTAGCTTGTTGGAACAGCCGCGGATCGTTCCTACAGGTTGATCCCAACTGGGATGACTTCGAGAAAGCCGAACCTGACAACGGAGGCGATATTGACGCTCCAAGATACAATAGGTGCCGTAACGGCCATCTCAAGTGCGCGATTGTAAATTCGGCGTTGGACGAAACTCTCGCTCGCTCTATCTATGCTCTTATATCTTCGAAACGGAGTGAAAGCCCTCTCGATGTTCTCGAAATCAAGACATACGGCGGAGGATCTCCCTGTGGTGGTTGCCCCGATGATCTTGGGATTATCGTGAAGCATGTTTCACGAAGTTACCGCGTCGAAAAGGCCTCTGGAAGGCGAGGGGCGGGTTTCATAAATGTTATTGAGCTGAGTAAGGAAGAGCGTGAGGTGAGCGATGCGCGTGTGCGCGCAAGTGAAAGGAACTATGCCAAAATTCACGGCAAGGGGAGTAAGGCCGGGCAAGGAGGCGTCTGGGCTATGTTCAGGCACCTTTGGCCATTTGAGGATCATGAAGACTGGCGGGGTGTGTGGCAAAGCTGGCCGTTGGGTTACCAGAAAGCATGATGAACTAAACTGTGCCGCAGAGTACTGCTTAATGTTTCTTATTTTCTCAAACATTTGGAAGAGGCTCACTCCTGTCTCATGAATCCGTCCACGCTGTTGGTTTCCCGTGCTGTTGATCCCAGCCCACATTGTAGCCTCCAGGCTTGCCGCAATAAGGGAACTTCGTATACGAGAGCTGAATGGCCTCTTCACGCCACCCAGGGTTCTGAATAACCTTGAGTGTTTGTTCGCCACAGTGCACTGTGTGATGTGTCGGCATTATTTGTCCATCTATCATCCTTCCGCTCGTTTGTGCGCGATGTAATTTCCTCAGTAAGAATTGGCAGTGCGTTACGTGGTACTGCTGGCGGACGAAGACTGGCGATGATCAGCAGGGCTACAACGTCCACCAAGTTTTACAGAGCAACTTACAGCCTGGGCCATTTCCGAGGCGAACCTCCTCGATGGGCACAGTGCTCGTGTAATTTGTATCGCGGTAGATATCCAGGTTGTTGTCAACAAGATACTGGAGGAACTCTTCCTCAGTCTCTGTATCTTGACATTCTTTCGGCAGCCATGTGAATCCTGTAACCTCGAACACACATCCACGTGCTCGCGCTTCGTCGGCTGTTGTGCCGCATTGATCGTACTTGAGGCCTTTCTTCTGGGAAAATACCGTGACGTAGACTAGTGCGAGCGATACAACTATAGCCGAAAGAACAATGACTATGATCCGGAAGAAGCTGGAGCGTGAGGGGCGCTGCATCAATGATGGCGCATCTTCTGAGTCGATGTCAGAAAAGTCTTTGAACTTTTCTTCGTCGCAGAGGGTCGTGCGTGCTGAGTCTTGTGAAGACTCCATGTGGTAGATGGCGGTCAAGTACGCCGAGCGTTGCAAAAAACCTCTTGCTGCAAGTTTGGTTGTAGGCTACCGATGAAGAGTGGTTGGAACTGTGAGCCAAATCACGTTCGATGGCATCACCTCGCTTTCGGAGCTTCCTAATGACCGAACGCAAAGCGATGAGCGCTTAATGCGAGTGTTGCTCCAGTAATGATAAGGATCGGAAACAGGGCGGAATCTTCAAGAGGTATCGCTTACGACAACCCCGCAGCTGCCATGCGGTCAGCAACAATGACATTCGTGATACAATCGCGTGCTCCTTCCGGCTCAGTGTGCACTCGTACGGTAGCGTACAATATGTAGTATCAGTCTGAACATGGATTGTTGTTGGTTGGTGAGTGGGGCACTTGCCCAAAGCAGTGTGCGGATCGTGTCCGTAATAGGAAGGTCTGCGAAGATTATCGTACCTACACGAAGACCGGTGCGGAGATCTTTCTAGTAGGCGCTTCTAGGATCCATCGGTGACATACAGTTACATTAGGCAATAATGCTAAGGATCTACACCCCGGTCATGGAGATCGTGCTGCGGCGCCCAACCTTTTGAGCGCACAGTGATACAGCGAGTGTCTATAACGACTGAAGGAACAATGGTGACGAGATTCAATTACTCTATACATCATATACTACTTGCTCCCCTAGCGGATCATGTACTTGAGTATGCTTCTCAACCTTTCCAGCTCGATTTGCTTTTGCCCAGTCCCGGATCGCCTCAAAATCACGACAGGTGTGTGTAGTAGCAGACGCCGGCATGAGCTGATCGTACTTGCGCCACCACACATATGGAAGCGGGGTAATATCAGCCGAGCACATGAGACTTTGCCGGATCGAGTCGATGCAGTGGTCCAAGTGTTTCATCGACAGGGCTTCGTCTTCATCTGGAGACTTCGTGTCATCGTTCCAGAAAAGCCGCCTGCGAATGTGTTGCTGAATTCAAGGTTAGTCACGGACAAGTAGATTGAGGATAAGAGAGCAATATACCAGACAGTGAAGTTCGTGGAAGACTTCTAGAATCACAACGTAGTACCCTTCGTCTCCGGGAATCGGAGAAGTTCTGTTGACAAGCTGCGCTGCGTCGCTTATTGGGATTCTGCTCACTCCATCTAGCGATAGCGAGGTTAGTGGCGACTCATAGAACGGAATTGACCCTTACATTTGTGCAATTCTTCCCATTCATGATCGAGTCCCTTGGAAGGTGGTCCTTGGTATGGGCTCGTATCGCTATCAATACCGGCCTGGAAGACGACATTCTTATATCTAACCGCGGACGTCGCTGGAGCTGGTATTCAAAGTGAGCCAGGAGGAAGAATATAACATCGGGAGGGACTTACAGAAGATTTCTCTTGGAACATCTTCAGATGATGTTTTCGCCCATGTGAACCAGTTGGTCGCCGCCAAACATGCTACAAGTACCCATGGTATCCAACGAAGCCATGCGGCCCAGAATGAATTCACAGAAAGACTTCGATGTGAGGGACTGGAATAGTCGAATCCTTCCGATGACGCCTCACTTGGCTTCTCAAAATTTCCAAATTCCCCTTCCTGCTCTTGCTCTTGCTGTTCCACAGGCCTATAGTCACCGTTCGAAGAAGGCTGCATTTTTAATATTTGCTGAGAAACAACCCAAGAGAGACTGTTCGAAAGGTGATGCACATCCAGTGGGCATAGAGCCAGGATGCTCGCTCGGCTCAACTGCCCCGCATTAATATGGTACGAGTTGCTAGTTACACGCCGTTGAAACAAGCCCCCGGGTCAAGCCGTGATCGGCATTCAGGCGACCCATTGCCCTTTTGAATCCTTCACCGGGCAGTAGATGCACGAGTAAGCAAGGGTATCTGACATCTTACACTGTACGCTAGGTACCGATGACCGACCTAGTATGAGCAATCCATCCTTCGGATTGTATTAGTGACCACATGACTGTCACTGCGTCGAATGAAGTGTAGTGATGAGTTCCGATCAACGTCGTGTCCGACCAAGGACAGAAATCGCGCGACAATGACTTACAGAAGGATTGGTGCTACCTTCCTCTCTTGTGTCTGACTCTGCTTCCGAAAACGCCGGATTCGTTACGACTTGATTGACTTGCATGCTGTAGTTGAAGCTTCGGTTGCTTGTCACTGCTAGCGACTGGCAGCGAATGAGCGTGTCTGCTCCCATTGATGACCGTGAAAATACACGAATTTGACACAGTTGTGCTGCAAAACCTCGTGGTGGGATATAAGTAGCGTTGCTCCAAACACTTTGCAGAGACAGGCTGCTGGCATTGCCCTTCATCTCGTCAAAATCAGCCCGACCATCGCTATCGAATCCAAGGCAATCTTCAGTTCATCAACATGAGATACTCAAGCATCCTCCCAGCCCTCTTTGCGGCTTCCGTTCTGGCTGCTCCAGTGGCTAAGCCTGGCACCGTGAGTATTACTATAATTGCACTATCCTTCTTCGATGATTTGCTAAAGCTTCACAGGAGGAAGAGTCCGTAGACGCAGCTTTCGTCAACGTCGCTTACTACGGCTTGAAGGAGCGCGAGGCTGAGGCTAAGCCAGAGGATGAGTCTGCTACAGTCGATGCGGACTTCGTCGGCATTGTGTACAACGGGCTGAAGAAGCGCGAAGAAGCTAAGGAAGATGTCGACGCAGCTTTTGTCAACGTGGCCTACTTCGGATTGAAGGAACGTGAAGCCGCCGAGGCTGCTGCAAAGGCGAAGCGTGCCGAGGACTCTGAGTCGACCGACTCCGCTTTTGCCAACGTTGCATATATCGGCTTGAAGGAACGTGAGGCAGCCGAGGCAGCTAAGCGTTCTGAGGAGTCTGAGTCGACCGACTCAGCTTTCGCGAATGTTGCATACATTGGATTGAAGGAAAGGGAGGCCGAGGTCCAGGCATAAGCAAAAACGCCCTTGCGCGGCTGATGTCTCGGAGACAAGATGATGCGTTCCAGTGCTGCTGTTGTTGCCTGGGGATGGCTTGCGGGTCATAGGTAGCTGAACGAATAACGAGTAGTACCTATGGTAGAGCAAATGACCATAACAAGTTCTAAAATTTTCGATGTTAATTATACCGTGCGCATGTGTCTTTTGAGTATGATACCTGAATTGATCTATGAGGGAACGATGAAGAATACTCAATGCGTAGATCGGGTAAGAGCTTCTCAGCCTCAAGCACCACCAAGCAACAGCATCACTCCAATCCGTTCCCCCTTCGGCGCACATTTTTCCTTGCAGGAAGCTCCTACCTAGTCATTGTATGCGCGCCTTTCTACGATCACTACCGCAAGAGGCTCGAGGTGAAGCGAGCGCTGACACTGCGCCACGCCGAAGGAACGTGAGCACCCTAGCGTCCCCACCTTAATCAGATCATCTTATCAGATGGTAACTGACGGCATGTCATCGTTCGGAGGGAAACCGGAAGTCATCAATGTCTCCAAACGACATACGACGGTGGTATAAATATGCTGCTTTCATCGGGATTACGTTTTCTACATGTTATCATCGATAGTGTGCTCGATCGAACAATTCATCACGTATCCAAATCAAGACCTCAATTCGTGCCAAGATGAAGTTCACGCTTTTTACCGCCGTTCTCACCACTATCTTTGCTAGCTATGCTGCTGCTCAATGCGTATGTCTTTCCCCGTTACTTTCTATCATTAGGGACTCTCGATGGAATGCTAACACGTGCAGCCTGGGCCCTGCCCTGTGGGCACGGCGTGCTCTTGTCAGCCAATGTGTCAGTGTGTCGGCGTTGGCAAGCTTGCTAGGAGCTTGGAGTCTTAGAGTTCGAGCTCTTACAATATTCACAATAGATGACATATCAGATAAGAATCCGCAGAGGGACGGATTGGGACGCCTAAGGGAAAGGCGATGAGCTGGTAGAAACGATGAATATAAGTTTGGTCAACATCTTGAATTGGGATGACTCGTTTCGCCTACTCTGATCGCCTACGCTACCTTATTGGTGACTTCGACGAAGTTTTGCCACTGTCTGTACGCTTCGCCGCTCGAGATGGCCCACTTCGCTCTCCGCACGCCTTCCTTCCAGCGCCCGCCACCAGGTCCACGCTCCGTGATTACCTTTCCATTATCGCCGTGGCCCATGTCGCTCGTATCTGCGTCGCAAATACCGCTGACCACGAACAAAGCCGCCGTATTAATATACACAAAGTGGAGAATCGGGTCGTCCTCCGGAACTTCGCCCCTCAATATGCGCATCAAGATCTCGGCGTTTGCCTCGGGAGACTGGCCCGGTGAGACTTCGCTCAGCGCATGCGACGGGAGGCCGAAGTCGCTTGGAGAAACGGTGAAGTAGTCTATGGCCACCTCCTTGGTGTCTGAATTTTGCTTGAGTTGCCAGCAATGCGAGGGTCCAGCGCAGGAGATCTCATCCAGCTCTTCGTCTCCACAGATGACGATGCCCTTCACGCATCCTGATTGACGGAGAGATTCTGCGAAGTCAGGTCCGATTTCTTTCCGCGCTACACCGAGCATGCGCGCTTCGATGAGGGGGTGCAGCGGGTTGGCAAGGGGTCCTAGTAGATTGAAGATGGTTCTCCAGCCGAGCTGTCTCCGGATGGAGGCCGCGTGGCGAGCTCCAGGGTGAAAGATGGGTGCGAAGAGAAAGGCATAGTTTGACTGGGAGTAGACCTCGTGGATGGTAGAGGGAGTGACGGCGGCGATTTGGGGAGCCTTTGGCTGTGCGCATGAAAGTAGATCTGCAGAGCCGGAGCGAGATGTGCTGGCTTTGTTTCCGTGTTTTCCCATCATGAGCAAGGAGCTTGCCAGGATGGATGAGGTTGTTGAGATGTTGAACGTGTTGTGGGAGTCGCCGCCAGTGCCCACGATGTCGCACAGCCCACCATGGTAGTCGCCTTCTTTTCTGCCTCTTTCTGCGATCAGTTTGGATAGGCCATCTATATCCATGGTAGTCGCGAAATCACGCATTGATTGCGCGCATTTAGTCAAGACATCTGCCTGCCTATCTCGTTCGGTGAAATGAAGACATGTCAGGAGAGCGCCAGTCTGAACTTCTGACAAACTATTGGTGAAGATGAGAGAGAGGGCAGCTGCGATTTCAGTAGCATCTGGCTTGGTAGCGGCCGACTCATGCCAGAGGCGCTTGAGCAGTGGTGTTATCGAGGTTTTGGGCTCCTCGTCGTTGTTTGTGGACATGGTGAGGGGTGTTCCTTCTATGAAGGTAAGATAGTTCCAGTAAGCCAGTCAAAAAGATCAATTGTCATGGGGCGGCCGATTGAAGTTGAGCTGCAGAAGGTCCTGTGGTTGATAGCTTCCAGAGGCAAGATGTAGAGCCAAAGGGCGTGAATCGATGTTGACTCAGTTGCGTTAACGACCTGTTCATTCTGCATGGATGCCCCACCCGTCCCACTATCGGATTGGGGTTAGTGCAGTTCACCGGAGAATCGTTGTTCCCACCCGTCGCAGCGCCAGTCGCGGCCGAAAATTGTGGACCAGAAGGCGCGCACACAAAGGTCATGACGGGTCAGGGAGACATCTCTGACTGGCCTTGTAACTACTTCACATCGCCCGCCCACGCCAGATGGGGAAGAAGCGGACCCATGACGAGACGAAAGATGGCCCTGCGCGGCCGCCCCCGGACAAGAGCCGGTTGAGCGCGAAACACGACAGGAAGGACGCGCGCAAGAACGGCGACGCAAAGTCGCGCCAAAATTTGGTAAGAAGACTCGTCTATGCGAATGTCGATGGATGCTGATGCGCGACAGCTCTTCACACCGCAGCCCGAATGGCACGCCGTCACCCTGCCCCAACTGCCCATTGTCGAGCACCCGACTGTACCCGCCCGTCACGTCTTGGACGAACTGCACCAATATGCGGATGAGCTCCTCATCGCCGAGGGCGACGAGTATGGCAGCTCGCACCTGTCTAAAGACTCGTCGCACAAGTTCATGTCCACCGTCATGACGTCCGGTACCATGGAGGACAAGGTCTCGGCCTTGACGCTGCTGGTGCAGGAGTCGCCTTTGCATACCACCAAGGCTTTCGAGCAGCTGCTAGGCTTGTCGCGCAAGAAGAGTAGGAACGCGGCCATGATGGCTCTCGCAGCGCTCAAGGATCTTATGGGTCAGGGCGTTGTGCTGCCTCCGGACCGAAAACTGAAAGCTTTTGCGCGCCAGCCCGGCCTGATCTCAGCGCTGCAGGGCAAGTCGGCTACCTGGAAGTACGGCGAGCGGCTGCCGGGGCAGGTGCAGAAAATTCATCTCATCGCATGGGCGTACGAGGATTGGTTGAAGAAGCAGTACTTCGAAATGCTCAAGGTCATCGAAGGATGGTCCAATGATGAGGTCGAATTTTCGCGCAACCGTGCAGTCACTATGGTCTGGGAACTGTTGAAAGAGAAGCCAGAACAAGAAGAGAATTTGCTCCGGTTGCTCATCAACAAGTTGGGGGACAAGGAAAAGAAGGTTGCATCGCGAGCCTCGTATCTGCTCCTGCAGCTGCAGATCACCCACCCTGCGATGAAGAGCGTCATCATTGGTTCCATCGAGTCTGATCTGTTGTTCCGACCGAACCAAAGCGGTACTGCCAAATACTACGGAGTCATCACGATGAACCAGACTGTCTTGAGCGCTCGCGAACAGGACGTGGCGAACAAGTTGCTAGAGATCTACTTCAGTCTTTTCGTGGGTCTTCTCAAACAGCAGAAGGAGCACGACAAGAAGGAAGAGGCGGTGGAAAAGCTCAAGCTGAACAAGCACGGTCTCGTCCAGGGTGGAGGAGGCAAACCTGGAAAGGCGGCTCGCAAGAAGGCTGAGAAGGCGGCGACGCAGGCCTTCAAGGTCGATGATGAGAACCGGGAGAAGCTGATTTCCGCTATTTTAACCGGAGTGAACCGCGCTTTCGCTTTCGCCAAGACGGATGACGAGAAGTGAGTTCACCACCCTGCTATTTCCTTATTGAGACTAACAATGCTCAGGTTCGGGGAACAGATCGACACCATCTTCCAAATCACGCATTCCGCCAATTTCAACACGAGCATCCAAGCCATGAGTTTGATACAACAAATTTCTTCTACGAAGCACTTCTCTACCGATCGTTTCTACCGCACGCTTTATGAATCTCTCCTTGACCCTCGTCTTATTGACACGTCGAAACACATCATGTATCTCAATCTCCTTTATCGCGCCCTTAAGTCCGATCTTAGCATCAAGCGAGTGCAAGCCTTCATCAAGCGTCTCTTGCAGATTATCCATCTACACGAGCCACCCTTCATCTGCGGAGTTCTATACCTGATCAATGAATTGATCATTCAGTTCCCGAGCATCAGGTCTATGGTAACCGCGCCGGAGGATAACGCTGATGATAGCGGCGAAGAGCATTATGACGATGTACCGGAGGACGGCGAGACTGCGGCACCAAAAAAGCAAACTGAGACTAGAGGTCCTCATTACGACGCGAGGAAGCGAGATCCTGCGCATGCGAATGCCGACCTGTCCTGTCTCTGGGAGCTGCTTCCCCTGCAAGCTCACTACCACCCTTCCGTCCATGTGCTTGCCACAAAGCTCGTCACTCAAGACCAGATCAAGGAGAAGCCCGACCCGACTATCTACACACTCATGAACTTCCTCGACAAATTCTCTTTCAGAAATGCAAAGACCAAGGCCTCGGCTACGCATGGAACTTCCATTATGCAGCCTATGGCAGGTACTGCGAAAGCCGCTGACTACCTCATCGCTACCCGCGATGGAGATAGGACGCATGGCGCGCTCAACTCGGAACAGTTCTGGCGCAAGAAGGTCGACGATGTCCGCGAGGACGAGGTCTTCTTCCACACGTACTTCGAGAAGGCGGGCATGGCTAAGCAAGCGAACAAGAAGGAGAAGAAGAAGCAGAAGAAGAAGGGCGATGAGGACGACGACGAGTCTGGAGAGGACGAGATCTGGAAGGCGCTCGTCAACAGCCGGCCGGAGATCGAAGGTGACGAGGACGAAGATGAGGGCTTCAGCGACATCAACATGGAGGACATGATGAGCGATGACGACGAAGCGGGTGGGATCGGTATGGACGAGGGCGTTGAGCTCAACCTTGGAAGCGATGATGACGAGGATGATGGCCCTGCACCTGGTGCAGATGAATCCGATGATGGTATGGATGGTTTCGACCTCGACGATGAGGAAGCGTTCGTTGACAGCGATGACGACATCCCCGTCGACATCGATATGGACGACGACACGGACGTCGAGGAGGCTGCGCCGTCCAAGTCCACCAAGGACAAGGAGAAGGATGCGAAGAAGGCGAAGAAGAGGAAGCTCAAGCACCTCCCCACTTTTGCTTCGGCGGGCGATTACGCGAAGCTTATCGGCGGGGACGACAGCGAATGATTGTGTTCTGACTGTGCTGCATCGAGGACGGAGTCTGTCGTTTGCAGCAATCAATCCATAGATAGACGGATGGCGCTGGTGGATTATAGGCGATGCGCTTACTCTTCTTTGTAGATATCCCCTATTTTTGTAATGCTGAATGAAGGCATTAATGTATAGGTTGCGGATGCCAATGATTTCGTGTCTTGCTCCTAAGTTGGTGCTTTGTGTTGTCGTGACATTAGCGTCCCTGGGGTTGGTCTTTGGTGGGGCGCTTTCTAGGTTCGAACGTGGAACGACTGCTTGCGCAAATGATAGGACTGGCCCACTTCATGTAAGAACAGAAATGGTTCGGTAAGCAGTGCTATTGGTATAAGAATCATTGCGTAAGCATATGATGTGGGTGACGAGTGCGTACCTAGAGGCTTATGCGTTCTGTAATGCTTGGAGATGTTATATCGGCGAAGGCATAGACGAAGTATATGACCGATTCAACTGCGACATGAAGTAAATGTCGTACGTAGTAGCATCGCGGCATACTCACGCGTCACAGGTTTGCCCAGAACTCACAGACCGGCTAAGGTATAGTCATTGTGCCCTAGTCACTGGATTTTCTCTCAACGTCCAAAGGTTCTGGTGTAGACCGGTCCGTTCAGCTGTGGTGCGTAGAAGACAAACAAATACCAGGATGATTGCTTTTTCAATATGACCTGTGTTTCATGGAAATTTTGGTATCGCTTTAGCAACGATTTCTTCGTCACCTCTTGTAAGAGTGGGTAGGAGCTTTTGCAAAGCACCGTACTCGTGATGATGGGGCCCATGGTACCGGGAGAGGTAAAGTTGAGCCCCGTCTGTGGGATCTGGGTCCCAGGGCTGTGCAAAGCACGAATGGAAGGGCTGTTCTGCACTCTGTCCGGAGCACAGCAAGCTGACTAGCCGAAGACCAATTAAATGCACGTATGTCTGTGTTGCACACGACGGCTGTATATCATTGGCCAGCGCAACTGCAGTTGGTAAGCAGCAAGGCTGAGCAGTTTTGCAACATGACCACAGTAGCCTTGCTGCCTACATCATCTTCGACAACTACACCACACACTGACATCACGCGGGGAACTCTTTCTTTTCTACTCTACAATCCCCACTTCGATCATGGAACTATCTGATGGCCACGGGCGTGTGACGCCGTATCAGCTTTGCGCATTGTGTCGCCAACTCGTTGCGAGATACTCTGAAGACATCTTTTGGGATATCAATCCATACATGAAGGATCAAGACTTAGGCGTTCTCAAGCAGCCACTTGCACATCATCACAGCCTGGCCAGCCTACAGGAATCAGCTGCTGAAGGATGCCACCTTTGCACGATATATTCACATAACAGGCGACTATACCAGGACGAGACGGATGGTCGAAGACAGTTATACGTTCACTTTGCAGCATTCCAACACGTTCGTTGTGGCCGATCTCTTCTACTTGAGATGTACAACTGGTGCTCTCCAGAACGGAAGATAAGTCCCATCTCTCAGACCCTAATGCATCGCAGTCCTTGCACCGAGGAACCCAAAACATGCCGCGTCAGTGTAGATACAAATCCGATGGATTCACCAGAAGCAAGGTATAAATGGTGCACCACCACTGATTGCAATGAAAGTTACGAAATGATCAGCCATTGGTTACAGCAATGCATCGGTCACCATGAGCTCTGTCGCAGGAACTTAGACGATGTCCAGCCCACCCGATTATTGGATCTCAACGCAATTCCAAATCACCAGGACATTCGCTTGGTAGACACCGCAGATGTCGGGAAGCAACCTTATGCTACTTTGAGCTATAGGTGGGGTGAGAGTGCGGGCATCAGACGCAAATCATATGATTACGAGGAGTTCCGCACGCGGATTGTTCTAAAATCACTACCTCGAACAGTACAGGAAGCAGTGAAAGTGTGTAGGGGTTTATCGGTGCGATACCTTTGGGTTGACGCTTTATGCATTAATCAAGAGGATGGCGAAGACTTGGCACGAGAGGTAGCCCAGATGGGCTCTATCTATGCAGGATCTCTTGTCACTGTCGCTGCGGCAGAATCAAGCGACTGTGAGTCCGGTATTTTTGGAGAACGACATCCACTCCAGGAAACCTGTTGCATTGTTAGCGATAATGACCGAGACTTTGTGTTCTACGGAGAGGATCGGTGTTGGGTTGGTCGTCATCATCAGGTCATTAAGAAGACTAAATTGAATGAGAGGGGCTGGGTGTATCAAGAACGAGTGTTATCACCGCGGACAGTCCATTTCACAGCGGACGAGATCATTTGGGAATGTCGAGAACGATGTTATTGTCACAATTGTGCTCAGCCCGAAACTACAACCGCAGACCTTGAACCGTATGCCGCAAAAACGGCCTTCTCAAAGCTACACGACGACCTTTCGCTATCAAGCATACGAGATGCAAGCTTTCGGAGGGTCTGGTCCCGCATCATTGCTGAATACACTGGCACCAAGTTGAGCAGTGCAGATGATAGATTGAGCGCCTTAGCGGGAATCGCCCAATTAGCACACGACAAGTTCCAGTCCCAAGCCTCATATGGTATTTGGTTGGATAGCTTTCTGGAAGACCTCCTTTGGTCGAAGAGGACTTTCATGTATAAACTCCCGTTGCCGCACGATACTGTCTTAGATTTTGCACCAAGTTGGTCTTGGGCGAGCAAACGATATGGAATTGAAAATTTGCGTTACGCCAACAATGGGAGAGCGCTTTATTTTGCATTCATTACGAAATTCCCACCCGCTACACCATTCGCTCAACTCACCCAATTGTCAAGGAACTCACCGGAACCTACTCCAATTCGCATCTATGGTTGGTTAAGGGCCTGTCATATCATGCCAATTCAGAGAGCGTGGGTCTTAGTGCCCACGACAGCAGACCGAATGAAGGAAGTCGAGACATATATCACAGCTGCTTGGGAGGCCTTCGAGAAGAACGATGAAAACAATGTTCCTGCTCTACCAATTCATATTTATCTGGAAGAATGCAGAAAAGCCGAAGTCCCTTGCTACCATTATTTCATGCCCGATGAGGAACCAAGACAACCAAAGAATGTGTTTTGTGTTCTCTTGAAACGCGAAGTCGAGAGCCAAACAGATCCTGAACACGAGTCTCGTGCATCAGATACGCCTCACATGAGGTATTGGATCTGTGACTATGGTATCGTTTGCGAGTCAGTCGATCCTTCCAAAAAGCTTTTTCGGAGAGTCGGATATTTTTCTGAGAAAATGCATATTAGTAATTGGAGGAAATTCTCCTCCTGGCGCCAATCCAAGGGCAGGCGCTCTAAGTCCGATATCTTAAAGAACCTGGGTTACTATCGTCAAAAAGATGGCACCGTGAGGGTGCCATCTTCACTCAGCGTCGACGCACCGACTATAATCCGACTTCTCGGCCTTTCATTGGACGACATCCAAGACCAAGACTATAGTCGTAAGGAGGCGGTACCAGAGGATCTAATGTGGGTGGCTGGGGGATTTTCTTTATTCAAGGACGGGTATGACGAAGGCGAGATAGAGATAATTTAGGGTATAGAAAATAGTACCTATGGGCTTACCCATGTAGGATCGTTCACGAATGTTGAATCTTTTTTAGTACACAGGCGTGCATCGTTTCACTAAATGCTTGACTCAGCGCACTACATTGGCTAGTGACATGGTATTATCATACATGGAGTTAAATAGACTGACCATATAAGTCTACTTAGGCTACTTAAGACTACACTGTTTCTGATGAAAAAAAATTTAAACTTTATATAATCCTTATGTCAACCCAATTTTCAATCGCATTTAGAGCATTTTTCCAATCATCGAACTCCATCCTTAACGTCTGAAATAGGCCAATTCGGCGGTATGTGTTAAGTGCGACGTCTACTTCTTCTATTCGTTGTGGTGAACCGATTTCCCGTGCAGGCAAATCCACGCCAGATACCTCTTGAAGCAGAAGCCCACGACCTCCCGAGCCCCAAATGTTCTCCGCCTCGTCTTCTCGTCCCTGAACCCACTGTATGAACATGCCAACCGCTGTTTTGGGAGGGCAGTCGTTACTGTCGAGAAGGAAATGTGCTGCTAGACGGGAAGGCTGTAGTTGGAAAGGCTGATCAAGGCGTCCGTTCTCAAGATTTGCTATCATAGCATGTACAACGATATATCCGCTTCGAAGCTCGCCATATGGATCAGGACCGAGTGGTTCCATATTTGCTCTTTTGAACTGTGCAGGCCACATCATGCCGGCTGGCTCTTTCCACTCCTCGGGATAGATCTGAATCGGACCACTGGCATGAAGGTAAGACCATGATGGTATGAAACAAGACCGCATTGCGCTATCGATCGGTCGTATGGGCCGCCAAAGTAGGGCTTCGCAGAAGTGGGGTGCGCCCAACTCGGCGGACCACATCCCTGCAAGATACTCACCCACCTCTCCGTATTCATTCCCTTTTGTGTCTTGTGCAATACGCTTTGCCAGCCCCGCCAACGCAGGCAATCGATCTTTCTCCAGGGTTAGTTGGCGATCGAGATAGAGCCTGACCATGTCCTGCCAGCTTTCGTTCCCTTCTGATTGGTTTAGTCGAGAGATGATTTGGACGATACCTTCTTGAATAGGCAGGTTTTGCTTTAGTTCGTGCTCGCTTCTTGATTCCAATCTCAATAAGCCACTATACGCCCAATGAGATAGCAAGCTGCGAGACTGACACATGAAAGACATCTCGTCACGATGAAAGCGCAGGAGCCGCCGTGAAAGCAAAGCTTCCTGGAAAATCCACGCTCGCGTATCAACGGGGTCTTTCAATCCCTTGAGCCGTTCATGTCTTGAAATTTCCGGCCCGATGAAGAACTCTGTCCTTGTTTGGTCTGGTAAGACGACATGGACAGTGACACAGGAAGCCTTCCGGAGCTGCAGGAATCCTTCATCGTCTCCACAGGCTCTAGCAGCGGAGATAGTCAAATATGCATTGCTGTAAATATCCGCCATGAGCGCAGCTTCTTTTCTCCAGTCATCTGCGTCGTCTTGAATGATGCAGAGGGAGTCGATCCAGAGATAACAGACGTCGAGTTTTCTCGTAAGAGCCACTGCATCTTTGAAAGTCTGAGGCAGCGAACCAAGTTCGATACCTTTCTTACGGGCTGATATGTTCTCTCGCAACAATCGAGAGGATTGAGATCGGCCCCAGCAGTGAGAAAGCGCTATGTATGCATCTTTGACAGGTAATATGATCTCCGCCGTTTCGACCAAGCGTAAGTCTGCATCACGTAATTCCAATAGCCGACCAGGCAGCACTTCAGATATAGGCCCCTTGCATTGAATAAGACGATGATTTTTGTCGCAGTCATCGATCCATTCCTTGATTCGAGCTAAAGAGCGAGGATGAGTCGCATCAGGCCAAACAGGCCTTTTAGGCCAAAGCGTCAACGCACGCCGCTGTATCGACTCTACCGAAATGTTTCAGCAGTAGAAATCTTCTGTATATTATAGACTGACCATAATCCATGTCCAATAATATTCGAGTCTTCTCCCAAGATGCGATTTGGTCGAGATCGTCTGACACAGGGTATACCTGACAAGTATAACCGGAGGCAAGGCTCTCATGAAGGTACATATCTTGATAGAAACGCACATCGGGGTCTTCTTGTAGAATAGCGCTAGGCATCTTCTTTTCCTGTGTTACCCACAATTCTGCAAGCCGCCCAAGGGACCGGTCCAGAGCACATCTATCGCTTTGGGCGCGAATGTCTTCGAGAATCCCAATACGATCGCATCGTGACTTGGAATTCGCAGTTGCGAGGGTTGTGGAGTTATTGGTGAGGTCTTTCAAATCCGCAAGTTCCAGTCTGACAATTGGCCAGCCGCCCCTGTAGTCTTTCGACTGATTACTTTCAGGGAAAAGCGCATCACGAATGGTGACGCATGCTGTACAAATCTGTATGGACTGCTCAGGTTGACTGGGATCCGAATTGGACATCGCTGTGGTGTTAGACGACATGGTCCAGGTTTTCCGTGCGGCTAGCGACGACACAGTGGAGGCGGTGTGAATGTCTATTCCGTTTTCACCTTGGTCATGGATTGATTACCGTACCGTACCTGATTCAGGGCAAAAGAGTCGAGCGGGAGATAATGTAGAATGTCAGCGCTGATACACTCCTCTGCCTGCTTCAAGCATCGTGGCCATAGGATAAGCCTTTTTAGTCGGAATGATTTGGCATGAAAATGCAGGAAAAGCTATCCGCTGGCAATGGATATCTAGAAGCGTGCTTAATCCGCAGGCAATGTTAATATCCGGGATTCAAGCGTATGTCGTGTCGCGTGCCCAGGTGATGACGATGCAGCTCCGAGACGCGATGACGTCAATCATCTTTCATCTCGACTTCATAAAATCAACAACGTCTTCGCACATACTCACCCAACAAACTTCACAGCAAATCAACGTACAAACTATTTCAAAACCATCCTGAGCTTTTTCGGACCACTCAAATATCGCATCATGTCTTCCAACCAGCAAAATCAGCCCGGCCTTATCGGCGGACACGCGCAATATGTAAAGGGCGCTGCTGAGGTACGTTCACTATCCCCTCTACTATCCCTCGTGCCTCTTAACATACACAAATTTTCCACAATCTACATACCTTGCATCACTAACATCACACCCACAGGAGATGGTCGGCCAAGTAACAGGCCTGCCCACCTGGAAGTCGTCGGGTCAAGAAGACAAGACCGCCGCCGTCGACGCGATGAAGAAGGCCAGCGAGAACCGCGACACAAGCAAAGGACTCGGAGGTGTGGAGGAGAAGGCAGGGAACCTCGTCGGCTGTGAGGGCATGCAGAAGGAGGGCGCCGAGAGCAAGAAGCAATAGGCAATCCACGGTGCATTGTACGATAGAATTGAGTTGGATTACGAAATCACGAAACGATTGAAGCATTTGTCAGTACATTCGAAACGGGCTTTGGGGGGCTGGATTTGTGATATGCTCGGTGCGAGTAGTAATCGTGAAGGTGTCGGAGCTGGCGGATTTGCTTGCCTAATCAAGATCGACGCCACCGAGGTTGGATAAAGATCCAAAGCGGCAGATGAACGTGAAGATAGTCATCGGGAATTATACATAACTTGCTCCCATCAGTCTTCGCAATCGTGCAACTAGCATACCATAAGCAATCATCCCCCTCGGAGCCAAATGTACCGACCGCGTATGACGACATAGGATTATACCAACAGTCTCACTATCAACACGTAAACTCCCGTCACACACAAAATCAACAAGATGGACGTCCAAGCACCCCTCAGCCCATCGTCCCTCTTCTCAGCCAAAGGCTTAGTAGTGGTAATCACCGGCGGAGGCAGCGGTACGTCCCTCCCTACTACCCCGCCATGCCCCTCCTTCCCACCGCATGAGCTTCACCCCTACAACACAACAGTGCCACAGCCTCCCATTCCCATTCTAACACCAAAACGCAGGCCTCGGTCTCGCCTACGCCTCCGCCCTCTACCAAAACGGCGCCTCAAAGATCTACCTCCTCGGCCGCCGCCAAACCGTGCTCTCAGACGCCATCAAAACACTGCAAGCATCCCCGTCCGCACCCAGCAATGCGTCTTCCGTCCTCGCCGCCATAGCCTGCGACGTTACAGACCAGACGTCCGTAGAAGACGCAGTCGCTCAAGTGCAGAAGGAGGTAGGCTACGTCGACGTGCTGATTAACAACGCGGGCGTCCTGGGTCCTACCAACGGGGCAGCGCTCTACAAAGCAGAGTCAATCGATGAACTGAGAGATGCCATGCTCCAAGAGTTCTCCTCCGGCAGCTGGGACACGGCCTTCAAGATAAACACGCAAGCCGTCATCGGCGTCTCAGCTGCGTTCCTCCCGCTCCTCGAAGCAGCCAACACGCGGCGTGGCTGGGCGAGCGGGAAAGTCGAAGGAGACGGCACGCCGAGAGAGCAGGACATATCTGCGTTAGAGAAAATCGGCGCAGACGCAGACGACGACCGAATGGCGCACATCATTACCACCGCGTCCGTCGCGTCCTTCATGCGGCACTGCACCGCGGGGCTAGCGTACAACGCGTCCAAAGCGGGCGCCGCGCACCTTTCCAAGATGCTCGCTTCGTTCCTCGCGCCGTGGGGCGTGCGCAGCAATGTGATTGCGCCGGGGCCGTATCCAAGCGAGATGACGAAGACGCTGCGTGCGAAGTTTGGCACGGGGCAGGTGCCGCAGGGGAGGATGGGGGGTGTGAACGATGTAGCGGGGTTGGTGTTGTTCCTGGTGGGCAAGGGGGCGCGTACACGAATGGGACGGTGCAGGTTACGGATGGGGGGAGGATGGGTGTGTTTCCCGGGACGTATTAGGTAGGAAACGAAAGGCGATAGATAGAACTGTGGTGTTAGATCTCGGAATAGACTGCTAGTATAATTTGGACGGCGTAGTTCTAGGCGGTTACAAGGGTGTGTCTGGTGTTGAAGGAAATCGCGTACCGGGAAGAAGGCAGGACAACATGTGGACGTACGTTATACTGTTTGGCACATTGCACCGTGAAAGTGGTATCAGCGCTACGTCTAATTGCTTGCGTGACGGCCACTTGCCAGCTTCGAAGGTGTATCTAGTGTACACGCTGGATATGGCTTTAGCAATTTCGAAGAACGGGACGAGCTTGTAAATGGTTAGAACTAGCCTTTGCCATTATCTTCACTGCAATCTGGTATATGCTCGTAAGGGTACAACGATCAGTCGCACAAAAGAGTAGCAAACTGTTCCAGGAACCTTTCGCTTAGCCCCTATTAACCCCCATCTTCTTGACCCCCTCCGCAAGAAGCCTCTCCACTTCCTCCTTGTGCGTCGAAAAGTTGTCAACGAGATTGTCCCTATCACCGTTAGCCTACCTCCTCTCCCTTTCCCCTCCCCTCGCCCAAACCCAAGAAAAACAAGAAAAAAGAAAAAACAAAAAAGGAAAAAGGAGAGAAGATACATACCACATCTTCACCTCATGCTCATGCTTCTTCCCACTAGTCATCGCCCACTCCGTAATAGTAAACGGCCTGGAGCTCTCCATCATGAAGGCCACCGCGCCCTCAGATATGCGCATCTCAGGCGGTGGTGCCGCGGTCGCAGCTTTGAACTCCTCGTAGGCAACGCCGTGCGGCACGAAGCCGCATTCGAAGGACACGCCGCCGGGTTGGAATTCGTCGGAGCGGCCGGCGTATTCGCCGTAGATGAGGCCCATTAGTTCGGAGGCGGCGTTGCGGTGGTAGTAGGGGGGGCGGTACTGCTCCTCGTCAGTCACTTCTGTCGGGGAGAGAGGAGGAAAGGAAGGAAAGGAGTGCACGCACCGTATGACTTGCAACATCCCATCTCGGGCTGAAGATGAGGAAGTCCGCTAGCGGGGCCGCCGGGTCGCGGCTCGGGGCGGTAAGCACGCAGAAGATAGACGGGTCGATGTGGTCCACCGAGATGGACCCCACGTTGACGAACTTGGTGAGGTCGTACTTGTAGGGGACGTAGTTACCGTGCCAGGCGACGACGTCGAAGGGGGAGTGCTGCTGCGTGGACTTGAAGAACTTGCCGCCGAGCTTGTAGATGATTTCCCAGGGGGCTTTCTCGATTTCGTATTTGGCGACGGGGTGGAGGAAGTCGCGGGGTTGGCGAGGCCGTTTGCGCCGAGGGGCCTTTGGGGGATGTTAGAGGGGATGGGGAGGTAGGTCAGGGGAGGTACCTAGTTCTGGGAGCTGGAAGTTTGAGCCCCAGATCTCGAGGATGTAGCCTCGGGTTGGGCCCTCGACGTTGACCTTGAAGCGCTGGCCGCGTTGGATGATGCAGATTTCGCCGGGCTGCACGTAGAGCATGCCGAATTCGGTTTGGATGTCCTGGGTCCATGATCAGCAATCGCAAAAATCTGACGACAGTTCTCATCTTTCTTCGAATCCCCCTTCTAGCCATCTCTTTACGATTCGCCAGAAATAGCTAGATCAAAAGCGAAAGCGAATCACCCACCAAATTCCCTTCCTGCGCCACAATCAAATAATCCCCATCAGAATTAACCGTCGCCCTCTTCTCCATGCTCTTATTGCACAGGAAAGTATGCACAGCCAGGCCCTCCCTCAACGTCGGGTCTCCAGACCCCGCAACGGTCTTGAGCCCAGCCACAAAGTCGACGTCGCCATCAGTGGGGATGTCGAAGGGAAGCCACGCGAGCTGCGTGGGTGAAACGTGCACGCGTGGGTTAAGTGGCAAGAAACAGGATTCGGTGTCTTCGTTGTCGGGGAGGTCCGTCTGTGTGTGCGTCAGCTGTGACGTTTGCCATGGTCAGACAGAGTGGGGTGGAAAAGCGTCCGAAGTGTGCCGGATGATTATTTCGAGATTAATTTTGGGCATGGCGTAGTGAGGGTTAGGGCACGTCCGGTGGCCTGGTAAGTGGCGTAGGAGGCCTCAACGTCCGGAATAGGAAGCGTGATGATGGAGAGTAAGCTCGAAGTGGACGCCCCGCTTGCTGACCGTACACGCGCGCCTGCTTTCGCTCGTAGGGCTGACGGAAGGTAATATAAGATTTACTTACGAAGCCCTGGTGGGCGACAGCGGGCCTTGCTCTGTAGAGCCTGGAGGGGGTCAGCATCCTGTGGAGACGCTATGCCCAATCTAACACACCATGCTTTCTTATTTAGGTGTCTGGGCGCAACGAATGCTGTTGCGGTCATCTGCTCGGCGTAGAGCCCAAATCTCACGTTCCGTGGCGAATTTTGGCCTTGAGGGATTGTGCCTACACCGATGGCTGTGGTCAGAGCAGTGTCGAGAGTCATCCATATCAGAGGGTAATTACCCGGAACGGCCTCGCTCTCGAAGAGGTTGTTGAAGCCAGCTTGATACTGCGAACGCCGTGTCAGATAGCTGTAGCGATTGACTTGGGCGGTGTAAAATCACCTCATAAGGGTCATTCTTCCTTGTCCGGAAAGAAGGGACTGATCCATCTTTCTGAGTCTCTGCCCAGTGGAAGATGTTCTGGTATTCCTGGGGGTTATCCAGAGGAGGCATGGCTAGCTATGGTGATATGTGTAGGGCTCTGACAGGCCGGGTATACGAGAGTCAAGTTTAGGAGGGTATGTATCACAATGTCAACAGAGGTGTAGAAAGTAATATTGTCATTCGGAGGCAGATGGCAGTAAGAAATTGGGGCTCATGGACCCCACATCATGGAGCTCCTGCAGGTGGGGCTAATTGAGGGGCATTGAGGCTCTTGAATGTTGCGTACTTGGTACAGCGAAAGCTAGAAACTATGAGCATTCGAACGCGTTAGTTCCGCGTATCCGCCGTAGGTGGGTTCCAACCCCAACTGCCGATGATGTCCAAGACGCGTCTTCTTGAAAGAATGAGCGAATGGACGAATGCATGAGGGGTAGCTCGATGCGGCTACGTTCAAAACAGCTAGCCGGGCCCATGGCACCGACTCTCATTCGATACAGAACCGGCAGAACCGTCGGGCCGAGCCTGGGCCCGTCTCCAACACGTGGAGACGCGGCGGGGTGAATGTCTTTCTAAGAAGTGTGTCAGCGCGTCCCCTCATCGTCTCAGGTGACACAAGCCGACCGGAGACGTCGGCCGGTGTTCACGGCCCAACTCGTCCATCTCACACCGATCAGGTTCGCCCTTAGTCTGAGTGTTCACTAATGCGAACAGGAGGTAAGCAGCAGGAAAGCCACAAGAACCTTCTTTCAGCCCTGCTAGACACCATCTCACGCACTGTGTCACCATCCAGCTGCGGATTTCGCCTACGTGCGACGTCGAATTGCAACCAAGTCCAACCATGGCCGTCGCGCATGGCCGCGCATCGCGAACCTGAAAGTCAATCTTCATGCAAGTAAGATGGTGTTGCACCCGCTCGTCTAGCACCATCTCGTACTGCCCACTTCCGCAGCCCATTCCGCCGTCTCGAGCTTGCTGGCTGCGCTGGGTTTATTGCGCACTGCTATTTAAAGCGCTGCATTATATCGATCGATAGCGATAGACGCGGAAGACATTGTGCTGCTCACTGTGGTGACGTCTGGTCCCGTTTTCGAAAGTCCCCATATTGCGGCCGGAGCGCGCTTCCCGCGAATCGCACCAAATGCCATCTGCTCTAGAACGCCGACGGAGCAACAGGCATCTGGCCTGGAATGTTGCCGTCACCGCCCTTCGGCAAACTAGTCCTGGCAGTCCATCAGCACTCTCAGCAACGTCCTGGCCCATGAAGCAACTGTGGCGACAGCCGCGTGTTGCACGTTGTGGCGCGCGCGCGACCCCGCACTCGCATCCATGCCATCGCAGGTGGTCCGAGCCCTCGCGCGTCGCGGATATGCAATGCAATATGAAGATCCAGGGCCTCTAGCCCCATGCACAACACCACCTTTCTCCAACGTCGCTTAATTCGGAAAGTCACGGACCTTCACCTCACACCCTCCCGTAGACCTCAGTTGGCGCTTGGTCGAAACGGTACAGGTGTCATCGCTAGACGGGGTGTGGACTACATGTCACGCCCGGCGAGTGCAGCCCGTCGATAACGCGTACCATACCATGGCGGGGAGACTCGGAACAAAGCTTCATGGCGAGAGCGCTAGAGAATCCCTCACCCTCGAGCAGAGGCGCCTCTCGCGCAGAGCCCGAAGGTGCAAAGGCAGACGTTGGCTGATCGGTGTGCTGTGTGCTGCTTTGCTCTGAACTCCGAAAACGTGATTGGAAACAGGCAGTCATCGTCTAGCCCAGATCCGAGGCTGCACTGGTCCGAGCAGCCACGCGGCGAAGAGGGCAGAGATCTCCAAGAACTCGTACAAACAAGGTGAAAGCCAAGCTGAATCTAAGACAAGCCATATGACTCGTCCGGTTCAGCGCCTCCTCACCAACGTGATGCAGAGACCAGGTATTGCATCCCTGCCAACGACTGCCGGGAGATCCGTTGCAACTGTTGGCGCTAAGTACATGGTGACAGGCGTACTGTCGTTGTAGACCGTGTCGAGGCGCTGGGCAAGGGTGCGCAGTGGTAGTGCCTGAGTACGGTGCAGCGAACTGATGAAGGTGAGGATTGCAAGAGCTTGCCGTGGACGAGTCAATCAGAGGACGAGACGGTAAAGCGTGCTACCGCCATGTGTGTCTAACAGCGATGATTACTACGTGACCTGTCTGGGACCCCGGAAGGGTGTGTTTGCTTCGGAAGCTCGACGCGACGCACGAGCGCCGCTCTGCCCAAATACCCCGCCACCCAAACGCGACAGAAGTCGTACGAGTTTCGCCCCTCGAGCTCAGTCGTTCATCCACGCAGCGACGCGGTTTCCGCCAAAGCGCGCAGCAAAGCGCAGACCGGTGGAACCCATGGGAAAGTACGATACAGTGTAGAAGGCGAGGCACACCAGCTGCGCGATGGTTGCAATGAAGGTGAGGAGGAACATCTGGAGCTGTGGTCAGGTGGGCAGACGTCAGCAAACATCCAGACGACGATATCGATAAGCTAGCGTGGGGGAGAAGGGCAGGAGCGAGATGCGCGCAGGGTTCACCGGCAGGGGCAGGGATGGCCAGACTGCCGTGACCTACCACCAGACTAAAGTAGAGCGTAAGGGCAATGCTGCCAAAGTAAGCCGCCGTAAAGGGCAGACGGGGCCCAGACACAAGATGCTGGACTAGGCCTGGTCAGCAGCGTGAAACGAGACGGTGAGGCTCTCTTACCGTAGGTCTTCGGGCCCATCAAGACGCCCCAGGCGCAGAGGAAGAGGAGACTGCCCATCGACCACTTGAGTCAGGGAACACTGGTTAGCTTCGACGTCTCCGTGCAATGCATGCCAATGCACCTCGAGGGAAGTTGGATTTAGCTATGCCCTTCTGCAGCGCCCCGGTGCTAGCACCCGCATGATCGATGCAAAGGGTCCACTGTAGATCGCGCAGTGGCTAGAGCGGTCATGAGTGGCACACCCCCAACACACCATACGCCATTCGCCAGAGGCAGGCTTCTGCAATCGGCGAGCGGAGCCCGAACCGACACTGGAGTGCTATCACCCTTGAAGGCCGAGTGCACAATAGTTCGCAGCGCTGCCGGGGTAAGACGCACTATGTGCCAGTGCTACACCACATATGATTTCACCACGCTCGGGTGGCCATTCGTTGATCGATTGGGAAGCAAGCAAACCGGTTTAGACTTACAAGTATGGCGAATTTGCTTGGCCGAGCGATAAAGATGGGCGTAAACATGAGTCCGATGCAGGTAGCAAACAACGCCAAGGACGCAAGCAACAGTCCGCCTAGTGCAATCAGTCAATGTAGAGATGCACCCCATGTAGCTGGGTACCCACCAAAGATCAGCATGCGGTCCCATCGACTCACTGTGGGACACAGTTAGCAGAATTCAAAGACAACGGCCGCGGATATGCAAGCCGGCTGCACCCAGGAGGGTTCACGCAGGAACTCCCTTCTGTCACGCCGGCCGATCGCTGCACGATCAGGCCAGGTGACGTACTGAGGGTCCGGGAAATTGACTGATGAATGAAACAAAAGAGGGATGCACTGCCTCCATGTTTCCCTCAAGCTTCGCTATGGGATTTTGGGAAAGGCATTTGAGACTAGAGCCTCACGCAGAGTGCCGTGGGCCCATCACGAGGCCACCTAGCAAGGCCCAAAAGCGCCAAAATACAAGGATATCGACATCTGAACATTTGCATGCCCAAAGGGTAATGTGTGAATATAGGAAGATTTTCGGCGCAGGCGGCGAAATTGTGAGGGTTGGGGAATGTTTTCGCCACTTTACAGATACAGAAAAAGAGTGGACTCACGGGCAAAGAAGCCTTCTTCTTCCTCTCTCCTCGTTGGTGCGGGAAGAGGTGCCCCGGGCCCGTCGTTCGATGTCGGCAGCCTGACATAGCCCCCCGACCCGAATGGATTCATGTTTTGAAGCCGGCCCATGAAGGTGGGAGGCGCGGTGCTCACGGGAACGTCGGGATCTCTTCTGCTCCATCCCAGGGAGTTCATCGAGTCGCGGAACGAGGCAGACGCCATACTGTGTGGTGAAGCAGTCCTCAGTCGGGTCGAGGCCAAGTTGTGGAGGGCGGGCGTGGGAAGAAGCCTGTTTTACACTGGGACACAGGCGGTGGTGGAGAGGCTGCAGTCCCAGCGAAGCTTTTCGAGGAGCCGCAGCAGGCGACGCACGATATCCGGGTTCTGAGACGCACTAGGCAGGCAGCCAGCCGGCGAGGGCTTTCCTTGTTCAGCGGCCTGAGTCGTTGGCCTGGGGGCGAATGGCTGCTCGTGTGGCTTGACTCGCCGTGGAGAGCACGACAATGGCAGCGCCGTTGTGGAGCGGCAGAAGGACAGAGAGCTACACCTGCACCGCGGGAGGAGGATTATGTGCAGATGATCTTCGCAGCGTCGTCTGCAGCTGTGCGGATAGGCCGTCCAATGGCAGCTGTCAGACAATGGTCTCAGACAGAGCAACCGGTGCGCGAGGCTTGTGACGAAGGTGCAGTGTGCAGACTGGCGAAGGCAGCGGTAGAGCTGGGGTGGAGGAAGCGGAGCCCGTGGCGGAGGCTATTGGACGGGAGCGTGCGGCGGGAGGGAGACCAGGGCTAGGGTGGAAGGGTCGCAGTCGCTCTGGCAGGGCAGCTGTGCGGATGGAGGGTCGCAGCGCAAGCCTGTGGGGGGTGTGTGTATGCGAATGGTGCTCAGCGCTGAGGCGTGATGCTGGGCGGAGGAGCTCGCGCTAGCGGCGCCCGGAAGCCTGGGAGCGATATCAACTTGTCACCGAAGCCGCAACCACCTTGACGAGCCAAGGCAAACTACTGAGGATGCTCAGCGCGCATGGCCTCGCGAACGGTGTCGGCCGGATCGAGCTGGCCCGTTGCTTGCAAAGCGTGGGCGTCACCATGCCTTCTGGAAGTGAGACAACCTTCCACTTTGTCGTCCACCACCATGCCCACTACTGCCCGCGGATGACCTGGTGAGGCCGCCGGGAACAAGCCCGCAGGCAGGCATGGGAAGGGAGGGGTCCACCGTAATCGATGGGCGCGATGAGCCACACTTGGGTGCGAGGGCGTGTATCTAGTGAGATTGTTGCATGCTCACTGCTGAGGGCGAGAGAGCCGCGCTGCGCTGCGCTGCGGGTATAATAGTCTGCCGTCCCGCTTCGCTCCGGCCAACCATGCCGCTCTTCCTCTGCATATACGCATCTACATATACTCGTACACATACACATGCTGCTTGACGCTGACCTGCCACTCGACTGTCTGCTCCACACGGCGTACCAAGGTACTGTATCCAACACGCATTACACACGCTCGCGCTGCACCCTGAAGACGTCATCCGCCCCCCCGGTGCCGTACCGCGATACACCAGCCAGATTGCCCGCCGCCTCCAGGACGCACCGCAGTCTGCGTTTCGAGTTTCTTTTGCCGAACCCCGCGACGAGCAGCGCTGAAGACGTTGCGCTGATTGAGTCGTGGGCCTAAACGCCGACCACGCTTGGCACCACCCACAGCACACCCTAGTCGCCGCTCCAAAGCCGGCTGGCCTGCACTTCAGACCGCCTTCTGTGCCCTCTCGCTCCCCCAGACCGGGCCACGACCTCCCCTCTCACCGGCCTCGAAACACTCGTCTCTCGTCTCTCAGCAGCCGCGAGCCTCGCGCCTGCAAACGCCGTGTGCCATTGTCCAGGCGCGCATTGTTCCGCCCGCCGTTAGCGCGCCTCTGCGAGAGCGGATACCGACGACACTCCCCCACCTCCAGGTCGCCCTCCGCTACCCACATCCAGTATTCCACCCCCCGGAAACAGGTAGCACAGAGCCCGCCTACAACACCCCCCTCTTCCTGCAATTGCGCCTTCAGACGAGCGCCCTCCTTCCTCCGCCGACGACGTCCGCCCTGCCCCAACTTTGTCCTCCGGGCCCACCACCCTTCAAAGAGACAAACCTGTGCCACCCAAGCTCCCCACGACCGCGAGTTTGCTCTTCTCTGTGCGCGGTACCCTCCCGCGCGAACGCCTGCCCCATCCATCGAGGCCAAAGCCGCCGTCGACTCGAGCGCCTGATTGCCACTGCCTCGTCCGCCAGGTGAGTCAACGCCCGCAAGCTCCTTCCTCCCCTCCACCGGCCTGCACAGCGCGGCTGGCGAGCACATAGTATCCCAGACGGCAGAATTGGCGCCGTGCGACCGACCTGCAGACTGTTTCTCTGCTTTCGGCTGCCCGTACCACAGTCCCCACTACGCCCAGAGTGCCGACGGCTGTCGTCCACCGACGCTCGCCTCTGCCTGTGCGCCACACCTCTGCAACCCCAGACAACGCCCTCAGACTCGGTTCCTGTGAGAGTTTGCCGCTAACACTTCACTCCAGATCGGCCCGAGACTACAGCCACGAGCGTCTACGTGCCCCGATCCGCTCCCCCCGCGCATACACGCCTCTGCGCCGCCCACCACACCGCAGGGAGCAGCCAGGAAACAACCTCCTCCACCTTGTGCGAGCATCACAACCTAGCTCGCCGTGTCCGGTGAGCCATCTCTCCCCCGGCAGCGACCTGCAGCTGCTTCTGCGTCCCCAAGTGCGCGGCTAACGCTTCTTATGCAGAACAAACATCCTCTTGTCTCGAGTGTCTATTTAGCACGCAAGCGAGTGCCCCGAGCTTTGCCTCTCTGATCGTGTGGTCGATCTAGCAATCGCTCCCCCAGGCTTTATAGGGTCACAAGCAGTCTCGTGCTGCCCGTTCCCTGCAAAACCTTGACTGCATTCCGCAGTCATTCGCTTGACCCAAGTAAGAGCGTTTCAGGTCATTGAGACCCGGGACCATTACCGGTACTCGGCCTCTAACATCGCATTCCGCACCCACTGTAACCTTCAGTAATGCCACAGCCCAGTAAGTACGCCCCCGTCACATCCCCACCCCTTGGTTGTCATGAGAACACCCTGGGGTGCACCCCTGTCGCCCTGCCTCTCTCACCTATCTCCATATATTACTTTCCTCTTTCTATCTCCATTCCGTTTCCAGTCAATCACCCTCTGCTGTTGCCATCATGCTCTATGAAAGCATACTGACTGTCCCTCAAGCGGACGCCCTTTTCACTCCTCCTTCTTCCTACTCTCCTCAGAAGACGCTCTCGAGGCTGGACTTTCGCCCGGACCCATTCTCTGACGACACACTAGACGCCGACATCTTTAACATGGCCGGTAGTGGGTCACCAACACCCTACATCAAAGAGGAGCACGACGACTTCACTCACAACAACTTCATCTCTCAAAGCGGTTACAGTATGAACTCCTTTGGGAACCAGCAGTTCAGTGCCCCCCACGACAGTGGGAACGGTATCAACCCTTCCGATCTCACCATGAGCGGAAGCATGAACATGAACAACCACTTCGGTGGCTCTAACGGCTACATCGCCGGAGGTGCGGGCATTGCAGATGACGAGCTCGCAGATTCGCTCGGCAACTTTGAGCAGCACCAAGGGTTCGATACCTTTGGTCAGAACGACCGTTCTCACCAGAATGAGTTCTTCCAAGCGAACAGCGGCCATGTCATCGGAAGCCATCAGAACATCAATCATCAGATTTACTCCCATACTCCTGACGATGCTCCCATTCAGAGCCCCTTTGTCAACCCCAACGGGTTTGACTTCAACCAATATCAAAACCGGCACCCTATGGGTTTCTCCACCAGCATGCAGGGTAGCCAGGCACGTCCACGCATCTCCATGAGCCGCCTTCCGTCCGACAACAGGAGTCCCATGTCACCCAAGACGCCGGCTATTAGCAATCTTCACTTGGGCACACCAGACTCTGGCAACTTCGGCGCTCAGCCGATCATGGCTTCACGCATGCACGGTCACAAGCCTAGTGTGTCAAGCCAGTGGGATGGCACTCCAGGAAGCGGCCATTCTAACAGTTGGGTGGACTCGCCCAGCTCTCCTCACGCGGGTACCCTGCAGCATCACCAGATCTCAGAGGTTATGCACTCTACCAAGCATGCCTCTTTGCCCGCCAAGGTCGACATTGGTCAGACGCAAGATGCCAAGAAGCGTCGCCGTCGTGAATCTCACAACCTTGTTGAGCGCCGTCGTCGTGACAACATCAACGAGCGTATCCACGACCTCTCCCGGCTCGTACCGCAACACCGCCTAGAGGATGAGAAGATTCGCAAGCACATCAACAATAACGGCCCACTCTCACCTACGTTGGGCGCCAGTGGCATGTCACCGCCACAAGCAACCTCGTTGCTGGCTGGTGGTGCTGGAAGGCGAGCTGCTGGCAATATCACGCAAGGTCTACCCCTTGAAGAGAAGGACAAGGGTCCCAACAAAGGTGACATCCTCAACGGTGCCGTTAGCTGGACCCGCGATCTCATGTGGCTGCTATACAAGATGACGCAGGAGCGCGATGAAATGCAAGCTCGTCTGCAACAGCTCTCGCCCGGAGAGAACTGGGAGCCGGACCAGAGCGAAGAAGTACGTCGCATGCGCACGGAGCTAATGGAGGCTGTCGAAAAGAACGGCTTCTCCACTTTCAAGTACTCCCGTGGCCCGGGTTCCGGACTGCGTGTCCCGAAGCACACGAACCTCGCCGGCGAGCCAATCAGCCACACGCCGCAGAGCCTTAGCCCCGACGGCAGCGGTTCGAACATCAATGCGACCAACACTTCACATCAATACTGGACCAACCAGAGTTTGAAAGAAGAAGATGAAAGCTTCATGGAACTCAACTAAGTCCGAGGAGTTGGCACTCGTCCTGTCCGTCATCTTTCTACATCGTTGTCCGCTTTTCTATTGATGATACCCCCGCGATACCCCTAGCACATTGCAGCATTCGACATGTGCACTTTTCCGGTATGGCTCCAAATTGCCATCTACGGCCTTGACGTGGCTTCCACAACACCGACACTTCCCCATGCTTTTCGAAGCAACCGCGCCGTCTTCTGTGCTGGCCACTGGACAAATGCATCCGTTGCTTCCAACAGCATTGGCTCATCCAATTTTCACATCTATGATCCTCGGTTTCCTGTTCTCTCTGGCGTATTTGGTGTACTGTGCATATCCGTACGACTCCCATGCCTGGCTAGGCTCGGAGCCCCGCTACTTCATGTTACCTGCGTTCATGATCTTGTTGTCTATACCGAGCCTGCACAGCACTCCGCTATAGACACAGACACATTGTCTGCCCATTCATTTCGTTTCTGTTCCTGCGTTCACGGTGGTTTGTATCCCTTCTCCGCGCTGCATGGGTGGGGTTGATCTGGGCATATTTATGGTTTTGTATCTGCACATTTTCTTCACGTTTACGGATCAATCTACACTTTTCTTTTCCATATACACTGGTATGGCGGATGGGCATGGTGGGATGGGTGGGATGGAAACTCGACGCATTACATCGCGGATGATGTCTTGCCTGGAATATGGGTCTTTTCTTTGCTTTGTTTATGCTTTTTTTTGTTACTGGCTGTTTTCATTTATTAAGTATTCCCCTAATACATCTCTATTAGCTATTTCCCAAGATGCTTTGCGCTTTGACAGTGGTGATGGATGCCTGAGGTGGATGCGGGATGAGGATGCGGATGCCTGACCGGCGGGCCTCGTCTTGTCTTGTCTTGTCTTGTCTTGTCCTGTCATCCAGCCGCTTTCCCTTCGTCCCGCTTCCGCCTGCTTCCGCGGCCAATACAGCCAATACTGTGGTAGAAGCCAAACCTGCCTGCACAGCCTCCACTTTAGGCGTGGATGCGTACGCAGTCGTACGTCGTCTTTCCGTGAGGGTGGACGCACGGTCCGTAGGCAGGACTGCACACACTGGACTGCGCAGAGCAGACATCAGGGCAACATCGCCACCACAGCCTTGTCGTCGTCCGCGTACGGTACGAGGCATGTTATCCCCGCAGACGAACGCCTCGTGCTACACCTTTGCTTTGCGGTGGGTGACTCACGCGTTGGGGCGTTGTCTTGCTTGAGTCATTTCATTTTAGGGTTGATGCCTAGTAGGACGGTGTCTTTATTGAGGCTCCGACCGAATAAGGCAGCGGTTTCTATAGAGTTTGTTTTACGGTGGGTGCTTTGTCTCAGTGTTCGTGCATGTGTCTTTGATGGTGAAGGTGGCCACTGCCTTGTTCGGAGGACAAAGTGTGGATGTTTGGTCCTAAACTCCATGACTTCATCGTCTGTGGCGCAGATTCGGGTTCTGTTCCAACATGAGGCACGATGCTAAAGTGGGGGGTGTGCGTTGCGCGTCGAGTGACTAATTCACACGGTGAGACAGGAGAACGCCTTGAGCAGGAGAGGAGCTGCGAATGGCTTTACTGTAGTTCTCATGCACTGCTTGCTTCCGATGCCTGCGCGTGCACTTCACCGCGATATGCAAGAAGCACACGCGATGCTGAAGTGTAAACTTTCCGTGCCGTTTCCCGCCATCTTCCCCGCAACAAATACGTCGTGCCCATCTATCTCCCTTCGCTTACAGCATAGCATAGCATAGCATAGCAGCAACGCTCCCGTCGCACGCCGTCCCCTCCTTTCCCTTCCCTTCTGCCCTCATCTTTCGCCACGGCGGTTAGCTGCATCACCGCTGCACCCTTCCCCCAAACCGTCATGACAGCCAGCAGTTCAGATGGCGCGCCTCCTCACAGAAACAGACCTGACAGCTGCGGTGCCCGGACTCACACTCTGTGTTCGGCGTCCGGCGCGTGGGAAAGGCGGGCGGCCGCCATGCCAGTATGTGCCTCGACGGAAGAGGTCATCTGCAGCGCATTCCCCAGACTTTCCGGCAAGCGCCGGCGATCGGGTGGATGAGCTGCGCATGGGACCTCCACAGCTACTACATCCGTCTGATACATATTGGGAGGAGAGGTTTACCAGATGTGCGGATTAGGTCGTATACCGCGGAGGCAAAGGCTGGTGTCTGGGGACTAGCGCCGAAGTGCGTAGTGTCTGCAGTTACAGAGAGGGCTGGGGCGTTATTCGATATGGCAGTGTGAACCGGAGGCCTTGGTATGAAACGCAAGACGCCCAGTCACACACGCTTAAACGAAGCAGCCTCCATCTCGCCCAGCACGTACCCACTTGAGCAGACAGACAAACGGCCGCCCAATAGAGCGGCACAAGATCTGGCCACGACCGCGCAACAGGCGTTGCAGGCGTTGTACTCTCTCAACCGCCTCTCCTAAGCACGACCTCTCACTGGCAGGGAACTGACATCTGCGGGCCATCTGCAGCGTAACCCAGCCCGTCGTTTGAGCTAAACCCCCAGGCAAATCTTAACACAACGCAATATGTTAACATGTACTATTATACGCGAGTATGCAGCTTCGATAGCGGAATGCAGCACTCTACGCTACTCACCACGGCTTGCCAGTCTAGGCCACTCCCCTCCGCCGTCATCGGTCTGCATCCCGCATCGCGCCCACCCACCATCGCAACTAAAGTCTCAAATCGAATCACCTGCCCCACTGCACGACGAGGAAATCCACTGCTGCGGCACGAAAACATCCCTCTGCCACCGACGTCACCCCACACCGCATCGTGAGAACTCTATCTTGCCGCGCGCACCGCGTAGAGGGCGGGCGCGCAAACAGAGGGTTGAGCTGCCGGGGGCAGCGTACGGCGGTGGTCAGTGAGCTCGGCTGCGCGCAGGCTAGTGCAGGCATCCCGTCCGCAGTGCGACGTTGCACCCCGCGTCCGGCGATCGGTGGTTTTGCCGATCGATCCCGCTTCTGGCGGGTGTGGATGATATATGTCTTAGATGGTGCGGATGGCGACTTGCGGCAGGATTAAGGTGCGGAGGCGGGTGTAGGAGAGCTGTTCACAGGGTGGATACTTGTGCGGATGTCAATAGTGAGGTCGAATAAAGGTTTATTGGTACCTCGTATGTCGTAGCCTCGGTGGCTGAACGTTGGAACATGTTGCATGTGGTGCTTGCTGCTGTGGCGAAGCAGTACATCAGCGGCTATCCCGCGAATGTTCCGAGGCACCTCTTTCCACTCCTTTCGCATTGTCATTCCCGGAACCCTGTGTCATTGAACTCGATCCTGTGTTCAGCCCTTAGATTGTCTGAGAGTAAGACAAGGAGATACTGCAAGGCGCGATGTGATGTAACCTGTCAAATCTGTCGTCTATCCACGGAGCGTTGCCGCGAGACCTCAACAGGGCAGCAACCGTAAGTGGTTCAGATCAAGAGCAGGGATGCACTCGGCTATTCGGATACTGCCGAGCCGCACAGCGGGAGCCGCAGGACCCTCCATTCCTCTGCAAATAGGGCATTATCTAGGAGGCGCGAGGCTTATCGTTGGTCTGTGATTTTGGTTGCGCTTGTGATGGGGTTGCAGTCGCAGCATTGAGCGCTTGCGATGGCGCATCAGCGTCGTCGCCGAAACCAAGGTTCTTGAATGAGTCAGGGGCCATGAGATTCCTGTCGTAGCGGATAAGGTCAGCAGAGTTCATCGAAGCAAAGCTATTTTAGGAAGTTGTAGCCCGCTCGGATACTGCCGAGGCAGTGTGACAGAAGGAAGTGGGGATAAAGGCGTTGTTGTGGGCACTGAGAAGTGTGGAGAAGGGTGGACCAGTGAACGATATCGGCCAGACTCGGGTCGAATGAGGCATGCGGGCTCCCCATCTGACAGCTCCGACAGCTGTAGTTGGTGGAGACGTTTTAGATCCTGGCTGAAACAGTGGAATGGAGACTATGGCGGTTCTCCCTTGCTAAGAAGCAAGTTCCCCATCCGTAGTCTATTCCAGGAGACCCAAGAGCCCGGTCAGGTCTCTTTGACAGATCGGTAGCACAAGATCCACTGCTCTCCCTTGCTTCCGACTCAGAAGGGCTGTGGCTTGCGCCATTGGCCGAGGTAGTTGCGATGCGGCGTGCAAGGCTGGAGAATCGGGATGATTCGATAAAAGGGATCATTGGTACGTACCGATCCATGCGGCAGGAGAGGTATTGTCTCGACAGTTCGCGGCATTGGGGGTCGTTGGTCCCACGGTGGGATTTGATGCAGCTCAGATACCTCGCCATGATATGCTTACACTCCCCTGGAATGTTCGGTCAGCGGATGCGGTGAATCGGATGTAGCGGTTCGGGGTAGTGGTAGGATCGGATGCTGCAGCGTGGGACATGGGGTACGGACCGTCGTGATCGAGTGGGAACGAGCCGCGCTCAGGCCTGCCAATGGCATCTATTAGCGACTTCCTCCTAGGGTATGCGTTGCCAGTATCCCGGGATTTCAGCTTGGGTTAGGGAAGATGGAAGTGGCAGCTAGGTTGCAACGTACGGTGTCGGTCTGCCAGCCTTCACCTGTCCGCCGGGCCCACCAAAGGTACTCATGACGTCTAGAAGGAGTCCGAAACTGCCTTTGAAAAGGAAAAAGTGTGGAAGGTCGTATGTTGTGGCGTCAATGGCTACAATTGTAGGTTTGGTGTTTTCGTGGTGGAGTGAGCTCGAAATAAAGATGGCGCGGATCTTAGGGCCCGTGCGGCTGCAGGCACGCCGTTCACCATCCCTGCCGCTTCGGGATGACGCGCATCAATACGTGGCTCCACTGAACACCTCCACAGGATCTTATGTTTTGTTTCATACTCTGGAAGATTGGTGCGTTTCGATTGGTGCTTGCGCTTGGTGTACCTCACGTGTCAGTAGCTAGACAGGCTCCGCATCCATGGGTAGCAAGCTGTCCGATCTCCATGATAGAGCCTTAGCAATGGACTATAAGCACAATCGCCCGGCGTGATTCGCTCGAGATGTCAGGACGTCTCCCTGGTCTGATTTTTACCACCATGCCTGTATGCGACAACTGCAGTCATAGTGCTACATTTTAGCAAGCTTGCTATTCTTACCCCGGGATGCTCTTCGCCATAGGGTGATGTTGCAAGAGAGGCATGTATGGTAAGCGTTACCTTCGCAATTGCTTCTATGTCTATGTCTGGTCCACGCTAGCCAGTCAACACTTCGCGCGCTCAACGCATCCAAGGTGCCTCAACAACTCGTCCTACTAATATAGCAGCATCATACCAGTCACTTTACACCGCACCAAGCCTCTCGAGATCTCCTAAATCACTCCATTCCGATAACTCCAGTTCATATCAAGATGCAGCTCTCCCTCCTTATCTCAGGCCTTGCCTTCACCACCCCGCTGACCGCCGCTGCCTCCAACCCCGGCCCCAACAAAATCGACGTTGAGGCCCTCAAATCCGACCCCGCCCTCAAACTCGTCTTCACCGACATCGCTGCCGCCGTTAACAAGCCTGTCTCCGAAGTCCAACAGCACACGATCGAAACCCTTTCGTCGCCGGAAATGGCCACTCTTCTCACTCAGCTCAGAGATAACCCCAACCAAAAGCCCAACGCGGACGTGGACGCGGAGAAGATGTTCACTGCGGCATTCAATGCTGCATTGGGCACGGGGTTGAAGAAGCGTGCAGAGGGTGAAAGTAGAAAAGCGAAGGCGAAGAGGGGTGCCGCGGAAGATTGCGTACAGAAATGTGTGGACATTAGAACGCAGAGCTGTGAGATGCTGGATGGGATGAACGTGGGTGAGAAGAGCTGCGGGAAGTGGAGGATCCAGCAGGAATGCAAGTACAACTGCGAGGCGTGACGGATGCGGTGTGTTCGGATGAGCTTGGGATTTCGTGATAGCTGCGACGATCGTAGTTTAAATTAACCTGTATCGGTCACCTTCACTCACTCAGTGAAAGGTTGAGTGCCTCCGCCTTCACCATCCTTCACTTTGTCCCCACCATGCCTGACACCTATTTCTATCCCTATATAGAGGTTTCAATTCAAGATATTTTCGTTCTTCAAGGACAGTAGGAAGCTGGCACCGTCCTAGGCGGGCTAGTTATACGACTTGAGAGGAATTAAAGGAGAGTTGAAAGAGTCCCGAGTTCGAACCTGTTAGTGGTGAGATTAAAGCAAAAAAAGCTTGGTCGAAGCAGGTCAATACTGGGACGAGTCAGCTCTTCTTTTTGCACTTTTCCCTTACAGGGAGTAAAAGTGATCAGTCTTTTGTGTTGATGGTCTCTCGCTTCTGGTGTGCTGGTTGCTCATGCAGTCACATGTGGAAGGCGCGATAAGTACCGCAAACACTTCCGCGAAGTTGGGAAGTGCCACAGCCGGAATCAGAAGTTAGACATGTTCTGAGTTCGTGTTTTTTCACAATGCTTACCTTTTCATCGCTGTTGAGATATTGTACATGATCGGCCCCGGTTGAGCTTCAACGTGCCTTCCTCTCCTGTCGCGCCTGCTCTTCCCACGAACGCTTCCTACCACTTTCGACGATGACCGTCTCTTCCATGCACACTTTCCTTCCCTGTACCACTCAAGTCAGGCCATGACGATGGCACTCATCAATAAACCATCTGCCCCATTCGGCTCTTGTCGTCCTCCACGAGCCACCATCTTGTCTCATCATAAGTCAATATCATTAGCGCACCAGCGCCGTATATCAAGATGCGCTCCTTAGCTTTCATCTTTACCTTTCTGCCAGCGCTCGGGCTCGCAGTACTGCCGAAGGACGTCACGTATCCGCGCCGCGTCTTTTCCAAGGGTCACATCACGTCTCGCTCCGGCTCTGCAACACCCAAGCCGACGGGCTCGTTCGATTCACCCCAGGGTGGTGTGTTTACAGGACAGGTCTCAATCTGCACGCAGCCAATTGTCACCGTCACGACTACTGTGACTGATGTCTGCCTTGACCTTGCTCATGGTAAGCCTACGCTTGGCGGTTTGGCTCATGGCGACAACAAGCACGATGCTGCGGAGCCTGCTAAGTCCGCTACTGTTACATGGTCGGACTCGGATAACACAAGCACTGGTGTTGCGCCCTGGCCACTCATCACAAAGACCAGTACTAGGACCGACAAGGGGTCCACCACGACCAAATATCGGGTTGTTACTTACACCGACTGGGCGGACACTTACAGCGTGTCCACGGCGACTATCAAGCTGAACACGACTTCCGTCTCTGGCATCTTCATCAACCCTGCCTTCATCAAGACTTACGGCGCAGTTAAAACGAGAACCTCCACTCTTATTGACTTCCAAACCAAAACGAAGGTCCCTGCTCATACCAACGTTCCTGAGCCGTCTGATACAGCTGATGAGTCCTCGGATGACGATATCCATGCCAGCGAGACCCGGCTTCCCGAACACCCAAGTATCCCGGTGCCTATCAGCGTCATGAACGGACACGAAGACGACCATTCGGGCGGCGAGGCAGGTCGCAAGAAGCCGAACTACTATGGTGACAATGACGATGACGAGGAATTCGGCGGGCATCTCGACGATGGCGCCAGAATATTTGCTTTTCTCGAGGCCCACGGCGGTAAATGGGAAGTGTTGACAACCGCGATTTCCAAAGAACGTGAAACTTCAGTCAAAGCCTCGACAAGCCAAGGTCCGACCAGGCCTCGCGCAACTAAGCCCCACGTGTCGTCGTCGACACATCACAGCACGGAGGCTCACCTCAGCAAGAACTTCATTGCATCCAGTTTGCTCTCCTCGACCGCTAGTATTATCCTCAGCGATCCGGTTCTTGTTGACCCAATGATCCCGACCAACATCCCATCTGGGCCAGCGTCGACCTTGGGTCATGGCTCAAAGTCCTCCAGTGCTGCGAAAACTGCGAAGACTAAATCTCACAAATCCAAGACCATCACTACGCCGTCGGTGCCCAGTAGCAAGACTAAAACTTCATCCAAACAGCATATATCCACCACACCTACAACATCGATCCCTACTAGCAAGACCACAACTTCATCCAAGCAGCCTACATCCACTACATCCGAGACCACCACTACGCCTGAGACCACCACCACGCCTCAGACCACTAGTACACCTGAGATGCCCACGACAACGTCTGTTCCCACTACTACGCCTGAGACGACTACTACATTCGAGATCCCCACCACTTCGCCTGAGACCACAACTATACCTGAGCCCACAACTATACCTGAGCCCACAACTATACCTGAGCCCACAACTATACCTGAGCCCACAACTATACCTGAGCCCACCACTACACTTGAGACTAGTACTATTCCTGAGACCAGAACTATTCCTGAGACCACTACAACAACTGAGATCACCACTAAAACGCCTATCCCCACTACCACTATACCTGAGACCACCACTACAACGTCTATCCGCACTATAACGTCTTTCCCCACCACAACGTCTATTCCCACTACAACGCCAATCTCCACTACAACGCCAATCTCCACTACAACGCCAATCTCCACTACAACGCCAATCTCCACTACAACGCCAATCTCCACTATAACGTCTATTCCCACTACTACGTTGGTCTCTACTAGCAAGACCAAGTCGCCATCCAAGCAGCCTGCGTCCACCAAGCCTAAGACCAAGACGTCACCCAAGCAGCCTGTGTCTACCAAGCCTAAGACCAAGACGTCATTCAAGCAGCCTGTGTCTACCAAGCCCAAGATCCAGACGTCATCCAAGCAGCCTGCATATACCAAGGCCAAGACCACCACTGCACCGTCGACCCACGCTACCAAGAACAAGACTTCATCCAAGCGGCCTCCATCTGCAACAAGCTATCGACATTCCGAGCCTCTTGTTGCGGATATTCCTTTGCCGACCCCGCCATACAGTGGGACCTATGTCGCTCACTTCCCGCTCTCCAGCCTCACACTTTCTTACAAGCCGGTGCATCATGGACACATCTCAGCAGCATCTCACTCGAGCCAGGCCTCGAAAGCTACCGAGACAGATACCCTGCTCCCTTCTCCTAGCGCGACTGTGACAGAGCATGCTCCGCTGGGCAGCACATCTGGATCCGGAGAAAAATCCAGTAAGGTGACTGGGGGACAGCCGAAGCCGACACCTACGAAATTACGTCCGGGTTCCGAAGATGGTGCGTGAACATACTGTATGTTATTTGATTTCACCTGGCTAACAAAAGAAACAGAGAAAGAATTCTGCAACAACCGCTGTCACGGTACGGGAGAGTATCGGGAAAAGTGCTACAGTATGTGCAGGTACTATATTGACCGTGAGGAACCCCCAAGGGACCTTAGCAAGGCAATGTAATGGTATGACGAGGAGATTGCCTTTGGCGACGAAGGGAATGACGAGGATTCTTGGCCGAAGGTGTGAGGTGTACAGCAGGACCTTGATCGGGAAGACGCTTCATTGATGGAAGTGGGAGAGCCATACGAGCGTGACCGAGGGTCAGCCATGGCGGTGTTGTGGGGGACGAAGGTCGCTGTTGATGGTCTCCAACTATGCTGGTAAAGGACTTGGCGTTTTTATGTATTTGCGCATTGATAGCGGTTCGTCTTTCGTATGGTCATGTTGTCGGGTCAATCATAATGCAATACTGTGACGTGAAGGTGCTCACCGTGTGAGTTTCCTGTAATACCAAAGACATCTCTTCCGATTGTACAATTGAGATTTTACAAAGCAAAGGGGTATCATGCCCATCTATTTGTACAACACCCAAAAACGCCGTGCACATGCCGCTATTCACAGTACCTTCCCGCACAGTGTCCATCTCCTAGCCCATCCCACCCACAATCTTCAACCCCTGCGCATCCGCCGAGTACGCCAGCACATACCGGCTAGGATGCCACGCAACCTGCAACGCAGGCGCCATCAAATCCAAGCTAACCACCGTCTCCCCACTCTCCACATGCGCAATGTTAAGCTTCTTCTCCTCCCTGTCCTCCGCCCCCGCCGCAATGTAACTCCCATCGAAGCTAAAATCGATGCTCTTAACCGCACTACTCGTCAAGTCGAGCGTCCTTACGCAAATCCACTCCTGCGTGTCCCACAGGCTGACGAGCGCGTCGCCCCCGCCGGCTGCGACGTACTCCCCGCTCGGCGAGTACGCGACGGCGTAGCAGCTCGCTGTGTGTGCGTTGAGCGAGAGCGCAGTGCTGAAGTCGGGGTACCGCAGGATCTTGATATATCCGTCTCCATTCGTGGCGTACAAGTGCTCGCCCGTCCAGTCGAAGACGCACTGGTTCGTTTGCAGCGGTTCGCGGTGTTCGTAGGACACGCGCATGCCTGCGCGGTCGATGACGCACAACTTGTTATCTTTGCGGCCTGCGACGAGGCTTTGCCCGTCGGGGGTCCACGCGAGGGTGAAGGGGGACTCGTCTTTTTCGTCTTTGGCGCGGGTGTAGGGGGGTGCGACGCGCAGGTCGGCGGTGAGGGAGCGGGAGCGGATGTCCCAGAGGCGGACCATGCCGTCTGTGCTGCAGGAGGCGAGCTCGTTTTCGTTGATGGGGTGGAAGGCTACGCGTTCGAGGACGATCTGGGGGGAAGAGGGTTTGTGGCCTGCAGGGAGAGGTGTCCGGAGCTCGGTGGAGTTCTTGACGTTGGGGCGTTCGGGGTTCCAGATGCGCAGTGTTCGGTCTGCGGAGCCGGTTGCTATGAAGCCGCCTGTTGAGTTCCATGAGAGTGTGCGGATGTAGTGTGAGGACGATGCGCCCGGGCGCATGTTGTCTGTGTAGGTCGACGTTTTGAGTTTGCGGAACATGGGCGGGAACGCATCTTTTGCGAGGGAGCGCCCGCGTTGGGTCGGCGCCATTGCGGCCTGGACGGAGGAGGAAGGACAGGGAGGTAGAGGATGTGTGTGGAATTGGGAGGATGTGAGAGAGAATGTGGGGTGCAAGTTCGAACGGAAGCTTGGAGCTTGGAGCTTTGACGCGGTGCGCGTTTGCCAAGCGACAAGGGTAATTCTGGCACTACACCGAGTAATATGTCTTCTTTCGGCATTTTGATCACGTGCTGTTAGGCAACGTTCGTAGAAATAGCTTTGTCGTGACTTGTTGGTATTCTGTTGAATGGGGATGCCTAGGATGGAACCATGGTACGCGAAGTAGTTGCCTGATAGCACTGAGCGCAGTCGAACTCCGAAGGTAAGAAGTAGTACAAGACCATTGAGATCTTCGATAGAGTATTTATGTAGAGTAGGATCTTTAAAACGGGGTGTTGATTCAAGAAACATGCCCATATTGGCCGAAACTAAAATCTAAACTAACTCTTACGCCAACATTAGATGTAGCTACATAATATTAGGTTACAACTTCGAATACGTGTCATAGGACGACTTACCATAGGCTATACTAGTAGCTACTAAGTTTAGCTAAGAATCTCAACCCTTACGTTAGACGTGCCAACACCCTATAGGAAAGCGCTACCAGATTATCAGCCCTCTACCACCTTGAATAAAATAACACTCATTTTAGGTTCCTTCTACAGTTTCCAAGATTCCAGGCTTCCAGGCTTCCAGGCTTCCAGGCTTCCAAGCTGCCAAGCTGCCAAGCTGACAAGCAGAGCTCGCAAATGTCTGAAGTACTCGTATCCTCTCCTTACCCCACTTTTATCATCTATTCCTTCTCGTGATTAGATCGCTTCTGAGTAGCTTATCCGGTAATTGAGAAACTCCACGGCAGGAGGCGTATGCGGCGTGGTTAGGAGACACAGCAAATATGTGGTATGTCTAGAACAGCGCTGCCAGATTGTACCTAGGCAAACCCTCTGGCACCTTAAAGAAAACAGCACTTAGTTCGACTTCCTCCTACCTTATAAGTAACAGAACACGAGTTTGATCGTGGTAAAATAAGATGCCAAAGCACGCTGTGGCTCAACGTAATGCTTGTGATTGATGCCAAACTCTCAAAAATCGATGCGTAAAACCACACCACCGGGTTGCCCCTTTATCTTGGCTTGTTATTCGCGTGAACTAGGCAGCAGCAGCCCAGTTGGTGTTACCACTCGCGTTGGCGGCTTAGGAGCACCTCGCTACTCTTTCATCAAATCGCTACACTCTCTCACCAAATCGCTCATTTGGCCAGTCATGACCGTTGAAAGTCACAATGTTGAGACTGCCTCCGGCAACCAGGCCTACACTCATCTGGCTAACGACGCAGCGGCCATCCTCTCCCGTCAGGTCGATAGCACACCAACAGCCGTCAAGTACCAAACTCTGTTTCGCTATGCAACGAATTATGACATCTGCTTTCTTGCTGTCAGTGGGTTCAGTGCCATCGCCGCGGGTGCAAGTTTGCCTTTGATGACCATCATTTATGGCTCCCTCGCCGGTACCGTAAGTTGCGCAACCTCGCTGATTCCGCAGCGAAAGTTCATCCTGACGTACTGAAAACGTGGGAAGTTCCAAGGATTCTTTCTAGGCACTGTCTCGGGCTCATACTTCATGCATGAGGTAAATCGACTGACGTTGTATTTTGTCTACCTCGCCATTGGCCAGTTTGCCACGATTTACATTGCCACGGTCGGCTTCAACTATGTCGGCGAACACATCGCCGCCAAAGTCCGAGCAAACTATCTCGCAGGTCTTCTCCGACAAAACATGGCTTATTTTGATCTTCTTGGAGCTGGCGAAATTGTAAGGCGAACTTCCAGATAGAACGGCTTGTATGGAATACTGATCCTTCTGTAGACAACTCGAATCACTGCAGATACCAATCTGATCCAAGACGGAATTTCAGGAAAGCTGGCATTGACCCTTCAAGGCATCGCAACCTTCATCACAGCTTACATCATCTCCTACATTCGCTATTGGAAACTGGCGCTTATCCTGACTTCGACCATCGTGGCTATTGTCCTTACGGGCGGAGCACTAGGCCGTCTGTCTATTGGATGGTCAAGCCTCTCTCTCGCGTCTTACGCCAAGGGAGGATCGATTGTCGAAGAGACCATAAGCTCGATCAGAAATACCATTGCAGCCGGTACGGAGGACAGGCTTGTCAAATCGTACGACAAACACTTGGCCGATGCTGAGACTCCCGCATTTCGAGCCAAAGCGACGACCACCGCTACGGTCGGATTCATGATGTGCTACATCTATCTGTCTTACGCACTGGCTTTTTGGCTGGGCAGTCAATATGTCGCAAACGGAGAATGCTCTCTGAGTGATGTTCTCACAATCCTACTCGCCATTATCATGGGCGCATTTGCATTAGGGAGTGTGGCGCCAAGTATGCAAGCATTTGCGACCGCGATCGCAGCGGCCTCAAAAATTTACTCGACAATCGACCGCCCTTCTCCACTTGATCCCACCGACAAGAAAGGGTCTAAAATCGACCACTCCGAGCTCAAAGGCATGGTCGTATTTCGTCAAGTCAAGCTTATCTATCCCTCAAGGCCAGATGTGGTTACTCTGGACTCCGTGAGCTTTGACGCACGACCCAACGAAACAACAGCGCTCGTAGGAGTATCGGGGTCTGGGAAAAGCTCTTTAGTGGGTCTTCTTGAGCGCTTCTACGAGCCATTGGAAGGCGAGATTCTGCTCGATGGAGTCAAAATCGAGGAGCTCAATCTACAATGGCTTCGCCAGCAGGTGGGCATTGTTTCACAAGAGCCAGTCCTCTTTGCCACGACAGTTGCACAAAATATCCGACTTGGCCTCATCGGCACCAAATACGAGCACTTACCAGACGATGACAAACAGGTTTTAACGCTTATCACGGAGGCGGCCAAAACGGCCCATGCCCATGACTTTATTTGTGACCTTAGCCAAGGATATCAAACCAATGTCGGCATGCGCGGTCTTCTGCTATCAGGCGGTCAGAAACAACGGATAGCTATAGCACGAGCAATCATCGGAGACCCCAAAGTACTGCTGCTAGACGAGGCGACTTCCGCTTTGGACACAAAAAGCGAAGGTATAGTTCAAGCTGCATTAGAGCGTGCCTCTCGCGGCCGGACCACGATTGTCATTGCACACCGGTTGAGCACTATCAAGAATGCGCATAACATTATTGTCATGTCTCATGGAAAGGTTGTCGAGCAAGGCACCCATAATGAACTGCTCGAGGCAAAGGGAGTCTATCATACCCTTGTCGAAGCCCAGGGGATTGTAGATCACAGCAAATCAGCAAGCTCTGATGGATTTTCGGCCCCTGGTCCCTCAAATCGAAGTGGAGAGGGAGGATTGAGTGGGAACGCTGAAGGAGAAAAGAGAGCTTCACACACCGAGGAACAATATCTCACCACCATCACAGAATCAAAAGCACCGCAATATCCACTCTGGCACCTGGTCGCTACAGTAGCATCATTCAACATACCAGACTGGCCCTATGGTCTCGCCGGCATACTCTGTGCATTTGCAACGGGCGGTGCAATCCCTGCTCAATCAGTCCTTTTTGCTAAATCCATAGCTTCCCTCGCTCTACCGCAGGATGACAACGCAAAGTCTCAGGTCAGCTTCTGGTCGTGGATGTTTTTCCTACTTGCTATTCTCCAGCTCTTCGCGTACTTAGTACAGGCATATGCCGTAGCATGGTGCAGCGAAAAACTGGTTCGCAGAGCGCGAAATGCTTGTTTTCGAGCGATATTACGACAAGATGCCGCATTTTTTGACAGACCTGAGAACTCTCCAGGCGCTTTGACGTCTTTTCTTAGTACCACGGCCAATGTATGCCCAGCTCCTGCTCAACTCTGTCAATGTCAACACTCACTAACATTCACGCATAGAGCTTGGCTGGAATTTCCGGTTCCACGCTCAGTACGATTCTCTCCGCGATAGTCACACTTTTTGCCGGGTTTATAATCGCACTGGTGATTGGGTGGAAGCTGGCTTTGGTATGCATTTCTACAGTTCCAATTGTACTTGGGTGCGGTTTCTGCCGTGTCTGGGTGCTGGCTCGGTTCCAGGCTCTATCAAAGCAGTTTTACGAAGGATCTGCATCTTATGCATGCGAACACACTTCCGCCATTCGCACCGTGGCATCTTTGACGAGAGAGAATGACGTTCTTCGCAATTATCGCCAACAGTTGCATGAGCAAGGTATACGCTCCCTCAAATCAGTGTTGCGGTCCAGCGCACTCTACGCGGCATCTCAAAGCCTCGGATTTGCGGTCAATGCCCTTGCCTTCTGGTATGGCGGCCAACTTATTGCTCAACACGAATACTCAATTTTCCAATTTTTCGTGTGCTTTTCCGCCACAGTATTTGGTGCACAGTCCGCCGGGATTATCTTTAGCTTTGCGCCTGATTTAGGTAAGGGGAAGCAGGCTGCTACTGATCTGAAGACCTTGCTTGATCGCAAGCCGATCATTGACAGCTCTTCGATGGAAGGCCAATATCTAGAGAGCGCCAAAGGCGACGTCGAATTCCACGACGTCCATTTCGAGTATCCCGTTCGGTCGCAACTCGCTCTTCGGGGCCTTGATATTCACATCAAATCTGGGCAATACGCAGCACTTGTCGGAGCATCTGGATCGGGAAAGTCCACAGCCATTTCGCTCCTTGAAAGATTTTACGACCCGAGAAGTGGCGCCATTTATCTGGATGGAATTGATGTGTCCACTCTCAATGTGGCTGCATACCGCCAGCACTTTGCATTAGTGGCACAGGAGCCAACGTTATATCAAGGAACTATTCGAGATAATATCATGATGGGCACGAAAGATGAGGAGGCCGTCTCGGACGAGAACATTATGCAAGCTTGCAAAGACGCGAACATTCTCGAGTTCATTCAGTCACTTCCAAATGGCTTCAACACAGGCAAGCTAATCCCCTGACGCCCAACTAATTGGTGCTGGCTAACACCCCGCAGATGTTGGAGTGAAGGGTTCTATGCTCTCTGGTGGACAGAAACAAAGAGTCTGTATCGCCCGGGCGCTCATTCGCAATCCAAAAATACTTCTCCTTGACGAAAGTACAAGCGCGTTGGATTCTGAATCGGAACAAGTCGTCCAGGCTGCACTTGATGTGGCTGCCCAAGGTCGTACGACCATTGCTGTAGCCCACAGACTATCCAGCATTCAGCGAGCAGACGTCATATTCGTGTTGGACAGCGGGCGTGTGATTGAGAAGGGTACTCACAGTGAGCTGATGGCAAGACAGGGGCGGTATTCTGAGCTCGTTCATCTGCAAAGCCTACTACAGACATAGAATAGTTAGTTAGTCGGATGTCATTTACGTCTTAAGGATCTATCAATCATTGCAGATTCAGAGCTCCTACAGCCTAACTTCTGGCCTGGTACCTTCTTCTCTCGCAGGAGATCAAGACCTTCCAATGCCACCTCGAACCGCCCTGTCAATATGCGCACCGGATGGGTACATAGTCTCCATTCATCCAGTAAATCTTGAACTGTCCTGAACCAGTCGCGTGTGAATTCTCGCATCTTCGGATTGGCCTGCCTCTCAAAAGGAGTCCTCCTCCTAATGGGCTTGCCACGTAGAGTCGGACCCAGCACCCAATCAGGCCGGACAGTGGGTCCCGTATGTAAGGACCAAGCGAATGGTTCTAATGCTGTATATCCACCTCCCGCCCGACCGATGGCTTTGTAGCAAAAACGCATCATGGTTTCTGGTTGGAAACACAGTCCAGTACATATTTGAGAGGATTCTTAGTGTATGTCTCGATGTCCTCGATTGCTGAAGCTGAGCGGTAGTCAAAGACAGCTTCTGCTCCGTAGGACTTGGCGAGATTGAAGATCTTTGGTAAACATATGGTAATCAGCCTCAACCGGATCTTGAGCACTCTTACTAACGGCACTGCATCACAGCCAAGCTCTGGAGTCTTACAGCTTAAGAATTTGCAATCCAAGCGTGCCGGTACAATGGATAATTTTGGCACTACACTAAAGGTATGAAGTATTCCCAGACTATCAATATTTTTCACAGAGTATCAATCCAGAGTGGGACGCTTAAAACGGGGTGTCTGTGTAAGACAATATGCATTCATTGATGCGTGTAGAGGTGGGATATTCGCTAAGATGGAGTCGAGATTATGCAATCTCTACCTATACTTTTTCCACCCATGTCATGTCATAATCCGCTGAACGCCTGCAATGCACATCATGCTCATGGATAGGACCGAAGCTTGCTGACTCAATAGCCATCGCCCAGTCAGCGTCACGCGACCCTCAAGCCGCTACGATCGAAGACTTCACACCTTCGTCCTCGAGTTCTCGACCTATACCGCCAACGCTTTAGCAGATAGAAAGAACACGAGCTTAGGAAGGGGGCCAATATGTGCCAGCTTGCAGCATCTTACCGCATCCTGCCCAGCACACCCCGCACACTCCCATCAAGCACGACGTTTCCTTTCACGCTGAATTCCCGGATGCCCGTCTCCCCGCCAGACCCCTCATTCAGCCACCTCTGCAGCAAATCGTTGCTTTCCTTAGGCTTAATATCCGCGCTAGCCGTGCCCACCGTAACATGCGCAACGGGGTTCACAGTCTCGAAGACTACCTCCTGATTTCCACTACCCGCTTCATTCTGTACCTGCAGCGAAGCCGAGCCGTTGAGCCGTACAACGAAACACATGATGCGGTCGTCGAAGACAAGGCGCTCGATTTGCACGCCGCACTTGCCGAGATCGGGCTCCCAGTTGGTGCTATCGGCTTGGGCGACGGAGGCGTGCAGCTGCGTCAGCTTGTCCCAGTACGATTGGTTCTCTGCCGCAGATGCGCGATGCATCAGGGTGACGTGGAACTCGTTCTGCACGCGGCGGGTCTGCTGGAGATGGCGGTACAGCCGCGCCGTTTCTGGGTCCTGATTCTGGAAAAGGGCGTCTAGTATTGAAGTAATGCGCTGGGTAGGGAGGCGCACAGAAAAGTACTCCATTTTGGGCTGCTTTTTTGCCGAGACCTGGTTCTGATCCTGTTTCTGCTTCTTTGCCTGGTTCTGGTTCTGGTTCTGATTATTGCGGCTGTTGTTAGCATTACCGCCGCCCCGGGAGAGGTCCATCTTGAAGTCTGGGCGGTAGTCGTTCATGGCCCACTGGATAGCCTCGTCCATGTCCGCGTTGGTCGGCATATCACGGCCTTCGAAAAGAGCCGGGTAGGTCTCATAGAGCTGGTTGATGATGACCTCCAAGTTCTCCCGCGAATCGACCACTGGATCAATATTGATGATGAGATCGAAGTTCTCGTCGGGCGCCTCAGAGGGGTCGGCAGGCTGGAAGCGGTGCATGAAGCCCTCCATGATCTCGATGATTTCCTCCGGCCCCTTGGAGCCCGCCTGAATGGTCTGATGGTTGTCACCGCGGGCTAGCACACGACCACGCGTTGCTCTCCGAATGTCGTCATAGTTTGTGCGGTCATGAACGTAGTGAAGCGCAACGAAACGAGCCTCTTTTGCGGTCTTGAGAACGTCGTTGATGAGCTGATCGCGCTCGCGCTTCTGGTGGTTATTGCGGTCTGCAATGACAACTGGATTTGTGACAAGCAAAGAGGAAAGGGTGTCAGCGAAGACCTGGCCGCGGCCCTTCTTCGCTTTCACATTGTCGTTCTGAAAATGGCCCCAGCCGAACAGCTTCACCAGAGCCAGCGCAAGTGTGGTCTTGCCGCATCCAATGGTCGCAATAGGCACGAGTACAATATTGTTCTTGACCTGCTGGTTCTCAACTTGCCCCTTCTGCAGCTCCTGGCGGATGATCTCTGCACCCGTAGTGCCTCGCTCGCGGAGGAAGTCATCGCGCAATTTGATGATGCCATGGTTCTGGTTGTATTGTTTTGCCAGGCCGGGCTGCTTGAGGAATTGCCTGCGAGCGTATTCAAGATACTCCTTGGTAATTTGCTGGTGCTTTTTGTAGCGAGGGGGCTTGCCGCCAATGATGGCTTTGGTGCACTCCCTCCACTGGCGGTACATTAGATACGGTTCCTCAAATTTGTACTTGAAGAACCAGTCCTCCCATGGCGCGTCATCTGTCTCTCGCGCCTGGCATCGAATGACGAAGCCCTCCGTATCGCGCCCGTTGTAGTTGCCAGTCTCGGCGACCTTGTCCAGGAACTGCTGAACCTCGTGTATGTCATCCTCCATGACATACTGAACCTTCTTCATTCCCCATTCGTCGGCGAACTTATCGACTAGAGGGCCGGGGTAGGTGACGAAGTGAGGGACGTTGAGGTTGATGCCGTGGACGTACAGGCCAGCCTGCTCGGGGGTATATGCCAGGACATGCTCCTCGAAATCGTCGTCGCAGAGCTCGGCCACCAGCGTTGCGTTCATCTCGCGCAACTTCTGTGCTAGATCCTTCTTTGTCTTTCCGACTGATGCAAGATGTTTCTCGGCCCATCGCTCGCCGGCGCAAGCATGGCTGAGCTCAACGTCGCCACGCGCACCTGTCGAATGTTTGCTGCACACCAACAAGGTGCCGTCATCCAGTCCAGAGATGAATATGATGCAGCCGTTCTCCTTCACGCTGAGCTCGTATGGCCCCCGTGTATTCCGCTCGACGTTCTTCCATTCCGTCTTGCGGACTTCGCCGTGATTGAAGAACTTGTCGTATCCCCGCACCACAATCTCGTCCCTGCCTGACAATGTCTTGTATGTGAAGAGACCGCGTGCGTAAGTGGGTAGGTGCTCCTTCTTGTAGTCCCAATCGTTCATCTTCCACGAATCGACCGAGCGGCCATTAGGCAGAGGGAACGTGTGTTTCCGGACCGAGAAGCCTTTCTGTTTCGACGACCTGCCCTCGTGGCCTTCTAGCGAGTGGATCAGCTGCGTGACCTCCTTGTGGTCCTGCGGCACGTATGGCGCCGTGTCGCGGTGCGCCATGATTGCGGTCGTGTGGATTGGGGAGATCGCTCGTCTTGGGTGCAAGTTCAGAACAGCGGTGGTGGGACGCTTCGCTAGCTGTGTGGTCGAGAGTAAGCGGAATGCTGGTGGGCGTGAACAAAACATTTAAGAGTGCGAAGTGTTTAGAGCAAGCGGCCATTCAGGCAGCAATAAGGCAGAGCAAAGGAAAGGACGAGTGCGACAGTGACTCATGTAACAAATACGACAAACAAGGGCGCCTCTTACCGTGTTCCAGGCGATTAGAAGAGAAAGGGCGGAAGCGCGTAATCCAGAGTCATTGCGCAGTCGCACTTTTTGGAAAGAGGAACAACGTCACAGTCTGTGCGGCGGCGGTGCTCCAGCCACACCGCGGGGCGAGAACCCTTGCCCCACCACACGCGACACCATTTACCATTTCTTTCGGCCACCCTTGCTATCATCCTTCGAATAGCGATGGCTTAAGAACAACATCCTATCATTTGTCCAGATACTTGTGTTGGCGCTTTTCAAGTATCCTCAGGCAATGATGACACCCTTCCACGGTTTCAGAACAGTCCAGTATTGACCTGTGCATCGAGAAATGTCCATTTGGAGAGTCTCTTTTAGCCCCCGAGTACTATCAAAGTGACGCCAGAAACGAAGAGAGGATGTGTGTGACTCCCGAGAGTCATGAGATAGGGTTCTTACTAGTTGCTGCATTGGATAAAACGATCAGTGCGAAACGAAGACTCAATAGAGTGGTATAGAAGAAGAATTATTTGAAGATAGCTTAGCGACCTGTCCAAGTAAGTCTATCAGGCGAACATATCAGAGTCTGACCTTCTAAAGGCGATGTACTAGCTGCGATTCATGAGCAGAATCTGATCGTTCGCTATAGCCACCTACACCTGAACAGGCCTCTTTCCCTTCCCCAAACCATAGTATCGCCTCGACTCCTCCTGTAGCGTTTCCACATTCCGCATTCGCACTTCTCCCATGTACCTTGCTTGTTCAACACTCATATACCTCGGTGAGTCGTGGGGTCTGCCGCGGAAGCCTGACACCCGATCCATGCCATAGCACATGGCTACAGCAAAGGCAGTGCCAAGAAGAACGAGGAACACGATGGCTGTAGGGTGAATGGCGTAGCCCATGTTATCGGCTCTGTCGCGGGGGTAGATGTGCATGAGGACAGTGTGAGGGTTGAAGGGACTCATGGTGGTAGTATGTGAATCGACATCGGACGTCTGATTTGCTTGGGTCCAGGGTAGAGGTGCCATTGTTTTGTTTGGAAGGGCAATATGATGGAATTACCAGGTAAGGCGATTCGGTAATTGGGATCACTAGTGTGCAGTCAGTGAGAATTCCGTCCTCTCGGTGCAGACATATACGGATTGTACACTTTACAAAGCTGTTAGATGTTTCCTCGAGTTCTTGAGACTTCATTGACCTGATCAGAGCAAGGCAAGTAGGCGGCAGGACGGGAATACAGGTGAAGTATGCTTAGTCGGCTTGTTTCGATGGCGACATCATTTATAGTCTCTCCCAGCACCGAGTTTCGCAAGACCCGTCGTAATCGTATGCTCTCAACTCGATGAGAATACACTCAGAGAAGTATTGCTCGCTCAATGAAGCTAGTACACTCGCACATTTCTACATACATTCTAGATAAGCGAAGAAAGTCGTACATCACTACATATGGCTTAGCGCACAAAGTACCGATCAATGTACTACTAAGTGGTTCCCTACACTGTTTTCAAAACCCGCAGGCACCAAATGAGATTACTGAGGGCTCCGATACGCGAACCCGAAAGAGGAAATGTACGAAGGACGCTTATGAAATTTGCGCTAGGCCTCAGCGAATAGGATCCATTGATATTCGTTCGCTTCGACCTACGATTCGTCGGCATCGAGCGTCAAACCCGCGGATGACAAATATGGTCTAGCTTCAGGGAAGCTGTTCTGGGGCCAAGGCATTGCTCTCCTCAGAGACCCATCACATTCCTCAGTCCCAGTATGCAACTACCGACCTGCATATAGTGCGAATCTCGACGAACATATTCCGCTTTCGCTTAGCAACTGACCATTAACCGCGTGGTGCGCTTTCCGTATCTGGCACGCTGAGGCAGCAACCAACAATAGATCGAAGCGTTCTAGACGTTGCGGTTGCGAAGATTCGCGCGGATCCACACCGTTGTAGATCCACTCGATAACAATGCCTCCTCATACCCTGATCCTGGAGTTTCAAAGTCTCAAAAGAACGCGGAGATACGGTTCTAAGGTCAGGACGGGCTGCTTGACCTGCAAGTATGTCAATCAGGCCACCTCCTTCCTCTGCCTAGGCGGTGGTCTGCAGATGACTAATTTCAAGCAGAGCTCGGCGAATCAAATGTGATGAAACCAAGCCTGCGTGTCTTAGGTATGCTTATGGTCGGTGCGATTAACGGCATTCTGTGTTCATCCACACCCCCAGCCAATCGAACAGATCGCAATACATCTTTGATACTATAAACACTTACTGATCTCGATAGATGTACTAGCACAAGACGCCTGTGTGACGGCTACCTTGAAAGTGGGACAACAGGATCAAAGCGTCTTTCGCCCGGCGCAGCTTCGCCCCTTCAAGATACTGTGAGTTCTTCATTGCAAAAACACCACGCTATTCAATACAAAATGCTCATAAGGTATAGCCGGTCACCCCAACATGGCCTGAAGATGGCTTACTGTATCTGGAGTTTTACTACCATTGTGCCATAAAGACCCTTTCCAATCGTTTTGACAATGGCTTCTGGTCTAGAACAGTCCTTCAAATGGCCCGTTCAGAGCCCTCCATTCGTCACGCACTAGTTGCGTTAGGGTACCTTGCGAAGACAGAACCAGGAAACCTAAAACATGCCCATGCAAGACTAACACAACAAGACAAAACCCTCAGTATTCATTACAGTAAAGCCGTCGGGTCACTCGTCGAGCGGTTGGCCGAACAATCATGTACTGTTGAAGTGGGCCTTGTGGGATGCTTATTGTTCGTCTGCATCGAGTTCCTAAGAGGAAACTTCATGACCGCATTCACGCATCTACATAGCGGTCTCAAGATTTTATCTGAGCTGCCTATCATAAGAACACACGGTATGTAATCCGAGAAGATTCTTTGCAGAAGCTAACAGTGTACCCACTAGGTCTCCGTCCCCGCACGCCACCACCAACAGTCTCCAAATCGGATACAGTGAAGTTCTCTGGCTCCAATGGCCTTCTTCAAGATACTCTTATACCTATGTTTATGCGCAATATCACCCCCGCCATGCTCTTCGGAGCCCCTATAGAGGACCTTTTCGAAATCCCTACTCCAGATCCCTCCTCTTACGACGTACCCTTCTCAACCTTCTACGAACTCCAAATGGTTAGCTTCCAGCTCCGCAACGCTTCAGCCCTCTTCGCACGCACAATGGCCACCAAAATCTTCGTAAAAGCGCCGCTCACACCGGACGATTTTGCGAGGCAATCACAGCTCCTCGAGGCCCATCGCTCGTGGCACAGAGCACTGCAGAAGCTGGAATTGGCGGCTTTCTTGACGCACGAAGAAGAGATTATGGCGGCGTCGCTGAAGCTAGGGTATTACTCAACGTACATCCTCATTGACTGTGCCATGAGTTTGAGGCAAAGTAATCTCGATGCTCATCTGGAGTACTTCAAAGCTATAAATCACAATGCGAAAATTGTTATCGACTCTATGGGTATTGCTACTCCACCTCTCCCCGTATCATCAGGTACGCGAAAGGGCCTTTCGAGAAAGAACGCGGTCGCGTTGAAAGGCGCCGGCTCAAAGAATACTGTCAGACCAGGTGAGCTGGCCTTAGCTATCCAGGTCTGTTCGACATGTTGACAGCATCTCAGGCGCCCACTTTACCTTCGAAATCTCGGTCATCCCTCCCCTCCACTACGTCGCAACCCGCTGCCGCCACCCGCTCGTCCGCCGCGAAGCCGTCGCCCTCCTAAAGACGAACCCCCCGCGCGAAGGCCTCTGGGATGTAGACACTCACATCGCCGTCGCCAACCGCGTCATTGAGATCGAAGAGAGCATCTTGGATCCCACGACGGGCTGGCCGGCCGAGGCTTCACGGCTGTGGTGCTCAGTCCATGATGGAAAAGGGTACTCTGATGGCAAGATACTGGTGACTTTTGCGTTCGCAGAGTGGGCAGAGCATAGGGCGCCGCAGGCAGATGATTTGAGGCCTGTTAATGGGGCGGATAGGTCGGATGCGCAGTGGGCGGAGAAGATCGGGTGACTAGGGGCGGGCAAATGGTGGGTGGAAAAGGAGGATATGCGCTTGCATTTTGCTCAAGGGCACTGGACTGAGTATCTCTAGTGGTTGGCACTGAGAGTTTATGGGGCCCAAATGCAGGTAGGTCGAATTGGGTATGAGTAGGGCTTACCTTGTCACTCTTGTGCATGTGGTAAGCACTCTTCTTTAGCGCTTATTTGCCCGTCGGGTGTGAGGCCAAAGCTAGTCATATTAACGATGCGATATTTGAGGCGGCCTGTATTACCGATGTTTTCTTCATCACAGCACCTACTTTTTAAGCCAATTACAGACCCTGGGGCCGTGAAAGGATCACGTGACTCGCGGCATCTCGGCGGCACGGTGCTTATGGGGCGAGCTGCTACCTGGTTTGGCTTCCTCAGACTGGTGGCCCTGGAATTGTTTCGCATTCGCAACATTGTGCCCCATTCTTATCCATGAGTTAGTACTGAATTCACGTATGGCAATTGTGTACGGGGATGAACCAAAACTCTTACCAGATGTACTACAATGACACTGCAGGGAGAGCGAGGTCATCGGAACCCTAGCAAAGCTTAAGCTTTCTAGGCCAGCACACGTACGGGGACGATCCGGTACTCGTACAGCAGTGAGATCATTGCGGCACGACCCGCAAGACAGCATACAAATATGTAACGCGGAAGCCTGCCTGTGTCAGCTCTCAGTCACATTGCGTAAACTCAAACTCTCTACAACAATTTTCTCAAGGTATCAACATGGATGGCACAAAGAAAGAGGCAGTCATCGTAAGTACATCCAGAACAACTATCACAACACACCATCTAAGTGTAACATAGGTCGGTGGTTCCCTGAGCGGACTCATGAACGCGATCGTACTCCGAAGAGAAGGATACAAAGTCCAGGTCCTCGAGCGGAGTCACCCTTCCAAACTTATCAGTGAGGCCGCAGGCCTCGGCGTGGGTCCCAACGTGCATACCTTCATGGAAACTTACGTTAAGAGACCTGACGACTATGGGATCGTACTCACTGACATAGAGATCTGGGATGAGAATGCGCAACTCTCGGCTAAAGTGCCACTTCCATACACCATGCGCATGACTAATTGGAGGACCATGTATGATATGCTCAAGAATGCCTTGCTGGACGATGACCCGGACTTGGCAGCTGCGGTCTACAAGACGCACGTTGAAGTCACCGATGTGCGTGAGGAAAACGCTGGAGTATCGGTCAGTTACCGAGACCTTGGCACAGGCAGCGAAGGTGTTCTGCGCGCCGATCTCGTCATCGCTGCCGATGGCGCCAATTCCAGCATTCGCAGAAAGGTCTGGCAACCCGAATCGCCTGCCTACGCTGGATATAGCCTTTGGCGTGGGCGCATTTCCGACCAGCTCGTCAGCGAAGAAACGAAAGAAGCATTGCAAGGCAAAACTGTCATCCAAAAGCTACGAAATGGATACATGCTCTCGTCAGTCCTCTGCTTACCACAGCCCGTGGCCTTAAACTTACAGTGCGCAGTTATTTCGTCCCCGCGGAACTTACAGAAGGGAAACAAGATCCTCGGCATAGATTTGACCTCTTCTGGGCTTTCTATGATATTCTTGCCGAGGACTCCCCTCGGTTTCAACAGACGATGACTGATACCGATGGCAAGCTTCACCGCAACGCGATCCCGAGTGGCAAAATCCAACCTCAGGTCTGGCAGGAAGCTTCCAGTCGCGTCAAGGAACAGGCATGTTGGTTTTACGCCGAGCTTATGGACAAGTCGCATCAGCTCTATGTCTCGGCCATCAGAGATTTCCCTAACACAAAGGCAGTATTCTGCGATGGAAAGGTCATACTTGCCGGGGACGCTATGTCACAGTGTCGACCTCATGCGGGCGGTGCGACGAATGAGCATGCGTTCCAGGCGATGGAACTTGCGAAGGTCTTGAGAGGTGAGAGTACGCTTGAGGAGTGGGAGAAGCTGTGTTTGGACAGCGCTGCAAAGGCAAGGGCGCTGGCTATTGCGACGGGGAAGAGGTTTCTGCCTGAGGGAGCGATAGCTGATTCATAGCCAATAATCCGTGCCATCATAAGAGTTCGAGCTTTAAGAGCTGAGGAGCGGTATGTTCTCTGATTCGACAGCACTGTGCACGGCGTTCACTGCTCCAGATCCTGATGCAGTCGCGATCTTCACTGTGTACGCATCATCATCTTTGCCCACGACTGAGATCTTTACGCCCCAACTTGGAACTTCCAACTCGCTTGTTAGTGTCCCATTAGACAATACCCGGATTGGCCCTTGCAGTGTCTCTACCGTCGTGTCGACTGTGTAGACCACGACGCCAGGCTCTCCTCCCTTATCATCGTTACCGCCTTTCGACCGGACCTCCAGTACCATCGCTTGTGTCTCGTTTCTTTTCAAAACCACTAACTTCGCCTCTTCATCCTTGCTCTCAAGCGGGAATATCGTATGCGTGGACGTAGTTCCATTTTCATATTGAACGCATTCGACCTGGGAGTCGTCCAACCATCCTAGTCTCCATTTATCCCACGCGAAGTAGTCAGGATAGACAGCGTTGATGTTTCCCATAATGCTAAAGTCGCCCACATACAATCCCACCGCGCCAGATGCGGGGTAATAGTCCGGAAGACACATCACATGCCCCGTCTCATGATTGATGAGCTTGAAACCCCATTTTGCGTATGCATCGTAGCCGACCGTGACTGCTTTCTTCGCCACAAAAGTACCGTTGCGCGTCGTCACATTCCCCATGAAAGTTGGAGAATAGGTAATGTTGGGTGCATTGCGAGTTGCGACGACGTACAAAACGTCGACCGGTGGAGGAGCTTCGCCAATTGTATTCACGTAGGAGGCGAGCGCATCTTGGATATATGCTTCGTGTTGTTCGTAGGTGATACCGCGGTTCCACGCGTAGTCGCTCGCGTTCAAGGGCATACGGTGGAATTGAGATATGTCTGCTTCGGCATCGATCGAGAGCTTGCCATACGACGAGGTCTCGTACCAGGTGCTGGCGTTTGGAAAGAAGAAGTCGTACAGGCCTTGTGTGGTGTCATTACCGGCAGGTTGATCTGCGAAATCCACGAAGAGCATGAATGCTTTCATAGTGCCTATGCTAGAAACGCAAGAGAGGTATTCGGGGAAACCATGTCCAGCACTGAGATAGACATCTGAGGTAGCGGGTAAACGACATGCGGATACGTCGGTTCTTGGGATGACAGAAGCTGGTTCGCAAGATGTCCCGGGGAAGGCAATGAACAGAGCGACGACAGCACACATTCGTGCCATAGGCGAATAAAACGCTCGCATGAGGGGTTTACAGGTGACAAAGCTAAGCTCGTCGGTGCAGACCATTCGTGAGAATACTATCGGTATAAATACACCGAAGCTCGGAATGGTTATTAGCATCTACCCCACTAGTTCTCGGCTCGCTTGTAGCTGCTTGCATGATCTCCAAGTTCAATAACATATTTGATCAAACTTCAAAGTATGAGGAGTCGATCATCAGCCGAAAAGGCAATACGATAACGTGAACTCGGACCATGTTGGCATGATCGAAGCTACGGTTACAACTTGTATGTAGTTTTAATCTATTCACCCTTGTCAGTGCTTATCTATCTTCTTATCGTTTATCGTCGAACACGCGCGATTGCCAACCGTCGGATGGCCTACCCAGAAAACGCTTTTAAGATGCAATGTCTGCTGGCAAAGGCTCGATTACGGTCCTGTTTGTGAAAGCTACATCCTCAGCGGCTAGCAACGGAGTGTACGATTATCACTCCCTGTACTGATGATTATAGACGAAGACGAAAAGTTCGATGAATTGTCCATCTTGGACAGCCAAATTGGTAACTGATTTGATGTTGGGTTGGGTAACACATTCTTTTGAGATCGGGTTAGTGAGGATCTTCTTGTGTACCGCGAAAGCATTATGAATGCAGACAGACCTCGCGAACAGATTGAATTAGGATAGAGAACCATGAACTTAGAATCAAATACGACCTCATCACTGCAACCAGTAACGGCGCTGATGTAAGTACCTATGGTAGTGAGTGTTCGATAGCCGTACACAAAGTAAAGTGCACAGCTACCGGTACCCCGCTCTGGGAGCTAAGCGCTACCTAGGCAAGCTCGGCTGTACCTGCCGCAAATGGAAACACCTATAAGTGGGGGCTCTCCCCCGATAAATACTCGAGGCCTACTGGTATGCTCCACCGGTCATCTTTCTTATCTTCTGGCATTCTATTCCCCCTCAGTTCTTTGTTACAGGAATTCGTTTTTGGACAACATGCCATTATCTCCAGAACTCACCGCGTCCATCACCGACGCAGTTGCCAAAAACTTCAACAACGAGCTCGCATTCATTCAAAAAGTGATCCAATATGGCGGCCAGCGAGGAGAGGAAACAGCGATTCAAGAAGAAATTTTCAACCAGTACACCTCACGGGGCTACGCGACTACCAAGCTTAACATGGACCCAGATGCGTTATCAAAACACCCAGGCGCCGGTAAGATAAGCGCAAAGCATTCAAAAGCACCGGTGGTGATAGGCGTTCTCGAGCCAAAGTCATCAGCAGCCGGCGGAAAGAGTTTGATATTGAATGGCCACATCGACGTCGTGCCCACCGGACCGGAAGAACTCTGGACGCACCACCCATATTCTGGCATCGTAGAGGGAGACTGGCTGTACGGTCGGGGCGGTGCTGATATGCGTGCTGGAAATGTAGCTAATATGTTCGCATTGGATGCGCTCCGCAGCATTGGCAAAAGACCAGCTTCCAAAGTCATCATCGAGTCTGTCCCGGAGGAAGAGTCGACTGGCAATGGCACCATGGCCACACATATTGCAGGCTACACGGCGGATGCGGTATTGGTGCCAGAACCGACGAACGAACAGTTGGTGCGCGCCAACGTGGGAGTCATCTGGTTCCAGATCGCAGTTGCTGGACGGCCAGTACACGTCCTCAAGGCTACCGAGGGATCAAACGCGATCGAATCAATATGGAAGATTGTGGGTGGCTTGAAAGAGCTCGAGAAAGAGATGAATGAGCAGAAGAAGGGCAGACTCCATTTCGAAGAGCTCGAGCATCCGATCAATCTTAATGTGGCCATGATTGAGGGTGGAGATTGGGCGAGTTCGGTCCCAGCTTGGTGCAAGATTGACTGCCGGGTTGCGCTTTTCCCCGGTGTGCGTGCCGAAGACGTTGCGGCTCAAATCGAACAAGCCGTTCAGAAGATGGCAACTACTGACTCTTTTCTCCGCGACGCACCACCCAAGATCACCTGGAACGGGTTCTTTGCAGAAGGTTATGTCCTGGAACCGGGCAGCCAGGCTGAGGATGTCTTGGGTGTCGCACACAAGCAAGCAACGGGTACCAATCTCGAAAGCATCACAATGCCAGCATACCTCGATACAAGAATCTTCTCACTGTTCCAGAAGATACCTGCGCTATGTTATGGACCGATTGGTGAAAGTTTACATGGGTTTGACGAGCGCGTAAGTGTGAGTAGCATTCAAAGGGTTACTACTGCCATTGCGTTGTTTATTGCGGAGTGGTGCGGATTAGAAGACGCGGATGCAACTACGTAAGTCGGTAATCTATACCGTGTTACAAACCTTATCATGTAACTGTATACCTGGAACTTCTGTACTTCGTCCTTCCAATATATTCAGCTCGTCAAATGTAATATCTATCGATCCCTATGGGTCAGATCGCTGCAGTACCGAATACCCAAGATGCTGTTCAGCGAACATAGATGAACGCGATGTTGAACGAGGAATGGCTTGACATTAAAAATATCGGATCAAGCCCTGTCCTTGACCATGATAATTTGCTCCCCAACGTGACTCTGGTATTCATCGATATCAGGAGAAACGGTCCAGTACTCCAGCTTCCTGATCAGTAGGTAGAACGCTACAGCCAGCAGCGCTCCCAGACCAGGCCCAACCCAGTAGATCCAGTGGTAGGCCGGGAATGAACCTTGAACTACGCATATGGCGAAGGAGCGTGCGGGATTGAGGGACGCGCCGGTATATGATTGACCCCTGTGATTGCGGTTAGTGTAATGGGGACACCGCTGGAAGACATCTGAGGTGACCTACGCAAGCACACAAGCGAACACTGCTAAACCAATACCGACAGGCGCGATGAATGTTGCTTTGTGCTTTTCCGTTGCTAACATGAAGATGGCGAGGACGACCTAGGTGCGTGGCAAGTTGTTTAGTTGAAGAGAAATGGGCACACCTTGGAGAAGCTGCGACGTACCTGCGTCGTCAGAAACATCTCAATGAACACACCTTGCGTGATACTTGTCTGCTCTCCCAGCTCCGTCGCCGGTAAGCTCCCAGGCGGCAACAAGCCATATGCAATAGCAGCAGCAACAATGCTTGCCACCATCTGTGTGACGATGCACAGTACTCCACGCACAGGGTCGACCTAAAACAAAGCGTCAAGTCAACTCCCGTTTTCCCAAAGTGCTTCTTCCTCTAACCATAGCCAGGAAGTAAAACCAACTCACCGCCCGAATGATCATCATCGCCGCACTAACCGCCGGATTAAATAGCCCACCACTAATCCTAAAGAAAGCCCACGCATTCACGATAGTACTCAGCCCCCACACAAGCGCGATGTACAAACCCTTAGCAGGATCCGCGGTGACCGATCCGCCCCCCAACTGCTCTTTCTTCGCTGCATCGTTGTTCATGACGCTGTTTCCCACGATGCCGATGAACAGGAAGAGGAAGGTGCCCACAAACTCTGACAGAATAGCGATGGCATGGTTCTTGACGGGCTGTGGTACGTTCTCTGTGAATTGATCCAGCATGTAGACGCGGCCGCGCGAGGTCGTGAGCGAGAGTTTCTGTTCGCGATTTACGCCGACGGGAACGTTATGGAGGCGACTGAGGCGCCGGCGGAAGAAACCGCAGGGAATGTTGTCGTCTTCGTTTTGTCGAGACTCGGGATCGCCATGCTGGCTGCTCATTGTGGTGGGGGCGGTATCGTAATATTGCTAGCGCAGACACCTTACGACGTAGGCAGATTTGAAAGGTGGGAATGGGAGCAATGGGCGTTGGAGCCTGCCCGGGTGCTCTCTGCGCGAGCGAATTATTGTTTACCGCCATGACAGTTATAAGGGAAATTATTTGCCGAAGGGTTGGAAATTACATGCGCTGGATGTGCGTAATTGTTCGATCATCAGGGTCCACTTGTAACTCAGTATCCTAGTTGAACGACACCAACGACTTCCAGACATCAGCATCACTACTGGAATAAAGCACCACACGAGGACTGGTCACAATGATATTTTAGAACAATTGAAAAACATCTTAGTCAATTTGTGCCTTGAGTAGACTGTTGATTGGCCGAATTGCTTTCAGCCAGGGTTGAGACTATCCCTTTATGTGTCAGTCGCTAAGGCATGAAGAACATGCTCACGGTAACGCCAAGAATGTACCAGTGCCGCGTGTGTCGCTTTTCTCGTTAATCTTATCGATTTCGTGGCTGCGATGTTTCTACCAATTCCTTACGTGTTTCAAGGGTTCAGGTGCAAATAGTAACGTCCAGCTTTCAAGGCGATCCGCGAGCCTGTCTCAGATGCTCCGTCATCAGTTCTTCCTTCTCGTATTCGACGAATGGACACGGAACTGGAGTCACTTGGTAGCAACAGGAAACCTGTAGTGCTAGTCGGCACCGTAACCTTCATCCTCACATCACATCCCTCTTCATCCCTCTCATACTCAATCTCAATCTTCCCATACGGACACTCCACACTTCCCTCCACATGTTTGAACTCGCTCTTCAACGGCGGTTTTACAGTCCACGTCTTGTACGCCTCAGTCTCCGGCTTCAGCCCCAACACAGCGTTATAGAACCATTCGTAGATGGTTCCCAACATATCGTGGCTTTTACTCCGGCATGCGTCTTGCCAGAATTCGTTCAGCGTGGTTTCCCCTTGCCGGATGAACCTCATGTAGCTTGGATGCTCTTCCTGACGTGCCATCTCCAGAACAATGTCGGGACGATCGACGTCCGCAAGTGTGTTCCACAAGTATTTCAGCCCGATTTCGCCGGCTTGGATGCGGTTTCCTGCGTCTGCGCAGTCGGCGAGGAAAGCGCGCTGCACGTCGGCAACGTGTTCGCGCGGCACGAGATCGAATTGTAGCGCGAAAGCTTGGGCGACCATGTTGCGGTCTTGTTTTCCGGGTTCGTCTCTTGATGTGTAAAATGCGTAGGGGTGCAGCGTTTTGTCCGTCACAAGAAGGCGCTCGTTGTACACGGCGTAGATACGGTCTGCCCATTCGCGGAAGCGCCTCTCATCCTCCGACCTACCCAACTCGTGTGCCATGCGTTGAATGTTGCGCAGGCAGCGGTAGTAGATTGCGGTCTCGATGTTGGCTTGATTGTTTCCGAAGGCGATGTCACGACCCCAATCACCGAGGCCGTGTTCAACCAATCCACCGTCGCGCTCCTTCGTACGGATGTACTCCATGTACCGCACGCATGGTTCGAACAGCTTCTCGAACGTTTGGGTAGAGCCGTAGTAGAAGCGTAAGATTTCCGGTAGCAGTGCCACCGCGCCGCCCCAGGTGATGGTGTCATGTAAAGGACCGCACATGTAACGTATCTCTGGAGCCATAGTCGGGCAAAGGCCGTTCGGCTCCTGGGCATCTACGATATCATCAAGGATCTTAGTGTATAGCGACTCCATATCCCGGATGTACTGGGTAGACGGTGCGAGCAGGTGCGTTACCTCCAGCCAGCCAAATTTCTCTATCTGCGGACAGTCGGTATGATAGCTGAACAGATTACTGACGAACGACCAATAGCACATCTTTATCAGCGCGTTGACATCTTCCTTGTCAGTCTTGACATATCCGAGTCGTCTTGCCGCTGATGAGACATGCCGGCTGGTGAGAGAATGCACGACTGGCAGACTTTTGCCTTCCTCAAGTGAGACGCCCTCAACTTGAATGTATCGTGCTGCGGTGAAACAAAAGTCTGGTTCCCAGATCTCGACGCCACTTCCCGCGAGTGTGAACTTGCAAAAGACGCCATGTTCGAACTGCTTGAATAGAGGATCTGGCATGAATACCTTGCCATCATCGCCAACAGTTTCGGAGAAGCGGACAATGACTTCAGAGCCAGCGGGACCACTGACTTCAATTTTTATCATAGTTGTCATGTTCTGGCCGAAGTCAAACGTTGCTAGGCTAGACTCAAGCTGTTTTTGTGAGATGGGTTCGAAGGTCTCATGCAGGACAACAGGAGGCTGGTTCTGGTATTTTAATTTACCGCGAGGGCCAGTGACAGGCGTTGCGTTCTTCCACTGGCCATCTTCTCGAAAGCCGGGGGTATCCCATCCCGTTGGGTATGCCCGCAGGTCTTTGGTCTCGGACGAGTATATGTTCGCTAACGTGGTTGCGCTCTTCCTCAACCTCCAATCCGGGCCCGTTGTGATAGTATCGCGTCGTCCGTCTTCATAGAAGAGGTGTATCTCAGCGAAGAAGGATAATTCGTTGCCGTACCTGACATACGTGTTGTCCTCGTAACACGGCCAGAAGAACCGGTCGTCACCTTGATCACCAGCATAGAATCCGTTGCCAACATGAGCGCCCAGCACGTTCTCGCCCTCTTTCAACATATCTGAAACATCATAAGCGACAAATTGCACGGTCCGGTGGTAGTTCGTCCATCCTGGATCCAAAACGTGGCCATGCGCCGCCTTCGGGTCCCCATTACAAACGAAGTTAAAATGACCCAGTCCAGAAGCAAACACAATCGCTCTGGACGGTTTTTGAGCGAGATGGAGAGCTTTACGCATGTACAGAGGCTTATCGCCGTTGTCTCCGATCCATACGCCCTTCCATCTGTTCTGCTCGTCCTCGAACCAACTGCGGAATATTAAGCTCGTATGAGGCATGTAGGTCTGATTCATGCTGTATGGAGGTAACAATCCGCTCGATCGTGGATACGCAGTGAAGAACTCGTTCGGTGAGCTTTGAGAGGTCTGCTCATCTTGGTCCCATACGGTTACGCGCCAATAGTGAAACGACGCTGATAGAAAACCGCCGTCAGGTGCGCAAAGTACGTTGCGTTGCTGGTCGCTATCGACTTTACCCGAGTCCCAGAGTGCATGCTCAAAGTTACTAGATGTGGATAGCTCAACGCGATAGGCCGTTTGTTGCGCATCCTCTAGATCAGATTGAAGAACCCAGTAGAAGCGTAACTTATCGGAATCGATGCCAAGAGTTTCGTGGAAGGAGTGGATGCCACAGCGTGTAATCCCAAACGCCATATCGTAATCTTGTGTTGTGTGCCTCGACAGGGCACCGCCACAGGGTTATAGATGAATATCGCTCTATTTGAAAGTGAGCCTTCGCTATTGCAGAAAAGAGTTCTTCGACGGAATGGTCTGTGATGCCGACAACGACTTTTCAACGCGTAAACAAAGGTTCGATTACGTATACCAGCAAAGCGATGGTTATCACCGATGAATGCGAGACAAGAGGTCGAAACGGACAGGATCCTGCGATCGGAACGAGGGCCTGAGCGAACAGACACTGTCGCCAAGCTTGGGAACCTAGATGGAGGATGCTTGTGCGTCGGTTACAAAGGCTGTCTGAGGTACTTTCGGGGTGTGCTTGCGCGAGGTTCCCCACTTGTCGTGGACGAGCCCAACCCAGATGCATATCGGGAGGCTAGCACTTCCGCTTCGGAGGACTGTCAATGGGACACATGCTGCCGCTCACGATGATTTTGCACCTGAAACTTTCGAACTGAGACCAGTGTCACCTGCTATAAAATGGCAGCCATGGACATACATATGGTAGAGGCTCGTCCCCCATACATGCGAGCTTGCTGTGATTGCTGTGATGCCTAGTGAAGGGAGCGCCAACGATCGATTCCGAAACCGTTAATAAGCTTGTCATAGATGTACTCTATCGGGTTTTCCGAAATGTCGTCCAGGATGCCGACGCCCAGGACCGTGAAGTGGAGAAGTCGTACCGGAGCTGGGCCGAGGCTACTGCTACATTGAGCCTAGCGTCGGCCAGTGCTCCCCACCGTTCCATCGTAGTTCCCAGCTAGCAACACATCCCCAGACTTTCCATACCTGCCCATGGGGATACCATGATGATGGGGCCAAGATCGATGCATGCCACCGTATGTCTCAGCCCTCGCACTCGGGGTGTTTGCCCCCGAAGCAAGGGCCTAGACCTTCCTCTTGAATGATTGACTGTCAGTACATATTCATTCTTCTACCCTGCACAGTCAAGCAACGACAGGATCTATCTCGCATCGAACCATGGGTCTTGGAATCACGGTCCTTTCGTCTGCCTTCCTGGCAACAGGAGGCTTCCTGTTCGGGTGTGTAACCATAGCACCGCAGTAGCCACTGAAGTAATGCTAATCTGTGTATCAAGCTATGATTCCGGTATCATCACGTCGACGATCGCCCTTCCTACGTTCAAGGCACACTTCAACTCTCCTTCTGACACCGTTACGGGAGGCATTGTGTCTGCCTTCCAAGGCGGTGCGATCGCTGGTACGATATTCAACATGCTTTTCGCAGACAAGCTCGGTCGTCGCTGGACCATCTTCGTCGGCTCGCTCATTTCGGTGTTTGGCAGTGCTCTCCAAGCTGGTGCAGTCAACATGGCTATGCTCATCGTAGGCCGCTTCATTGGTGGTGTTGCGGTCGGTCAGCTCACTTCGACAATTCCAATGTACGCTGGCGAGTTATCAGAGGCCAAGTATCGTGGTATCTTATCAGGTTTACTGCAATGGATGTTGAGCTGGGGGTTTCTCGTTGCACAATGGCTGGGATATGGTTGTCAATTTAACTCGGGAGAGTTCTCGTGTACGTGGCTCATGCTATGTTCCATCCTACTGCTGGCTGACAAACCCATTAGGGCGCTTCCCTCTTGCCTTCCAAATCGTTCCCGGTCTTGTTCTTATCTGTGGCATTTTCTTCCTGCAAGAGAGTCCGCGTTGGCTTATGGAGAAAGATCGTCACGAAGAAGCACTAGCCTCTCTAAAAGTTCTTCGCAAAGGCATCGACGAGGAGATCATCGACCTCGAGTTCCGCGAGATTCGCGATGTCATCGTCGCCGATCGCGCTCTAGGAAACATCACTTGGACATCCATCATCACCAAAACGTCCTGGCGTAAGCGTCTCCTACTCGGTTGTGGTGTGCAAGCTTTTGGTCCCCTTTCTGGCATCAACGTAATTAACTATTACGGCCCTCGCATCTACAGCATTCTTGGAATATCGGCTCGTGAGTCGCTTATGATAGTCGGAATCAGCGGTGCTCTTTCCATTGTATGGTGCACCATCGGCCTAGGCCTAGTCGACAAGTTCGGTCGTATCAAACCTCTGATCATCTCTGCAGCGGGTCTGGCTGCTGCCCTACTCGTCAATGCGGTGCAAGGACAGTACTTCAACCCTTCCAACGGCGCTCAGTTACGGAGTATGGTTGCTATGAACTTCTTGTTCAGCTTCTTCTACACCCCTCTCGGCATCATATCTTGGGTATACCCAGCAGAGATCTTCCCCCTGGAGATTCGAGCGCGAGGCAACGCCATCACCACCTTTACGAATTGGACTGTCAACCTCATCTTTGCCCAGTTCTCACCACAGGCCCTGACCTCGATTGAGTTCAAGTACTTCTACGTTTTCTTTTGCTTTAACATCATTGCCCTCTTGTGCTACTGGTTCTTCTACCCCGAAACCAAGGGCAAGACATTGGAGCAAATGGATGAGCTGTTTGGAGATCAGCTTGTTCCGCATGCGATGCAGGATCCAGCTGCTGCAGCCGCCGCCATGGAAAAGGACGAAAAGCTGCACACTGAGGTACACGCTTCTCGCGTCGGCTCAGTCGCCTAGGCAAAGAGACGGGCAAGTTTGGACACTGCCAACCCCGTGATGTATCGAACTCCGTAACTCGAAGGGGGCAAAGATAGTCATAATACTCCTGAGACCAACAATTGCATTGGATTTTGGTGCAACGCGTGCGCCTGATTAAGTGAAGAAATTTTATGACATACTACACTGAAGTCTCCACGGCTATATAATTAATTGATGACTTTGAGCTTGTATTGTAAAGCGAGTCATCCTAGGCTACGCTATTAGATACTAAGCTTACAGCTTAATTATCTAACGTCCCAACATAGGGAGCTAAGGATCTGGCACCATGAAGTTCAGACATAAGCCATGAACGGGATGGCAAGCCACATAGTACTTGGTACTCGATCTGGCGATGGAACCCGTGACGAGTACAATGGCCCTCAGCATCTTACCGCCGGCGGGCAGCACACCCCTGGCCTTGCGCGCCTGCCGGTGTTGTGCTGTTGAGTTCTCCGTACGAGTACCATATATTTGAGGGGGTCGTCAGCGAACACCAGGCCAACGACGAGGAACGCGTCGGTGTATTTGCGGGACTCGCGCTCCTAATGATAGGGAGGATTGCGAGCGTCGAACCATCCTTTGGCGCATCTCGGCGAGGGGCGTACTTCGGTCGACTTTTTCCCGTTGGTGAGTCGCACAGATTGTCTGTAGCTGTGCGCGGCTGGGGACGTTCACAGCAAGTTTCGAAAGCAACTCGTTCTGCGCAATTTTTTTGCGGGGTCTAGCACCGGATCAGGTGCTTCGGTGGCGATGCTCTGGCTGATGGCCTCTCCAGGTGCTTCGCTGTGGTACTAAGCTTACAGCTTAATTATTTAACGTCCCAATATAGGGAGCTAATAATTTGGCATTATAAAGTTCAGTTTTTTGTGTCGCATACTGTGATGTATTCTCTCGATCAAGCCCCACCTGTATGCAGAAAGCGAAGGGAAGATGTTGGCTGCCTTCGTAGTTTTGGCCCGCAGTACATTTTTTGGAGTTCTCATGTGTAGAACGGCGGAAGAAGATTTGGGTTGAGAGGAAGAGAAGTGGAGTACTTCAAGGTTGGCACGACTACGGGTCGCGAGGACAGCGAAGAATACGAGGATGACAGCGCCAAGGGTTGCTTACACTGGTGATTACTGAAAGGATACCCGCTGCCAAGATGTCCGCCCACTGAACGTACCTCCTAAACGTCTGGATAGATGTCTTGGTGTTCGTGTTTCGCCCTTTGCCAAGCAGATGGGTCGTGAGCGGGGTGGGGTGGATTGCGGTGTTCCATTGTGCGTACGAGTAGCTTGGCGTAGGTTTGTAAGGTAAGCAGCCGCTACGGTTAAAGCAAGTTGTTGCTCGTAGGGCTAGCTTGGGGTATAAGTATATGGAGTCAATGACTTTGAAGAGCACATCAAGAAATTGAATCGTCGCAAGTACATGACAATCCATCAACCACACAAAATGACGTCCTTCACAGTAGCAGTCGCTGGCGGCACCGGCGGCATTGGTCGCAACATCGTCAACGGCCTTGTGCAGCAGGGGAAGCACGAGATCTTGATACTCAGTAGGAAAGTGCGTCACACAGCCTTCTCACCTCGTCTTCCTACACAGCCAATATATACTAACCCGGCCAGTCATCCACGTTGGAAATAGGATCTACTTCCATCCGCACCATCGCAACAGACTACAGCAACATCGACGGCATGAAAACCATCCTCAAAGCCAACAACATCACCATCATAATATCCGCCCTCATCCTCGCCTCCCCCGAAGGCAGCCAAGCCCAACTCAACCTCATCTCCGCCGCCGCTCAATCCGGCATCGTCAAAAAGTTTCTCCCCAGCGAATACGGCATCCACTACACCGAAGAAATCGTCTCCTTCCACCCCGCCGCACGCTACTGGCTCGATGCCGCGGACGCCCTGCGCAAGTCAAACATGCAGTTCACCCGCGTGATATTCGGCTGGACGCTGGACCACTACGGCCTGCCTCGGGTGCACAGCTACATGAAGCCATTCAAGTACGTACTTGATTTCGATAATCGCAAGGCTGCGATCCCGGGGGATGGAGAACAGCCGGTGAGTTTCCTGCATACGGCGGATCTGGCGAGGTATATTGGGGCGCTGTTGGAGGAGGACGATTGGCCTGAGCTTAGTGCTTTTGTGGCGGATACGCTTTCTTGGAAGGAGTTTGTTGGGATTGCGGAGAAGGTGACTGGTAAGTCTTTCCGGCCTGTCGTTTCCTTAGTGTGGTGACTGAAGGTGCGTAGGCGCTAAGTGGGAGGTTAAGTACGACTCTGTTACTACGCTGGAGAAGGGCGAGGCGACGATTCTGCCCCAGCTGGAGGGCGCGCCTACGGAGGCGGATTATCCTGGGATGCGCGCGATGATTAGTGAGTTCGGCTTGATGGCTGTGAGGGGCGTGTTGGATGTCAGTCGTCTCGGGGTCAGGAATGAAGAGTTTCCGCAGATCAAGCCGATGGGTGTAGAGGAGGTTGTGGAGAAGGCTTGGGGGAAGGGGCCTGGTGCTTAGACGACGGCCTAATGGTCTGTCTCCAACGACGACTTTGGTACTCCTTGTGATGAAGTCGGGTAACGAGCGTCCGGCAGAATGGCCGCATACGACTTGTCTGTGCAGAGGACCCCATGATCACGAATGATCGTTGGTTTTCGTACTTTCGGCATTTCTATTGTACGTCAATACGATGCATGTGAAGAGCTAGAAACGATGACACACGGATCCGACTTTATAAATAATTAATGCGATGACTGTGGCTGAGAATTTTATGAGGGTTTTGACGACTTTGAAGTGGTTGTTTCCCACGTTTCTGCTCGGTAGCGAACAGCATTACCCATGGATAAGGGTGCTCTGAAATAAATGTGATTTGGACGCGAACACGAGTCTTGTTGCTGTAAGATTTGGTCCAATAGGTGGGTTCCCCGGACCTGGCCTTTGTTCAAGGGGGCTATAGAAAAGCAACGGTCTGTAATTAGTCAGTTCCCCGGACTTTCCAATCAACGAAGTGGCGTCCAGGCATGTCCTAACCCAAGATACTCGTGCATGTCGTCTCTCAAAGGAGACATTCTCGTCTTGTTGAAGACCGAAATACCTAGCCCCTATCAACCTTTTACGATGTTCCGATTATCTAGAAGGGCTCCTGGCAGACGAACATCATGCGCGCGAATGGAACGAGAATGGTGGGGCGTATGTGATAACTGTAAGTGATATGTTTATCCTATTAATTGACCATCTAGACTTGTGTACTCGCCTCAAAAGTTTTCGTGTTCCCACAACGTTTGTTTCATGTTTCATGGGGAAACCGTTACGAATGGTCTCGTGCGAAATTGCTCTGTCGCCCGATACGGACATTGGCGGAACATTCATTCTGAGATACGCGACATCCGATACCAGCAACACCAAGGTATATATATCTTGGCACGTCTTTCAATTCGATCTCTTCTGCTGAACATGCGCGTTCCGCGCGAGACGGAAATGGTAGCTATGTCGCCAAGAAGTTTACGCGCCGACAGCGTTGTGTTTGTGGCGCAGCCCTTTCGAACGATTTCCGTGTCGAAGTATATATGTTGACGAAGAGGATGTTTTCGGGAGCTCAGCAGTTTGCTTTCTTCTCCCAGCTGACAATTCCTCTTCGATATATGTTCAATTCAGTCACTACCGTCGCTTTCGATCACTATCGTCCTACATCACTCTTAACCCTTAACCACCACTACAATTACTAATATTCGATACTATCTTCCGACTATCTACATCCCGAAGCTGTACCATCCCAATGAAGCTTCTCAATACCCTCCTCGGTCTTTCGACCGCGCTTGTCATTGGTGTTGCCGCCATTGGTGACTGTGACAGCGGTCCTTTCGCGGCCCTCCAGGCCGTTGGCGACAAGCACGACTCCAGCGATTTCGATGTCGAAATCTGCGAGACGCAATGGAACTCTGGTCAGGTCGTCCGTGGTGTCGAAGTCTGGGGAAGCAAGAACCGCATCAGCGGTATTTCCTTGACGTACTCCAACCAGGACAAAAGTCATCTCGTCGGCGCTCGGGACGGAGACTACCACCAATCTCTGGACTGGGACCCTTTCACTGTTCAGGTCACGCGGACCGTGCTCTGGTCTGATAAGGATGCTAATCAGCTTGGTGGGCTGCGCATCGAGCTATCCAATGGCGACACCATAGAGATGAAGGTCGACAAGATCAGTGAGAGCACGTTCAGCCCTGATATCGGTAGTGGCATTATGCTGGGTGGCTGGGGTAGAGCGGATGATCACATCACGGCTTGGGGATGGCTCTTCCTTGAGGATAAGGTGGACAAGATTCAGATTGGAGACTTTGTCTGGGACCAGGACCAGGATGATTTCGCCAAATCGCAAGCGTAGGTACACCAATGCTGGCTCATCTGACAGATGCTAATTGCGGTACAGAGGGATCAAGAAAACCGTGAAGGCGTCCCAGGGACAGTACAACTCTGCTTCAAACACCACGACTATCGCGTTCGACATCTCAGACACTGTCTCCAACTCGTACTCTTACAGTCAAAGCGTCCACTTTAACTTCGGCATGGGTTACTCTCTTGAGATCAGCGCTCAGGTTGCCGGCGCCGGCCCCAAGGCGACCACTAGCGTTTCCTTCGAGGTGGGCACGGAGTCCAAGAAGGAATGGACCGAGACGCAGAGCACGACTCTCACCTTCAAGGTCTCCCAACCAGCCTTGTCCGGGAAGACCACCATGTGCATCGGCTACGTCGAGTACGGCGAGTTCGATATGGGCTACGAAGCCAACGTTCACATTGTGCTCAAGAATGGCAAGACCTTTGATTTCAGGGAGAGGGGTGAGAGGAAGCAGACTATGTTCGGTCAGGCGCAGACGGCGTGTGCGGACGAGGATGGCGACCATTCTTCGGAAAGCCCTGAGGACTTTGTGAATCGTCATCGCCCAGCCACGACGAAGAGGGAGAACAGGAAGAGGGAGAGTAGGTTTATCTCTCGCGGGCCCGTTGCCTAGGTGCTTAGAATAGAAGGACGTGGTTTGTGCAACAGCATCATGAGTGGAGATAAGGATGTCCGCCGGCATAAAATAAACGACCTATTTTCCGAGCAGACGCAATTCGTAGGTACCGAATCTCAGAAATGTCATCTTCTCGGAGATCTGCGCAAATTCTAGAGATAAGCTCGAAACGATATATACTTGTGATACACCCCTGTCTGCATGATGGCACGAGCGGATATTGAGGGTCCACTACTCCGTTTTACGTTTGCCATGTTTGAGATGAATTGATTAACGTAATACGGCGCAGCTATGGTCCACATAGTGACTCATATCATCGCTAGCGATTGCGAGCGACGGGCTGCTGGGTGGGAAAACGTAGATTGAAGCTAACTTCGCTTCACGCAATCCGGTTCAAAGGGCAAGCCGGAAAGGGCGACCGTGGTTGTACGACTCTTCCTTCCAAAAATAGTGTCAAGCGTACTCTGCATCTCGCTATGTACCCACGAATGTAATTGCGAGCACAAGGCGAAGCATATTGAAAGAGTGACATGTAATCCCCCTTCGTCATCGCCACGTTGATGCCGAACAGTAAAAGGCTAGCAAAAGCCCATGCTTCAACTCTAGGTACAGACCCTTCCATCAGATAGTGTTTTCGTTTATCAAACTATCGGGATCCTGACACACCCAGTCCCTTTCGACCCACAGACCATCTAAACAGTCTCGTTAATCCGTGTTCTTGTCCATGTGGGGTTGCGTTGTGACTTACGTAGTTGTAGCCCGCACCAGGGCATATCCAAGAGTCGCACGGTGCGGCCTGCCCTGGGCAGCGACATGTACTCCGCCTTGCAACAACTCCGCCGGTGCAGGAGGGGAGGATTCGATTGCAGTTGGGGAGGGCCGCAATGTCGCTCGTCTCAGCTTGCTCAACGGCTCTACTAAAAACGCTCGTGGCGAAAAATAGGACCGAGAAAAAGGGGTATCGCATCTTCGCAGTTCGCAATAGCAATTTGCGACTTGACAGTAGCTTTTCTTGGAGAGAAGAGCTATTTGCTTCTAGTTGGCTCAGAGAATTAGCAGCAGTCACCATGGTAAATATATAGTCTGCATCTGTGTACGGCCCGCACCTACTATAATATGAAAACTTTGCTTATGGCGAAATACTCTATCTTTACCAGATTATGTGCATGCGGCGCGGTACGATTACTTGCAGCGCGAAAGCTGTAGCGCTACGTCGTGATGAATATAGCCGCCCGGTAGATCAGGAATCAATATACCAACCGCCTCAATGCAATTTCTTGCCCTACTACTGTACATCGAAACCGCACTTGCGTTCAACATCTCACGGATGCGCCGGATGACTTCTGCGCTAAATCGCATGAGATGTTGATAGTCGATGAAAGTAGTTCAGAAGAGCCGCAGATGATTTCTACTTGTAGTGGCAATAAGCGTCGCATGGTGGAAGTATTGTAGACTACCTGACCGGCTGTGCATCAGCGTGTCGCAGACATCTATTCCGTTATTCCGCAGCAGCATCAAGTGTGTTTGGTCCTGTTGTATTGGCCCCAGGATGAGAACATTCGAATTGCTCAGGCAAAGAGATCAGGAAGACATATCTAGGATCCACTACATACAAAACCTGAGTCGCTTCCGACTGCTAGTGATTCGGCCGAGACAACATACATCAATCTGGTCATTATGTTCAAGACACAATGCCTATTGCAAGCCGATCTATTGAGGATTCTATGTTGGCATTATGTCGAGATTCGTGTATCGATATGAGCTAATGGAACCAATTCTCAGCCTCTAAAGCGCTTCAAACGTGGGTTTTGTAAAATCTCCGTCCGGATCACAGCTTTTCTTCAGTGACAATGCTGCGTGGCGAGCTCAGGCCTACCTGTGAGCGCATCTAATGACGGAGTTGGGCACTTCATTTTGAAATTGGAGAAAGGTGGGAGGTAACGTCAAAGCGAATCTCATCTTAGGAGGTGAATCTGTGTACTCGGTCGAAGCGTGCCGTAGGATCGTTTTTGCTTTTTAGCATTAGGTGCGAAAGCGCCGCCTTGACTTTTCGAGGGCTAGAGTACGATGTCGCTCAGCGCGATGTTACTGCAATGCCGACTATCCGTTCGAATCTGAAGGATGACCATTCCTGCGGCGCATGGAAACGAGTGATTCGTCGATGAGTTTTCTATAAACAGTAAATCGAGATCTGCTGTTGGGATCTGCGCATTCTTTGCGATTGGGGGGCTTTTTCCTTAAACAAACGATGGTGGTCAGCTAGATTGTACACTAGTGAAGCTCAGAGCAACTCCGACTCAACCGAGTGACGTAGTCGGCGCCCGCGTTTCGAAACTTTAGCGTAAACCCCAGATGATCGTCAGGCGTCGAAGGATTAAGTCTACATTAGGTAGACCTAAGGAGCGGTACCAACGTGGCTCAGACGGGACGACTGTCTGCGCACGTGCATGTCATGACACTGAACAACTTCGATTGGAAGGTACCACAGCACAGACTTGAGGCAGAGCCAAGCTGGGTTACATGCATTACGAAATGCATCAGGAGCTCAGACGGAGTAGAACAGCGGCGCAAGGCAGGACGCAAGGGTGTAAAGGAGTCGAGGAATGAAGTATAAAGGGCTTGATGATTCTCAAACAACCAGAACCACATCATCGCAGCTCCTCACCATCACTATAACCTTCACTTTCAAGGGGTTTCTGCCAGTTCTTGAGCATGCGCCCTACCATTCTTGCCCTCGCGGCTTCCGCCGTAGCCACCGATGTCACTGTCGTCTGGCGCCACGAGAAGACAACTGGTAGCACCTCGCTGAGCATTCACTCCGCTGGAAGCGACAACATTCTTGCAGAGCGCTGCGGAAATGCTCTCGGATCTCTCGACTTCTCCGGTGTGGACCAGCACGGTGCCGGCAACTTCACTGTAGGCGGAGAAACATTCGACGTCAGCAGCAAGCTCCAGGATGGAGTCAGCTGCAACCGCAAATACAACGGTGTCATCGCTGTCGCCGAATGCTCCGGCGTCAAGCTTGAAGTACCGGAAGGTGAATCTCAGTCTGCGGACTGCTTCACAGACGAGGACGCGAAGGCTTCGTTCCTTGCCCTGAAGGCGAGAAATGTCAACGCAGTTGCTCCCACTCGTGTCGAGCGGCGCTCCACACCGAGTTCAACTTTCAAGCTTCGGGGCCGACAGCAATGCCATGACGAGAAGTCAACCGTTGTCAACGGTGACGGAGATCCGCACCAGAACTACTTCCACAAGCAGCTTTCGGTACGTATTGGGTGAACAGAACGGCATGTACTGAATCCGATCTCTAACTGCGCGTAGGAGGTAATCAACTGCGGTGCCGCTCCATCCTGTTCAGCGGGTTACGAAGTCTCCAAGTCCTACACGATCGGGTTTTCGTCTGGAATCAGTGTCGATAGCTGGATCTCAGCAGGTTTCGAGGTACAGAAGTCCTGGACGACGGGCAACGAGTACACATGTTACGGCGCATCAGGGGACGATGTGTGCATATGGTACAATACGGCTCACACAGCTTGTAAGTGTTCCTGACGATGCGCAACCGGATATGACTCACTCTTCTCTAAGACACTGTTCACAACCATGTCTACAACACATGCGTTCCAAACGAAAGAGATTCTGATCCTTTTGTCATCAAGTCTCCGAACAAGTCGAACCGCGGCGGAGGTATGTACTGTGTTATTGGCACTTGCCGAGCGCAAGGGGACGAGTACTGGGACAACACTGGCAGGGCAGGCGGGCCTTGAATGTAGTTACAACCTGCTTTGCGCAAGAGTGAGGGACCTGATTCCTTCGCAAGCTATGCCGACCGGCACGCTATGTATGTTTGTAGTGGTATTCCGAATCCACCAAATGATTCATATCGCTTGTAGCTCAAAAGTGACGTTGCTGATGATATTGCCTCTGGTTCAACAGTGTGCTTCGAGAAGGAAAAATTCTCCAACTGGATGTATGTACCCGCAAAATCAACCCAGCAAGTCTGGGACCCAATACAGCCCATGCACAGATCTCTCTGACATAGTGATGCATGCCATGTTCGACTGGGTCGCCTGTTTTCGGTGTCTTTGCCCGCCGAGAGGGTTGCGGGTAGGTAGTCAAGCAGGTATTTAGGCCCAAAAAAAAAGGATTTCCGGCCGCAAAAAAGAATTGGACTCGCGGGGAATTGAACCCCGGACCTCTCCCATCGTCTCTAGTAATTGCAGAAGATGCAATTCCTATGCTAAGGGAAAATCATACCACTAGACCACAAGCCCTGTACTTGATTGATGAAAAGTTTTCGTTTTTACTACATTATATAGAAAGACTGTTACTCTGGACATCGTGGGAGGATATCGTCCGACGTCCGATCGGCTCGCTTCGTAATTGGTCTGAAACTTCCACTTTGCGGGACACCCGTGCGAAGCGAGCTGTTCGGGAAATCCGCCACCATCCTCCGGAAATCCCGTTCACCATGTACTCTGTACCCGATGTGAAGATTGGTGTTAGCTGCCTGATGCACTTCTGCGCCGTTAGCCTGGATGGCTGCACGTCGGTCCACAGCCATGGAGACGGCTTCCTCCCACATCAGCGAAGGGTACCACAGTATGCAGATGTGGGGAAGTGGGTCAATACCTCCCTCTACGTCGTTTGCACCATGTCTGAGCCGACGTATAAGTGTGCGTTCCAGACTGCTTCTGTCTGTGGGCGGAGCGAATGCCTCTTCCGGCATGCGCAGGCTTGTGAATGCAATGTGACTTGGGCTAGACTTTTATTTCGCTTGCGCAGCGGCTGCGCGTTCTCGTCCTTTAGAACATAGCCCACGGCACCCGTTAGACATGGCATTGTAGGATCGTTGTCGAGTATGGTTGGGCGCTTTCAAATCATGTAGCTACACTGATGCGACTGTGGTAGTTTTCGTCACGTGGAGACTTCAGTGTAAGATGTGAAAATCTTTCTTTACTTGATCAGGCGCATGTGTTGCACCAAAATACAATGCAATGGTGCCAGATTCTCAGCTCCCTATGTTGGGACGTTAAATAATTGGCTACAAGCTTACTATCTAATAGTATACCCTAGGATGACTCGCTTTACAATACAAGTTCAAAGTCATCAACTAATAACATATAGCCGTATCTCATGTTAGCCCAAGAGCCAATTCAGCCTTTTCTATCAGCCACTGTGCAAAGGAACTCACTCTACACATGGAATCCCAGTAAGCGACACAAAAACCCAAACTTTAATGCCTTCTCAGCTGCCCATATCGAGAGGCTAGATAATCAGCTACAAGCTTAGTATCTAATAACATACCCCAGGATAACTCACTTCATAATACACATCCAAAGTTCTAACCTAATAACACATGCCCGCATCTCATGCAGGATACTCACGCTATCCTACAGCCTCGCCCTAACCTTCTTCGCCGCAAGTAAACTCCTCTTACTATCCCCCCCATGGCTCACCGCAACCGGCGCGTCAGCGAGCTTCCCATCTTTCTTCTCCCGCGTGTCCCTCGCATCGACGTACTCCCTCTCCCCAGAGCCTAGATAAAGCTGTCTCGGCCGCCAGATTTTAACACCGCCGGGCGTGAGCATCTGCTGGCGCCAGTGGGCGAGCCAGCCGACGCAGCGCGGGACGGCGAATAGAACGGGGTAGAAGCTAGAACGTTAGAATTTCTCTTCGATAAGAAACGAAAGGAAAGGAAAGGAAAGGAAATTAAAGGAAAAGGAGCACCTACTCCAACGGGAAGCCCATAGCCTGATAAATAAGCCCAGAGTAAAAGTCCACATTCGGATACAACTTCCTGCTCTTCATAAACTCGCTTTCCCTCGCATATCTTGCCAGCTCCAGCGCGGTATCAAGCAGCTGATTCCGCCCCGTAACCTTGAACACCTCGTCTGCAAGCTGGCGGATGGCCGTGCTGCGCGGATCCACGTTCTTGTACACGCGGTGCCCGAAGCCGACGAGGACGCGCTTGCGGGCTTCGACGTCCGCCATGAAAGACGGGACGTTGGCGGGGGATCCGATTTCCATGAGCATGCGGATTGCGGACTCGGAGGCGCCGCCGTGGGAGGGGCCGTAGAGGGCGGCGCAGCCGGCGGCGACGACGGAGTAGGGGTCTACGAGGGAGGAGCCGACTTGGAGGACGGTGGCGGTGGAGCAGTTTACTTCGTGGTCTGCGTGGATGATGAAGAGGGCGTCCAGGGCCTTTTCGAGGACGGGGTGGGGCTTGTAGTTGTCGCGGTCGGAGAGGGTGTCGAGGAGGTGGAGGAAGTTGCCGGTGTAGGAGAGGCCTTGGGCGGGGCGGTTGAAGGGGCGGCCTTGGCGCATGCGGTAGGAGGCTGCGGCGAGGGTGGGGGCTTTGCCTAGGATGCGGAGGATTTGCTTGTCGAGGACTTGGAGGCTTTCCAGGTCTCCTGAGGCGGCGTTGGTGTAGAGCTTTTGGCCGCGGAGCGAGGGGTTGGCTTCTGGGGCGAAGGCGCCGAGGGTGGCGAAGGCAGCTGTTAGCATGGACATGGGGTGCGAGTCGTAGCGGAAGCTTTTCAACAAGCCTTCGATGTCCGTGTGGACGAAGGTGTGATGGCTGATCTCATCCTGCCAGTTGCCGAACTGCGATTCGGTGGGCAGCTCGCCGTAGATGAGCAGGAATGCGGTCTCGAGAAAGTTGCTCTTCTGAACCAGCTGTTCGATGGGGTATCCACGGTATCGGAGGATGCCTTCCAAGCCGTTGATGTATGTAATTTTGCTTTGAACAACGGCTGTGTTCATATAAGCAGGGTCGTAAACTCTCAGACCTTGCTTAGTCTCATCTTCTGGGCTGTCCTCCGGCGCCGGCTCGGCCTTGATGTTTTTTATATCGGTGGCCAGGACCGAGTTGTGTGTAATGGGTAATTCATAAGACTTTCCGGTGCGGTTGTCGACTACTGTCAGTGACTGCCGCGGCGTTGTTGTGAGACCCATTCTGGGGTAGTGATTGGGATTTGAGTTCGCGGTTCCTTGGGCGAGAGTTGACCGTCTGAAATTGTATGTCGTTGGGTTTTATGTGCTCATACACATTCACCGAGACCAGTGTACGTATCGGCGTTCGTCTGCGCTCTGTCCCTTGCTCTTGTTCGATCGAACGCGGAAAAACAACCGGAACTTGCGCAACGGACCGTATATTTACACTTCTTCTCCAACCAGACACACGAGTAACGGCGAACGGAATTACGTTGTTGTGTGATGAGGCAAGGGACGGGGATTATTTGAGGCATGTGATGAAGCCACGTGACGTGAGGCTCCACCCTGTGCCGAGGTCTGCCAACACGCCGAGGAAGCCGTCTCTCCGACTTCCATAGAGTGAAGGCTGTAATACCGGCCGCGCTTATGCTTGGGCGTTGTCAAGCATAGTACATGCATTCTCAACAAGTTTGAGAAATGGCATGTGTCCGGCCGTCCGAGACAAGATCGCACGACAGAGCAACACCCTTCGTTTAATGTCGCGATTGGAACGCCCCGAGCCTCGTTGCGCAGCGGTTGTGGGAGTATCTAAAGTGTTGTCAGCTCGAGGACGCAATGCAGACAATAGGCGCGATTTCTCCCCACTGTATCCCGAAGCAGGAAGTCAAAATATGAAGTTGAACGTTCAAATTAAACATGATTATACACAGCGCAATGCCTCTAGCCATTCATGCAGATTTGCCCACTCCCTCGCACACCCTTTCATCTCGCCGACTTTTCTAAATGCCACGATGGGCCTCCGATCTAGTCTCAGCATCGTACCGCCAATGAAGCTGCCTTAAGTCCTTGACTTCTCCCCAGCGACCTTCGCAGTCTCCTCCTGGAGCTTCTTAATCGTCTCCGCGCTCGCCTTGACCTCGCCGCGATCCGCCTTGACCTGCATTACGTTAGCCCCTTCCTTCCAACTCTCTCCAATGTTTTGCTATTCCAGCTGGGTGTCTAAGAGAGACCTAGGGTAAACGTACGATGCTCTCGGAATCACTTGCAAGCCCCTCTTCCCAATGTCCCTTGCCCTCCTTCTGCTTCCTCAGCTGCTCCTCCTTCGTCTTCTGAACTTCTTCCGCGCGACCCTCATCATCTGCGGTTGTATTAGTTGAGCTGTCTTATTTAACCATCTCTCCCAGATGGAACCGGGATCGAAGAAAAAGTCGGACATACGGAGATGCGTCTCCTTACCCGCAGCGCGCAGGGCAGAGCCGTGGAAGGCGGCGCGCTGGGAAAGAGCGAACGGTGCGCGGCGGGCGGCTAGAGCTCGGATTGCGGACATGATGATAAATTCTTGTGGATGAGGTGATGTTTGGGTTCGGTGTTCGGTCGATGGATGTCGCGGGGCGGAAGAAGCTTGAGCTATTCGCCAAGGTAGGTAGGTATGCAAGGGGATTCGTGTGTCGTAAGCTTGCGGCAATGTCAACTTGAACAGGAGCTATGTGGTGATGTTGGTGAAGGAGAGAAAAAGTCGCAATGGCAGGACCAATGGGTAAGGAAAGCCGAGGTGATGATGATGGAGCTTCAACAAGAATGACGTCAATGCCGCTTTGGTGTTAGCGTTGAGGCAGCTCCGTTCCACCCACGGCGAGGGATTTCAAATGGACAGATCTCCTGGTACGACTTTGTACAGCAGCAAATCTGATGCTAGGGATTTTTAGCAGGAGCTTAGAGACTGGCTTCCCTGTGACGCCTGGGATTTGTGAAATACTATGCTGTGAATGGTCTTCTCCTTCGAAGCGTGCATGTGGGATTAGTGGTGAGCTTGTGCTTTCCACAGTTCTGCCATGTTCCGACGCCTTTCTACGGTGTTCATCTGGCTCCTTTGCAAGGCACGGGGTTTGTGAAATGCTACGTTCTGAATGGTTTTCCCCTGGGCTTGGGATTGATGTGAGCTTGCCTTTCCGCCATGTCTGTGCTATCTTACGCCTCTACGGTGTGCACATGAGTTCATAGATACTCCTCCGCTCCTCTTACACACATCCCAAAGCCGTACCTAGAACTATGAAGTAGCCTCCCCACAAGACCCCTATGCAAGATCGCTCCACCCACCCACACGTGGAAACACGGCATCGGTACCACCGTTTATAACATCGTTTCTCTTTCCCCTGCATAACCGTATGTATGTAAACTACCTTACACATCAGCTGAACATGCGGGTGGTGCGATGGGGCGAGCACCCCGCGAAACCATCTGAAACAGCCTCAGCGCCTCTGTGACGGGCGGCGGGGCAGGCGTCGCAAGCAAACTCCGTGCGTGGAAACAGCGCAGAGCGAGACAGTGCGTCATAGGAAGGTGGGACTGTTGTCACTGAAGGGTGTTTGGTGTGGTAAATGGTAGATATGACTTTGCGGTGGGACATCTGACTTTGTGGTGAGATGGAATGGAACATCCGGGCTCCATAATAGAATCTCGATCATACCTGCAGTTTGGACAAGTTTGTGTTCAACACTGAAGAAGTTGCGATTCCTAGATAAAACTCACTGCCCCCGACGATAAAGCATCGGGGCGTGTAAAGTACGCGAGGCGAACCCCTAGCCAAAGCGGACGGACCAAACGACATCCAAGAAAGAACGCTCGCTCGCTGCCGCTCGACTCCAAGGTCTACCGACTCTGCATACAGAGAGGATGGAAAATAGATAGCGAAAGGAAATAACAGAGAAACACCAACACGCGATTGACGTGAATCATCCCAGCCGTGCCGTACAGTATCAAGAGACAAACCCGCAAACATGTGAGATATGCACCAGACCCATTCGAACCAAATGACCAGAAGCGACACCAGCACCATCGCGCTACAATAACACCCAGCTTTCTCCGCGCCGTTAACATGGTATTCCCAGCACCCCGAACCAACACATAAGAAATCTACCCTTGCCTGTACAGACGACCGGGCGACAATAACTTGAAGTTAGACGATCCAAACGCTACAGAACACCTATATCTGTAACCAGAAAATTTTCTTGTAAGTCTTTAGAAACCAAAATGCGATCCAGAACACCGTTGTTTGCAATCCGCCGTGAATGCGTAGCGCAGGAGACACGAAATGCCAGAAGCGCTCTATCCGAAATGATGTTTTCGCTAGTGCAACGCCGTCGCCCGTGGAGTGGTATACCCTATATGTCGAAGGAGATATCGTAGATTTGTACAAGGAGAGTCGATAGTATAGACGGGTGATCCTCCGGAGGATGTCGGGAGAAGATAATTAGATCCTGATAGCAAGCTTGACGGACAAGCATGCCGGGTTAGCCACTAGCTCAGCAACGCGCAATGCAATCCGAATAGTACGCCTGGCCTCGTGCCGGCCGAGCCATTACCAGCGCCGGAACTGCTGCTGCATCTGTCGGTTTGGCGAGACAGATGGGGGTGGGCTAGCAACAGCACGCGTGGATGGGTCTACGATGGGGATGGCATTGCGAGTGCGCTGAGCTAGCGGCTGGTGAAGCTTTGTTTGAGAAGCATTACTCGACTGAAAGGAAGCCGGAGTGTAGGGATTAGGCGCAGAAGATAAGACAAAGGAAGGAGTCGGCTGCAGCTGGTGCTGCAGTGGCGACTGTTCAGGTGAACCACTTGACAGGGACGAGCGGTCGGAGCCAGAGGAGTGTATGGACTGGAGCTGTTGGTCGAAGGTTAGCGCATGGTCGGCCGATGACATCGGGTGGCGAACATCGCCAGTCGGAAGCGTCATGGCACTTACATCGTCCTCGGTGAGCAGGTGGAACGGGCAGAAGAGCTCGTCGTCCTCGAGATCGAACGACCTGGCGGCCTCGAAGTCGCGGCGGAAGGCGAGCAGGGTTGGCGGCTCTACGACAAACTCTTTTGGGGTCCGTACTTGGCGGAACTGCTTGTTGTGCTGCGCCGCCGAGATCCGGGGTGCCCTGCGCGACCGGCCACCATGGTGGTTATGGTTGTTGTGGGCGTTGAGGTGTGAAGGGTGATGTTGCGCTCCGTAGCTAAACATGGTTGCGATGGTTGGAAGGTTGCGTGATGAGTATTGGGCCGATTGTCGGTGAAGAGGGATGCTGAGAAATGCCACCCAAAACAAAGAAGGGGCGGTCGGCTATTCGGATGCAGCGGTAAGCAGCGGCGATCGGCGGGCGGGTCGGTTTGCGAGAAAGATGGTTGCGCACGAAGATTACGGTGGATGAGGATGGAGAGCGAGGTCGGACAGAGTGTACAGAGAAGCGTTTGGATATGGAGAAGCTGAAAGGCGGCGGGCGAAAGAGGAGGGCAGGAGCCGGACGCTCCCACGCTTTTGTGGATGGGCGGTAGAGGGCTGCAATTGGACAAAGCGTGCTGTGGCAAACCTTACTCGACACGGCATGGCTCGCCTGCACCTCGACTGCGGACTGCCCTGAGCGCGCATCCTAGGAACGCACCATCAGGACTCCGTGGTCGACTTTGGCTGGCACCGACACGCTGGCCATCCGCCGGCGCTCTCATCAGCGCACAGTGCGGACGGGACGCGCACGGCGGCAGCGCTTCTTCGACAGCGTCGCCGTCACGACTCAGCGCTGGAGTGGGCATGGACGACAGCACTGCGCGACGGGCGGAGGACTCGACGGGCCCCTGCCAGCCTCATGTCTCAAAGGAGGCGAAGCTGCCAAACACTTCATGCAGGCCACGAGGCTAGGCAGGTTGTAGCGGCTGCTGGGCGGGCGCGGTGGAGGGCTGGCATCGTGACCGCGATCGTCTTGACCGCCTCCTCCCACGGCTCGCCCTCAGTGGCCCGCTGCAGGGGCAGGCTCACGCGCAGAGCACCCCACCAGACAGCGCATTCCGACGCTGCGATGGACCAGCTAGACCAGAGTGCTGCTGCGACTCGACGAGCTGCCACCCTGGAGTCCACCACGCTGCTCGAGTCCGTCGCAGAAGTCCGCCGGTCGGTCGGCTGCAGCGCTGCATCTTGCGAAGCGCTACCGATAGCGCAAGCAGTGCCTCGCTGGCGCTGGGGTTGCCGGCCTGGCGTCCGCTCGCTGCATCTCTGCCGATTGCGCATCGTTCCTCGTTGCAGCAAGCACCCGACTGTTCTGGAATGCCGCGCTGTGTTGGGTGTCGCGACCCTTCAGTGGCCCATGAGGTCACGCAGGCGCTGCGGCCCCCAGTGGCGGGTGAATGGCGGGGCGAGGCAGGTCGACAGCCAGCTTCCGACCGCTGGTTGGATGCAGCCAGCGCCTGGAGGCTTCGAGACGCCTGCTGCCACTCCCAGCCTTCTGTTCCCGGCCTTGGGCGAAGACCCTGTGCGTGCGACGTGCCGAAACATCCCACATGAGGGGCAGGAGAATGCAGGACGAACAACAGGGCAGGCCCAATCAAACAAGCACCCTGTCTGCGCCAGATTTAGAAGATCTGGAGCCTCCGTGCTCGAGCCCATGCCCATCAGTGTCCTCCCGCCCGCCCTTGGAAACACCACTGCCACGGGCCAAGCTCTACCGCATTGACCTTGGCAATCGCTTGTTGCCCTGGAGCCACCATGCGCTGACGCTGCTCTCCGCCGCGGGGGACGCAGTGCACCCAGGGACAATGTGTCTGAGTGATAGGCGATTTTTGTTGAGTTAGCGAGCATGGAGCCCTGGAAAGCGTGAGGTGGTCAGCCGCGCTTAGCTGTGCGCTGGTGGTCAGCACCTAATTTAACTGCACAGCGGTGGCATGGAAACCCAGTGTTGACGACAAGCGTGAGCATCATCGAACGCAGCCTGGCCGTCTGTGACTTTTGCGGTGTGATTCTTGATGGGTGAATGAAGAGTATATACATGGTATTGTATAATCCGGGTATCAACACACCGCCTGCCACCAGCGCGAGCGTACTGAGCGTCCGCGAATCTGCCTCTTGTTTTGTTGTCGCGTCTGAGTCGCCCATGGCAACCTTCAGCTTTCGCAGAGCATTTCGGACGTACATCGCACGCTGCGATATGGATTCTTCGCTCCGACTTCTGTCTCGCGATATTGTCCTCCGTCTGCTTATTTAGCAGACCGCGACGCCGCAGCCCCGTCAGATGTCATCATCGTGCTGCGCCGCAAGTCCGATCACCCAAATTCCTCCGAAGCGCTCGGAACACGGCCTCAACCTGGCATCAGTCGTAGTCTACTTGTCTAGTCCTCTGGCCTTGACAAATTTGGCAATCTGGTCTTTGCATGTCTTCTCCGCGTAGGAATCCCATATCTCGTAGAGCGATATGAGCTCCTGCGTGCACTCTACGACGGCCTCAATATCGACGGTGCTTTCTGCCAGCCAGTCGACGAGCTTTTGGACCCGGTTCTGCGTCCCTTGTCCTGCTCCACCGCGAGCGTTGCCTAGTGCTTGTAGTGCGCTCGCAACGCCTGCAGCGTGTACTTGAAGGCCGCCTTGAGTGGGTTTGAGGACAACCGCCAGGAACATGGCAGTGATGGCGATTACGTGAGGGGCATGTAGAAGTGGGAGCTCGGTCAGATAGTGGTCGTTTATGATTGACCAAGCCAACGAATTTTCCTCCTGTGTGAGCTGGAACTGGCTCTGAAGTTCGGCTAAGCTGCGATAAGGGTGGTGGATAATGAGCTGAGAGTTCATTTCCGAGATCAAAGTAAACTCGCATTCACCAATCTTCGAGATGTCGTTGAAGGCAGTATCTACTCGACGGATCAGAATATAGTTATAGGAAGGTAGAGGACCATACCCCAACAGTGGCGAGCTTCCGCTAAGATCATTCTTATGTGTTGCGGACACTCCTCCATCTTGCAAGCCAGATACAAAGCCGTTGCCAGAACCAGCGCCGGATTAGTTCGACGAATCTCTACTTTTACGTAGAATCGTCTGACGTAGACCTGCGCGGTTGCCAACGCCTGCTGACGGACGCCCAGCGGTCGTGCCATTTTTGACAACTCTGTTATCATTATAGTCAGAATCAGGGGTCAAGATTGCAAAGAGGGCATCTAACTCACGATGGTAGAAGTATATACTCAAATGTCGCCTGTCTGGTACCGGGTACATATTGACAAGGTTCCGTTCCGAGTCTTCCAACCGTTTCCGTTCAAGGGCTAATTGCGGCTTTGTGAATGTCCAGAATTTCTTCTGGGTCGATTCCCAGTAGCTAGACGCCATGTTGTCGTGACTATCGAAAAAAAGGTCCAAGCAGTTGGTGCCTATGTCCTGATAAGGCTGAAATGAGAGTGGGCCAGTGATCTGAGACAAATCGAATCAGAGTGCAGTCAATGTCACCGCATGCCCTCGAATCGAAAAACAAGCGTGAACAGACGATGTAAGAATATCCCTTAATGGATAGCGAGCAGGTTGGTAATTCCGAAGTGCTGCTGGTAGGTTGTCAGGTTATGGGCAATAATACATGGACGAACAAACGCAGCGATGGACGAAATATCTTGCTCAAAGTTTAGAGCTCAAAAGAGACGAACGAAAGGAGCGGTGGATTGATTCAACAATGCAAACGGGGTGTGGTGGTGATCTACGAGTGTTCGAGGATCGCGGGTAGTGTTGGACATGGCGCCCTAGCTCCGTGGCTCCTTCCGAAGTGGGCACGCTTCCTAGCCGGGTCTCAAAGCTCTACATCATAGCAGCACCCCGCTTGTCTTTCATCGATCACGACCTATGCTCCCGACCTATCCCTCGCTCCTTTGCCAATTCGCGCTCTCCGACCGAGCCTCACCCTGTACAGCGATCCGCAGCTCATAGCCATGCTAGACCACAGATAACAACACGATGGACACCGAGACCGCGAACGCGCAGGATGCACGGGTGGACGCATTATGGGCGACCCTTGACACGCGGAATCAGGGGCATCTGGGTCTCGCAGAGCTGAAGAAGGGCCTGCGAAAGCTGGATCACCGTATGCCTCCGCCGATGGTACCCGAGGAGCTCTCGCTAATTGGCAGCAGCGCTGAAAAATGCCGATCACATTCTGGCGGACGTGATGAAGTCGGTGGACACAAATGGGGACGGACGCATATCCTATAATGGTCAGGAATTGCAGTCGCTCTGCTGTGGCTTATGCTGACATGTTGGTGCAGAGTTTCGCACCTTCGTGCAGGAGACAGAAAGGGAGCTCCTGGCGCTCTTCAAGAGCATTGATATCGACCAGAATGGGAGAATATCGAGGGAAGAGCTCCAGGCCGCCTTCAGTCGCAATGGACTGGCGGTCCCCAACCGCAAGTTGGACGTATTCTTCTCCGAGGTGGACGTAAACAACGACGGGGCCATAAGCTTCGAGGAATGGCGGTACGTCTTCACCGGTAGCGCGGCCCACACCTGCGCACAAATGGTCCTCGGATTGGGACCTTCACCTTCACTATTCACACTGGCAAACGACACTTTCTAACGTCAATAGGGACTTCCTATTGTTCATGCCGGCCACCGCGCCGAATCTTCATCAGGTGATGAGCTACTACCAGGAAACTCACCACATCAACCCAGAAGGCGATGTCCTGATCAGTGACGATACCATCAGCGGACTAGGTATACAATTTCTCAATTATCTCTTTGGCTCTATCTTTCTTGTAGCAAGAACACCGCCCCTCTCTGCTTCTGCGTTTGCTGAATCTTTCGGCTCGCTCGACATGGCTGCGCCAAGCGAGGACGTGTTTTCTACGGCTTCGCAGACCCTCCCGCCACGTTACGATGTCAAGGACCTCTCTGCCACCGTTGGTGCGGAGCAGAAGGCGCTCCTCCAAAACGTAGCATCTGTGCTGATTGGTTGTTTTCCTGATATAGAGTACTTCGTGGCGGGAGGGATTGCTGGGATTGGTAAGTTACCCCAGGTATGCTGCACGCAATGCAAAGGCTTACTTTGCACTTACTCCTAGTCTCTCGCACCTCGACCGCACCTCTCGACCGCCTGAAAGTGTACCTCATTGCGCAGACCAGCGTCACAAAGGAAGCCGTGGATGCTGCAAAGTCCGGCAATGTCTTTCGAGCCGCCATGAATGCATGGCGTCCGCTCGCTGGAGCTACGAAAGAGCTCTGGCAGGCTGGCGGCATGCGCAGTCTGTACGCGGGTAAGTCGATTTCGCCTCATCGCGATTGGCTCGACTGACTCGTGACAGGAAATGGATTGAACGTTGTCAAGGTTATGCCTGAATCGGCTATCAAGTTTGGTGCTTATGAAGTATGTTGAATCTCACACACTCAAGTTCCATCAGTCTAACATTTTCAGGCCGCAAAACGAGCTTTTGCCACCCTCGAAGGCCACAGCGATCCTTCCATAATTCATTCCTGGTCCAAATTCGTAGCAGGCGGCATGGCAGGTGAGGACGCAACATTCCTTCTCTTGGATGCCTAGACTAATCAGGCCAGGCATGATTTCACAATTCGCCGTCTACCCTATTGATACTCTCAAATTGTAAGTTGTGCTAAACTACGTTTTGGTGAGCTTCCTACTGACACTTTGACAGCCGCATGCAGTGCGAAACCGTGTCCGGAGGTCTTCACGGCAACCGCCTGATCATCGCTACAGCAAAGAAGATGTGGCGCCAAGGCGGTATTGCCGCGTATTACCGCGGTATCGGCATGGGCCTCGTTGGCATCTTTCCCTACGCCGCCTTAGACTTGGGAACTTTCGAATACCTCAAGCGCACCGTCACAATCCGCAACGCCCGGAAACGTGGATGCCATGAAGAAGACGCAGCACCGGGCGGCTTCATGACTGCAGCCATTGGAGGCTTCTCCGGAGCATTTGGAGCAAGTGTTGTCTATCCAATAAACCTACTTCGCACCCGGTTACAGAGCCAAGGGACAGTCCTCCACCCTCGAACCTATACCGGCATTGTAGATGTGACGCGACAGACGATCAAGGGCGAAGGGGCTAGGGGCTTGTTCAAGGGCCTCACGCCGAACCTGCTGAAGGTGGTTCCGGCTGTGTCCATCACCTACGTCGTCTACGACAAGTCAAAGGCTGCGCTTGGCATACATTGAGCCCTCAAGTCTTAGTCCAGCAACGACTAAAGCCATCACAACTATTTCGACGGTACAAACCAAGGACATCCTGCGATTACCTCATTGAGTAACAGAGGACCATAACTCTTCTGCCATTTTGGATCGTCACATCACCCCTATCACACCGATTGGAAATCTTTACACATACATCTCCCTACGACCAGCCACCTTCCAACCACGCCGAGCCGGTTCTACCCTCGGAGCGTTTTCTTTGCGTCCTTAAAGATACCCGAATGGCCGATCCTCCACAGAGAGAGACCCGGACCGCAGATTTGCATTACACGCCGTTTAGCTATTAGTCCTTTTGCATCTTGTGCTCGGAGCGCAGGCGTTTAGATCGAGATAGATCATGAAGAGTGGCTGGGTCGGAGGGAAACATGGAGAGGCGGGTACGATAGCTCTTGTATTATGGTATCTGAAAGTGAAGCGATTTAGCATTGAATCGAGACTTCCAGAATTCAAACGTTGCGTATCTAATTGCGAAAATGGCTACAAGAAAGCGGATAGATGTCCATAGTATAGTCAGAAACGCATAGGGGGCCTTGCCCAGCCCGTGTACTCCAGAACGCCGTCTATGCATGCATACATGCGTGTTCCCTCTCGCTGTCTCTTCCTCTGTCTCACATCCTCATCCAGCCGTATGTGCACGCATCCCCTCCCCTTTATTTCGTAATAACAATCAACAACACCAACACAACGATCAGCACCACAATAACAGTCAAACTCCAATTCTCCTTCGCCTTCCTACTAAACCTATCCAGCCGTCCGCGCGCCCGCCGGAACTGCCCCGCATGCCGATCAACCCCCTCTTCGACGTCGTCCAGCAGCACAACCTGCCCATCTAGCTCATCCCCAATCTGCATGCTCAACTCCCGCTGCCGCCCGATACTCGCGCCCAGCTGGTCCAGCTGATCGTCCTGCTCGCTGATCACGCGGCTGTGGTACTCGTGGATCTGGTGGTTCGACAGCTCAGCCTGGTCGGGCGGCGCATCGGACGGGTCATCGCGGTAGGGGAAGAGCGATGCGCGGTTTGCATCTTCCTCTGCGTCGTCGTCTCTGAAGCGCACGGATTTTGAAACCTGGCGGGGTTTCTTGGACTGTGCGGCTTGGAAGTCGGAGGAGAGGGAGGGGTCGTTTGGCGTTGTGAGGGTGGGGAGGTGGGTGTTTCGGCGGAGGGGCGGAATTGGGAGGTTAGGTCTGTGAGTTGGGTGCGGAGGCGGGGGAGTTGGGATGTTATTGAGCTGTGGTTGTTTGGTTAGAGTGGTGCGTGAGAGGGGAGGTCTGAGAGGACGCACTCGTCGGGGTTGTCTTGTACTTGCGACTCGAGGGACTCGATGCCGGAGCGGAGTTGTTCTAGTGAGCGCGATATCTGGGCGTCTTGCGAGTTGGGAGAGAGGTTGAGGGAGATTGCGCGCTGGCGCTCGAGGAGGGAGAGCTTGATGTGGTCTGCGAGGAGGAAGAGCTGGGGTGGGTTTGTGGTCGACATTGGGCTGGTGCGTAGAGAAGATGCGAGTGAATGTGGTTGTGGAGGCACGGGAGGTTACGCGCAAGACAAGTGCGGAGCCGAATGGGGATGCCCGACGCGGGAAGGAGCGAACCGGCGCTGGCTGGAATCACGAAAAGCGTCACGGATGGTTGTAATGCAAAGGGTCAAGCAGGCTGCATGCACGAACGAGGAGTGCTGGGCCTGGCTCCACTTGGTGACGCCAGCCCGGAGCCTCAGGGCAAGTTCCCGTGCCGTGGCTTGTCGGTGCCCCAGCCTTGGCGGCGGGCACCGACAGGTGGGATGGAATGATGGACTGACTTGTTTGTCCACATGCGTGTCTCGCCTTTGCACCACCACCTAAGACGAAGGCATGGACGTGTGCGCATTCCTTGTCGATTGTCACACACCGCCTGCGCCGCCTTTTATATGATTGCCTGAGCCCTCGCCCGCAGCAATACTGTTGGATGCGAGGGCAACCCACCTACCACCGACCTCCACCGCTGCCGACCGCGTACCACAGCCTGACCGCCTCAGCGGTCGCCCAGCCCCTGGCGTGATCTCTTGCGTCTCGCTCGGGCGGCCTCTTTACTATTGAAGTGCAGCTCAAGCATCTTCCATCTCGTTGCCAGTCATGTCATCTCCCGAGCCCATCCCCCCGCCCAATGACCGGCGAAGCTCTAGGGCCTCGTCGGCGGGCATGGACACGGCAGACGGCATCCTACCGGTCGGTGGCCCTCCCAACGACCCTTCACCACTCCAAATCCGTGCATCAAACTCATTGAACTCGAAGAACCGCCGCTCCACCATCGCAAAGCAGCCGCCCGACCTGCACCTCCTCGAATACGTCTCGCAGCCCGACAGCAACCTCGTCTGCCTCATCTGCCACTCGCCTTTCGACCGCCCCGTTCAGCTCTTCTGCGGCCACTTCTTCTGCCGCGAATGCCTCGACCATGCGTGGTGCGCGCAGCAAGAGGGCCGCAAGACGTGTCCGACGTGCAGGAGCAGGGTGGATCCCGAGAAGGACGTGCGGCCTGTGCCCAAGATCATCGAGACGATGCTGGATGAGCTGGTGGTCAAGTGTCCGAATGCGAAGTCGGGATGCGGTTGGGTCGAGCAGCGTGTCAATGTGAACGACCATGTCATGCTGTACTGCGAGTACACGCTCGTGGAATGCGCGCAGCACGACTGCCGGTTGCACATCTCGCAGAAGGAGTTCCACAAGGGCTGCTTGCACTATACCGTGAGCTGTGAGGATTGTCACACCTCGATGATGAAGAAGGATCTGGAGGTATGTTGTTTGAAATCACTATTGGATTGTTTGTTGATAGTATGAGTATAGGACCACCAGCGGACGGCCTGCGCAAATCGCTCGACGAACTGTCTTCACTGCGATGCCAGCCTCCTGCGGCTCGATCTCAAGACGCATATCAAAGATGCCTGCGGCAAGGTCATCACCCCGTGTCAGGGCACGATAGTCGGCTGCACCTTCACCGCAGAGCGAGCGCAGACGAACCTCCACGAGAAGAGCTGCCCAATGGCCACGATGGCGCCTCACTTCCGCGACCAACAAGCCCGCATCGAGCGAAACGAGGCCCGCCTAGAACCCTTGACCCGCAAAGTTGGCATCCTGGAAGACGGCCTCTCCAGCATCACAAACATGCTCTACCCCGCCAACGACTCTGCCTCCACCTTCCCCGTCACCAACCCCTGGATCCCAACATCTCCTACTCCTTCCCCCTCGAATCTCGTCCCCACCCCGACTTCCGCCTCCCGCCCGCCTCGTTCCCACCCGTACCCCAAGACGCATCGCAGCCCCTTCACCAACCCCAGCCACCCCTTCGACTCCCAAGTGCACCACCTCCTCACCCTCCACGAGTCCCTCCGCGACGAAGTCAACCGCATCGCCAACGCGCTCACCGACCTCGAAGGCCGCACAAACATGATGGTCATGAACGAGAGCCAGCGCACAAAGGACGACATGCTGCACACGAACGCGGCGATCAACGGGATGCGCCACCAGCTGCACTGGCTGATCAGCGCGACGCTGCAGCAGCGCAACTCGACGCGGACGGCGGCGAACGCGGCGAGCGGGAGTACGAGTGGTGCACGGCAGGGGGGGAGTGCGGCGAGACAGGGGCCGAGCGCGGGGTTCCATGCGCCGTTGAGGAGGTTGAGCGATTCGACGAGGCAGGATACGAAGCTTTGAGGAGGTGTCGTTCCTTGCAACGTTTACGAAAGGAAAAGTGTTTTGGCGTTTGGCGGGTATACGGGGATAAGAAGGCCGTGGTGACTAACAGGAGTTTATTAGATGGGACAGCTGGTGAATAGGAATAGGAATAGGAACAGGAATAGGAACAGGAACAGGAACAGGAACAGGAATAGGAATAGGAATAGGAATAGGAACAGGAATAGGAATAGGAATAGGAATAGGAATAGGAATAGGAATACCCCTTATTGAGCGTGGCATTGCACAGAACAGGATCCTGGCTTGTAGTTGCTCCTCGGGAGACGAGTGCACATGTAGCACCAAAATAAAAGCATTCCGACATGTTGGACACCTCGACACAGCGACATTACCTCCGTGAGGAAGTATCGAAGGAACTGTGTTTACTCGCTGGAAATCAGCATCATGCAGTGCAGTATATATAACAGCACACAAGTTCCACGGGCTATCACGCACTTTTGCCTCTCTCTGCTACTCAAACCGACACGACACAACACTCGAACCAACTACCTCTACCACACGGCACATATATATATACTCTACCGTCCCCACTTCTTCAAGAACTCCTCGTCCATTTTCTTGGCGTGGATTGGCCTCCTTTCCTATCCATATATATATACCGCTCCCTCAGAGTCCACGAGCACGCGAACATCCATCCCTCCCCCATCACGACCTTGCTATCCTCCCCTCCACAGTGTAGGAAAGTCCGCACACATCCATCCCACCGTTTCCAGAAAGATTTTATCAACACATACTCTCCTTCCACGTTGTAAAGTAAAGTAAAGTATTTAGTGTAGGTAGGTAGGTGTAGGCCCATCAATCTCATCAATCTCATCACTCTCATCAATCTCATCACTCTCATCAATCTCATCACTCTCATCAATCTCATCACTCTCATCAATCTCATCACTCTCATCAATCTCATCACTCTCATCATCATCACATCACATCATACATAGTGCAAAACAAAAAAAAACAGAAAAAAAGTGTCGGTCGTAGAAGCGCTACGATACTCCAGGAGTGATGGAGATAGAGAGAGATAGATAGATAGAGATAGATAGAACACACTGTCTATCTACGCCATCTACATCTACCTACCTACCCATCTATCTATCCCCTCCCTCTGCTATCATCTGCCCGTTCCTCAAAAAGCGTTCCGTTCCGCGTTCCGGGTTAGCAAGAATGAATGATGCAGAGTATACTACTATGCACGCACGTACAAGCGCAACAGGGCTATTCCTCAGGAGCTCAGCCTTCGCCTACCGCACCGTACGCTACAAGCCCCCCTCTTCGCCTTCAGCCGAACCGAACTACGCAAAGATCAAGCACAAGCACAAGCACAAGTCTAGATGATGCTATGCTGCACAGTAGGAAAAATCACGTAATCAGCACCACGCAACCATGTGAAGCTCGACACTCCACACGCAGCAAAGCCAGTCACGGGTTGCAGAAAAACCAAACGCATTGGAGTGGAATAGCTTTCGATTAAAAATTACCCAGACCGACAGACCGACACGTCGGCACTCATGCCTGGCCATCTATCTATCTGTCTGTCTGTCTGTCTGTCCGTCCGTCCGTCTTATCCACCCATCCACCCATTCATCCATCCGTCACCACGACAGACAACCCACCGCCACCTTTCATTCACTCGCCACGAAGCTCCCGTCGTACCCTCCCCATCCCCAAAAAGAAAAACGCAAAACGATAGTTAAAAAAAAAAGCAGAGTGGGTATCTCATCACCGCGCCGGTGCAAAAATGCTCTCGATGTGTGTATGCGTGTGCAAGGAACCAAAACGAACGTAAACAAACAAAACAAAAACAACGCAACTCAGCGTCCTACACGCTTCAACGCCTCCGCCTGCGAACCCGGCGGACACCCCCGCGAAATAGCAGGCGCGCCAACCACATAGAAGTCCTAATGAGCTCGCGATCGACGTCAGGCCCGAGTCCACGCAGGAGGAGGCGGGCGCGCCTGGCGTAAACTACCCCGCGAGATGGCCGGAGCAAGCCACCTGAAATCTTGCAAGATTGAACGATCGACGGCGGGATCTGTCATCCACCATGGAGTATGACCTGCGTGTTGTACATTGCTAAAACGCGTCGGGGGATTAGATCGCAGGGGGTGGGGATGAGGTGGCTGGCCGAGAAGCAAGCGGTCCGGAGTGGGGATGCGCTCCTGGGCAGCTTGGGGTGACAATGGAGAAGGGCGCTGTTGCGCGGGCGGCGCATTCGTAGTCGCTGGATTAGGCCGTGCGGCCTGAGGTGATTGCTGGCCGGGAGGCGAAACCTGGATCGTTGGAGGACGTTGTTCTTGGGGATGTGGCCGAGCATGACGTACATCTCCTTCTATCTTATGCAAGATATAAACGTATAGGGAGTGGATACTAATATGATGCTCGTCTCCCTCCGGCTGGCGCGACCTAATGGCGTCTTCACCACTCTTCGTGCGGTCGACGAAAGTTCGCTCCGGTTCAATGAGGGGCTACTCAAAAACCATTGCGACAAGTACATGCTTAGCGTCGTAGTTCCAGGAGGGGTGGGATTCGAGCGGTTGGTTTTCGTCGATGATCTTGCCACCATAGACGATGCGAATGGTGACAAAAGGACTCAGCTGCGCACACAATTAGCTCACGTTCCGTTTTGGATCTCCCGTTCGAGACTGGCACTCTCCACATGTCCACCCAAAAGGATTGGTAGACTTACCCCGGCCTTTGCTTTCAGCTTCGTAACCAAACTGCCCACACGTTCCCCCCTCCTAATGTCGACCTTATAGTCTTTCCCGGTAGAGCTCAGTCTGCACTTAACTTTGACCTCTTCCCCAAGGTCCTCGGCTTCCACCTCTTTATCGTCATCTGCGCCAACGCTGCCTGCTTCATCCTTGAGGTCTTCCTCTTCCACCAAGCCGTCAGGCTCGATGACAATCCACTCAGGAACCTTATACCATTCGCCGCGATTGTCGAAGATGCCACGCCACAGCATGCCGTTTGGACACGTGCACTCAGTCGCATCGAGTAGCACCTGAGCTTCCCGTATGTCGCCAGCCTGTAGCGACTGCACCATGCTCCGCAATGCAGCCCATATCTCGGATGAGCCTGTTGTGCGCGTGTCCCACCAGTCGTTCCTCTCTTTCTCAAGCCTTTGCCGGGTCCACTGTCCACTCATGCTGTCACTGAGCGGTGGCACATGAACTCTATGGCTGCCGACTGTAGGCGAAGCGAGCGTGTTGGGCAGCTTCGAGCGATGCGCCGGGTCGATGGGCTTTACAGGTATGTTGGGCCTGTTTTCAGCAACAGGATGCGAGGCTGAGGCTCGAGGCGAAGTGACGGTGGAGGCATTTGGCGGAGTGGGGTCGTTGATATTGCGCTGAGAAGCGCTGGGTTGGTTCGCGAGCGCGTCCTCTCTGTCGGAGCGCGAAAGACAGCAACCCTATGCGAGCGTTAGCCAGAGCTTGCAAAAGTTCAAACACGGTGTGCTCTGGGTAGCACAAGCGCATGCGCGTTTGTGCGTCTAATGTTGCCCTGAGCTTGTCGATGTCTTGGGCGACAAGAGCCGCATTCGGCAGCGAGTCCTCTCGCGCTCCTGCGCCATTCCACGCTCCCATCGTCGTGAGGTCTCGCAACGCAAGGCTAGCTCATGCATCACACGACAAACCAGGGATGGCGGTCCACTCACCATGTTTCCACTTCCTTGTCCACAAAAGAATGCGCGCAAACAACGCGAATGGAAGGCTCTGTTACGGCCAAAGAATACACATTAGAAAGATGTATGAGCGAGTGCGCGCGCAAATACAAGAATAACGATGGCACTGGAAGAGTGAAGAAGCGAGGCTGTGCAGCGACTGCGGGGAAGCTCCAACTTGTCAGGCCAGTCTCTCGAGATATGCACGGAAGGCACGACCAGGTAGCACGCGCGGCACCACACCAACAGCCAAAGCGGGAAGCAGCTCCCCTCTTGTACCCCTCTCATACGAGCAGCCACCACAGATGCTCTCGATCCAGACTCCCGCTAATGCAGCGGCGAGCAAGTCATGGCAAGCGGACAGCGCATTCGACATCTTGTCGCGCACGTCACGCCATTCTACTGCCCTGCTGATTCGCCGTCCCCTACGTGCACCACCCGAAGCTGGTCGCGAATCCTGAGTCCACATCACCATGATACTTCCCCTCTCCAAAACCACGCACGAAGAACAGTTGTTGTGCAACAAGAAACGCATCCATTTTCTATTAGGTATTATTAGGTGCAGGGTGCCCTAGTGGCCGCTCGTGCTCGCCTCATAAGACTGCACGCAGGGTATCAGGGGGTATTGCGCGATAAACGACCATGGTAAACGACAGCCAGAACCAAACAGACATTGGTATCAAATAGGAGAGGAAAACAAGTGCAGAGTGGTATCAATCTAGACAAAAAGCCGTGGACATAAGCACCGCATAGGCAACACATGATCCTTCCAACAAAACATGTCAAGGCCGCCGGCAGATCTTGTCCCACAACGAGAGCGAGCGAACTGGAGTTGGTCGAACGGAAGCTGGGTATATAGGAAAGGAAACGTGCAGGGGAACGCGATCCAGGACTTACACCAAAGTGAAATCCTGGGGGTATTTTGGGGGGTAGGGGGGCGGTCAAACAAGCGAGGAGCGCTTGACTTGCTTTTCCGTCATTCCATCATGGCTGTCGTGGACGTATGTGGGATCTTCCCACCATACTTTATGCAGTGGCAGAGACTTGGGGCGTGCTTTTGGAGTCCTGCCCTACTGCGACGGCGTCCGAGGTGACATCGCCAATGGTGGCGGGCTCGGTAGCAGTGGCAGCAGGGCCTTCGGTGGTGTCCTTGGTCTCCTCAGCGATGGGAGCGACCTCGGTCTTCTCCTCCTTGGGCTCGGCGGCGTCCTCAACCTTGGCGGCGGGAGCGGTCTCCTTCTTGGGCTTGCCGGCCTTGCTGGCGGCGCGGAACAGGCCGCCGAAGCCACCCTTACCCTCACCCTCCTTCTTGCTGCCGAGGGCACCGAAGATGGAGCCACGCTTCTTCTCCTTGGTGGCAGGGGTGGTGGTGGCAGCGTCAACAGCTGGCTCCTCCTTGGCAACCTCCTCCTTGGGAGCCTCGGTGGTAGGCTCGACAGCGGCAGGGGCGCCGACAGCCGGGGTCTCCTCGATCTTGGGGGGCCTCCTCAGTCTTGGGGAGCTCGGGAGCCTTCTCAGTGGCGGGAGACTTGACCTTCTCCTTGTTGCCGCCGAGGAACTTGCCGAAAGAGAAAGACTGCTTCTCCTTGTGGGGAGTAGTACCAGTAGCCTTAGTCTCCTTGGGCTCCACGGCCTTCAGGGCTTCTGAGGTGCTGTCGAGAGGAGCGGCCTCAACAGGAGCAACAGGAGGGAGGACAGGAGCAGTCGCACCGGTCGCAGGCTCTTCAATCTTGGGGGCATCGGTAGCAACCTCAGACTCCTTGGCGGGAACAGTGGGGACAAGGTCAGCCTCCTTCTTCTCGTGGGTAGGGCTCTTCAGCTTCTCCACGAAGTTGCCGAAGATGGAGCCACGCTTGGTGGGCTTGGGCTTCTCCTCAACCTTCTTCTCCTCAACAGGGACGACAGGAGCAGTCTCCTCGGCCTTCTTCTCCTCGACAGGGGGGATCTCGGAGGTGATGACGGGAGCAGTCACGGGAGCAGTGGAGGCTATCATGGTCAGTTGGGATCGTGATGAAACAAGTCGGAAAAGACTCACCCTCAGTGGCAGGCTCAGTAGTAGCAGGAGTAGCCTCCTCAGCCTTCTTCTCCTCCTTCTTTTCCTCGGACTTCTCCTTCTTCTCCTCCTTCTTCTCTTCGACCTTCTCCTCGGCCTTGTCCTTCTTTCCGAGGAGACCACCGAAGATGGAAGCACGCTTTCCGCGGGAAACGGAGCGGCTCTTGCTCTTGGCGGCCTTCTTGCGCCTCTTCTCCTCGTCGGAAGAGCTGGAAGAGGAAGATCCAACGCGAGCAGCAGGGGCGGTCTCCTCACCAGCAACAGCGGAAGCCTCACCCTCCGCGGGCTTGGGCGCAACATCGGTGCTCTTCTTGGGGGTGGAGCCAGCGGCAACGGTAGGAGCTAGCGTAGCGGGCTTGCCTGTGGGGCGTGTCAGTGCGTATGCACAACGGGAACAAGCGAATGCAACCCCTTTCGATGTCGCGACGCGTCGAGATTTTCATGAGAAAAAAATAATTTGCTAGACTTACCGAGCTTGGAGAGCTCCTCCTTGTAGGTCTCGTTGGCAACGATGCTGTCCTTGGCAGCCTTGGCCTCCTCGATGGCCTGCTCAAAGGCGACGAACCAGCCATTGCGCTCGGCAGTAGTTTGAGCCTCGAAGGTGTGCTTGCCGCCGTGGAGCTTGAAGTGGAAAGCGACAATTCCGTCCTTGGTGAGCTCAGTGGCATCGGCCTTGACATGGTCAGCTGGTAATCATCAGGTCGTCGTCAAAATACATACAAGCTTCAAGGCACCAGCGGGGGTGGCCTTCTCGTCCGCGTGCTTGACGAAGTAGAGCAGTCCCTTGCCGGTGACGCTGGACCAGGCCGCAGTCGAGTGCGCAACCTCGGCCTTCTCGCCGCGAAGGTACTGGCTGAGGCTGGACGTGGGGACAGGGGCCTCCTCGCCGAACCAGAAGTACTTCTTAGAGAAGCGGAATGCGCTGTCAACTGTCAGCTGCCGCGCCAAATTGTCAGCGCTACGAAACCTACTTTTTCAGGCCAGGGGCCTTGTAACCGAGAGCACCGCTGTAGATGGGCTCAATCGGCTTCTCCTCCTTCTTTTCCTCAACGGGAGCGGCGGCGGTCTCGCCCTCGGTCTTGGGAGTCTCGTCTACCGGCGCAGCTGCGTCGTCGGGCTTCTCCTCAGTCGCAGCAGCAGGTGCTGCCTGGGTGGTCTCGACAGCGCTGGCCTCCTGGAGGGGCTCAGACTGCTGTGGCTCAACGAGCGGGTGGTTCAGGGCGGCGGACATGATTGCAGATTCGGCAGGTTGCTGGAGAATTGCGGGTATAAGGGCGACGATAGCACGCGGGTGAGTGGGCAGAGACGTGGGGGTTGAGACAAGCTCGGGTGAATTACAAACGTATACGGAAAGAAGAGTGCTCTGTGCCGGCAGGTGGCAGCTTCGGCGTGGAAGTCTCGAACGTGAGGCGAGCAAACGTGGGAGTAGAGAATGAGGGAGGAACAGCACGCCACGAAAGGGCCGGGAGAGTTTTAAGGTGCGAGGGTTGGTTGCTAGGGGCGCTGCAGGGATGTACCGAAATTTGTCTTTGCAGCACGTCCATTGCAGCCGCCGCAGACCCGCTCGCTGTATCACGCCTGGCCCTCGCGCCGTCGAATGAACGTGAGTCAACAGCGTTATGCATGGCTGAAACATGCATAGCGGCCTTTGTTGAGGCTGCCTTCACAGTGTCTGCCATGGCTTGCTTGTTGATGTCGACGGCAGCGGCGGGCCTTGAAGAACACAAGACACAGCCTGCGTAGAGTACTAGAGCCGACGGCGCTGATAATGCTGCCTCGCATCTCGGCGCAGCTTGATCGCCTGACCTCCCCCTCCGCGCCCTTCCAACGGTCCAACCTCTCATCACCAAGCTCCACCATCAGGGTTCTGTCCCCTCACGAGATATGGATAACGGCGGCCACCGCATTCGACCCCGAGATCTTGCGCATCTGCCTGCGCGGAGCTGCTGCTATTGGCGGTGGGCTACCCCCGCAGCCCATTGTATCATTCTGCAGACACCCTCGCCATCCCACACGTACTCATCCAGATAGATGCTGCGCCCAGCCAGGCAATCTGGCAGGGAGGGGCACGCGTCGCCTCCCGTGCTTGCAGGTCCCAACCCGTCTCGAGGGCGTCTCTGTGAAGGACCACCACCAGACTGTTCTGCCGGCGTGCAACACCACGCCTTTTTATCCCAACCATCGCCAGCCTCTGCACAACTGCAGCCCGCTTCGTGGTCGACCATGTGAAGCGGCCCAAGCTCGCTGCTAGACAGCATTGGACAAGCCTGGCGCAGCCTCGACGGCGAATTGCGGGCTTTCAAGGGCGCCGATCCCCGTTTAGAGCACGAGACCCTTGCGTGCCCGGCATGGCATGGGCCCTTCGCAAACTGCCCGCCATCACGAGAGCGGCCTCCGTCTGGTTTAGCTGACGCCTGCGGATCATTACCGGCCATGTTTTCGCCCACACGGTTTCGAATTTTGCGACGTGGGCGCGCTGGCGTTGCACACACGCGTGGCGGGCACGTCGACCTGTTAGACTGCCTGCGCTGAGAGCACTGGCGACACGCTCCCTCTGCGCAACGCTGCAGGGCCACAGAACCGTGCCCGATGTATTGAGCATCGCGAGACGGCCATTCCCTATTGAGATACCCAGCAGCGCATGGACGCGGATGCTCATGAACCTTGGCCGATGCCTTCGGCTGATCTAGCGCCATGAACCATGCGAGGCGCCTCACGTGAAAAGGGGCAAGGTCAACCGCATTTCACTTCAGATTCTTCATGTTTGACCGACGGGCCAGAGCCACGGTTCAGCTTGCCACCATTCTGATGACACGGCTGTGTCAGATCCACTCGCCTCCTCCACGCCCAGTACATCATCAAACGTGGACTTCCTCTCGGTTTGCATCTTCATCTCCTCACGCGCTTCGCACGGCTCCCCATCGATAACAGCCGCTGAAGATCCCCCTAGAATCTCCATCTGGCCAATCTCCGTGCGCTGTGCACACCGCCACAGATCAGACCTCGATGCAAAGGCAGGCCCTGTGAACGGCACGGGTCGGCGCATTGGGGCCCTGGATAATACTGCGATTGCTAATGTCAAGTCTCATGCTTTGGCTGTGGCCATCCTTCACATCCAAACTCTGCCACGTATCGATCCAACGGCTGTGACAATATCTCCATCTATTGTTGCTAACGCGAAAATTCGGCTTTTGACATCCACTGTGAGTTGATAAACAAGCATATCTTCCGCATGTTAGGGTTCGGGTGCCGAGCCTCTAGGCCAGGTAATTTACCAAACTGTGAGGTTCTTTCCACCCGCACCAAGTGTAAGCCTCTTCAATAGATCATCAGCCCCGAGTCAAGAAGAACTGCGGGGCAAGTTGCGATGTGTCTGCATTGCCGAATGCGGACCCCATTCATTGCGCCTATCAGTCCTCGCATTCTGCTCGCCATCTCACGCGTAAATCCTCCGATCGATGCCTCGTAATCAATCTCTGTTGCACACCTTTGTGACTTTGTCTAATATATGCCAAACCGCGCGTTCTAGGGAATATGTTTCGTCGCTTCCGCGGACATTGGTGGCTGCGCTTCCAGACACAAACACTCCACCAATGGCCGTGATGAGGAACCAACGTGATGAAACGGCGGTGTCCGGCGTCCCATCTCCGACTAATCACCCTCGAGCTCCGATGATTCTGCTGTCGTCGAAATAAGCTCACGCCTCGCGGCTGCGAGATGGGAGCGGTGGTTGCTTCCTTCCTCTTCTGGCACAGCGTGACGACGTCTCACGTCCATTTCATCACGTCCTCCGACCTGCGAGTCCGAGGCATGATCCAGCAAAGTATCTGCACCCTCCTCGAGGTTGCGTTTGGCATTGTTGAAACTGAAATGTTCATGCTAATGCGACCACGTCAGAGGGCGGGTCGGGTGTGCCTTCCTTCTATGCGCCGCACTCGCAGCCAAGGCAGGAACGTCTTTCAGCGCATGGATCTTCCCCAACTTTTTTCTTCTACTATAGGTACTAATGTTCTCGAATCTCTGACAACGCGTGGACATCCCTTCAAGGTGCTTTTTTGCGGCTCGTCGGCGAGGATACCCTTTCTTACCTCACCGGAGCGTCGAACTTTGATCTTCACCTTTATCGACAAGCTGCTGCTTTGGCGCTGCCAGCAGAGCAACAATGCGTAGAGTATGGGCGGGCGCGAACGGGACCTTATTCATCTCGTAGGCCGCATGCGTCCGATCTTTGTACCTTGCATCGCATGGTGACTGCCGTGTTGATGAGGTTATCACGCGAGGTAATACTCAGGAACCCCAGTGCTAAAGAACAGTGTTCGTACAGTATCGACTATCACGGTGCGCAAACTTTCAATACGTCTATTTGATAACAAAGAGAAAGGAGATGTGTCATACAAGTCGTTAATTCATCATAGCCATGAACGTCCTCCTGTCCCCGGCGCCACCTCACGGAGGAATCGAGTCACCGCCAATCACCTCAAAAGGACCCCCCAAATCTTCAGGCTCTTCTACCTCCTCCCCACCTGCAGCTTCCCTTCTTGGTCTCCCCTCTCGCCGAGCTGCGGCCATTCGTAGCAACCCGGGCCGGACCAGCCGCCGTGCTTCACTCCAGCTCCACATGTCGACCGCCCGTTCTCTCACCGTCAAGCCATCATCTGTTGTTCTCGCGTCTAGACTAGCACCAGCGTGTACTAGACTCACTGCAACTCCCGTATCGCCTGAGCACACGGCTTGATGGAGGGGCGTCCATCCATCTTTATCGGCATAGTGGATGTCGGCTCCTGCTCTTATGAGCATGTCGGCGATTGCAGGACTGCTCGAGCAGAGGGGTGTCCAAGTCTCGTCGTCTACGGCCTCTATCGTGGAGCATTCGGTCAACGAGAGCAGAGCATCTGCCGCGTGGGGAAGATCGTGGTCAGCGGCCAAGTGTAACGGCGTTCGCTTCTTAGATGCAAGTGCCGTGAAGTCAGCTCCTCGCTCGAGCAGCAAGAGTGCAATATCCTCCTTCTCGTTGATGAGAGCACAGTGGAGGGGCCGATTGCCGTCGGGAAGAGGGCGCTCGATATCGGCACCTGCGTCCAGGAGCTGAGCAACGACGGCCGTGTTGCCACTCGCGCAGGCTTCGTGCAGGCTGAGCCATCCCCTGGTATCCGCGGCGTTGACGTCGATTTCTTGCTCCAGAATCTTCGCTAAAACATTGTTCAGCCCATTGCGGGCGGCAAAATGCAGGGCAGTGTGGTTCCTGTCGGTCTTCCAGTTCACATGAGCGCCTTCTTCCATCAGCGTCAGCGCAAGCGCCTCGTGTCCCCAGCTCAGAGCGCATGCGAGTGGCGTGTGGCCTTTCAACGTCTGCTCGTTGATGTCCAAACCCATCTCGATCAAAGGAGGGCAGAAGCTTCGGCCTTTGGCGGCCATTACGTGCAGGGCGCTTGCATTGGTTTCGTGGGTCTTTGCTTTGAGGTTGGCTCCTCGTCGTATCAATTGCAAGCCGAAGTATGGGTCATGTTCACAAGCCAAGAAGAAGGGCGTCACCCCACCGTTGGCTTTGGCTTCGATGTCTGCCCCGCGATCGAGCAGCAAGTCGATCATGCGCAGATCTTGGTGGTGCGTTGCCACGTGCAGGAGCGTGAATCCGTTGGCGTCGCGGTCTTCGTCCACACTTTCTATCGACATGACCATCTGTTCTGCGAGATCAGGCGCGGCATTCCAGGCTCTTGAGGGGTCTTTGGTTTGTCCGAGAACGAAGGAAAATGCCGTCCAGTTAAGATCGACTCCTTGGTTGATACGGCAGCGGCCAGAGTTGAGCAGTGTGGTTACCAGTTGCTCATCATTCTTGTCTCTCATGTTGACGACTGCGTAATCGAAAGGTGTCATTCCCGGCCCTTTGCGCTTGCCCGACTCACTCATGGCTTGATTTGGATCAGCCCCGGCTTCGAGCAGGACCTGCACGATATCGAGGTAGCGTTTGGTCACTGCCATTCCCAAGGGCGTCGTACCAGACTCCAGCCTGCGGTTCACGTCGCAGCCGTGATGAACCACGGCCTTTACCATGTCGACATCATGCTTTTCTAGCGCAGCACGCAGCATCTTCGCCATGGCCAACCGTTCTACTAAAGTTCCGCCTTGCTTCAGAACCCAGCCAATCCAGGCGTGCTTGTTAGGCTCGCCCTCTTGCACCTCCATATACGAGTACATGACTGAGGCGGTGGCCATCAGCGCCTTGACCGTGGCGTGCTCTCTGGCCATGGCGAATTGCACGGCTACGCTTTCCTTCGGATACTCCTCGCCTCCAATGGCTTCCAGCAGGACGCCTACAGCCTCCGGGCATCGATGCAACAGCGCAACATCAAGCACACTATTCCCATCGGCGGCGATAGCGTGTAAATCCGCACCATGTTCTATCAGCTTCTTGACCACCTCCGCCTCGTCCGCACACGCAGCCGACATAAGCGGCGTGCAGCCCTCTGGGTCATCGCTCCTCGCCTCAACATCCGCCCCAGCAGCGATGAGCATCTCCACAATCTCAGCATGTCCGAAATGACTCGCCAGATTCAGCGCAGCTATAACACGTCAGCAACCCGTCCTCCATCCCACCATATCAATCAATCAACTCACTATGTCCCAGCCCATCCCTCCCTCAAGGCCCCCGCCCTTCTCCACCAGAAACTTCACTATCCCACCATACCCCGCACAGCCGCCCAATGCATCGCCGTCGCCCCATTCTTACTCTTAGCACACACATCCGCGCCCTGCGCAACCAGTACTTTCACAACGTCCAAGTGCCCCTCCTGAGCAGCAAGCACAAGCGCTGTCCTGCCCCCTCCGCACCGCGCCTCGACGTCCACGCCCGTCTGGCGGGTTAGGAAATCAACGGAGGCGACGACACCCTCGGACGCAGCCCAGTGCAACACGGTCTTTCCCGCCGGGCCGGAAACGCTGCTCAGCACAGCGCCGTGCGATAGTAATAGTTGCATGAGCGCCGGGCTCCGCGCGCGGCATACAGCGGCGTGCACGAGCGGCGGGAGGCGATGTACGCGGTGGTTGGGCTCTGCGCCCCTTACGAGTAAGAGGTGGGTTGCTTCGACGTGGCCTTCTCCAATGGCGATAACGAGGGGCGTGTACCCGTCTGATGATTCGATCTCGATGGGGAGGCCGGCATCAAGTAGATGTGTTAAGGTGGGAAGGTCGTTGTTTCTAGCGGCTTCGAAGAGGGCGCTGGTAGGGGGAGAGGCGGGTCTGATGGGGAGGAGGAGACGCGGATCTTGTACTCTGCCTTGTCGTAGTTTCTGCGGGAGGGGGTGTAGGTGTGCTTGGCGTTGTAAGGAGTCGTGGATTGCGATGCTTGAACGCGAGGAGCCCGGCTTTCATGTCGCCTGTTGCGCTTGCGATGACTTCGTCTTCTTCTTCTCCCTTTTCGTTTACCTCTTCCTCTCTATCTTCCTCCGAAGCGCGTCCTCCCACTTCATCCCCCCCGCTCATCTTCTCCATCTCTTTCTCTTTCCCTATCTCTTTCGCAATCTCTATCTCTCCCCGCAACGCTGTCCTCAAACAACCCGTGCTAGCGTCCCCGTCCAAGCGCGCGCGCTCACGACGCTGGCGAACACCTAACATTTAGCTGTGCAGATTTGACTCTTGTGTCCACCTCGGCGAGCAATATCTCCTCCGCCGCAGTTGTAATTGTAGAAAATGTACAAACCGCGCAGTGCACATGCACACCGTCGCCTTTATCAACATGTCTGACGTTCGCGCGCGCGCCCAAAAGCGAGCTTCGCTCCAGGCAGCAAGTCAGCACCGCCCCCACATCCAGCCTAACTTCAGCCTCGGGTGAGACCACGACCGCCGTCGCGGACCTGCATTGGGCTTATACCCCGCCCTACTCGACCTCTTCAATTCACCGTAGATAATGTCGTCACACGTATTGATCTTGCGCATATCTACAATGAACTAAAGATCGAGAAACCAATGTTCTGTTCAGCTTAGAAATACCCTTCCACACATGATCGTAGTAACATGGCATGGCACACATGTGTCTGCAAGGAACCGGCCATACAAGCATAAAAAAGCAAATCTACTCTACTTTCCTGTTGAATGTAACATGTCCGTTCACCTGAAACGGTGAGACTTCACACAAGTGCGGGACTTCACCATCTCCAGAATGCAAAGCGTGCATGCGACCGTACCTATCGTCTCACCGACTAGCGCGAGAGACGGGAAGAGCTCTAATGCCCATTTCGCCCTACCAAACCCACCCTCTACTTATCCTGCTTAGGTCCAACTCACCACCCCTATCCCAAATCCCTTCCCCTCACCCACACGTCGTCATCACTCCAGCCATGCCCTAGCCCCTCAACTTCCTCCCCCTCGCCCTCCTCTCCGTCTCCCTCATCACCCCCATCTCCCCCATCATCCTCGTCCTCATCTTCACCTTCCGCTTCAGCTTCAGGCGAATACACATTGCTCGACGGAGAAAGCTCATCCTCAGGGCGAACATTCTCGACGCGGGGTCCGATTCCACCGTCTTGACGTGCGTGCTCCTCGACCGTTTGCTGAACATGGTTCATCGCATTCAGGAGAGCCCCATTCGCTGGCCCAGGGCGATGCGGTCCATATGAAATCGGACCAGATGGATATGGTGACTGATACGGTACCGGTGGATATGGTGACTGATACGGTCCAGGCTGGTACGGAGACTGATACGCTCCAGGCTGATACGAAGACTGATGTGGAGACCGATGTAACGGTACTGGTGGATACGGAGACTGATACGGTACTGGTGGATACGGAGACTGATACGTTCCAGGTCCATACAATCCAGGCTGATACGCTCCAGGCTGGTCCTCCACACGAATAGGCATCTCCGCATCGAGTCTAACCCCACCCTCTTGAGACTCACCAGCCTGATCCTCCACACGAATAGGCATCTCCGCATCGAGTCTAACACCCCCCTCTCGAGACTCACCAGCCTCGCTTCCAGAAGGCGGAACTGACATGATACTTGGAAATGGCGATGTAGCCGAACATTGCGGCGATGCACGTCGTCGGGTTTTGCCCCTGCCTTTCTTCGATGTTCCCACAGCCTTCCAAGCCCGGGTCGAAACCATCACTGGCGACCGCTCTCTGAACGTGTAATCGATCCCCTGATCCAATAGTTCACGGTGTCGCTGGACCGCCATATCAAGGTCGTGTCCATCCAGAAAGCGTACCACGGTACCATCTTCTGCTGGAGCTTCTGGATGCTGATCTGATACTGCTGCGCTGGAACGGCGCCGCTGTTGGAGTCCGCCATGTCCCGGAGGCTGGAGGTAGAGTCAGTGTGATACATGAAAGAAAAATTGACTAGTAACTTACAACTATTGTTATCCGTGGCGGGAGGTTCTGTTGTTGCGCAACGGGGCCGGGCCAAACGGCCTGCATTGGGACCAGTTGACCTGGTGCTCCAAGAGACCTGATGTACTGTGAGCAAGAATACATCATGTGAACGACACAACTGACATGGTTCCAGGCTGATGCTGTTGAGGATGTCTTGGTCCAGCCGTCGAATTTGGCGGGCCATACGGTGACACATATCCACTCGAGGCCGCGTTTGCAGAGGCGCCAGGTTGTATGGTTCCAATGGATGAACGTCCTTGTCCATCTGGAAGCTGCCACTGGTTCGTGAATTGAGGCGCAAGCTGGTTTGGATGCGTGTATAATTGTGGTTGCTGATACGAGCCTGTAGAAAACTGCCCGAAGTGACCATGAGAGCTCGAAATACCCGCAGGTGGGTGAGATTGTTGGGTCGTAGTCGCGAGATGCTGGTGGTAGGCGTCGCAGAGTTGTTGATATGGGTTATTGTTATTATTCAGCTGTAGGAACTGCTGTTGATACATGTTGTCCATTTGCTGCCGATGCCGTCGATGCTCCTGTTGAGCTGCATACCCGCGCTGGAGCCGCACTTGATATTCATGATCATGTACGAGTTGCTGTATATAATGAGTAAGTGCAGTCACACGTTGTTGAGCTTGCTGTTGAAGCTCGTGTGCATCCGGGCGCAGGCGTTCGAGTTGCTCCAGCTCTTGTCTAGCCATATTCAAACGATGTTGCTGTGACTGTACATGTTCAAGATGCCGTAGATCCTGTTGAGCCGCTTGGTGCTGCAGATACTGCTGGTCAGCCGGAGTCAACTGGGATGGTTGCTGCAAATTGTCTTGACGAGGTGTAGATTGACTTGCGTGTGAATGCGAAGACTGGTGCGCAGGGGTTGTGTTGTGACTTGGGTGCGAAGGCTGTTGCGCAGCAGTCATATGGAGATGTGAATGCCCCTGCGGAAACGCACTCTCGAGACGTTGATCCGCCTGACTGAGCCTGCGCCCATCGCTCGGATCTCGTTTCTGCCTGGCGCGCCGCTCTGGTGGTGCTCCTCCCCTGAGGGATGGCCTTAGTTCTGATTTAGACTGGTTTTGGGCGTTGTCCTTTCGTCGTGGAGCTCCATTGGCCCTAGTCACCGCGCTCGATGGAAGTGTCAAGAGGGAGTGAAGTTGCTCTAGTGATGACGGCCGTGGGGCTGGATTTGACTCCGCTGCCACTGTCAATGTCCCAATTGCTGTATGACAGCGTCTCTCTTCTGGTACCTGTGCGCTGTTTCGGAACCACGTCGCTGCAAAAGGCCGCTCGGGTTGAGGCGCAACAATGCCTAATGCAGGCCGTTGAGGTTCTGGGTTTACTTTCTCCGGTTGCCTTACCCTCTGCTGCGGTATAACTTCTGAGCGACCATCTTCTTGAACGGGGTACGGAGTGCCTGGCCGTTGTTGCACCGCGGCCAAATGTTCATGTTGTCGTGCGACCAAGTTCAAGTTCGACATGCCTGGTCGTCGTCGTAACCCTCTTGGGGTTGGCGCCGATCGTGGTACAATAGGTGGATGGGGCACTACTTTGGGAGGCGGTGTAGAAGACGGTTGATTGTTCGTAGCGGAGCCCGACAAGATACGTCCACAGAGCTCGGGACATGAAGATAGACGCGATCTCAATCTGACCATGCAACTCTTTCGCGTGCTGCCAACCGGCACACTTGACGTTATCATGGGTATGTCTTCGCTCCAGCGTTCAACTCGCTCCTTGATCGTTCGCCTAAGAGCAGGATCGGCATCCAGCAAGGAAGCCGTATAGGCGGAGACGCTCGAATGTTCGACCGAAGGGGAGACATTCAATGTGGCAGCCCCGTCAACCTGCGCTATCCTCGCTCGCTGGCGGTTCGTCACCGACGCCATAGTGTTGTTCTTAGGCGGTGGTGGGTCGACATCGTCCGGATGTGGGTGTGGTGGATCACCCGCTTCAATGGACCGACTTGGAGGACGTTGTTGATCTGCCACTCGCTCGTGTTTCGTAGCGGCATCGTGCTCATCTTGTGGGCGACTTGCAGAACTGCTTGGCTCTCCATTCGTGGGCCTGCCCTGTCCTGCATCTTCAGGGCAGACCGGATACAGCTGGCGGTCAGCCACCGCGTATGGGCTCTTCCCCTTCTCTCTACACAAGTACTGGATTTCCTGCGATACCTTCTTCCCAAGCTTCTTCATATTGGGAACGACTGTGCTATTAAATGCGCAGCGTAACGATGGGGAGGTAAAGATACGAGCGAGTGGAATTGATTATTGATGCCAAAACGAAGCTGGAGAAGCGGTGGAGAAAGAGAAGTGACTGGTATTTGCTTGATGATCATTATCGATTAGCGCGGAGAGGGTCGTCATTGCCTCTCTAAAGGAAGGAATGAAGGAGTGGGTTGGCGGGGTAGGTGCTATGGCGAAGTGCTCGAAGTAGGAAGGAGAGATCGCGAAACAAGTGAGTGGGCAAGATAGATTGGATGCCGCACATGGAAGCGCTACAATTACCGGACATGTACAATATGCAAATATGGTATAGAAGACACAAATACGCTTGCCACGCTTGCAGACAATTATCCAAACATCTGTTCCTACGATGCAGTAACAAGCACATATCTATCTCTTTGTTAGTCTTGTTCTCGGATCGCAAACACAGATTGGGGTAAAAAAAACATACGATGTGATTGCGTCCATCCTTTCCTTCGTCAGCTTCAGCCCGACCTTCAATAGCTCCGAAGCGACATCGCGATTCTTCTTCTCTAGATCCTTGTACTTCTCCCTCGTCAGAAGCCAAGCCACGGAGTCCTCTTCGGCCGCAACAGTCTATTGGTCGTTAGCATTGCGTTCAGAAGCTGTTATGTGACAAGAGATAAGGAGAAACTTACCCCTGTCCTGTCCGTCTCCGAGAAGAATGGCAGCTCGCCACACGTTGTACCTGGCATAATATTCTCGCTGAAGTTGCCCTGCTCGAACTCGTAGTCCGCGCGCAAGCGGCCTTTTTCAACGATGTAAAAGCCATCGGGATCGTCGCCGCGAGAGTACATTACGGTTCCTCGCGCATACTCTCGTCGTTCAAAGTACGGTGCAAGGACGTGCCAGAAGTCTTCGTTCTTGGAAGATACATCTTCAAAGGTCTGCAGAATAATCCTCGTGGGCTGGGAGAAGTTCTTCCACTTAGAAGGTAGACTAAGAGCACCTTCGTGTTCGCCGTTGGCGGAAGATACCGAAGGTCTGCCTTGTTCGCGGAAGGTGGTCGTCGCAGCGAGGTACTGCGCGCCGCGGCGAGGAGATGAGAATTCGGGAAGAAGAGGGTTGGCCCCGAAAGACGGGGAGGGAAATTCATCCGATGTCCCATCACTGTTCGTAGAACCATCGATCGACTTCGGCGGCGTCTTTTGGCGTTCGGGCTGGGATGAATTGCAGTGCTGATAGAAGATTTCGAGAAGCTCATTTTCGCAGCTTTCCAAGGCCATGTTCAGATCCTCAAAAACCTGGGGCGGAGGACATTCGTCGTCAGCTGTCTTGGCGTCCAATAGCCCTACGTTCTGCAGGCCCTGTCCGACTCTGCTGGCAAAGGAAACACCTGAAATTATCATCTTGACGCCTTTTCCGTTGAGTATGCGGTTGATTCTTTGGAAGCCTTCGGAGCTGGAGAAGTCAACGTCGGTGACTCGAGAGAAGTCGACTACGATGAAGCTCAATGGCTGTTGTTCGAAGCTTTTATCATCGATGAGTGATCTCATGTACTCCTCCACGGAGACGATGGTACCGAAGAACAGGAAGCCTGTGAGCTTGATCACCCGAATTTGACCGCGAACCTTGCTAAGATACCGCACATCACTGCGAGGACGACGGACCGTAGAGGCTGCAACTTCGCCAGAGTACGTCGCTCGGATCGCCGGCACACGCGAGGACAAGATAACGTAGCTTAGACAAGCCAAGACAATTCCGGTGAAAATTCCAATGACGAAATCGTAGACTCCCATGATCAAAACTATCGCTAGGACAGTAAAGTACTCTAGGCGCTGAAGTCTGCCAAGCGTGTCCCAGATGGCCTCCTTCATCAATTGGATACCGAGAAGGAAGATCAAAGCGCCGACTAGGCAGACCGGAATGAATCCTATCATAGCTGGTCCTGCCATCCAAACTGCTGTGGTTGCGACTGCTAGGAGAACACCAGCGGCTCGGCTGTCGCCTCCATTGTTCATAAACATGATGCTGTTAGCATAGACTAGATAGTTCTGAATGCTGCCAACACATCCAGATAGTGTATTCGAGATGCCATGTGCGATCAGCTCGCGATTAACGTCGATGGCATCTTCTTTGACGGCAGCCCCTAGGGCTGGCACGTTGATGGGGACGTGGATGATCCCGAAGAAGGACAATGCAAACATGGTCGGAATGGTGCTTGCGAGAGCTCCTCCGTCTATCTGGCTGAACTCTGGCCATGGAGTTAGTACAAGACTGCATACCCAAAGATCTTCGACTTACTGAAGTATGAGTAGAATCTGTAGAAAGGCACACCCGCCTCCGGCGCTTCGAAGATCCAGCCCGCATTCCTGAGATCTTCGAGGTTGATTCGAAGTATGGCTTTGGAAATGATGTAAAACACAGCAAAAACTATAATGAAGAACCCTGGAAGAAGGAACGGGCTCTTGAATCTTCGTTCCAGGCCCATGATGAGAAGTGAAAGGACAAGTGGCAAGACCCAAAGGTACACCGTATCATTGGAAAAGAGCTTATGGAGAGTTTCCAAATCATAGTTTAAATTGCCCTCAAGCCTTGCCGAGACCTCAATCCCAGTCACGACTAGGAAGAAGCCAACTCCTCCGATGCAGCCAATCAGGATGTGCTGCGGGAAGAAGCTCACAAGGTTTCCAAGCTTGAAAGTTCCCAGTGCGAGGAAAATCATGCCAGTGAGGATTGAGCTAAGACAGTACGACACAATTGTCGTCGCCATGATCGATTCAGCACTCGCGCCTTCCATTCTGTCCATGATGGAGTAGGCCATTCGGTGGAAAAAGGGAACCACCTCGATCATCTCTGAGCCGACACCACCCCGGAAGATGGACAGACCGAACGAATAGCAGAGTTGTGAGACTATGCAGCTGACAAAGAAGATCGATATGCCGTCAGGTCCTGTCTGACTGAAGATGGGGCTTCCCAATGGAAACAGGATGTAGCCATAAGAAAGAGCATCCAGGATGTTAAGGAGAAGGCCAAGAAAGACAGCCGAGGCTGTCTGCAAGCCAGCAGTAGCTCCCGCGTAAATCGCATCTTTGGTGTAATTCTTGGGATTTATTACATCATGTCCAAGTCGAGCCAAGTGCTCCCGACCAGTGGAGAGCGGTTTCGCGAACCTCGTCCTGAGAGTGCCAAAGCGTGTGCCCTTGGTGGTGGAGGTAGACGATTTCCATTGTGGTTGCGGGTCCACCCGTGTGAGTCTAGCTTTGGGCAGCAGCGGTGTTTCTTCCGTATCCTGCACCACTACATCCGGCACTGCGGGACTAGGTCGTCTGTCATTCCAAGCACCAGGGGTTGGGGAGCTGATGCTAGGGAAGCGATTGCTCGGAGGGGGCGCAATGACGGTCTCGGGCGATTCAGGTCCACTCTCCCTCTCTTCCTCTATAACATCCGATCCCGTCGAGTCTAGCGACAGTCTCCCTTCAATGTCTATTGGTATGGCTGGTCTGCTGGCAATTGACTCGGTGGCCGCACTGCTTGCTCTCCTTCGCGGCTGTGTGTAGGATGCAGAATCGAGCGCGTAGGAGGCAAGCTCCTGTGTCCGCTCGCGAACACCTTGCGACGAGTATTGGGGATTGTCTGAAATCGAGTGGGACGTCTGGTGTGCGAAGGATCGGATTGGATTGCGCTGGTTATAGGAGCTGGAGAGCGCGTTTTGCGCGTTCGAAGGGATCCCCACGGCATAAGGGCGTGAGCGCGGGACCGTGTTCGAGCCATGATAGCTTGACTGGTGATCGGCTGCGAGGTCGGCGTCACTAACGTAGTCGTTGGTGAAGGGGAGTTGTTGTTGGGACGAGTCGGAGCCTCTCCGCCATGGCAGAAGACGTGACGGCATGTTGCCGTTGTGAGTTGAGTTCTTTACAGAGTCAAGAAGGCATCCCCGTGAGATGTACTGTGGTATTAGAGCACGCAGAGCACCCTGTTAGGGTTATGCAGAATGCGACTGATAACGGGCGATAGGCACGTTATGCTTTCGATAATAATAATAGCGGGTCTGAGGAGACCGAGAAGCTGCAGGCAATTGATCAAGGAAGACCCTTCTGTAGCTGCTGAGGTCCCCGCATCGGAGCAGCGCGACAGGCAATTGGGCGGGTCCGCCGAGTGGAGGCCATCGTCGTGAAATTTTTACTGTAGAGTTTACTAAACGTTGGACGCGCGCTTCATCGCACTAACGTCATCGCCAAGCCTCGCATCCAGAGCCCTGCGAGATGGGATTTCAGAGGCCAATTGGTACATAGGTTCATGCAGTATCGCAAAATATCTGAAAGTGCACGAGTTGCGAACAATTGCATCATTCATGTGAGCAATGAGCAAAGCATCCGTACCGTAGAGCTTCCCCCACGGCGTGATCCTGGACAGGCATTCATTTGTTGAGTGCTTTAGCCGCCATGCAGTCCCACAGAGCCATGAACGAACGGCACGCGTCCATGCAGGAAGGCCGGCTCGCGGATGCTGCCGCTGCGCTGCCGCTGCCCAAGTGGATAATACATCTGCCGATCTGGAGTCTTCGTCCATCACGCGACGGGGCTCGAAGCTGTGTAGCCCATTCTTGCATCAACTAGTGTAGCAGCACCTGCGGAGAAACGTTGGAAATAACAGTATCCCCACTCAACAGCCGGCAATCTGCCTCCGAATTGCCAATGTGCAAGAGTTCTGGTATCGTTACGGTAGGAATCGACGGACGGTAAGAATGATGTAGTCCTTCCCCGTGCTTTCACTATCTTGGCACTGCGTTCACCCACAATGATCAAATCCTTGGAGGACCTCGTAAAACACCATACTCTACGATCGATGGTACCACCGGAGTTTGTTTATGCACTACCGAGACTGTTTCCAAGTTTCTGTCCTTCTGTCTACCGGTCTACGGAACATTCACGATGCGACCCCATCTTCTGTGCAACCTCGCTTGGGGGAATGTCCTCTCCAGAAACGTCTTGCTGCATGCCTACCCATGCTTCGCCTTCACATCCCTGCTTGCACGGTCGTACCTCCGCGGTGGTATCATCGATCGATCCGTCTGACGCTCGAGTCAGCTCCAGAACCTCTTGTGACACTTGACTCGCCGGGGATAGCAACGTGCATGGTGAATTCGGAACAGAGACACAGCATGAGGATGCGCGCGGAAAAAGCCGACCGCGGTACGCTCGTATATTTAAGCGCGCGTAAATTGCGGGTTGTGGAACGCATCTGCATCCATCCGCGCGTGAAGTGATGAATGCGGAATGCTGGTTGATCTAGACGCGCGCAACAAGCTGAACGCAGAACGCTTGCGCCTCTACGCGCGCGTATGTCAAAATGGCCTGACTGTTTCGGAAAATGGCGTCTCTGCTTTTGCTGTACACGCAATGATCAACTGAGTCTCTGGAGGTACCCCTGCGCAATGAGTCGTTCAACATCTCCCTGCCTTACGTAGAACTGGCTGTTCTTGGTCAAAGTGATGGCCCTACACCAGTCAACTCAGAACTCCAAACCGAAGTTCGATCTTGTCGATCGATAACTCACCCATATTCTGTCTGTATCTCTCCAGCGTCCTTCAGCACCCTGACATCGATGAACAAGTCCTTGGGTGGCTCCAGACTCCCTGTGAGATCAATGTCGGTCCACTGCCCCTTGTAGCTCGCCAACAAGTCGCTATACTGCCTCACGTATTCCTCCTCTTCGGGACTCAAGCTACTGCCTGTTCCGTCTGCGCCCATTGCCGCGCCCGACCCCTCCCCCGCGCCTTTTTGTGACTGCTGCTGTTGCCGTTCAAGCACATCAATGCCACTCCAGCACATTTCCTCGAGCTTATCGGTCCTTGTGCGATGGTATGCGAGAAGACAACGCTTGTCTCTCCTCATGCATAGGTGGTTTACAAGGAGGGCGCAGGCGGTTGCAGGTTCGGCGGAGGGGTTGAAGGAGCCAGCAAAGGGCTCGAGGATCGTGGCCACGTCCTTGTCGAGGTCACGTACTTCACGAGTGACAGCCCGTACCAGCTCGGTTTGATACGGCGGTAGATGTGCCAGCGATTGCGTGCGTTTGGCGTGTTGTACCTTGAGGGTGTCAGTCTTTGGATCGAGTTGAACGCGACGCCTAGATCAAGTACCAGTTTGTTGCCAATCTCACCGTACATGGTGATTTGTTTGAGGAATAATGCCTCCAGTCGAGCTCATCAGTAGTGATATCGCATAGGCATTGAAGCGCGAGTAGCTCGCCTTATAATCGGACGGGAAGGCGCGCTCTGTCGCGTCTGCCCCACCTGCGCTCGAGTCCAGCCTGGTCTGTGCGCTTGCTCCCCTCATATTGGCATCATATGGCTGAGATATGATGCGAATAATCTTATCACCCGCTCTTCACAGCTGTCGATTAAGTCTCGTGTTATCTTGCACGCGCCTGATGCTCTGTACCGGAATTTGCGTGGCTGGAGAAGCTGATATCGGAGTTCGCGCCTCTCATCAACTCCGAAAAAGTAGGCGTGGGTACAGGCGTCCATATTTCTATTCTCGAAGACCTTGCTCCACACACCTATAATCAAAGAAATCAGAGGTGAAGAGCAACATGACGGCAGTGTAAGTTTTCATATGATCTCTGGGAGACAACTTGTTCAAATGTACTAGAAACTCCAGCTCATCGAGCTTGGCAGAGGTGACCCTCAGGCCTGGGACAGAGGCTGATGCCCCAGTGCTGCTACGGCTGATGGATGACCGCACCGAGTGGCTCGTATCCCAGGGCCGAACGAAGCAATGGGGAACTGAGCGGCAATCCGACAAGCCTGAACGTGTTCAACAGGCGACCAAATTGACAAGATCCGGTGGCACTTGGCTTGCGGTTGAAAAAGATCCCACGGGAAGTCAGCATGAGGAGGTATTGGGCGCTCTCACCGTGACCGGCGATGCAGCGTCATATGTCAGTCCTGCAACGGAACCGGAGCTGTACATCAACTATATCATCACTGACCCGAAGAAGGGGGTAGGCAGAGGGCTTGGGGATATGCTAATGGAGAAGGCAAAGGCTTTGGCACAGGAGAAAGGTGTGCGAGTTCTCCGACTCGATTGCTACGCCGGCGGGGACAATAAGCTTGTGCGCTGGTATGAGTCGCGAGGTTTCCAAAAGCAAGAAGCATTCGAGGCCAAGGGCTGGTCTGGGCAAGTCCTGATGATGCGGTTGTAGAGGGAATGAAGCGTTGGGTCGCGGTCGAAACGCGTTGAATCTAGGGGGAAGGCGTTGTCTTGTCGCGTTCGCCCCACCTGCCACTTAGAATTCGGCCACTCACGAAGTCGGCCCTTTCACCACAACATCACTTCACTCCTCTCCTCTCTTCTCCTCTCCCAGCTCTTCCGCGCAGAGCTTTCACTCGCAGCACACACAAGCCAATAACTCGTACCCGGTAGCTCAGCTGGACCTAAGCTACGAATAAGCGCTCACTGCTGACCACGGTTGGAAGGAGCGAATGTCTGATGAACGGAATGTTCTACGATTGGTCTATAGAATGACTCATGAACAGTTCAATTACACAAAACACTTGACGAGGAAACAGAACTGTCGTCTAGCTTCAACATGATGGGTATTCCCTTAGCCGCCAAACGCCATAGCCCGAATGCACCCGTGTACGCGCCTTATCAAGATGTTCACGAAACTGCCGAAACACTGTGAACTGGTACGACTCTCGTACCGCCACTTACACATCAACGATCACCCAGCCACTTGTCAAACTCCGATTCTGGAGACTCCATTGGCCCCACGTTCGTGTACGGATGCCAAGCTTCGGTGCGATATTCGTCGTGGGCAACTTCTGCTCCAATGAAGCTATCGACGCTGTGCTCATCGAGGTCACCGTCCATCATAGCCATGTGTCCGTTCCGGAACTCTGCATGAGTGGCTGCAACGCCAAGCTCATGATGTCCACCGTCAAAACCGATGAGCATGGGATCGACTTGTGGTTCACCGCCGAGAGAAGTGTCCGAGTGGGAGTGCATCTGTTGCAACAGCTCGTTTGCATTACCTCCTGGTAGACCTAGCAGTGCAGTGTCCTGCGAAAGGTGCATCGTGGAGATTGGGGTGTCAGCGCGTCGCAACCTCATGTCTTCCATAAGACCTTGATGCACACCCATGCCTGGATGCATAGAGGTCTGATAATAATGGTTGTACGGGTCATCCATGGGCATTGGCATTGGTCGCCATTCGTTGTTCATCTCCCAGGACCTGTTCATGCCCACACCATTCGGACCAAACCGCTGATCGAAGAACCCGGGGTTCATACCATTCATTGGGTAGGATACGCCTTGATTCATCCGTTTGGAAGAGCGAGACCTGGAGCGATCGGAGCCTGGGTTCCATTCGGCGTCCTCAAGGTCACTTGGTTCGTCGGAGAACTCACGCTTCCTCTTGCGTACCGTGGCGGCTGCCTTGCTCGGAGAAAATTTATACGTTGGATGCGCGTTCTGATGGTTTATCCGTTCGATTTTCGCGTAGTCGTTGAACAGTTCGCGCACCTCAGGCGGTTCCATAGGCCAGCTTTCCCCAGACACTGATGACACGACTTGGTGGTTGTTCTGCAGACACCACTGCTTTGTCCTTTCGGCATATGCCGACCGATAAAGCATGAAGGAGTTCATGGGCCTCGTCACGTAGCCATTCCGCTTTTCGACTTCCTTTTTCCTTGTTTCAGCGGACCTATTTACCCACTCCTCCATATTGCGAACGGGTATAGACGCCATATCCCTGGTCAATATGCTCAAAGGCGCTGTCAGTTTTGGCGTCTTAGGCTTTTCGCTCTTCCCCGTTTTGACTTTCTTGGCCTTCGGCGTCGGTTTCGGTCGGGGCTTCTCTTCTTCCATCGGTGAGCTAGAAGGCATAACAGTTCGACCGCTTCGTGTACGGCGCGTAGTGTCTTCGAGTTCTGTTGAGGATCGTGGTGTTGGTGGCGATCCCGAGAACTTCGCAGGCTCCTTCTGCCTATTGTCAGAACTCGACACGTATCTTGTGAACGGCTCATTCTTACATGGAACCCGTTGTACTGCTCGATGTCTCGACCATAGCCTGAACCGTGGCTGTAGTCGTCCTGGAGCCTTGTCAGTCCATCCTTGAGGAAGGGTGATTATTGACTTACATATCGAAGAGCTACGCCATACTCTGCTCCGGATGGCACCATGCCATGCGGAAGGCCATGGCGCATGGCGGGATTAGGCGAGGGATACATGGCACCTTGTGAAGGCGGCTCGTCGTAAGGATAACCTCGGTCTGCATTGTATTGCGCGACCTGGTGTAGGCTCGAATGAAGATCGGGGTGGACGTGGTCAAGGGGTGGCGTGGGAGGATGGTTTTGGATAATAGTCTCAGCCTTCATGTTGACCGAGGATCGCATCTACGCGTTGATGGCATGCAAGATTGCCTCTCGAATGCGACTCTTCGGTATGATGAAACAGACGATGCGTGAGGCTCTTTGTCTTGGAAGATTGATCGCGCCGCAAAACGTACGATTGGTTGCTCAGAAACGGCTGAGTCCAATCCGGATCATGAGACAGATTCACAAGATCGGTATGTCTTCGTTCTCGGTTCCACAAGGCTCCTGTAGGGTGTAAGGTATGTCTTGGGTCCAATCCAGATCTATTTCTGTGAGACCATGTCAGTCTTACGCTCGAAGCGCTGCCACACATGTGGGGTTTGCCCCCGTCGCAATTGCGCATGGCAGACCGGGAAAACATTGGCAACGAACCTGTTACAAACACCTGCTCGTTGCCGGCGCAAGTATACGTCGTCCGTTCAGTCAATTTAGATGGCAAGTCGACCTGGAAAAGCTCCTCAACCAGATTACGGTGTCTTGAGTTTCGATGGTCTTGCGCGCTTCTTTATCGGATAAGAAAGCCACTCGGAACTTTGCGAGGAGGCAAATAAACAGGCAGCGATTCTTTGTCTGCAGATGAGCGTTGGAAAGGTATATTTGTAGCGGCCAGCTGAGGTTCGAGTACGTCTGCTCTCGTAGGCAGTGTAGCGTACCTTGTCGCTGGGAACGGACAAAGAAGACCGGATGCGTGTGAGCTTTTGAGGCTTCACCACAATTGGCATCTAACGCTGCTTTTGGAAAGATCACGTCCTCTTGATTAGCAGATGCGTCTAAATGATCTGAGCCTAGTGCGTTGCGTCTCTCCGTCGTTGCTGGCTCCGAGGGAATGGCTGGTGTGTCGACCAGATGGTTGCAAACGGCCACTCAACTCTACGCAAGAGAAGCAATGACCGACGAACGCCACCCACTTCTCCTCGTCATGTGCTCTTCCCACGGCGGCCACTGGAAGCTGTCTAGCTACAGCCGCCTGTCGATTATGATAGGGTCAACCCTAGTTTCATGTGGGATCTTGAACACACAACCTTTCGGTAGACCAAGGTGCATGTCGCGGACCATGCGAATGTACGCTGTCGCACAGATTCCTCTATATTGCAGCTCTCGCACAGAGCTCATTGGAGACGGCAGGGCACTAGCACTGTCGTTGTCTTACTCTGAGCCAGTCGAACGCGGCGTACGTTTCGACCAAGCCGTGGATCTCAAGGTCGGTCCAAGCGTCGCGTCCGCGGTGGACAACCGCATCGCATGCTGGTTACCACCCTTATCCAAGATGGCGCGGTTATTCTCCCACGCGCAGCAAAGCCTTGCTTGGCTCTCGCTTTCGTTTACCTGTGGCTCTCTGGGAACTGGACACGGGACACGCGGCGAGCTTCTTGGTTCGAAGTGATGAGATCTAATCCAGGCACTCGCCCAACCCGACAATGTGGTCTACTACCCCTCCTGTGGCGGCAACCTGATCTCATTGCACCGCACTCTCATACCGCACGGCCCCACGGCACATGCCATTCGAACTCACTTCTTCTGCTTGGCGATTCAAAGTTTCCAGTAGGCACTTTCGGCATCGCCGTTTGGGCAAGACTACAAGCCGCTTATGCCGCTGAAGCGACCACCTATGCGCAAAACTCGCTGCAGGTTGCTGCAGGTTGCTGCAGGTTGAATGCAGGTTGAATGCAGCCAAAGTCGGTTGCTTCCGGGGTTCTTGTGCGGCGCGGATGTCAAGAATGCACGCTAGCTTCTAGAAGAATGACACCCAAACGCTACCCCCTGCTGTGTAACATATGTTTTCTCGCCAAACAGCGGCGATCGGGCGTAGCAAGCGAGCATCTTGTTTGACTTTGCTTTGGACATAGGCATTAGCGGTTCGTTTCACCAAGCTCTATCGACGCAAGAGGAAACCCTTCGAGCTCGACACAAACCACGAGAATACTGGCGCCGAACCCAGTAGTATCCCCAGGTTCAAATCCAGAAGCAAAAGGCATGGGAGGTGCTACTCAGGCAGATGCCAAGGACCCGGGGTCTACATGAACACGAGCGCCTCACGCGCTACAACTGTCACCTCACAGCTCCCATCTGCACGCCCTATTGATCGCCAAGGGCAGTTTGCCTTGGCAGCCTCAGTATCGTTGTGCTTTCAATGGCCAGCCCTACCGCTAAGCATATACTGGCGCTTGATTGCCTGACTATCTTCGGTATCGGTCCCCTCGCAAGTACACTGCCGCACATTAAGGTTTTCTCCACGCTCGAGATCCATTCCGCCTCGCCTATTTTAGACGCGGTGCAATGTGATTCCGTGGATGGCGAAGTCACACAATAGCCATGAGCCTCGGTCTCAACGAGTTGCCTTACGATGCCGCATGTCCGGTAGCCCAACGGTCACGTGCTAAGCCACAATCTTGCTGATTCGTTCGATCCTAACACTGACCAGAATCCAGGCGATCTGATTAGACGAACAAGTTTCTGCCCGTAATGCATGTAGTTCCCCTCCCCATCCTGCTACGCTTAGCGAGCTCCACTCGCCGACTCTTAGCCATGGTTCATCTCCACTACGGAAACTCCGCGCGGACGCTGATCAGGAAGCTGCGCTCTACTTCCGCTAAATTCTTAGATTCGCGATCAGCCCCAAGCGACCCACCGGTTCACGCCCCATGCATTGTTAAACGCGCCCCAGGCGTGGACGGGCTGTCCATCTGATTGACCAATAAACGAATAGTTTTATCTATCGTAAGCTGAACCAGGTCCATCGCTCCGCCAGATTGTGCCCCGTGCATAAGTATCGACGACAGTGCATGGATGGACGGGGCGCTGAGACGCCAACGCGAATGCTCTCGACCGGCGATTTTACTTGTTCGATGATCAAAGCTTCTAGAGTTCAGCTGCAATCGAGAACTCCATCCCATCTGAAGAAGTATTTGGTAGACTGGTATAGGCACGTCGGTGCTAGGAACGGCCCTGAGGCCCCGCAAGGTACGCTAAATGATAGTCTAATGGCGCGCAGTCAAAGTGGCGTCATCTCACGCCGTCGTCCGCGGAGTGATTCAGCCAGTGGAGCAATGCGAAAGAGCTCGTTTCAGTTGGTGAGTTGGGGGGCTGGGGGCTGCCGCGTGTGCAATATTAGTTCGCGGCTCGTTCTAACACAATCAAGCTTGAGGCTCTTCAGTATGTGCATGAAGCCTCAAATGCATCTCGACGAGTTTGGAAGCCTCTTTCGAGGTTTGCATCGTCCAGAAGTATGCTCCACTCGGAGATAAGTTTCTGTACAACGCCTGCTTCCTTGGGCGATGCGACACCATGCACCGTAGATCACCACATGTTCCACGATGCAGACGCACAGAACCGGACCCGCTTTTAGGAACTTACCGTATGTCAGGGTGCGGATGTCTTCATCAGCTTCGGTTACACCCAACACACACTACTGTCCTGAGGCAGTGAACTCCAACTTTCGACCCAGGACTGTTGTCCTCTTCTATTCTAGTAGTACCGGCAACCTGGCATCAACGAAAGCTCTCAAAGGCACTTTACCGGCTTCCTGTTTGGGCAAAGCACGGGTGTCATAAAGCGGCGGGCCAAAGCCGTGCAAAGAGGCTAAGTCGAGGGGAGAGAACGTCACGTGGAGATCGGGCCGAAGGCAACTAGGCAGATCCTCGTTGGGAGTGGTTCGGCGTTCGCGTGCGGCTCACTGCGAACCATTCATCGTAGAGCTTGGCTTGAATTATCAGCTGCTTTTACCGTCCTGAGTGATGAAAGGCGTGAGGGGTCGTGCCTGAAGCCACATGTGCAAGGGTTTCCACGTGCCGGGCGCACAGCATCATGATCTACGGTGCTAGTGTAAGAGCCTCTTACGACGACAAAGAGATCTTTATTCATAGGAAGCGTGGCTTGTTGCCGCTGTTTCAGTGCTTTCAAACAAGGGCGAAGGCTTTCAACAATTGGAAAAAAAACAGTTTCATGATCAAAGACAATGACAAGGGACTGTCTTAACGTGACGCGGATTGTGGAATTTATTATCCACATTGTTATCGGATGTCTACAATTTCACGTCTCTTCAATGATTATCAGAATTAGACCAAAAACTACTACTCGTGCTGCTGTACTAACATTTCTATCAACCCTATCACGCAGATACTCGATTAATCCAAAAAAAAACCCGAGAAGAACATGCCGCCGAAGCGCAGCCCTTCGTTGCGAGAGAGACCGAGTGAGATACTCCGAACCAACTCAACAAAAAAGCCACCACTACAACGGACCGGAAGCCGCTCAAGTAAATATGCACATATCGGCCCAAAAGTCGACAACAAACTAGCCCCTGAGTTCATCCCTGCCGAAAGTCAGTTCCAGCGACCCAAGCACAAGAGGAGCTCGTTGTACATCCGCAGCGATGAGCAAGCACAAGATTCCGAGTCCGAGAATGAAGATACCGGGCTTCACAGTGATAGCTCAGGAGATGCCACACTGTACGAATACCCATCTGACCATGGCTCACCCACTCCCTCCAGCTACAGCGCGGACTACGAAGAAGACATCCTCGCACACCTGGGTGGAGGCCAGTCCACCTCAGCCGCTGCATCACCGTCTCACCACAGCGACAACGCATCACCCTCCTTCCAAAGTGGCCACAGCAGCCGCACTTCCAGCCGCAAAGGAACACTGGAGCACCCTACGAGCAACCCCGCAGCTTACGCCCGGAACACCGACAGCTACAAGAATAAAATGAATGGCCCGCTCGAGTACAACGGCAGTGCGCCGTCGACACCAGGATCAGGACACCAGGTATCGCCCCGACCGACGCTGCTCAGGGGCCAATCCGTCAAATTCAAAGACCCCCCCGAGATTGAATCCCGCTCCAGCCTGCACGATCGAAGAAGAGGCCAGTCCCTCCACGCAAAACCCCTGCTCGAAACAACCTTCCTCAAGTCCCTGCGCGACGCACTAAACATAACTTGCGACGACCTGCTAGATGTGAGAGACGCGCTGATCAGTGGAAACAGGATGCTTGATTTCAGAGAGGTGCTGCAGAAGCAGGAGGGGTTTCCGCCTGATGTGAATGGGGTGAGGCATAAGATTGTGGAGGTGATTGAGGGGATGGAGAGGCAGTATGCGGAGGACTTGCGGCATTTGGATGGGATTGTGGAGAAGGAGAGTGGGGAGGAGGTGGGGAGGTATAAGGTGAGGATTGAGGAGGTGGAAGAGGAGTTGAGGATTGGTGGTGAGGAATGGCGGAGGAAGGAGCGCGAGAATGATAGCTGGAGGGCTGAGCGAGAGGGGAGGATAAATGAGCTGGAGGGGCGGCTGCAGGAGAGTAATGAGGAGCGGGAACGGGCGAAGGAGAAGCTGGAAGAAACGTCCCACGCACTCAGTTCACAAGCTCAGCAGCTAGAAGACGTATCCCTGACGATCGAAACCCAAGCCTCGCAAATCCGACAACTAGAGGCTTCACTTGAGGAAAGACCAGCCATTTCCGTCTCTCAAGACCAGCTACAAGCGGCTTTCCACCTCCACGAGCAAGACGTTCAGAAAATCCAACACCTCGAGGAAGCCCTTCAAGTAAAACGCGTCAACAATGCCCTCGCCACAGGCACCGACACCCCGGAGTGGCACGACGTCTTCAAGCGTGAGCGGAAAATCAGGGCCGCGCAAGAACATGAGATCACGCACCTCAAGACGTCCATCAAGAAACTAGACACATACCACGTTGACCTCGAGCGCGAAGTAAGAGCGCTCAGAGAGTACGTCACTCTCCACCGCGACACCACTCAACTCCTCCAAGACAAACTCTCAGCCTCGAAATCTCACGCGCAGCAATGGAAGTTCGAATACGAGCAGCAGAAAGAAATGCTCGACCAACGCGACAACATCGAAGAGACAACCCTCGCAGCGCTACGAGAAGAAATGCACCACACCATCTCTTCATACCAGGCACTCCTGCCCACGCCTGACAACCCCGACGCGCTAGAAGTAACCGGGTTACTACGTAAGCTCGAAGCACAAGACCATGTCCTCAAAGACGTCACACAGCACCTCGAGACCCTCAAACAGGAAAAAGCCTCCCTCGAAACGTCCATTTCTCAGGTCCTCAAAGAGAACTCCGACCTCCGCCACGGCCCACCCCTCTCCCCGCATCATCACCCACCCTGACACTCAGGAAGACCTCCACCTCCCAGAATGGAACACCGCCGAACGCCTTCTACAACGAGACATCCTCCTTTCCGCCTTCCGCCAGCAGCAAGAAGCCACGCGCAAACGCGAAGATTTAGAAGCCAAGCTTGTGGAGAAAGCGCGTGGGTGGAAGATGGGCAAGTTGTACCCGCCTTCTAGACGGGACTTTCCGAAGTTGGCGAAGAAGAATGATTGGGAGAGGTGGGAGGTGAGGAAGTGGGTTGAGGAGAGGGCGACGGATGAGGAGTATGAGGAGGTTCAGGGGCGGGGTTGTTGGAGGGGGAAGGAGGGGGAGTGTGGAGTGGAAGGGGAGGGGGTGGGGAGTATGGGGTTGAAGGGGTGGGAGGGGTGAGTAGTGGGGAGACCGTGTATCGATGGTAGTATGTTTGAGAATGATACAGCGTAACTGGCTGGAACGATCCTCAGTGATGTGTGTAGGTCAATCAATTGCATAACAACACTACTCTTCCAAAGCCACCATTTCCTGTGATTCTGCACCGACGTATATATACCGCCCTTGCTCGGCAATTTCTGCGGCTAACCCCCGGATCAATGTGAAAGATAAGACCTGTGATAAAGGAGGCGGGCATCCACACCCAGCTTCTCGGGACTCAAACAAGACCTTGAACAACAACGCAACACAAAGCACCGCATTTGAGGGCTGATCAGATGACTGGACCCCTTTCATAAATTTTTTCCGTGGTACTCCAGTCCATCGGCGCCAGTTCATAGAGCAAGCTGCAGCGAAGTCTAGGCTCTGTATGTTGGAAAGGGAATCTAACATAGTAAGCGCATACAAAGGTGGAAAGGCCCTGCATGTGTTGGTGATACAGCTGTCGCACGATTGAACACACAGTGGCTCCTTGTATCAGCACTGCACCTTCTAGGGCTGTAGATAGGTGCCTCTGATTGTTCATATTCGTGAGGATGGATGCTGCGGAGCTGTGGTAGTGATCCTGCATGGCGAGACCCAACACTATCTAGGAGCTGTATACAGTGCTCTTCTCCTCGGCCATATTTACAAGCCATCGCCTCCCGTGTAAGGTCAGGGCCGGTGCGGGCCGAGTGTCCTCCCCTGTAAGTGGCGGCAAATCTGCTGTACTAACAGGTGGTATCATGTACCGGTACTTTGCCACGCCATTGATGGCGTCGCTTGATGTATTGTCTCCGCCACCACGTACTTTTCCTTCTATGTTCCTTCTCTTTTTCCTTCTCTTTTTCCTCTTCCTTTTCCTTTTCTAACACTTTCTCCTTCAGTACTAGTGTCTCTCGATTTAGTTTCTCTGCCTCTGCGTGTTTTCCCTGCTCGCCTAGTATATATGCTAGATCGTCCATGCTATTCAGCGTATCTGGGTGATCCTTTCCTAACACTTTCTGCCGCAGTGCTGATGTCGCTTGGAGTAGTATCTCCGCCTCTAAGTACTTTGCTTGATGATATAGTACGTGCGCTAGATTGTTCATGCTTGTTAGTGTGTCTGGGTGTTCCTTCCCTAATATCTTCTCCTTTAATGCTAGCGTCGCTCGAGATATTGTCTCCGCCTCTGAGTACTTTGCTTGACCCTCCAGTGCGCGCGCTAGATTGTTCATGCTTGACAGCGTGTGTGGGTGCTCCTTCCCTGACACTTTCTCTTGCGCCGCTAGCGTCGCTCGATGCATGGTCTCCGCTTCTACGTACTTTCCTTGGTAGGCCAATACATTCCCTAGATTATGTACGTTCGACAGCGTGAGTGGGTGCTCCTTCCCTAACACCCCCATTAGTGCCAGCGCTGCTCGAAGCATCTTCTCCGCCTCTACGTACTTCCCCCTGTTTTATCAGTGTGTCTGCCAGGTGGTTCATGCTCGTCAGCGTATGTGGGTGCTCTGTCCCTTGCACCTTCTCTCGCACGGCCAGCGTCGCTCGATGCATCGTCTCCGCCTCCGCATACTTCCCCTGGCCTGCTAGTGCCCATGCCACTTCGCCCATGCTCTTCAGCGTGCCTAGGTGCTCCTTCCCTAGCACCTTCTCTCGCCCTGCCAGCGTCGCCCGATGGATCGCCTCCACCTCCGTATACTTCCCCTGGGCTAGCATTGCTGCTGCCACCTCGTTCATGCTCGTCAGCGTGTCTGGGTGGACCCCGCCCAACACCTCCACCATTCGTTCAAAGGCCTGTCGGTGAGCTGACTCCGCTGCTCTGTACCGCCCCAGGGTATACTCGCACTTTCCTATCCGGCCTAGCAGCGACATTCTGTTCTCTAGGTCGTACACTTCAGGTACGCCCACGATGTGTGTAGCGTGAGGTAGATAAATAGTCCACACTTCTCTCGTGACGAGATCACCCAAAGGTACCATCTCCACCAGTCTCTCTAAGGTCTTCTCCGCCCAGACCACCCACTCACCGTATTTTTTCAGCCATTCCCGCATGGCTAGATGAACAAGCGGGTGCACGTCGAATACCTTTTCGGACTTCCCCGTTTCCGTTGCTGACTCGGTCACAAACGCATAGGCCTTCAGCGTCCCGACGGCCTTCGTCTGCTCCACCCTAGAACCGCCTAGAGGAAGCAACGACGCCGGTATGTTGGTGTTGGCTATGCACGCCATGAACGACAAATGATCCGCCGCCAGCTTATTTTCTTTCTGGATCTGCTTGAACGAGATGTACCACGTCGTCGCCACTGGATTCTTGCTATCCCGGTATCGGCCCTGGTCTTCGAACTCTTGGCCGAGAAGTGCTATTGCGTCTCCCTCGCTGCTTTGGTAATCCGAGATGTAGTCGGAGAGGGTGACATCGTTAGTGTTGACGAAAGCTACGGCCTGGACGATGGCGAGAGCGAGGAAGGCAAGCATGTCAACGAACTTGGTTACCGTTTTCTCGTCTTGAAGTTGCTGTTGGCGGGCTGGAAGCAGACGCTTCCGCAGCATCTCTCTTGCTTCTGCCTCTGCCAGCTCGCCCAGCACTACGACGTTGCTCTCCGCCAACTTGATTGCAGCAGTCCGAGTCCGCGTGGTGAACACGATCGACCCTTTACGGCTGAGCGGGAGCCAGTCAATCAGCCGGTCTGCACCGCCAAATAGCACGCTGTCGTCGTCCGCGTTGTCCACCACCACCAGCCACTGTCCGCGACCTTCGTCGCTCAGTTGCGCCTTGACAAGCTGCTTGACGTTCGCGTTGTTTTCCGCGATGCCTGGTATACGCAGACAACCTCCAATATCCCGGTAGGCCTGCTCGAAGCTTTCCCGGCTGACTGCTGGCACCCAGAAAACAGCACGCTTAGGTTGCTGCTCTCGTGTCCGGTACGCCATCTCGAGAGCGAGCGCCGTCTTTCCGCACCCGCCGAGGCCATAGACCGCGAGCCGTCGGCCACCTTCCGACAAGACGTGTGCCCTGAGCTGAGCGAGCTGCGCGTCTCGACCGACAAAAGAATGTGGGCGGATGAAAGGAACAAGCCACGGCGCTGTCTTGCGTCAGTACTTTGCGCATAGCACGAAATACAGATAACAAGTATATTCGAGTGCTACTACCATCTGGAGACAACGCAGTCTGCCGCAACATGATAGCAACATAAACCTGTCACTGACCTTCGTTCACGCCTTCCATGCCCTTGACGGTGGCCGGCTGGATCCTGCAGAGCAACTCTCTGGCGAACGCTGCCGCCTTCCCCGCCGCGTACGGTTGCCACACGTTTCTCTTGTGCGAGTCGGCATAGTCAGAGATGCCGCGGATCACCAGGCAGCGTCTGTTGGCATCGATGCCCGCAGCCTCCATCTCGATGCAGAGCGCCCCGCCGCATCGCGCGCCGATCCGGTCCCGCAGCTCGCCGTCCTTGATGACTGCGTTCCCCGTCGCGATCCGCCCTTGGTGGAAGATGAACTTGTCCTTGTCGTCTTCGGTCCGGAGAGGCCTCAGGACAAGCTCGTCGGGATTACATACCGTGCAGTCAGATCCCCACCCACCTGCGTGGCGATGGCCAGCCTGGAAGAGCAGGTCCTGTTCGAGGCCAGGGTGCGCAAACTCGTCAAAGTCCCGCAACCGCGCAAGCTGATCGTGGAACTTGGTCCGGCGTAGTTTGTGGTCGGATGTGAGCATGCTCAGCGCGCTCAAGAGCCGCCAGTCCGGGTTCTGCATCGTGCCCACCATCTCGAACTCGCCGCCCACCTTGGCCCTCCCGCGGTCGTGGTAGACGCAGGCCGGCTTCCCGTCGCCGACCCATCCCACCACGACGTCTCCGAGGTGGACGTCGTCGAGCGGGCTCCGCGAGGTAGGCGTACGAGGAATCCCGCCTCCGATGCCGACGAGCACCGCCATCCTGATGTCAGGGAACGTCTTGAACATGGACCCGGTCAAGCGCCCGGCGTTGACGTTGCCCGTCTCGCCCTGTGGCAAGGTGGCGACGACGACGGCGTGGCCGTTAATCCTTCCGCAGATGTACGTGTTCTCGTCGTGGTATGTGTCGTAGGACGGGGCAGGGTGCTCCTCGTCCAGCATCAGCCGCGCGGGCAGCAGCTCAATGTCGGCGACAGGGCAGATCCACGCAACGTGGTAGTCTTCGCAGCGAAGCTGATATTGTCCATTACTGGAAGCCATGCTGTCGTGCTACGCACTTAGCAAACACGCAGAAGATCGTGTGAGGAGTAGGCTACAGCAAGGAGAGGAGCATGTATCATGGAAGGTCGTCTACTCCGTGGCAGATGAGTGCGCATAGGCCTTTTCTCAGCCTCGTCGTATTGCATGCATACATGCCTGCCTTGCAACCTCCGGTGAGCCATCCCCTCCCAAGGCGGCATTGTGTCCCAGCCTGGATGCTGACTGGTGCAGCAAGCGCCGACCCTTCAGCCAGCCGTGCTCGATCGCAGTCTCGCGCCGCCATCAATGGGGCTGTCAAGTGTATGCTGTGCGATTGAGTTGAGACGTGCAGTGGTGTACTTACGTTGTGCGCTAGACGTGCTTTTAGAGTACAGTGAGCCTAGCCTTTACCTAGGCAAGGCTAGCGTCACATGTCGGGTTAGTCTATTTCTCAATTCCAACCCTCCACCCTCTTCCACGGTGCATTTCTGTTTCCCTTTCTACTTCCCCGACGGCACATTCGACACAAACACCGAGAGCACAGCGGCATAAGCAGCGATTATGGCCATCATTTCAACATTCGACACCTTCAGACACAGCGACACGAGGAACGAGAGAGCAAGAATCCACACTGAAATAACCACCAGCTGGATGTTCTTAGAAGCTCATGCGATAGTAATGCAAATTGGGCGTTTGGGCGTGAAGCTAATAAGTGTTCGAAAATGCGCAACGATGTGGTTACATATAAGGCTGCCACAAGGAGGTCATTGAGTATCTCTATGTTTCTGCAGGGAAGTGCACGTAAGGACCAATTAGGCAGACTGTATGCATCAATTGTGCGCCGGTCGGCACGTGCTAGACAGACACAGGGCAGCTGACCGGCGGGCGCCTCAGTCGACCTCAGCCTGATAAGACGAGGCTGGGGAACCACCGCGAGTGAAGGAGCAGAATGCTTTCTGCGAGACGGTTCCCTCCGCTGCACAGTCGCTTGGAATTTCTGCCATTGGTAACCGATGAGACGTCCATTACTGGCTTGTATCGCAATTAGATATTAATTCCAGGAATCGACAATAGGCATCATCCGCCTGGTTACGGCTTTTAGGGCAATAAGTATCCGGAGACCGGAACCTGTTGCTCCAACTCTTATATACAGTGAATTTAGTGGTTCAAGTGATAACAAAGGTCTGTCAAACGAACCATATCATGGGAGTATTTAAACCGGGCATACAACCCCTTTTATGCGCCCTTTCCCACCATATCCGAGACCAGAAATGCAAAGATGCCCATAAGCCATATGCAGAATCGCACGAATGAACCCGCGCCTGGCCATACATATTTTAGTACTCGAAGTCATCGTCCACACTCGGCCCCTTATTCTTGCTCACGCTCTCCTGCCTTGAGTACATCTCCGCAATCATCCGGCTCGTACTCGCCATATCCGGCTTCTTGTCCTCCCGCTCCTTTATGAAACGCGGGAACCTCAAACTAACGCCCTTACCGCCGCCCGCAACTTCGTCAGCGGCCGCCTTATACCTTGGACTCAGCGTCAAGTCCGCCGTCTTGACTTCCCACACATAGCGCGGCTCGAACCAGACGTCTGGCTGGTCCTTGTTTCCAGAACTGTGCGTGTAGAACGGCTTCGGTCGATCGATGACAATCTCAGACAGCTGCTTGTGCAGCGTCTCAAGAATGGCTTCTGAAAAGCCGGTCCCAATGTTGCACACGGACTCGTACTTCTCTGTCCCGGGGTTATAGCAGGCGAGCAGGAAAGCTCCGTACCAGCTCGTACGTTTACCCTTGCCGTAGTACGCGCCCAGGACAACGAGATCGAGAGAATCGCCAACGCCAGCGAGGTAGTCTTTCTTTACTTTGAGCCAGTTCTGGGACCGTTTGCTGGGCTCGTAGGAGGACTCGGGACCGTCTAACATCTTGACCATTAGGCCTTCGCAGCCTGACTTGACGGAGTCTTCGAGCAGAATCTGGATCTCGTCGAGCTCGTTGGTGTTGGCGTACTTGGCGAAGGCAAATTCGCCCTCTACTGCGTTGAAGGCGCCTAGGAGATGCTCTCGGCGTTCTCGGAAGGACTTGTTGACGAGAGCCTATCGTTGTCAGCATAAGAATCTGTAAGGATTGGGTGTAACGTACTTCGCCATTGAGGTAAAGGATGTCAAAAGCGAAGACACAAACTTTGACTGTGATGTCTTCAGCCTTGACATCCTTCCTCTTGCGCGTTTGCAATTGCTGGAAAGGCAAGACTGTCTTTTCTGCTATATCCCAAGCCACCGTCTCACAATCTAGCACAAAGCTCTTAGTGCCTTCTTTGACCCACGTAGGAAGCTTAGCGAGAATGTCCGGATACTTTTTCGAGAGGTCCTCAGAATTTCGTGAGAAGATGTTTGATACACCTTTATCGCTCTTTCCAGCAGCGGGAGCTGCTGTAGCCATCTCGAGTGCAGCATCGTGTGCAACAAAATGTATCTGTGCCCGCTCACCATCGTACTTGTATTCGCACGTGAAGTCTTTGCCTTCGAAGCGATCCAGAACCTCTGTAATCGACTTTGTTGGTTTTGCCAACATGGGCTTCAGAGGAACACCGGGCTGCAACTGGCAGTTGTCTTTCAGGCTGCTTAGGCCGTGTTCGAGCATCGCGGGAATGATGACCTCGTAGCTTGGGAGTTCGCTGAATGGCTGTAAGCATGTTTCGTACACCTAATCCCATCCGAATCCTTACCTGTAAACAGACTTCAGGGTAGCCTCAGCTTGCGCCAAGTCTGTTGTCGACGGGATTTTGTCATCCTGTGACATTTCATGGAACTTCATTGCCTGAGCAAGAGCGACTACCACGGTCCTTTCTGCAAGACCAAGCCGAAGCTTTCCTTCTAACGTCCGTACGATATACTTAGCCTCACTAGGCCCACCTTTGTCTTTCTCGATGTCGACTGCCTTGCCAGCGTTGTGAGCATCCGCAGCAGACAGCAATTTCTTGATGCCATCAACCTTTCGACCCTGTGCACCTTGTCCCTCTATGGTCGCGATAGCCATCAAGCCTTTGTGCACACCTGCAACGGTCAAAGCCTTCGGCTTGAACATAGTCGGCTGTTTTGACCGACTCTTCGCTGCCACAAGACCGAGATCGCCAATTTCGTTTTGGTCGTGCTTGATGTGCTGCAAGCTTCGTCCTGTGCTCTCGGAGATAGCCTTCATAATCAGCGATTCGCCAATACCCAGTTCGATTCCAGCGTAATCCGCCGCAAGTTTGTTGATCATAAGTAATATAGTTGGCAGCAGATCCTGCGGTGTAAGACGGAGAACCTGGCGCAGAAATAACGAACAGTGCGCAAGGATCTCCAAACGCTTGGTTGTCATCTCGATCTTTGAAAAAGTGGTGCAAAGCGCTGCATATGGGACTGGCTCGCCGGGTTTCCAGTCGGGATAGGGATCTTTCGTTGCACCTTTCGACGCACCCTTCAATGTGCTTTGAACCTTCTCTCGCGCCTTCTTGGCAACCTCTGGAGGTTCCTCATCCGAGCTCAGAACATCCTCGTCCTCTTTTGCGCTCGACGCGGGTTCTTCAGACGGTGTCTTCTCTACCTCGTTCTTCTTGCCCTTGGCAACCTTGGCCGGCGCCGCTACCTCCTCGTCTTCCTCATCCTCCTCGGGCTCTACAATTTTCGTCTTCTTGGTAGCTCTAGCGACAGGCTTCTCTGCTTTCTTCGGCGCAGCTTTGCCCTTCTTTGCCGGTGCAGCCTTAGCGGGCCTTCCTCGCGCCCTCTTCGTCGGTGGTGCATCGTCCGAGTCCTCCTCTTCCTCTTCAGCCTGTCTCTTCTTGCCTGCCTCAGCTGGAGGGCTGCTGTCGACTTCCATAGCATCTCCATTCGCCTCCTTCTTCACTTCCGCCCCAGCATCAGTATCACCATTCTGCTTCTCTACCGCCTCCGGTGATGACTCCGGTTCCTCCTTGGGCTCGACCTCCTGTTTCACTGCCTCCGGTGAGGACTCGGGCTCGTCTGTAGGCTCAACAACCTTCTTCTCTGTCTTTGCCTTTGTCGCGAAAGAAAGTTTCGACTGTTGGGTCTTAGGCGGCGCCGTTCCGTTCTTTCCAAAGAATTTCCTACAAGAACAACTACGTCAGCTCATTTGCAACACTAAGACATAGCGAGATGCCCACGTTAACATAGTCTGAGAAGGCCGCACATACCCCAGGGTAGCCTGCTTGGGCGGCATGGCTACGAGTCGACAAAAAGCACGCTCGCTATGCCGAACGATGGTGTAAGACGGCGGACAGCGTAAAGACAAGTACAGGCGCTTGCTTGTTATTGAGGAGTGAATGGCTAGAGCATTGAAGCGGGGAAGCATCAGCGGAAAGGTGTTGCGATGGGACAAACAATAGGCAGCTACGCGTCAGAGTCGCGCCTGCCGTGCGCGCGTAAAGTCGCGTGCACGTGAGGACGTGCTGACATCATCGTAGCAGGGATCAGCTTTCGACTATTTGCGCGCAGCCATCATCGAATGATCCATACATTTTGGACTATCGCTCGAGGCAAACCCAGCTCGCCTCTTGTTCCGAGTTGTTTTCAAGCTACTTGAACTTTATACGTCATACTGTCGCGAGTGCCCAGTTCACCAACAACACTACGGATCGTACTACCCACACCTTTTCCCTCTACGAACGACATCATCCGCCCTGGCGCACCTCTTCTGGCAACAGGCTCCCCGAGCCTTCCCACCCCAAACCCTACCCCTCCCCAAGATGTCCCAACCCTCCTCCCACCCTCCCTAACCCCGCAATTCTGCTTCAACCAAACCGCCCTCCGAGGTACCTTCCCCCACGCCACCCTTACCATCACTAACTAACCAGGCGCCACCCCCTAGACTTCCTCCGCATATCCCGCAGCACAATAGACGACTCCATAACGCAGAATTTAAACGCTCTCCTCACGCCCGCACAACGCGGTTTCGACCCTAGTTCGACCTCGTCGAGGAATTTATCAGCGCCAGACCGCTCGATACCCGGGTCGCAATGCGATAGCTTTAAGAAAAGTGTGCTATTTCCCTCGTGGGCTGTACGCTCAGATGTGCTGGACTACTGCGCGGGCGTTGCGACGTCGCCGGACCCAGATGATCCTGACTCTGTGCTGAGGCAGATTGAGGATAGCAAGGCGAGGGAGAGGGTGGTAGATGAGCGGTTGGATCCGTATAGTGGGAGGTACTTTCCGAAGGAGGCGAGGACGGAGAGTCTGGCGATGTTGATGCGGAATGAGAGGGCGGTGGAGAAGATTATAAGGAGTAGGACGTGGAGTGTTGTTGGGGAGAGGTGTGGGAGTAGTAATGAGACGGCGGACGAGGCGTTTGATAGTTGGAGGGGTGGGCAGAGGAGGGGGTGAGGTGTAGTGGATAGGTGTATGATAATGCTGTTGAGTGGTAGAGGGCACGCGACACTGCGGATGGATGGAAGTAACAGTTGGATTTTCCTCTCTTCATATATATAGCATAACACGGCGTAGACTACACATAGCATCGCGGCTGGAATGTACATACGAGGCAGCTTTGTTAGCCTTGTTCAATGATCATGCTTAGACACCCCATGCATTTTCGCAGACCAGAGCCTTTTCGAAAAAACCTCACAAGCTGCACCAGCGCCCATGATCCTTGCTCGAAAACCCCAGTCACTGTACAAACAAAAAGGCATACCAACCACCTTCTCACAGAACCCTATATTTTCTTTCCCAACCACCTCCTCCGCCTCCCATCTCCTTCCAAAAGTCCACCGCCAAGCCCTGCCTGCTTACCTAACCCCCTAGCGCGCCCCACCCACCTTATAAAAACTCGTCCTTCCCGCGTCCCTCTTCCCCTCTCCATCATCAGTTGGTAATCTACATACCTAACATTACCGTGGCTCCGCTAAGGCGGCTTGCTGAGGGTTATCCCATGCGATGGATAGTCTTCCGTTCCCGGCCCCGTAGACAAACACCAACCGTCTTTCCTACCAATTGCGATTTCCGTGAAAAGATGGATCGGAGTTGTGGGATGGGTGGGACATATCGTTGAACAGGTTTTGCCTATTTTGCAGGCTTGTGAGAGCGGGAGGACGATGAGGCTTTGAATGCGAAGGGTGCGTGCGCGTGGGTGTGCAAGGCGGGTGAGGAAGGCGCGGAGATGGCTGCGCGTGCTGCTGCTGTGAGAAGCGGTCGCGATAAGTTTTTCCGACGAGCGAGACGCTGTGCATTTGCGCGCGAGGTTCGTCAAATGGTGCTGGAGCGTGCGAGAGTTGTTGATGCTGAGCGTGTGCTTGCGTCTCAAATTTTCACATTGCGCAAAATGACGAAGTCCCGTTTTTTTGAGGCGAAAGTAGACCTCGTGCTTCTGCAAGTATACAAGGATTGAAAAATTTGCAATGATCACGGCAAGGTGGAAATGATATGTCATGAACTTCATTGCATGCTACACTACTGTCCATGTTTGTGTCAAGAAGACGGTTGAGATTCCTTCAAGATGATATCGGCCAGACACAACTAAGTGTCCAGCTACACATCCTCCAAGAGACCAAACACCCCCTCTAGTACAGACGCCTGGGCGGGCTCATGGTAGCCTTGATGGTCAAGCTACCAACGTTCTGCCAGCCCTTCTTCAGCAGCGAGACGAGGTAGTTGATCGACAACATGATGTTGGAGATCAACTCGTCCTCGGTCATGCCAACGTTTCCAACGGCGACACCCATGCAGAGCACCTTCTTCAGCTGGAACTTGATGGTGGACTTGACCTCGGTGATCTTGTTGGCGAGGTCCTCAGCGTGGGAGACGGGCGTGGGGAACTTTCCGGCCTTGGAGAGACCGGGACCGAGGAGACGCGGGATCTGCTTGATGAGGGCGTCGGAGGAGACGAAAGCGTCGTACTTGCGTGCGAGCTTCTTGATGAGCTTCTTGTTCTTGTTAAGCCTGTCCGCTGTTAGTATTAGATCTTTTGCATTCTCCATCAGTCCACTCACTTCTTCAAGTCGTCAGCGGACATGGCGTCGACGCCGTGGTGCTTAGCACGGTCAATGTCGTGCTGGTCACCGAGGACGCAGATGGCCATGTTGGGGCGCGGGACGGTAGGAAGCTTGATGGTTCCGGAGAAACGCTTGTCACGCTGGGGGTCGTAGTTCTTGAGACCGATCTGGAGCTCGACGGTCTCGAGGAAGTTCCTCTTCTTGGTCTCATTGGAGTACTGTAAGAGCGTCAGTCGAGCAACTCTCGAGATCGCGCATCGCTAAATGAAACTCACCTCAAGGAGCTCCTTGACGTTGGTACGAACGCCGGCAACGCTACATCCTGTCAGTCTTCATCCCTCTCTCCTCTTAAACGACAGCAAGGCGTGCCGCTCCTCGCCTTTCCAAGGAGGGCAACGCGATGCGCCTAGATCGTGGACATGGCAACGTACGAGATTTTCGACATTTTTGCTGTCTCCCAAGGGTTATCTGATGATTTCCTTTGGTTGGCTCTGTTGCGATGTGGTTGTAGAAAAGTTCGAGGTGGCGGCAGCGGTTTAGTGGGGAGGGCGAAATTCCTCGCTTACGAAGGCTTGGCGCTGGCGCGAGCGAGCCAATAGGAGCGGGCATGGCATTCGGGCGTGAAGTAAGCGATGCATACGAGAAAGAACGAGGTGAGACCTTCAATGTGATGACAATCATGCACGATGGGCGCATGCGATTATAGAATCTACTCGGAGAAGAATAGCGTTGTGCTTCCCTTACGTACCACGCAGTGACTGACTGAAAAACCAACATCAAACCGCAGAAACAGTGTATTCAGTACTCCTACATCGCTTGAAGACCTGACGAACATTCCTATAGTACACTTCGGAATTCACAGAGCCCACTTTTCCCCTTTCCGGCCGATAGTATTCCAAAGAGAAACCCGGCCACCCGTCCCATTGCACCAGTCCATGCAGAGAAACCCAGACTCCACGCCATGATCAAAGAGAGAAAAGACATATCATTATATGACACATGTCATTCCATGCCGCCAAGATAGAGAAAGAGAAGCAGAATGAGAAAAGACATCCCAGAGTACAGTTGCAACGGGTATCGCATCAGAGGTGCCCAACGCCGTGCCGGTGGACCAATTCAATAAAAGGAAGGGGTATTTGAAATGCAGACCGCCGGGCTGAAAAGGCCTATGGGGAAAGGCCGACAGACTAATGCTGCCGAGGCAGAAATGTATACTCAGGGAGCTGAGGACACCATGCTGTCCAAATCCTAGAGCTTGAATGTGCATTCGACATATGGAGCGTCCATTTCCAAGCGTTCTTCAAAGTCACCTTTCGCAAGAAGCGCACTTTCCCTTCATGGAACGCCTCGGACCAATGTTTCCAAGGTATTCGTAGAAACAGAGCTCGGATTTGACATGGTTGTAGAGTCGCAGTGTAAGTGTGGGCAGTCCCCCAAGCCTAGTGGAGAAGTTGCTGGTTGCCTCCAACTTCGGCAACGTTGTCCGAGAGATTGATGAGCAATTGAGCGAGGCAGCGCTTGGTTGCGGCATCGTCGCGGAGCACGGAGGAGAAGGTGGCATCGCGGAGAGGTTCGGGCAGGCACTGACGAAGGGCTTCGCGGGCGCGGGCATTGTCGCTTAGGCTGACTTCATGTTAGTAGAATGCTCTGCATGATTGCGAACCGAAGTGATGGTAGGGTGTATTGCCCCAGAAGAGGCGACAATAACCGATTGTGCTCATGTATAATTAGGGCACTTACCGAAGGAAGCAACGAACTACGTGCTTAAGCAATCGGACGGTCTGTTGCTCTACGAGCTGGTTCACCATGTTGCTGAGCACAGTGCCCACGGCGTAGAAGCGCTCGTAGGTCTGGCAGATATAGGCAAGGCCGGTGTCGTCGAGAAGAATCTTCTGTACGATGAAAATAGCGACGGTCTTGCTGAGTTCAGAGCCAGTCTCCATAATGCGTAAGCACAGCGGAATGATCTCCGTAGTAAGAAGAAAATTGATGACTTCTGATGAATCGTTCTTGACGAGGGCGCCAATGACACCGAGCGATGTGAGGCGAAGATATTCGAACGGTCTGCTCTTTGACGTCGTATTAAGAAACGGGTAGAGAAACAGCGGAATATGCGCTTTTGTTGTCAGCAAGATCCGGATGCGCTCACAATGGATATAACTCACCGCCCAGGAAGAGACCGCGAGTTTCTGTGTGAGATGCAACGCATTGGAGTAACGCAAGGGCATTGCAGACGCGGTTGCTAGCCGCAGCGGTCAACTGCGACGGGTTCAGCAGCGGGTATACGGAGATGATCTCTTGGAGAAGCGACGCCATAACACCTGTAAACTATCAACAAGCTAGTTCGCACGGTTAGGATATGCGGCGTACCGAATGAGTGCCACAGAATCAAAGCGAGCTCCGGCACCTGCTCGCGCTTCTTGCTCAACTCTAGGAGTGCGGTCTCGCGCGTGTTGGGCTTCATAAGCTGCGCAATCCACTCTAGAACGCGCTGGTTCTCTTCAGACATGACAGCTTGGCTGTTGCCCTGGACGTCGTTCGCGGGCCCACGTGGAATGATGCCACCGCCAGGTACGGAATTGCCGTTGTTGCCAGTCATGCGCGCGAAGTGCTGTTGTTGTGCGGCAGCTGCGGCGACCGCAGCCGCTTGAGCCTGTGCTTGATGCGCCTGGAGCTGGCCTTGCTGGTGGGCTACATGGTGGGTCGGGTGCTGCTGGTGGTGCTGCGACCACTCGCCGGGGTACTGCTGCTGGTGCGGATAGACGTGCTGCATTTGCAAGCGATTGGGCTCCGATGTCGCGGCGGTAATGGTGCTGAATTTGGTAGAATAGAAGTCGTGGGTGAGAGTATTCAGAACGGAAGGATAGCGTATCGAGGGCGGTGGGCGTACGTGAGGCGCGGGGTACGTGGAGTGTGCAAAGTAAAGGTGTAACGCTGCCCTTCGCACTCGAGCACACACAGGTGAGTTGGAGCGACGAGACGCGGACCACCCCGCGGGCACGTGCACGCTCTTGGCGGCCCAACGGTGGCTCGAGCTGCAGCGGATCGCCTTGCGCAAGATATGGGGAAGTGGGATTACGAAGCATCTTGTTGCCCATGGTGAACCCCCAAAATAGCATTCAAATTACAAGTCACAGGCACTATGTTACCGCTACCCGAAGATGCCCAGATTCGATATATGTCTACAGACAGACATTGTTCCGACAGAAAGGTGCCCAAAAGCCAGGCCCGTCTCCAAAGAATAGTACAAATGAAAATCGTTCGTTATGTTTGTGTCCTGCAAACTTCTGACCGACTGCGACTCAAACAAAAACGCAGAGTGCTGTCGCTAAGATATTACCGCATCGCCGAAATAATGCCAGATGCCCAAACGCCTCACTCGTTGCTTGCTCACCTGCCCACCCATTCACTTACAGTCGCAGCTCAGAAAGAATGGTCTGAGCCATTGTCTTGTACTGCCATGTTCCCCCATCCACTTTTTTGAATTGAATGCCATGCAATTGCAATAGAGGTACTTTGACGATCAGAATCTCGAAGACAAGGGCCATGCTCCCGCCCATGTCGTTTTGCACATGCGTCGTAGTCTCGCCTGGGGGGTACGCGCGGCCAGAGCGAGGCTGTCGGTCCTCCTTGTCTTCGCCACTAGCATCTGATTCATCGGTGTTGGTGTAGCTGCGATCCGCCATTGAAGGTCGACCACGGCCTGACTTCGGGGTTTGAGGCGTTTTTTGCTGTTCTCTGAACTCGTCTCGGTCGCGATCTCGGTTGAACATCCCCCCTGCGAAGCTGGTCCGCCGACGATGCCCAGCACTTGGGGGAGCATTGGCTAAGGTTGGCGAGTCAACGCCCTTCTTGGTATCAATACTTGGAACGTGACGACATTTGAAGCCACCCTTGATCTCAGTATACGTGACCCCAAGCTGATCCAGGACACGGATGATGTCGGATTGAATGAACGAAAGCGGCTTGCTGCTGGTCGTTGAAACGCTGAACAAGCCCTTCAAGAATACAGGTTTGACATCTGGGCTGCGATTCGTCTCCACCTTGTCTTCAGCCAGCTCTGCATCAGTCTCTTCGGGAACATTGGCTTCCCTAGCCTGCTCCCTGCGTACCCGTCGAGCTTGGATGCTCTCGCGACGAGCATGACCAAGACTCTTAGTTCGAGACGCTGCAGTCCGGCGTGGACTTCCAGACAAATCTTCCGAGGCAGCGTCATTGGTCTGCTTCTGCTGTGTGCTGATGCTGGAACGATCAGACCCGCTGGTAGGTGGAGGGTTGCCGGGATCTTCAGACGATCGGCCTCTGCGACTCAACCTCCTACGAAGGTCGGCACCGTTCACACTGGTTGAGCGACCAAGAGCCTTGAACTTCTTAGTAGTGCTGTTAGAGCTATTCGCAGGTGGGGATAGGAGTTCCGGTTGATTCACATCGCTCGGGTGCAAATGCGAGGCTGACTGGTTTTCCCTGTCCCGAGTGCGCCTAACACTGAAGCCTCTCTTGGGGACGCTAGCAGATTCCGAGGGTCCAGATACAGCAAGAGCTGGCGTAGGCGGCGGCTCTGTCCGGTCGGGGTTTCTGTACTTCCTGGTACTGAAGCGACGTAGAAGCCCAACAGCCGTGCTTTCCTTCCTAGGATGTTCCGGGGGCGGAGAGAGGACGGCAGGCGAGGCGTTGGGTGGCTCCTTGAGATTGAGCTTTTGCAAGGTGTCTGTCACCTCATCCTCTCCATGAGTTCGTGCTCTGGGCCGAGATCTGCCACCAGTTTTCTCGCCTTGCATTTCGTATGTTGAACTGTTTGTGTAGGCAGCCTCCGGTGCGGGAAGATCGGGCATCTTCAAAGGCTTCTCACCAGGGCTCTGAGGCACCGCTAATGCTCCTGGATTGGCTTCCAGCTGCTCACGGTCTCTCTTCTCTCGAACCAAATAGTAAACAGATATGAGGGGATTGTACGCATTCACGGGGTCGAGACCACGTTGAAGGTCTTCCGAAGATGACATGGGCAGCTGTTCCCTGCTCGAAATCGAGTTTCGTCGCTTGTAGAAATCGAACATCCCTCTCTTTTTATCCGCCTCTGGAGTGTGTGCTGCAGTCTTCCGAACAGCAAGGCGCACTGCGCGATTGTACTCGTCAGATGACAGAACTTGAGTGAGCTGTGTCTTGATGTACTCAGCAGAGCCAAAATCAAAACCAGTCATCCTTTCGATGATGTCGTCGTCCAGAGGGAGTTGCAAAGGCTCGCGGTGAGGCAGGTAGTTCTCGGGCGGTGTATTGAATCCTTTCGTTAACCACGGGTGGGTCATAATTTCTGAAAGTGTAATTCGCTGGGCAGGGTCCGTTTGCAGCATCCGATGGATCAGGTTTTTACATTCTAGATACGTCAGAACCAATTATGCAAACACGATGTGTAGACTTACCGGAGGAGAGCCAAGGAGGATAGTCGACATGGCCCTTCTTAATCTTGGCATGTAGCTGTGGCATACTCTGGTCGTCAAAGGGCACTTTTCCACACACCAAAACATAGAGAACAATTCCGAAGCTCCAGATGTCGACCTCCGGACCAGTGTACTGTTTGGCCTGCAACAACTCTGGAGCTGCGAAGTACAAGCTGCCACAGAAAGTCTTCAGCAAGCTCTTAGGCGAGAAGAGGTTGCTCAACCCGAAGTCGATAATCTTAATGTCACCAGTTTTGCTGATGAGGATGTTCTCGATCTTCAAGTCCCTGTGCACGATGCTGTTTCGGTGGCAGTAGTCCAGGGCACTCGCAATCTGGCGAGCGAATTTGCGGGCCTGCTTCTCCTTGAGGCGACCGTGCGAAATGATGTAGTCTAGCATTTGCCCACCATTTACGTACTCGAAAAGCATGTACCAATGGTAATTAGTCCGAACGACATCGCGCATGCCGCAGATGTAAGGGTGGTTTAGAAGGCTGACGATGGCAGCCTCACGTGCTGTTCTTACCTCCTTCGAATGGTCTGCGCGCTCCCGGTCGGCTTGGCTGTTATGCTGATCCGTCGACTGGCGGGGTACGATCTTTACGGCAACCTGTGACAATTAGCACTTGTTCTATAGGCCTCATGACATCCCCTGAAAAACCACACGCCAGCCAAGCAGAACATGACGTACCGACTCTCCAGTCTCAGCCTGCTTCGCAAGCTTGACTTTGCCCATACTCCCTGCTCCAATTGTCTTTCCCAGAATCCACTGTCCAGTACTGGGTGCATTGATGCTTGTTCGCCGCCTTGGTTGGGCGGCTTGTGCCGCAGATCTCGAGGCATCGGTTGCTACGCCATTGATAGGCATGGCGGAGGCTGTAGACACGTCTGACGCATAGCGTTGATGCCCTCGTCTGGTCGACTCGGTGCGTGTTGCTGACGGGGCAGTCCTGTCCCTCGACTCGCTGCGACGAGTAGCTGGAGGGTTCGCCAGGTTGGATTGCTCAACGTCACGGCGGCCAACGGTTGCAAGGTTGGGCTGCTGGGGCGGGGCGCGAGAGTGCGAATGCGGCACGGATTGAGCGGTTGGGCGTGTTGTGGTCGACTGCGAGCGATGCGGGCGGTCCGAGGGACTGTTCGCGGCGTGAGGACGGCGGGCAGAGGACTGGGAGCGCACTACGGCGGGCGATGAAGGTGCAGCCGCTGACATCGTTGTTGGCTAGGCTGGTGCGCAGGGAGCAGCGGCAGATCTGGTTGCAATTTGGCGCGTCGAGCGCTGCTTGAACAGCGAGGGGCAGCCAAAGAACAACGAACCGACTGCTTCTCGAATGCAACGGCTGTAAAGGTAATGTGGGAGGAGCTTGAGGACCTGCGCATTCGCTGCCGGTGACCTTGGCACCGCGACTGAGCTGGCGGAGTTCGAGGGGGCAGGGCGCTCAGACGCGCTGCATGACGGCAGGGAGCCTCTTAGGCAACGCCAGCGAGCTCCAGTAGACGACGGCGCGACGGCGGGCGCGCAGCGAGACAAACAATGTTGAGTGCGGTGTGGAAGGCAGAAAGAAGAGGAGAGGCCAGATGCGACGTTGGGTTGATACGAGATCACAGCAGCGGTCGTCGCTTCCGTTGCTGACTTGACTTGACTACCAAGGCGACGGGCCAGTGTGAGCGCCTCTAGCCAGCCGCTCATTAAGTATACCCGTCTAGTGGGGTCGTCTACGATGCAATGCGCCCGACCTGTGCCATGTTTCCTTCCATCAATGAGCAGGGGAGCTTGCGAACAAGGCTTCCTCCGTCTATCAGCCTGCAAGCCGTGACGGCTGCTGTGCTTCCAGTGCATGCAGCCGTTCTGCACTCGCACGCTCAGGGTCTCTGCACCTCGAGGCGCGCAACCAGGTTGCTGCGAGACGCTATCAGGCTAATCCAGGTACGGCTTCCGAAGAACCAGCATACGTCATTGCGGCCTGAGGGCCACCAACACATGCGCGCATTCCTCACTTCTGCTAGACGCGTCTGCCGCATCGCCGTCTGTGATCCTCAGCGTGGAGGCTTTGTATAGTCGCTTTCAACAGATTTGTGCAAGTCCTGCATGTGTGACACTACATGCCCGCTAAATTTCCCAGCGGCCACTGATTCGAACGGCTGAGACATATTAATATGGCTTGATCGGTGTGATCAATGAGACTTGCCATCTGTGTTGTATGGAACAGTCCTGGCAATGTGTGCGAATTGTGTGAACAGATATTGTTCTCTTCAAGAGAGATGCATCGTTAGCTTACGTAATAAAAGCTCATAGCTAGCGACCAGACATCAAGCCAAGGTGCCAAGCTAATACCTTCACTTCCCAACGAGGCAACCCCAATACATCAATTCCACGATACGAACATGCCATAAGAAAGCGTCTGCGCACCTCGAACTCTCCATTCACAGCCGCCATGTCCTACAAACGCCCGCGCGCGACCTCACCCTCTGGGTCTCAAAAGCGCCCTCGAGGTGTAGGCGCAACCCCCAGCACAATCACGTTGGGCACGGAACTGCCTCCGGACGAGGATGGCGACGACGGAGCCTTTGTCCCTGTCTGGAAGCAAACCGTGACGGACGAGCGCGGCCGCAGAAGGCTCCACGGCGCATTCACGGGCGGGTTTAGTGCAGGGTAAGCTACAGAGCCACCTCGGCCACGAACGCTTGACTTCTTGACTCTGCTAAGATATTTCAATACAGTTGGATCTAAAGAAGGATGGGCGCCGAAAGCCTTTGTTTCCTCGCGAGCGAACCGCAACAAGGATACCGCACAACGTGCCGAGGATTTCATGGATGAGGAGGACAAGGCTGAAGCTGCGGAATCCCGGGAGCTCGAGACGGCGCAATCCTTTGCGACGATCGGACGTGTCGGAGACCATCAAAATGATGCTCTTTTCGGCCTCTTCGTGACCGAGGAGGAGACGATGGGCGTCAAGATTGCTCAGAAGATGGGGTGGCGGCGAGATCAAGGTGTAGGCCGAAAGGTCCGCCGAACGGCACGCTCAGACGATACCTCGGGGGCAGCAGCCCACATGTTTGCGCCGAACGACTCTCGCATGATGTCTGCTGCTCGGGAAGAGGTCAATCGCAAGGGTTTGGGGTATCAGTCAGAGGCGCGTCTCGGAGCGACAGATGAGAAGGAGCCTAAAGATCGACCCATGCTTGCTCTCCCGTTCTTGGAAGATCGCTCAAAACCGAAAGTGCCTAAGAAGGCCGCGCCGAAGAAGTCATCCTTCGGAGTCGGCATTCTAAACGATACAGGCTCTGACGATGAAGATCCGTATGAGCTCGGCCCAAAGATCACGTTCAACAAGTCTCTAGGCAAGGACAAGAAACCCAAGAAACCAAGCAAGTTCGCCAAAACAGCTGCAGCCGAAGGCATCGTTTTCAAACCAAAGAAAACGTCTGGAGAAATAACTGGAAGCCCACGGTTGTCGCACGATGGGAAGCCCCCTCTGCCAGGATTTGTTCTAGCTACACAAGTCATCGATTTGACAAGCAAAAAGAGATATCCACTACCTAAGATACCTCCCGGCTGGAAATCCGCGAAATCTACCGCCCAGCCGGCAGACTCCCAAAGCTACCAGTCGGTCCCTGATGCCGCGAAGTCTTCTACCCTAGATGCGAAAGCTCGAGCATCACTACTAGGCGAAACGCTTCTTCCTGGAAAATCCGTTTTTGACTTCATCCCAAAGGACGTCCGAGACCGACTTGCAACAATGACTGGCAAAGTCAATCTTCCGCAGGGGCGAGGCGAAGGTGCTCCCGAGGGATATCAAGATTCCAACAGCACAAAGCCGAAAGACCTGTGGACCTTCGTACCCATCCTCGACAAGAGCACTGCAGCCGCCGCCCTAGCCAAAGGCGCAACCGGCTGGATGCCATACGCAGAAGACCCCAACAAACGCGCCCGCTACGTGAGTTGCCTAGAACTCCGCGCCGGACTCAGACACGACCTCCCAGAGCGCGCCGAAAACATGTCCGTCTCTGAGTGGGCCAAAGAGCTCCAGGAGTTCGCCCACGCTGCAGAAGTCTTCAAACCGACAACAGGCATCATGGCCTCGCGCTTTACGTCCTCAACTTCAACCAGCCTACCAGGCAGCGGAAGTAACACCCCGAACGAAAACCTTCTCTCGAAGCCGACACCCAAGCCGGAAGACCCAGCTGAACAGGCTGCAAAGCTAGGCATGTACGGCCCTATGACGCGCACTAGCTTCCCCTTCCATCCATCGCGTCTTCTGTGCAAGCGCTTTAACGTGAAGCCTCCCGCCATGCCTCCCGCCGCTGATGCAGACGCTGACGGCGCTGGCTTCAAGGGCAAAACAGAGGAAGCCGTGTCGAAGTCTGCTCTAGATAAGATGATGCACGAGGTCTTGAGCAAGGGTGCGCCCGCGCTGCAAAGGCCCGCGTGGATGGGCGCGGCGCCTCAAGAAACTCTCTCGGGGTCTCCGGTCACTGCGGCGGAGCCGGATGGAGGCCATGCGACCGTTGATGTAGAGAAAAACGATGCTTTGGTGCAAGAGCGCGCACCGGAAGATTTGTTCAAGGCTATCTTTGGTGAGGATGACGACGATGAATGAGCTTGGTTTAAACATATATTTTAAGGGCCATGTGGTAAAGACAGCAACTTCTTACTTAGACAGCAGGCTTTCCATCCTGCTAGTGCTAGAACTAGAAGCGTGCAGCAAGTAATGGAAGCAGACGTACCTAAGACTTATCATCTGCCCTTGCTCATGCTGGAAAAGAACCTCATTTATCAATGACTTTGCTCCAATGACATATAGCAGGTTATCAAACGTCGCACCTCCACACGTTCCTCTGTACTACGTCACAGGTCACTACGTTAGTACATGCCCTATCACCCTCCCCGCGACATTCCCTCCCTCACATCCATCCCCACTCAACCACGCACATCAGTCCTCCTCCTCCACCCTATTCCCGCCCGTCCCTCAGCTACAAAAGTAATACCTTACCTACCCAACCATCCCCCCAACAGCAACGCTAGTCGTGCGTCGCACGCTCGTCCCTTCCTTATATACCTCTGGTATATCTCATGACGCCCGGACCATAATGTCGCACGCAGCTTACCGTAGCGTCTTGCGTAAATACGGCACCGCGTCCTTCGACGGGCGTCTGGTACGTGTATAAACAACACTTCGACACTTCAGATAAGACAAGATGATAAGGGGTGGACTGGCTTGTTTGTATAGAAGGTAATAGTGACAGATGGAGAAGAGGGGGTGTTATAATGGGGCTAGGTCGGATGGTGTTGACGATGGGCGGAAGTATGTGTGATGTGATGGGAAATAGTATAGCGCGGGTCTGTTCTGAGCGTCCACTACGTTCTCGACATCATGGGATAATTCGAAGAGCGGCCTGACTTGACTTGCTTAGCGTGCATTATGACGTTAACGTGCGGAACGCCCTGTGCTGGGGAGATGCATAGCCCTGACTTGAGCGAGTTCTGCTGCAGTACACACTTAGATCAGGAGTGAAGGGTGGCGATACAGCAAGGTATCTAATACCTCAGGGACTTCAAGTCTACTATCACATACGTCACGTAAGCACTTTCACATACTCTTATGAATCGCCGTGACCTCATCCCTCGCCCCTCTTCTAGATTTGCAACCCTAACCCTAGTTAACATGCATTCTTTGTATAACCATCTATAGTCTAACGCTTTCTCATGTTAGAAGCATCACAATATACGTCCCCCATCCCCCATCCCATAATCCTATCTGTATCTCCCACTTACACCTACACCTAGACACATACACTACGCACTGCCCCGAAATCAAAATTAACAAATATTTAAACTACGCACCCTACTCTCCGTCTGATAGTCTGATTGATTAAAGTACAAAAAACTCCGCCCACCCATCCACCCATTCGCATGGAGACCCATCTTTGAACAAGCCAAGCCAAACCAAACCAAACCACCAGCACCCGATTGATGAACGAAAGGAAAAGAGGCAAAAAAAAAAAAGGGGGAAAAGAAAAGAAAAAACGCCAACCCAATGCCCTAGGCAATGCTACAATCTGACCACCGTGTCCCAGAACAGAACAGAGTAAAGTAACACCCAGCGTAGAGTAGAGAAGAAAGAAAAGGAAAGAGAAAAGAGAAAAGAGAAATTGATCTTCTCAAACGCCCTTGCTGATAAAAAGAAACCCCGCGATGAAATGAAAATGAAAAGCGGCGCCGGCAAAGCTCAAGCTCAAGCTCGAGCTAAAGCTCCTCCCTTGATGCAACCAAACTCCATGCAACTGCAACAAAGAAACCTCCCTCCTCTTTCTACACTCTTCCGGCGTCAGCTTTACTCAAAAGCTAACATACCCCGTATCATTATTGACCGCCTCATCCAACCACCCTCCCCAGAAACACCCATCCCCGCCCCGGGATGATGATTATCCCGCGCCATGCCCTCGCCCTCGCCGCGCTCCACCCAATCCTTCTCATTAACGTCGCGCCATATGCGCTGGAAATACAGCCGCAGCGAGCGCAGCCCACGGAGGTACCCTCTGTCCACGCCCTGCGGGTCGTGTGGTGGACAGGGCACGCTATCAGGAAGCGAGTCTTCGGCGGTGACGCAGTTTGCGAAGTCGACGATCTTGAGTTTGATGTCTGATGCGCTCTTCGACGCGATGGCAGGTGGCGCCGCGTTTGGAGATAGCGAGACGTCCTCGTTGCTTGAGCTGGAGAGCGCGTTCGGCAATTGCAAGGGCTCTTTGTCTTTCTCGCCTTCGCCACGGTCGTACAGCATGAGCAGACTGCTCGCGTAGAAGCGATATCCAGGGAGCCCGCGGATGATCCTCTCGAGGGCGCTGATCTTCTCCAGGATGATGGGGATCTGCTTCAACGCCGCGTCGTAGCCGGTGCCATCCCAGAAAAAGCGCTTGAGGGCATCCTGGAACTCTCTGCCGGCCTTCAAGTCGCGTCCGTAGTATTTGTCCTCGAACACGTAGCTTTGGGTCTTGACGTTCCATATCTGCATGCCGCATACTCTCACGCCTAGTTCTCGACTGGTGGTCATTTGGCACTTGCGTCGTTGCGAACGTTGCTTCTTCTCATCGGCTTCGATTCCGTACTGCCGCGTACCCATCTTCAAGTCTAGAACACATGGCTTCGTCATACCGGCCGTAAGATCTTCAAGTAGCAAGAAATGTTGAACGCGCTCATCAGGTTGCAGTTGCAATTGGGCCTCTTTCGGATTCGAAGGAGTTTCTTCGTGCGCAGCCGGAGTCCTTTCCTCCGACGATACCGGAGCTGGTAGCATTGTGCCTTCTGGGGCAGTACCCTGGATCAGCGCGGTATGACCGTTGCGCATTTGGTCATGCGTGAGCATGTTTTGTTGCACCCGAGCGTCTTCGTCCATAGCAAAGACCTCCTCTTCCCCATCGCCACCATACCCGTCTTCTTCATAATACTCCAAAGGCGCTCTGCGGTTGGTGTCCACCCCGCAAGGCCTACGTGTAAGGCCGCCTCCCGAATGGCGACGGCGTGAGCTTGATGATGTCGGAGGTGTCTCAAGAAGGTCCTGTGATGTATAAGTAGAGTCGCGAGGCAGACTGCCACCAGTTGATCTTGTCATCTGGCGATGGGCTTCTGCTTTCAGAACCTGTTTGCGCGTCGACTCCTCGTGCATAGCCATCTCCGATAGGTCAGCGCTGTTACTGCGCAGAGAAGGTACCGAGTTGATTAAGCTGCGTGATGGATCTACTCTTGATCGATGAGGCAGACTGTTGTGATGATGGCGATTACGATGATGGATCGGAGGCGGTGCAAAAACTTGTCGCAGGACCTCTTCTTGAAGCTTTCTATTGATGGTGGTGACGCCCCAGCTGCTCTGCTGTCGTAGGGGAGGCCGATTGGGGCTCTCATCTACCGCGGAGAAGCCAATGTCACTTTGGTTTCTCCGATGATATTGCGAATATGAGTTGCCGGTCCAAGGGTCAGGTGTGGCAGAGCGTCGTGGTGGCAAGCGGAAAAGATTATCGGGGATGATGTGGCGATTATTCTCGAAAATCACCTGAGGAACCGCTGTTGTTCGCTGAGAATGACTGACAATCCTGGGCTGATCTTCCTTGGGCTTGCTATAATCATGAGCCTCGGAACCCTGCCTCGCTGATGCATCATGGCTCGTTTGGGTGACCGCATCCTCCTTGGTCTTGTTGTCTTTGGTCTTCTTTCGTTTGGGTGCTTTGCGATATGTCACATTGAGAACACCGATGTACCTGTATTTGGCAGCACAACGTTAGCAAATGATCTGAAGTAGGGATACGTAGAATGGGTGGAGATCTTTGCTGAGGTCTCAGCTACAAACAACTCAAAGGTTGGTAATCATCGTACCTTGGAAGGAACTCTAGTAGCTCCGGATGCCGCCGCTCAACCGTCTCATAAAATTCATTTTCTCGGTTATTGAGTTGCTTACACACGGCTCGCCTGGAGAAACGATATACCGTCGTGTGACCGCCGACTTGGTGGTTAAATGGTTTTAATTCCACCGCGCCAAGTGGCGCAGGTGGCTGAGCGGGTGCGACGGGCTTTTCCTTATGCTTACGCGGTGTTGCGGTGGGAGTGGTGCCTAGATCATCAGTCGCACTAGAATCATAGTCATTAAGTGAATGAGACGATTCCGCTAGCGAATCGTACTCGGACTCAGCCGAGGTAGTCGTGTCAGTGGCTGGGGAAGCCAGCGAGGTGCTGTCATCCTGCCGAAGAGAAGAAGTCGTTGGGATGTCACCATGCAGGCATTGATTTGTATCTTGTGACTGTAAAGAGATTTCTACCTCTTGTGGCGTCTTTACAGCCTCCTCCTTGGCCCATCCCTTGGGTCCTTTGCCTGCATTGACAGTGCTTAGCCTCCGAGCGGATTCTACTTCCACTCTCCGTGTCTCCTCTTCTTCTGGAATAGGCTCAGGCGACTTGAGTTGCCGATGCGGAAAGTAGAGTGCTGATGAAATGTGTTCTTTCTCGGATTCGTCTTCCTCTGAGCCAGGCGACCGCTCTGGGCTTCCCTCTTTCGAGGTCTGGAAATAGTCCGAAACCTCGCGTATGTGAGGTGTACGAGCTTTGGCTACGTGGGCACGGAGTTTGTCAGCTGCAGCGGTTGGGAGACTCTTCGAGAATGACGATCCACGTGGGCCACCCGGAGTAAGGTTGTGAAAAGTTCTGATCTCTTCAAGCAGCCGCGCGGGTAGCTCCTGTGCCTGTCCTGCTCCATCGACGCTGAATTGAATACTTCCGTCATTGTGGCTGGCATAGGCGGCGGGTTCGAAGTACGAATTTGTAGGGCCATCATAAGGTGATTGAGCTGCAGAGGAAGCACGAGACGCTCTCTGTATCTGCTCTGTCAATGCACTTGGGGACGTCCGTGTTACATCCTCCTCCTGAAGACTTTTGAGGAGTTTTTCGACTGGACGTCGGTCCTTCCCGCGGAATTCGCGCTTCTTCTGCTCTTCTGCAGCATCATTCTCCTTGAAAACTCGCAAGTAGTGGCTCGCTTTCCGGCTTCGTGCAGCTGCTGGCACCTCTGTCTTCGCTAAGGTAGCCTCAATCTTCTTATCGACATGGCCTTCTCTTCGTTGTGCGCCATGTCCTCCATGGGGGAGATAGGCTTCAGCATTGCCCACACGCCACATCCTATTCTTGAGACGCTCCGCAGTATACTCTGGTTCAGCTAACGTGTCGTCCAACGAGGTCGTGGTCTGAACAGCACCGGGAGGGGTGGCAGGCCGATGTACGGGAGAGTCGACCGGACTCATAAAGGGTGGTGGGCTTTCACCCGCGCCATTGGAAGTCATGTCTGATCTGCGTTTCTTGCTCGAATTGAAGCCCACAGAAAGTAGGCCCTGGTGTTCTTTTAGTGTAGATCGCTGTTGCTGTGCTTGGTGCTGGCGGCCAATTGTAGTAGTTGTCAATGATCGCGGCACCGGCTCGTTGCCTGCCACATCTGAGCGGTCTTCGTCAGAAGCATTGTTGTTCGTGTGTGCTGTGCGTGCGAGCGTGCGCGGAGACGGCGTGGGGCTATCAGATGGCAGGTATGTAGTCGCAAAGATGCTGTCGCGCTCGGACAATTGTGGCTGATCGACTGACGGGATCCACAGGTGATTGAGGTCCAGGGGCGCTGTTTTGGAACGCCCCGTCTGCGAGAGGCTCTTGGGGGTCACCTCGTCGCGGGTAGGCGAAGAGCTCGTTGGGTCTTCATGGCCGGGGGTCGGCGGCGCATTTGACCTCACCGATGCGGGGGGTGAGGTACGTCTCGAGGCGGGCAAGGGCGGTGACATGGAGACGACATTGGTCAAGCCGCTGCGCGGGCACGGAAGCAGGTGCGTGGCGGAATGTTTGGTAGATAACGTGCGGCGTGCGCAGGGGAGCGGAGGGCCAGCAAAGCGGTCGTTGGGCGCGCGGACTGGGTGCTCGGCGGGACGACTTCCGCGGCGGCTTAACGTGTGGGCGAGCCGGGGGCGGTGGACGGGAGCGCGGTGCGTTGTCGACGGCGGCGGCGATGCAGAGAGGTAAATTGTCGTCAAAGGCCCAACGAGCGGCGTGCGAAGCCCACGTTCCGAATGTGTGGACAAGGCCTCTCCCAGCGGTGGCGCTGAGATTGCACCAAGCGAGCCTCTCCGATGACGTCTCACTGTCGCCAACACTTCGTAGCGCAACGGGCCGTTTGGAGCGCCGTGTTCGTACGGGGGCACGGGGGACGAAGAAAAGCAGTTTGTATATCACGAACGTGCAGTGTTTGAGTGGGTTTTATTGTCTCGGCTCCAAACTCTACTGTGCGCGCAGGGAAGGCGCTGCTGCCCAGCGGGTGCTCTTGCCAAGCCTGTATTGTGAAGGTGCGTCCGTGCGCTTGCGGTGAAGCACCATTGTGCTCGCGACTTGCGTGACACGCACCGTGCATCGTGAGGCTGGCAGCTGGCATGCTCGCTGCACCGCCTTTCGCCGGCCCAACGTGGGGACTTCCACCGTCATTTATTGGCTTCGCACTTCCATAACCGTCCTTGCTCATCGTCCGTTACCAGCGATTCAAGCTGACTCTTGGCCTTCGCCCCGACTCATGCTCCAGCACAGGTACTCCCCGTCGGGCCACCCGCCTCTGCTTCCTAGCCTCTGCCCATCCTATACCGCTGCTTGAGCTCCTCTGCCCCTCCGCGATCCTGTCTGATATAAACCGCATTCTGGCCTCTGCAGGTAGCTGCAGCATAACCGGCGCTCGTCGACCTCTTATCGTCCAATCAATCCGGAACGTGGGCTCCTTCGGCCCTGACAGGAGTCACGACGCCATGCAAGGAGCCTGCGCTTGCCCGTCCTGCTATCCATATCTATATCTTGCCAATGCGCCAACTCAGGACCCGTGAAGGACCCGAGAACAGCACAAAACCACGTGTGCATGCCCTACTAATTTCGTGGTCACTGGAGTGTATATTAGTATTCGCGTGGGCGCGACCCGAAGGCTCAGGTCATCTCGTTGACGTTGAGCAAGAAGCGATCTGTGAAATCGAGATCAACATTCGATGTGTGGAAGTCTAGTTGTGGTAGCTCCACAGCTTGCACCATGGGAGCCTTCGATGGCCGGGGCGTAATAGACTCTTGCGATGCTTTCTCGCCCTGCGAACCCTTCTCAGACTGTGAGCCCAGAAAAGACACTCGGCTGTTCTTTTCTCGTAGTGGTTTCCGCTGCGAAGTCGTAGGGCTCCTGGTGTGGTTTCGAGAGCCGCTGTGGCTCGGGGTATCTTGCTCTGCGTTTGCAAAGACTGAGAACCTCAAATTACTTGCCGGTGGTTTTGTAGACTTCTTGACCGTGCTATTCGCGAATGGAGATACCGTGGCGAACAGATCTTGTGTACTGATGGGCATGTTCTGCATTGTAGGCTCGGGTAGGTGATCCTCTTCAAGCGTTGCATTAAATTTATGGAATGGAGTGAATGCGGGACTAGGTATGATGGGATCCTCATGCGCTGTGCTGGTTCTTGTCCATGGCGTCGGAGCGTCTTCTGCTATAGTAGGCATTGTCCCATCTTGGAATTCCATCTGAGCCATCATCAACGCAGCCTGCGTTGAAAAGCCCGACGTACGGCTCGATTTGTAGCTTTGCTGTTCCTGCTGCTCTTGCGGACTTCCCGGTACGTCATACACGTCTGGTCGTTCCATTCGCGGTTCCGCTGTAGCGACGGGCTCGTGTTCGCTGGCTTCATTAACGGAGTCCACCTCGTGCTCGGCTGTTTCTGTAGGAATCTGCTCGGCGACAGCGGGAGAGCTGAACGTTACGGGTCGGGGCTCGGGTTTGTCCGAAGACGTTGCTCGTTTTGCCTCTCCTATTCTTCTGTACATGAAGCCAGTCGAAGAGGCGAACGTTGGTGAGGTGATCTGGTCATGGCGTACGGAAGGTGCATTTTCGTTCACGCGCTGCTTTTTCTTCTTTTGGCCGGTGCGTGCTGGACGTGATGAAGATGTTGTTAGCTGGTGACGTCCCGCAAAATCCTGACTGACTTGGTTCGCAAATCGTTCCTTGGTGGTAGGGGCCGACATAGATACTTGCTGAGCATGTTTAGCATCAGCTTCTTGTTCCTGGGATTTTGAAAGCTTAGTCTCTTCGGCTCGGACAGTCGTAGCGCTTCGCGATGGTCCGTTGATTGGTGTGAAGCCTGAGGTGTGATGCGCAGCGCGGGTATCGGGGTCGGGCGCGCTGTGGTCCTTGACGTCCCCTGGATGTGGAGAAGACTGTTCAATCGATGCGTCACGTCGGGTGGTCAGATCTGGCGATGATCTATCCTCGGCGGCCCTGATTACACTTTGGTCCTCTCTCATACTGCCTCTCTCGAACTTCGAGTAAGTCCGTTTCCTCCTCGTTGAATAACCGGAAGATACGGTCTCTTGCACGATCTGGGTGGGTTTTGCGGGTGAGGTTATGGCCATGGATGCCGAAGCGGCCGGGATCCAATCTGGCTCTGGGCCCTGGGTCCGTCCAGGATCTGACTGTAGCATATTTACGGGCTGTTTTGGAGTAACAAGGAGCAGGTTCCCTTGCCTGTCCACCGGCCTATGTCCCAGACGAGCACGTGTCGGGGAAGGATCATGGTTGCCGTTCGTGGATTTGCCAAAGGCCGCGGACTTTGGTTGGGGGCGCTTCAACCAAAAGGGGTTGCTTTCGAAATTGTCGAAACTGACGGAGGGGTCAGGATCAACGTCGAAGGACTCTGTAGCGCCCGTATCATCTTTCAGTGCTGTTGACGCATATGGTGATTCATGGTCTTCATCATGAACGTCGGCTGGGGCAGAAACGCTATCCTGAGCGATATCGGGAGCACGCGAGGCCTCAGGAGACGGAATAGATGACGTAGGTTGGGCGTGGTTTGCTTTGGTCTGCGTTGCCCTTGTATGCGCAGGATTGACTCTCTTGGCTTCGTGTGGTTTCCTCTCCCCAGCATTCCCTGCACGTACAGCTTCGCTTCTTGCATTGGTTGGTGTTGTCACCCAAGGATTCTTCCAGCCATTTTCGAAGGGGCCGCGCAACTCCGCAGACACAATCAATGGCACTCTCCCAAGCTTGATGTATTGGTTGGCGATGACCTCTATCCGCCTGCGTTTCCGTGCTCTTCTTCCAGCGTCTTGGTCCTCCTCTGGCTCAGACTCTATGATATCCTCGGGCTGTAATAATATGGGGTCGGTGTCAGTCACATGTCTGATCTGGGCATGGACTCTGGGCATTGTGCGTGCTCGTGTGCCGCTACGGTTGGTGGTAAAAGCGTGCGATGTGAGTGCCTTCGGGGTGGTTCAGAATTGTTAAGTCCTTCAGCTATGGTCGGATGCCGCGACAAGTTTTCTGCGTTCGCTCTGGCGGCGGTGGGGTCGCGTGTTGAGGATCTGGGCAGAAGTGTGGTTGTCGCATTGCGGCCGTGATTCGACAGTGGCAGCTTCCGCGCACGGCGAGTAGTAATGATCCGGTGAAGCAGAAAGTCGGCCCTGCTCAGACCTCCAGGAGGCTCGGCTTGGAAGCGTTTGGTGATCCACCTAGTGGTGGGGAGGGCTTCGCCCGTGTTCGTGAGTGAACCGTGCCTGCGCAGAGCTATCGTCTCGTTGCTCTGGCGACGAGATACCGGGGCAATCGATAACCCACGTGACCTGCAATCGACATCACCGACCGATAACCTTGCCGCATCCTTGTGTATTGATACCAGCAGGTACTCCGAAATCACCTCGCGTTTCTTCGCTACAACACTGCCATTGCGGCACCCCATGCGCACATGAAGCTGCACGCTCTCGCGTAATTCATATTCCCACGCGTCTTTCCCACAACCACATTATTGTCAACAATCACTCGCGCGCAACTCCCCCGCCAAGTGACACGCCGCCGACCGTAAACATGAGCCAGCCGTGGCTCGAAGACCTCTCTGAGGAATGGATCGCGCAGCCCACACCGGTCGCAGCAAGCGATGCGCAAGATGCGCCGTCTACACAAACATCACAAAGCGTGCCCTTAAAGCCACAGAGTCGCCTTCCCCGCATGCGACAATCGTCCGGTTCTTTCTCCGAAGTTCACGTCCGACATGGTTCCAATGACCTTCGAATGCCGAAACGAAGGAGCGCGCTGGTCGAGCGAAGCCTCAGCGACAACAACATCCCGTCCGCCGACGCGTCCCAAATCACCTCGCTTCGCGGCGCATCGAATTCCTTCTCGGCCGTCTCGCTCGATTCAATAGCATGCGAGGGGACAGTAGCACAGAAGCCGATTCTGAAGGCGTCATCAAACGACAAATCTACCTACGATACCCCAGAATGGAGGCGGAGGCTGTTGCAGGGTGAGATTGGATACGGCGACCAGAAGGACCTTTTCAGTCCTATGGGCCTCGAGAACATTTTTCAGAGACCGAACGGGACGGCGTCAGAGGAGAAGATGCCCAAACGAAGGGGTGGTATGCTCAAAGGTCTCAGTGCCATGCCTTCAAGTCCACCGCCGTGGCCTGCGCGGGATGAGGATTCTGTGCAGGAATGCTCAGTTGTCCAGCATATTGACGCAAGTCAAGACATTACGTCCGAAGAGCCCACACAAGATCGCTCTGATTCTATCGTCGAAGGCTCCGCTTTGAAGGGTACTGAAGTATCGGCGAACTCGCTCCAATTCGAGCAAGGACAGCCTCGCACCGTAAGCGGCCAGATTGAATACGACAACGAGAATTTCAGTCCAGTCTATTTGACCCAAAATTTCGGAGTTGGCGCTCAACGGGATCCCATGCCCAACTTCAGAGGATCGGAGCTCGCTAATCGGTTACGGCACCTTGGTTCACCTCACGAGCAGCAGGAATTATCAGTACAGGAAGAGGAGTTCGTCAGTCAAAGCCATGCGGATTCATCATTTGTGCGTCTTCAGGATGATTCGCTCCCTGAGGGTTTACCGGCTGGCACGCCCAGCACAGTGGACGTGGCAGACGTAGGGCGCTTTGTCGAGATGAAACGGGGTGGTTACTCAAGAGACGGCTCGTTCCGCAGACGCCCCTTGAGCCCTTCTCCCGAGAGACTCAAGAAACAAAGCGGCCTGCGCACCGAAAGCATACCAACGGTGAATGTAAGCGCGAATGCGACGCCTGAGCGCCCATCGGACGAGGCTGTCGCTGAAGAAGAATCTGTATCACCAAAAACGCCAAAACGCCATGCTCAATCCAACAACTTGAGTCCAGAACGGACGAAAGGTTCTGGGAGTCCTTTGAAACTCTTCGACGCTCACGACACTTTCACAAGCAATCGTTTACAAAGGCGGTTGAGTCAATTGGAGTACAAACCTGACAAGATTGACGGGTCTGTCTCTAGTAGTGTGCACATGAACAAGACTGAGGTTACCAAGATCCACAAGGAGGTGCGCTTGACGTCAGTCGAAGAAGCGAGCATACTGAAGGATGGCACAAGCCCGGCTTATCCACAACGACGACGGGTCAGTACGTTCGGAGAAGGTGATCTGAACAAGTATGAGTTCTCTGGTGATTTCTCGTTCGTGTCCTCGCACAATGACGAAGACAGTGCACCCGATGAGTCTCCTTCTATGGATGTGGCACCACCGGGCAGTCGACCACCTCTCACTTTCAACTACGATGCCTCTCCTATCTCACGAGAGCCATCTAGAGCCAGGAGGCAAGCAATGGCCCGAGCATCGAGCCACTACCGGGTACCAAGTCTCGCAATCCCTAAGATTGTTCGCCAAGCGTCTGGCTCTTCCGAACAGGAGATTTTGGCATCATCCCACGATTATGCCGAGGGCAAGCGGGGGCCTACATCGCCGTTCAAGCATCCTACCCCTAAACGCCGAAGAACGATTCAAAGGGATGACGAGGAATTCTTACCGGACGTTGACCTTCAGTCTGTGCACGAGACTCGTGCACAAACGCCATCACATAGTGGACGGAAACGCAAAGATGCTCGTCACGAAACTTCAAACAATACCGCAGATCCAGAAATCTTAGCGCGTCGACACATACTGAGACCACGAAATCCTACCCCTAGTCAAAGGCGGTTAGACGAGCTTCATGCCGATATCATAGAAGCGACAGAAGCTTTCATACACTCATCGCCTAAGATGCATGCAATACGAGAACAGATAGAACCTGTGTACGAAGAGGATTCACTAGCAGAGGAAGATCGCGCAGCGATTGTTGCCGAGGAAGTGGCCGCATTCAGCCTCGAAAGGCAACAAGTAATGCGGGACGACACCCGGAAGCGCTCCGTCACAACTCAAGACTTTCTAGCGGAAGCTGTCAAGATCATGGATTTCATACGAGCGAAAGGGAAGCCAGCTAACGGATTGGGCAGCCTTGAAGAGTCTGAATCCGAAAACCCAGCGGCCTTCGAGAAGCCGGACTACCCATCAAGCTCGTTCACTTTCGATAGACCTCCTAGCCGGGAAGGTCGTGAATCTGCCTGGAAAGACCCCAATAAAGCCGAGCTCGATCCCCAGAAGATGAGCCATCTTCGCAAATATCAAGAGAAAGATTCTGATGAGTTCGTGGGCTCTTCTTTCCGTTCTTTCAGACTCTCGCGTATAAGAGGCGTGTCAGCACAGGAAGATAATAGTATCATCGTTGAACAAGACGGCATTCGCATTATTGATAACCCCAACAGGGACATAGAGCCGGTCTCTGATAGCAATCAGGGTCACTCTCAAGGAAGGACGAATGGTTCGCATCCGTCCATGATGTCGTCGATGGGAAACACAGTTGCTACGAGCACTTCGCGTAAATCCGACCACGTGAATACATTAGCACCTGCAGCCGTGGCACACTTAATTCCGCAAGAGGTCGCAGGCATGAGTTTCGACCCAGAGAAGAACATATGGGTGCGCCAGAAAAGTCCTTCTAGGGAGTACCGCATCGAGGAGGAACACAGTGGGGCCAACGAGAGCGAAGAGGATCCCTTCGGTAACATCCCCGATCTCACCGTCGATGAGACTGCAGAGCGGATGGTAGACAAGCCCTCCCCAACACGACCACAAGCTACAGCAGAGACCCTCCTCGAAGACACGGAAGACACGCCGCAGGCATTCGACGAGAAGGCACGACCAGTCACCCGCGATGGTGCGGGCACTGTCATGACTGACAGCAGCTCGGTTCCTTCCAAGGTTTCTAACTTTGCTTGGAGTTTTCCTAAGACCGAAACACGGGCGACTTCGTACAGTGATCAGGAAACGGTGAAAGGCGGTACGCAGAAGATCCACCAGCTGCCCCCGATGACCTACACAATCCCAGAGTCCGACGAAGATGATATTGAACACGAGATCAAATACTTCGAGGGTCGCCAGGCGGCACAATCGACCGTGCGGGATGCGCGAGTTCGTAACGTTACCATTTCGATCGCGGAGGATATGCGTGAACATGAAGAGCAGGCTGCAAATCCGCAGAAAAAGACTTCTCGACAATGGAGCGCTACGAAACACCGGCGGTACTCTTCCCCACAAAAGTCTTTTTGGCACCACAAAGGAGCACATTCCCTGCCTCATCGACCCGTTCGAAACGCTGCATTTGAAGAAACGGACGAACTCCCCGTCCTAGATGAGCGGCCACCGAAGAATTACCGCATGCAGCTCTCGATGAGCGTGTCGGCCCCAGTGCTAAGCAAGTCAGATGCACTTATGCCTGCGCCATCATCGCCAATGAAAGGAGACGTAACCTTCATGCTCAGCGACCTGCCCGAGTTCACCCTGAACCAGGTCGATGAGTGCGAAGTGCCGGACAGGGTAGTGATCAAGCATGATGGCTACAAGTTTTCCAAAGCGCTCGAAGACCGATACGCACTCGGTACTGCAGATTTAGTTAAAGCACTGCAAGATGTAGAGCCTAACGAGCCTTACTGGGAGGATCTTCGGGAGGTTGACCTGCACGGGAAGGACCTTGAGAACCTCCACCGCCTGGACGACTTCTGCTACCGACTTGAAGAGCTGAATGTATCCGACAATAAGATCCACCAAGTAAAGGGTATCCCATATACTATGCGAAGGCTCTGGGCGCAGAACAACTCTCTTACGGGGCTGACGTCCTGGGCGGATCTTTCGAACCTGCAGCATCTGGACATCTCAGGCAACGATATTGATAGTCTAGACGGCCTCGGTGATCTGGTCCATCTCCGAACCTTAAAGATTGATGACAACAAGATCCTATCGCTTCAAGGCATCGGCTATCTGGATGGCCTTATGGAGCTGAGTGCAGCGAGAAACGAGATCGAATTCGTAGACTTTGCGCAAGTAGATCTGTAAGTTCCCGCAACATGAACAGACTTCCTGTGTACTAATCTGGTTTTAGTAAATCTCTGACAGACCTCAACCTGCGCGGAAATCAGCTCATTGAAGTCCGGAATGTGCACCGCTTGCCTCAGCTGCAGCATCTTGATTTAGGTACGGTACCTGAGACCGAGTCTCCTTCGCACCGGCTAATAGAGTGTAGACGACAACTGTATCGAAGAGTTCCCGATTTCCGATGTGACATCTGACCGCTGCAAAGCACTACGTTCTCTTCGCGTCTGTGGGAACGGTATGACCTCGCTTGACTTGAACAGCTACTTCCCGAGACTGGAGTCGCTCTACGCTGATCGCAACGCGCTCACGAACGTGGATGGTCTCGAAGATCTACGTCACTTGCGAACCTTCTCTGCGCGCGACCAAACGCCACGGACCGGTACGAATGCGGAAACTTGCGTTAGTAATTTCCTTAGGAACCCGGACGTTCGCAACCTTTACATATCGCTCAATGTCACTCGCGGCATTGAGCTTTCGCAACATTTGCTCAATCTCCAGCGGCTAGAACTAGCTTCCATGGGCTTGAAGGAACTACCAGGCGACTTTGGACAGCTGACGCCAAACATCCGGTCTATCAACCTCAACTTCAACTCCATACAGGACCTTCGACCGCTATTGAACATCAAAAGGCTGAGCGAACTTCTAATAGCTGGCAACAAACTCGGGCGTCTGCGAACGAATGCGATGGTGCTGGGAAAGCTGACAACCTTGACCACGTTGGACTGGCGGGACAACCCTCTCACCGTTCGCTTCTATGCCCCAGCCTCCGAGAATCGCATCATGTCATTGCGACGGAAGCCCTCCGATGAACAGATAACAGACCGGTTCGTCCTTCCACCTGGCGACATAGACGAAGATCAACGGTACCTTTCGCGACTCGACTACGAGACGCGGATCAGACGGAGAGTAACGGAGATGATGCTTGCGAACTTCTGCAGGAACTTGCGCGAGCTTGACGGGCTTCCCTTCGACAAGGCTCGCGTCCTGGTGAAAGACGATATCTGGGAGCGGCTGCTTTGCATTGGTGTTATCCAGCGGAAGCAGCCGGATACCACTGATGAAATTACCGACTAATGATGTTAATGAGAATACCTTCGAGAGACCTAGCGGGGCTAGGGGAAAGAATAGTGCGCTTCGCATGACTTGTTTCGTGGGCAAGCGGGTCGCCCATTCAATCATGTGTTAGCTGAGTTACCGACGCGCCGATTGTGGCTCGAACGTTTTGTGTTTTGTGTCATTTGCTTTTTATACATGGGTAGCGTGGAGTATTGGTTACATGAGCATTTTAGATGTACATTTTAGGGCGCTTCTAAGCGTGGGGTGTGGAGTCGATCACGACGATGTCTTCACGAAGTGTATTAATAAAGAGAAAAGACATTGCATGCTTACAAGTACCTCTCCATGACTTCACTTGCTTGATCGGTTGAGTCTAGAGACAAAGTTTCGAGGCTCTGCGGTCGATTTGTACCTGTCTAATGTTCTAGTCTTGTTCTAAGCAAGGCCCGTGCGCATCCTGCGTTCTCGCTCCACGTGCGGGTCCACATCGAGCATCGAGTGACACTGTAACAACGTCGTCTTTCCTTGTTCCTACTACCATGTTACATCACCACACAACCTGCCACAATGCCCTCGACTTCCGAGGCAGAGCGGGCAGTCGGTCTTGCACAACAGGCCACAGACAAGATCAAGTCCGGTAAATTGTCGGACGCGGCGCGCCTTCTGCGAGAGGCCACGACTATCGCGCCAGAGCATCCGCTTATCAAGCAAACGTGGGTGGCGCTCAAGGAAGAGGAAGAGAAAAGCGAATTGCTAGGTGTGTGTAAAGACTGGGTAAAGAGTAGGGATGAGGCGGATGGTGACGAGGCCTTGAAGCTCATTAGGGCGACAGTCCTGGGCGAGAAAGAGGCAGAGCAGGCAATGAGCATTTTGTACGATTTCAAGGGCGAAGATGATCTCTTGGACCAGGTTACGGGGGAGCTGTTGATGCATGTGGGGGCCCAGCGGTGGCTTGCGGGCTTCGTGAAGGAGCATCCCACGCAGGCGTACTATGAGCTGTTTGAGCGCGGAGACGACAGCATCGATGGCTTGATCAAGGCGCTGCTCAATCGTGCAGTATGGGAGAGCGACGAGGCCTTTGTGCAGGGCCATCGGGATTGCTTCATGCTTAGTCTAGCCATGATGATGGAGGAGGCCCTCGAGCATCCAGAGCGCGCCATGAAGGGCGTTGCGCAGCTGTTGGCCCACCATGCGCAGGATTTGCATGGCATCATTGACGCGGATAGCTTCGATGTCATCCTTACGAGCCTCGATATCCGGCTTCCAAGTAGCCTTCGCAGCCAGGCGACGCTGGCTACCATCAAGCTCTTCGAATTGGCACCCAGCACTGCGCAGGATCTCATCTCCAAATTCGTCATCTCACGCGTCCAGAAGTCTATTGCTGATGGGCTGGTCGTCGCTTTTTCAGCTGCAGCCGCCATATTCCCTATCACGGCCCAAGCGGCAGCGCAGCTGTTCCTGTCGGAAGGCTTCGTCAGTACACTTGTTCCCCTTGTCGAAGGCAAGAATAGCACCAAGCTCGAACAAGCGGCGCTGGAGCTCATCAGTGCCGCCTGCATTGACAAGAACTGCCGCGAAGCGATAAACCGGCATTGCAGGACATGGCTCGAAGACCACATCGCCAGCTGTCCCGACAAGAAACGTGCCAATCTCGCTGCTCTTGTACTCGTCAAACTTGGCGACGAGCAGGCTACATCCGAAGGGCCCCAAATCGTAACGCCTGGCAAGGTAGATCAGGATGACCTGATAGCGAGCTTTAAGAGCATGGTCATATCCTCTGATTCGTCTGGCAAGCAAGATAGCATCGAGGGCCTTGCCTACGCCTCTCTACAGCCGAAAGTACGCGAAGACCTCTCCAAATCCCCAAAGTTTCTCAAACACCTTATTGGGAGCATGAAAGAGGCAGCCACATCGCCTAACATCCTTTTTGGCGGACTCACCATCTTCGTCAACTTAACTACGTTCCCCCCTATCCAATCCGAAGAAGAGAAGCGCATGGCGCAGCTCAAAGCCTACGCCAACGTGCAGAAGCCCACTGTGCCGGATCCGTTACTGGACGAAGCTCACACAACCGTACGCTGTAAACGTGTCCTCGACGCAGGCATCGTCCCCCTCCTTGTCGGCATCGCAAAGAAGGCCTCACCCGCCGCCCTCACACACACAACATCTATCCTCCTCTCCCTCTCCATGGTCGTGAAATCGCGCCCAGCACTCGCACAACAAGGCGCCGTAAAGCTCCTCGTGCAGATCTACGACACACTCACATCCTCCTCTAACGCAGACAAATACCCCCCAACAGCAGCGCCACAAGCCGCACAGGCTCTCTCCCGGATCCTAATTTCCACGAATCCTACCCACATCTTTACTGCAGCATTTTCCTCACATTCGGTCCTCCGCCCTCTAACCTCCCTCCTCTCGCAAAGTGAATCCTCAACCTGGCAACTCCATGCCTTCGAATCTCTCCTCGCGCTCACAAATCTCGCTTCCATGGATCAATCTACCCAAGACGCCATCATCCGCACCGCCTTTGACACTGTCGTCGACGATCTTCTGCTGAGCCAGAACGTACTGCTCCGGCGAGCAAGCACGGAGCTGCTGTGCAATCTAATGGCGAGTCCGCTGTGTGCGGAGAAATTTGCGGATGGGAGTCCAAGAGCGGGGAAGAGGTTGCATTTGCTGTGTGCGCTTACAGATGTCGAAGACGGGCCTACGAGGAGTGCGGCGGGAGGAGCGCTGGCGATGTTGCTTTCTATTGATTTGGCGGTTATGGAGCTACTCAAGTTGGAGAAGGGGGTTGACTTCTTGCTAGGTGAGTCGCCGTGTATCTCTTGTTGCTCATTTCCCCGCCTGTACGATTAAGAGGCGAGAGTAGTGCTAATTTTGTGCGCAGGACTCTGTCGCGACGAGGACGAGAATGTTCGCCATCGAGGCGTTGCCTGTGTGCGTGAAGTCGTCGCGATAGGGCCCAAAGGCATCGATGCGGTGAAGGCGAAGGGCGGCGAGGGGGCGCTGAAAGCACTGCTCAAGGAAAGCAGGAGTCAGGTTGTGCTAGGACTGGGCGTGGAGACGTTGAAGATTCTGTTGGGCCAGACGTGATCATCTCGACTGAAGGTTCAGCACCGGTATGGTGGTACGATTTGGACATGAGTTGGACTGCATTCTCACGACACGAACACGACACGGTATCATATGACTAAAAGTAAAGTAGAATGTTGACATGATTTTCGTTACGATCACCATTCACTGGTGGTGCAACCATCTCACGTATAGGAGCGGACGCGTAAGTCTTCTCTCAGCACTCTTGAAGTTGAAGCCCAGAACGTCTCAGAGTTACGACAACTTGGTCTACTGACATCCCTTAGCTAATGATGTGAGGTCGATCAGGCAAGTTTAACCGAGCCGAGTCATAGCTCCAAACTTTCTTGACGCTCAATTCATCCCGCCAAATTTCCCCACCACAGCGCAACTTTACGCACAGGCATCCACAATGGCCGACGAAGACGAAGATCTCTCGCATCTGCGCAATCCGAATCCTGATCCTGCCGCCGACGAAGATCCCGAAGAAGAAACGCTCGACTACGGCGCTGCTTTTGCGAAGATCGCGTATGCAATCCAATCCCTCAACACGATCGCAAAGCGTGTGCGGCTCTCAATTGCAGCAATAGACACTAATGAATAGTTAGAAATAGCGACCATGCCCTCCATCTACCCAAGCGCGGCGAAAAAGACTTTGAATCGCACGAGACGAACCTCCAGCTTTCCAAGCTCGATGCTTCACGCCTAGCGATGCACAATGTGCTTTCCTGGCAGCGCACGCATACGCAGAAGAATCATATCCCCGCGATGTACGACCCAGAGAGTAATATGGCTTATGTCAACAAGCCTAAGACGAGCATGTTCCTAACGATGGGGAGGAGTAAGGATGGGAAAGAGTGGTTGTTACCCGAGGAAGCGCTGTTCTTAATTGAGCGGGGGAGCGTGGACTGTCGGTGGCCGGCAAAAGACGAAGAAAACGGCGGAAAGATGCTAGAAGGTGCGCCGATGAGCTTGCAGGCCGCATATGCCGCATTTCTGGGCTACGAGGCTGGCGTAGGCGGGAAGTTGACCATGGAGTTGTACACCGTGTATTCGGGCCTCAAGCGCTCAGGCTATGTCGTGTTCCGGCATGGCAGCTGGGACGATGAGCGCGCGCCTATTCAGTCCCTCACGCCCAAATCGCCAAACCAAAATGCGAAGAAAACAGGGTATTGGACCAGTTTCTGGAGCGAGGTCTGGCGCCGCATGACGCAGCCTTCGCACATTGTTTCTCAAGAGAATATGGCATATGCACCACTATTCCGCCCCGGCCTCTACCGCTCCTACGCCGACATCTACCGCACGCTCGCCCTGATCCCGTCGCACGACCGCTCGCAACCACCCACCTTCACACTTCCGCCAAACCCGAATAATCCCTTTCGCATCCACTTCGACGTTTGGAAAACATCCGGCTCCCAACGCTTCCGCAAGTCCGCGCGCCCACCGCCCGACTTCCGCATTTGCGTCATTAACGCGCGCGAAACCAACGTTCCCACTGCTGCGGAGTTGAACGACTTGCTTGCTACAGTGCCGGATGACGCGCCGAGAGAAAATGCGACGATTATGAATAAGCTTAAGCATGGGGAGAGGAACGTGCTCCTTGCGGTGGTGGATAATGGCATTCCCAGCTATATCCGTGTGGCAGATGTTAATTTCAGTCGAGAGAAGGTATACGAACGAACAGCGCCGAGGGGTGGGAAGGGAGGAAGGGGTGGTAGAGGTGGAAGAGGTAGGGGACGAGGCCGGGGCAGGTGAAGAGGGATGGCGGGACGAGCGTGGATTTACGGATGAAGAATTCCAAGGGTACAACCTTTCGCCGAGCCAGCTGTGTCGCAGACAGTGGCGCTTGTGCTTTCGTAAGCTTCCGAGCGGAAGCCTGCTTCTGGACCAGCCACTAAAGACAGAACCGTGAAGGTTTTGGGAAAATTGACCGTAAGACGGCACAAGCAGAGTCCGGAACGAACAAGTTCGAAGGACGAGGTCGTCGAGTCGGGCGTCTGCAGAATAACATCGATCGTTCAAGTACGTCGATTGGCCTTTGCGAAGAGCAAGATGTTATACCTAGCATTTTGGGCAAATTGAGTGGCCCCTTCGAAGTAGCGGTTACACAAAACGAAGACAAACAAATATATCTACACACATAACAATTTCCAGGCTCTCCCAAAACCCAAGAGTGCGCAAAATTCGAGATCAGACCATTAACACCCAGCTCGGCGCCCGCCAAACGGACCTCGGCATCTTCCCCAGATTCCACTCCAAGCTAGGAATCTCCGCAGCTCCAACTCCGCACCCCTCTCTAGCACCGCGCATACACTCTACACTCTCACTGCGTCTTCTTCTCTTGCCCTACCGCCAATCTCAGCCCTCCACACACCATATCAAGCAGAATACCCACACAATGCCAGCCGACCCCAAGATCAAGCAACAAGGCCTCAGCAGAGAGCTCTCCGAGCCGCCCAAAGACCCGGGCACCTTCGAGAACATACCCAGAGTGCGCGAGATAGCAGGAGACCTAGGCGACAAGTATTTCTCCCCTCCCCTGCCCACATAAGCCCTAGCTAACTCCGCAACGTAGGCGCGTAAAAGACAAAGTAATTATCATAACAGGCGCAAACTCCCCCCTCGGCATCGGCCGCGCCTCCGCCCACCAATTCGCCCGCAACGCTGCGAAAGCGATCTACATCTGTGACTTCGCAGACACGCACCTGGCGACGCACAAAAGGGAGATAGAAAGTCTCTACCCAGGGGTAGAAATCCACACAAGGCAGTTCGACGCAGCGGACGAGCCCGCCGTCAAAACCGTCGTCGACGAAGCCCTCCAGAAATACGGAAAGTTAGACATCTTCTTCGCCAACGCGGGGATAAGCTCCCGAAAAGTCTTCTGGGAAGAAGACACAGACGGCTTCATGAAGATGCTTAGAACAAACACGCTCTCTGTTTTCCTCGCTGCGAAGTACGCTAGCAGAGCGATGCTCAAGACTAGCGGGGCGAAACCCTATCCGCAGGGCTCGATTATCGCCACGGCGAGCGTAGCGGGGCTACGGTCGAACGCTGGGCCGACGGATTACGCGGCGAGCAAAGCGGCGGTTATTAGTCTGATGCAGACGTGTGCGTATCAGCTTAGCGGGACGGGGATTAGGTGTAATGCTGTTTGTCCGGGGTTAATTGAGACGGGAATGACGAAGAGTACGTATGATGCGGCGAGGGCGAGGGGGAGTGAAGGGAAGATTGGGCAGTTGAATCCGTTGAGGAGGGGTGGGGTGGCGGATGAGATTGCGAGGGCGGTGCTGTTTCTTGGGAGTGATGAGGCGAGTTATGTGAATGGGCAGGCTTGGGCGGTTGACGGGGGGTTGTCGGCGGGTTTACCGTTTGTGCCTGGGAAGTTGGCGTAGATGGTGGGATGTCGTCGAAGTTTTTACGAGCAAGATACGCTTGCACGTTTAGTAACTTATGGGCGCAGTCTCACATGATGCCCTTTGGACTTGACATCCAAATATATCCGTGTGAAGTGTTCTGGGACATACGAAGCATTTCTCTTTCATTATTTGGGTCTTTTGGTATGCGCAAAGGCAGCTCTTTCATATCAGTCAAGACCACATCCAGTCATGATGCCCGCAGAATAAACGCCTTGCACATGACGATGGTTCAACTTCTCACTCAAATTCTCGTACCTCCCAGATGCAACCTCTTCAGGATCCGTTCTTGATCCTTCTCTCGGGCAATTTTATTTGTGGGCTACCATAAATTAGCTACAGTAGAATATAGCGCAGATCGAATGAGATCGAAATACGTACGAACTCCCTCCTCGGGCTTCGGCTCAATGCCGGCGACCTCGGCTGCTGTCTTCTCCCCTGTTGCGCCTGGCTTCTTCTCTTCAACAACATCTAATGAACAATTAGCAGTGCCCTTAATGCATATTGGAGCTGGATTTCTTACCCTTCATGAACGGGAACGTAAGCACCTCCTTGATTGAGTAGTGATCAGTGAGGAACATAACCAGTCGATCAATACCCATTCCCCATCCTCCAGTCGGCGGCAAACCGTACTCTAGAGCCTGGCAGAACGTCTCATCAATGAGTTGCGCCTCGTCATCTCCCTGTGCCTTCTGGTTGGCTTGCTCCTCGAACCTCACGCGCTGGTCGAAGGGATCGTTCAACTCGGTGTAGGCGTTGCAGATCTCCTTCTTGCACACGAAAGCTTCGAAGCGCTCACAGAGACCAGGAATCGATCGGTGGTACTTGGCCAGGGGAGACATAATTTCGGGATGGCCCATGATGAAGGTGGGGCTGATGGCGGTTTCTTCGATATATTCGCCAACCAGCTTATCGATCATGCGGCTGGCCGTCAGAGGTGGCGAGCACTCAACGTTCATCTTCTTCAAAACGTTTCGTAGGAACTGGTTCGCCTCGTCGGTGTCTGCTTCTGTCAGCTCGGTTCTTCCCTGGTATGATCGATCCGAAACACTTACGCAGCGTGTCTGCGGGGGGGAATTTCTCCCCTGTCGCCTTCTCCAACTCGGGTATCATCTCGACACGGCGCCATGGCCTCTCCCAATTGACCTCGTATACCTCACCGCTTTGAGTGTGGTACTGCGTCTTGTACGATCCCTTGACCGAATACACGAGCTCACTGACTAGCTCCTCCGTCATATCCATAATATCGTACATATCCGCAAACGCCTGGTAGAACTCGCAAGTGGTGAACTCGGGGTTGTGCGTCAGGTCAATGCCTTCATTTCGGAATTGACGTCCGATTTCGTACACCCTCTCCAATCCTGCAAGGATGTGATCAGTAAGCTATCAGAAACTATCATCAGTGATCTCACCTCCTACCACGAGTTCCTTAAGGTACAGCTCGGGCGCAATTCGCATGTAGAGCTCCATGTTTAGATCGTTGTGGAAGGTCTTGAAGGGTTTGGCGGTAGCGCCACCGGCAATCTTGTTCATCATAGGAGTTTGTACCTCCAGGAAGTCTCTCTCGTCGAAGTACTTTCTGACATACTTGACGATCTTTGTCCTCGTAATGAATGTCTCCCGGGTGGAGTCGTTCATGGCAAGGTCCAGGAATCGTTGCCGGTATCGCTGTTCTTGATCCTTGAATCCGTAGTACTCGGTCGGCAGCTGGCGCAAGCAGGGCGACAGGAGAAGGATTTCTCGTGCGAAGATACTGAGCTCTCCATCTCCTCCCTTCTTGGGTGCAGTTCGACCAGGGAAGCCAACCACACCGACCCAGTCTCCGCGGCGCAACAACTCGTGAGGCTGCTGATCCCATGGTGCAGATTCGCTAGCATTGTCCTTCTGGCACATAATCTGCACCGTGATACCTTCGGCCTTGCATACGTAGAAACGCAAGGCATTGGAGGAAACCCTCATTGACATGATCCGGACACCCACGCGGATCTCCTTGTCCTCTTCAACCTGGCCCCTGGTCAAGTGCTTGAAGTCCTCCACATACTTTCCGAGCCTGTAGTTGACATGGAACTTGTGGGGGTATGGGTTTGGCTGCCTCGATTCGCGCAATTGGTTTACGGCTCGGCTGCGGATTTCGAAGTATTGGTTGGGGTTCAGTTCATCTTCTCCTGCTCCGGCAGCAGCTGGCTTGTCCTTCTTCGGTTGAACGGGCAATGTAGCTTGCTTCGCGGCCTTGGCCTTCTTCTTCTCCTCTGTTTCGCGCTGTAGAATCGCTTTAGTAATCGTCTCGAGAAAGAAAGTCGTAGCAACGGACCTGCTTCTGGCGGCGCTTGACTATAACATGTTAATGAGAACTAGATGTACTTAATGTCGTCTTCTTACGCTCAGACTTGGAGATCTTCTCGCCGGTGACAGGGTCGTCGTGTAGGTTCTCTGAGGCCGGGGCCGCAGCAGCGGGCTGTTGATCAGCCATGGTGATTCTACTGGTGATTGTCGCGGTCGTGTGTCAATTGACTCTTTCGGCAAATAAATTTGGTGGGGGAGTCACACCCCGCCAGACGCCAAGCTCTACGGAAGAACGATGTTCCGTTCCACTCATCGACCACAGCTACATCCTTCACTGGTGTCGTGTTGCATCGAATAACTTGTGATTCAATTCAAATCACCGGACTTGAACTTGGGCTGTTGCTGCTTTGGGAATCCTGGTTTCTTTCGGGAATCGCGAATCACGAGGACGAGATACACGCAGTCTTTTGTCACCTTTTATTTTGTGCTCCCTTTCTGGCATATACAATGACAGACGGGTAGGAAATTTAACTACTTTTTTACCTGGTCAAGATGAACAACTTGATCCAATTGAATCAGGGCTTCTAGCCAATCACTGTTCCATGGCCCCAGGGTGCTCCCCCTGCAATTTTCAGATCCACAAGGATTGAAGCCAGAGTCCATCTTTTACCAATCAATCAATCCCATGCATCGAAAACAACTACCAAGGCAAACCCGCTTTAGCTTCCGAGTGAAGACGGAGTAATCCAGGGTGATTCTTATGCAAACCTGAACCAAACGACATGAAGATCCCAAGGATATTCAAATGAACGCGATTTCGATGCCGGTTGTCCACAGCCCGCCCGCGATCCAAGCCTCCGTCTCCTTAACCCTCGCCCTTACCGCATCTGACGCCCCAGCCTCTTCTCCACACCTCTCGCAACATCAATCATCACAGCCTTCCGCACAATCCTTCTCTCACCATCATTCAAATACTCCGCCTCCATCACACACGCATCCTCCTTCACCACCACCTCTGCACAAATCCTCTCCATAAGCGCCATCTTGAATCCCAAAACACCACCTTCTTCCTCGCCCATTCCATCACAAGGCCTGTCACATGGCAAAGTCCCCGGTCCCGTCTTCAGTGCCCTCATACCGTCCGGCAGCGTCAAATTCCTCCGCTCTTCGGTCAGACGGTCGACGTCCCACGCTTCCTGGAAGAGTGCCTGCGCGCAGATCCAAGCTTCGTAGTCGGCGGGGGATTGCGTGCGTTCGTGCTGGTGTTTTGCGAGGACGGCGGCGCGCATGGTGGCGGCGAGGTGGTGGGTTTTAGACTCGATCCACGCCTTCCGCAACACCTTTTGGGCGTCGAGACGGGCGCGGGAGGAAGGACTGGGTTCGGCGAGGGAGACGGCGAGATTGGGAATAAAGGGTGGAGGTGGTATGAGGGTTGGGGAGTGAGAGGAGTCGCCAGTCACGGGGTGTAGAAGCGTATGTTGGAAGGAGTCGTGACACTGGGGCGTCTGAGGAGTGGGAGCACGACGTCGAAGGGGCGTGTAGCTTGATGACGATGGGATTGGAGGGTGGTGTTCGACGAATGGGTCGCTGGCAGGGCTGGTGTCGAACGGCGAGTAGCTTACCGGCGTGCTCTGCGCCCAGGAGAAGGGGACCGCTGACGGGGTCGGTGTTGCCGTTCGAGGCCCCTGGGCGGTATGCCAATGTGGGTTCGGAGGACGTAGCAACGGTGTTGCCGCCGGAGCGGGAGATACCAGGCCCGAAAAGTCTGAGCCCAGGTCATCTGTGAAGTGGCCTGGGCCGAGAGGAGATGGGAGGACAGGCACGAAGGAGAATTTGCTCGATACCCGCCGCTGGTGTAGATTTCCTCGCACTTTGGGCATGGTTTGAGAGACGTCTCGTGCACCTTGTCCAAGGCTTAAGCGGCCAATTATGTCTCCACTCGGCCTGTTGCTGAGAGGAGAGTCTAGATTAGAATCTCCAATAGCAGATAGCGTTGATGATTTGAGATGATTGTGAGTGAATTCGTGCTTATCTGCATCGCCTCGCAGGTCCGGAAGATTTGGCCCATATACGATGGGATACTCTTGAGGCGTGTCTGTACGCTCAACGACAGCGACGTTGCCCGTTTGAACCGTGGGTTGAAAGACGGGAGCGCAGGCGCTGAGTTGCGGTACCGAATTATGACCCAAACTTTGCGTGCCATCAAATGGGGAAATCAACTCATATTGCCGACTGTGCGGTCGGGTCAGCGCTACTGCGACACCGCTAGACTCCAGACCATCGCCTGTTCTGATGGTCTCGTCTGATCGAGGTGAGCTCGTGGAGTTCTCACCACGTCCAGCCACCAATTGGGAGTCCCTAGGTTCGCTGTTCGCATTTCGACGAGGTTGAGAAGGTATGAAACCGGTATTCTTGAATAGTAGCTGGTAGCCTGGCGAAAGTTGAATGTCTTGCAGCACTTGTCCCCACGAGATCTCCATCGCGTGGTCTTGTTCTGCCTCGCCCTCCGTGTAGCTTGGCAAGAGCGGCATCGAGCTCGACCCGCCATACGGGCGGGGGGTGAGCGAACCCATGGTGGATACGGCAAAGTTTGAGAGTTGAGGTGGTGTAAGCGTGCAGTTGGGGTTGAATGTCGAATCGACGACAAAGCGGTGATCTAACGATAGCAGCGCAACGTACGCGTGCGTGGTTGATGATTGTGTTGTCTAGGTGACCGTCACTGTAGCGCACTGGCCAGTGAAGACGCTGTTGGCCACGTGGGGATAGTGAAGGCAGCCTTAACGAACACGAGCGGTCCGGAGAAAGTCCAGGTCTATTCGTGTCTGCGCTAGTATGTCCGACGTTATGTCCTACACTCGTAAGCAACGTCAATGTATTATAGTCTGCATTCCTTAGGCCATGTGTTTCATCTGTGACCGCAACATACCTTCCATTTCAACTCGTCTGCAGCGATTCATCATACACTTACAATTCTATTTCATGCCAAATCTGCCTCATTTACGTGCTCACCCCTCCTACTGGCCAGGTATACCCTTCCGCTCTCGTAGACTCCTAGGTACAATCCGCTCCCTATAAATGTCCATACTCCTCTTAACGCACCACCCCTCCACAGTCCTTTGAATCCCTTTTCATGTACAATCTCTTGCCCAATTTTCCACGCACTCTTTTTACCCTTCTCCTCTGAGCTGACTAGTGGATTTAGGCTTTTTACAGCACTCTTTGCTGTAGCCTTCGAGGACTCGACAGTCTTACCGAAAGCATCCACTAAGCCATCTGAGCTCGCTTTAGCGCTCTTCTGCTGCGACGAGACTTCCTGAACCGCGTCATCGACGGCAGAGAGCATAATCCTGGTCTTGACCACATCGATAGGCGTCGTGACGACAGCCGCAACTGAGCCCGCAGCTCCCGCACTGACAGCTGTGATCAACCCGCTCTCGAGGATTGTACCGGTCCTCGTGCCCGTGCGGTCGCGATGGTCCTTGATAGCCTCTTTCAATCTTTCAAACATGGGAAATTGCAGAGCTGTGAAAGGCAGATTCCTTCCTGCTAGCGCGGTATAGCCTCTCCATAGCGCTAACGGATTTGATCTGAACTTCGCGAGTGTCTGAACGGTGGCGTTTGTGGACGAGCCTGCAGAGACCATCTGCGCATTTTGCTTAATGACCTCAGCCGGAGTAAGGATCGCGCATGAGACCAATTCAGCAATTGAAGAGGCGCCAGCATGTACAATTGGTGTTGGGATCAGACCATTGGGATGTGATGAGGTTGAAGGGTTTATGTGATTGAAAAAGGCCTTCGTACGTTCGTACGTTGTAAAGAATGCTCCTGCTGTACAAATGTCAGTGATAAGCTTTTTTTCATTTATGTTACTTCGTTGTCGCCCGGGGTTGTCGCCCGGGCGAAGTTCGCTTGAAATGAAAATGGATCTTTACACGAAGGCAGAGTTGCTATGATGACGCTTCCCACCCCTTGATACACACCGCGAAACAAGGCCGGGTTCGCCTTCTGAGTCGCAGCATTGGTATATAATTTTGCATATTTGGGAGACTGTATCCGTGTTTTAAGGGTATCTAGTGGATATACAAGGAGATCGACAGTGAAAGCTGCGATTGCGCCGGCAAGCAGGATGTCACTGTTGGTATTGCCGGACATGAATGAGGACAAGGATGTATGATGAGGATGTTTGAGGTCAAGCTCTCGTTCACAAAGTGTCATCGCTTTTTCCTTGCCGAGGTCGGCACACGGACCCTGAAGTACCGACGTCACCACATCTGCCGGAACTTCCTCTCCATTAGTCTCTACGCTGCACGTGCAAAGTAATTCACCAATGTTTCGGATGTATGTCGGTGTTCTAGGTCCTTATCTGATGTGCCATCTGATAATGCCCACGCGTGCGATGTCGCTCGGCGCAGTGCATAACCTGGAAATGCGTGGGGCACACCAACCCCTCACCAGTCACGCGATCCCAACGACTACTGGCGAACACCTCGCCACCTCAATAGCACTGCAACACAGCGTTTTCAGATGACGCTTCGAGCTGCTTTAGACGAAGACACGGGCCCTTCGAAAGCTACAGAGTTCATTAGATTGATCGCAAGTCGAGGACCTTTCGTTCATACTCACGAATGGTCTCCGAGCAGCGCACTGAGGCTCAATAACGCACAGTCTCACTTGTTGCCAAATCAGCAACATGCACTAGGCATACTTTTCATGGGAATCGTTCGATTGAGCTAAAATAGAGTAGCTATAGCATACCAACACAATGTGGCATATTCCAGCCACATCTAAGTCGCACCCTCCGATTCTTACCAACAATGAGCTCGTGGAACGTAAACGGTACAAAAAGAGTGGTCATCTGTATACCCAGAAGGAGATATCACGAAGAAGCTTGAGCCAATTCTCGCCAGAAAGCGCTTGCATACGAAACAATACGTATCGACACCGCGACCAGTTGACTGCTGCTAGACAGTATGAACGAACACCGATACAACTTGACCAATATTGTCTCGGTACTTTGCTGGCGTTTTGACGTGGACTGCATCGATCAGTCGTACGAGCATCAAGGTCAAGGAATTCTACTTACTACGATTATTTGTCGTCATCAACAGGAATGATGTTTGTCGCGCGGTACCAAGGGTAGAACTCTGAGCGCCTCTCCTCGGGTGCTTGAATGTCACGCTTTTCATCGCTGGCTGGAAGAATGTTCGTCGCGCGGTACCAGGGAGCGAACTCCGTGCGCTTCTCTTCGGGTGCTTCCACGTCACGCTTCTCTTCAGGTGCTTCAACGTCACGCTTCTCGTCGCTCGCTGGAAGGATGTTGGTCGCGCGGTACCAAGGGGCAAACTCGGTGCGTTTCTCCTCTACGGCACGCTTCTCATCGCTGGCCGGGAGGATGTTGGTTGCACGGTACCATGGGGCAAACTCAGTGCGCTTCTTCTCGACGTCGCGTTTCTTTTCATCGCTCGCAGGGAGAATGTTAGTCGCGCGGTACCAAGGAGCGAATTCCGTACGCTTCTCCTCGACGTCGCGCTTCTTGTCATCGCTAGCAGGCAAGATGTTGGTCGCGCGGTACCATGGTGCGAACTCTGTACGCTTCTCTTCAACATCACGCTTCTTGTCATCGCTGGCCGGAAGAATGTTCGTCGCACGGTACCAAGGAGCGAACTCAGTGCGCTTCTCTGCTTCAGCAGATCGCTTTGCATTGTCGTCAGCATAAAAACAGTCGACCATGCTTTTACAATAGTTCGAATTACTTGGGCTGATCTACCTTGTCAACAGAGCGCTTGTCATCACTGGCGGGCAGGATGTTCGTCGCACGGTACCAGGGCGCGAATTCGGTCCTCTTCTCGTTCTTGGCGATAGGAGCAGCAGCTCCAAGGGAAGAAAGGAGCGCTGCAGCGCTGAGAGCTTCAATGAGACGCATCTTGAGTGATGGAGAAAGAGCTGAATAAGCAGGTACGCGGATACGACGTGACCTGACGGCTGATGAACTAGTAAAGGGTGGGTATTCACTTATATACAACGTTCAGGGTGGGCGACACCGGCCTTACCCATAGTAAGTCGTTATCATACTGAAGCTGGACCGACCACATGACAAGTTCTCCTCTTACGTCAGTAGGATTCTATAGTCACGGCATGGAAGGCCCGCATAACCCCATACGGACGGAGGCATATCAATATCTCGAGATCGGCTGGGTGATTTGTGCCAATCAACGGGGACAGACCAGCCCCAGCTGCCTCGGCTTTCCACGGTTGCAGATTTTCGCAAGTACGGGATTAGATATCGCTACCTGTCACTGAGGGGCATGCGGCCGCTAACAACGCGGTAGCATGTCCGGAGATCAGCAGCATTGGTGTACTATACCAGAGCAAGAAAGTGCAAGTGTGTTTGAAGAGCATCCTTCAAGGCAATGAAAGCCTATGAAACGTGCTTACACTGCTTCACTCGTTTAAACTCACTGCTCGGTAATCTCGAGGAACTAAATGTATGCTGCATGGCTCGCATTTCGGGCCAGTCGGCATTCATGGATCAGGTCAGTCCAAGGGCAAGGCAGTTTATGAATGGCTGTTACTGGCTGTAGCATCCGCGACGTTGTTGACGCCCATAGATGGATCGGTTATCTGGGTCTGGGTCCTTGACCAGCATTGAACGCTTTAGCAGCTATACTATATGTTGTATGTGGGATCTTACAAGTCGACGTGCTGCGACCTGACCAAAACAGGCAGGTAATTTGTGCGCTTAGACCAACACGGTGTAAGCTAGCGTAAGCACGTTTACCTGGGTAGGAAGGTGTCTCTACGTCAGACTTCGTATTGATCCTGATGAACGTGTGAAATCGTGTTAGCGAAAATATAGCGAAACGTCCGCTAAAAAGATGTGTAGCCAATAATGGAAGATGAGCTTCATCTCAGGATCTAGAGGAACCACCCTGATGCGCTAGCCTTATCTATAGCATCAATGCACGGAAGCACGCGATACCTAACGATATTCATGACCTTACCTTGTATGGCCCCTCGGTTTGCTCCAGATGACGCTGCTCTCAGCCCCGCTTACAACCGCTCGCAATCTTTAACTCTGCGCTGACGACTTCCGAGTACACTCCCATCTCTACGTCCTTACCATAATCATGAAGTGGTTAGAGAAGCTCGAATACAGGCCAGTGGCCTCGGGCACAAGCCGCGACTCTACCTCTGAATCAGACGAAGACGAGACGAAAGGTTTCATTAGCGGAGCTCACACAAAAGGCAACAAGCACTTCATAATAAGCCGTCGAGCACTCATACTTGTCTCCCTCATCAACCTATCCGCCGTCCTCATCGCAGTCAGTCTCTTTGGGGCATGGTTTTACAACCACTACATAGTGCGCAACGCGGCTCTTCGAAGAGTATCCGGCTACAGTCCTTTATACGACAGATACGACGTGGAGTTCGAGGATGTGACGATCAACGGAACTTTCTACCCACACCAAGAAGGCGGTAGTATCATGCGGCACCAGCCAAACCCAGCGGACGACAAGATCTGGGAGGAGTGGGAGTTGACGCGTGTTTATCCTGTCACCCGCGAGGAAATCACCAAGATGGGCAAGGACTACACGACCGTAGCCAAGCTCGAAGACAAAGACTGGGGCTTGGGGGACAATGCGTACGCAGCGATCTTCGACGTTTATCATCAACTACACTGTCTGAACTCGCTGCGGAAGGTCGTGTATGGAGGGTATTGTGAGTCCACCGCGATGGCTTCCCACGGTCGAGAAAGGACCTGGACTAATATTCCATGACAAACAGATAACATGAGCCAAGCTAGAGCAGACAGAGTCATGCAGCGCGAGTTACACATGAATCACTGCTTCGATATCCTACTCCAAACAATCCAGTGCTCTGGCAATCTGGACATGATCCCCCTGGTCTGGATGTACACACAGGCATATCCTTTCGCAGACATGTACGTCACGGTCTTCTTGCTGCAATGCTCTTTCTCGTTTGTAGCTCACAAGGTGTGATAGGTCCATCAACAAGAAGTGCCATAACTTCGATAAGTTCACCGACTGGCGCAGAGAGAACACTATCGACATGGACAAGTACATCGAAGTGATGAAGCAGCCTGAGGCCGACAAGCCAGGCATCAAGCAGCTACCGGCTGCAGATAGGTATTATGAGTATTGGGGATATGATAACCCGAATCATAAGCCGGTTTCGGAGGGAGGTTTGGGGCTACCCTTGGATCAAGACTCGAACCTGTAGTGGGTAGAAAATATGACCAACCGTCATGATAAATCAACAGGAAGTGTAAGCTATTCACCTTATTACACGAGTGATACATCTTGTGTGATACAAGCCTTTGCAGTTAGTGTGCCCCGCGCTTGGGCTCTTAGGAACCCGATCCTCAGCTGCGATGAACCCCGCTAGGTGGGGCAACCGTGGCGCATGACGGGCAGCGTTCGCACAGCCTCGCAATATTGAGGCGTAGAGCAATTGCGTACCAGATCACAGTCTTCGAGGACGCGCAATCGCTGTAAGGGAGGACAAAACACTTGCGAAAGGTGCCGGAGTGTTGAGGCTTGCGACTACCATTCAAGCCCTGTGGCGTCATAGCTATATGAGCCTAACCCTTCACGTACAGCTGACGGCAGGCGCAAGTGACCCATAACTTTATTAGCAAGGGCTCTTTCTTGCTTCCTATCTTCCCTTCCCCACTACACTCTCTCACCACTCTCGCTATGGGAATCCAAACGAAATACGTGCTGCTCGTCGCGCTCGCGGTGCTGGTGCTATTACCAGCACAGGCGCACGCTTTTGGCGCGGGCAACATCGCGTGAGCCATCATCAATCTAAAGACAAAGGTCTACACTAACGAACGGGATAGATCGATCTCTGCTGTCGAAGGCAAGAACTGGCGCCATGGAGATATCGAGGATATGCTCGCTACGGTCGCGTGCTTAAAGGGCCACAAGTGGAAGTCTATGATGATCAAGGTATGCTCGATACTCATATGCGCCAAAGGCACAGAAGCTAATCTGGATGTAGCGCGTATACTTTGGCAACTGGCTTCGTGACTACTCGCAGGTACCGCATTTGTGTCTTCGCTGATATGAGCCCCACTAAAAAGATACAGGCTGTAGATACCGCAACTTTGGCCAAAGTTCAAGTGAGTCTTGAATCTGCAAAGTGTGCTGTATACCCGAACTAATAGCCGTCAAGAGTGACACCATCCGCGTTCTCGTCTGGATCCTCTCTTTCATGTCATTTGGATATGCAACTGGTGAATTCGAGGTTACCGCCGACCGACTTGGTGTTTACAGGCCGGAAGAGCACATCGACAACCCGAAAGACTATGCCGATAACCAGGATGCCAGGAAGTTCGACCCTCGTCTGCGTGGACCCGTTACCGATATCGAGCTTGCTGTCGACCCAGAAACTGGAATGAAGAACTATATCGCCAACGAAAGAGGTAACTGGGCAACTTCTGCAGGCTACGTCAAGTTCTCCTTCACTCGAGCAATCCATTACGGCCGCATGTATACACATGGACCGAACGGCGAGCGCGGAAATGAAGCGAATCTTGCAGAAGCACTTCGGTGTCTTGGACAAGGTCTCCATTGCCTTGAGGACTTCGGTGCTCACACCAACTACACTGAGCTCGTGCTACAAGAATTAGGCTACTCGAATGTGTTCGCACATACTGGAACCCAGACCCAGATCAATCTCCGTGGCAAGCATGTTTACCCACTCGTAACCGGAACGTTTGGAGGTGTTGATTTCTTCCACTCTGTGCTCGGTGAAGCGACTGACCATATCACGCAATCTGAGGTCGACGAGATGAACACAACGCTATCGGACGCCTTGACGAGCAACACCAAGGGCAGCGGAGGCAGCTGCTCGGCCCTGATTCATGACCTGGGCAAGGTCCCCGGAACTAGTGGCTTGATTCAGGAGGCTCAGCAGCTTCAAGCTGCTTCTGACGCGCAAGCTTCCGCCAACTCAGGACACGGATACCGAAGCGGGGGCTATGATGACTACAGTAGCTCTAGAGCTGGCCCTGGCCAACAGCAGTTCGATGCACCGCCTGGATCTGTCGGTGGTCCACCAGGACCTAATATTCCTGGCACAAACACGGATCCAGCAACCATCATCCCCAAGATCTACCCAATCTTGGAGTTCCGGGACAAAGTAGTCAGGAACATTTCTGCGATAATCGAGAAGATCCCTGGTCTAGAGAAGCTTATTGAGACGATCACTGAGCGAGTGACTCTATTCGTGCTGTCCCTGCTGGCTCCTTTCGTCATGCCAATCATCAAGACTGCCTCAGAGTCCCTCAAGCAAGGTTCCACTACGGTCATCGACTCTGCAGCTAAGCACCAATTCGAAGTCTGGACCAACCCTCACTCTTCTGATCCGACCCACAGCATGCTCTCGAAAGACCACTTCTCCAATGTTCTCAATGCACCAGCCGGTCAGGTCGCGGTGGCGATACTGCAATTTGTAGCACCTCGCGTGGTCTACGCCTTCGACCACCCGGATGTGCCTGTCGATCAGGTTCTCAACGACTGCATGCAGGTCTTTCACCACCCTGCCATCCGCAATAACAACATCGAAATTCACAGAAATATGTTCTCGGTCGTTGAGAAGTGGGCTCACAACCACCGCGGCCAGGATCTCAATCATGTGCTAAGCTCAGAGAGCGTCAAAGCAGGCCATAACCACAGCGGGGGCAACGACCACTCTCACGGTTCTGGCCATGGCGCCGCAGGCGTCTCCTCGTTCGCGAGCCACAGCCACGGAGGCAGCTCCCACAGCGGCGGACATCAACAATCTCACTCCAGCGGCGGCTACGGACAGTCATCTTCGCATTCGAGTAGTGGCGGCGGTCTCCTCAGCAGCCTCGCAGGAAACCTACCAGGTGGTTTGGGCAGCAAGCTAAATCCCGCGCTCAATATGTTCAGCGGCAAGCGTGAGGGGCCGGGCGACTTCGACTCCTCCGCGCCGCAGTCCTCGTACGAGCACTCGACACCCTACCAGCCGTCTCCTTCGCCCCAGCCCACGCACGACTGGGGCTCCTTCCAGCCGTATCAGTCCTCGTATGCGGGCGGCAACCACGGTGGTGCTCCCGAGTACAATGCGCCGCACCCTGCAGGGGGTGAGGGATGGGGCAACCAGGGACAGTATTACGGTGGGCATGGGGCAGAGCCGAGTTACACGGTGCCGACGGCGTATCAGCAGGGGTATGAGAATTATGACCAGAGTCAGCAGGGCGGCTATGGACAGCAGCAGCAGCAGAGTGGATACGGAGCATATGGGCAGCAGGGACAGAGTGAGGGTAGCGGGAGGCAGTGGGGTGGGGGTGGGAATAATCTGTATTAGCGGAGCATGAAGTCGAGCTTCTCCTTTGGGGGTTTATGAGAGCCTGGCGATGACGTAGACTAGAGTGGCAGTTTTCACACGAATGAGCAGCTGTCATGTATGTACCGGTGCTATCTCTTTCCGCGCCCATTCACGCTATTCACGTCGGTTGCACAAGGTTTCGAGCAGAGATGGCTGTTCGTATTATTACCTATGCATACCTCTTTTGTCGTAACTACACATGGAGAATCGAAAATATCGCTTTCAAATACAATGCCCGTATGCCAAGCCGAACCAAACCAGTTCTTTTCCAGCTACCTATTGAACGCCGGCGGGTATGCTAGGCGGTCGAGCGAGCGGTCATGGAGGGTGTTGCGGGCGCGGTGGTGTTACAGTACAGTACGGATAGGAGTACAGGTGTCGCTCAGAGGTATATGTGAGACAGCGTCCGTCTACTCGTTGATCTTGGCGAGGAGCTCGTGGTCACGGAAGAGGGAGAACTCGTCCTCGCCGACCTTGAGGGGCGAGCCGCCGAACTGTTTAGCGTTAGCTTGCGTTTACACCTAAGCTGGTGCTATGTATGAGGGTAAAGCAGAGCGGTCGCATCAGTCCCGAAAGATGGTTAACGGTTCGACAGCACGGACCGAAGTCTAGTCGATGGTGTTGGTGGGTATCATCATCGCTGCCGCTCTGCTTCTTGTTCTCGTCCGCCTTCTCACTTTCTTGGAGAACGTACCTGGGGGATCAAAACTTTGTCGCCGGGCTGCACGCTGGGGGCGACGCGCTTTCCCTCCCTGTCGAATGCGCCGGGGCCGACGGCGAGGACCTTCGCTTCGTTGAGCTCCTTGACGGCGCTGTCGGGCAGGAAGATGCCGGTTGCGGTCTTGGTCTCGGGCTTGATGCGCTGGACGAGGATGCGGTCGAGGAGGGGGGCGATGCTGCGGATGGACTTGATGGCAGACTGCAATGTGCATTAGCTGGAGCTCATGCGGCTGGTCATGCGGAGCGCATCGGGGGTGAAGCATGAATGTTAGGATGGGCTGTCGGAGGTGCATGAGAGTACTTACCATTATGAAGGAAGTGTGCGAGAGATAGAAAGAGGTATCTAGAAAGCAAAGCTGGAGGTTTGGAATGGAATGGATGTGCGAGTCGGGATGAATGGGAGAGATGTTTTGTAGCTTTGGAAAATTCTAGATGGATGTCGAGGCAGGGGGTCCGTGCGCTTTCCGAAGCTCCTCAGACCTCGGAACTGCATCGCGACTTTCGCAGCTGTCCTTGTTACCACTCTTTTCACTCTTTTACGCACCCTATCGAGATACTGTTTTCGGCTTTCAATGCGATAACGTTGTTTATGTGGAAGCGCAATGTCGCCCAACTGAGGAGATGCTCCTCCGCATTCGCCCAGCATGGATTGGCGTTAAGAGGAAGTGAGCCCAGCAGACACGTTCGAGATGCCATTGGTGGATCGCATGTCCTCCTTTGGCGGTATACACATACGCAGGATGGACCAGTCAAAGCGAAGGGCGCAATTGGCAACGATGAGTTTCTCGAAGCTCTTAACAAAGTATTGCCATCGGGAAAAGACCACCCCCATACCGTAGGAATTGCCGTCAGTGGAGGCGTCGATTCCATGGCGCTTGCGACTATGTACGCGAAATGCGAAAGCTTCCTGCTACCGAAGTTACATGGATTCATCATCGACCACAAGGCGAGGCCAGGGAGTACTGAGGAAGCACATTGGGTGGCAGAGCAGCTTTCTTCATGTAAGACATCCAATCCATATCGCCTTTGTCTCCGATTACTAATTCAGAGCAGTGGGCTTACAGTCTACCATTATTCCGCTCACATGGCCCGAAGGCTTCGACTTCAAACATAAAAGCCGATTCGAATCCGTAGCACGTGTATTGCGGTACCAAGCGCTGGGAACTGCATGCAGAGACAAGGGCATCAAGTCGCTGTTTTTAGGCCACCATGCGGACGATCAAGCAGAGACGATCATGATGCGCTTAGCGACTGACCGCCTAAGGTCTGGGCTCCTAGGAATGAGGCCCATCGAGTGGATGCCGGAGTGCCATGGTATCCACGGTGTGTCTCACAGTGGCAGCCCCGCGTCAGAAAGGGATTCTATGTCCTCACTGTTTGAACATGGCGGCATCCAGGTTCTGCGACCATTATTGGCATTTGAGAAGAGCAGGCTGATCGCGACGTGCGAGACGCACGACACACGTTGGGCAGAAGACAAGACGAACCAGGACAGAACACTAACTGCACGGAACGCCATTCGCCACATCTTCAGCAACCACAAGCTTCCTGTGAACTTGTCGAAAGATTCTATGTTAGCCATCGCTCAAAGAACTCGTTCACGAGTAGACACGCATAAAGCTGCAGCAGACAAACTTTTTGACTCTTGCCTTTTGAAACTCGACATCCAGACCGCATCCCTCGTCGTGCGTCTTCCACCTGTCAAGGCCTTGTACAAAAATCCTACCCATGTTCCTTCGTCATCAGAAAAGCTGCAAGCCCGAAACACAGCCCACTATCTCCTGCGACGGGTTGTAGAGCTGGTTTCTCCCCAAGAACGTCCGATGCAAGAGAGTATCGCCAATGCCGTCCTCGCTATCTATCCCACCCTTGCCAGGGGAGGACTCCAAGAAGGCGTTTCCCAACAAAGGGTAATCAATAGCAACTTGTGCTTATGGACTAAAACCACAACTGCTTTCGACTGCTCCCCAGAAGACGGGACTGTTCCTCAAACTAACGAATGGTTAATCTCGCGGCAGCCGCCCTACCGCGAAGCTGTCGTATCAATAAATTTTCCGCCAAAGCAAACGTCAGGCTGGCAACTCTTCGACGGCCGCTTCTGGGTTTGCGTGCATAATCTGACAGATCGACCCATCATCATGCGGATGCTCACTGATTCAGAGCTTGAAAAGATATTGCAGAACGCCCCTAATGGAAATTTGAACCCCTTTGATCGAGAGGAAAGAATGTTCGGTCGCAGACAGATGCGTTCTATTCTCTATGCAATCAAACCGCATGCCCTACGCCGCCATCTCCCAGCACTGTTCCTCGCGCCTGCGAACGCACAGCAGGAACCGACTCTCCTCGCCCTTCCCACACTTCAATCTAGCCCTGACACGAGGCATGCCGACCAGAGCCGGTGGGACTGCACGTGGGAAGTGCGCTACAAGAAGGTCGACCCTGGAGCGCGTACACTTTCCGATATTGTACACAAGCCTGTGTATCACAGCGTTGAGGGCAGTCCTTCAGTACAAAAGCAAGAGACGACGAGAGCGTATTTTGACTCACTCCCAGGAATGGATACACCACGGGTTCCGAAGCGAAAGAAGGTCAAAAGCTGGAAGGTTTGAGGCCCTTGAAAGAGCGCAATGCGGAACGGCGTGCGCACAGAAAGGGGCCTCAGGAGGGAGCGGACCAGGACCAGCATGGTGTGGTGTTGAATGAACAGATGCGGTCTTACAGTCGTCCAAAGAGAGAAATAAGTCTCTGCTTCTATGTTGGCTTGGATCTTCGGAGAGGATATAGATATGATTTGGAGGATCAATGGCCCTCGTGCATATATACCCTTTAAAGCCATCAAAACTAAGACCCAGAACTATATCATTTCGTCATTATCGGCGCGCGATCTGAATTAACAGCAGAAGGAGCATTTGTGGAGGAATCCATGCCTTTGCTAATTCACTTCACCAAATCGGCCTCGTAGGATGACTTGCAGTTTTGCACGCAGTTGTAACTTATTGGTACGTCGACTGAGGCAGATATCAACGCCGAGCTTGAGACGTGCGCGAAGGCAGCATTGAGTGATATACTAACCCTGAGTGTACCACGCTTGTGTTCCCAAACCGTGTTTGAAGGAATGGGTGGGGCGAGACCGGGACGAAGATTGGGCGAGGAAACATAAGCACGGGTGGAGGCGCTGAGGCGGCGGTCGCCATTGTGTGTGATTCTGTGATTGAAGACGCGACCTCGAGGTGGTGACGTTGTGGTTGAGATTTTGGAGCTGGACCCTCATCGGGCACGCATTATTGCACGCCCTAATGAGACTTGGAAAGCACGAATCTGCGGTGTTCTTGTTGCTGGACTTGACTGTCCAGCAATGGAATCAACAATCATATGAGCGCTATGTCATCCCAAGCAAAGTCATCCTCCTGTAGAGCCTGGCCAAGCATCAGTTCAGCGACATACGCGTCGCCTACCAACTCATAGGCTGTTCTATCCTCGACCACACCTTCAGGCATCTCCCTCAGCACATACGGTACCGCTGCACCTTTTATTATCGCAAGACAGTCACCTACCTCCGCCTCTTTAGATATAAGGCCGATCCTGTCGCCGGTTGGGCAACTCAGGACGCAAAAGCACCTGTTTGCGGTATTCGATTGTATCTTCAGGATGAAGTCCCTTTCCGCTTCGTCGACATCTCCTAGTCGGAGACGGTACCGACTGTCCTCTGCACACTTCTTTCGTTCTCCACTGAGATCGTACTGAGCCATGCGAGCCATGAACGTGCGGTAATTCTCCAAATCTTTGGTCTCGCTGTCGCTACGAGTTGCTTGGTCCATAGACTCAACTTTCCGTGCCTGCATGGTCAAGCACTCATGGATATCCCACATAAAGTCGATCCGGTCTCGGTCGCAATGCGCACTGAGCTCTTCCCAGGCTGTGAAGACATTGTCAAAAAGATCCTGCAAAGAGTCTGGTCCACCTTGAATTGCACCATATTGACTGCTTGAGGCAAACGCTGAGGTCTTGAAAGTGACAATGGAATCGATATAGCCAGCAGTGTTGAGTTGGTCAGGGTTTTGAGGAGATAAATGACTGCTCACGGGATTGCTATCACCCCCAGCTCTGAACGCGTAATTCTGCGAGATGGTGTTTCGGGAAATCGGACTTGACCAATTCTAGCGGTGGATTTAGTGTCATGTTCTTGCTCACTAACTGTGCTGAGTGAACTCACGGGTGTCCAACTGGGGAGCTGCGCATTTGTCGATGTCTGGCACGCCATGCGTAATATTTGAGTGAAATTTCCCTTCTCTATCAAGCGTCTAGCAAAGCGCTTGTAGATCACGACGTACGTGTCATGATTATGGTAGCTGACAAGGTCCATGTAAGCTTCTGCGTCGGACACAAGACCCATCAAACCATAAATCTTGTCTCGCGGATCGGTGGCTTCTAGGGTCATACTTGTCGGGAGGACTTTGACAAGTCCCCGATCCAGGGACCTCGTCTTGTAGATGTCAGTGCGCGTGAAAACACGTTCCATGACCATCTGCTTGTATCCAATCCAGCCCAAATAGGCCTTTCGAAGTAGCTCGAAGTCATCACAAGCCATGTATTTGGCGTTCAGCCGCCTACTTCTTCTGTCTATGGCATCCATAGCAAGAAGGATCCCGTCAGAGCTGCCTTGCCCTCCGCCAAACTCGAAGTCAAGTGAAGCAGCAAGGGCATATTCTTGGAGAATCCACATCCTTCTAAAGTAAGGTGAGGCGAAAAATCGTCTCCAAGCTCCCCAGATCGGGTCGTCTTCAGCGGGCAGATCGTAGTCCTCAAGGCAGGCTCCTCTGTTCTTTAGAGGCATTACGTGGAATTCGACATTAGGGCCGATCGAGAACGAGCTTATAGCGTCTTTCTCATTCGGCTCTTCCTGTGGTATCGGCCCTGACTCAATTGCCTCTCGACATTTCCTGTCGGCTCTGAGAATCAGGCTAACAAGCCTGTTCAGGTTGTTTTTATCGTCCTCAGTCTGAGGCACATACGCAAGTACTCTATGTGCCTGCCGGTAGATGCGTCTCATGAGACCAATCTGCCATCTTTTCTCTTCTGGATCGTCCTGGTTTATACAAATGGCGTCTATCCAGAACATTAAAGCCCCGTCTGGTCGTCGCAGGGTCTTGAGCGCGTCGAAGAGGTTTCTAGTAACCCAGAACCTTGTTTTGCCATCGATTAGGATGCTTTTCGGAGCTGTTGGGTCGCCCCAAACGTAGGATAGGGCAGTGAAACGTTGAAACGGGTGATGCGGAGCATGCAGAGAGCCATTTGAAAACGTGAGCCTCGCAAGTTGCAGAAAGTCCCAGTCGTCGTCAGTAAGCAAGTCTGGCTGCTTTTCGTTGGACATCAAGCTGGCGGCTGCAAAACCTGCACGCCAGGCTTCGAACGCTTGCCGCTCACGATTCTTCTCATGTTCACCATGAGGGTTTTTCTTTATAAATGCAAAGTAGTGCAGACCCCATTTGACCAGGACCTTTCGTCGCCTCTCGGATGGAGTCTCGCCGTCGGCTAACTTGTTGAAATCCTCTAAATAATTTTCAACCCTGCTCTTCAAGTCTGCCGAGTCAGTGGCCTCTGACAATATCTGCGAGATGTTTTCGACGTTTCTTGCGACTTCTTTTCCTTTGCGAGACGATTGATCTTGCTTCATAGGCGCAGCTTGAGATATCGACTTGGGTTCTTGCCTTTTTTCGACATAGCAATCAACGTGGAGTTGAAATTGCCTCTCAGCATCCTCACTACCCGAGCCGGACGCTGTTCCAAAAGCTAGACTCTTGAACGGTCTTGGGCTCGAAGCATCGATACTACGATCTTTGTCTAAGTCGCATGGGAAAAAGTAGCAAACGATTTCATCTTCATCGCAACCTGGGGCAAGTAGCAGAGTTCGGATCGAGTTGCGAGTCGGGAGAGGGTCGTACAGATGACCTTCGGGACCAAGCTTGTGGATCACTGTCGCATCTGATGATGCCTCGGCTGGCTCCATGAATATTCAATATTCCGCTGCAGCGTGAGCGCAGCGAGTGCCGTCGACGCGGCTCCGTTATCAGGTATATGCTTAAGCAAGCTCAGCCTTGTGAACGTGGTGGGGCATGTCGTTGCCTAGTCTATATATCAGGCAGGTGATGAATCAGGGACCTGGACCATGGTAGGGTGGGGGCGATCTTTTCGCAAACGATAATAAGCATCCGCTGAGTCTAGACCTTGATCCTGGCTCGCTTGGTTTGTACTGGACCCAATCGCAGCTGGAGGTTCATCGTAGCGACACGTTCCCGCCACGGTTGTGAAAAGTCGCCCTTGCCCATGTTGTGGTATAACGTTCGCTGTACGCGCCGAAACACATCACTCCTTCAGCTGACTGCATATTTGATCCTATAACAATAGCAGCGTAGATATATCATACCACAGGTATTATCAAACAAAGCCTTTGCGCCTGGTGATTCAAGCATATACTATACAAGGTCAAGTGACATCTAGTTCTTAATATGTTCAGACGGCATGCCTCGTGCGCTCCATCTACGATACCTATGGTAATCACCTTACCCTTTACTTGTAACTACAGGTACCGCTTGAGTCTGACTCTGAATAGGATGCACTCAGTGTCAGTGTTAATGAATGGGCACGATGTAACTATAATAAATATCTCGCTAGGTTGGAAATCTTGCTGTGTAAGGCCAGTGTTCATGTCTAGGGATTATTTAAGGAGGTCGTCACGTGGTGTCTCTCGGTTGTCCGGTGTGATTATTGGTTGCTGAAAAAAACACCCAATCAGATGTGAGCATTTGCGGTATTGGCCAATATTCCTTTCGTGCGAGACCATTGATGATTGGCATGACCCAAGGTTTATTATGAGTAACGGAAAAGTGATACAACTGAGGCTGTGCATTGCAAAGCGTTTACCCAAATAGGTAATTTACGAGCACTAGGTGAGAGTGGAGTGACATAGACCCGAGTTGCAATACGAAGTAGTTGCTACATAGGCTTATTGTCAATGAAGGGTAGGACTATCACTTCATATAAGATACAGATGGAGAACTGGTATACTTCTGCAGCAACTTGTCATTTGCTTCATCATGGGAGCCATCTTACCAAAGCTCCTGCAGTCCAGCCTTCTCGTGGCATCCATCTGGCCCTCGGTGATCTCAACCGCGCACGTCCTTCCCAGCCCGAGCGGGCCCTACGCTGTTCTCTATAATACATTCAATATCACCGATGAATCCCGCGTCGACCCGCTCGACCCCAAGAACGGAATGCGAAAGCTGATGCTCTCGTCCTTCTACCCCGTACAACGCTCCATGTGCGAGCAGACATGCACTGTTCCATACGTATCGCAAAACGTAGAACCCTTCGTTGATCAGATTGGCGGTGGAATTGGAATTCCTAGCGGCGCACTGGGCCAGATAGCGCTGGAAGTGTGTTGCAAAACGAACGGCGAGGAAAACAGAAACGCAAGCAGCGTCCCGCTCGTGTTCCTCCTCCACGGCTTCGCTGGCACTCGACTTCTCCACAATGCTCTCGCAGAGGAGCTAGCGAGTGGGGGCTTCGCCGTCGTCACTATGGATCACACATTTGAGTCTGTCGCTGTCGAGTTCCCTGACGGCTCGGTGGTCCCCGGGCTCAATGATCCTTCCTGGGATCCGACTATTCCCGGGCGCCTAGAGCCTTTGCAAGATATACGCGTTGACGACGTGCGCTTTGTACTCTCGCAGCTCAGGAGCAGGGAGGTTGCAGCGAGAGCGGTACCTGGTGCCTTGTGTGGGTTCAACACCGAGCACGTCGCGGTCCTTGGGCACTCCTTTGGCGGCAGCACTTCTATCAAGCTACTCATGACAGACTCGCGCTTTGTCGGCGGCCTCAATCTGGACGGTTTGCAGTTCGGTAATATCACCGATGTGCAGCAGCCTGCCGTGTTGTTTGCGTCTATGGGCCATAACTCGACGAACGACCCGACCTGGGCGGAAACGCTGCAGCATTTGAAGGGGTGGAAGGTAGAGATTGGTTTGAATAATATTACCCACTTTGGATTTACAGATGTGTCGTATCTCAATGGCACAGGGGCGTTGGCGCTTTCGAAGGAGGTGGCGGATGGTTTGATTGGGACGCTGAATGGTAAGAGGAGTTTTAAGATTGTGGCGACGTACGTGACGGAGTTTTTGGACTTGGTACTGAAGGGAAGGAACACAACGCTCTTTGATGGTCCGAGCCAGAAGTTTCCTGAAGTCGTTGTGTTGTAGTGTTGACTTGTTGTAAAATTGTGAAGTAATATAGATGGATTGAAATTTGCATTCGCCTTTGGTGCTTCTGCTTCGAGTTAGCAATTTAGGTTAAAGTAGCTTCCTGGATTGACTCAACTACCCTAATCTTCCGAATCACACAGGTGCGGGAAGAACGTTAAGCGACCAAACACATAGTATATAAAGGGCTCGCTCACATCATAGCTATGCCTCCGGAGACATCATGTATGGTGTCGAGATACCTTTCGGCCCGGAGGTCCGTCCACGAGTCAGCGCTCCACTTAACTTCCACACCGCTCCCCACATATAGAGCAAAACATTTGCAAAAAGTTGCAAAACATACAACAGCGGGTATTCGCTGCTGGTCACCCACGCAACTACTAATCCGCCGGTACACTGCTTATATATGGCTGAGCGGACGGGAAGCCTAGTTTTCAGTGTCCTATGGTCGTATGTGAGAAAACTTGAACATAGAATGGTAGATATCCAAGGTGGAGGTTGGAGATATGATTAACAGGCTGCTATCCTCTATGGCAGTCCTTGCGCAGATTCACGTAGACTAGGCTGGGCTAGGCTGGGCCGAGCGGCTGGCGAGGGAATTGGTATACATGGTAGGCGCGGCGTGGTATCATACATTGTATGTTGTTTCCCTTCTAATAAAGGTTGTTGGTTCAGAAGGTTTACACGTTAACGTATAAGGGAAGTGTATCAGACTATATAGTATCCCCCACTAATAATAATGTACTCTCCGTTGATCCATTTTGATCTAGCTTCTGCCAGAAAGGCTACAGTCCATGCAACATCGGTTGGGTCGGCGAAAGCCCCCTCGCAGGGTGTGCCGGCTTCAAATATGCCTTTAATAAAGTCGAAGTTGTCTCCTAGCTTATCGTAGAAGCTTTTGCCAGCAACCGGACCTGGTCCAACGCCGTTGACTGTGCATCCGTATTTCGGCGGTAACTCCCTTGCCCAGATACGTAGCATGGCGTCGATTGCTCCCTTTGTTGCTGCATAGGTCCCTTGGTCGTGTTCCGGTGCTCTTGATGCGGCCGATCCAACGCATATAATGCGCGAACCATTGAGATTACCGGATGCTTTATCCGACGGGGTGTAAGGTGTCAAGTGTGGAAGAGCAGCTTGGGTGAGTAAGAAGCAGCCTCGCGCATTCAAATTCATCGCTTGGTTCCAAGATGCGACATCGGCTTTCCAAAGGGGAGCAAGCGGGACAATGCCTGCATTGTTGACGAGAATGTCTATGTGGCCAAACCGCTCGACAGCAGCCGACACGAGAATTTGAGGGCCGTCTGTTGTCGATAAGTCGGCGCAGACCGCGATCCACGGTGTGTGTAGCTGCTGCCCGACGTTCTCACATTCCTTCCGCAAGGACTCCCAGGGATAATTGAGAACAATGTTGGCTCCTCTTGAGGAAAGCTCTGCTGCAATCGTAGCTCCGATACCAGCTGATGAGCCTGATATAACCGCATTCCGTCCAGTCATGGTCTTTGTCGACGAAAGTAGTTCTTTAGCTTCAGCCATGGTTTATTCCTTCGATGTGCCGTTCCTGTAAAGCGGTTCGAGCCGTGTCTCATATGACCGGTACTATACAGATGAGGTCCAGAATATGTATCAACTCAGTTTGCCCAACGAATTCTTCGAAATGCTAGTTGGATGGTCATGCGGATATGTCGCGATGTCGGACATTTTTACCCTAACCCCGATCCTAATCTATGTATCAAGTATGGAGTTTCGGCCTTAAATTCCGAAGCGAGACGCTGGTTTACTGCTTCCCTATTGGAACTGATGTTCGCTTATCCTACCCTACCATCTGTCCCTATCTAGATTTTTGACGGTGTTTACCGTAGAATCTCCATGAAAAGAGGCAGCCTAGCGTTCTTAGCGAGGGTTCTACCCACTAATTTTCTAGTACTAAGGTAAGCTTCCTATTAGTAGAAAGACCCTCTGTAGGTCTTTCTATGGGCTTTTTTACCCTCCTATTAAAACTTTTAGGTTGAAAATTCCTAATATTAGTGAGGATACATGTTTTAGTAGGGCTTACTAAGTAACTGCCATTAGCAAGTGTGACGGTATAAGTAAAAGAACCTGGCCACAACGTTACTTACTAAAGGCCAGTATTTACTATATTCCTGAATTCGATTCGCCACGCTTTATTCTACATTTGGTTCTTCATTGGGATACTACGAAAACGCAAAACGCACAGCAATAATCAAGTAGAGATAATTGCGTCATTTATACTTTGCTCAATATCGCGCTTGATGTCCTCTATATCCTCAAGTCCAACGGAAAGCCTAACCATGTTCTCCGACACACCCACATGTTCTTTCTCTTCAGGTAGCATAGGTTTGTGCGTAGTCGACCAAGGATGCAAAGCGGTAGTCTTCGTATCTCCATAACTGCGTGGAAATTTAGCTACTTTGGCCGTAGAACAAAATCATGCACATTACCTTGCCATGTTGGCAATCAGCTTGAAGCCATCCGCAATTTTCTCTGCAATCTCAGCGCTCCCTTTTATTCCAAACATAAGCAAAGCACCTGCTCCACGAGGCAAGTACTGTTGAGCACGAGCGTAAGCCTGGTGCGACTCAAGGCCCGGGTACCTCACCCAAGCGATCTTGTCATGATTTTCAAGCCATTGAGCAAGCTCAAGTGTATTCCGTGCGTGCCGTTCGCAGCGTAAGCTGAGCGTTTCCAAACCGACCAATAGCTGTTGCGCGTTGAAAGGAGACAAACACGCGCCAACATCGCGCAGGAATTGACCTTTTATGCGCATGGTAAAAGCTTTGTTACCATACACTTGCAAGAAGTTCAACCCGTGATAACCCGCACAAGGCTGGTTGAATTGTGGGAATTTCCGATCGCTCCAGTCGAACGTGCCCGCATCAACAATGAGACCGCCCACAGATGTGCCATGTCCCCCAATCCACTTGCTACCGCTGTGTAGAACAATGTCAGCACCATGCTTGATAGGTTGACAGAAGTAGCCCCCTGCACCAAATGTATTCTCCACAATGAGTGGTACGTGTCGTTTGCGACAGATCCGGGAGATAGCTTCAATATCGGGGATATCGAGATCGGGATGTCCTAGGGTTTCGATGTAAACAGCTTTCGTATTTCCGTCAATCGCTGCACAGATGCTCTGTGGATCTTCCTTGCTAATCTTTGCTGTGACCCCGAACTCCGGGAAAAGGAAGCTAAATTGATTGTAGGCTCCATGGTACAGATTGGCGGTCGCTACAATGTTCTCTCCAGCGCGAGTAAGGGCTAGAACAGTATTGAAAACAGCGGCTTGCCCAGAGGCCACCGCAATAGATGCAACGCCTCCTTCCAATGCAGCCACCCTCTTTTCAAGCACGTCAATCGTGGGATTGCCTGTGCGGGTTCCAATATAGCCCTCATTCTCGAGCGCGAAAAGTCGGGCGGCGTGGGCTGAATTTTCAAAGTCGAAACATACCGTCTGGTATATTGGTACCGCTCGAGACTTGATTACCGGATCGACCTCGTAACCCGCGTGCAATTGTCGGGTGCTGAATCCGAATGAGCCGTCGTTTGCAAGTACCATTCTGTTGACGGATATTTGATTTCGCGCAAAAAAGGCGATGAGTGCGAAACAATGCTGAGTGGCTTGCTCACATTCTATTCGTGTGAGGAGCTTTATCATTCATCATCGGAGCCTGCGGACTTTTCGCATCCAGCTCCGAATGCAGAATTCACCGATCGGAAATTCACCCGTGAAATCCGCTTTCGCTATCTTGGTCTTGATAACTTGTCACGTCTTGTCAAATAATAAGACCTGACCGATGATACATTGATTTCTCACAAACAAAAAAACATCTTCAAACGAAAATGGGCTCTGTCGATATTGCCCTAAACGTGATAATTGTTGGAGCAGGGTTTGGCGGCCTAGCCGCAGCGATAGAATGCCGAGAGCGGGGCATGAATGTTGTCATCATAGAGCGCTATAGCGATTCCAACAGCGCCGGAGGTGAGTACTAGCTTCTAAGAGTATGCCTATCCGTTTTGCAAATTCATTAACTTCGAGGTAGATATTATTGACTTCTTCCCGAATGGAGGTAAAATCGTGAAACGATGGGAGGGTGGAAACGTAGGGAAAGAATTACACGAGATTGGTGCCGACAAAATCGACGTCATGGAACTGCGAAAGTTCGATGGGACCCTAATCTCGAATATCCCCTGGGCTATAAACCAGGAACATCGAGACACAACCTACGCAGGCCACAGGGGCAATCTACATGGCTGTTTCTTTCGATGTGTCCAACGTTTGGGCGCAACCATTGTTCTCGGCCAATCTGTAAAGGAATACATGGAGAAAGATGACGCTGCTGGGGTCCGACTAGCAGATGGACAGGAATTTTGGGGGGACCTGGTGGTTGCCGCAGATGGTGGCCGGTCAATCGCCAGGCAGCAAGTCCTCGGTTTGGGCGATGAAAAGGAAGGAAGTGGCTGGGCTATCTTCCGCACTTTTTTCGATTCTACTGAGAAACAGCGCAGTCATCCTGATCTCAAAGAATTCATGAGAACGGAAAAGGACAACGTCAGAGTGTGGATGAGCGACCACCTCAGTATGCTGGCTTATTCCTGGAACAATGCGGAGCAAGTCGCGTGGGTTCTCATGCATCCCGTAAGTGACTGATTTTCCGAGTTCTCCTCAAGAAGCTACCCACCCCCATTGATGCAAGGCTCACCTGTGTATTAAACAGGATGATAATGACATCCCCGAGTCCTGGTCCCTTGGGGCGGCAAAGGAAGATATGCTCCCGTGGATCAAAGAATTCACATCGCCTGAAGCGCAAGCGCTATTCGAAATTACTCCGGTCGGAAGAACGATCGATTTCAAACTAGTGTATCGCCCGCCTTTGGAGAAATGGACAAGCAAGAACGGCCGTATCATTCTTATAGGCGATGCAGCTCATTGCAACCTCCCGACTGCGGGTCAAGGAGGATCTCAAGCCATTGAAGATGCACTTACGTTGGCTTATTGCTTGCAGCATTGCAATCGAGATGTTCCATTAGCAACCGAAATCACCCAGCGTATTCGTTACCATCGATCCAATGAGGTTCATAAGAGTGGCAAACTTACGAGGGATTCGTTCCATAAGGTTTCTTGGGATGAGATCATGCAGGATCCTAAGAGATGGGGCCAGAAAAGATTCCCGCATTTGCGTCCCCACGATGCCCTTGAAACGGTAAGCTCTCAATTTGAAGTTATCAAGCAGGAGATCGAGAGCGGAAAGAATGGCTCGTTGGATGAAGTTGCTATGCCCCTTCCACCGGGCGGGATCTTTATGACGGGAGACCACTGAGCTTTTGGTTTTAGACAGACACGATTCTCTTTAGAAATATACTATCAGATCAGTGTGTTCCGTTACTATGACTCCAAATTTCGTGCTCATCACACTTCATTCCTCGGGCTACCACTAGAGTGCACGAGATGTGTGCAAATAAGATGGCAGTGAAGGCGAATAATCATCAGCCTGTTCCCTCCAACCGGTTATAATGGGCCCGCACCATGTAATTTACATCCACTTCACGCCAAAACACGAGGGCTGTACGTATACGGCAAAGGACGCCTGACACGTACATCTAACCCTGGCGTTGATCTAAATTTCCATTCTTTGCGTCGTCTCATAACAATACGTTGATATGGAAGTGTGCGGAAGGTCGACACCAGCTGCCGAATAGCCACATACGACTACTAAGCCATGATAGTTCTCACTCGTGTTTCGAAGTAACGCGATGAATTGTGATGCCAAACTCCGCCGCTAGGCTACTACTGCGTGAGAGCGCTGTGTGCTAGCTTCGGACCTTTTCTCTATCATGCTTTTACACTTGCGCACACAGATATCGGACAATCGATCCGAAAGTCCGTGACGCCCAAGTCCCTTTACATCCCGGATAAACCCCGCACCATAATTCAGACATCGCAATGCGTTATCTATATTGTTACATTGCGAACGCCAGTCTCCACAAGAAGCTTGGTATATTGTTGATGTGCCCAAGTCATGAAAGGAATGACCAGTAGCTTGACAGGCAATGGTGGAGTCTCGAAGGGATGTAATCCCTGAAATTTCACACTATCGAACTCAAAATCGGCGCGCTGCTTTTCGGACACTAATATCGCCCGCGCTTCTATCAGTGCATCGTCCTCGCGAGGGCCGTTAGGCGCGACGGATGGGAGGTTCCCGCACCGGAAGAGGATACTGGAGGCCGAGCGGTCGCGAACTTCGAAGCGCGTAACAAAGTCACGATCTAGGGAACGAGGTCAATTCTGTCTTCACGAAAGATGTTCAAGTATGGGCGTCTCAACTTCAAATGTGAGCATTGAAAGATCTTTGCGCAAGTCATCAGTATCCCAGATGTGATTCGCGTTTACTCCATGTCTAGATCTGTTCCCCAAGTATATGCGCTGTAATAGTAACCCTGTATGTACGCTTAATGACCGTGATCTCAGCATTACACCATGATTACCAACCTGGAGAACTCCAGATTCGTCCACTAAAACGCTCCACAAGTCTCGAACCACCACCTCGAGCGTCATCAAACAGGCCTAAGTCTATTGAATCATAGTCGACTGAGCGTATGCATCTATTGCACATCGCCTCGTTGAATGGGTTCAGTTTCTGATATAGCATACTACTCAGTATTTCATTCATTTGCTCGGGTCGGTGGAAGAAGACGCATTTGCGGGTGTACTAGTAGAACAGGCATGGAGTTGCAGCAGCGGGCAAAAGCAGTGCCGGGATTTTGCGGGTGAAAAGCTTGACATTATTGAGTTATGGCGACCAGAGTAACTCTGATAGTTGAATACAAATGAACGGTCAACGGGATGAACAGAAACGCACTTCCCCTCAATGTATAAATCGGTCCGGTTCAAAAAGGATACGCTTTATCTTCTCGGTCTTCGTGGACGTATTTTGCCGACCAAGGCTAGCACCTCTGTACAAGCTCGCGCTGTCGATGACAGTACTGGTAATCTCCACTAGTGCCTCTCGATCGGTTCGCTTCGCAAAGACAATTATTCTTTATCTTTGTCGGTCTTCACGACCGTGACTTGCAGGTCAAGGCTGGCATCTCTGTCCAAGCTCTCGCCGTCGATGACAGCATCGACCTCCTCCAATTTCTTGCCACCGGTTTCCTTGAAAAAGAATATCACCACCATAATTATGACCACATTCCAAGAGGCCAACAAGATGTAGTATTTCCAACTGATTTTTTCTAAGGCGATAGGAATTGTGTAAATGCCGATGAAGTTAAAAGCGTAGCTGATGGACTGAGCCAACGCAATTCCTTTCGCTCATTACGTGTACTTCAATATCTCCAATGACATTGAGTAATTAAGAATCATCCACGAGTTATAGGAGGCCAGCTGGAAGACGAGCACGACCGCGATGCTACCATAGCCATATGCAGTGGACTGACGGGTTTCGGAAAAGTACGATAGTACGGCCAGTGCGATCAAGGCGACATCCATAAGGACTGTGCCGACGACTATACCACGATTAGCATTCCAACTTTTGAACTGTTATCCAATCAGAAGGCAGGGCTTACCCAGAAGCTTCTTGCGGCCCATCTTGTCGCTCAGCCAACCACCAGTAATGACACAGAAGAAAATGACACCCGTAAGACAAGCCATCACGACGAAGATGGTCTTGGTAGAGGTGATTCCTGATGAACCAAGGATAACAGGGAAAAAGTAGCTATTGTTAAGGACCGGTCAGTGTTTTTATGTTGCGCAGATCGGATCGAACGTACACGAGTGTATTTGACCCAGTTATCTGGAAAAATACCATTGTCAAAATCGCTTGGATCAACCGACGAAGATTAGATCCTGCGAAAAATGAGTTTCTAAGAATCATGGAGAACATCAAGTTGTGAGACTACTTACGCGGTTGAATGAGACTCATCCAAGCAGCTTCATGCTGCTTCTCGTATTCCATAGTTGCTTCAATCTCATTGATCTGCTCGCGAATCATCTCGTCATGAGATGGGTCACCGCCATAAAATTTCTTCATGTTGGCCAAGGCCTGCAGGAATGAGTATGTCTTTGGTCATGCTATGAGATTACAACAAACCTCGTCGGTCCGGCCCTGGTATACGAGCCAGCGCGGCGATTCATATGTAAACGGCAGCAGCAACAAGGCTATGAAGGGAAAGCACGCTTCAACCTAAGGGAAACGTGAGTGTGATTGCTAGGTGACCAAGTTTCATACTCACTATGAAACCTGATCTCCAGCTCCATGACGTTGGTAATTCGAACACACCGATGGTGATCCCACATGAAAGCACTCCTGAAAGAGGTATAGTCGATATCAAGATGCCCATGAAGATACCACGATGCGTTGGAGGGGCACATTCCATCATCCAGGTCGTTGAAGATGTCTGAACAATGGTAAACATGACGCCAAGGAGGAATCTGGCCACAGCGAATTGAGCTTCTGTAGTAGCAGTGACCTGAAGTAGTCCAGCAACTGCGGTGAAAAAGGCACCGATTCCAAGCGAGAGTCTTCGGCCGTAACGATCACACAGAGGCCCTGCAATAGGACCACTGACGACCTGGCCTGCTCCGACTATTGCTGTGTTTAAGCCAATGAGACCAGTGGAAAGCTCAAAATCTACGAAGACTGTCAGGCACTCTGGTTGTTACAGGAGGCATGCTTCACTTACATTCCACATATTGCGGGATCACGTTAAGGTTGGCAACAAGACTTGCATCGAAGCCTGTAAGGCAAAGCGGTAGCATGCATGCTATGAACATGCACACAAGTGAATAATGAAGACGTAAAGGTGTCACACTGGCGGCCATGATGGAGCATTCGTTCGTGATGGTCAGTGGAACGGGACCGTCCTCACATAAGTCCTCCAACTTGCCCACGAAGCGATAGCGACAGGTTCGGTACTAACCAGAGCGATAACTTGCCCGTGAAGCGATAGCGATAAATCTGGTACTAGACTAACTAGATTGGTGTAGATGTCACGAGGCTTATCAAAGTCCGGTTGGCTATGAGACTATCGACAATGCGGGGGTGTGCAAGCATCCGGACAATGGAGAATATAATCCGACATTGAGTTTTCGCACTTTTCGAATATTATTCTTTAGCCATGATATAATAATGGGAGAAGTTCAGTGAGCAATTTGCCAACTCGTACACAATGGAGAAACTCATGGCCACGTACTTGCCGCCTGGTTTCAAGCTTTCTTCGCTTTCTGTTTCCCCCATCAATGATTGGTCGACTTCAAGATAGCTAATCTTGACTTTGGCCATACTGCTCTCTGTTGTCTCTTTTCTATGGTCTCAATTCAGCGGGCCCCAGATGCCGATCGTACTCCAAGATCATATCAGAAGTCGAAAGAAGAGAATCCAACAATATCGAGTGAATTCCCGGAACGTCCTTATCGAAGGCTATAACAAGGCGAGTCCCCTGCGTGGTTTTCAGTGAAACCAATCCATTTCACGAGCTAATGATCGGTAGTTCAGAGGCGAGATTTTTGGTATCGATACCAGTGAAGGTACATTACGCTTGTAGGTGTTGAAGTAACACCACTGATTCTCATGCTCAGGAACTAACATCGTCATCCCACTCCATTTTATGGATGAGTTGAAGAGTAACCCTACGTTATCTTTTCTCGCGACATTTGACTCGGTATTATTGCTGCAGAAAACTTCGCGAGGGATAAGCTCATTCAATAATAGCTCACACTGCCAACGTATACCCGTATATCAGCTGTGCCCGCAGATGCCATAAAGCTATTCTTGGCCAAACTGAACCCCACTCTAGGTAAGGCATGCGAGCTTCTCGATCGGAAGATGGACTAATTGTGCCATTGTCAAGGCGACTTCATTCCTGAGCTACACGAAATCATACGTAGAGAGTTTCCGAAAAGTCTTCCCGAAAAGCAAGGTAAAACCCTCCACTTTGTCGATGTAAGCATGCATTCACTGATTACGGGTACAGACTGGGTTCCCATCAAGGTGCATCCTAAACTTTTCCGCCTCACTTGCAAGTTGTCTGCTGTAATCCTTCTTTCTTCTGACGCGGCGCGCGACGACCGTTGGTTAGAATTTGAAGACGAATACATCAACAATGCCCTATCATACATAACTGCCTTGAAAAGCTGGCCGAAGTTCCTGCGGCCTTTGGTATATCGACATGTTAAAGGTTACGACATCCTTCAGCAGCAGTGGGCTACAGGCCAAAACATCATCAAGAAGTTCCTCGACCAGAAGAAGGCCCAAGGTTGGGAGCCACTTCAAAAACCTCCATCTTTTTTCGACTACGTCAGCTCGCAAAACAAGAATCTGCCTGTGGATGATCATGTCAGTATGCAAATAACGATGTTCATTGCAGGAGTCCATACCTCAGCTGCGACAGCTACCAACGCACTCTACGATGCCGCTGTTGATTGGGATCAGATGAGGGAGATACAGAAGGAAGTACGAGAGACGTACAGGAGTTGCTCCGGAAATTTCACTCGACAGGGTCTGAATCAAATGGTCAAGCTCGATAGCTTCTTGAAGGAAGTGTCAAGGTTTAGCTCTCCAGACTTAAGTACGAACGTTATCCCCGAATTAAATGCCCAGGTTCTAACAGATGACAGCGACTTTTGCTCGGAAGAGCTCCAGCTCGATAACGTTGTCCAACGGATTTCGAGTTCCCAATGGAGCGAAGCTCGAGGTTGCCACCGGGGCTATCTATCGTGACGAACAATTATACAAGGATCCATTGAGTTTTAAGGCATTACGCTTCTATGAGATGCGTCAAGGGGAGAACGCTCAGACAAAACATCAATGGACTAGTGTCAGTCGAAGAGATCTGGATTGGGGCTACGGTCGACACGCTTGTCCTGGACGCTACATGGCAGACATCACCGTCAAACTGATAATGATTGAACTCTTCTTGCATTATGAATTCAAAAGTCTCCCGGGGCAAGGGCGACATCCAAATATCGAGTTCGACGGACAGGTATGTTCTGATCCATAAGCAGGTTATGATCTTTCGTCGGCTAACGAGAACAGACAATACCAGACTCCGAAGCTGAAATACTCATTAGAAAGGTCAATCTGGATACCGCGCATCGTTGAGCAGAGATGTGATTAGCGTGTGCGTCTTTCAGATCAAGGATTGTCTAGCTCCAGGGATTAGCTCAAGGGACAAGATAGAGCTAGAACCTTTGTGTACACGGTGAATTTTGGTTCCTGATGCTAGCTAGTGCGTTTTACTGTTACCAACACATATCATTGATGGGATCTCAAATTGAGTTGCTGTGGATAGATATTGCCATAACTTTACCCTTACATGATTTACGATCTTCACAAACGGTGTATAGGAAAGGTTCTTTTACACCGGAAGCCGTGGCTCTCGGCTACACTTGGTCGAGGTCCAAAGCGTTACTGGTAGTGTCTGATGAGGACGAAAATTCTTCGAAGTTTAGGCTCGGGACCAGTTGTGCGTTTCCCTGGTACCGGTATATCGGAGTAATCTGATCAATTCTCCGCACATTCGCAACTTCGTCTATCGGGTTGGATGCTTAGATTTCTCTTCCGATTGTTATGCTATACGTGCTTGTTATCAGCTTATTGACTGCTCTGCCCGTCGTAGCATACGTTATATACCTAAGAGTAGAAACCTAATCCCCAGCTTCGGCGCATGCAATACAACAAAAGAATGAAGGGCATCACATAACAAAAAGTTCAATTGAGATCTGTTAGCCTTGTACAGGCACGATTCCTCAAGAACTGAGCTGCCACGCTTCTGTGCTAAAGTCTGAAAGAAGCCTCATACTTTGTGCGTCCATGGGAGGCATGATTTGGCATCCGTAGCATCCCACGATCCCTTTCTCCCGATGAGCAAACCATGCGAGATTTGGCATTCCACCCCAAGACAATGTGCCAGCTAGTAGATTAGGCGTATCCTTCATAGTCAATAATCCTCCGAGCCCAAAACTAAGTGCGTCATCGGACTTTTCGCCTCCTGTCAAGTTCTCATGCATAAACTAGTCACGCGGTAAGTAGGTCATGATCAAAATTTGAGGACTTGGCTAAGAAAAAGTAGATAACTTACGGGCATGGCCATCATTGCGGTGGAATGTTTGCTCTTGGTAGCAAATTGAGGTTCAAACATACGGTCTCTGGTCTCGGGTCGTAGAAGTTGGGGCTGTTCGCTGATCAAGTCTACCAATACTTTCATAAAATCGCCCACACTAGTCACAATGCCCATGCCACCACTGTCGGTCTCTGCATTACGTGGATACATCTCGGGTGACGGGACCAAGTCCCCTGCGGGTGTCCTAGCTGACATGTCCATCAGTTTCGCGTCGATGTCGGGGTTGTCAGCAACGCAGAAAGTCGTGTTGGGCATTTTGAGCTTGCTGAAGATATTCTTTTCCATATAAATTCCAAGGCGGTCACAGCCCGAGAGGCGCTCTACGAGTTGGCCAGCCCAGTCAAGGCCACCGCCGTATGACCATGACTCCCCCGGCTCGAATAACAGAGGCATCGAGTACGCCTTGACAACGTCTCCACACATGGCCATGATGCCCTCTCCTCTGGACTCTCGCCATTTTGTCAAGATTGGGTTCATAGCGTCGTAACCGATACCGCTCGTGTGCGTCAATAGGTGTCTCAAAGTTATGTGACCCTTGGCAGGGACGACCTGAAAGCTCTTGTCATGGCCTGCTTTAGAGTCGGAGGAGTGAATGATTCGAGGTTCATCTAACTCGGGCAAGATGGGGCCAACTGGATCGTCGAGACCAATCTGACCACGCTCAACACATTGCAATGCGGCTATGGTGGTCAGGAGCTTGGTAAACGAGTATGCCCAATAGGTTGTGTCAAGGTTTGGTGGGTGCGAGTCCTGAGTCCACTTGACCCTACCGCCAGCGCTGCTCTGGAGGATGCGACCTAGTATAGTGTTTAGCGACGGCCATTAATAGTACATAAGTACATAAAGCTCTTGACATACCCTGACGATCGGCGACGGCAGTGACAACGCCAAAAAGACCACCACTGTCAGGGCCGGTGCTTCTCCGCAATTTTTCATCGAAAGTAGTCATGCTCGGGCGAGGTACAGACTGCTCATTTGCTCATCCGCAAAGACAGCTTCGTCTTCCCTCTATTAGGGCGAGTGTTAATTACTTCTGCGCGAAAGCCTTGCTGCATGTGATTGGTTCGGACAATGGCTAGCAGAAGTCCGAAATCATCGCCTATCGCTGCAAGTGCCCATGGATGGTGCCACGGCGAGTCACGGTCACGGTGCCGGTCCCCGGCGCATGAGCTTTATCTGCTTACCAAAACGTATCGTGATCTCAAAGATGGGCTCGGCAGCAGCGGACACAAGCGGGATGAATACATACATTCATATCTCTGCAGGGCACAAATGGCTACCCCGCATTTCTCGATTTAGTACCTGTTACTTCCCATGCCTCTGGCGGTAGATAGCGTGAAAGTGGCAGATAGTGAGCGTGCCAAGCCCTCAACAACCATCACCTTTTCTACGATGCACACCTAAAAACTAGTCTTTCTCTACATACACATTTCTCTACATAAGGCTCTAATCCTCTGCGATTACAAAGAAGCTAGATTCGTTTTTAAAAGGCAAGAATTGATATCTATACAGTTTTTGATTGATTTGGTGGTTATCTGTCGAGATCGCGCGGCGCCACCCAAGTGCGATAAGGTAATTCTCTGAGGCTGGAATATATCTGAACGATGCACTTTGCTTTCCTCAGGCGTTTCTGCCGTCCATTATTGTCATACTCGTGTCGTGTCGTCTCTTGGCCGCTATCTCCGCCGCCCGTTTATGTGCACTTCCTTTGCTGGCTACTTTTCCCCCGTCTCCGTCCTGCGGTCTCCGGAGCAATCTCCCTAACATGGCAAATGACGGCGCAGACAGTGACCCTGCAGCTCGAACAGTCACTCCGGTGCCCATGCGAAATACCTTCTCTTGCGTAACCTGTCGCCGTCGCAAGGTCAAGTGCAACAAACACCATCCGTGCAACCATTGCATCAAGGCAGGCCTCACATGCGCCTTTCCACCACCACGGCGATCATGGAAGCTTGCAACGCAGTCTCATGCAGCATTGGTGGCCGAGGTGATGCGCTTGGAAGGCGTTGTAAACTCGTTGCAATCCGCCCTCGAGAATCAAGACGCCGGAGTCGCAGAGCACGACAATAATCACCACGACACAAACTTCACCGACAGAGATGCCCAGCCCCGGGATTACCAGGGGAACCGAGCCTCCGGCAGTCCCGGACCAAACGCAGGTTCGTCTGAGGATGGCGAGGCTGCTAGTCAGTCCCCACCCCAAGTGGCTTTGCCTGTTCCCACGTCAAAGTTGTTGCCACGCCCAAGTACCGTTACCGGCTCAGCGAGTCCAGAGTACGCCATCGATTCCCCGTCTGCAGCATCGGTCGCAAGCCGGAAATTCGAAACCGTGATCATTGACGAAGGCCGCAACCTATATCTGAGGGGCTCCTTCTGGGCTGCTCTCTCTTCACAGGTATGTCCTTCTGTATACTCTATAAATGCATGTTCAGGTCTCTACGTTTGCCTAATGGACCACTGAGGTTTACTATAGACTGTGGAACTCTTCGGATCAGACAAAAGGCCTTTGGACAGCGACAATGACTACGATGATTATGGTGACATCGACGACTATGAAAACTGCGAGGAGAACGGACGGTCACTGCGCCCAGAAGAAAAGACAGCATCACAAGGAGGAGACATGCCTGCCCACTTGTACAATTCGTCCATCGAATCCTTCGGATCAGTAGCTAGTATCTTCCCTGTTAGTTTCGGCGACTCCATGGATTCATTCCTACCGATCATGAGGCATCCTTGTGTTGATACTCGTCAAAAATTGTGGAAGGTCTTCAGAGAAAGTGTAGACCCACTAATCAAGGTGCTTCACCTGCCGACTGTAGAGCCTTTACTCATTGAATGGTTACAACAAGACGACACGCTACGTATACCCAATAACATAAATGCGCTTATGTTTGCTGTATACTTTGCGGCGATATCTACTCTAGACGACGAGTTATGCCACGAGCTTCTCGGGGCCAGCCGGAGCAAGCTTGTGGCTACCTGGAAAACGTCTCTGCAGCACGCCCTGGCTGCAGCAAACTTTTTAAATACCGATGATTTACTTGTATTACAAGCAGTCATTCTATATCTCACCGCTTTGCGCCACCACGCGCCACGCGAATCGTGGACGCTTTGCCCCCTCGTTTTTCGTCTTTTACAATCGATCGGCGCTCATCGCGATGGAGCTTCTCTTCAGCTTGGCACGTTCGAATCTGAAATGCACAAGCGACTCTCGTGGCATTTGCTCTGGCTAGAGTGTGCAGCTGCCGAAGATTGCGGATGCGATCCTACCATGTACGTAAACACACTATCTTCGGTGTGCCAACGGCATCACTAACACCGCATGTGCAGGTTCGAAATCCGTAGTTTCACGGCCTCACTTCCGAAAAATCTCAACGACATAGATTTGAGCCCAACGATGGCTCAGAATCCCAATGAGAGCAATCATTGGACAGATTCTACTCTTCTTCGCTTGTGGTCAGAGATTCTCATGCTATGGCAACTGCTTTACGACCCTTCACGTCGTGTAGAAGGCATGGGCAAGCCTTTAGAAGCCATGAAATATTCGGAAAAAAAGGCTTTCATACAAGAATGGGTGCAAAGGATCGACGAACGATATATCCAAATTTGCCTTCCCTTGGCTCCCATTCAATGGGTGAGTACATGGAGCAGTTGCTCCAACTGTCATGTCCTCTCTGTTGATCTCCACTAATTCCCTCGATCACAAGGTAACTGCAACTCTCGCCCGCCTTCTGATACTGGAGTTCAAACTCGCTTTGTTCACGCCCGTTGAGCGCCACGCGGGCTTGTCTGCTGCGGAACGAGATGAGTTTTTTGCTGATGCAGTCGAAAGCCTGGAGTTGAGTAATAAGTTGTTGACCGACCGTCGTGGCGTTCGATGGACGTGGTTGTTTCGAAGTTTCACTTTATGGCATCCTCTCGCGTTCGCCATCGCCGAATTGCCTCGAGAACCCATCCGCAAGGAACAAAGTAGGGCATGGGCAGTCGTTGAGCAGGCCATGGTCTCACGGTGGAAAAGTCCACATAAGGTACGAAGCCACCAATGGCGATCCATGTTGAGTCTTATGCAGGCGGCAAAGGTCGCTCGCGCAAGAGAGAGACGACGCCGAAGGGAGTCCGTTCGTACGAGAACCTTCAACCCAAGTCCGACCTTCCAAGATCCTGGCTACGATGTCCTATGGGATTCAGGCAAGAACAGAAACATTGACCCAGTGGATACCGACAATGAACTACTGATGCACGCCTCGCCAATGACTTCCGCGCCGCCAATCATGAACTTTGAGCAACCACTGCAGCCGAGCGGTCCATCAGGCAATGACCCGCCGCCGATGTCGAATGATACGATAAACTCAAATGAAACATGCCCACTCAGTTTTGACAATATATCAGTGGTAGGGGAAATGGAGACGTTTCCCGCCCTGAATTACTTTAACCCCGACAACGAGTTTACTAATATAACTCCGTTAGAATTGGAATGTCTTCGGGCTTCCTTCTTATAGTAAATCCTTTTACTTTTGGGGACCTTTTTGCGGCTGTCTATTTGCCAAGGGCGCGTAGAGCACATGTTCTTGATAAGTGCTGCGATGTGCCCAGTTTGCGACACTTTAATGGCTGACTTGCTTTAACAACGTGGCTCATCAGTCGCTAAGCCCTTATCGACCGCACGCCACGACCCGCCCGTGGCTTTAATTCGAGCACATGTCCAATTTGACCATACTTGTAGCGTAAACGCCCGCTTGCCAAAGCAGCCTCCTCTGCCACATCCATGAAATTCTTTGTTCACCAATAGGCTAGATGGTCAGATTACTCGTGAATGCCAAGGCGTTCATGTGACATTACTGTAAAACTATTTGGAGGATGTCCTCATAGAACTAAGTCTTTCATAAGCACCTATTCTATTTTGTTAATAGCCGCGCTAGTGGGAACCGGTAGGACGGCCCCCACTTTGGACAGCCCCGCAGTCAAACAGACCTCGCCTTTATATACCCCCTGCCTTCGAACAAATTTGTCTGTAAAGGGTTATCACACAATCGTCGGCGGATATGTACCCGAAGGATCGCGAAATACTATAAATAGTACTTACGCCCCGGACAGCTCTGCCGTCTTGGTATTGGATAATTGCCAACACATCATCCGACGACATCTTGCCTCCACCACCGTCAAGGCTCTCACAATGCCCTCCGGTTACATATGCCTCTACAAGGAAAGCCAGAGGTCGTTCCTCTTCTACGTCGTCGCCAACGTCGGCCCTGGAGGGAGCACCCGTCCGCTCGCTGTCGCCTACCGCCAAGGCAATGATGTCAGCCCCTCGCCTTTGACACGCGTCGAAAACGTCGTGAACGACATCCTGAGCGTGGTCAAGATCCTTTCAGAGCCCGCCAACCGCGCCCCCATCGAGGCAGAACGGGCGCAGGCGACGGACTGGTATCGCCAGCGCCAGGATGCGGACACGGAACCAAGGCCGGCCGCGCTGCCAGACTCGCCGCAGCCTCCATTCAAGGGTTGGAAGGAGAAATGGCAGCCCGTTGTGCAGCCTGAGCTACCGCTCAACGACAATCCTGCAGAATTTCCCTCTACCAGTGAGTGCCTTGTCTCGGGCTTGTTACGGGGCAGCAAAAGCACTCGTCCTGGCGACGTACAGCTTCAGCCGCCATCCACCCCCTTTCATGGCGACTGTTTAGAGTACGGCATGGTAGTCATCGACATTTCGAATCTTGAGCACATCAAGTACGGCATCGTCGCCTTCCCCGTGCGCTACATGGCCCAAGTTGACTATCATTCCGCATACGGTGGCTGGGATCCGGTAGAAGATCCGCCGCCCAGAACAGAGCCGGACGTTGTTCTTGTCGACGAGAGACCTCGCGTACCTTTGTCCATTCTTGGGTACCTGCGTAAATACTTTCCCTTCATGGAGAACGATCCGAAAGTCCTCGAGCTTGAGGCCTGCCCGCTTATTGACGATCCCAGTGCTTTGGACTGTGAGTTTTCGGAAAATTTCATTCATGGTCTGAGCTGACCCAAAGGCAGATATATGGCCTTCATAGCTACAAGACGCAGCTCTGTAAGCCGAGCAAGGAGCTACGCCCTACAAAGGGTAACACAATGGAATTGATTGGCTATCGATAATCTGTTTTGCTCTGGCACAGTCTCATACCCATTTTAACGCAGAGATCACTCAGAGTTTCTAAGGGCGTCCAGAGTTCCGAGAGCAGCTGCGACGGCGTCTTAGCTAAGTCCTAGACAAATTGAAACCCTTAAAACCCTGTAGACATGTCTACACAAGTGAATAATGGCTGGATGAGAGATAGCTATATGAAATAGTCTTAGAATCAAATTCATATATTCTACGCGTTAAATGTTCCATGCCGGGGGGTAAACTTATATTAACAACACTCAATTAAAATAGAACTATGAAGTTAAAGCCTACGCTGAGGCGCATTATTCAATTATAGTACATAGAAAATTAAAGGAGCTCTTACAGCTCTCTACTACTAGAGCTCGTTGCAGTCAATGCCGCAGTAAAAGCACGTCTCATCAGCCAAGCACTGTTCCAACAGACACTGTTCGTCCGAGGCTGGACAGTCGCTCGCACCCAAGTTGTTGCCGCACTGCTTACACTCCGCGCTGTCAGGGTCGGTGGGATCGGGGCCTCCCTTAAAAAGGAGCTCGCAGTCGTACTTGCAGGCCGTGCAGTGCGAGTTGTCCCAGCACTGGTTGATGAGACACGAGTGATACGCCGGCAGACACAGACTCGAGCCCATGTCGTTACTACACTTTTCACATTAGGGGTTGTTGGGGTCCATGTCTCCCAGCTCTGGCTCCTCTGGTTCATCGGGCTCATCGGGCTCATCAGGCTCCTCGGGCTCATCGGGCTCGATAGGCTTCGGAATGTCCTCGGGCTTGGTCGGGCCGTGCGGGTTATCGGGATCCTTGGGATCGTAGTAGTCAGGCGGGTGTGGCTCCTTGGGGTTCGGGTCGCAGTAGTAGCCCTGGCACTCCTCGCCACCGCAATGGTCCTCGGCCTCGCACTCGGGCTCGCTCGGGCCGTCGTGCCAGTCGATGTTCTGGCCGGGCCCGTTGCCACCGGGGACTAGCGGGCAACTGCCACCGTCGTCCTGTCGCTTCGTCGGGTTGCCGTTCTGGCCTCCTTGACAAGGCGTCACCGGCTGGCCGGGATTGGACGGCTCATCTTTCAACTCGGCATCGATATTGGGGCACACCTTGTGCCACTCCTCCTTGGAATCAGAGTCGCGCAGACACGAGTGCTCGCCGACTTGGCCGTTCCAGATGATGGGATTACGACCCGTGGGGTCGACCGAGTGTCCGTGCACGGCGAAGCGTCGGTGAAAGAGCTGGATGAGCTTCTTGACGTTGGCCGTCTTGTCCAGCTGGGACTTCCACTTGGACGGCACGCTGCGGAAGTAGTTGGCCAGAGCGGCGACCTGCGGAGCGGCTACAAAGAAGAAGTTAGCAAACTCAGGGTACTCGATTCTGTATTTCAAAGTTGGCAGAATTGTTGACTTACCATAGGAGGTGCCATCACAAGGTCTGTAAGGGGTTTGTTCCAGGAACGGGTCACCCGGGCAAGCGATATCGTTGCCAGGCGCAAAGGTGGTAATGTACGTGCCGAACTGAGCGAAGATGGCTCTCTGCGTCTTCCAGTCGGCGGCGCTTACCACCACCATGTTGGCAAGACCGCCGTACTTGTCGTTGGGGTCGGCGAACTTGGCCGGATATCTGCTGATCTCAATGCCCTCGGTCTGCGCGTGATTGTTGGCCGACGCCACAATCAAGACGCCTTCGCTGTCAAGCTTGACGAGTAGACTCTCTACACGCAGCAAGAAATTCGTCAGCATGGTCAATCAATTGATGAATGACGAGGGGAAAAGAAGAAGAAGACGAACAAAAAAAAAAGATGGGGGTGGGGGGTCTGCTTACGAAATGAAAGGAGAAAGATGTCGCTCATGGAGTCCTTTACCCAAGAGAAGCTCATATTGAGGACGGCCTTGCCCTTGCGGCCTTTGCTTCTGATGTCGTCGAGCGCGTCTATGAGCTGGGCTATAAGTTGCTCCTTGGGGTAGACCTGCCACTCAGGTACCTTTTTGTTCTTGGGCACATTCGAGGTCACCATGACCACGGTGCACGACGGGCAGATGCCGAGCTTGTTGCCGAGGATCTGTGCTGCCACGCCAGAACCGTGCTTATAGCTGGGGGTGTATTTAGCCTGGGGCCCGAAGTTGCTGCCCGAGTTGAGGTACTCGAACTTCCTTTCCAGGAACTCCTACAAAACACTCATGTATTAACATCAAGCTTTGGCTAAGATTGTGGACGCAAGGGGCAAGACAAGGAGGAGGAAACTTACGGGATGACTTGTCCAAACGCCTTCATCGTGAATAACATACACATACGTATCGCTTGCGTCGGCAGTGTCGTAGTTGTACGTATATTTCTCGTTGTTAGGGGCGGCCGGATCGAAGCTATTGCTGCCGGGAGACCCCCAGATGCTATTCTTGGGCAGTGACACTTGCGATGGGCCCCAGAACTCTGTGTCTCGAACGTGATACTGGTCCGCTCGCAGCTCGTTCCAGTGTGTCTGTTGGGCAATCGTGTCGTTAAGCAGGTTGGCATCGGCGTCTGGGTCGCCATCAACATCGACGAGTGAGTCGACTAGCACGGCATGCGGCACTGTGTCGATGATGTCGTTAGGCACCTTGCCACCGGGAGAGCTGTCTAGGTCTACCCATTCCTCATCGACACCCCTCCTCATCCACGGCAGTCCCTACGTTGTTGTTGTACTCCTCATAGTAGTATGCGAAGCGGACGTCGGCCTAGACAGACACGGGCAGTCAGTCAGCGCTTCCACCATCATCATCAAGACCACAAACGAAGACAAATCAGGAAAACTTACAGATGCTCGCAGCTCGGCCATCGTGTCCACACCGAGGTACGGGATCCAGTAAAAGGCCGTCCAGTCCTCCGAGTCCAAACCCACGGGCACCGCGTCGCTGTATGCCGAGAGGATCTGGGGGATGTTGCCGACGTTCTCTGGGTCTCGCGGATACACAATCGCCGGAGCTGGGCAGCCAGGCTTCTGCGGGTCGTACGTGTCAGGGTTATCGGTGGGCTCGCAGGTGCCCGACGTCACCGTCTTGATAGCCTCTACATCGGTCAAGTGGCAGCCGTAGATGGTGTCGCAGCCCGAAGTTGTCTTGGTGATCGTCGACGTGCTGGTACCTACCAGAGTCTCCGACTTGGTGATAGTGGTTGAGCAGAACTCGGCCGACTCGGTCTCACAGGTGGCTCGTCCGGATACTCCATCGTGCCATCTGGATGGATGCTGTTTTCGTGTCTGGTCAGTAGCTGCTGGCTGCAAACAGGTACAATTGCGGAGGGAGATCAAAGACTTACGTGATCTTGGGCCATGGAGGCATGGGAGGCTTGATAGTGAATTGAGGACCCGGACCAGAACCTGGTGGCGGGCCAGGGCCGATGATGTCCGGAGGCGGAAAGCCTTCTAGGTAGACGCCACGCGGGAGTGTCCATCTAAGGAACTTGATCTTGGAAGTGCAAATGTTGAAAAACCACAGTTTGCAGGACGTTTTTACGATGACACCGCCGCCATGGTCGTCATCGTCATCGTCATCATCATTGTCCTCCTTAGGCTCGACGATGTAGGGCGGATACGTGCTCCAAGTAGGTAACGTCGTGACGGGAGGATCGGTCTCTTCTGGTGCTGCGGTCGTCGTGATAGGGTCTGGGACCGAAGCCCAATCGTCGTCGTCGTCATCATCGTCATCGTCGCCATCGTTGTCCGCTGGCGGCCCGTTGGTGATGGAAGGCCAAGCAGGGAGCGTGAGCACACGAGTAGTAGACCCCTTGTTGCCGTCGGACAGCGTCACCGTGACGGGAGGAACAGGCACGCTGACCTCGACCCAGAGCGAGCTGGTCTCCTCGTTCCTGCTGATATTGACGTTGGAGTAGGAGATTTCGTTGGTGGTGACGGTCAAGAGGTTGAGAGTGAGCGTCGTAGTTGTCGTGACAAGCTTTGTAACCTCGTTGGTGACTGTTGTGCTGCCATATAGCAACGAAGTCGTGTACTTGCCCATGGTGATGGTCGTCGACGAAGGCAGCTGGCTGGGTGGGAAGACCAGAATGCAAGGCGCATCACAGTATGCCTGGGGCTCTTGCCAGACAATGGGATCCAGGTAGACGACCTGGCCGCTGTTGGCCTTGGTGCCCTCGCCTTGGAGATCGATGGCCCAGTCTGTCGTGCCGCCAAAGTTGAGGTCCTTGTATTCTCCAGCGCGACGTTTCTTGGTCTCGTCGGTCATGTAGGCCACCCACTCGACTCTATCGTAGACGAGATAGTCGGAGTCGGAGTCTTTGTCGTACCACTTCTTCATGGCACCGCCCTGTTTGATGATTTCGTTGATCTCAAAGTTGGAGATGTAGCCGCCCGTGTCTGTGCATTTACCCTTCTTGGCTGGGGAGTCGTTCCGAGCACCCTCAAAGGTACCTAATTACCTTCTGGCTACAATAACTAAGGCAACGCATCAACGCAGACTACCTTATTGGCTACAATAACTAAGGCAACGCATCAACGCATACTATCGCCAAGACCTACGGCATCACTCGCGCTCAGTTCGTCAGCTACAACCCGTCCGTCGGCGACACCTGTTCGGGCATGTGGGCTAATGTCTACGTCTGCGTTAGCGTCATCGGCAGCGAGCCTTCGACCACGACGACCCAGGCACTCACCACCACCGGCAACGGCATCGCCACGCCCTCGCCTACGCAGCCCGAGATGATCACCGACTGCAACAAGTTCTACTTTGTCAAGTCAGGTGACACCTGCGCCTCAATTGCCTCAGCCAACAACCTCAGCCAGACGCAGTTCCGTAACTACAACCCCTCAGTCGGCACTGACTGCAAGGGCCTCTGGCTCGACGCCTACGTGTGCGTCGGACGCATCGGCACCACCCCCACCCCGACCACCACTATGCAGACGACCACGACGAAGGCTGGCAACGGTGTTACCACCCCCACGCCCACTCAAGACGGCATGGTCACAAACTGTAACAAGTTCCATTTCGTCAGCACAACAACCACCTGCCAGTCCATCCTCGACACGTACAAAATCACGCTTGCCCAGTTCACCAAGTGGAACCCTGGCGCTGGAAGCGGCTGCAACAGCCTCTGGGGCAACACGTATGCCTGTGTGGGTGTCATTAGTTAAGCGTAGAAACGTGCTTGGTGACTTACTCGTCGATGACTCCATGAACACATACACATGGAGCCACTGATGAAGAAACTTCATCAACATATGCATACATTACCTAATTTATATACCTAATACAGAGTCGAGAGCTTCAATACATAGCCTATCTAACCGCTTCATACACACGACTTTCGCGCTGTCTCCGACTAACCACGACCGAGGAGGTAAACCCTGGCCGGATGGAAATTCTCGTCCCATATAGCTTTGAAGCTACAGGACCATCCTAAAGGCGGGGTCCCGATCGTCACCGTAGCCCACGTATCTAGTGTATTTCCCTCTTGCTTTGTCTCTGTTGATCTTCGCGCAGTAAAGCACGTTTGCCAAGATGCTATCTCCAAATCAGCCAAAAGAGCTTCCTGGATGGAAGAGAAACTTACGAAAACCAACCGGCCGTCAACAAAGCCAGAACTATGGTGTGGCCCTTGCGATACTCTGGACCTTCGAGGTTGGGATAAATGAAGCTAGCAAGGATACCTCCACAGTTGGCTATTGCCAATTGAAGAGCTGCGGCAGTCGCTCTCTTGTAGTGGCCTGCAGAGTTGTTGGCGAGCCAAGTGAGAACAGGTGGAACGCTGCTGTAGATCCCCGTGGCCATCATGAAGGTCATTCCATACTTGACTCCGGGGTAATCGTCGCCGATGTTAGCGATTACAGCATAGCCTATTATAGCGATGGGCATGGTGAACAGCATCATGCAGCCTCGGAGTTTCAGTCGATCAGACAAGAATGCGACGCCGACTGAGATAGTAAGTGGGAAATGCTGCAGTTTACAGAACCGGAAACCTTACGAGTGGTACAGGCCGCAATGCTGTAAGGAATTGCCGACCACAGCTGGGCATCGTTTGCTGTATATCCGATGCCAGCGAGGATGGTCGGAAGCTGGACTCGTCAGCACGTAGCCTCAACATTTAAGGTGGGAATCTGCATTGAACTTACGAAGAGACCGAATGAATATATTCCCGTAAGGAGGCCAAAGTAGGCGCTCGCCGAGAGCCACGTCTGAGGGCTGAACGCAGCTCTGCGGACTTCGGACCATGCGAACCTCTCCTCTCTGAGTAATTGAGTCAATCAGCAATTAGGACTCAATAAATGGGCGCTGGCCGTGGTTCGTACATTTCTTTGTTACCAGTGCCGTGCTCCACTCCTATCAATCGCTGGAGAGCGACAGCACGCTCTTCCTCCCGCAAGAATCTTGCCGTGGCGATATCGTTGGGAAGAACGAGGAAGACAGTGATTCCGACTGACATAGTCTAGTTTGGATTAGATATGCTAGTCAATGATAGACATAGACGGAAAAACAGTGTCTACTCACGAAGAGACCCTCAATGACAAAGATCCAGCGCCAAGCAGACAGACCGCCCCGGTCTCCAGTCTCGGCCACTGCGCGAGCCAGAAGCCCTGATCGTAGTTAGGACGGGAAGCTCTGGAATTGTTCGACTGCTTACCTCCAAAGGCACTGGAGAGGGAGGTGGCGGTGTACAGAATCCCGATTCTCAGAGCAAGTTCGGATCGAGTGTAGATGGTGGAAAGATAGAGGACCTTTCACCAGGATAACAAAGTCAGTGGTACACCACAGACGAGGAAGAAAATTCCAACCTACCATGCCGGGAAACAGGCCGCCCTCAGCCAGGCCAAGAATCGCACGGAGACTGACAAACTGGGCGAAGTTGTGGATGAATCCAATACACATGCATATAAAGCCCCACAGGAAGGCCATGAGGCCGATCCATATCCTTGGGGTGATCTTCTTCAAAAGCAAATTACTTGGTATCTCCCTTTGCGTAGTCACGATAAGCATCTATCACCAGGCTTACAGACATGAACGTATCTTACCCTGCAATATAGAGAGGGTAGAAAGCCGTCAACCCCTGGTTGAATTGGGCATTGGTCATACCAAGGTCATTTTCTAGGTGATACAACTTTGCGTTGCCGACATTGGTACGGTCCAAGAACGAGCATAGGACGAGGAGGACGAAGAGTGGTAAGATTCTAATGACACTATCAGCATCGCGGATTCGTAGGACACGTTACGCAATCATGCACCTGGTATCCAGTTTCCACAGGAGCTTCTGCATCGAGATGTGAAGCTCATGGGCCTCTCGTGAAACATCACTTGTGATGGCCCCATCATCTTGATCTTTTGAGAAGTAGTCGGCTTGCATCGACCTGCCTTCCTTCTCTTCAGATACTGCTATGGGCGACATAGTTGTTGTGTCTTGCAGGACTGCCATTCAACCGTCTTTGGTCAGCCAATGTCAAGCAGCGAGTCGTTTGTGCAACGTCAGGGGAACTGAAGGGTTGAAATCGAGAGCGCTAACAGACCTGGAGCTGAAGCAGGCCAAGCTGGTTCCTTTTCTACGACTCTTGGAGTCGTCTTTGGGTCGAACCGGCAGAAGCGCAAGCAGACATCTGCCGCATGTGCTATGGGGATCTCCGAAATCAGAGTGCCATGCATGTTTGATGACAACAGTACGCGGGACCGCCAGCTCACCGATAATGACAGCATAACGATAAGCAGGTACAAATCAGCCCAAGCTTGATATGTTCACATTCTTGGATGCCTCTGAAGACAATAAAGTTCTCTATATCCTATACTAGCTACAGACTTTGTTCTGTAGGGTGGAAGTGGTTAGTGCAGAGTACCGCTGCCTAGCTGCACTCTTGCTACTTACCTAGGTATGGAGTAGTAAGTAGGAGCATTGATTGTTGAGCTGTCAGGCCCCTTCGAAGTACTCGCGCTGGACCCGAGTACCTGTCATCAATGCTGTCGCCAGAACATGCCTGACGCTCCCCTAGGTGGGGCTTGCACTGTGCAAGCTATTCTCACAACATCCTTTGCAGAGTTGCTTCCAACGATGGAGATACGGTCGGAGGCGAAGACATTGGGGGAGTGGGGGTGGAAAGTGTAATTGCGAACTGTTTGTACCTGTACCTGATATGAGTTCCCGTCCATTTAGTGGCCTATTGGCGCTGCACACAGTATGTCAAGCCCCGGCTATTTGTGGGAAGGATATCTGGAGTGAACCTATAGAATAGCTCCGGTTCAAATGCGCTGTTGCTTGATTCATTATTACCCTTTTCTTTTCACGCCTGTTTGCGTGCCACCAACACGCTTCCCCGAGATCCCCGTCATGGAAAGATCCATGGTATCGCAGAAAGCATCCATTCGGCATGGCGTTATAAGGGTGTGGCCATGCTTATTGCATAGCGAAGATGGACCCGCGTCGCTTCTGAGTATGGCAAAGCGGGGTGTTACAGGGGCTGTCAGGTAGCGTATTCCACAGTCCAATCCCCTCCGACCAAATTCATATATGTGATGCTTATGTCTCTACACTAGCTTGTCTGGTTGGTCCGATCATGTCGGTACCTCACGAATGCGGTTGCTTGGTAGAGCGTGTCGAGATAATGGCTTGGATGGTTGGCCTGCGCCGTTTAGACACCATCATTCAGCGTTCGGAATTCGCATGGTATACACCATGGTCAGGATATCGGCGCCCTCCAGAAGTTCCTTCCTCACCTTCATATGGCTCTGGATACTGTTTTTGCAATCAAAACCCTACAGATCATTGTCACCAAACCATGATATAATTGGACCAAAGAACATGAGCTCACGTGCTATGTCGCTGGTGAAGAGAATAGTCAAGGTTGTTGCCAAGCTGGCCTACGTCCAGATCACTACGGAGCCACGCAAAAGAGACAAGTTTGTAGGAGCTGTAGTATGCCATACCTGCACCTGTCATCAGGCGCGCATGCACCGTGCAATACGATACGCAAAACGGGGTATGCGCAAGGCAAGACACCATCTATATACAACCAACCAACTCTCCTCACGTCACCCCAACCACAATGTCACAGCGACAACACTGCAAGTCCTCTACCCAACATTCCCGGAGACCTTGCCCTCAACAATCCCCCCTCGAGCTCTGCTGACTGCTCCTGCCACCCTCACTCGAGGCCTTCCCCCTCGCTCACGCCGGAGCTACCCAGACCAGGAGAGAGCCCAGCTTGAGGCGCATGCTTGATCTCCTTCCGCCCGTTCGCCTTGTAGTACAGCACGACGTCTCCGCCGCCACGCCAGACGTGCGCGCGGATCGAAGCAAGTGTCATTGTGGGGGCGATGAGCTATTGAATATGTTAGCACGCGTACCCTCGTAGTGTAAAACGGCATACCTGATTTTGGCAATAAAGCTCCAAATACTCCTCAGGCCTGAGGTCCCCGCCCTCCTCCTCCTTGCTCGACGCCGGCTCGATGCGTTCAGCGACGTACGACAGGATCTTACGCGCACGCAGCATACGATTCGCGTTGAGGCGGTTGTTGCTTTGAGCAGTATTAGCGTTGCGAACTACTTTGTCAGGAGGGGGGAGCAGGGGGGGGTACCCGTCGGATGAGATGCTGGGGAGGAGCGCTTGGTAGGGCTCGAGGATGAAGGAGACTTTGACGATGTCCTTGAGAGGGATTTGGTTCTGATGAGGTTGTCAGCGATCGCGTCGCGGAATAGGTATAGAAGAGGGGGGCCAGGAAAGCGTACCCGAAGGAGAACGTCGGCGAGCCAAACAGGAGCGCACTTCTCGATGAGGTCGGCTTGCTGGCCCAAGGAGCCGACCTTGCCTTCGAACAGATCAGCGACCCCGCCGCTATCGGGGCGATCTTCTTGGATTAGGATGGTCGTGTTAGCTGGCGGTTTCAGTACGGGAGTCTCGTTCGGTAGGCTAGGCGCAATCTGCGTGTCCAGCTTCTGAGCGCCTAGATTGGTCTGTTCTTCGTATGTCTGGCGGATCTTCTGCAGAGCTCCGAAGAAGTTGTCTTCGATGACCTTTTCGTCGGTCTTTGTGGAATGGGAATCGCTGTCTTCTGACTTCTCGTCGGTAGCCGCTGGCTTCGGTGCTTCGGGTTTCTCGGTGTTTGAGGCAAACTTCTTCATGTTCAGAGACATGCCGAACTTTTTGCCAAAGAGGCCCTTGCTCTTCTTTTGCGTTTGGGCGTCCTCTGCCGGTGACTGAGGTGCGTTCTCTTCTGATCCTTCTGTGGAGCTGTTTTCCTTCTTGTTTCCATTGCCGTTGCCATTGCCATTAGTAGCGGGCGATCGCGAGAAATAATCAGGCTGATCTTGCGTAGAGCTTCGCTGAGTGGCAGTTTTCTCCAGCTGGGAGCCCTCTTCCGTTGTAGGAGTAAGAAGCTGGTTATAATGTGAGCCTTTGCCCGCGCTCGACGGAGGAATACCGGGTGTAGCTTGGCCAATGTGTAGACCTGGAGTTGTGACAGGTAGGTGGAAGCCGTTCGGAGCTCGGATGGTGGAGCCCGATGCAGGCCCGGACGTGGCGTCCTTCCAACCATTGATGTTATTATCTGGCAACTGGATGCTTTTGGGGGGATTTGCGCGGCTCGCCACACCCGCCAGAAGTTTTTCTCTGAAAGTGGAATCGCGCTTTATCTCCTCATCGACGAGGTTCGCGAATAGGTATCGTAATACCCACTTGCCAAGATTTACTGCACGTCATTAGCACAGATACCTCAGTCGTTATAGGAGAAGCTTACTTCGCTGGTCTTCTCTAAAGTCAATGTTCTCTGGGAGTTGAAGTTCGTCGGCATACATTTCCGCATCGAAACAATAATTTTCTTCCAAAACACAGGTCAAGCTGCCTATTCGTGTATCAACGGCACACCAATGAGCAACAGTTTCGCGAGTGTTCACTTCAGGTACGACGTCTTCCAAGTGGCGTTTGCCGAATGACTTTAGAGGAATGCACTGCGGTAATATTAGTCATATGGTACTGTCCGAGTGGTTGAAAACGTACAGCGAGCAGATCCCAAAGAATAACTTCGCCAGCGGTATCTAGGGTAAGCACTCTCCTCCGGTCGTTGAGTAGATGATGCTTGATTAGCCCGTTTTGTCCTTCTATCGAAAAATCAGGCAAATCTCTGCAGGGAATAATAACGCCATGATCTGGTGCCACTAAGACCTCCGCAGGCTTGCGTGCGCTAGTGACTGAATACAATGTGGAGGCATCAGAGTCCTTGGAGAACAATTGTGGAAATGGCGCAGTATTCGACATGCGCAATAAAGCTTTGAATGGTATCTTTGGTGTGGCTCCGTTCGTCGGAGGCGTCGATGCGGGCGGGGAAGGGTAGCGAGATCGTGTCGTGGCAATGCTAGATCTATGCATCTTGTAAGTATCCGGGAGCATGATCTCGGCCGCTGTCTCTACGTCGTTCCACCGGTTGATACTTGAGCTGGATGTTGCTGTCCACACGTAGTCACCAGCCGCGACCACCTTGTTAACACCTTCATGCTCCTGCAACACTGCTACCGAAATGCCCTCGTCCATCTCAGGACAATTGCGGACGTCGCTTTTGGCCACAATGCCTGAACGATCGGCAGAGTAGAAGACCTTCAGCTGCGGGTCGTCCGAAAAGAGTGACCACACACTGTCGTTGTGCATGGTGAGCGTGTACATGCACCGACCCGCCGTCATGGACCACACTTTGACAGTCTGGTCTGACGAGGCCGTGAGGATAGTGTCGCCATCCTGCGTGATCAGGACGTCCCGCACGTTGTCTGTATGTCCCACGAACTTGGTTATGCGCTTGCCAGTCCGCGAGTCCCAGATGCGCACGATGCTCTCCGGCCCGCCGCTTGCGACGATGGAGGGGCTGCATGCGAGCGCATAGACAGAACCTTTGGCAACGTTCTCGTCGTCTCCTACTGCAATCTGAAGTTTCTGACCTGCGCCGTTCAAGTCCCACAAACTGATTTTGTGATCGAGCCCACCGGAGGCCACCCAATTTTCGTGAGGGCCGGGTGAAGCCACGCGTTTGACATAGTCGGTGTGAAGACCAATTGTTTGCGGCGGCTGGAAGTCTGTGGCAGCGGGTCGCCAAACCTTGACGGTAATATCGGAGGAGGCAGATACGAGGGCCTGACTGTTCTGGGCGAGGACGAGGTCGTTGATCCAGTGGGTGTGTGCCTGCGCCTGTTGGCGGAACTGGGTCGGCGGCGGCTTGTAATGTGGCGCGCTCGAGTCGGCGAAGGGGTCTCTGTCGTCGCTATCTCTGTGTTTAAGGTCGAGGTGCAGGTCCCAGGCGCATATCACGCCGTCGCGGCCTCCCGAGTAACTGTGCCGCGTCAGTGGGATAGTGACGCAGTGCAGCGAGGATGCTCACAGGATGGAGTCTACAGGGTCGACGGCGAGGCCATTGACACCCAGTCTGTGGCCTCCTGCCGAGTTCGCGAGCGGCAGCACTGCAGCGGTTGGTTAGCTGTCTCGAAGCATTACGTAGGCCGGAGTGCGTCAAGGGCACGCAAGGGAGCACCCACCATAAGAGATGCGCTTCCGCGCGTTGCGCCCCATGCCCGCGGATTATCGAGGGGACATGCGGTGCAATGTGTGTGGAATCGTTCGAGCGCCGTTCTCAGTGGGTGAGCAGAGTAGTCCAGCAGTGAGTCGGGTTGTGCCGGCGGAAGGACGTCGCGATGAATCGCAAGGCAGTCCGCCGCATATCCCTGTCCTAGCAGCCCGCAGCAGCTCTCCCCAGCCGGTCGGTTGCCGCTAAGCAATACCAATGCGCGCGGAGACGCAGTGCGTCCGGTGCACGCACAATCAAACCGCTGCTCGGCTCGCACCTCAGCGCAGACCAAGTGGAGGGCGCGCAGCGCTACGTCAACGTGCGTTCCAAGACAAGAGAGACGTTGACAAGCAGCGCAAGCCCTGCTGCGGAAGCTTGTGCGACGAGCCCGCAGCTGCCACTGCTCCGAGAACGTGGACCCCACGTTCGCCAGCGTTCTGCGGGGTCAGGCACACGCGCATGACCACCCAACCACGGCGCCTGACACGATGGGAAGGCGGCTATGTTGGACTGTGACCTGTTCTCTATACACATGGGGTTGGATGCATACCGCATCCTTGGTATTCGGGCCCGCTACTGGCCTGACGCCATACTAACTACACCTGCTTGCTGACCCCGCCGACGCCGTCAATCCATGTCCCATAGCCTTTCCGTAGATAACAAATTATACAAAACAGTATCGAAACAGTCCGTTCCTAGTGCACTCCGTTGACAGATGCTTGCAGGCCCTCCAGCTCGTCTCTCCGCGTCCTGTACAATTCCTGTGTCTCGCGTTCACGCTTGCTGACGAACGACACCTCGTCGCGCAGCCCTTCCAGTCGCCTAGCCACCGCGGACTGCTCTGAATATTGCATAGTCCTAACCGAGTCCAGCTCCATCTTCGCCTTCTCCAATGCTCGTGATGCCTGTTTGATCTTGTCTCCGAGCAAGGCAGACCGCTTCATGTAACCGCCATGATGCGTTGAGAGTCTCTTCTCGATCTTGTTCGCCTGTTGGGCCGTCTCGATGATCTTGTCCTGGGCGTTGTTGAAGGTTTCGACCATCATCTGGTGCTCGTCGATTTCGTCTTCTTCGTACCCATCAAGGCCTGGTAGCGTAGAGGCTCCGTGCAGATTCGTCCACGCCGTGCCGAACTCTTCGTGGAACATCTTCTTGTCCTTTTCGCTGTTCATCGAGAGCTCTAGGGCAAACTCCATCTTGGCTGCCCTCAAAACCGAGTCACTGAACTTTTCGAGTGGTTTTGCTTTTCCAGACACTTTACCTCCATCAAACTTCTGCACGTCGTTTGCGATCAGAAGCGCCATTTCCGTCTCCACGTCGCGCTCGATCGGATCCGAAATCTCTAGCGCCCTCTTCAGTAATGCGTCAATGTCAACTGTGGACGGTCTCGGCAAGGACTTCTGTACGACCTGTGTCTGTCGAGCGAATTCTGCGCGTTCTGCTGCTTCCTGAGCCTCCCTATTCCGACGGTCACGCTCAGCAGCATCCTCTTCGCTCATCTCGACCTCCATACTGTCTTCCCGCTCCTCGGGCAACTCGAATTCCCAGCTAGTCTCCTTGGGCTTAGGCAAAGCTGAGAGTCTGCCTCGAAGGTCTGATTTCTTTGCATTCTCGCGTAAGCGAATGTCCCGCGGCGTTTGTCCCACAAGCTGCATTCCATCTTCTTGATTCAAATTAAAATTGTCGCGAGGGGTTCGCATCGGCGTCGCTCCAGGCCCCTGATGTGCAGGTGTAGCACCCGCTCCATTTGCTTGACGGAAAGGCGTTGCCAACGGATTCGGGGTCACAGTCTGATGTCGCGTTGCAGAACCTGGCAGTGCAGGCGTGCTATCTTCCACGAGATCTGGGTTATCCCCTCCTAACAATGCTGACTGGGTTTCCGTTCGCAGTCGCGCGTTTCGAACCTCGTTGGCGATGACATCCTCTTCCTTGGGCGCCATGGGTGTACGGATTGGGGTGTTGCCCACAAGTCCGGAGTAATTGCCCACCAAGCCTTCTGTAGCCATGTTGTCGCCGCCGACTCCCGTAATGGCTCTTTCTCCTGTCATTCCCATCTTGATGATGTCCTCCATTTCAGCGTCGCCAACCTGAGGTGAGGGCAGTGCCAAAGCGCGGCGCTTGCTGCTCTGTTCGGCTTCGCGGATTCTCTGGTCCCGAGCTGCCTTTGCATAAGACGCCGCAAGACCCCCAGACTTGTTCTCTTCCTTCTTGCGCTTGTTCCCTCCCTCCTCCAGTTGCTCTGCTTTGCGCTTATTTGCCAATTGTTGTTTTCGCGGATCGAAGGCTTCGCGCTGCTTCTCATTTTGGTCGAGCTCCTCGGTCGTGTCGTAGAAGCCTGCCGGTACCTCGCGTTCGAGTGGCACATCAGCGTTATAATCGATGTGATTGCCCTTCTTCGGTGTGATTTTAATGTTGATTCCACTCGCTTTGAGCTCACGCCTCTTCTGAAGTAATGCGATTCTCCTCGACTCCTCCAATTGTCGCTCGCGAGCTTTCCGTTTGGCCTTTTTCCCGCTCACGTTAGCCAAGCGCGCACGCGCCTCCGAAAGCATCTCCTTGTCTTCTTCGTCCATGTCGATCGCATCGGGGCGAGCTGGTCTGGCTTCCGCATACGCATCAACCTCGCCAGGTCGAAGACGACGGACATCCTCAGCAGTGGGAGCAGCTGACTCTCCACCTTCTGGCCCAGCCAAGCTTAGGTCTCCGGATTCGCGTGACTCTTGTTCGTCGAGGAGCTTCTGGTAGCGTTCAAGACATTGTGTTGCAGTTCTTCCGACAATGGGTGCGATCGTGCGCCATTGCGTAGGGAGCAGCTTAGCCATTGTGAGCAGCTTCTCATCGTCTTCGCGCGACCATTCGGTCTTCTTTATGCTTGGGTCCAGCCATTCGTTCCATCGCGCCTTGCACTGCTTCGCGGTTTTCTTTGCGAGAAGAGAGGCACAGCGGGCCCACTGGTTCAAGCCATACTTTGAGATGGCGGCTTTGAGCACCTCATCTTCGACGTTCGACCACTGTCCCACCTTGGTGACAACCATCCTGAGTAACCTGTATTTCCCTAAGATAGGCGATGCGGACGCGGACTATGTGCAGACTTTCCCCTGGCGCTAAGAGTGTGGTGGGGTGCGGTGGGTTGTCGTGCTCGCGCGGTGCGAAGTTGTCGCGCAGAAGTTCCACGGGAAAAGGCACTAGCGTGGTGAGGCTCCTGCTTATGTAACAGTGGGCAAAAGCGTAGCACTAGAAATCACCGATACGTCACAGCCACAACTTGAACGATCTACAGTGGTTGATAAGAGAACGGTAGCTGCTAATTGACTGCTTATACGCTTACCTCCATCCTGATCAGTTTACCCATTTCAATCCCAACAATCTTCATTCTTTCACCTAGCATAGGCGCGTCTACCAAACCGTTTGCTTAGGGGCTCAGCTGAACGCCTTGCCGCACTTCTAGCGCTCGACAATCCACAATGACTCTTTCACATCATGCGGCTCGGAGAGTCGTCTCGGCAGCACGCTCCCATTGCATCACTAGCACCACCACATCTGTACGACTAGCGCCAACACAACGAGCTGCATCAACAGCTACAACAGAGTCCCAGAAAGCTCATGAAAGTTCTCAACCCGAGTCCTCCAAATCTAGCGACCAGCAACCGAAACCCAAGAAGACACAAGCTGAATTGGACAAAGAACTGCAACTGAAGATGCAAGGTTTATCAGGAGACGGTGGAGAGTCAGGTGTGGAGTATGAGGACGGGCAGCCAGTGTCGATGAAGAGAAGTGTGAAGAACAATATGTTCCGGTACATTTAATCAACAACTACTTTCGGATTGCATGGGCAAGGATATTCGTCTCCGCTCACCGCTCTACGCCCCTTCATTCTCCCCCCAGCCCATCCCTTTCCCTCACTGCCGCATTCTCAAATCCCAACCCCGACTTCGTCCTCACAATTCCAAAAACGCTATGACTGTCCAACTTCCTCCCCCCTCTCATCCCCAAATCTTTTCGCCTCCTCCATCGCTCCCATACTCAACTCTCCAATCTCCAACTTCACCCCTTGCTCCCTCGCAATCCCTAGCCCGATTCCTACATCCTTAATCGCCAGCTCCAGCGCGCTGTTCGGCGCCTGTCCCACGGCAGGCATGTAGCTCCCGGACGTTAGTCGTTTAGATGTGTTCGCTGCGTAGGCACCGAAGTTGGCTTCGATGAGCGACTCGAGGACGGGGGCGGGAAGGCCGGATCTCTCCGCCAGGACGTGAGCTTCCGAGATGAGGTACATGAGGCCAGCGCCGATGAAGTTGCTGGTAGATTTGAGAAGGAGGGCTTTGGAGGGATCGGGGCCGACGGGGATGACGCCGCGGGCGATGACGCCTTGGAGGTAGGGTGTGATTATTTCGACGGCGTGGGGAGAGCCGGCTACGGCGACGAGGAGCTGGCCTGCGCGGGCGGTTGGTGGCGGGCCGAAGACAGGGGCTGCGACGAAGGAGCAATTGTGTGTGGAGAGCTCGGCCGCTATAGAGGCTGTGGTGTCGGGGTGGACGGTGGTTGTGTCTACAAGGGTTTTGCCTGCCAACGACTTGGTGGATATGAATTGGTTGATGACACTCTTAAGGACTTCATCGTTTGTAACCTATGATGCTTCATCAGTCCCGTTGATTTTCGGTGATAGGAGATGGGTGGATTTTACTGAAATGATGATCACATCACATTCTTGGACCAGCTCGTTTATATCCTGACATGGTATACCACCAAGTTCATTCAGCGAATCTCCTTTGGAAAGACTACGGTTTGCGTAGTGGAGTGCAGGTAAGCTCTTTTCTGTAAGATGTTTCTGCAGGTTAGAAGCCATGGCCAGACCCATTGAGCCTAGACCAAACCATCCTAATCGAGGCGTATGGGTAGTGGACATTGTATATGTTTCAGATATAATACTTGGTGGTTCTAGAAACGATGTACACCGGCAATGCTCACGAAATACAGTCATGGATGTACTCAATTTCCCCACTAGCTAGCGGGTAGACACGGTTAAAACCGCTTAGCGCTCAGTCCATTTGAGGTAGGTAGCAATCGCGAAAGTGGAGTCAAAAAGCTAGGGCGATTGACAATGAGGCGTGCGACTGCTTGCTAGAAGCTATCCTGTGGGGGCCGCACTGGCTAGCATATATACCAGGCCTCAGCAGATCCTCTCAGTCGGCTCACGCCAGGGAACGCCCAAGATCTCAAAGATCCTTCTCTCTTCTTTGCCCTCAAGCAGTGTTCCTTCATTCAACTTCTCCCTATTCTTTCCTCTAATAACGTCCTTGTACAAGCCTCTTTGGTTGAGGCGCATCCCTTTCTTACTTGCCAGCAGCCTGATGCTTCGGTTGAAGATGTCATTGCCTGTGAAGTAGAGGAGCGCCGCGCCCATCTCTTCCTCTGGGACTAGAAGTAGATCCAATCGACGCCATGTGGCCGATGATGGAAGGCAAGAGACGCCATGCCATTTAGTCCCGTCATCGGTACTAGAGGAAGAAGCAGCGAGCTTGACCTTGAGAAAGCCATCCTTAAGCAATCGAGGTACGAGTTTATGGAAGACCACATCCCGCAATGCCGATACTCTTGCACCGGGTTTGGTCATGATGATGTCGATGTCGCCCGAATCTTTTGCCCCACGACGGTATGAGCCCATCACGGTGGTCTCAAACCCAGGATCAATCTTTCGCAAAGCGTCCCTCACGTATTCACCATGTGCCTCGACCTCAGCTCGAGGTATACGAGTCGCAAAGTCATGATAGTGTTCGATCCCGATCCTTTGAGAATCTGTAAGCTTCGCGTTGGCGATCAAGTCGTCGAGGGTGCGATGCCCAGCTTGAATCCACTTGTTGGCTTGTACCAGTCCCGCTCCGTAGACTCCCAAGAACAGACGGAGGACTTTGTCAGTCGGATCATCGCGGGTGCTGTCTAATCTTCGCAACCGATCCGTCAACACGATCTCCTCGATTTTGTCAGCGAGGCGAGACCCGACGAAAGGGAGCGCGGCAGCTTCCTTAGCTGTCGAAATTTTGACCGTCTGTTTACGCAGTGTAGTGACAGCCTTTCTGTATGCGAGTGTGCGCCACTGATCCTGCATTTGGTCGTAGTACTTGCCCATTTGTTCCAGAATTTCGATCGTTCGAGCATTGGGATTAAAACTCGCCGAAGATGCTCCCATTGGGTTCATGCACTGGAACGTATTTTGGTTGACCCCGTTCTTCCTTTTGGTGGGTGCGACCGCGGTTCTTTGACTCCTCGTGCGCATCGAAGTAGGTTGTGGTTCCTCTTCATCTGTATCACGACCAGAGTCTGTTCCCGCCGAAGAAGTGGGCCGCGAATCGCCGTCTTCCTCGTCATCGAGCGGCAGATGCGCTACAGCTCTTGTAGCATTTATGACCTTTGAGAGCTCATCATTGTACTCTTTAGGCGGCTTTGCAGCTTCAAAAGTGGACTCTGGTGGTCGAACAAAACTGTCTCTTACGATATCTCCACTAGAAATTGGTGGTTCTTCTATGTGGGGCTCTGTGGGAGTGGCTTCGGTGGTCACCGAATCAGTCTTTTGAGATGAATTTGCTGCTTGCTCTCTCCTTGAAGGTTTTATCTTCAGTGAGCCTTGTGAGTCTGGAGGCGCTGGTGTTGAAGTCACACTCGGACGTGGCGCCCCTTTGACAAGGAACCTGCTACTTGTGGGGTCAAGCGGTATGCCGGACTGTATGCATTGGGGTATATACGGATCAAATTTCACCACGACGACCTTGCGCTTAGGCTTCTTTAGCACAGACCGAATAAAGAAATCTCGCACTTACCGGCAAACCGGCTCTGTTAAGGTGACGTAGAAGTTGAGGGTATGTTTGTTTGTCATCGTCGAAGATGACATGCGTTACGTCGTCTCTCCAGCTTTTCACCCAAGCTGCACCTAGCTGGATGATCTTGTGTATTCGAAGGCGCCGTGTCATACTGATGTCATTGTTTGGGAACAAGTAGACTAACTTCTCCCTCAACAGTTGTTTGTGCACAGGTTCGACAACAATGTTGGTGGCAGCTTTTGCGTTTGCATTCTTGAGCTCGCGAGGGATTTCGCCCATGCGCTTGTAGAATGGCGTTCGATCTTGTGCTGCAAGGTCTGACATAGAAGCCGTTTTCTTCAGAAATCTTTGAGGCGCGCGATCCCCTTGCTCAAGTTTCGCGACTGGAAAGCTCTTCGTGACAGTATTCGGAGCAGTTGAAGATCGCAGCAAGCTAGGGTCGTGCTTACGTACTGCCGCACGCTGCTGTGCTGTATGGGTTTCAAACTCTTGCTGCCGCTCCCGTGGCGTAGGGCCCAAGAAGCTACTTCCACGGCGCACAGGCGGTGGCGGGGGCATGGCCTTGAAGTCAGCGAATAGCTGCTCTGCTGCTACGAGTCCCGAATCGGGAAATCCTTCCTCATCATCGGAGAGATCCAGAAGGTTTTGCTGCATGAAGTAAGTCACCTTCTCTTGCAATTCTTTGTCAGCCATAGTGCGGATATTCAGGAGGACGTAATGGTGGGATATCCATGCAAAGGCCGAGGAAATGTTGTTAGCTATATATGCATTGAGTGATGCCTCGCAGGAATCAGCCAGTAATAGCTGTTGGTGTTGCACGAAGGCAGCAGCGCGTCGATGGCGCGAACAAATCCATGAATGACGCGTGAGCACGTGAACGTCGAGTGGTGCTTAGATAAGCTGCAGATTTCACCAACGGAATCTGGCAGGTAGCCAACCCACACCGACTTTCGAACCACTTGCCAGCTGGATTGGCCTGTGTATCACCAACACTAGTGCACTGCCACTGCTGCGCTTCCATTGAATTTCATTTCCACTCGACGTCGTGCATGTTTTCTCAGCCCAAACAGCCCAAACTTTACTTTCCGACGGCGCCACAGCGTGGGGCTGGGGCGGTTAGTCTCAGCTGCGCGGCTACGGAATCGACCAAGTCTCGCGCGATCGCACCATTCTGTGGGACGAGCAACTCGCGGTTCGCCATAATCGGGAGAAAGAGAACACTGATGAAGCGCAGAAATCTCACCCTTCAGTTACCAATGTCGAAGGCGCCGAGAACATGTGTCCAGGTCCGAGGTAGTCATTGCGGACTGCAGTCGAGCCGGCCCGATTGCCGCACTTGTCTACTCTTGCAGCACGCTATTGAAGCAGCAAAACTGCAGGGGATAGGTCCAGATTGACTTAGCTCCCGCCAGATTCGGACGATCTGGAGCTATACAAACCACGAGATCCAAGCCGACGCTGCCAGGGCACCAATTACGAACGGCCGCAATGGAGCGCCTGCGCCTCACCTAGCCTTTGGAGTGCACCAACATCGTGGTTTCATCACCGTACTTAGTTCTATATGATCCCGAGTCGCGCTGTACTTTGTCACTCTATAGCACCATCTTCGAAGCCACTCATTATGTCTTGGAGGTGACCTTTGCCCTATACAATACTTTCTACAGTCTCTCGCTTCTGTTTATTGTTTAATATAAGATACCCCCCCTGTTTGTTACGTTCGCTTCGCTTTTTGCGCCATGGTATCGAAGCTCCGGCCGCTCGTGGCTGCCTTGTGGCCTGTTGCTCTACTCATTCGACCTACATATTCTGCTGGATATGTGACTGCAGATTCGACCACGCCACAGCAAAATAACCAGAACTGTACTTGCTATGTCGTTGAATCAGGTGCCGACTCGCAAACCCCTCAGTACTTCCAATACTATCGCTTCTTCGACTTTCGGAACCTCGCGGATAAGTCAGAAGAGTATGTGAAGGCACCGGCCGTTGTCGACGATTGGGACGACGCCCCGAACCTAGATGTAGGGCAGTCGAGCATCCTCAATAGTGACGCTTGGAACAAAGACTGGAACATACAGAATTGGAGCAAGAACGCTAGCGATGACTTCGCTGTCCGGATGGTCAATTCACCAGCAAACGTATACTTGCAGCAGAATAACGACACCAACGATGCGTTCACCTACCTCACGCTCCGCACGACTCGTGGAGACGGATTCCAAAGCGCGTCAGAGATTGAGAATCTTCAGAAGAACGTGATGCACGTGTCGATGCGCATGTCAGCAAGAGTAGTGGGAGACAAAGGAGCTGTCGCCGGCTTCTTCACCTTCTATGACGATAACAATGAATCGGACATTGAGATCTTGACGGACGATCCTACAGATGTAATCCGGTATACCAACCAACCGTCGGTGGACACAAACGGCGACGAGGTCGCTGCGGCATCTCAAGAGAAAACCAAGCTGCCCGCCTGGGACGAGTGGCAGACACACCGTATCGACTGGCTCGACAAGGACAGTTACTGGTATCTGAACGATAATCAAGTCGCTGCCAGCTCGTACTCAGTGCCGCGAAAGTCGAGTTACCTTGTAATCAACATGTGGTCGGATGGCGGAACCTGGTCTGGCAACATGACCGAGAATGGCTCTGCGGAATTCCAGATACAGTGGATTGAGATGACGTTCAACACGAGCGGGAAAGTAGAGGGTGACACGTCCCCTGACCCAAACAGTAAAAGAGCGGCTGAGCTCCTTGACAAGAGGGAGGAGAATTGCAAGGTGGTTTGCAAGATTGATGGTGTGGAGCAAAAAGGTACTCCTGAGATAGTCAGCAGCAGCATGGCGGCGCACGTGTCACTATCAGGGGTTGCGGTTGCACTCATTGGGCTTACGTCGTTGTGGGTGGGCCTGTAGAATACCGTTCCTAGAGCTTCGATTGGCACAACCCGTTGGTGTAGTACATACGCATGTTCATTATACCCTGTGAGCTGCCAAATACAGCGATGAACTCCTTTAATGCGCCAGTAGTCTACAAACGTAGTTTGTGCTGAAGGACTAGCCAGAGGAGCAATAGCAGATCAATCGAGCAATGCTTGTTCATGCAAGTCTACTCAGGATCTATAATACACGAGCGGGCGGCTCGATGCCGCGCTCCTTTAAGACCTCTCTGGAATGTGTTTATTCGAGCGCACCCTGGCGATTGGACACAGACCATTGTAGCACCATCATAACCTTGAAGGCGCGTCTTTGTTTGCGGCGCTTGGAACTTTCCGTCAGCACGGCACGCCATCAACAACAATAGGAACGAAGTCGTGCCACCACGATGCGCGTTCTCGTTTTACCAATGCGGCACGAAAATGCCCCAACGCTCAATCCAGTCCACCAGGCCTCGGTGTTAGGTGGCGTTTATGTCTTGCCGCATCGAGCTACAAAGGGTGCCCCGCGTCGGCGTTGGCCCTGGACTTAAGCTCCAGGCACCGCCCACTTAAACCTCACTCGACCCCTCCACGATACTATCTATCCTGCAGCTGCTACTGCACCACTTCTCAAAATGACTGCTACCATTGACTCGGAGACGCTCAAGCAATATCTCGCTGATAATCCTCCCACCGTAGTCAATCTTGCCATCAAACCCCACTTTGAAGCTCTGAGTGATAAAGAGAAGCTCTACGCTCACCACCTTTCACTGTAAGCTAGGAGCCATGGATCTTCTTGCTGGATTATACGCTAAAATGATGGCAGGGCATGCTTTGCAGGCTCCCGCATCGTTCTCCGCCAGGTCTCCCCCGAATCCGAACCCATCTACGACTTCATCGTCGCATTGCACAAGCATGTCAACGGCGACTATGCCAAGGCCGCGAAAGATGCTGGCATCTCACAAGAAGATGTGGATTCATACCTCAACTATGCTGCTCAGTTCTTGGGCAACATGGGCAACTACAAGTCGTTCGGCGACTCAAAGTTCGTACCACGAATCGAAGCAAGCAAGCTGAAGGCGCTCGCCGGTGTGTCCTCGACAACGCAGAAGCTATACGAACAATTCGAGAACGCGATATACGCCGGAAACGATATTTCGAAACTCCACCTTGGATATCCGAGTGCGGGCCACGTGTCCACGTACTACCCAGACAGCCCTGACATTACAAAGGAGGAGATATCGGGCGTGAGCGACTTTTTGGAAGGCAAGCGCCTGCTACCAGAGAACACGAGAATCCGCAAGACGAAAGAGGGCTTCGAGGTCTTGATCGCAAGCGCCCAGAAGGGCCCATCTGCAGCGGATAGGGATCTCAAGGAGAGTGAATGGACACTTCCTGACGGCAAAAAAGTCAAGTTGGTGTTTGGTGACCACGCTAAGGAGATGGAGACCATTGCGCATCACATCGCCGAGGCGAAGAAGTATGCTGCGAATGAAACGGAGGTCAGAATGACGGAGGAATACGCAAAGAGCTTCACCACCGGCTCATTAGAGGCTTACAAGGAGTCTCAGCGGCAATGGATCAAAGACAAGGGCCCAGCGGTTGAGAGCGACATTGGCTTTGTCGAAACCTACCGCGACCCGCACGGCATTCGAGGAGAGTGGGAAGGTTTCGTCGCGACAGTCAACAAGGAGCGCACAGCGGCATTCAGCAAGCTAGTGAGCGCTGCACCCAAGCTGATTCCTTTGCTACCATGGAAAGCGGAGTTTGAGAAGGACACTTTCCTGAGCCCCGACTTCACCTCGCTTGAAGTCCTCACATTTGCTGGCAGTGGGTACGTACTAGCAATCCCTTCGTGTCCAATAATGCACTGCTAACAACGCGCAGTATCCCCGCAGGTATCAACATTCCGAACTACGACGACATTCGCCAGAATATTGGCTTTAAGAATGTGTCGTTAGGCAACGTTCTCTCGGCCAAAGCTCCAAACGAAAAAGTCCCATTCATCAAAGAAAAGGATGTCGAGGTGTATCAAAAATACCGGGATCCAGCTTTCGAAGTACAAGTCGGACTCCACGAGCTTCTCGGGCATGGCTGCGGCAAGCTCCTCCAAGAGACTGCACCTGGCGAATACAATTTCGACATCAAGAACCCACCCGTCTCTCCCATCTCCGGCAAGCCTATCACAACCTACTACAAGCCCGGCCAAACCTGGGGCTCCGTCTTCGGTCCCATTGCCGCTTCCTACGAAGAGTGCCGCGCCGAGTGCGTCGCCATGGCGCTCAGCTGCGACTTCTCCATCCTCCAACTCTTCGGCTTCGGCGACGGCAAGGAAGACATCGGCGGCGAGCCCGGCGACGTGCTCTACGCAGCGTACCTCCAGATGGCGCGCGCGGGCATCGCCTCCCTCGAATTCTGGGACCCCAAGTCCCGCAAATGGGGCCAGGCGCACAGCCAAGCGCGCTTCACCATTCTCCGCACGTTTCTCAACGCGGGCGTCGAGTTCTGCGAGCTCGAGTGGAAGAAGGATGACTTGTCTGATCTCACGATCCGCTTGGATCGTAACCGCATCCTGGACCTTGGGCGCCAGGCTGTGGAGGAGTACCTGCAGAAGCTGCACATTTATAAGAGCACCGCGGACTACGAGGCAGGGAAGAAGATGTACGAGGAGCTGTCGAATGTGGAGCCCTTCTACGAGAATAAGGTTCGCCCCGCGGTGCTCAAGCAGAGACAACCTAGGAAGGTGTTTGTGCAGGCGAACACTGTGGTTGAGGGGGAGAAGGCGGTTCTCAAGGAGTATGAGCCGAGTGCATCGGGTATGATTCAGAGTTATGTGGAGAGGGCGTACTTGTAAAGAATTGACGAGGATTGACGAGAGTACATTGAGGTGTATTGAGCAGCATGTCCGGGTAGGCGATTTTGCTTCTACATAGACGCATGGTAGCGTAGCGGTGATGATGACGATGAGATACGAATCATGATGGCTGGATTGGCTTGCTTCGGAAGGTGCATGTACTAGAGTACCATCGAGTCCAAAATGCGTCCATCTGATTACGAACGATCATATATCCTGCATTACGTTTCCCATTGCATGCTGGCAGCGAGTAGTCGGCGTCAGCGAGACTTTGCACACACGAAATAAGAAAAGATGATGCCATCCTCGTAGCTTCTGAAGATCTCACTGAACCACGAGCACCGGACATCTCACATTATCAACATCACTTCGGTAAAGAGCACATGAAGATGGAGACGTAAAGATGAACCATGCTCTTGCATGATAAACGATTGGAAATGTCTATCCGATCTATAAACGCCTGCAAATGCCTTGCTTTTGGTATAACAAATGGTATGGTATGGTATGGTCTGAACCAGGGGGCCGTGGGCAGCCCCTCCACCCATAAAGGAGAACCTGACCTCCTATTACATCCTCCGCCCCACGAACGCCGTGTGCTGCATCGCCATGCAATCTCTTGATCGCAGGCTACATGGATAAGGTACCGGGCAAATACTCGCCGTTCGTACAGTTCTTGCTCAGTAAAGGGAAGCCATCTTCCAGATGTCGTTGAGCTTCGCCCCAAGACGCTTCTTCTCGAGCGTAAGGTCGATGACCTGCTGCCTGAGGGTCGCAATCTCCTCTTCCTGCATGCGCTTGGTGATGTCCTCCCTCGTTCGCGAGTTTTCGCGCGTGTGCGTGCCGGTGATCGAGCCGGAGGACCCGGCAAGAGAGATCTTGTCGTCCTCTGGAAGATCGACGTACTTCTCGAGCGTCTTGCGGGCACCTCGTCGGTCGAGCGTGCGCATGGCCATGGTGATTTCGCGGACGAAGCGGCCGTCGTAGCGGAGGTCGTCGCCGAAGAGGGTCTGCACGCCGAGCAGGGCGTTGGGGGAAGCACCACCCTCGCGGGCGAGGGCTTGCAGTTCCTTTGCCATGGGGTCGTCGATCTTGTAGGTCTTGCCGTTCTCGTCGATACCGGTGAGGTAGCGGAACCAAGCGGCGACACAGAGTGTGAGGCGGCCAATGGGGCCACGAGACTCGATCTGCTCGGCGATGGAGGGGATGATGAACTGAGGCATCTTGCCGGATCCGCCGAGGCAGATACGGGCGACCTCATCCTTGAGGGTGGGGTTCGAGAAACGCGAGTGGAGCGTCTGGATGTATTCGTCGACGTCGACACCGGGAATCGAGGGAAGAAGGGGCTTGACCTCTTCATACCACAGGTCGTTGAGGTATTGTGAGAAGAGCGGGTCGGCGATGACTTCATGGACGTAGGTGAATCCTGCGAGGGAGGCGAGGTATCCCCTAATCGATCGTTAGCAGCCATTCCCGAATATCACCATGTGAAAAGCTTACATAGCAACGTGACCACCGTTCAGCAATCTCAGCTTCATCAACTCAAACTGCTCTACGTCTCTCACGGTCGGTACAACCTGCACGCCGACATTCTCAAATTCCGGTCGTCCGTCACTGAAGTTGTCCTCGAGCACCCATTGCATGAAAGGCTCAGTAACGACAGGCCAGGCATCTTCGATGCCAAACTGCTGCTTCAGGCCCTGCTTGTCTTCGTCGACTGTTCGTGGTGTAATTCTGTCCACCATGCTGTTGGGGAACGCTCCGTTCTCGGAGAGCCAGGCGGCCATGTTCGGGTCTTTGAGACGTGCGAACGCGAGAAGCATGTTACGGCTGATAGATCCGTTCTTCTGCATGTTGTCGCAGGACATGACAGTGAAGGGCTTCAAGCCGGCCTTGTAACGCCGTGCAAGGGCCTCAGTGAGGTATCCGTAGGTTGTGCGGGGAGGTCCATCGCCTGTGAGATCGAACTGGATGTTCGCGTTCGAGACGTCCAGCTCGTGTGTGTTCTCGTTGTAGTAGTATCCGGATTCGGTAATAGTCAAAGATACGATGTGCGTATCCTTATCAGCCATCTTCGCGATAACGGCCTCCTCGTTGCCGGGTGCGAAAATGTAGTCGGAAATCGAACCAATGACGTGTGCGGAGCTTCCTCGAGCAGAGCGCTCAATAACAGTGTAGAGGTGGTCCTGTGGTCCCAATGCATCCCTCATGGAGGCATCGAAAGGTGTAAGTCCAACACCGCAGATTGACCAGTCATTGGCTTGGAATTTGGATAGGAGGCGGTCGACATAGACAGCAAGATGTGCGCGGTGGAAACCACCAACACCAACATGGACGATACCATGCTTCAATTTTGTGCGGTCGTAATTAGGTGTTGTGTCGGCCTGCGAGAATTGGGGGAGGTTGGCATTGCTGAGCCTCAGCGGAGCCTCTGTGATGTGCGGCATTTTTCGGCGAAACGATGAAAAGCAAGAGCACAGGGTATCAAAAATGAAAAGGGAGACTGAGGAGGAGAATGGGAGCAGAGATCAGAGCCGGACAGCCACAGCAGGCCGCCGCCTTTTGAGGGGCAGTACAGTGGAGCATGAGCACGGCCCAGGGACGATTAGGGTGGATCTTTCTCGGCTTCAGAAATTTCCAAGGGTCCAGATTATTGTGGGCTTGGAGCTGATCTTTTGACGGCCACTAGTCAGATAGTGCGGTCGCGAAACCTCTGCCAAGGATCGTGGACTTCCGCAAGTGGAGCGGAGAAAGCCCAAAGGTGTCCGCACTGGAGCCGAGCCGCTGCTATTGTGGGGTTCGACACTCTGTTGCAAGAAAGAGCCACTTTGCCATGGTGTTTGTATGCCATTGTCGTGCTCGCGGCCGCTAGAAGGTGACCGTTTCAGGCCGCTTTCGTGCGACCGGGGAAGCTCGCCTACGACAGCTTCTGGAGTCTCGAACGGGGAAGCGGCAGGTGGGCAGTCTGTCTAGCTGATGAAGGGAGTTGGACTCCCCATTGTGCCATAGTCTTGCTTGGAAATAGCCCAACCTTCGCGGTCATTATCCTCCGTAGGCCGAAGCAAAGACTCATGGAATGTATCGTATCGAGGGGCAATGAGGCAACGTCTTTGGTACACTGTCCGCCTCATCCCTGATTCCGACCATCGGTCGTCGGTGTGCTTGCGTATACTGTAGATATGTAAGCTGTTCCGGCGGTCAGAAATTTCGGATGTTCAGAATTGTGTCAACGCTAAGAGATAAGCGTGAATATGTCTCCGCGGTTATCGCTCCTCTGTAGGAATGGCGAAAGCTCCCTCTAGACCCAATCAACTTAGGGAGATTCTCATCGTGACCAGCAACTCATCTCATGTGAAAATCGAAATGTTGCAGGTGACTTGTCCAGCCGTTTAGGAACGCTCTTTGGGGAAAATTGCGAAGCTTAATTCCGCCGCGCACGTGCGGTGGGTCTCGGCCAGCACCCGGAGCCTCCTAGAGCCTCCACTAGCGAAGCTCGCCTGGAGAAGCCGGCCCTCCACGTTGTGGGCATCCCACGATCCTTGGCACTAGAGTTCCAATAGTTCGGGTGGCTGTGGCAGTGCGATAGTCTGGCCGACGTTCTGATGGCATGCTCGCCCTGTGACTCGCATGGATATGAATAGACTGGCTCGCAATTGTGCATGCGGAGAGCCGCAAAAGGGGGTCCCTAGCGCCCCTCTACAACGGCATTCTTTCCACCTTGCGTCCATGGGCGAATACCTTCATGTCCATCGTGCTTGCATAACAAAACAACAACAGCTTTCTCCTGACATCGATCGACAGCGTACCCGATGTCGGAAAGAGCACTCGATGCTTGGCTCGCACGAAGATGGGCTTTCAGGAGAAGAATGTGCTAGACGATCAAGCGGCCCAAAGCCGAGTGAAATCCGTCCCTTGATGGCGGTCTCGACGGACGGTGCTGGCCAGAAGAAACTCGCTGTCAGTCTCTATGCTTGCCACAGAGCTTACCTCCTGTTGCAAAGTTCGCTCCTTCCTATTTTTGATCTCGATCTACTCTTATCTATGCTATGCGGTATCACTCACAAACAGCATCAAATTCCTCCGCACTCCCCACGCTAACCGTCCCATCCCCCACCTTACATCGAGCTCTCGCAAACGCTGCCCACGCTCCTTGCATCCGCCTACTCAATCATCTCTACTTCTCTGTACTCTGTCCACTTATTCCGCCCGTCCAAGACATGATCGGGATCTCTGCATCTTGATACGCTCCTGACCACGGCAGCGGATTCAGATTCGGGAACATGCCATAGTACTGCGCCTGCAGAGTGCCCGAATAATGCCATGCTTTCTGCGTCATCGCCACAGGCATGTAAACTACTTACCGGTATACACCCATTCGACTGCTGCCCTCTGATCCAGCAAGCCGACGTTGTGATCTCATCCGTCCAGCGCGGCTGCGGCAGGGACTACGAAGATGCTGAGGTGGCTCTGCATGTGGAATTCCAGCAAAACACCGAACACTGTGTGAGGCGATAGAGCCATAGATCGAGCAGGATGATGTTCCAATGTAGAGGTCATTTATGCGGTAGCTGCAGAGTGCCACAGAAATTGCGAGATTCTCATAATGGGTCACTTCGTATCTTTCCCGACGACTGATGTTTAAATCCAACATTCTGTACACGAAAAGTCCAAGGTGAAAGAAACCGACGAACCAACGCTGCCACGCTCGCAGCCGCTATCGATAAGCCCGTCTCTGGTCTCCCACCACCCCGCGCCACCTGCGCCACACCAGCCGCGGCTCGCCGCCTCCAAAAAGTTTACTCAGTCACCCACGGCAGACATCACCAACCCTCACATACGCGCACACACCACACCGGCCGCCGCCTCCTCTGCACCCGTCAAAACCGCCTTTCCCGAAAAAATAACTTCATCACCGCCGCTCGCAAACCCCACCCACCACGATGTCCGGCTACCAACCGCAAACCTCGCAAACCGCAGACTCCTCCGCCATCGACATCCACTCGCGCGCCGTGTCGTACACGTGCGGCGACTGCGACGGCGACGTGCAGCTCAAGCGCGGCGAGCCCATCCGGTGCCGCAACTGCGGCCATCGCGTGCTGTATAAGAAGCGGACGAACCGGTGAGTCTGGGAACATTGGAGTGACCCGCGCGGATGCTAACGTGTGCAGGATGGTGCAGTTTGAGGCGCGCTGAGCCGAGGGAAAAGAAAGTGGGAGATGTGAGGAAAGCGTTAGCACAAGGTGTGAATGCGGCATGAGCGACGGTGAAGAGCAGCACTGGTGGAGCGGAAGAGAGAACGAGTGGCGTTTGACCGGGGCACAGGACTGCGGACCTGTGGCGTGCGCTTGGAGTTTCTCGGTGTATGGGGACTCGCGGATCATATCGTACAGCATGCACGGTTTTCCGCCCGGCAGCATACTTGAGCATTAGCACGGATGCTTTCATCATTTCACTGATAAGTCTATATCTCTCTGCAGCCAAAGTCTATTCGGTTTCGTATCGTAGACGCGCAACGTGTACGTCTAGAAGAATTGCTGTAGCTTGCTCCTATCCGTCTTCAATGCTGTTTTCCCCGATAATCCATATATGCCAGTAGTCTCTTATAACGCGCCAAGGAGCTGACAACGACATCCTCAGAAGAGAGGGGGGCCAAACATAATCACGGATACGCAACATAGAGATGATAATAGGCCTGCATCTTGAAAAGGCACTCCATAGCACCAACATATGCATTTGACCTGCAAATATGACCCATGCTCTGCCAGCGTCCCAACAACGGCTCATTTAGCCCAGATGCCAACATGCATTCGTAGTAGGAGAGAACACCAACCCCAGCCGAGCGTTAGTGAAATGATAGGTAGCAGCGCCAAAAATCTTTGATTGATAGGAATCGAAGGTCAGGACCAACAAAGCTCGAACATAGCCTCATGCCGTCGTAGCCAGCAGGACTCGGGTATCTAAGTTCCTCTGTAAGCGTCGAAGCGCTTGTACGTGTACCCAATGAAGGGCAAGTTCATTTCCGCCGCCGCGTCGTCGCCCGCCTGGGCCGTCTGCGCGCGCAGCGCAGCACTGGTGTCGTTCTGGTCGATCTCGTCAATGGGGAAGTACTGTGTGTCAACGTTGGATTGCAGCTTCGGCTCGAATGGCGCACGAATGCGGCGCAACCCGTCCCATTGAACACCGCGGAAGAAGGGATGTTGCTTGATTTCGCTGGCCCCACCAATGCGGCCCAGACGATGTTCGGCATCGCAAATTAAGCTAGACGAGCATTAGCCTGACTCGTTTACGAGCGGATTAACACATCATGTACTCACCGCTTTACAAAATCCTCGGCCTCTGCTCCGAGCTGCTGGTCCGGAGGGAAGTGCAGATTCCGCGGCCAGTCGACGATCTTGCGGTATGTGTCATGTGGCTCTTCAGCGCAGAACGGAGGCCACCCGATAAGACACTCAAACATGATAGTGCCAACGGACCACCAGTCACAGCCGTAGTCGTAACCTTGTCCACTGAAGATCTCGGGTGCAATGTAGTCGGGGGTACCCACAGTGGAGTACGCCAGCTGGCGACGGGACTTTCTCCAGGTGTTGATTTGCGCGCGGTTGCTGACAGTTAGCTGAATCTGGTCCAGGTTCATTGAATTTCGGTTTTCCCTGTTCGACTTGTGGGCGCCACCAGCTAGTAGCTTCTTGTAGTAACCGGCCTCGTGCTCCTTGTGAAAGCCAGTCGAAAGACCAAAGTCGGTAAGTTTGATGTGGCCGCCACGATCCAAGAGGATGTTGTCAGGCTTGATGTCACTGCTCGATATTAGCAGCCGAACATAGTGGAAACAAAGGCGTTGCCTACCGATGGATGAATCCAAGCTTGTGGACAGCCTCTATGGCGAGAGTGATTTCGGCCATATAGAAACGTGTGATATCTTCAGTGAAGATTTCATACTTGATCAGCATGGTCATCAAATCACCTCCGGGCAAGAACTCCATAAGCATGTAAAGGAAGGTGTGGTCTTGGAAGGTCGTGTGCAGTTTCACCACCCAAGGGCTGTCCGACTCGGCGAGAATGTCACGCTCGGAGCGGACGTGAGCGAGCTGGTCCTTCTTGAACTGCTCAAAGTTAGTACATGCACATATGAATAAGAGCGGGGAGGCAAACGGACCATCTCAGCCTTGACAAGCGACTTGAGGGCATAGATCTTGCCATCGTTCCTCCTCTGCACAAGCTTGACCTCTCCAAAAGCACCCTTTCCGATGATCTTGAGTGTCGAGAAGTTCTCCGGTCGCTCCTTGGTACGCAGGAAACGGAGGTATTCTGCCTCTTGCCGTCGCATGGATTGCTCCTTCTGGGCTTTGCGGTTGTCGGATATGGAGGGCTCCTTCATGATAGATTCCAGTTCCAAAGCACTGCTCCTTTGTTAGCCATGTACTAGGATGTATCCTCTTTAGCTTGACATACCGCTGGTTGCGGTCCCGCGCCCGTTGCACGCTGTCTTTGAAAAAGGTGCTAACGAGGTTGATGGAAACCTTGGCCTGACGTAACACATTATCTGAGTACTTCTCCGGGGTCTTTGGCGGGGGTTCCTCGTCGTTCAGAGAAGGCTGTCGGGGATGATGACCATATCCTCCTCCATACTGGAAGCCCCTGTTGTCAGCAGTCCGGGGCCGCTGCTGGCTCGGCGAAGGCTGGCGGCCGCCGTACGGACTCCCAGATCGACCACTGCCACCGAGATGCTGCTGCTGGAACTGCTGGGCAAGGCCGTTGGCAGCTTCGTTGAATCGACCAGCATTGGGGGCCTGCAAGTTCCCTTGTTGTCCCTGATACTGGGCCTGCTGGTAGGGGTTCATGAAGTAGCCATTGCCCCCACTGTAACCATTGCCCTGCTGTGCACCCCACACCTCCTGTTGGCCGGCCTGGTTCGGGTAGACGGGCTGTGGAAAGGTGGAGGGCGTCGTGGGGTACTGCTGCTGCTGTCGGTCACCTCCGCCGAAGCCAAAAGCAAGATTGAGGCGGTTGCCCTGCTGTTGCTGCTGCTGGTTGTTCATGGCGGGCTGCAATCGGCGTGGGAGGACCGGGGGATGGCGTCCTCAAAAGGGCGTGGCGTGTCTGGCGGCCGTGGTGGGATGGATGGTGCGTGCGAAGGATGTGGCCGCAATTCGAGGGGCGTGGATGCGGGCAGGAACAGGCAGGTCGCAGCTGCCCAAGTCGAAGCGAATGACGCCGTCTACAGTCTCGCCGGGCACGGGTAGGTAGTGCACGAACGAGCAGCAGAGTCAAGTGAAGAGAAAAGGAGCACACGGGAAGGGAGTCAGTCGCAAGAGAGCTTGAAGTCAGGGATGCGGCCAGACGAGGGCGCCGTCCAACGCGGTTTAGCGCACGCTTAGTGCAGAGACATGCAGTGTGGTGGAGCTCTCACCACACGCAGCCTGAGATGCTGAGGCTGTGTGTGCTGAGCGAGGACAGATGCCTTCACATGGCGTCCTGCATGCTCTCTGTGTGACGCCCTGCACGCCTGCGTTACGCTGCGGCGCCGTGTGCCCTCCTCCCCGCTCCAGCACGGCACACACCGAGACCGACCAACGCTCCGGACCGTTACCGCTCTATCGATAGCGATGCTCCGATGCTCAATCAATCATCCCCACGCTCGGCCCAAGCATGCACTGCGTCGCCTTGACCAAGCCCTGGAGAAATCCTGTGCATCCCGCCACGTGCGACTTCGTCTGTTATTACCAACTTGAGCAGCACACAGCACCACCGTGTTCTATTGTTGCCCAGCTGCCCTACACAGGCACGCGAGCGGCGTGGCAAGCACAACAGTATAAACTTCCGCAGCGTCGGGCAGCATCTCGCTACCTAACGCGCTGACTGCATTACACCGACCTCTACCTCAGCGTCCGCAAGCATGCGTCTGTATGACTCCCGTCTATTGATTCGATAGCCCACATCGTGTCGTCCTCTCGGCTATCCTCCCTTGTAACCCTTCACAACGCTACCTACATCGCCCCATGGTACAGAACGCGAACTGGCTCAGACTACGCCTGTCAAACCGCATCCCTGGCGTCTGGCTCCGTCTTGCTTGCTTACATCACACTGCATGCACTTCACAAAATATTTGAACATCAAAATGTCTTTGCACGCGGCAATGCTTCGATTGGTCTCTTCTCAACTGCTCCAAGTCTTCTTCCACCAATGACGAGCATCCAACATCCAACCATGGAATCATTATATACAACAATAACGCGCTGTCCGCTCGGTAATCAAATAGTACAAGGGTACAGTGGTACAATGGTAAAAGGTAGACAAGCTCGCGAATTGGTTGCTGCGCGAAGCTGTCGCCAAAGAAAGGGTATATAACAGGTGACCAAAACTATGTCATCTGGACGACGATCGAAAAGCGTCCGAAGACGAGAGCCACCGCCGCGGGCAATGGCCTCGGCGACGGGGCATGTGGTGCAAAAAAAGGCGACAATGCAACCCTTGTCCCGGTGTAAATGCCACGTCCAAGAAACGCCAAATGTCGAAAGGGACGCTAAGGGAGTAGACACGGTGGTGTCCGCATAGAAAGTAAAGATTATAATCGAGTAAGTATAGTGGGAGAGTCGTGTCGAACGCTCGGCGTTATGCGTCGTAATTAGATTATGCTTGGGTCATGAGGGCTTGAACCTTTTCGCGTTCGGCGACAATATCGGCCTGGAGCTTCCTGGTCTTCATCATAGCTTCATCTCTGCAACCTAATCAGCAAAATGTTGCACAGTCAATGATAATTGAGCTCACCTCTGGAATTGGAGTTCGGCGACCTCGATCTGAGCCATGTTCATGCGACCAACGACTTCCTCCATCTCATGATCGGCATCTCTCAGAGCCTTCTCAAGCTCCTCAACACGCTTCTCAAGAAGCTCGGTCCTAGTGGCTTCTGCCATAGACATCGCGGGCCCAGTTGTAGTTTGGCTCAGGCGAGGCGACTTTTGCGCAAACATTGGCGATGTCGGCATCTTTGGTGATAGAGCAGCAGGGCTGAGCAAGCCAGATTTCGAACGGCGCAATTGGTTGGTGTTGCTTTCCTTAAGGGCCTTTACTTCAACCTCATGCTTGCAGATAGCTTCCTCGGACGATTGCTGAGCAGTCATGACCTTCTCTTCCGCATTCTTGAGTCGTCGTTCCAATTCGATGATCTTTCCCGTAGACTTCTCCTGCTCTTGCTCGCCTCGCATCACGGCATCGGTGAGTCGTTTGCGCAGTGCTCTGTTTGACTCGAGCTGCTGCTGGATCTTGTTGGAGAGTTCGTCCATGCGGGTTGCCGCTGCAAACAGCTCACTGCTCAGCTTTTGTTCCTTGCCCAAATGCTCAAGCTCCGACCTTTGCAGTGCGCGGGCCTGTTTACGATACTGCTCGGCTTCCTTTTGTGCAAAATCCCGCTCGGCTTCCGCATCCGAAATACTATGCTTCAGCAAGTCCAGGGTCCGCTCGGCCTCCTCACTGGCAGCACCAAGCGAATCTTCCGACTCCATCTGCTTGATGCGAGCAAGAGAAAGAGCGTGGGTGGTGCGTAGTTCGTTGTATGACTTGTCGAGCGAGATAGGTTGGTTCTCGATGCGAATCTCGGGAATGGTAATGTCATTTTCAGTCAAAAGATCTCGGAGAGACGACGTCTCTTGTTGAGCACGGTCTAGGTCCATACGCAGTCCACGAAGGCCATTCTCGCACAGAAACTTCTGTTCAAGAGCGTCATCAGCTCTATGTCGGAGTGAGTTCACCTCGTCCCTTAAGTGGGCAACCTCCTTATGGAATGCCGTACGACGAGGGGTAAGATTTAGCGCATTGTCTCGTTCCATTTCCAATTCCTTAATGCGCCTCTCAAAGTCCCTCTGCTGCATCTCTTGTCGTTGCAAAAGGTGCTTCAAGGCCTTGTGAAGGGCATCCCGTTGCTCTTCCAGCTCCTTGGTGGGATTACCCGCGAGAGGGGAAACGCCCTCTAGGGGTGATGCGGCGCCTGATTTGTCCTTGACCGAGTTGGACCGCTGAAGCGAGCCTCTCTTACTAGCAAAGCCGGAGCTTCGGGCGAGGGAGTTTGATCTCGACAGGCCCACACGAGGTTTCTGTGGAGACTCTCCTTCTTCAGCAATAGCTCCAATCGGTTGGAAGCGAGGGGCCTGCTGTGTCATCTCCTGCTGCATCCTCCGCGCATTGGCAAGCATCTGATTCTCCGTTCGCAATTGCTGGATTTCTTGTTGCATGCGCGTTGTCTCGTACATTAGACCCTGTGTGTCAGCGGCTTCGGTTTCTAAACCGTCGAGGCGAGCTCTGAGCTGCGGCACTACTTCGTCGCGGAGGTTGTCTCGTTCGTTGCGATGTTGTTCAAGCTCATCCCGAAGGGCTGTCAATAGATCCTCAAAGTTTTCCTTGACCTGTCTTTCTTCAGCTAAACGTCTCTGAGCATCTTGTAAAGAAGTCTCGAGCTCTTTGACTTTGGAGCCACTGGTAGCAGATGTCCCAGATGGACCGCTGACCTTGTCTTCAAGTTGCTGGACCTGCTCCTCAAGATCGCGACGACGCCTCAGCTCGTCTTGCAAGCGTTCTGCCATCTGCACCTTCAAGGTAGCGCGTTCTTGCTCTGCCTTCCTACGCAGCGTCTCAACCTCCTCTAGCTTGCTCTCAGGGTCACTGATGGGAAATCGGATTGAGCTCGCACCGGAGTCGGAGTAGTAATCGCTCGTTCTTCGGTTGTCGACCGATATTGTGGTCATGTTTTCTGACTTCCATCGCTCCACCTCATCCTCTAATTCCAACTCCCTCCGAATGGAAGCAGCCAACTCCGAGCTGACCTCACGGAGCTCGCGCTCCAGCTCTTCGACATGGGCGTTCATTTGGGGCGACGATGATAGAAGTGGCGTTCCGGGAACATTGAAGTAAGATGGCTGAGACAATGAATTTGCCATCGGAATGTTGAGCCCTATAGGCTTTGTCTTGGCTGACATGCCTTGTTGCTGAGGGAAACGTGGGGACGCAGCGGGAGACAAAGATTTGTCCGAGAATGGGGTCGTGGGTGACTCGGCGCCGTTTTGTTTGGCTGCATTCCAGCCGAAGAATGAAGTGAAACCTGCGGCCGGGGACTTGGGTTTAACTGGTCTCGCTTGTGCTTCCTCAGGCTCGTCCTCTGTCTCGTACAAGTCGTCAATGAAGTCCTCCGTCACTCCGTCCAACTTCAATCGCAAGTTAGGTTGGCGCACTTCTGATGTGTCGTATGCTGGCATATTTGGCATGGTAGGAGAGCGCGCGTGTTGTCCTTTCGCCGAAGCCTTGAGCTCTTCTATTCTGCTCTGTCGGTGTGCCTGAAAGCTGCTGACCGTCCTCTCATGCCTTGGTAGAGGTCCCGAGGAAACACGGCCGTTGCTCGAGGAGAGCGAGCTCTGCCTAGGGGGATGTCTCGGGGCAGTGGTGGTTATAGGAGTCTGACCATGGGGTTGTCTGGATAATCTGTCAGTACATGGACATGTCAAGGTTACGGCAGACTGGCACCTACTCGTCAAGATTGCGCGGTATCAAGTCAATGAGGCCGTCGCTAGGGGTGGGAGACGGCAATGCACCGGTGCGGCGAGGGTCTTGGGACGGCGGTCGATTAAGGATATTATTGCCGCTACCAGTGGCGTTGTTCAATTCAGCCGGTGAGTATCGTCCTACAACAGGTGAACCTGGTGGTAGGGGCTTCCGTCGCAAAGGGGATTGGACGGGAGCAGGTTGTGCAGGCTGCGCGGCTTGCGACGTGGAACGGGTGAAGGACGCGAACGAAGGGATGGCAAGAGCAGCAAGGAAGGCAGGCTTTGCTCGCGGGGGAGACGAGTTAGAAGGCGCAACCCTGGGACGGTCTGGCTGGGGCGCTTGCATATTAACGGTTTATCCCCAGCTCAAGTCATGATCTTGCACAAAGTTGTTCGCCCAGGGTGGTGGAAGAGTGGTCGCGACGAAAGGAGGCCCAGATTAGCGCATGAACGGGCTCAGGATCTCACAGCGGCCTGGTGTGTAGATCGCGAGCGTGGAATTGGTGGTCCTCGAGGCGCAAGTGCCCATGGGCGGCGGTGGTTGGAGGATGGCTTGGTGCGATGTGGAGTCTGGCGGCTAGGGGTATGCAGGAACGCGCGCGCGCAGCCAATGGAGCGTTATCAGGGACAGGGGCGATGCGCTGGGGGTTCGAATACGTGCAGAAGGCGGGTGGGATGGATATTGATATCGGTGGGCATGTCGGGGGTCAGGAAATTTGCTGCTGAGTACATTGCCGTAGTTCGCGTTCAGGTTGCGACACTTGTCGCGGTGTCCGGCACTTACAGCCCGCTGACATGCTCTCAGCAGCGTCTTCATGCCCTACACAGCAAGTGTCTGTCTCCTCCGTGCGCTTGAAACACGTCCCGCTCCGGCGCACCCTAGCCCCCAGCCTCGCCGACCCTCATTATACATTCTACCGCAGTAGTCTGCAGACGGCGCACTTCACGACGGCGGGTGGCTTTCGGGCGTGCATGCAACCTTCCTTTTGCCGTTGCGCGCATCATCACTCGTTGCGGCGAGCACATGTCCGTACAGCACCTCAAAAAGGCAGCCACTTCAATGCGGAAAGTGAGTTCCCCACACAAGGCAGCCACGGGCAGCCAGTGAACAGCGCAAACAGAACGTAGGCAGGGTTCGTAGCCTCATCTGGACGCCTCGCTTGCGTGGTCTTCGGCTCGACCGCCTCCTTTGGCTACGACGAAAGGAGAGTCGCAATCTCGCTGTGCACATCGTCCGGATAGACTCCGAGTCAGCTGGCAATCAACGACAGCGGTGCGGAATAACGTATCACCGCGAAGGGGTCCCAGCTGCGGCCTCGGAAGCTGCGACCGTGCGCTTGACTTGTACCGTCCATCATTCATGCGGCAGCATTTGTCACGCCCACACGTCGCGCGCATTCAACAACATGCCCGTCCGTAGCATATGCGGCCGATGAACTTATAGCATAAACCTCCACCATGGCATTCCACTCCCCACGGCAGTCGCAGAACTATTATGAGTTCAACCCTCCACCCTCCACCACCTCCGCCCAAGCCCTCAGCACACTCAAGCGGAAGAGCAACACCGCAAACCGGCCCCCCGCTGCCTCCACCGCCGCAGTCCTCCCAGCAACCGACCTCTCGGCCCTACGTCCAGAGCTCACAGGCACAACCCCGCCAGCCCTCCGTTCCACCGCCCGACGATGGTTGGCTGCCGGATGTTTTGAAGGACAAGACGTGCGTCACCATTGAAACGCATGATGCCAGCTGCTGAACTGCGTCAGGACCGTCGACCTCCACCACGTGTTGCATACTGCCGAACTGCAGCACGCGCTGATCCACAACCCTGAGACGGCCCATCCCTCCGTTCCCGCGTCGACGGCGCCGTTGCAGGCATTGCTTGCGCAGAATGTCGCGCTAGCCGAGAGTCTAAAGCAACTCGAGGCCCATCTTCAACGCCAGAGAGACAGTACGCAATCGCGCTTGTTGTCGCTCAAGGCTCTTGAGCGGCAGTGGAGAGCGAAGCAGGCCGAACAGGACGAGGCATTGCGCGAGTTCAGCCCTCCTGCGTTGTATCAGCGACTGAGTGCCGCTGTAGGAGAACAAGAAGCGCTGTGTCGAGGGCTTGAAGAAAGCTTCCTTGAGGGCGAGAGTGCGGGTGGCCATGATACTGTTGCAAGCGAACGCGAGGTGACTGAGTTCGTCCGCAGGCTCAGGGAAGGCCGTAAAGTAGCCTATCTGCGGGCTGAACGAAAGGAGAGATGGGACGAAGGTCGAGTCGGCGGTTGGCGATGATCAGATACGTCATGAATAGCTGTGAGCGACTACACCAGCAGTTGCACTGTGTCGATTCGTATTGCTCACCGGATCGACTTAGTCGTCTGTAGACCTACGACTCAAGCGATCTGTCCAGCATGTATAGTTGAAACCAGTCTGGGTGTCTTGCGCACAATATACGCGTGAGGTTCACCTCCGCCGGACTTGCCTCGTAGAGCTGTGGCGATTGCAAGTGGATATATCCATGTAGACAAAGTCTACACTAACCGTGGAACCAAAGAGTTGGGTATATCTCCTACATAACTCGATGTGTATCAACAATAAAACATACATGCTTCTTAGTATGCAAACAGCTCCCATTCCCCCTATGTTACAACATGCACAGCCAAATTCTCATGCAACGGTGTCCATGTCGTGTTAGGTTTCCGTCTCCCTTCGCCTCCGTTGTCCGTACAATATCCTACAATCAGCCAATCTCCCTTGTCTTCTTCCACCATGCTTCCACCATGCTTCCCCCACGCCACTTCCTTGATGTCCTACTCCCAGATACCAAACCACCTCTTCACCCTCCTTCTTCGAATGCCATCCTCCCCAATATAGTACCTCGGATCCTCCACATACTCCTCGCCCCTCTCCTCCGCCTCCCTTATCCTCTCCAACCGATACTGCTTCCTCTTCTCAATCTCCTCCTCCTTCTTCAAGCGCTTTTCTTGCACAACCTGCGTCTGGTGCGCAACATGCATTTTGTAGACCTCGATGAAACGACTCGTCGACTCGAATGGGTGGCGGAAGAATTCTTTGCGCCCGGGGACCAGCTCGCCGTAGATGGTCTTGGACATGAAGTCCATGTACCAGGCGGCAATTGCGAGGGAGATGAGTATGCCCTGTTTATATGTTAGGATTGGCTTGGTTGTCAGAAGCGAAAGGGTGGTGGGAGGCGTACCATAGATATCCAGAGGTGAATGGCGCGGTTGTTGAGGAACCAGTGCGAAAACGTTCCCTCGGGACTCATCATGTTTGGGTACTTCTTCGTGCGCATGCGTTGCTTGTCCTCCTCTGTCAAGGCCGGCCCGTAGCTGCGGTAGTTTGTCTCACTTCGGGGTGTGCGTTTGCCGTGGGAGGGCGGTCGGTATTTGTCCGGCTGTGGGATTGTAGGTGCAGCCTGTTGTTGCCGCTGTCTTCTTTGGAATTGTTCCGAGAGCGTTCTGGCTTTGGAGGAGGACGAGGCATATCGGAGGGTTGTTGTGGATGGGAGCTGGAGGGCGCGCGGTGCCGGGCGGAGGAGAAGAGGTCCCCTAGGCAGAAGAAATCGTGGTATTGATTGTAGCGTCGCCATTGCGAAGGTGGCACGGCGGCTGCGCGTGACAATTGCTGTCTTGAAGATGGAGAGGGCAAGAAGATCTTCGAAGTCGCGGCCCGAGATTTCTCCGGTCGTCTGTTCTTGCTCATCGCGAGACCAATGCAAATCGCAAAAGTTTTGCACGCGAGTGCAAGAAAGCGCGAAACATTGATTCGCATCTTCCTTCCCCAACTAACAGTGAGATCTCTTCACAGCAAGGTAATATGTGTAATTCTGATACATCATATCCCAGGTCGCAATGGCTCCCGCGCCGCCCCCATTTGGATCGCAAGAGTACTGGAATAAGCGTTTCACTGACAATCCAAAGCCTTTCGAGTGGCTGGAGGCGCCTGACGCTTTAGATCCGTATATTGTCGATGCTTTGAATAAAAGCAAAGATCCAAACCCACAGTTGCTACACATCGGGTGCGGGACGTCTCTACTTTCGTATCATCTGCGCGCGCATGTTGAAAAGCCCCAACAGATACACAATCTAGACTACTCAGATGTCGCTATAAAGTTGGGAAGGGGTCTAGAAGTCGAAATCTTCAGATCAGAAGTCGTAGCTTCTGATCAAAGCTTAGAAACCTTTAATCACTCCTCGGACGGAACTAGAGTTAAGTCTAGTCAGGCTGCGATCGAGTCGGTAAAGGAAGAGCGACCAGCTGGAGATCCTGAATCGTCCTTAATGAGGTGGTCGTCCGCCGATCTCTTAAATCACACCTCGATCCTTCAAGCATGTAAAGCTTCCACATACTCTGTTGTGGTGGACAAGTCAACATCAGACTCGATCGCTTGTTCTGACGATCTATATATGCCTTTACCTTATCATGTTGTGGCATCCTCGAAGCATTTCACGGAACCGATCATCACTAAATCCTCCGAGCCCCAACATCCTCTCCACATCATGGCCGTTCATCTCGCACTCGTCACGAAGCCCGGAGGTCGCTGGATATCAATTTCGTATTCTTCGGACCGATTTCCTTTCCTACAACTGCCCGCACCATACGAAGGAAATAGACCATCTCATTGCTCACAAGGCACCGCATTCACAAACCATGCATCGAATCATCCGGTTGGGATCGAAGAAGATTTCGGCAATAAGCTGAGCTTGGATGAGAATCTGGACGACATCCCGAAGAAAATCGCTGATAACGGCTTTCCGGTTCCTAGCACACTATGGACACTGGTTGGGAAATTCAATATAGAACCTCAGGCGACACCAGAGACCGTGAACGGCAACGGAACAACGCATCGACCCAAAGTACTGCATTGGATATACGTTCTAGAACGGACAAATGTGCCACTCTTTATTCGGCCATGAATCTCGTAGAAAAGATAACCAACTTAGATATCACAAGGTTCAGTACAATTGATGTTATGGTACACACAGGGTAAAGACATTGATCGGACTTTCTCTCCTCTGACTGAATAGAGCTTACACAAAACTAATGTCAGCTAGCCTAAGCTACATCAACTGTACACTCCCGGTGCCCAACTCCTTCGACTCTCCGCGTCGTCCCTCCCCTGAAAGAATATATCCACTTGATTGGGTTCCCCGGTTTTCCCCTCTCGGTAATCGTACCGTATCCTCTTCCACAGCAGCTTGGGATGGTTCTTAATTTCTTCACCACTCATGTTCATTCCCGTCTTGCCCGGTATACGATCCATAACCGGCTTCAGCAACATAGCCATGCTCATGAAGCTTTCATCCCGAACAACCGACTTGTTGCCGAAGGCCAAAAGACAGATGAGCGCCGCAAACTGGATGAGACAGATGCCGCCCAGCAGACCAAGAATGTAGGGCCAGTCGACGTTCAGCTGTTGGCCTTGCGTTGGCACCGCGTTCTGGTTCGCGACTTCGTAGCGGAGGCCGTGGTCGTCAAAAGCAGCTATCGAGCCGATCGTGTACCGCGCCAACAGCTCCTCTACGTCGCCCGCGGTTACGGTCTTATTCGGACTCCACTTGCTACCGCGCAGGTAGCTCCTGATCTGTCTGTCGCTGTAGTCTGCTGGGAACCAGCCCGTCCAGGCGATGGATCCAGCCGCGATTCTAGCAAACTCGTCCGTGCCGTGAAGATGCTTTTTGTCTTCGTCGGAGAGATTTTGGAACTCGGGTGAATCGCCTTCGACCTCGGAAACGGTGGAGTTGCAGAGGAAGAGCGAGGACTTCGAGATGTTTGAATTGTCTGATGTGGCTTCTTGGTAGATGGTGAGGTTTGTGCAACGAGGGCCGCAACCCTCCCACGTTGAACCTATCCAGTTGAGGCAGCCGCCATTGGTGTATTCAGGGAGCCAGTACATGTCCCAGTCCTTTCCATCTTCCTGTTCACTTGGTCAGGATACTCATGTACGGAAACATGCGAATCGTAGGAAAGTGAATTACCTTGCCCATGATGTACTGGTAGTCGGTATCGTTGCCATTGTCTGTCCATTGTGGTGTGCCCTGTATATCGAGCATTTTGCACGACGCGGTCGCTCGTATCTTCCTCCCCGAAACAATGTAGTTCTGGAACTGGTGCGCCGGATTCCGATTGTAGAATCGGTATTCATATACATTCGTGCCATTGTCGTGGTATAGTGGCGTTCCTGGAAGGCTCGACAGGTCTGTCTGAGATTCCGCATTCAGCGCAAACTCCGGATATACACTGGCTTCCGTTCCTGCGCTGGATGCAGATTCCATGGACTAAGGCAGGGGTATAAAGTCAGTGTAAGGTTCACAAATCAGGAAAGTGGGTGAAGTAGGTGTTCTAGCCAGGTACTAATGTCTGAAGATTCAGACTTAGAGTTGTGAGGCCTGGAGCCTGAGACTATCGCCCAGCATGAACACCCACTTTTCACCTTAACATTGCGTACCGTAATGTTCGGCGACCATCCCTCGTCACCTGTATATAAACTCCAAGTCTGCAGATTCGCAACTGTAACGTTACCGTAAGTCATGAGCGGGACCGCGTCCGACGGATCGACAGGCCAAAAGAGCGAAAGAGCCGCAACGAGCACCTGTGCAGCAATATTCAAAAGGATCCACAGCGCACAAGCTATCCACGTGAGACGAGTGCCATCATCCCCTAGAATACGCAGGCACGAAGTCAGTCAAGTCAGAAAAGTAGAGATATCACGAAATGTTTATGTCTAAGACATATCGACTTCGTACTTGGGCAATACTTACTTGCCTCCCGAAACCAAGGCAGCTTGCTCAAGAACTTCACCTTCCGGATCCCAGGCAGCGAAATAATCATCAACTTTCCCACCTTTGTGAGCGTTTCCAGACCTAGGATTAGATCGAACACCTCCAAGCTCACATATCGCCTAGCCAGCAGATACCATCGTAAAATCACCGCATATCTCTTCAGCGAACTCGCAAGGTTCAAACCGAGCCCGAGCGATAGGCCGAGCATGATGGCGTTGAAGTAGCGCACCTGTATCTTGCTCATGATGAGCGGCTCGCGGAAGCCCTCGTAGGCTTTCAAACACAGTCCGATGGCGACGCTGAAGCCTAGCGTAATCATGAATCGGTATGCGCCCGTTTTCAGGAGGAATTTGCGCGATTCGTGGTGGTCGTAATGCTTTGCAGATAGTAGGCTACGCGTGTCGCTATCGAAGGTGGACCCGTGTCCGGCGCCAAGATAGCCATAATCGTCTTTGTACTGGATAGGCGACTCGGTGTAGCCTTGGTGGAGAGGTTCGTCTAGTTGTTGCAGCGCAATGTCGCTGTCGGTATCGTGTGTGCGGATTTCAGGTGGGTCGTACGGCCTGTCGAAAGCGGTTGTTGCTGCGCTTGATGGTGGATTTGGTCGGTGGGGTTGAGATAGAGGACTGTGTGCTGATGAAGTTCTTCTGGGAGGTTCGATGTTTGTTTGTATATCGTGCGCTGTGTTGTTGTGGGGTTCGTTGCCATCTTGGGCCAGCAAGGCTGAGTTGTCCATAGTCGTGCAGCTTAGCGAGCGATGTCGCTCAGCGAACGCGGATGAGATGTCTCCTTCGTGACCGTAGCGCGCAAAGTCGAAGCTTTTATAGCTTAATTCCCTACAGTTTCATACCATAGAATACGAATGCAGGAGCAGCATCAGGCGTACAATGTCCTCAGAGAACCGTCCTGCTACAGATGTAAGCGCCTGAGGTGTTGGGAAGAGCCGGCTGTAGGAGCACTCCACTGCTGTATCATGAATTGGACGGTGGCCTGTGTTAGGCTCGAAACGTTTTAACTTCCTCCCGGCGAAGACCTCTTACAGAGCGCACCAGAGGTAAAGACACGGCGTATAAGTTTCCTGGTGGAGCGACCTGCTACAAAAGGAGATGCAGGAGGTGTTGCGAAGAGCCGCTTAGGAGGCGGCAATCCAATTGGGGTCCAAAAGAACGCGGTGTTAAGAGATGGCGCTGAACACAGTGCAACGACCTAGCCTCAACAATCGCACGTCGGCGTAGCGAGCAGTGCCAAAGTCTGGACTATGCGGTGTGGACTGTGAGTAAAACTCTGAAAACTCTGAAAGGAGAGGAGCGACAAGCAAGACTTTGAATGATGGTTAGCAAGAAGGCAAATGGTTGTAAGGAACATGAAACCGTCGACCACAATGGGAGGCCTAGCGTTGGAGGATCAGCATCTAGTAGGCTCCTCCGCTTTCGGTTGCAGATAACATATGCTAAAGATATCTACTGATGGCGTAAACACTTTTCATCGCTACTCTCTATGGCGGAGGATTTCACGGACGGCGTTCTCCTCGTTGTAGGATTCGTCCAGCGGGCCAAGCAGGCAAATGTTGGCTGAGAACACTACACTATGTTCGGCTTAGCATGGTGGGTCATCTGGGGGCCAGAAAAGGTTGGCAAGGCTGGAGCCGCGTCTCTCACGGCCAGATTACGCCGGTACAGGCATGCATCGTGGAACAGTGAGAAAATGCGTTCGACATGTATTTGTGAGGTATTTGTCTGGTGATGAGTTGGGTAGATAGCTCCTAGCCCTTTATGATCACAGTGTAGCCTATCAAAGACAAGCGCGTGGGGCGTCAATGTAAAAGTCGTACAGATTGCAAGCGAAGAGTAAGCGGGCGAATGAGATGGAGTGGATGTAGAAGACGTCGTTCAAACAAGCTCCAGGATTCGGGAGGGTCCTTTCCTGCAGTCATCCTTCATCAGTACGCCTATCTAAGAAGTATCGTGCATGTGAAGTGTCTGCAAGGCTGGCATATGTTCTTGCAGTGCCCAGGCTTGGTGATAGGACGCGGAGACAGCCCGTGATCGGAGAGGGGAAATTGGCCTGCCCATCCCAAATGGCGATATTTCCGTTGCCCCACTTCTGCGTCCACATCCGTCTATGTTGTTCCGTACTTTGCATGTAACCTTCTTGAAAGCCATCTGTCAGAGGAATCGCAGGAGTTGTTCACTGTGCGTGCATCGGCTACCCGTTGTGCCGAACGAGCGACTTTACCAAGCTCGAATTACGGCCGTGATCGACCGCAGGGCTGCGGAAATCAGCTCTTTCACTCGGTATCACGACACGATCGGTGACACTTCTCCTCACTCGCGATGATCATATACCGTAACCCATGCGGGAGGTGGGACGGTGACGAACGCAGTCATGTTAAGATGCTCGAGGGAGTGCTCGTATCGAGAAAGGTTGCGAACATTACACCAATTGATGCGCTCGTATCGATAGAAGCTGCAAACATCACACCAATTGTTGCACTCGTCGACAAGCACAACGTCTTCACCCCGGAACAACACACCCATTCGAGATATTGCCGCTGTGCTAGGTAAGCAGATTTGGCATGGATCTTGCCGAAAGGGTGGGGAATCCATAACTTGTTGTCGTCTTGGGTTCATAAATTTGCGCATTGCAGTCACCGGTTGACAGATGCTCGGGAAGGCGGAAGTGCAACCTACAGTAGGTTCAGCCTTATAGAGGGTGTGGCTTACCTGCCCAACTCTCCTTTTCTTCTCCGTTCGTTATATCTCTTGCATTGACCAAACATCGCCTCTATCCACATTATCACCTCCAGAACTGGTGTTTGATCTTGGTACGCAGCCATGCTTGCTGTTACTCTCGTCGTCGCGTCCCTCGTGACGTACCTTCTATACTCTCTATGGCGTCTTGTGTATAACGTATACTTCCACCCTCTGGCCAAATTCCCTGGTCCTTGGTGGGCTGGTGCGACGTCGTATGCGGAAGCCTACTTTGACATCATCAAAGGTGGCCTTTACTTTGCAGAGGTTGAAGCTATGCACGCGCATTATGGTAGGTAGATGTACTGTCGGTACAATGGAGGACCACTGTTGATAATAGTAGGACCCATCGTAAGGATTACACCGACAGAGTTATCGATACGCGACGCAGAGTTCTACGAGCACATCTATGGCAGCATGAGTGAGTACTCCTAGCAACTCAGCGCTTTTCTTAAGCTGTGTTCATCTCTTTGACTTACCTGTTCTTGTGCAAGCCACAACATTCCAGCCTTGGTCTGATATGCTACGCATTGAAGTCAGTCGCTGACAAGTCATTGTGGAACGTAGACGCTCGTCGCGATATCGATATTGCCTTTGCCAGACTCACGGTGGCTCCCACGTCGGTCATCTCCACTCTTAAGCACGACCACCATCGAGCTCGCCGTATTCCGCTTCTCAGCTTCTTCTCGAAGCAAGCCATCACAAGGCTAGAGCCTTTCATCTCGTCTAGGGTCAATCTCCTTGTCAAGAAGCTCAAGCATGCGCATGAGGTCGGGCGCGTGATTGAAGCTGTTGATGCATATGGGGCCCTAACAACAGATGTGATCAGTTACTATGCCTATGGCGAAACATTCGACTTCCTGGGAAGAGACACCGATCTTGAGTTTAGGAACGACTATATGCATGCGATTAGCGGCTTAGCCTTCGCGTCACCAATGCTACTGCACTTCCCGCTCGTGGCAGACTGCATGCGGCGTCTGCCAGAGTGGATCCTGACGAAGATAAATCCTGGCATGATGAGGGTCAACGATCTTCGTCGATGGTGTTCTGCGAACGCCAACAAGGTTCTCCAAGCTGCTTCCTCTGGTGTAAAAAGAGACACGGTGAAACCGAACACTATCTTTGAGGCTCTGTTGAGCGACGATCTACCGCCGGAGGAGAAGACTTTGGAACGCATGACTGACGAAGGCTTCGTGATTACTGGTGCAGGCCTGGAAACCACATCGCGATATCTGACAAATATCACAACCCATCTGCTGCTGAATCCGGATTGCCTAGCCAGACTCCGAGCTGAACTCAAGGTGGCCATGCCATCACCGGGCGACTTGCCACCCAGTATTGTCCTGGAGAATCTTCCGTACCTGGCAAGTATTGTTCATGTCGTGACGTCTGAAAGTAGGCTAACTTTGATTGCCAAGGCTGCCGTTGTCAACGAAGGACTTCGTCATGAGACCATCTTCTCGAACCGGTTTACAAGACAAATAGTTGAGCCCCTACCATACAAGAACTTTGTGATCCCGGCCGGTGTAAGTGATCCCTTTCGTGCTTGGTCCTACACTAAACAGTAGGATAGACCAACATCGGCTGCGCACCGTATCTCCAGAATCACAATGCCGACGTCTTTCCCGAGCCTGAGAGATTCAGGCCGGAGCGTTGGATCGAGGCGCGCGAGCGAGGCGTAAACCTGCCCAAATACCTGGCGACTTTCGTAAAAGGTGGCCGCATGTGCCTCGGCATCAAGTAAGCTTCTTTCGTGTGATAGCAGGACACATCAATAACCATCACGTAGCCTCGCTTACACCGAGCTGTACATGACGACCGCAGCAATTTTTCGGAACTTCGAGATGGAGCTTGTTGACTCTGGACTTGAAGATATCACCATGAAGCGCGGGTACAGTTTCGGCTTTAATGAGAACTACGATTGGGGTGTTAAAATCAGAGTTACGAAAGTCTTGGAGTAGTTCAGGGGACATCCTGACACGTTCTGTAGTGAGCCCTTGGTGTTGAGGTTTGCTTTGACTCGCTGTCGTAGCCATATTGTAGTCCTTCGGGCTGTGGGAGTAATGTCGGTCGTTATCTTGTCTAGGCTCTCTCTCTCTCTCTCATTCTCTTTAGGATTAGTGTCCTTTCGTTTTGCTTCAAGACTGCTACTGGCGGCCGCGGACAAATCCATCAAAGTTGATCAGGTTGACGTATGTTTCCGTAGCAGTGAATATGAAAATTACGTAACATACATCTTCGGAGTCCCCGTTCGCGTTGTTGTTGCAGTCGTGAATCTTCAACTCGAGTTCGCTCCACATAGTGCGGTTAGGTTAAGAAGTGACCGCGATGTAAGAACAGCGGATTTAACGAGATGTGAACACTTTTGCACGCAAGTGATCGTCGAAACCCATGAAGAAATCTTATAAGGGCGTCTATGAGAAGGAGTAGCGAGGCTACGGGAGGGAGGGAATGGAGAGACGAAGGAGCGGGCTTACGCTTGGCAGGATACGGCTTTTCGATAGGCTCCAATCAGACGAGTCACCATGACGATGCACTTGTCATACGCCTGAGATAATGGGATTGACGCTCATAAGTTCACCCGGGCAATCCCGCACCTCCTATGTGCTCCTAGGGTATCTTCAGTTCGCTTGCGCTTGCGCATCAGCGTAGGCCATAATGCTGCCGACCGCGCGCGGATATGCTATCTTCTGTGCACCATCGATTCTAACACCTTCCGTCGCTCCAGCAGGCCCGAATCCTCCACCGCCTGGCGTGTAGATGACACACCGATCACCAGTATCCATCGCAACCATGTTCTTTGGCCCAAGGTTGATCCATCGATCGCTGCCATCCGGCCTCTTCTTGACCCAATAGTTTGCACCTCTCCCACCGTTCTCTCCACCCTTCATGCCGTACGGCTCCGTGACACGCCGTTCTGTGATAACACTGAATTTCAGTGGGGCTCGGCATTCCATGTCGCGAATCACTCCATTGCCACCCTTGTGCATACCGTTCCCACCACTATCTTCACGAATGCTGAACTCGCGCAGGATGACAGGATATCTCTTCTCGAGAGACTCGGGGTCAGTAATACGGGTGTTGGTCATGTGCGTATGGACGCCACTAGCTCCGTCTGCCACAGCAGTAGCGCCTGAACCACCACATATGGTTTCTCCAAATGCGTAGGCATATCCAGCAAGCTTATTACCATTAGCATCTTTGCCTCCTTCGCCAAAGAAACCCAGACAGTTCATGCAGCCTTGGGATGCCCCAGCTACCTCGAACGCCTTCATAATGACGTCTACTACACGTTGTGATGTGTTCGTGTTTCCAGCGCAGACAGCCGGACCAGCCGATGGGTTGAGGAAGCAGCCTTCGGGCAGAATCACCCTCGTCGGGGCAAGGCAGCCTTGATTCATTGGAATTTCGAGCCCAATCAGTAGCCGCAGGGAATACAGTAGCGCGGAGTGGGTGATAGCAGGCGGTGCATTCATGTTGCCGTACAGTTCGCAGCTAGTGCCAGTGAAATCGAAGGTTGCGCTGCCGTCGCCTTCGATAGTGACCTTGAGTTTCATGAAGGAGCCATTGTCCATGGAATCTTCCGAAAGCAGGGTGTTTCCACGCGCTTCCAGCGTCTGTTTCAGGAACGCGCGCACCGCAACCTCAGCGTTTTGTTGAATCGCAGCCATGTACAGTTGAACGACTTGTTGAGAGTACTCCTCCATAAGCGCCTGGACTAAAGACGAGCCTTTGTTGTTAGCAGCAACTTGGGCTTTCAGATCTGACAGGTTGTCTGTGAGTCGTCGACTGCCGTTGCAGCCGGGATGCTCTCCTGGCGCAAGCAAGATCTTGGTGATACCCTCTTCGTCGAATTGCCCATCTCGAATAAGTCTGAAAGACTTGATGGCTGCACCTTCTTGCCACAGCTCTGTGGAATTGGGAGGCATGGACGTCCCACCCAGTCCACCGATGTCAGTGTGGTGACCCCTTGATGCAACGTAGAAAAGAATGTCCTTGCCTGTTCGGTCAAAGATTGGCGAAATAACAGTGATGTCTGGTAAATGAGTGCCACCAGCCTCGGGATGATTGCTGACGAGTACGTCGCCTGGTTGCAAATCTCCCTTTCGTTGCTCATGCTGATAGCGCACTGCATAGCTCATAGAACCCAGATGAACGGGCACATGGGGCGCATTAGCAACGAGACCAGCATCTGGGCCAAAGATGGCGCAAGAGAAATCAAGGCGTTCCTTGATATTAAGTGATACCGAGGTGTTCTGCAGAGCGCGGCCCATTTGCTCTGCGATACTCATGAAACGGTGACCGAAAACACTGAGACTAGCCGGATCTATGACAGTGTCTGACAACGTTTGTTTTGAAAGTGAGGAGCTGACCTCGATAATAACCTGGGAGGACATAATCTTGGCGGTTGCTTCTGGTACGATCACCAGGGTCTGGGTAGAATCAAGGATGATTGCGGGACCCTGAATGAGAATCCCGGGTGCCAAGGCGTCCAAGATGTACACAGGGGTATCTTTGCTTCCATGCCCTTTGAAGTAAACAGGTCGTGTAGCATCTGCCTTGGCGCTAGCCTTGGGAATGTCATCGGACTTCACCTCTTGTGATAGCCGAGCGGAATCGTTGCCCTTCCCGATGCCTCGAACACGTATGTCCTCGATGAGAATGGAACGATCTTCCGGGAAGTTGAAATTGAACTCCTGTAGATGTCGCTTCAAGAATTCTGATCTGAAGTCACCGCCTGGCGCCGCAAGAATCATCATGGACGTTTCAGTGCCTTGGTAGCGCATGTTCAAATAGTGCTCGAACTCAATGCTCGATTGTTCGATGCCTTGATCTTTGATACTGGTCTGAACTTGGCTACGAAGCTCCTGGAAAATGGATGAATAGACTTCCTGGGCATCTGATGAATAGACCAGGCTCTGTGGTCGTTGAGCCTCTTGCACAACATCTGCAAGGGCCATTCCGTATGCCGAGAGAATACTAGAGTACTTGTGGATTTTAATGGTTCGAATCCCAAGCTTGGCAGCGATTTCGCAAGCATGCTACAGTATCCCGTCAGCGAAGCTCCTCAGTATGGATAGTGGGGTTACTCACCTGGCCTCCCGCACCTCCGAAGCTACTCAGGTGGTGGCGACTAAGCAGATGGCCCTTGGCTTCGGTAAGTGCGCGAATCGGTCGGCACATAGCTTCATTAGCAACGTCAAGAAATCCACATGCAACCTCCTCCGGAGTAAGATGGCGCCCGGTTTCCGTATTGATGTCTTTTGTGAGAGCCTCAAATTTCTTACGAACAATGACCTCGTCGAGCGGCTCATTTTCGTTAGGCCCAAATATCTTAGGGAATGTTTCAGGAACGAGACGGCCGAGGAAGAGGTTCGCATCGGTCACTGTAAGAGGGCCGCCTTTTCGATAAGAAGCAGGCCCGGGGTGAGATGATGCACTCTCAGGACCGACGGTAAAAAGGCCATTGCGCCAAGCCAATATTGAACCTCCACCAGCTGCTACAGTGTTTATGTCGAGCTGAGGCGATTGAATCGTGACGCCAGCGGTTGTCGTTTCGAAAACATGATCGAAGTTTCCGCCAAAGCGAGAAACGTCTGTGGATGTGCCGCCCATGTCAAATCCGATGATCGGCACCTTCGTAACTGGATCAAAAGAAGTTCTTGCGTATCCAACGACACCACCTAGCCAGGTCAGTCAAATAAGTATTTCTCATCTTACAGCTCAGGGACAACAAGAAAGGCTTACCAGCTGGACCACTGAGAATGCCCCTCAATCCGCTGAACCGGTTATGCCTGACAAGTCCACCATCGGATTGCATGAACTCGCAGCGAACATCGTCAAGGTGACCACCCTCGAACCCTTTCTGGAAACCAGCCAAGTACTTCTTGATCTCCGGCGTCAGATACGCATCAGCAGTGGCTGAGCTTCCGCGAGGTACCATCTTGATCATATTGGCTGCAACCTGCGAAGACAACGACACATGTGTGAAGCCTGCCTTGAGAGCCAGCTCTCCTGCTCGTGCTTCATGGTGCGGATAAGCGTACGAGTGTGTGAAGCAGACGGCGATAGTCTCGATGCCCTTGTCTCTGATGCTTTTTAGAGATTGCAGGACCGCAGTCTCGTCCAAAGGCCTGAGGATTCGGATGAGCTGGCCGTTCGTTCCTCTTTCGAGTTCGCCAGGAATGACATCTTGAGGTGCAAATTGACCATCAACATCTTCGTCAAAGCCTTCAATAGTGACCCGCTCATCCACTTCGCACACTTCCGAGTACAGGACCTAGATGGGTGAGATCGTCAGATCAGCAGGTCAAGCGCATTGGAACAGCTGGCTTACCTCTGGCTTCGAAATGTTGAGATCGAATAGTCGTGGCCGAGACTGATAGCCAATTTCGATGAGGTCTCTGAACCCCTTCGTGACCAAGAAAGCGTGCCTAGTACCTTTCCGCTCTAACAAGGCATTGGTAGCGACAGTCGTGCCCATACGAATGCTATCGATGCTGTCCTTTGGAAGGGGCACTCCTCTTGGGATGTCTTTCTCTAGGTACTCATTCAGGATGCGACGGATACCTAGTCTTATGAGTGAATGACAGTTTGCGTTGCAACCAGGAATATACCTTCTGTTGGTGCATCGTCATAGTTCCCAGGGTCAACGGAAAGCAGTTTGAAGACCACGTCAGATTGACCCGGCGCAGTAGCCCAGATATCTGTGAAAGTACCACCTCGGTCGATGGCTATCTTGATGCCCGAGACAGCCTGAACCGGCATTGATCCCATCTTGAGTCGTGCGTGAGGAATGGTTTGAGCCGACCCCAGCAACTTCTGTCGCCGACATATATACCTGTAGCATTCGAAGAGGACATCTCGTAACACCTCGGAGCCATATCGACGGCCGAATTTGGATGGTCCACACGACGGGCCAGCGATAGCGAGGCGTAGGAGGGAAGTGCGAGCAAGGAAGGTCGACACGATGGGAAACTGACTTGACTCGTGGATGTGGCTTTGCCGAACTCTTGGCGTGTGGGGAAGTCGCGTGAGATTGGGCGCCGCCGGTGCCGGCACCCCCCAAAGAGGCGACGTGAACAGTCCTCCTATCATGACCATGCCGAAAAGCTGGACGTATACCTGGGCACGAGTCACGTCACGTGTCGTCGTGTCGACCTGCTTTCTTTTCTGATAACGCGCAGGGCTTTTCTAAGAATTTACCCGCGTTTCCCGACCTTTTACGCCTGCGACAAATCTCCTGCGGCCATAGTTATCTAGACATCAGACGCCAGGAGCCTGGTTCATGGGGCTAGCACTGATAGGGCCCGGATATCTTCTATCGTCTGGGGATAAGCTGGGGTTCTGTAGTAACAGGGTGGCATAGATATAAACCCTCACCACTACTCTGCCCTTCGTTCCACGCAACTACCGTTCACTTTACAGCTTTTTATCTATCTTTGATCAGCAGATCTCGTTTCTTTGCGTCTTTGCCCCTCATGTCGATTACTGATGGAAAGCAAGATGTGGAAACGATGGCATCTCCCACACAAGAGATAGCTGGCAGCACTGAAAAGATCGTGGACACTAGAAACATTGACCAAGCCGCATTGTTTCTTGCGCAGGCGGAGGGCTACGAAAGTCTTACGGCGAAGCAGGAACAGCGGTTGAAGAGGAAGATTGACTGGATCATGATCCCAATGCTCTTCGTCACTGCCACACTGGGTGCTGTAGACAAGGTGGTACGTAACGCCGGGAGGCAGAATCGAAGTTTCGACTAATCTTTGTGTGTCTATGTGTAGGCCTTAAGCACCGCCGCCATTTATGGCTTACAGGAAGACAACGGTTTACACGGGCAACAGTATTCATGGCTAGGTTCAATCCTATCTCTCGGTGCCTTAGTCGGAATGTTTCCATCCTCATACCTCATCCACAAGTTCCCTGCCGCAAAGTACCTCTGCACATGCTCCATGGCATGGTCGGCAATGGCACTTCTGATGCCTGCTTGCAGTAGTTGGAGTGGGTTAATGGCTCTTCGCTTCCTGATGGGCGCTGCTGAGGCTATCATTGTCCCGGGCATCTCACTGATCATCGCTGGGTTCGTATGATGCTACTTCTTTGGTATACCTACTAAAATATTTCAGATGGTACAAGAAAAGCGAGCAGCCACCTCGCAATGCGTTCGTATTTGCCGCCATGAGTTCTGTGGTCAATGGATTTCTCAGTTGGGCCGTAGGGTAAGCCACCTTCAAACACTTGCAAGTCCAGATTCTAGATACTGTTGGCCATTGCATCGACTACTCCGGCCTAACATTGCGTACTCTGATCTTCAAGGCGGCACTAGATTTGCTTCGGATGCTAATTTGGCGTAGTCACATTTCCGACGACTCGCCTCTCGCCAAGTGGCAGTATCTGTACCTCATCGTCGGCTCCATCTCAATGACATGGTCCATCTTCGCCTTCATCTTCCTCCCCGATACGCCAATGAATGCCTTCTTTCTCACGCAGCAGGAAAAAGTTTTCTGGGTGCAACGCCTTGCGGGTAACAAAACCGGTATTGTCAATAACGTCTGGAAATGGGACCAGGTGCTTGAGGCAGTAATTGACCCGAAGACCTGGCTCATCTTCTTTTTCAATATCGCTATCAACATTCCGAACGGAGGTATGTTATCCATCAATTTCGTACGAAGTGTACCGAACACAGTCTAACTAGTACGCACTATAGGCCTGACAACATTCAACGGCATCATTATCAAGAACCTCGGCTTTACATCCGTTCAGTCATCTCTTCTCGCTATGCCCACGGGTGTCATGTCTACTCTAGCATCAGTCGGCTTCTCATTTCTAGCCGCCAAGTGGAACGACCGTCGCTGCCTCGTCACTATGATCGCTTGCGTCATCCCTATCGTTGGCACTGGTGTCTTGTACGGTGTTTCCCGCAGCAATGTACCCGCCCAAATGGTGGGCCTGTATCTGGTCAGTACACAATTCTGACGGTACAACCCAAAACACTGACAGCGATAGTGCTACACCTACTTCGGTCCGTACTGCGTCGGTATTTCTTTGGCCCAAGCCAACACGGCTGGTCATACCAAGAAGAATGTCCAGTTCGCTATACTGTACATTGGATACGCCGTCGGGAACCTCATCGGACCCCAAACTTTCCGCGCAAACCAAGCCCCTGCGTATACTGGAGGCGTGGTAGCTATGCTGGTCTGCTACTGCGTGTGCATTGGGTTGATGTGTGCGTACTGGTTCTACTGCGTGGTACTGAACCGTAAGCTTGTGTCAGCTGCTCCTGTAGTAGAGGTTGACGGTACTGTTGTGGAGAACTTCAGCGACCTGACGGACTTTAAACAAGAGGGATTCAAGTACACCACTTGAGGCAGTGTTGGCCTTGACGGGCCTGTATTCGATGGCATCGAACATCCCAGCTCATCGTAGTGCCATCGGCTATTCATTCTATATCTCCCCAAGATAGAATATATCGCTTGATGCTTTGTGAGAGATTGTTCGTTGCTGGGAGCTAGAGTTTTTGGCATGAGCCCAGAGATTCATCGCCTTGTTTCAGGCCAACGCGGGAAGCGAGACACCATTGGTACCAGACCAGCGCTCTTGTCCGTAACCAGTGTTCCCTATTCTTTCCGAGTATCTTATAGTGATGTTCACAGCTGTCCTTATTACAATGGTGGTGTGATTATTGCAGCAAAATCGTCATTGTTGACTCTAGCGTGTGATCCATCTTATCGAACCGCCGAAAACCTGGGGGCGGATCCGCACTAGACATGGTTCCGCCCCACTTAGCGAGCATTCCGCCAAGGCGGTTATCGTGACCGTCCACTCTTAAAACCCCACGGGGCGCCTTTTAGGTCAACGACCATCATCTACATCAGTCTCTTTATTTCCTGCTGTTCTGGAACAGCATAGGTTCCTCGAACGTTAAGGCTGTATTGGCCATGTAGCAACAACACCATTCCTATGCCACGCAGAGTGCAGAAGGCTCCACGGAAACGGACTGGCTGCGCGACCTGCAAGATTGCGCATGTGAGATGCACTGAGGAGAAGCCTGAATGCAGGCGCTGCCAGCGTCTGTCGCTTTCCTGTGAATATGAGTTCAGGCTGCTTTGGGAAGAGGATGCGCTCCAGCGAAATATCGTGCATGGCAGAGCTGGAGTTTGGACTCGTGATGGGAAGAAAACGAAGCGGATCTCAGGTGCTTCCAAATTTATTGATGGAAAAGAGGAATTAGTATGGATTCCGCTTTTGAGAAGGGGAGCTTGGGAGTTTATCGACTTCTCGCCTAAGGATTTCTTTAACGGTCTTCCGCTCGCGCTCCAAAACGAAGCTCTGCCAGAAGAAGAACTGGGGGCCGAGACGGAAATCGTGCACCAAGAAATCGGCAATTTTGATGGGCATGATGCTCTTGAAGGGATTCACCAAGGTGTACCGCATGGGATCGTCGACAGCAACGGTGAAGAAGCTGCAGACGAAGAGATCATACCTTCTCTGAGCGTACGCGATACTTCACCTCCAATCACGTGGACCTCAGACATCGACCCTCAGCTTTTCCTTTCCTCGTCTCTACCTCTTCTCTCTGTCTCCGACGTGGATTCCCAGCTTCTCGACTTCTACATTTACGAGCTCTCCCCAAAATGCTCGCTCAGCGTCGACTTCAACCCATACCTCAACGTTCTACTTCCCGTAGCTTATGAGTATGAGCCACTTCGCCACACATTGCTTGCGGCATCTGCATGCCAATTGTATCATTTCAGTGGAGATCGCCAGTATGAGTTATATTCGCTACGCCATCGATCAAAGGCCATGAGCGGATTGAACAAGCATCTTACCAAGGAGCATATGGACTGGAAAAGCTTGGCGACCATGGTCATGTTCTGTTTCCGAGATATCACTGATGGGTGCGAACCGTCTTGGATCACCCATTTAAAGATGGGGCTCCGCATGTTGAAGAACCTACTTTGCACTACCCACATCGATAAAGACCTTCGCAAGTTTTGCGAGATTTACTTTGTTGCTCATGATGTCATGGGAAGAACAGCGTGGGGTGACGACGCGACCGATTCCGAGCATTATGATTGGGACCAAGACGAAACTTACCACGAGATCGATTCTATCATGGGTTGCTCGCGTGAGCTCATTTCCCTGATTAGTCGAATATCCTGCCTTGCTAGCTCGGCGCGGCAGCAGAACGATGCAGCCGATCATACGATAGCAGCAGCAGGGCACCTAATGGATCAGCTCGCTGGGCTTCATCAAACATTGCGAACGGGGGTCGGCCATGCTGAAACCATGCTAAGAATTGCCGAAGCGAAAAGGCTATCCGCAATGCTCTACTTGCATGACCGCGTCATGGCACCGCACACAGGCGCTACCACAGCACTTGCTCATGGTCTTCGCAACGCTATCATCGAGGCTATTCAACAACTACCAGCTAGCAGTGGGGCTGCCCTATGGCCACTGTTCATCCTTGGAAAGTCGAATACGAGTAGCCGTGACCAGGCGCAATTCGTGCTTGATCGCTTGCATCAGCTGGAGAAGTCGCGCTATCTAGGAAGCTTTTACCATGCTCGGAGGAGAGTTGAAAGGAATATTATGAGAAGGCTGACAGCGCATGGCGATGTGTTGCAACAGACGTGGGAAGATGAATCAGCCCTCAACGACAACGAGCGTTGGGTGAGCCTGGCATAACTTCGGGCTGGAAGCACTAAAAGTTTTATCGAACCTGTATATGAACAGGAAGGAGCCTGTCCAGTGGCTTGCTCAAAAGCCTTATCTTATTAGAACCTCAATCAATAGAGTTTGCATGTCATGGGGTCATGGCCTTCAATCTATGCTCTACCCAAGTTCTTATTTCCGCCATGCAAACGAGCTCAATTCATCCACTGCCTCAAAACCTCCTCATCCACGTCCCTAACCAGCACATGAATATGCTCCAAAGCCCTCACGCTCTGCAAAATTGTCGTGTTCTTGAACCACTGCACCTTCGTGCCCTCCACCTCCTCGCCAGCTTTGTCTCTGAATTCCCTTTTGACAAACCCCTCTACAATACCTCGTCCCTCCTCCGTCAGCGCTCCCGCCTCATCCACCGGCAACGGTTTCTTCGACCACACCACAATATGACTTATCCCCTCTGTCACTGCATACGTCCAGTCATTCTTGATGATTCTGTAGTCCGCAGGATCGGCGAAGGGCGTCTCGTTAACGAGCTCGAATTTGAACGAGCCAGTCGCGTTGAGTGGCTCCCAGAACAGGCGCTGTTGCAGGATGTACTGTGTCGCACTACCATATTTGGCCTTGATGTGGGCTGTCCACGCGAGGTACGCTTTGAGGAAGGAGGGCCAGCGCTTGAGCTCGTTGAGTTGGCCGGTGCTGATCAGGTGGTGGACGTCTTCCCAGGTGTGCGGTGTGAACTGGTCGTCGGTGATACTGAGTTGGTGCCAGTCGACGGCGGTGAGTGCGAAGGGAGGGTTATCGCGTGGGAAGGGGAGGGCTGTGGGGTCGGGGTTGGAGGTCCATTTCGATTGGAAAGTTAATGGTTGGGATTCGACGTCTACTGCGCGTTGGCCCATTCTCGAAAGATTACAAGAGGTTCTGGTGGTGGACTCCAGAGTAGTGTAGGTAGAAGAAACTGTGACAGTGAGGAAGGGAATAGCGACATGTGGGTGACGGCGAAGTTTTAATTGGAACACTGCAGCAGCCCAAATATCCCGGGTGCAGATGCAGTGCGGCTCATATGCATATACAGTGCCAGGTGGCTTGTCGCGCAAGTGGTATCCGATATATGAGCGAAGGAACAGACCGGTCTTCCACTTCAAGTCACAGCAATTGACTATGTGCCTGAAAGTAACCAGTCTAGAAGGTATCGCATAGCCCATTGGGACCTTAAAAGACGCCCAGATCTCACCATGACTCATGCCGCCATCCACAGCTGGTGGAACACAGCTGTAGGGTGTTTTGATGATCCGGAGGAAAGGTGGGATGGTGGGGCAATCTCCACTGAGCATAAGCGGACGGCTTGCCTCTTTCAGTCTAGCTAACATACCATAGTATACGGAATATCGTTGGCTTGGAGTGCTGGCTTGGACATTTTCATGGCATTCATATGTGGCGTTTTAAGCATGAGGGTTGTCGTTGGCAATTGCACTTGACTGCATTAGACACTCGATGGATGAACGCCCATTTCGATCATCAGTTCGGCTAGGAATTAATCGTGCAAGTTGGAATGCAGGTCGATGAGGCAGCATTTTCCTGGCTGAACAACGTCCGGTCTTACTAGGCCCGTTCAAATGTTCTTGGTATTTACCTATGAATACAATGCTGCTACCGGTATTCATTTATAGAAAAGTCAAAGGAAGTGGAACATTGTAAATACTTGCAGAGCGGACCGATTCCTGTGTTTGGAGACGGCACGTGATGTCGCGTCGTGCTTGGGAAGCCCTCCATGGTCGTTTGAACCATCTCAAAGCTTCAATCAGCGCCGAAGGAGCAGTTAATGTCGAGTCTTATTTCCGACGCGTTCTTATCACCGGTTCCAGGCCTCTCTATGTTCCCTGCACAAGGAGTATCTTCCGATACTATGCTAGACTTCCTACGTCATGATCTCGCGATGACGATTCGTGCGACGAAGCCCACCCTCCATGTTACTCAAACGCTCTGCTGCTCCGACATATAATATCAGACCACAATGCTCGCCTCTACCGCCCCTCGCTCTCTTCGGACACTCACTGCACGCCTTGCGCAAACGACCGCTCAATTGCAACCCCGAACCCATCTCAGAATGGCGCATAACGGCACAACCGCAAACCTCAACACAGGCGCGAAGATCCCTCTTATAGGCTTCGGCACATGGCAAGACAAGGAAGCGCAGGAGCCAGCTGTTACCATCGCTCTCAAGGCTGGGTATCGTCACATTGATACGGCTCGCATCTATGGCACAGAAGCGGCCGTCGGTAATGCTATCAAGAAGTCTGGTATTCCTCGGGAGGAGATATTCCTTACCACTAAATTATGGAACAACAAGCACGGTGAGTATCCTATACAGATCCAAGAGTGGTTGGCCAAACACCGGTGAATCGGATCACGCATTGTGTAGCCTGGGTTGACTTGCGCTGACTTCTGCATTCAGACCCGAAAGACGTTGAAGCCGCCCTCGATGCCTCGCTCAAAGACCTTCAATTAGACTATGTCGACCTGTATCTTATGCACTGGCCCAGTGCCTTCGCACCAAGCGACGAGATGTTCCCGAAGGACAGCAACGGCAAGACTAAGACGGCCAACATCGATTACGTCGACACATACAAGGCGATGGAGAAGCTCCTCAAGAGCGGCAAGACAAAGGCAATCGGTATCTCCAACTTTAGTAAGGCCGAGCTCGATCGTCTATTGAAAGAGACAAGTGTGGTTCCCGCGGCGCACCAGATGGAGATGCACCCGTGGCTGCAACAAAAGAGTTTCGCAGACTTCCACAAGCAGAAGAACATCCACATTACACATTACTCTCCCTTCGGCAACCAGAACGAGATCTATGACGCAGGCAAGGGCATGGGCAAGCTGATGGATGACCCAGTGCTGGTGGAGATCGGCAAGAAGCACGGAAAGAGTGGTGCCCAAGTCGCGTTAGCCTGGGGCATCGCGAAGGGCCATTCGGTCATCCCGAAATCCAAGACTGAAAGCAGGATCAAGCAGAACTTGGAGGGTGACTTCAAGCTGGACGCCGAGGATATCGAGAAGATCGCTGGTATCGACAAGAAGCTGCGCTTCAACGACTCGAGCAAGAGCTTCGGCTATGACTTCTTTACCGATCTAGATGGCAAGAAGCAGTAGGTAACTTCTGTGCCCTGGGTTCTAACTCCCATTGCGGTTTGACGCCAGGCGCCCGATCCGGTGCCGGCATAGTATGAGGGTGAGACGGTAACATTGGTTTCGGAGATCACGGTTTATCCTTGGTCTGTAACAAAGCGTCAATGGCTTGGTGTGGGAAAACGCCGGAAAGCTCGGTGGTAGTTGTTGAAGATGATACTCTAGTAACTACTTCCTAGCTCTTCGATGTTTCTTTACACCATAGGAGATGTAAGATATTCTTCATGTATATTTGGATTTAGTGCGTCTATATCCAACATTCGCAGCGAGTGGAAGAAACAATGCAAGCTTCATCTGTGGGAGTAATTTCAATCTCTTTCTATTGCTTCAGCAAATACAACTTGGAGGTCGAAGTCCATGTCGTCAGCCGGAATTATGCATGCCCTGCCCCAACGCAAGGTAGAACGTTGAGCTTACGATTACATACGCGCGTACACATGTACAAAAACATTCGAGCAGAACCGGCCGCAACCTCACTCAGTCCGCATCGTCCGGGCATTCTGTCTTCGCCCTCACCCATCCCGTCAGCCGATTCGCTATATCGCTAACATAGCACGCCGTCGCGCCCGCCTTCTCCGACAAATCGCCGCTATCCGGTATGTAACCACTGCTTAAACGTTAGTACTCCTCAATGACATACTTTTAGACTGTCATGATGACTCACCTATTATACCCCCTCATAGCCTTATACGGATTCCCATACGTATTGAGATTATCCACCAAGCCCCACCCCTTCTGCGTCCCCTGCGTGCCATCCTGCACCATCTGCAGAATAGAAAGCCGACTGTGCTTCGCATCGTACTGGTGGCCGTCGTGGCTCTGCATGAGGCCTGGGTTTCGCGTGCCCCCGGAAGACGTGGTGTGCGGCACCAGCGGGCACCCGTTCGTCTCTTGGAGGATGGTCGCGAGAATGATGCGGTGGTCTACAAGCGAGGCGTTGGCCCGGTCTTGGATCGCGTTGTAGATGTCCTGGATCATCTCGGGTGTGTTGTCGTCGCCTCTGTCCAGCCAGCCGCAGGAGTACTTGAAGGTATCCAGATTGGCAGTCCACATGTCTGTGAAGGTGACCCAGTGGGTTTGGTTTGGGAAGTTTGACGCGTCGCCGTGGTAGTAGGTGTATGCATCTGTGCCGGCGCCGATGCCGTCGTTTGTGTCGTTGACGCTTTTGCGCGTTGCGCCGCCTGTGGTGAAGGCAGCTGTGTTGTTGACTTGTGCGGTGGAGGGGACGTAGTTGAAGCTGCTCTTGCGGGAAAGTGTGGCTGCGACGGCGATGATGATGATCAGGATGATGACGGAGAAGGCGGTGAGGCCGAAGACTACGCATTTGCGTCGGCGGCTCCACATGCTGCAGCAGCCACATCGCCGGTTGTTGTAATCGTCCCCTTGTCTATCGTAGTAACCGGCCTCTGCCGCCCTGCCGTACTTGTAGAACTCAGCCTCATCGTATGTCGAATCATCTCGAGCGTGACTACGGCGCTTGTTCTCTCGTTCGTCTCCTCTACGACCCGATCGGTGCTTTCGAGGTGATCGTGAGGTACGTCTGTCGTATTCTTTCAAAGAACTAGTAGAGACGCTGTGGAGATCTGGGCTCTTCTCATAGTTGGAAGGCGCAGCTTGGTGCGAAGACTGCTTGTTGAGACCTTCTCCACGCGTATCGTAGTAGGAGGGTGGTCGATCACCGTATTTGTTGGCTTTCCGGCTTGAGCGCGCTGTGTCACCAGGCAACGGCAGATCCAGATCCGAATACTCTGTTTCAGGCGTCTTGAGCATGTAATCGCTATATTTGCTAGCTCTCCGGCTTGCGCGTGGTCTGTCACCAGGTGAGGGCAAATCCAGCTCCGATTGCTCCATGTCGGGCTTATTGAGAACGGCAGTGACGGGTCTCTGTGGTTCTTCAACAGGAGTCGCTTGCGCAACAGTTTGTGATATCGGACGACGTCGTTTCGGTCTCATCCAGTCGTCCGTCATGTCTTGGCCTGCGTCTCGAGCTCGCCTGCGCGCGATCTTGAAGCGCTTGTAACACCGATAACATAGTTCGAGGCCGTCGGGTCCCGGACAGAGCTCTTCATCTTTTGAGATTTCCGGACTGTCACATAAGTCGTTGCCACAGGTCGCGCCGTTGTGAGGGATGTAACGTTTCTTCGTTGGGGAGACAGTTCGTCTCTCGCTGCGCCTTCTTTCCCGAGCGTCGTGCGGGGATGTAGAAGCAACAGGCTCAGGCTTAGTTGGTCTCGTGGAGTTATACAACGAAGATAAGGATGGAGCATGGTATGTTGGAGGTCTGCGTTGGTCGTGTTGTGGGTAATCTGGCGATGGTCTATCCATTGTGACTTCTGAGGCGAACGGATGGCAGGCAAACGGCAAGTGTGTAGAGTCTCGAGGATTTTAGCGAGAACGCAGCCATTTTGTTTGACATCATCTCATTGTTACAAGGTATAAATCGCATGGCAGGAAATGAAACATGGGTGGTGTGTGTGGATGGATGCGGGTGGCTGGGGGTGGCAGGAACGGCTGGGGAACCGATCCTGATTGGCTGGAACATCAAAGTTGGCGCTCTGCTGATGAATTTCCGTGCGCACATTCACGGACTGCAAACTCAACAACGCAAGTGGATAGTCTATCTTTTCGAGTATACCCTGCCAAATTACAATTACATTGCGCCAAGGTCTTCGGTTCCTATTTTTTTTTCTCGGCTTTCTTGGGAGTCGACGATCCACTTTCTGCTCGTTTGAATCGCCAACGGAGTCCCCCAAGGCAGTGCGCTGTTATTGAGATGTTTTGTCTTCCTCTTGTCGGCCGATCAATACTATACTTGATTTTTTTGGATCGAAGCTATCATGAAAGCTTACTCACGTCACTCTTGGTTACAGAGGGCAATGCAGCAGAGAAGACCTAATACGAGCACATGCACACACAAAACACGCCCAGCTTCTCAGATATGAGAAAGCTGGAGCGGCCTGGTCTCCCCTAATACCTATCTACGAACATCTTACTTATCACGCCATGAGACCTTGTTCACATCATCAGCGCGCGAAGACCAATTATACTTAAGCGAAACTTTCGCGTGTGTAAACATTAAGACAAGCCTAGAAAGGCTTTCGAAGATGAGACATCTTCAGTATATACATCGTCAATCATTCACGCCCTGTCACACTAAACACCTCACGCAACTCCACTTAACACCCAGGATTCTTACCAGCACTGGCCGAAAGCCTTCTGGCAGCCCTTCCAGCAGTAGAGAAGGTTGTCACCGCAGTTGCCCATAACAGAGCAGCACTTAGAGCCCGGGCAGACCTTGTTTCCGTTGCGAGCGCCGCACTTGCCGTTAGTGCTTACGTTGCTCGCAGCAGAGGTCTTCGCCGGGGCCGAAGCGGAAGTAGAGGTAGCGCGGACAGAGGTGGCGATGGTGGTGGCGGGCGAGGAGGAAGAGGTGCACTTTCCGTAGAGCGGATTGCAAGCAGTGCCGCAGTAGTCCGCAGTGTTGCCGCACCAGCCGTAGGCAGAGCAGCACTCGCCATCAGACCAGCCGATGCAATTGAAGCCGGAAGTGCCACCGCAAGTACCGTCGGTGCTCTGCTTACCAGTAACACTTGAGGCGGAGGCGGCGGGAGCAGAGGCAGAGGATGCGACTACGGAAGTCGAAGAGACGACAGCAGCAGAGGACGAAACAGCATCGGCGACGGCGGAGGTGGAAGCGACAGCAGAGGAAACGGCGGAGCTGCCAGCACAGGTCCCGAACAAAGGGTTGCAGCCAGTGCCGCAGTGGGCATCGGAGGTACCACACCAGCCGGCGGGAGAGCAGCAGTTACCGAACTCAGTACCCTGGCAGCCTTTTCCGTTGGAGGGACCGCATTGACCGTCAGTAGACAGAGCAGTTGGAGTGCTCGAAGGGGCAGCGGAAGAGACGCTGGAGGCCACGGAGGATGCTACGCTGCTTGCCGCGGAAGAGACAACAGACGAAGCCGAAGAGCTGCCGCAGGTGCCAAAGACGCTCTGGCAGCCAGTGCCGCAGTGGTCAGTCGAAGTTCCGCACCAGCCAGCCTGGGAGCAGCAGTTGCCAAACTCAGAACCCTGGCACGTGGATCCAGTGTTGCCGCCGCATGTTCCATCAGTCGACACCTGAGTAGGGGTGGCAGTGGGGGCAGCGGAAGATGTAGCGGAAGATGTAGCGGTAGGGACTGAGGAAGACGAAGTTACGATCTTGCCGGAGGAAGAACGATACCAGTTCTCAGCTGGGTCGCCCAAGCACTCGCCAACGGTAACACCCTTGTAGCCCTTCTCCTGTATGATCTGGAGCATGTATTCAGTCAAGTTGTGGGCAGTCTGCTCGTGGATGTCGTGCTCAATGGAAAGGAACTTGTCCGTGGCGACGTTGTCGGTCTGAAAGTACTTGTTGAAGTTGTTCTTGGCGTTCTGGATCAAGTCGGGGCTGTCGTTGTCATAATCTATTCTACTATCAGCCATAAAGTTTGGTGAGCCTGATTCTAGTGCGAACGTACCATCAGTGTCGATGTCAAAGTAAGTGACAACGTAACCTAGATCCTGCATGTCCTTCCAGCAGCCAGAAGCTTCGTCGCAAGAAGAGTAGGGGGGACGCATGTAGGTAGGGAACTTCTGGATAATGTTACGGATAGCCATCTCGTTGTGCACCATCTGGTCGATTCGCTGTTCCTGGGTAATGGCGGAGAGATCCTGGTGAGACCAAGTGTGGCTGGCGACCTGGTGACCAGCAGCGTACATCTTGGAAATGACGGCAGGCCATTGAGTGGAAGCATCATCAATAGCTCCCTTTCCGTTGTTGATACCAGTGATGAAGAAAGTTGCCTTCATGTTGTACTTCTCGAAAATGCCGAGAACGTAGTCAGTGTAGATGTATGGGCCATCATCGTAGGTGATAGCCACGGTACCGGGCTCAGTGCAAGAGTAAATACCGCCGTTACCGTAGTCCACGTTTCCGAGCTTGGGACGGGCAATCGTACGGGTGTCGTCACCGTTAGGCACCTTGTTAGCATCACAGCCAGGACCGTAATTGATGAGACAGTCCGGAGCGTTGCAGTAGTCTGGAGTGTTACCACACCATCCCTGAGAAATGATCAGCACCGATGCTTCAAATATATTTGACGTAACCTACAGCAGGTGAGCAGCAGTATCCGGGGGCACAGCTAGCGCCTCCGGCGTCAGGACCGCACTGGCCATCAATGTTGGTATTATCCTGGCGCTTTGGGAAGCTTTTTGCCATCAAAGAACCAGAAGAAGCGCGTCGCGGTGCAACAGGACCAAAAGCCTCTCTCTTCACATCAGGGCCCATTCCCCATATCTTCGGCATGCCGCGCGCGCCATGAGCAGAGACGAAAGGGATCGCCAGTGACGAGACGACCAAAGCCTTGGAGAAACGCATGATTATCGTCGATATCGACTGTCGTTGTCCGCGAATATTAATTTAAAGGTATAGAGAGCGAGTGTGGTTCGACAATAGTCGATGAATCATAAACGAATGACTCTACAACAAAGTGCAGAAAGAAAAGAGCGAATGGCAAGCGCCCTGGCGAACAAAGACGGATGGAGAAAGTTGGTCATATACAGGCGGCTCCTATATCTTATACAGAGAGCGACAGGGCATCAGCGAGATAGGCGAGTGTGGAGCTGCAGCTAGCCTATGTGACGCCACACCCTATTATGGGGCTCCGGGTGTGTGCCGCTTGCGAGCAGACCATCGTTACGACTGCTAACGCTCGGTGCCTGACGAGCAAGGCAAGTCATGACTACGGTGCCGGTCGAGACCCACCTCAATGAGTATTCAATATTGGAAACATGAAACGGCGAGCGTATGCAATCCCAAGCTGCATGAATATATGTGACTGGTATGCGTGTAAAGAGTCGGATCACAATTGACCCTGAATGCTGGTGCTCCGAGGAGGCACGTTGGGGCAGAACATCGGGATCGATGACTGAAGCGGTGCGGTGTTGCACGAAAAGACGCGGAGAATATGCCAAGATCGACCTAAGATCTATTGAAAGTGAAGCTAGCCTGCGTTAGTCAGGGCAGTCGTATCATGGTGCGGATGGCTGCGCGACCGACTCAAATTGGTGCAACTTTTCGCACGCGGCGCACACGTTGTGCTGCCACCAGTGCTACAGTAGCGCGCGTGCATCCGGCGTGAATACGACAGAACATCTTTGCAGTTTCGTTGTTTGTCTATCATTGCAGAAGAAATGCTGAGCCCACAAACCTGGAACTGTCAATAGTGTCTTGTTTGGCACTCTTCCATTTTGGGAGAGCAGATAGAGCGTTTCGCATAGGAGACCCCTGACGCAGATCCGAAAACAAGAACCGAGCAGATCCTGGCTATTCCGGCAACCTCAGCGCTTTGCTCCGACGCTGCCTGCCGTGGCTTGTGTCCGTCGTGCCGTGTTACCCTTGCGCTCCGACTGAAGCGATAACGCGTTCACGTCTACCGAGCGAGCTAAACATAGAATTGGAACGGCACCAGAAGAAATTTGTGCGGTATAACATGGTTTAAACACACTAAACCGACTAGCTGCAGCTCAAAACATCGACCACGCGTACCATGTCGAGATCGGTGGAGCTCGAGATGCATTAGGTCGATCTAAAGTGAAATGATGGAGGGGAAGGTGGGGTATCATCTTGGATTAACTTCGTAACTTCATGAACAACAACCGACATCTCCAGCGTGTGGTTATCTCCGGCATGATCTATTTCTTGACGATGCGGAGAAGAGGAGCGATACGAGCACGCTTGCTGAGACCGACTCTATAGGGCGTCTTGCCTTTGCCGATCGATGGAGGTGCCTCGGTCGTTTGCTTGACCTTCTTTTCTATCGGTGGTGGTTCTGGTGTTGTGTGACCAACCTTTGAATTCAGGTTGGCATTATCGGCATCGCTGACTCGATGCCCGTCTATGATCGACTCGTCCGGCATATTTGCCCTATCCTCTAGTCGCGCATTTTCAGTATCGACTGTGTCATCCGGTTTGCTTCTCTTTTCTGGAGGTTCCTGTTCGATCGACTCTATCGTCTTCGTTTCCTTCCTGGGTCGTCCACGGCCTCGCTTTTTCCCTTTCTGAGGTTGCTTGGCTGCAACAGCTGGCTCATCAAGCTGGATATCCGGTCCATCGTGGACTTCCTGTTGCTTTGCGGTCTCTGCATAGACATCTTCAGGGACAGGCTGAGGCGCGAACGGCGCTGCTAATTGTTCGATATGTTTGGACGGAGTGGGGATTTTCTTCGTTCTTGGAATAACTACCTTCACTGTCGTTGGACTTTTGACGATTGAAGTTGTTGGTGCAAATTCCAGAACATCCTCAACGTTTGCAGCCGCACTTGCGTCAACTGCGGCAATTGGAGAATCTGGAGGTAGTCCTGTAGCCGTGCCTTGATGCAAATCGGTCGCCAAATCTTGTGTGCTTTCGTGTCGCTTCGACTTCTTTTCTATCGGAGTAAGGTTTAGCATGCCTTCAATCAACTTATACGTAACGGACTCTCTTACTGTCCTTAGTCTTCGAAGACTTTGGTGGCGGCAGCTCATCTTCAGCTGGAACACCATTAGCGATCAGCCAGTCTACGGTATGCGTGACATCACCGTTGTGCTGTCTAAGCGCTATGATCACTTGTCAGAAAAGCATCAAGTGAGATGGTCATCGGCGACTAACCTTTCTTCGTGGTTAACGGTGTGAATCCCATATCACAGATCTGTCGCACCTTTTCCGGCGTGGTGGCAGTGGATGTAGTCTCTACTTCTCCGTACGTTCGGGTTCGACGCGTTTTCTTTGCGACCCTCTCAGGCCTCTGCGAGTAGTTAATCGGCTCCTCCGTGCTAAGTTTCATAGATCTGGACCGACTAGGGCGGGCCTTATACTGCTCCAAAGGAACGCCGATGGTCATCAGATCGTCCTCGGATTCCGGTACCGAGCTCAGTTTTCCTTTCGTGTTGCTAGACGGTGATGTAGCAGTGTGGCGTATGCTATTTTGCAGGTCCACTTCAGGGGCCGTTGCTTCAATATTCGACATCCGCTCGACAACTGGAAAGCTAGTGAGGGCACGTGTTAGTGAACGTCCTCTTCGCTCCTTGAAAGAACATACATACTGCAATGGATCAGGCGATTCAGCCCTTGGCTCAGAGCAGAATGGATTTCCATTTGGTTGTGCTGTCGAGTAACATGCGTTGTTTGGAGAGAGGTGAGGCAATTGCTCGGCAGAAAGAAGGGGAACTTCAGGCGCTCTAGAGGACGACTTCAAGTATTCAGACCAGGGCACTGACGACTTTGCGGGTTCGTATTTGGGTGCAGCAGGGTCGGGCTCGGGCTCGACTTCCAGGAAGTCCGGTGCCAGGACTTCTGCTAGCAGTTGCTCTTGAGTGGCGGTGGCGTTGGGAATGGTACTGGACACCGTTTGAGCGAAGAGGCCCATGGGTTCATGATGCTCCCAATTATCCTGCATAGTCCCTTGAGATTCCCAAGGTCTCTCCGGTATGCCCCCCAGATGTATATTGTTGTGGAGTGCTTGTTCTGGGGAGCGTTCATCATAGGTGGTCGGCAGAATGTCACGTGCGGGGGATAGTGCGACTGCACCGTCCAATGAGGTCTTACTGGCATGTCCAGGCAACGAAATGGAAGATTGTAGCGCGTCTTGAAAATTGCTCGTAGCGGATGGATTTGCTGCTGAAACCGGACCGGACGGATTGCTCTGGCCTTGACGGTCAGACGATTCGTCTCGGAACTGTTCGCGATGAGCAGCCACGATGGCGCGCTTCAGAGACTCTGTAGTCGGTCAATGAGAACACTAGTACACCGTATATTATAGCCAAGTACCGGTTGAGCCAGTTCCTTTCTCACCTAGCATGGGGGAGGCGTTGCTGCTTATGTGGTTAGGTGGCTCGTCACCCGCCGGTGCGGCAACATGGGCAGCTTCGAGCTCGAGGTCGTCTTCATCTTCGGAATCCTGTATGATCCTCATGCCGATTCTGCATCGCAATGCGCGTTGTTGAGCACGACTGCCGGTGATGGACTGTGGTGTGTGACGCGCCTCGGGCTTAGCGTTAACGCGTCGAAGCGTGACCTCTCGTTGAGGCAAGTGCGCCCAGCGACTGTCACACTCCAATTGCGGTTTCTGCTATCGACCACCACTTGCGCACCACTTTGAGACTTCGCGATGGACAAATTCCTACCCAGCGCAAGCGATCGATCCCGCAGCGGAACGCCTGGGAACGGGCGATTCACGGCGCAGGCCGAAACTGCCGAGGACATGCTAAAATCGCAAACTGTCGGCCTAGTACACCTTGATGACTTTCGCAAAAGACGCGCCGAAGCACTCGAGCAGAAGGAGCGCGGTAGCTCAGGTGCGAATACGCCGCAAGACGGGTACGTTGTGTGGTAAGCAGACTACACTACAAGGCTAATTTGCAAAGTACAGGGCAGCAACGCCGATACCCTCATTCAAGAAGAAGCGCAAAGTAGCTGCAAAGGGCAAACTTTCATTCGGGATCGACGCAGATGAGGAAGCAGACTCGAGCACTTCCACAGTCCCCACGCCCCGTGGCGGCACGCCCGTTGCTACATCCGCTGTGAACTCGGAAAATGAGGGCAAGGTCTTGAAGAAAAAGAAGCTTGGGGCCAGCACTAGCATAGGCTTGAAACCACGGGTCATGACGAAGACGGCGTTGCAGCGCGAGGCACAGCAAGCAGATCTGGCGCGACAGGACTTCTTGGCCATGCGCGAGGCTGTCAAAGCAACCGAAGTGGTAATACCATATGTCTTCTACGACGGAACGAACATCCCAGGCGGTCGTTGCAGGGTGAAAAAGGGAGACCATATCTGGCTGTTTCTCGACAGGGCGCGAAAAGCTGGCGCTGAGCTTGGAGTTGGTGGCGATAAGAGCAGGCGAGACTGGGCCCGGATCAATGTTGACGACCTGATGCTTGTGAGGGGTGAGGTCATCATACCACCAGTATGTGCACACGGTTCGTTCTGCAAATCTGCGCGAGACTGACCTAATCTTAGCACTACGACTTATACTATTTCTTATTTAACAAAGCTGTGGGGTTCAACGGGCCAATCTTCGAGTATTCGGCGCAACCAACGAAAGCGACACCAGTGGCAGGCCCCGACCCCGATCCTGCTACTTTCAATCCCTTAGAACGACCCGGACAGAACAAGGATAAGACCCCTGCAATTCCAGACGAAGAATTGGAAGGCTACGGCGAGGATCCAGCTCTTACCAAGGTCGTGGATCGAAGGTGGTACGAGAGGAACAAGCACATCTTCCCCGCCAGTGTATGGGAGGAATACAAACCCGAAAAAAATCTGTCCAAGGTGCAACGGAAAGACACCGAGGGCAATGCGTTTTTCTTCTCGTAGATAGGGCAGGATTGTTGGAGTGCTCCAACGTTGCTCGCACTTGTCCTGATTGTATGAATAATGCTACTCAAACGTGGCTACATTGAGGAAGAATTATGAAGGATACGAAAATAGCACTTCACTAGCGTGCTTCGTGACATGTGAAGCGGTGTGAAGGTGCCTTGGAACAGATGCACCCGTGGTGGGGCTTGCAGGAAGGTAATGTGTCGCGTGAGCAGCTGCCAAATGTGGGCGCATCGTGAGATGCACGTCTAGCTGAGACCCTGCATCAAAAATGCGTCCAGTGACTGGGCGATTGGCACGAAGCCCACCAGGATTCTGTTAATGTGGTCCACACATTTCGACAAAGCGACGCGACACACTGTGGCTGCATGAACATACATCGGAACGCAGGCGAAGGGATGCCGACTCAAGTGACAAAACTATGTGGGTTAGGGCCTGCAGCTCTGACGCAACGGTTAGACGGTTGGACAATGAATCTGCCGAGGCGGTCTACAAAGAATTCATATACTCCGTTCTTGCCGTTCGGTCGCACACCGGTACACAAATTTCTTTTCCCATCAAAGTGCCGGCCCTGTCCTCTGGTATTTCGCAACCGCTGCCCCAGACACGTGCGCAACGGCTATCGCTACCTATCGTGCGCGGTGCCGCTTTGGTCATTGGTGCGCACCACCCACCACTTCACAGTCCACCCGCCGCAAGATCCATTCACCGCCATGCTTTCCTTAGAGACAGCTCGGTAGCGCCAAGCGTCACTGTGCTAGGAGAAGCTCACAAAGATGCAGCGTGTCTCATTCTTCCGCCGGCCAATGAGCTGTCGCGGATAGCCTCGTGTCCTGCATCCGCGTCGCGAATAGCTACCCACCGACTCACCAGAATGCAGGGACTCGGTACAAGTCGACCTTGATATCGCAATCAACTACGGCTCGCTTTGCCTTTCCTACGTCTTCACAACCTCAACTGTGAAGTAGCGACTCCCCTGGGCGCTGTAGCCCTGAGAAGCGGCACACTCCTACCGCAACTTGCTACACGATCGACCAAAGATGAAGTTTGGGCATAGCCTGTCCCGCAATCAAGTCCCTGAATGGGCCTCTTCTTACATCAACTACAAGCGGCTTAAGAAGCTCATCAAGACAGCCGTCGAATCCGTCAAGAGTGGCGAGGACCCTGATCTTGCAGGCAAGTCTTATCGATGTCATGTGAGACCCTGGAAGCTTACAAAGCCCACAGAATTCTTCTTCTCTCTGGACCGCAACCTGGAAGATGTGGATGGTTTCTATAACAAGAAATATGCTGAGTACGCCCGTCGCCTGAAGCTCCTCCATGGCCGTTATGGCCGCGCTGCCCAAGTGCCGGAGGGCATTGACAGGGACGAGAAGGAGGATCTAATGGGTGCGCTTCTTGAGGTTCGCAGTGCGCTACGCAATCTCCAGTGGTATGGCGAAGTCAACAGGAGAGGCTTCATCAAGATAACAAAGAAGCTGGACAAGAAGATCCCAGGGGTGACGACACAGCAACGATATCTACAGTCAAAAGTGTATCCAAAAGCGTTTGCGCACAATATCCCCTTGGGCCAAGACTTGAAGGCTATAAACGACTGGCTTTCCGGATTAGGCGAAGTGAAAACCTTCGATGATACCGGCTCTTCGCATTCAGCAGCTTCCCTGGGCAGGATCCCGGGAGCATCTCTGAACCTTCCCTCAATCCTGCTGGATGGTGTTGATCAGGCTATTCGGGCCGATGATGCGCAGAGCCTCTCGCGCATGGTATCAGACATCTCGACAAAGCATGACCTTGCCGCTATCGCTACTTCCGTTCAGCAGACTTTACTGAATTTCCTTCAACGTGCCATTTCGTGTCGCGCCAGGCTCTGCATAGTCGCTTTATTACCTCATCTTACTTCTCTGGAAGAAACCGACGATATCAACAAACGCAACTGCATCCATCGTCTTGTCATCGCCATAGGGCGTGCAAAAACTGGCGAAACTCAGGGCTCTGAGGGCCAAATTTTACCAGCGTCCTCTGAATCAAACTTCATTACCCCAGCTGCTGCTCCGAATCGGCTGCCTGTATTGGGGAGCACAATTGAGAACGAATCCAACGGGCTTTTGAGCGATACGCATGAGCCTGTACAGCTTCTCGATTATCTTCTCAGCCATCTTCAGCCGTCGCAGCGAAGCTCTTTACGATCGCGAGATACTTATGGTCGTCTCCCGCTTCACTACGCTGCTCAATATGGGTTTGTGGCAGTCCTACAGACTATTATCAAGCACATGCGAGCTTGGGATCAATTCGACGTCACCGCGGGCATCGATTCTCCAGCCTGGCAAGACACAGAAGGCTACGCTCCCATTCACCTTGCTGTTATTGGCGGCCATCCACTTGCCACCCAGACCTTATTGGAAGCTGGTGCTACCGCAAATTCTGCAACCACCGCAATACCCAATTCAGGCGCAATGCTGGCTGTAGCTACACAGTCAAACTTCGTAAGGATTGTCAAACTTCTAGTAGATGCGGGTGTGGATGTCAACTTCCAGAGTGAGCAAGGCGAAACTGCTCTACATGTTGCTGCGCGTTTTGGCCACGACGAAAGCGCCAAAGCCTTGCTTGCAGGTTCCGCGCTGCACAAGGCCGAAGTGGACATTCCCGAGAAAACCTTCGGATGGACACCACTTTTCATCGCTTGTGTCGATGGCCATGTCTCTATAGTGCGGCTTCTCGTTGAGCATGGCGCGAGTATCGACCGCGCAGACAGCGACGGATGGACGCCTTGTGAACATGCTGCTCTTCGTGGGCACATGGACATCATCGAGGAGTTGAAGCGGATCGCTCCTACTAAGATGGGAAATGCGCAAGTCCTAGCTCCTCCAACACAAGTGACTTCTCTTGAAGAACGCAGGTCGAAGAATCTGAGCAAGGAAAGCTCATATCAACAAAAGTCTATCGAATCGTTGAAATCTTTCGGTCACCGATATCTGACTGATCAAACCATGATCCTAGTCAGCCTAGGTTCAATGGACCCTCGCAAAGATGTCCCAGCGGTGAAGCTGGATGACATTCCAATTTCGGACGCGCACGCCACACAGCTGGACACAGCTCTTTCCGTTGTTGTATCGGCCTCGGGCGCAGAGGGAGAACCCACAGTTGCCGACCTTCCAGTCCAGGAAAATATTAGTACGGAGCCAATCACGTTCAAGACCAAGGACATCTCCAAGGTCAAGATTCTTTTCGATATTGTACCGACTTATGCCGGATCAAACGACCGCATCGTCGGGCGCGGGGTCGCTCTTCTGTCCACGTTCAAGACTATCCTTGGTTCGAAGCGAATTCCTTTGCAGGGAGATCTCAGCGTCCCTATTGTTGCAGCGAGTACTATGGACGTCATTGGATCCGTCAACTTCAATTTCATCGTCATCACGCCCTTCTCTCACCCGAATCTGTCTATCACGGAGCAGCACACATATTGGAAGACGGTAGAATCCACTATGGTTATTGGGCATAGAGGCCTTGGAAAGAACACCGATCATCGAGACTCTCTTCAACTTGGGGAAAACACCATCTCATCTTTCATCGCAGCGGCAAACCTTGGCGCGGAGTACGTCGAATTCGACGTCCAGTTGACGAAAGATCATGTCCCCGTGATATACCACGACTTCCTCGTGAGCGAGACTGGGATCGACGCCCCCGTTCACACCTTGACCTATGACCAATTCATGCATCTCGGAAGGCGTCAGGCCCCGCAAGAATCCAATCATCGCTCCCCAGAACGCAGCGACAAAGTCGACAACCCCACAGGCCGAGGAGCCACGCGACCACGTTCCTATTCCATGGATCACGGGCAACAGAAGAAGATGCATGCGTACCACGAAGCACAGCACGTCGAGCGAATAAAGCACACACGCGACTTCAAAGACAAGGGCTTCAAAGGCAACCTGAGGGGCCATTCTATCCAGGAGCCATTCACCACTCTAGAGGAGATGTTCGCGAAGCTACCCGAGAGCGCCGGCTTCAACATCGAAATGAAGTACCCCATGCTCTACGAATCCGAGGAGCAAGAGATGGATTCCTACGCCGTCGAGCTCAACTCGTTCGTCGACACGGTGCTACGCATGGTATATGACAAGATGGGCAACCGCAACATTCTCTTCTCCTCCTTCAACCCCGACATCTGCCTCATGCTGTCGTTCAAGCAGCCCTCCATACCAGTCCTTTTCCTCACCGATGCCGGCACCAGCCCCGTGGGCGATGTCCGCGCAGCGAGCTTACAGGAAGCTATTCGGTTCGCGAGTCGCTGGAATCTCCTCGGCATCGTAAGCGCGGCGGAGCCCCCTCGTCGCATGCCCACGTTTGATCCGGGTGGTCAAGGAGACAGGGCTTGTGTGCGTTAGCTACGGCACGAAGAACAACGAGCCGAAGAATGTGCAGGTAAGCTATTTCTTTCCAACCTGCGGGACTATCGTTAATAGTATTTTCAGATCCAGAAACAAGAAGGTATTGATGCCGTCATTGTCGACGCAGTCCTCAAGGTCCGAAAGGGTCTTACGGCTCCTGCTGAAGACGTCACGTCCGTCAATGGGTCTGCGACAAGCGGTAACCTGACGGCCTCGACGGATGCTTCGGTCGCTGCTGATAGTGGCGTGAGTACGGCGTCTTCGGATGGTGGGCGAGACGTGACGCAGGCTGTCGCTAACGTCACTATCTGAGCATATTAAAAAAAACGACCGCTATTGTGAGTTGGTTCTGGGTGGATGATCTGAGCGTTTTGCTTTTTCAACACTGCAAGACTTCCCGAGGCTCAAGGGCGTCTGTGCATGTATATCATTGCATAGAGCTATGGATGTAAAAACGGTTTTGCCAATCGTGTATTCCGGTTTCTCCTTAGAAGTCCTTCAGACATACATATACTCTTCTTCCTCCCAGTATCCCTCCTCCCAGTACCGTCTTCCCAGTACTGCCTTCCCCCCAGTACTGCCTTCCCCCCCCAGTACTGCCTTCTCCCAGTACCGGTTACTGCCGTCTCTGCTTCTGTACCCAAGCTCACAAGAACGGGCACGGCATCACCCAGCTTGGGGTAACTCGGCGTACCCAGACTTTGCTGCCATATTCGCATCCCATACGAAATCCGCCTGAAAAGGACACATACCGTATCGACAGCCTGTGGAAACTCAATGCACAATCCGGCACCTGACATCGCACCATTCCATCATTCATTTGGAATCGGCGTGGGCGTCACCGTCAACCGAAAAACTTTGCTGCCTGCAGGCCTACTGAAGTCATACCGAAATTTGGTCTGCGTGCGAGTGATAGCGGGTAACCCAGTTTTCACTGCAGTTTTGGAAGAGACAGTAACCCACACTGTCTCCTTGACGTGTGCTGTCGCTGTCGATGCTTGTACCTCTTCATAATCCGGTTGAGGCCGTAGAGGCCGTACCTTCTCGGGATACCAAATCGTCTCGGTGCCGTCAAGTACCCTGGACTCGACTTCGATCATCAGAATGTGACCGCCATCGTTGAAGAGGCTTACACCAGAGCCGGTGGGCTCTGACGTGTTGCCGGGATTGAGATGGCATTTCGCAGTTTCATAGACCCTTTCTCTACACGTCACGAAGTCCATTGCCATGGACTTATTCCGGTGGCCATTATTGTCTAGGTCCGCTGTCACGCGGACGCCGATGGCGTATTGTTTGTTAAATCTGGTGTTCCAATATGCGCTGGTGATCCAGTCAGTGTTGTTGAACAGCCGCTCGTGATAATTTAGGAGCGGTGGTATAGCCATTTCGTCCGGTCCAGTACCGAACTGTTGACGAAGTTGCTCGCATGTCTCGATTGCTGCCAATTTGACTACCGTCTCGTCCACGACGCCCAGAGGGTATATGGGCTCCACCCGAGGAAAACACCTCCCATTCGCTGACAGGTTCGTCAGATACCGTGCACGCTCATCGCCTGTCATGTGATAGGGATTGAAGGGGTTGTCCGCGTCCTCGTCGTTGTATGAGTGTGGAGGGCCCTTGAAGCTTTGCCGCGAATCTGTGATCAACTCTGCATGGTTGTACAATGAACAGACGATGTCGCTATCATCCTGGAGCCCGTAGTAACGTGACCCTTGGCGGTGTATGGTTTCAAAGTCGCATGGGCAGTCAATCTTCCATCCGTTGAAAGCACACTTGCACTTGAGGGGTTCTATTTGAAGTTGTGTTAGCGGGGTCTCCAAGATCGTTTGCTGAATAAATAGCCAAAGAACGATTAAAGAGGGTCTATTGCATGGCTTCGAAGAAGAAGATAAGGACAGCGGATTGATTGGTGGAGTAACGTACTTGGATCGTCGCTATTTTGCTGGTTCCGCTGGAATCTATGGTTGCTTGAGTTAGCAAAGTACTTGACAGTAGACACGGACCATCCTACTCTTTAACACATCTATGCTTGTTTCCTTCATCGGGCCCATCATATGCAGCCTCCGGAGTTGGATTCAAGTACACCATTGCGCCTTTGTAGCACTTGGACTCCTGATAATACTTGTCGAACCAGGGACGCTTTTGACCCCACCAGTGCACCCATACTTCGGGGCACATCGCGGGTACGACGTGACCACACAGCCTTGCAAGGCACGTTGCATACAAGGATTCCATAGCGCCTTTGATATAGTATTCTGCAGGCTTATCCAGATGTTCCCGTTCTTCATGGGGATCAGGACGGTGCAAAGGCCGAGGCATATCAGGATGGTATTTCGGATCCGGATCGCGAACACCATCGGCGGAAATCTTGATGATATCTGCCGCGAAGACACCTTTTATCAAGACGACGGCGGCAAGCACAGCTTTATAGATGGAGACCATCTTGCGTGCGGAAGTGGCCCGAAGGTCGTGTGTTGGTGAACTTCGGAATACCTAGCGTGAGGTAACTCAGCGCATGCAGAGTTTCGAGATAGTATTGAGTTGCAATGCCTGGAGCAGAGATTCTAGATGAATACCGAGTGGCAATGTCTGGAGCAGAGGGTCGAAATAAATACAGGGTGGCAACGCCTGAAGTGGAGTTCAGAGAAGGGGCAATATCGATAGTGTATCACATCAAGCGCGACACATGAAGACCATGGTTGAGTGTGGAGTCGAGGAGTGGTGCCCTTTCCTCGTATGTACCACAGGAAGGAGCCATCTTCACGACTGGAAAGTACCACCGAATCACCTCAGGATTATGCACAAGTGTTACCCATACGCGCTAGAAGGGGTTGAGAACAACGCGGGCGAGGACACACGATTTATTGCCCCTTGAGCTGCTCACAGTAGGGTGAACTACGATGTCTTCGTTACCGTCACTGTGACCAAGGCCGAAGTCACGCCATCTTGGAGTGCAGGATCTCAACATTTATTGTGGAGCCTGGAGACAAAATCGCCCCTACTCACATCATCAATAGCGTCGTTTATATCTTCCAAGGAAGAGACGGGTCAAGCTCAACTACGACCTTTGTAGCCATGGCCTAATGTGGTAAGCTCCACTCCTGCGTTCCATCCCGGCTCCATACCGCCCAACATCCCAGCCCGCCTCCCTGATAGTACACAGACTCAAAATTCGTCGATATGCGAAAGCCACGCCGCCAGATAGAGTCCTTACACTCGGCCCTCTGAGCCATGTGCCAAGCGGCTCCGCGGGACAGCCCTACCCTTCCATCAAACAAGCAGCCAATCATGAATTTCTCCGTCTCGAGAGGCGCCAATGCTCCGCAACCCGCCCTCCGCGCATCCGCCAGCGCAATCTTGGGGGCTTGTACACACCCAGCGTGGAGTTTTGACCGAGGATATGTCCTCTTGCTTGATCATCTCCTCCATGTTTCATGACCCTCAATTTGCTCCCGCAGTTGCCAAGGGCAGTGCCAAGGGCATGGCACGGAGTAAATTACACTATCAGGAGCAATATGAGATGCATCTGTAGGGTATAAGATGTCGCTCGAGATATCAGACTACGTCCAGCTTCAAGCCCAGCCTTCACTGTTTGCTGTTGCCGCTTCAATTGCCAACTTTGGTGTTTGGAAGGTCGATCATCATGCGCGTGTCAAGCATTCTCCTCGCCAGTGCCACGGCAGCTGCCGCTGCGCCTAATGCAACAAGCTTCTACTCAACATGGATGGCGGATTCGTTCCTGTCCAAGAAGCACCCAATCGACAACCACTATGTCTCCAATGTCATCAACGAGGGCATAAGGCAAGCAGCTCTTGCACACAACAATAAAACTCTGCTTTCCTGGGCATCGAATGCGATTTCGTCCGTTGTCGATGCTAATGGAACCATCAAGAACTGGGACCCGTACTATTACTCTTTGGACGATCAACGTCTTGGTGTCAACCTCCTCTACTTCTGGGACGCCGAAGGTCGCAAGGAGGAGAAGTACGAGACTGCAGCACACTCGTTGAAGGCTCAGCTCGACCGCTTTCCGCGAAATGCTGAAGGAGGCTTCTGGCATCGATCTCCCACGTATCCCAACCAGATGTGGCTCGATGGCATCTTCATGGCCGACCAATTCTACGCGCAGTACACTGCGTACTTCGAGCCGGACAATACCACGGCATGGAACGACATCGTCTTGCAATTCGACTTGATCGAGAAGCACACCAGGAATAAGACTTCCAACTTGCTGGCTCATGGATACGACTCAAGCAAGGTGGCGGTTTGGGCGGATCCCGTGACCGGCTCGGCACCACACGTGTGGGACCGTGCTGTGGGCTGGTACTTCATGGTGCTTGTCGAGGTTCTGCAGATCTATCCTAAGGAACTGCCCGGATACAACCGCCTTCTGGGCTACTTCACGAGCCTTGCGGTAGGCCTGAAGGCGGCACAGGACGAGAGCGGCGGTTGGTGGCTCGTCATGGATGAGCCGTACCCCGGTGCGAAGGGCAACTACATTGAGTCCAGTGGCACGGCCATGTTCACGTATGGTTTCTTGAAGGGTGTTCGCACCGGGTTGTTGGACAAGCAATACAAGGACCCGGCGGTTAAGGCGTACGATCTTATGCTAGAGAAATTCATCAAGTATGAGAAGAATGGTACGCTAAGCTGGGAGGGAACAGTGACGGTTGGAAGTCTGAACTCGAATGGAAGCTACGAGTATTATATTGGTGTGCCGCTGGCGGAGAATGACGGCAAGGGTGCTGGGACGTTCATGATGGCCGCGGCGGAGTACGATCTGTTGTAGTCATATCGCATCAATCGAATGTACATACAACTCCAACAAGATATTTGGCGTCTACTACCTACAGCCAACGCAATGAGCACCGGCCATTACGTCCAAAATCGCCAGCTGGCTGTGCCCCGTAGGCGCTTCAAATGGCCCATCCCACCACGGTCCATACTGACCCCTTCCGTTCGTATTCCTTTCTTGTAAAGCCTTGAACTGCGTCTCTACAAACCGATCGATCTCCTGTCTGACGTCGCGAAAACGGCCGAAGTCATAATCTCGCGTGAGCGTTTGCCGCAACTCGCAAAGCGCTCTGATCAACACGCTTTTGAACGCGACGCTGTCATTGTTCTGCCATGGATCATGTGAGCCTCTGCCATACGCTCCTTTTTCTGTGAGAATGCCTGTACTCGGTTCAACCCATTGCTCCCGGCGCATCGACGCTTGTGCGAGGTCACACGCTCTCGAAATTTTAGATTCAGCATAAGCCTCTTTGTGGTAACTCGGAATCGCCAAATATGATGTTGCCAGGGCGACCATGGAGGAAATGGTGACAGCAGTGGTATAGGTAAACGTCCAATTGTTACGTTTCCCTGACCGTAACATGACTCCGTCAAGCACCACCTTGTCTCTCTCGCGATAGCATTCACGCAGGATCCAGCCAAGGCCTGCCTCCGCTGCGGCAATGTACCGATGTGCAGTCTTCTGCTGCTCAGAACCAGACGGAAGGGCAGTGCCAGAATAGAAAAGCACCGCGAGTCTCGCAGACAAAGCTGCAAACAGCCCGGTCGTGATACTATTCACCTGCTCTTCGTCACGCCTGCTGGTCCACATGACCGCACCGCCCATATCGGGTTTCTCCATTCCGGGTAAGAGGAATCTAGCAGGCGGTAGCTGGTATCGCGAGACATGATTCCATATAGCGTGCAGGTTCTCGTTGACCCATCGCTGGCGGGGCGTGCCGATCACGAAAGGGTGGATTGCCAATAGACAATGTGCCCACCAGAGGGTATCGTCGTTGAACTCGTTGATGAAGTGCGGGACGCGTGACGCAATCTTGTCCATGGCTGGTAGGATCCTGTTGAAGAGAACTCGCTGGCCGGCATACGTTTCATGAAGGACGATAGCATGGTAGGCGTTGGCCGTTTGCCAATAGCCTATTCCGCCCATTTCGCCGTTCTCCTGTTGAGAATAGAGGAAGACATCAATAGCGGTTTCCGTGATTTTATGTGGACCGTGTGGAGAGCGTGTTGGGAGCGGTGCTGGCTTGGTAGCATGGGGGACCGGAGGAGGTACGTTGGGAACTGGCTGGGTTGGATGTTTTAATTCATGCTCAACATCCTCACGCAGGGACCCAAAGCACATGTTGGCACAAGCCGTTGTCCTCGCTCTCGTGAAACTTGGTCAAATGAGGTATTTAGTGTTGATGAGATGGCCGGAGCCAGATGAACAGTCTGTAGGAAACTCAGTTTCAGGTGAATCAATCCCAACCGGAACCCCGCGGTTTCGTGCCTTTGATGGTGCCACGTGCTAAGGAGTCCGAACGTGTCTGATGCATGGCAACATGTTGAGAGTGATGCGCTTTTTGGGTATGACATAATTTGTGACACGCTAGATTCTGAGATGTTCGATAGGTGTACAACATGTTGACGACGGTTCAAAGATGCCGCTACCGAGGCTGGGGCTAGGGACCTCCCTCTACTCGCTTCAGCATGTTGCAACCCTATCAACCGTTCTACTCCGACCCTCCATCCTCATCTCAATGATGTTCCTCACAGGCATGGCTGCGGAGTATTGATGTGGCAATCGGCACATTCGACGCGGCGATATACTATTTTTATAGCCAGGATCACGCGCCGGTCTCCCCGTCAACCGTGCCACAAAATGTGGGCTGGCAAACAAGACGGCCGCACGTCACGGCCACCATTTGGCTGAAGCGCGGCTGAAAGTGGTGAAACGGTCGGCCCTGCGTCATTCGACTTTATTTGCCCTTGCTTGCCTTGACCGTGCTTGCTCCTGCTTACTCTTGACATACGACTTACACTCGCTCTCACACTCACTTCTAGGAAAGCCAGGAATCACACGGTCAACGGACCACAACACAACCGAACAAGGTGCGCTCCTTCACCAGACTTTCCAAGCTGCACAAGCACTAACGCTACAATAGACCTCATATCACAATGTCCTCCACAGCCGCCTCCGCCGTTTCGTCCGCCGTCTCCTCCGCCGCCAGCCCATCCAGTACCGCCTGCACTACAACCTCCTTCAGCGAATTCCCCACCAAAGACGCCGCTTGCGCCGTCGGCGGCCCATCCGGCGTCAATTCCACCTACTCCGACATCCTCAAGGGCTGCTGCAAAGACGCGCCCGTCGAATCATGGGGTAATGACTGCGCCCTCTGGTGTCTGGCCTCGGGGCAAAGCATCGCGGATCTGCAGAAGTGCTGGCAGGATGGCGGCGTGAACGCGGGCTCTATCTTCTGCAACTCGAACAGTACTGCGACGGCGACGGGTAAGGTGAGCGGCAGCAGCGGCAGTGGGGCGAGCCAGACGAGTGGTGGTGCATCGAGCGGAACGAACAGCCGGGGTGCGGCGCCGGTGGCTATGCCGCAGGGCGTGAGCAAGGCAGGACTGGGGATGCTAGCTATGGTTCTAGGATCGGCTGTGTTTGGAGCCCTGTTGTAGGGTGAGGACGATGTTGCTGCGGCATTGGAGTATTGGGCGGGTTAATGGGATACATCACCATGCTCTTTTGGGCACCTTGAAGCGTTATGGTACGGTCATGCATGGAATTAGGTAGTAGGAAAAGCATAATGGTTCTTCCAGACTTTCTCTATCATCTCTCGCTCTTGCCATCGATTCATACTAGGCTACACGCCAGCAAAATCGTGCTTCAGTGGTGACGATCAGCATCAGTCGTCCGTAAAGCCCTGGCCACACGATGGGTTCTCCATGTTCGTCCGTATATGAAGCCTGTGAGAATCGTTTCTGTACGAGCCTCCTCCCCAAAACCCATAAGAGACTCTTGCATGCGCTTTGTACCCCAGGCTCAATCATCGATGCACGTATCGTTTCTCCAGTCCAGCCACAAGCCACAAGCACATTATACATGAAGGAGATGGCTTTGGTCTTTTTGGTTCCATCGTCCTGCCCCAGAAACCGACATATATACCACGACCGGGCGCTTTTGTAGAAACGACGGCGACATGAACCTCTTGGTCCAGTCCTTAGAGTGCAAGTGGGTGCGTTACGCCATCCCACAACGCTGCCATAGCAAAGCTGGTCTGGTATTTCAAGTACAAGAACCGCGGCCTCCAGACGCGCCTCATGGCTCCTGCCTTGGCGGGTCTGAGTCTTTCTCGCAAACCACAAAGCATAGTTATCAAGGTCGTTATCTTCGACTGACCTCCAGAGCCACCATAGCTTGAGTGGTTGATTGTTTTAAGTCTCTAAGCAGAGCACGAGGAGGCTGCCCATGCGACGTTCTTTCTCAATCTTTTTAGAGTGCAAGTGCATGAGGGGATTGTGAAGAGAAGAACCGCTTGCGCGAGACAACCGTAATTTATGGCTTTCGAGGTTGCTTTCGTTTGCACTGGCGGGGGGATGTCATGCTGACGCAACCTTCCAGAAAGGACATGTAGCATGGCCCGGGCTTTTTGAGTGCTCCCGAATCTCTCCATACTTGTTTTTATTCGGCGTTTCTATGCCTCAAAATCATGTCAAGGTAACACATCCGGACATGTGGGCATTGGATATTGGTTTCTCATCTCTGCCCTCAGCTTCTTCATGCTTACAATGATGACTGTTTTCGAGATGGCTGTATTCGCACGCAGAAACACTCCATATTAAACATTCTTGCAGCTTTAGATTTCCAGCCGCACACAGCGCAGACATTAGGCCTATAGTTGCTGTTTTTTGCTTTCTCCTTCTCTTCGTAGAAAGAAGATATACTCACAGTCAACCTGTTGGTGTCGATTGCCTCGCTATTCCCATCTATGGGCACCCACAAGGTTTTGGTATCGAGAGTGCATGGAAATCGGCACAACAAGAGCCCATGATGGCAGGCAGAGTTAACTTTTCGAAGAGTATAACAATGTGCAAAATTGGTGGTAAGCGCAGCTCCGAGACATTTAGACATGAGAAAAATATTTTGCGTGCCAAAATGGTGCACAGCGGGTAGTACTTTAGGCGAGAGCACTTCTCCGACCACATTCATCTGCAGCGTAGAGTCTTTCAAAGTCCACGAGGCGGAACGATTCCAGACTATTCAGTCCCCGGGTCTTTGTGATGCCATGTACCTATCGTGTGCATCATTGGTAAGCTGAAAAGCCTGGCCCGTCCTCCGTATACTTCCAGCATGAGTCTTCTTTGGTGCTCTATTCAGACGTGGAGAGTGAAGTGCAAAATTTGGTTCAAGAGGCTCACATAGGTGTTGGATGAATTGCTTTTGCGAGCCACAGCGCTTCTCCAATCTCATAAATCGCTACTCGCGATTTTTTGGTTCCGGAAAGAGAACAGAACCGAATTTCATTCGTGTTCAGGAACTTTGGCGTCGCCATGAAGCGCCATGCGGAGTTATTTCGATGTGCCAACGACGTCCTTCCTCCACACATGCCTAGGCTTTCCCCTTTGCTTTAGTCCCCAATCTGGTATGCGTGAAGAACGATGGCTAAGGCGAAGCAAGAGAAGCTTATGTACCCAGGGTCCGTCTGAAGATCCAGCAAAACAGAGCAAGTAGGCCTTCGTTTTGCGTTTTTGACCCCGCGCCAGACTCTCCATTTGGTGGAAATTCGACATTTTTCGTCTTCCCAATGTCGCTTCACGGAGGGGTGCTCGAGTAGTTTGTTGTCCACCTTAATAGATACGATTGCCTTCCTTCGCATGGCCATGTTCCTGTCGATCTTCGATGTTTCCAGCAGAGCGAAGACAAGATTTGAACTGTATCTCTTGCTGGCAACAGGACTCCCGGGCAGGACATGCACGGTCGAAACTATCCCTTTGGTATACACCAGGTGCCGAAACGACTTCCACATAGTGGTAGTAGTAGATCTGCTTGGTCTACTGTTGATAAGAAGGTGTGTAAGGAAGACTTGGACCAGGCGTCAAGAGGAGGTTTATATACCTTCGACAAGCGGCAGGCTGTACCATGGAACCCTCCTGTGGATACCTCGGAACGAGGCCCGGCGCGTCTCCACATACCGGTGGAATTGTTCAATTTTGATGTTTCTTTCGCCCTCACGTAGCGAAAACACATACGATTTTCTTGTTCGACTTTTTTTCACCGTGTCCATTTCGCCAAGTTCGGAGATTTGCTCGCTCGAGCATCCATTGCTGCTTTCCCTTGTTTTGAAGCTGACCAGCCGCGCCACCGAAAATCATAGCTCCGCTACATTGCTGTTCAACTATTGGCTTTGAATCATCCTCCTGCCTGGTTGCCACAGCACATGGTAGATTTTCCTGGTGCTTTCGATGAAACCACCTTAGAAACAATAAGGATCGCGGCGAACAGGTTCGTGAGCGTTGAAAAGTTCTGCGTTATGCTGCTCCTTTGCACCGGGCCTTGGCTCCTTCATCTACCTCATATTGAGAAGTAGACATGTATCACTAAAGCGCAGCGGACTCGTCTCCATGCAACAGATGGTGTAGGTCTTTCGATTCTTGAGTACTACATCGGACAGCTGACAGAGTAGCCACTGGCACACTTCGAACACGACCACCAAGCGAGGACATTTGTTGAACGGTCCTTCTTTTTGGATGGTGAACATGTCCGGCGGTCTCGCGCTGTTCCGAGGACGCGCACTCATCCCATCGATGAGCATGGCCAAGCTTTTAGAGCCTCATTTTGGAGATGTGGTGTAAGGAGAGGCCATAGGAAGCGGGCAGAGGGACTCATATTAGGAAGGTAATCTCAGCGCACGAAGAGCCAGAGAACATTCAGTGCTGATTCCTAACGCAGCTGTGCACGTGCACCTCTGAGATCGATATAGTGTCCCTTCCAGCTCTTTGGGTGCCAAACATTCGTCAATCAGCTGGTCTTTTGATAGACAGACACGCCACCCATACCCTGGAGCTTCATCGTTTTTGGTGCCTCCACTGATCTCAGAATGTGAACATGAGTCGAATATTATAAGGATGGGAGAGCGTTCAACGACCGATGACGCGGGAGGAACCCAAGAAAACATATTTCCTGATCCTAAGCCTTTCTCTTAGAGACGCCGCGCACCTGGGGCAGACACGTATTCTGCAAGATGTTGTCTTTTGGCCCCCAGAATTTCTGCCATATCAGGTTATCTTGCAAGAGTCGAATGTCGCCCATAGAACAAGATTGTCGATGTTTTAATGCCTGAATTAGGAACCAAGCTGTCAGTTACAAGAGTGGAAGCATTAAGGCCAGAACATGCAATGTATCTGTGACCTTTTTTTCCTGTGCAAGAGGAGCATGAACGCAACGACCCACCGATTTCAGTGACTTTGGAACACGAAGGGTTCCAGATCCGACATATCGAGGCTCTGTTTTCCGTTTATTGCCAAACAGGTCTTCTCAATATCGTTTTTCGGCGGATCCCAACGCCGCCCATGATTTTCTGCGGTTGCCAATGTTACAGGAAACTGCACGTATTTCCAGGCAGCATCTGCTTGCGCGAAAAAAGGTGCAGGCGCAGCATCGCCTCAAATTGTGTTGCATTTTGATGTGCAATTGGAATTGGGGTTTGAAATTTTCATGCCTCGATGCGAAGACAAAGTGAGGCATGACCACAAGGGCCAACAACAAACACACGAATGACCTTGTACCCAGTGAAAGTCTGCAACAGCCGGAAACCACATGTTCTTCTTGGAGCACGTTTTGAGAACGGCTTCCACCAGGTGCAGACATATGCTAGCATGTCAGGCTTTTTAGTGCCATCATGTCTGTTACTTTGAATGTTTTGGCAGTTGCAAGGTCACCCATATGAGGAAAGTCTCTGTCCCTTTGGACTCAATGCCTTCCCCAAGGACAAAATGTGGAGAGTGGTTGTGAAGAGTGAAAGAACGAACGCTTATGAATTGAGTATTTGTTACGTTGATCGACAAAGAGCAAGGGAGCACATAAGCTCGCTCGCAAATGTCTTCCTCAGAAGTCGGCCCTGCCACGCAAACATAGTATGGGCTCCTTGAGACCTAGAGATCCAACATACGACCATCTTGGGCATCTTTCGAAGGAAGCACAAGCTGCACATAGGTCATAGCGAGTATACTTTTAGTGCCCAGCTCTGAAGAAGAGGAAGAAGTGTACAGATCAGCTCGCTAGCGAAGATAGGAGGGCTTATATATTGGTGTTTGTGTCAATTCGTAAGGGGTGGCAACCACGAAAGTCAAGCGCATTCACGTCCTGTACCGGGAGCCAACATCTCCAGGCTGGTTGTGTGCTTTCAATTCACAATATTTCCAATCGATGTACGCTCTCGATCACGCAAATCGGCAACACCTCGCGAGCTTGGAAAGAGATGAGCCAGTACAGCACGCGCCTCCACATGGCAAGTGCCGACATCAGTTTTAGATATCCACTGATGTTAAATGTTTCTGGATAGCCCCCCAGGCAGGAAATATGAGTTTCTCTGAATTGTGATTTTTCACCAGCCAAATCTTCCGAGGAGGTCGCTTTCTCTGGAACGCACATCAGGTCAACGTCTCCCTTCTTTGAAGTCCCACGATGACGTTGTCAGGGTTCCGCACTCTTTCACATGGAAGTCGACTGTAGATTTTCTGATGTCTCACCCGGCACCTCCCAGAGCACACATATGAGCGCGGAGGCGAATGTTTGAACCAACTCCAGGCCAAGAACCAAAGCCTGGTTTTGGTCCCGCCATCGGTTCGTGGGTTGCAATTTATTGACAAGCACACAACGCGACACACCATAGCACCGTGCAGACGGAGTACACTTGAATACTATGCCATGTGCAACACGTTCCCCACATCTGCTCGAACGGTCTCTGTTTTTGTTCCTTCTCCCCTCGACTCTCAACTCCCAGAGCACGCATAGCTGCAGCATTTGGATGCTTTTTGGAAGCAACACCAGGGCAGTCATGTACCCAATTAGTGGATTGTTTTGGTTCCGTCATGTCGACTGCTATTCTGTGGTTTAGAGAAGCACACAACAGGACACCCATAGCTGTCATCGATCTTCTTTTCGAGACCAGTCAAGCACGCATGCCAACGCCAACACAATTCTCCCCATAATTTTCTTTTGCCTTGTCTTTGATGCCTTTCTTGCTGCACCCAGGCCGCATATGGGACAATGCCGCGTTCGTTTGAACGAGCACGCACCACGCGCAGACATGATTGTTGCAACAGGGCTGCTTTAGTCCTCCCATGCGTCGCGCTTTGTAAAGGTTCTGGAAAATACCAGGCACCCGGGCAGGGCCGTCCATCGAAACGAGGCACATTGGATTCGTAACCGGAGCGTACTCGCCAGGAAGGATAGAATCTTCTGGGTTTCCTTTTGAAGGGTTTACACCAGGCGTAGACATCGAACCGTGGGACAATCGTTTCGGTCGTGCCATCCATTGTCTCTGGGGACCTTTTTAGAGGTTGTTAGGCTCTTCCCAGCGTCACCCATCGAACGCGGTTCTTGTTATTTTGTTCAGCTATGAGAGTGCAAGTGTGAAGTGTGCTACCCGCAACGGCACACATGTGAGCTCACCCCGTGGAATTTGCAAGCCTCCGAGACAGAACACCGCCAAGACATCATGTTCGCAGTTGACCCCTTGTAACCCACACATGTCCAGGACAGATGACCGTTTTTGATAGAGACAAGAAATCCGGCCAGCCATGTACGATGGAATTGAGGGATTATGATCGATCCTAGCTGAGCAAACAAATAGGAAGCTTTCCAAAGTGGGAAGAACGCATATTGCTACTTTCTGCGCCTTTCTGGACACGGACTCCGCCAGACGCAGACATCGCCTCGTTTCGATTACGATTCTGGTCCAGCCATGGGGTTATTTTGTGTGCCTTTGAAACTGTACAAAGAAGCCAGGGCAGCGCCGCCCATGGCTTGACCATCTCTGGATTTTGGTCGGTTCACGTCGAGGGCATTCTGAAGGAGCATCGTGTCGCCAGTGGCGCACATTCGGGATTTATATAGCCTTGAAGATCGGGCCCGACCGCGCAAACATGTATATTGCGCCATGTTGTCTTACTCCAGCCATGTGTCACACCGGTATCATTTTGGACATACACACGCACCCGACCAGCGCCGCTCATTGCATGGCTAGTCGATCTTTTTAGTCGATCCGCATAACAGGCAGGCTATGGCAGTTTAACACTCCCCCAAACGCACATTTCTTAGGAGTGGTCGTCATTTTGATCCGGGACACCGCCAGGCACAGACATATATCCCTTCGTCGATGTTTTTGGTCCAGCCATCGCGCGGACGTCGGCGACATTTGTCATCGCGCGCAAGAAGTCCAGCCAGCGCCGCCCATGACTTGAAGAAGGTCATTTTTGGTCGCCCAGACCAAACGGCAGTGTGTAAGGTTGTAGGTGACACGGAGCAAGCACATCGAGTCTGTGTCGGGGTCGTTCGAAACACAACCTCCACGCAGACCAGACATGTGGTGTTTTTGAAGAAGTTTTTGGTCCAGCCATGGGTTTTGTTGGATAAGGTTTTAGAATGACACAAGACGCTCGGCCAGCGCCGCCCATCACTATCATTGTCATCTGTTTTTTTTTTGTACGACCCGTGTCGAAGGCAGGTGAAGTCGAACTCGCCAGAAGACACATGATGTGCTTGCGCGTACCATTTTGAATAGGGCCTCCTCCGAGCGCAGACATCACATGTTGCTGTGATCCGTTCTGGCCAACTCATGAAGCGAATTCGATATCTTTTGGAGTACCCGGCCGGCCCACCCATGAGCCGTAACAGAAATTGTTTTAGCCAACTCGCGCGGAAGGCAAGTTACTGTGAAGGAAAAACGTAGGAGGCGTGGAAATGCGAGTTTATATACCACGACTCCATCCCAACATCTCATACTTGCAGCATCTCATACTTGCAGCATCTCATACTTGCAGCATCTCATCACCACATGATGGTGATGATAGGTATCATCAGCGCAACTAAGAACACTCAACATCATCACGCAACAAACCCGCCATGAAACGGAATGCTTATTATCTATCCCGAGCTTCCAATCCTGGGGCCCTCCTGTCCCCAACCCACTCTCTACCTTTTATAACCCCCTTCCCCTCATCACAACAAGTCCGACATTCACCCAAACCCGTCTAACCAAACGCACACCACCGCGAAGTCAAGCCTAGAAAGATAAAATTACAACGCCTTACTTCAAGAGCGCGAAGAGTGAACGAGCGAGCGAGCGAACGAAAGACAGACAGGCATTCTAGGCACCATGCACCATGCATATCGTGCGTCAACAAGAAGAATGGCAAAGCTGGCTCAACGCTTGGACAGGAAAACCCAGGGTATCGGAGGGAGAAACATCCTTATGCGAAATCGGCCGAGTAGGAGAAGCCTCGGAATTCTTCTTGCATGGCTTGCGAGAGAACTGCATTTCAAATTAGCATACGTTACAAGAATATGCACAGCGAAAGTAGGCTTACCAGACTGCACCGGCGTAAGCACGGGCGTCACACTGGTGAACTCAGTGTCGAAGTTGCTTGTGTCCGTAGCGCTGGTGATCTGCGGAATGAAAGGAGCGGGAATCCTTTTGTGGTATACGTCGTCCCAGTTGATGTTCCTGAAGAAGGCGTGGCTCATAATCTCTTGGGCGTCGGTCGGTCCGGATCCCAATCGCAGTTCAGGTTCTCTGGTGAGGAGCTTCTGGAGGATTGACACTGAGTCCCTAGGCATGTGAATCGGGTACAGAGGCTCGTCTGCGAGGATAGCATCGTAAATTTCATCTTCATCTTCACCACGGAACGGCGATTGTTGAAGTAGCATCTGGTAGATGAGGACACCGAACGCCCACCAGTCCACAGCGCGACCGTATTTCTTGTCTAGCAAGATCTATCATGTCGTCAGCAGGAGTTATGCGGAAGAGATTAGATTACTTACTTCCGGGGCCATGAATTCAGGTGTACCACAGAAAGTGCTGGTCGTTGATCCATACCACATTTCTTCCTTGCACAAACCGTAATCTGCAATCTTGATATGGCCATCAAGAGTGAGCAAGATGTTGTCCAGCTTCAAATCTCGGTAGATGACACCGTTCTCGTGGAAATACTTCAGAGCAAGGCACACTTCGGCCGCATAAAATTGAGCTCGCTTGGTGCCGAACTGTCCCCTCTGAATGTGCAACATCAAATCACCACCACTAATGTACTCCATAACGAAGTAGACTCGCGTCTCCGTCTGGAAGCAGGCGTGCAAGCTGAGAAGGAATGGATGTCGCTCCTTATTTGCAATCAGGAACACTCGCTTTTCGGACCTCGTACTCTCCACTTCATCGTTCTCAATGATGAACTCCTTCTTTAGAACCTTGATAGCGTATAGCTGCTTCGTGCTCTTCGTCTCAGCTAACATGACTTTTCCGAAGTTACCCTTTCCGAGCACAGCGAGGAAATTGAAATGATCGAGACCAATTCTCCTTCCAGTACCCTGAGTGTTTGCTGGCGGGGTAACCTTGTCGCTTGGAGCTTTCGTCATTGCAGAAACCGGTTGTGCTTGTTGGGAGGGTGGTTGCTGTTGCCTGGGATCACTCTGGTGTGGAGGCGGCTGCGGCTGCTGTTGCGGAGACTGCGGGCCAGGCTGAGGGAGTGCATATGACTGCTTCTGCTGCGCATACTGAGCTTGCACGGGCTGTTGTGGCGCAGTGGGGTACTGTGGAGTGTTTGCATAGTTTGCATAGTCCTGCGGATTGTATCCTACCTGTGGCGGGCCCTGCTGTTGAGGTACCCGTTGGTCTTGAGGATAGCCACCACCGGACGTGCGTTGCCCTTGGAGTGGGTAATCGGACTGTGTGCGCCCATATGCCGGAGTGGCGCTCTTGCCCATCGCTGCTGCGGCGGCAGCAACAGGTGCGGTTTGCTGAGACTGTGAACGAGGCCCTGATGAAGGGCGCTGTGAAGTTGGCGACGTGGGGGTAGGTGTAGAACCTGAGCCGTAAGAAGATCGCGCTGCTTCAACAGATGTGGCTGATGGCGCGTACGACTGCTGTCCTGGTGGATGCTGTGGCCGGGATTGCGATTCTTTACCGTACGAGTATCGGTCTGGTTGAGCCGGCTGTTCCTGGCCTGGTGGAGGCTGGAATTGGGATTGGGCGCTCGGCCCTGGAGTTGGGCGCTGTGGGTTCTTACGGAGAGTTTTATCACTCAGTCCACCGGTGGTTGCGGATTGTGTTCTTTTTGTCCTCTTGATTTCCTTTAGAATCTCGTTCGCCTTTCGCATAGACATACCACAGAAGTCGGGGACGAAGTGGACACAGCCAACGTGACAAGTCAAACCACACTCTGTGTCCATGTTAGAGATAGAGACAACAGAACGCGTGTTTTGAGATTTTGCTTACCTCCGCACTTTTGAGCCTGCTTGCGACCCAGCGGCAAGATATACCCGCAATGACAGCACCAGTTCGCGCCCATATTGGAAAAGTTTGTGAAGCGATGCGGGATGCGATGGTTCAACTTCGCCTCGTCTGGATCTGTCTCTGCGTTTGACTGCGTGATACACTTCGTCACCACGTCTGGGTAACACTTTTTGTGGCAAGTATACTTGCAGTCCGAACACTGCATGCCGGCAGCGTATTTGAGGAATTCGCCACAAAGCGCACAACGCATGATGTTGTAGAACTGCTGTTGCACGAACTTGTGACCGTACTGCTCGATGATCTCTTCTTTTCGTTGACGAATGGCACCCTTTCGTCCAAGTCCAGCATCGAATGGATTCTTGTTTCTCGCGTGTTTCACTAAACATTGTCAGCATAGGGAAAGCCCCATCAAAAGAGCAAATCATACTGAAGGACATCGTTAAATGTATGCGTCCGACAGGTTCCAGAGAAAACCAATCATCGATGAAGATCTGGCTCATCTGCGGTTGCGGTGCGCCAGGAGCACCTGCCCCAGGAGGCGGCATGCCAGCTCCTCCAGGGCCACTAGCACTCGCAAAGTTCTGGCCAGGAGGAGGTTGGAATTGCAGATCAGGTTGTGGCCCTGAGTTGCCTCCCATTTTGTCGGCTGACACCCATCCCGAGTTCTGCAGCTCCGATTCGACCTTCTTACGGCGCATTTCTTCAGCGATGTCCGATATCCGTACCCAAAGCAAGCCAATGGGCAATGGGTGATCAGTGGTCTTATCATAGACTGTGACCTCGATCTCGTTGGCCTTATCGATATCGAACTCGTGCAACTCGTCCAACCAACGATCGTTCCTGGACGGTTTCGTGCGACCCTTGATGCTGTCTTCAACTTTGATATTGACGAAAGTTTCGGGACCGCGGCTAAAACGACCGGTCGCCGCATGGTCGACATCGGCTACTGCGTGTATACGTAGGGACAAGTGCCCGCTCAGGGGTTTCCGCTGGCTTGGTACGCTCAGACTATCATCTGCAAATCGTTAGTCACTGCAAAATCCAATCTAGCGGAGGACTAGGTACCGTCTCGGTCATCGGCAGTCTCAAAGTCGACATGAAGGTCCTGGTAGCGCTTCAAGGACTGTTTGAGAAGCTGGATCTTCTGGTTACTCTCGATGCGCTTGGCTTCTGCGTCTGCCTTGCTCTTGCGATCGCCCTCCATCTGGTATAGTCGCACCATCTTCTCAATACCATCTTTGTACTGTTTTTCAACACTCAACTTGAATTCAAGCTGCGACAACATGAGCTGGATGCGGGGACCAAGATGCGGGGTATCGTATTTGATCAAGTCTAAAAGACGCGTTAGAGAAGGATCAATACCGATTCTACAGACCAAGACGTACCGAGCTTGCTGTAGTTGGGGCGCTGGGGGCGTGAGCCAGGTCCTTGAGGGGCGTATGGCGCTCGCGGTGGCATGAGTCCCTGCCCACCGCTGAGGTTGCTGTAGCCCCCAGCTGGATCTCCATAACCGCCCTGGTCTGGCCCAACGTATCCATTCCAGTCTTTGGGAGGCGGGGTGACGGGGTTCTGGCCTTTCTTGGAGGTACCCGGCTGCAGACTCATGTTGTCCATGCCGGTCTGTGTCCGCTGCATCTCTATGTCCCGCAGTTTCGACTCAAAATACTCGATGTTGCGGCGGCCATCGCGTATCTGGCCGTCGAGACGCGACAACACGGCCGGATTGTTAGTCGACTGGCGCATGACATTCGCGGCGTTGATGAGGGCCTTCTCCTTGTCGATCTTCTTCTGCACCTCGCGGAGGGTCTCGTCGGTGGGAGCCATGGCGGCGGTGGTGACCCGAGGAGGGCGTTTCTTGTTTGTGGCGGTGGTGGTAGCCTGGGTGTCGCAGGCTTCGCGGAGCGGCGTAGGTGCCCAACGGGCCGTGGGTAGTTAAGCCCACCTGCGAATGCAAAGAAAGAATAGGCAGAGGGCTGCAAGGGCCGCGGGAGCGAGTAGCAATGACGGTAGCGTCAGCGGATAGGCAGACCGGCAGACGAGCGGTCGTGTTGTGGAAAGACGCTGCACACTTGGTGTGCGCCCCGCAGTCCAACGGCAGGCCTGGGATTGCGGAAGGTGCGTTCGAGGCACGCGAGTCTCACGTGAAAGGCGCAAGAGCTCGTCGTGCGGGCTCGGCGAGAAGGAGGGTGGGCGTGATTATGACGAAGGGGATGATGAGAGCAGTGGGATTGTCGCGGGGTGGGCACTAGGCGGGGCGCACAACAAGCATGCTCTGACCGGCTGTGGCGCATGCAGAACTGCGTATGCGTAGTCTGTGGGCCAAACACCGAGATTGCCTGCCTCAGGCCCTCTACGACGCCTCTGCGGCCGCTCCGGCTGCTCTTACTGCGTTGACAGCTACTGGCCCCACAAAGTGTGGCTGTGGTACCACTGTTGGGCAACACGCGTTGCATGACAGCTTTCCGGACCGACAGTCGACTAAACACGCTACGCCTACAGTGTACCAGCCAAAACATGCGACGAGAGCAAGATGGTTAGTCCCGAAAGAGTCTGAAAACTATGTCAACGCAGAAGTGATTTGGAAAGGGTGGCCGTGAAACAGGCTTCGAGAGTCAGATTTGGCATCACAGCGGAACCTGAATGGTAGAGTCGATTTCAACCTTTTGGGAGCCGAGTCATCGGCCGATGCTACTACAATAGGGACCATGATGCGCATACATGCCCAGTGCTCGACTTCGACATGTCGCCATACTCTGGTATAACAACATACATTGCCTTCACGGCACGTAGGGTATCAATGCGCAAGTCGGCAGTCGTATCGTGCTCCGAGTCTACCCAGGAAGCACCACACAGAGTACACTGTCAACCGTATCATGTATCGAGATCAGACAAGAGCTTGTTTGTTGATACTTCGAAGTCCATACCCAGGTCACACAAATTCATTCACGCTCACTTGATCCATCTCTATGTATGAAGCCTTCTACTTAAGGCTATATCAGCTGCTATACCTTATTACTAGTAGTAGCTTTCTATCTATGGTCAAGATCCAAGGCGCGGGCACAAAATCAGCGCGAGACGGAAGAGTAGGGACTGGTGCCTTGTGCATGTCTCAGCCAGGCAAGGAGGATGTCCCCACTTCTTTAAGACATACACTGACTCTGTACCTTCGGGTTTGGCAGAAGCTTCTGATAGGATTTATCAACAGCTCACATTCGGACGTCAACCCGAACTTCGGTACCGACACTCAAGAACCAGCCCCCATCTCTGGTCAACGTCCCTAACCGAACCACATCCACTTACTCCTTCGCCCCCGCCGGAAAATGTCCCTGCTCAATCTCCTCCATCCTCCCTACCTTCGCGCTCAGTTCCACCTCCACCGCCTCCCTCAAGCTCTCCTCAAAACCTTCTACCTTCGGGCTCCAGCCCAGCACCTTCCTCGCTCTGCTCGCCCTGCTCCTCGAATTCTTACCCGCCGCCCACCCAAAGAATGGATGAATCTCCCCCGCCTCCTTCTCACTTAGTACATCAACCTCTGCTGTGCTCAGAGCTCCCGCTTCGTGCATGAAATTCGCAACGGTCTTGGTGAGGGCACCCCACTCCAGCTCACCGCTCTCGGCGAAGTAGTACGCCTCGGGGCCCCAGTCGGCCTTCCCACCGCCGGCGGCAGCAGCTTCGGTAAGGCGGAAATACACGTCTGAGAGGTCGTGCACGTGCACGAAATTCCAGGTAGCCTCGCCTTTCTCAATCTGGAACGCTTTGCCGCGCTTTTTACTCAGCTCGATGAGCATGGGGACCTGTATGGTGCGAGTGTTTCCCGGGCCACGACCGACTCCAATGATAGCTGGAGGGCAGACAATCGCAGTTCTGACGTTGTGGTACTTGTTGCTGGCTTCGAGGACAAGTTTGTCGACAGGCCTGTGGATGACGGCGTCTGGGAACGAAGTGATGGTGCTGATGTCCGCCATGTCATCGTACACTTTGGTACCCTTGTTGCCGGCATTACCGCTTACGATGTCGTCGTAGAGCAAGTTGGCGGCGCCGCTGGTATGAATGAGGAAGCGAGTTCTGGTGTCAGAGCCGAGTCCTTCTAGAATGGCACGCACAGCTGGGGCATCGTCGGAGCTGGCGAAATGCAAGACTATGTCGGCGGCGGCGGATTCGTTCTTGAGAAGTTCAAGGCTGTTGAGGTCGCCTTCGACAACGCGGATGGACGAGTAGTCTTTGGTGGCAGAACCGAGGCGGCTCCGGTCCCTGACCAGGAATGAGTATTGCCAGTCGGGATGGGCTTGGAGAATGGTGTGGAGGGCATCACCACCGACGTAGCCGGTGACACCTGTAGCGAAGACTTTGATAGTCATAATAGTGGTGCTCCTTTGTCAACTGTTTTAGTAGTTGCTAGTCGAAGAAGATGGGTCGTATATATGGTCATTCGTAGACAGCTTTCAGAGCAGTTATAAGTCTAGGCGGTCATATACAGGGCACTGCATCATACTCTTTTGGGGGAAAGGGCATCAGACCATCGCTTAGCAATACACTGCTTAGCAATACACTTTATTCGGCGTCAACAATGCCATATGGCGGAAGCTACATCTTCCGTTAATGGTATACACGCTCAATCGTCAAAGGGTATGCTGCGGACGAACTCCGGGTGAGGGCTACGCAATGAGTACTAGCAGTGTTGTCTGGACAGCCCAATAGACGAGACTCGTGCGAGAGCATCTCAATCAGCTAAGTTGGAATGCATGACCACCAACCCTGACATAATTCCGGGCTCTTCACTCCTCTGTGTCACCGTAGATGTGGTTTGTGGAGGTCGACTGTGCTGTTTCAAACCTTGCGAGGCTGTACAACATGTGCAGTCGATCTTTGTCGTGCTTGGTGACACGCGGAGTACATTTGCTCGTGAGTCCACACTTCTCGTTTACACTGAGGACACGTGTGGCTAGATTCCGGCCAGCTTGTCTACCGTACGGCGGCTACGTGCGTTGTTGTACTGCATCCTCGCGGGGCCAGGCGCAACTAGTGCGTGAGAATCTCAATAGCAGAGTGCCCTCCATGTCGAGAGCACTGGCCAAGAGTGCAAGATAAGTGCGATGACGAGTCGCCTCGCCAAAGTTGACAGAACCGTGCTCAAGGTCTGTGCAGTAGTACATTGTGTTACCCTGGGATAGGCAATACGACGGCCAATTGTGCTACCTTCCGATCGCGTGCCGTAGAACACGATGTAGATTTCGACGGCGGAGAAATCTTTAGATTAGCAGCGGAGAATCGGTGCATTCCTACGATCTCGACGTGCCTTCCTCGGAAGGGATAGACGGAGACAACGATCTTCATGGACGAATCGTACCTTTCGGGAACAGACAAGTACTAAAGCTGCAAAGAGATCAGTCGCGCTGCTTCGAAGGGTTTCCCGAAGCTGAGACATTTGTTAACAATCTCGTGAGAAACGATCAGGACAGTCCAAACTTCCTTTTGGTGATGTGTTATTTCGAGTGTCTCGAGATTGCGTGATTAGCATCTTTCGACAGTGCAGGGCAGCTGAAAAGCGATATGACGCGGGCCGATCCAAGAAATGGCAGTGACACAGCACCGATTTGAAGCGGCACCATTATTATCGTGGGGCTGAATGTCAGTCAGCAACAGGACGAAAGCAAGGAGATCGGCGCTGGGTAAAAGCAAAGATGATGAGCAGGTCTGCATGAAGAGGATTGGTGGATGCGTGCAGTAACTCGATCGCGATGCAGCCCTATGCTTACCCGTACAACGTTCCATGACAGCACGGGCCCGTCCATTGGCACGTTGGGTATGCGAAATGCTGTGCAGCAAGCAAGCGATTCTCGATTCGCCGAGGCATACGGATGACGACAGGAACCGATGGGAGTGAATTGGTCTCTGGGATGCTGCCCTCGAAGATGCATGGCGGGGCTCTGACGGTATGCTGTTTTCGGATGAGGCTACACGGGGCGGCCAAGGCAGTCGGAGGGCTGAGCAGCTTCACCGTTCGGATAGGACTGCAACGCGCCACGACGGTGAGCAATTGAACAGGCGAGATTTGCGCGCCGACGAACCATGCGTGCCGGGACAAAGTCTTTGATGTAGCGAATGGTGGCCTACCGTTGGGGGTTGTTGGCCTTGCCGCGACGGATAATTGCCGAAGAAGTGAGCTGTACCCAACCCAAAGCGGCACGTCTTCGCTCGACTTGCATGGGCGCGACGCCCCCCTTCGAGTACACGTTGGATACATCTGCAGGCCGACGGATGGGTGCACGGCGTAGCAGCCGCGAGAGTATCGAGCCGTCAACAGAAAGTGTCTCTCGTGCAGCGCTTCCAAGGTTCGGACACGCCCACAGGCACGCGATGGCCGAAGCGACGGTCGGGCCGTCTAGGAGCCAGGCTAAAAGCCAGTAGCGGCCGGGTATCTCGGAGAGGCGACGGCAGTGTGTAGAGGCAGAATGGAACCAGACGGCGGGCGACAGCAAACGGTGAGGGCGGGCTAGACGCGGCTGAGAGCTGGTGGGCATGCGCAGTTACAGCGGCAGGCGATGATATGTACTTCCCAGGCCCATGCGCACAGCAGCGAGCCGGCGGCGGGACACAGTCGAGGTCATATGCAAGCAGCAAGCCGCCTGGGGTAGCGCCAGCGCACAGGCGCACGGCTCGCACAAGGTCCAAGGGGCCGCTCTTCCGGCCGCTCGGTCGCTCAGCGGGCCTGTTTGGTATTTGAGTGCCTACTCCCGAAAGCCTCGAGGCACGCCGAACATCTGCGACTGCAACAGCGCAACCAAACGGCGCTGCCACACTCACCAATCCCCCCCTGGCCGCGCGCGACGAGATCCCGTGACGCGCCGAGAGCTGCACCTGGCCGCCTGCCCCTTGCCGTGCGCCGTTGTGCTCGCGCTGGACCCCGGACCGAGTCACCCTGGGATTGGCCATACTCACACCTGCTGTCCCTCAGCTCATGACGGCCGTCGACGCCGCAGGGGCGCCATTGCGCAGTGCACCATCTCCACCACGGCAGCCTGCAGCAGATCCACCTCTCCCCTTCCCCAACCATGCAGGCGGCGACCTCGCCATCAACAGTCCAAGCATCACCTTCGTCGACGCCACATCCCGCGGCTTTTCCGGGCAGTGCCAACCACGTGAGAACCTCTGCCTCTGATACACCCAAACCGCGCGCGCGTCTGGCTTGCCACAACTGTCGTCGGAGCAAAGTGAGATGCGGTCCCAACACCGGCGAGATCGTCAGACCTTGTCCTCAATGTGCCAAAAGCAACAAAACTTGCACATGGCCAGACGACCTCAACTTCCCCAGCAATGGCGTCAAGAAGATCGAACCTGCTGTTTCTGAGGCTTCTCCGGATCATCGACTATCCGACTCTAGGAAGCGCAGGAAACCACCCAGCACTTCTTTCGAAAGGCCGTCCACGGCAGATGGCGACATCGATAACCTGTATCTACAGTTCACCGAGACCATCTGGGACGAGTTGTACAACATCTTCAGACAGCACTACGCAACCGAACTCCCCTTTCTGCATGAACCCACCTTTCTGAAGGACCTCAAGCGAACCGACGTGCAGAGGCTGCCTGCTTATTTTGCTCCTTTACGCCTTGCATTTCTTGCTCTCACCTTACCTTTCCATCCGGGTATTGAACGCCAAATGCCATTAGACTCTCGCCGGTATGCTCGAAAATGCGCCGAGGCGGCCGAGGCTAAAATTAACTTTTGCGCATTGTCTTCGCCGTCGATAGAGGTTCCGCAGGCTCTCCTGATGTAAGTCACATCATGGCAGATAGGACGCGCAAATGCTGACAGTGCGACAAAGGCTCAGTCTTCGCGCACTCATCGATGCGCACGGAGCGAAAAGCTTCATCCTCCTCGGGAGTGCGATCAAGACGATGCAGCTTCTTCGCTGCCAATTCGATGAGGAACTCGTAGACAAAGATCTCGACGACAAGATGCGATCGACCTCCAAGCAAGAGCCACGTGAAGATTGGCTTAATGAGCGACGCTTCATCTTAGAAGAGACTAGGCGTCGTACTTTCTGGAGCTGTTTCATCATTGACCGATATGTCAGTTACGGCGATTACAAACCACGTAGCATCCTGATGGGGGACCCTTCCATCTTGGTTCAATTACCTTGCAGCGAAGACCGGTTTGATCTTGGACTCAAGACCAAGACCAGGATGCTACGAGAATCGGACGAAGATTTCTTGAGCCGACGTCAAAAGTATTCTCAGCATCTCGAGGAGTACCAACACAGTCTTGAGAAACATAACCAAGGCTATCCGATCGACGCGAACGTCGAGTGGGAAGACGAAGATGCTCAGAGCCCACTTGTATGGCTCATCAAAGCATTGGATGTTTTTGGTGACGTTATGAGATATACATGCACTATCACCCGAAGGTGTGTTCATCAAATTTGGAATGCCGTCTGTGAATACTAATGTGTGTAGAGCTGACAAAGAAAACCCTTGGGATGAGTCGTCTGTCAATGATTTGAGCTTCTACAAGCTTGACAAGAAGTTGGACCAACTGATTAGTAAACTTCCGGTTAGTCTTAAGCTGACCCCTTCGGTGAGGGATGTCCACATTCACCGCCGGCGAGCCACCCCATACGTCCTCCTACACTTGACTTTGCTCATGTGCAAGATGGCACTGCACCGGGAATGGCTCCCATCCATCACGTTTCCCAAGGCATTTCCTACGGGCCCTGTCGACGGTCCCCGGTGGGAAGAGCTCAAGGAAGATTCTGAACGCTGGGCTCCAAACTTCTGGAAGGACAGTGCAAGGACCTTTTTCAGGGCGGTGAGAGACGGTTTTGACCTCTTGAAGACCTCTAAAGAGCGCGGGGCCTTGGTCGAAACGCCCTTGACTGTCCATGTTTGTTACACCGTTGCTTGGTCAAGTACGTCATGATGGTCCATTGATTGCTCACATCAAGACACTAATACTGCTTTTAGTCATGTGGTTAGCGTTTTTCCCCAACTTCGACCAAGACGGCCTTCTATGCCAAGGAACAGATCGTCCAGACGAGCTGGTTTTTGACAATTTCGAGCATGCCTTTGCCATTTTGCGTCATCTGCAAGAACGGATGAACATGGCACGTGCCCAAGGCGTAAGGCTGAGGAACGCATTCAGACACCACCTGGATACCCGGTCCGGATACACAGGAGATGCAGACTCACCCACGGAGGTGAAGATCTCCCATGGTCTCAAAAAGTACCTGGAATTGGAGAAGGATCACAAAGAGTTTGGCGGTGAAGTTACCGGAACAGACCCTCCAATTGAAGAACTCCCGGATCTTCGGGCGCTTCTCCGCGTATTGAATCAGGACGAGAATCCGACAGGCAGCGATCATAATAACGCTATGAAGAGCGAAGTAAAGAGCGAGCACAGTAACATCATTGAACGAGCACCGGCCTTGCGCTCTGCGCCTACAGACCCTCCCACTTGGGCATCGGTCAACAGGGAACCTTCGGTTTCAACCCACATGTCTCCTCCTCAACAGCACTACCAGCATGGACAACAACACCAATACCCGTCGGCCAACCAGCCGTCATCCTTCGGAGCCACCTCTGACATTCAACAACACTACGCAACAGTTGCTGCGCACAACTATCAGACGATTAGTAAAGAACGAGTCACTTCGAACACAATGGACCACCACTCCAACTATCCTGGACAATTTCCCCCCGCGAACGGCGTCTATGCGTCACCCATGAACGGAATGCTCGTCTCTGTTTATCCAAATGTAGATTGGGGCGAGCATGCGACTATGAGCGATCTGGGCCGCCAAGATGGTCAGACTTTCTCGGGCGACTTCTTTGGCCAATCCCAACCGCAGGACTACACTTATTATGCCCAACAGCAACACTCGACGCACCCGCATTACGGTGGGGCCTAGAGCTCGTAGCAACCTTGTCTTTACAGGGTTGCCATAAAATGAAGAGCTTCCCTACATGTCCTGCGACGCTAGGACAGATATCTGGGGAAGTTCCATGACTCTACTTAGCCCGATGTGTGCTTCATCTAATTGGACCGTCGTCACTCCTACACCTATGCGATGCTCGATCCATTTGTATTACTACCTACTCCCCGTTGCTGGTGGGCTCGATCCTCCTTCATCACGCGACTGCGATAGAACGGTCGCTTAACCCGTCCCATCTGGACATAACTTGGTTACGACGGCTTTGTGGAGGATATCTGGGCTAATCTCATTACTATGCTTTCACGGAAGGTCGTCTCACTTTCAAAGCTCCCCCTCTTCCTTGGAAGAGAGGGGTTGCGCGTGCGCGAGCAAGTTCGGTCTTTTGCGGTTGACGATGTGCAACGGCCTTTTTTTTCCTGTTTATGAATGACGTCTACCATGCACATGGAGGTACTTTGAACATATTGGTCAAACGATAGGCATCAAATATTACTGCCCGCTCACAAACTGAGCGCTCGTCGTTAGTGGCGAGGAACAGATTCAAAATGTCCCCTTATGCGTACATGCACCTTCCCTCTTGGTGGATATTGATATTGAATGTTGAAAGGTCATAGCCGCGTAAACACGCACGCGCAGGGCGGTCGAATGAGACATGTAGGTGATGGTTGCTTGGAGGCGTCCGGGGTAGAGTGAGACATGGGGCAGTCCCTCATTTCCGAGTCGCGTGCATGGCTTGGTCCTCGCACGCGCAACGCCCCTGCCGTCGTCCAGGCCTGACACGGATTAGCCGATACGCGCAGATCTCACTGCCGACGCCCGCCTTGCCTTACTCGACACGCCGTTGACGCATCGTCATGCTTCAACACCACACCCATCTCGCCAGCGCCCAGAGCTAGACCTGCACACCGCTTCATGCTTGACTCCGGTGACCTCGGCAGACACCAAGCATCACGCAGCCGGCGCGTCTCCCCTGCGCGGTTTTTGATGTTAATTTAACAGTCCAAGCCAGCGATCACAAGTACCGCAAGCGCGGCAAGGATGTCAGGCGTTGGTTCTTGGACGACAGCGCTTGAGCGATAAGATTTCCCGGTCCCCATCCCAGGCCATCTCCCTATAGCACACGCGCAGTATCCGGTGCTTTCATCTCTAGCACCGTGATATGCCCCGCGTTAAGTGGATATGCCCTGGGCGGTAACGCAGGAGAGGCCGTGGCGCCGTCTCCGAATCCCCATAAATTTAGTCCACGCGCGTTGGGCGGACGCTGCACCTTCCCAAAGACGATGGGAGCCGCTGTGATCTCGTGCTTGGCGGTTGCGGCTATCTTGCCGTTGAAGGACCCTGAGCATGGAGCAAGAGGTCGCGAGACGCTGCCACGAGGATAGGAGTAAGGCGTCATGGAGGCACTAATTTGGCAGGGACATGGTACTGGATCGAGTCGGGGCATCGTAGCGGTTACGTGGAGAGTGATAGCTAGGGGTATATTTATTGGAGCATAGACCCAGGTGTTGAGAGGTACGCGGTCTTCAAACGGCTTCAAGACTTCTAGGCTTCGCAACCATGAAGCATATTCTTAAAGGCGTGAGCGCGGTTGCGCTGGCTTGTTTGACTGCTGTAGCCCATGGCAGGGCTGTTGGGTATAGATCACCAACAGAATTCATCAAACCCTACAAGAGACAGGCATTGCAAGACGTTGTATGTGTGAGCTGATGGTGGGAGATCAATCAACACTAATTGCTTGTAGGTCACTTGGGACAAGGACACTATCTTCATCAACGGCGAGAGGCTCTTCCTCTACAGCGGAGAAGTCCATCCTTTCAGGTATCCATTCACCCGCGAAACCTACAGTGAACACTCAGCTGACTGATCTGACTTCAGACTTCCGGTCCCAGATCTACACCTCGACGTGTTCCAGAAGATCAAGGCTATAGGCTACAACGGCGTCTCCTTTTATATCGATTGGGCATTACTTGAGGGCAAGCCTGGTGAGTACCGCGAAGAAGGCGTCTTCGACCTCAAGCCCTTCTTCGATGCTGCTAGCGAGGCTGGCATCTATCTTATTGCGCGTCCTGGACCTTACATCAACGCGGAAGTCTCAGGCGGTGGCTACCCAGGATGGATTCAGCGGGTCAAGGGTACGCTGCGTACACGCGCGGAGGATTACCTCAATGCAACTGACAAGTAAGGCTATGCTCACCGAGGAATCATTCACGTGCTGATAGCTATTTAGCTACATGGCCAACGTCGGCAAGACCCTTGCTGCAGCTCAGATCACCAATGGCGGCCCACTCGTCCTTGTCCAACCTGAGAACGAGTACACATCCTCGACAGTGGAACCTTTTCCGGATGGATATTACATGCAATATGTCGAGGATCAGCTCCGTAATGCCGGCATTGTGGTACCACTCATCAGCAATGATGCTAGCAATTCAGGCCATAACGTACCTGGCTCTGGCGAAGGGGCCGTCGACATCTACGGCCACGATGGTTACCCTGTTGGCTTCGATTGCTCCAATCCTGAAGTTTGGGGCGATCAACAACTCGTCACCAACTATTATGACGTGCATATGCAGCAAAGCCCCAACACGCCCTACTCGATCATGGAATTCCAAGGTGGCTCATACGATCCGTGGGGTGGACCTGGCTTCGATAAATGTCTCCAGCTTGTCAACGCAGCGTTCGAGCGTGTCTTCTACAAGAACATTTACTCATTCGGCGTCACCATCTTCAATATCTACATGACCTACGGTGGGACCAATTGGGGCAACCTAGGGCACCCGGGAGACTATACTTCGTATGATTATGCAGCTATCATTGCAGAAGATCGTCAAGTCAACCGCGAAAAGTATTCCGAGCAGAAACTCCAAGCGAACTTCTTCAAAGTCTCGCCCGCGTATCTGACTGCTTCCCGAGGAAGTCTATCGACCACGCAATGGACAAACAACCCGGAAATCACCGTGACAGATGCTACCAACAACAGCACCAAGTTCTACTTTACACGCCACACTACGTACAACACGCTGGACTCTACGAGCTACAAGCTCACCATCCCGACCACAGCTTTCGGCAACATCACTGTCCCGCAGTACAATGGCAGTGACAGTCTTTCTCTCAACGGAAGGGATACGAAGATCCATGTCAGTGACTATGACATCGGGGGCACAAACCTCATTTACTCTACCGCTGAGATCTTCACCTGGCATAAGTACGATGACCGGACTGTCCTTGTTGTATACGGCGGTCCAGGCGAGACGCACGAGCTTGCTATTGCGGCGACTGGTCTGGATGTCCTCGAGGGCGATGTCAAGTCTACTTCTACTAAGGGCTATACGCTGCTCAACTTCAAGGCGGATGGCCCGAGGAAGGTTGCCAAGGTTGGCGTCGACAGTGACTTCATCTACGTGTATATGCTCGGTAAGTCAGTCCTGGTGTGATGACCGATATATGCAGGACGCTAACCAACACAGACCGCAACTCTGCCTACAATTACTGGTCGATCGACCAAGAGCCTCATTCCAACGCCGACGCCATCATCCTCAAAGCTGGCTACCTCATGCGCACAGCCAACGTCGACGGCACCACACTCGACCTCACTGGCGACGTGAACGCCACAACGCCCATTGAGATCCTCGGCGGCGCACCTTCAGACCTCTCCAAACTAACTTTCAACGGCAACGAACTCTCCTTCAACACCACTGATGAAGGCGTCGTCAACTCCAACATCGCCTTCTCTCCCCCCACCTTAAACATCCCCGACCTCAGCAGCCTAGAATGGAAATACATCGACTCCCTCCCCGAAATCCAATCCTCCTACGACGACTCCGCCTGGAAAGACGCCGACCTAGAGGAGACATACAACTCCTACCGCTCACTCAACACCCCCACTTCCCTCTACGGCTCAGACTACGGCTTCAACACCGGCATGCTGCTCTTCAGAGGACACTTCACCGCGTCCGGCGCAGAAAAGACGTTCTTCATCGACACGCAAGGCGGCGCCGCGTACGCCTCATCCGTCTGGCTCGACTCCACCTTCCTAGGCTCCTTCCGCGGCGCAAAAGGCGTAGACTTCGCCAACTCCACATTCACCTTGCCGTCTCTGACGGGAAACAAAACATACGTCTTGACTGTGCTGGTGGACAACCAGGGCCTCGACGAAACGTGGACCATCGGCGAGGATACGTCCAAGAACCCGCGCGGCATCATGGACTACGACCTCGACGCGCACGACAAGGAGGACGTTAGCTGGAAACTCACGGGTAATCTTGGAGGCGAAGACTACGTGGATAAAACCCGCGGGCCGCTTAACGAAGGCGGCTTGTTCGTCGAGCGTAACGGGCTGCACCTCCCCGGCGCGCTGGACTCTGATGCTAGCTGGACAAACTCCTCCGGCCCTGTTGAGTCCGGCATCGCGAAGCCAGGCGTGGGCTTCTTCGGCGCGGAATTCGAGCTCGATATCCCCGGGGGGTGGGACGTCCCGCTGTCGTTCACGTTTACCAATTCGACGACGACTGCGCATCGCGTGTTGCTGTATGTGAACGGGTGGCAGTACGGGAAGTACGTGAATAATATCGGGCCGCAGACGGTGTTCCCTGTGCCGCAGGGGATCTTGGATTACAATGGGACGAATTACCTGGGTGTGGCGGTGTGGGGATTGGATGAGGGGGAGACGAAGCTCGGGGGACTGGAGTTGGGTGCTGATGCTATCATTGCTTCGGGGATGGGCGAGGTTGGCAACGTGGATGGCTCAACATATGAGGAGAGAGAAGGGGCGTACTGATTCGTATGACTTCGTTCGCCGTACATATCGTAAACCTTAATGTCCAATATCATTATCCTGCATGAGTATGCGACAAAAGTGTGGATCCTTCTCCGAAACTCGCAGCCCTCCTCCGCCTCTCGCTCTCCCATACCTCCTCCCCTCTGCTCCCGCTCTTTCTCAGACGCTCGCCTGCCATCACCGCGCTGGACACGCCCTCCGTGGGACTCTCTTTCTCGCCTTGCCTCCCGTTCTTCCGCCGCCGTCGCACGAGTTGATACCCCCTATCCAGCTCAACTTCCACCGCGCACCTAACCTTCAGCGCGCCCACCGCCGGCCACACGCTCTTCTCGCCCCTCCTTATCCAATAGTCCAGCGCATCCTTCGTCGGATTCTCCAGCAACCGGAAGAAATCCCGCGGGGTGAGCTCAGGCACGAGCGTCAGACTCGGACCGGGGATATTCTCATCAAGCAGAAACCTGCGTATGCTCGGGGGCAAGATACCTAGCTCATTGAGCTGGTGAAGCCGGTGCTGGATTTCCATGACGATGAGGCGCAGGACGGGCATGCTGAGCTGGTATCTCCTGCCGTCTTGTTTGGGGTTGGGGTGGTGCAGGTCGGAACGGAGGAAGGGGGCGAGGTAGGGACGTGCTTGGGAGACGATGAAGTGGTTCACGTTAAACAGCTCCGCTATTCTATGAAGCGGCGATTCTCTTGTGTCTGCGTACGAGGCGTGGGTCCAGGGGCGGAACGTAGTAGATAGCGAGGGCGACCAGGGTGTGATGTTTCCGGCGTCGTCTTTGCAGAGGAGGGTGACTTGTTTGTAGAGGGTGGAGGAGGCGTTTGAGGCAAGGGCGGCGGACCAGATGAGTACGTTGGGCGCGGTGAGGTAGTTTAGGAGGTCGGGGACGCCGCCGCCGCCAGTGGTGGAGACGGTGATGTTCAGGACGCGTTTAGTCTTGAGGTAGGCTTCTTCGAAGGTGAGGTCTGAGACGTTGGCGCGGACAACTTGTTCTAGGACGGATACGTCCAGGAAGTAGCCGTCGCGAATGAAGCGCCTGATACGCCGCATGACGGTCTGGTACCATGTGCCTTGCCTCGAGGCTTCGACTTTCCCGGTAAAGGCTGTGAGGTCGATGCTTTCGCCTTTGAGGAAGTCGAGCAGCTCGTCTTCGGTGTGGACGCCGACAAGTGCTGCAATCAGCGCGCCGGTCGCTGTTCCAGAGATGATACGAGGTAAAAGGCCGCGTAGATGGAGCGCTTTTACTACACCCAGGTGACACAACCCGAAGATGGCGCCGCCTTGAAGGACAAGGACCGAACGTCCAAAGGCCTGGCGCGTGTCGTGCAGCACATCCAGCTTGTTTTGAGTTGTAAGTCCCGAGTCCGCGGTCACTGGGTAACTCGTAACATGGTCCACAGCGAGCGCGACCTGCGTGATGTAGTCCTCGATCAACAGTTTGGTACCGGCGTATGCTCTGTTGAACAGCCTCGAAGCCGTTATGTTGCCCAGATTCCGCACCAATCCACTTCGCAACAGCGACACAAGTCCCAGTATGTCATCTTCCTCGCGAGCCGTAGTTATGGCCTGCAACCGCTGGTATATGAGGCGGTAATCGTAGTATTTGGACGTAGGATTCTGGCGCCAGAGGTCGTAGCCAAGGACCTCGTCGAGCTGGAAAGCCGCGGCTTCATATTCCTCGTAAAGATTGGAGTCGGCGAGCGCTTCAAGGAGGACATCGCGGGGTTCCTTTGCGGCCCACCAGGAGGATATTTGCTTGAAGAACGGTATTAGCATTTCCGCATGAAGCTCGTCGGGGGACGTACCAGCTGCCAGAAGAGGAACACGTCGACGACACAAGCCCAAACGGTAGCCGCAATGGCGGCCAGGTTAGCCCGTCTCGGCTTCGACATGATATCGCCAGGTAATCAACGGCGGCTGCATGATTTGTTGCGGTCGCGGGGCAATGCCTCTTGGAGCGATGATGCTCAGGCCGCCTTTCACATGTCGGGGTTGCTGGGGTGCACGGGCCATGTTCACAACAACGACATGGATGTCTTTCTCCTGTTCTTGCCGACTCTCGATCTTCACATGTCTGATGTGGCTCCATGAACATCTGATCAACGGCTTGCAGAACTGCCATGCCTTCAAGTAGGAAGATGCAATACTCATATTTGAGGATAAATCGGAAAGAGCATTTATCTGAGGAAAGCCCTGACATGTGTACCACGATACTGAGAAGACAGCGCCAGATGTTGGATCCAGGCGATCATGAAAGTCAGAGCAGTCTTATTTCCCAGGTATCTTCTCTGCCCAAGCTGTACGAGCCCGCGCCCTCAAGCTGTGTTCCATCCGTTTGAACCAGTCTTCTGCTTAGTCCAACTACTTTAATGCACAGAAGAATGTTCCATTGTCTCTCCGGTCTGTTTTGGACCGTTCTGACACACATGAGAAGTATTTCGAACATGAACGAGCCTCAGGCTCACACGTAACCGGGCTTTTGGATGACAGCTGCATTGCAGTGTTAGAAAGAAGTCGAAGCCTTTGTAATTAACTCACATTCTGACTTGTTGGCGCACGAAGACACCGGATAGAACGTAGTTGGATGGTGGAGGCAGGAAGCGATGTCGTGGTAGAAGAAACGGCTCGTTCCCCGAAGACCATTGTTAGGTAGGTGATTGAAGACGTGGCGTGCCTTCTTGAGTCAGCTTTTTCCTGAACGTGAATGCATGAAATTGAAGAAGTGTATGTGTTTAGGGCATACGTGCGTTCCCACTCTCTCATAAACGACGCCCCTCAGTTCGCCATCTCCTCGAACCTCGACACACTCAACCTTCAAAGCTTGCTCTTGACCCATCTTTCCCTTGTAACTACGCATCTGCGTTTTGCACGATTTCCAAATCTCATCGAGCTGTGCACTGATCGGTCCCAAAGGTCTCGCCGTTGCCGCTAGGTCTACCAGCACACTCTCTAAGAAAGCAACGAGGCAGGACCCTTTGCATACGTGAAGGCAGTATCCTGCGACAGGAACACCGAGGTACCAATAGATACGCTCACGAAGCTCTCGAGGAAGTCGCTCAAGGCGCGACGGTCCCGCGAGTGGAGGCGAGAGGGCGACGTCCATGCGTGGAATGGACATGCTCGAGTTCGAGTTTGAATCGTGGGTAGCGGGTGGAGATGAGGACATGGTCGTAGTATTGGTCTCAAACTGTTGTTGTGGGTGTGACGAGGTGGAGTTTTGTAATTAAGAAAGCGCAAACGCAGCAGTGAGAGAAAACGTAGGTGAAGTGGTTGTCGTAGGCGCCACAGCCAGCTTTCACTGATAGTAAAGACAGACTTTAAAAAGACCCCAGATGTCTCCAAGCTCCCGGAAAATGTGCAGATATCCATTTGCGTGTCCTCCGTAAGTGGTGTTGATGCAAGGCCCGACTAGTAGACTTAGACTTGCGGTGTCGATAGCGATCGCCATGGTCGGACCATACATCAGAGATGAGTCCACAGGATGCAAGCAAGATCGGCATCCATATTATAATATTACAAGTGAGGTTTATATACGCGCCGCAATACGCCTGCGATCATAATCTGATGCAACACCTCAGTCAAACCGAACACATGCTGACCTGGGGCTAGTACCCCGGTACGTCTCCCAAAAGCAAACCTTCGCCTAACAAAGCGACAGTGGGTATTTCCTTTTCCATATCCTCCAATCTATCCCGTAATCCTTCTTGTAGACCCATAATAGAGCCCATAATATTCAATTCGCTGGTGCATCCGCGTATCGCGGAACATTACAGCTTCTAGTAAAACTGATGAAACTACACCCCTTTGTGAAGAGGGTCAGCATGCGGCGGCCCCACGGAATCCCATCCCATATTCATGTTTTGCAGCATATCGTTCCACGCGCCTTCAGACATTGGCGTCATGCCGGTGCCGCCGGCGCCGGCGCCCAGACTGCCCATGTCCCAATCGTTGCCTAAGATACCCATATTGTAGTCGATGTCTCCGCCTACCGAAGGTATGCCACCCGTGGTATCGCCGTACGCGAAGTTTGCGTTCATCATGTCGTTACTTGTGGAGTAGAAGATGTTGTTGAGTGTGGATGCGGACTGATTTGGTGTTCGGTTCGTCATACGAGGCGAAGGGCGGTAGGGAATATGATCCGTGTGCTGGCTGGGTGAGTACGACGAGTGTGAGCCTGAGCCGGCGTTGCCGCCAGATTGTGAGAGGGATTGGGAGCGGGTGTTTGATGTTGTTGTTGCCGGGCTCGGCTGATCGGCGTTGCTATCTGGGGTGAGATCCATTTCAGTATTCTCGAGTGACACGGTGTTCTCAAGCGGTAGACTATAGCTGTCCCGTGCCATTGGCACGAAGCGCGTATTCTGCGCGTCTGCGCCAATTGCGGATACACTTGAGAGATGAAATGGTTCTCCCATCTTGTCAACACTGTAAGGGGCTGTGAGCTGAGCCGGGTTGACGGACTCTCCGTTTCCGTATTGATTTATGGGATGACTGGGGTTTTGCGTTTCGCGGATCTCGAAGATAGAACTACAGCCGACCGGGTCAGTATTCACTGGGATCACGCCGTCCTGGAGAAAGGTTAGGAAATGACTTACTCAACGTGCTGCTCCTGAAAGGGGTATGTCTTCTTCGTGCTGGGTGGCTGCATAGTTTCACTTACTGTGCCACCTGTTTGCGGTGGTGGGTATGGCTTTTGCCCCAATCCAAGCACACCTGCACTTTCGAGGTCAAGGTCTAGCTGTACCAAGAAAGACTCTGTGAGGGGGTTTTTGCGTCGAAGCGCTTGCATAGCTGTAAGTAGGAATTGCAAAGAAGCATGCATCTGCTGGTCCTTGGGCCGCGTCTTGAGATATTGTACGAACACTCGTGCTGCGACGTAAACACAGAACGATATGAAGGGGTTCATCTGTTCGAAATTAACTTGTGGTTTACGACGAGTTCTGTGTGACATACGGCTGCCAAATCTAAGTGGCTAATCATTCGCATGATGGAAGCAACTTCGGCAGCAGCCGTAACGCATCGAATCTTGCTCTCATTGCTGACATTTATCGGTAGTCGATACTTGTCCGCCTTGAATATTGCTGCTTGGTGGAGGCAAATTGTCGAAGTGTGAATGCACATGTGCATGAAGACGGTGTTTGGGTCTGTTGATCCGCTTGGTAATCGTAAATGGTCGGGCAGGCCGAGCGAGGTCTGGAGTAGCATTCCTTCAATGGCTCTGTGCCGTGTCCAGAAGCCGCCATTCAGATCGTCATCGTTGTCATCGGGACCGGGCCGATGCAAGTGCAGAAGGTTCCGGCCAAAGAGTGTTGACGTTAGTACTATCCCGCCAAATGATTGTAGACTGCCGATTCCGTTCGTTCCTAACGCTTGCTCAAGAGAGCCGGTAGCCATAGGTCTGCTCTTTTCGAATGCTTCATCACTGGCTGGCAGGTTCGTGAGGATCTGTACTCGATCAGCGCTATCATGACATGTGCATACACAACGACTTACGTCTCGTTCATCGAAGGTCATCGGCCAGCCAGTTCCGATACTAGCGTACCGATCGATGTTGAAAGTCATCCAGAATGTGCGTCTTCTCTCCTCGCGTTCTGTCCAATCTTTCGGTGGCGGGAGACATTGCTTCACATCCAATCCGACACCGTCTAGACGATGGAGCTGCATCATTTGCGCCAAGCGCGTTGCTCGACCAGAGGAAAGCCAAGCTCGTGGAAAGTACATCTGCTTGAATTCGTACGTCGACATCAAGGCCCATGCTTGACAATGTGCCAGGGTTATTGTCCCTTCGCCGTGGCCCTTCATCTCGTCTGCTTGGGCATACTTCCTCGCCCGTTGGTAGAAATGTTCCTGTAGCGCGTCGTATTTGTCGGCTACAGAAGCTGCGAGCGTCCACATTGCGTATCGTAGAGAGACAGGCGGTCGCATGTGCGGTGCGAGATTCATGGCGGCCATAAACCGCGGTCTATGTACAATGGGCAACGACGGATGTGTCTTCGTGAAATATATTTGATAGCTAGCATTGTCAGTTACGGTTCTTAAGCCTTCGTTCTCTACTTACAGCTCATCTTGTACGTCTTGAGGAGGCAGCGGCTCATCTAAGCCCAAGCCGATCATTTCCCACTGGAACTCGCCCTCTGGCGAAGTCCCGGTATTCACGAAGACATCGGGGACTGGCGATATCCTGGGGGGTGCTTCTGGGGGCCCCAAGAATTCGTTCGAGTTGGGCAGCGGCTGTTGTGCTGTACTCGCGACGTATGCGGTGGTCGAGTCCGGTCGCGAAGGCTCTCTGGTCTGCTCGGTGGATTCCTGGGTTTTCAGAAGGGTTTCGACCTGCTCTACAGCCCAGCCAGTCAGCCATGCCATTTAGAGAATTGCTGATTCTACACGTACGTAGGCGAGCTTCCAAGAGCTTTACATATCCCCGCTTCGGCCCGCTCTTCTTGCGAACCTCATCATATGTGCAGTCATGGGACAGACGCTTGCAGGTCCCGCACGTCGGCCTGGTCCCGTCGCATCGCAACTTTCTTTTTCGACATAGGACGCAGGCTATGCGCTTCTGTTTGCTTGCTGCATCGTCCTTGCGCGCTCCTGGCGCACTCGCGACCGCGTTGTTATCGTTCGCATCTGTGCCCTGCTGCGACAGGTCGTTGAAGAAGGTTTCGTCCGGCGATTCTGATTCCGCTGAGGGCATGGTCGAACGTCTGGCGATGGCTGTTTTCCAATGGGGAGACTGAACTGCCTGAAAATCGGCCTGCGTAAGCAGCGGTTGGGGGCCGGGGAGATTTGTCTCCGCGGGCTGTTGCAAACGGATAGGCGGTAGGTGGTGCTTCGCAGGCTGTACTGTCCTGAGGCTTGCGCAGGCTTGATGATTTGAAAGAAAGTAGCGGACGGTTACTAAGTTCTAAGCGTCGGGGTGGAATGTCACCCGATGTGCGAGCTCAGGCATCACTTGAACGCGAATGATGCGGTGAGTTGGTTGGATCAAGGGGGCGTAGCATCGCAGCAGGAACATCAAGGTTAGCACGGAATATACGTGGACGTGCTGACGTGACGTCTTAGATAGAAGGCTCGCGAGCTGAGAGAACGCCGTGCATATGCTAAATGGCGGTACACGAGCATTTCCATGGTTGGTGCCTTAGGACGAATAATCTCGGACTCGCCGAGCCTGGGGAATACACCAAACATGTGCGCCCATCGCACAGCAGCTCGGGTACTACACTTCAGTCTCGCAAGATGGCAAGCGTGTTGGCGCACAAGGCTAGCCTACATATTTCCAAACTCTAAGATGTGAGCTCAAGACTGCCCTATTCATGCCGGTGATTGCGGGGGTTTAAGGTCCGTGCTGGCTCTAGACAAGTCCGCTATATCCACCAGCTCATCCCTGTTCTATCTACCAGCTTATGAGCTGTGTAGCGGGCCTTTGAAGTAAGCCTGTGATGCGCATTGGAAATGACCCTGCTCGATTTCGAAAGTGGTACAGGTAGCGGGGAAGCTGAGTAGTATTGCTCCACCCTGCACCGAAAGTATCAGCTGGCAATATCCACAAGTTCGTGATAACTATAATGCAGTATGAGGATGCACAGTTGAAAAGCCCACGGCCAAGCTTGTAGCCGCATGGATTGTTATGGTACATATGGACAACAGGTGATATGATACATGAGGCGGCCCTTCACTATCTCGGTCTACGCTTGCCTTGGTTGCGTGGCCGGTCTTGAACAAGGAAGGTATGCTTGTTTCTCTTGTGCCTCGTCTTGAAACCACCTTTCGCCTGTAAAAAAGTCAGTGATGAGCATATATACGATCCCATAGAGTGGACTTACCGGTGTACCCCATGGACTGACGGGATGCACGTTACCCTTCGATTTACCACGTCCACCACCGTGAGGATGATCAGCTGCAAACTGTTAGTGAGGGGGCCTAAAAAAACGGTCCTTCGCCACGTACCTGCGTTCATAGCCAGACCACGGACCTCTGGTCTCTTTCCTAGCCATCGTGACCGACCAGCTTTACCCAAAGATCTGAAGTGATTCTGAGGGTTGCTCGCGACACCAATCGTGCAGCACGCGTCCGGGCTGATCTTCCGCAATTCACCACTCTGCAAGCGAACGGTGACGCTCTTGATCTCCACGCCCTTCGGCTTCTCCACCTCCTCTTTAGTGACGACAATTGCGTATGTTCCAGCACTCCGACAGAAGACACCGCCGCCCTGGGACTTGGAGCCTACGTTGAAGACCTGGGAACCCAGCGGCACCATCTCGATCGGTAGGCAGTTTCCTCGTGCTGCCGTCTTCGCTGCCAACATACCGGGATCGATTACACCACCCATGCTTGCTATCAGGTCTTTCGGAATTCCACTTCGGTAGCTCTCGACCTCATCACCTTCCCGCATGCCATCTGCTGCAACAATGTATGTCTTCTCACCAGTCTCTACACGGGTAACGAGGGCAAGGTGGGCGCTGCGATTCGGGTCGTATTCGATCCTGTCCACGATGTGCTTGCCAGGGAGGTACCGCTTATAATCCACGATACGGATACGTCTCTTGTGACCACCTCCTCGATGCCTAACGGTGACTTGGCCACTATTGTTCCTTCCTCCCAAATGCTGCCCTTTCCGAGCGATCGTGAGCTTCACATGCGGTCGCCCCTTCCATAGGTGATCGTTGACTGGTCGCTTCAAGTGCCGCAGACCGGGCGTGCGTGTACGTTCTCAAGGGGATGAATTTATCTCGTCGCGGCTCCCTGGTCTGGAGGACACCACTGTCGGCGTGGACGGCGGGCTCGAATGCGGGTGACGGTGCGTGTTCAACGGCCGTGGCATAGCTGCGTGCTGGCTGGAGCAGCGCCCGGCCAATGCGCGAGGCCTGCAGGCTGCATATCCGGGGCTGCAACATGGTTCAAAGATGGCCTCGATGGCCTCGGGATAGGACAGACGGCGCAATGGGCTCTCGTTACGGTGGTATGTGGTCGATGGATGAGCTCCAGAAATTCTCAGGCATGTCCCGGAATGGCTAGTCCGGGAGACACCCCTGCAAGTTGCACGGCGCGATGACCGGGCAACAACGACCGCTCTACGTGCCTGCCTTTACCTTCACGCCCTCGACTTCTATATAACCACTCTGCAAACTTTATAAGATCTGCAGCGCGCCACCGATTCTCAGTATATTCGACTAAGCTTCCTCCCGGCTGCTGCGCGTCGGACGTGGCTGTTCTCTGTGGTAAGTGACGATACGCGTTCTTCATTGGCTCCACACACCAGCCCCGTTCACGTCGGGTTCTTCGCGCGTTGTTGGCGCATAGCCGCTTACCTAACACTCAAGCCTGCACACCAAAACAAACCGCCCTCGACATCCAACTCCATCAACACACCTCAGGTGCAGCACTTCTTCCCCCCCTCGCCCGACACCACAGCGCCATTGGAGCTGGACTTCTACTTGTCCCTTCAAAGTCGCCGGCACCGTACACTCAGGCGCCTGTTTCCCATCCCACACGTCATTTCACCATCGCTGTCGCATCCCATAAAGCGTGTCCGGTACGTCCATATTCGCCAACACAACACCAGACTCTATCAACCAGAGCGTTATGTGCCTACTCGCGTGCTGGGCGCTCTCCCTTTGTCGACTTCTACTTCTTTCTCGGCTACTTCGCGTTGTTCCTAGGCTGCTGCTAACATCAGGCAGTGCATCATAACAAGACCTGTATACACTTCACACCCTAGTACATAAACTACAATATCCCGGACTCGACTCTAGCTTTGACCAGCATACCTTATATTGCTCGCCATGCCTCCAGCGGTACGTATCATCGCGTCACGCCTAATCTGTGTTGTCGCGGCGCGACTACGGCAGGGCGTCTATCCTTATCAGAACGGTCACTAAGTCTTCTAATTAGGCTCGTAACCTCCGGCAGCGTGCCATCACTAATGAGAACGATGAGAACGTGGGCACCCAGCGGTTGACGCGCGCGAAGTCTGCCGCCATGGACTCGGTCGTCGACGTGCCCAAGAAGCAGGCCTTGAACACCAAGAAGTCCCAAACTGCACTAGCACCCGCTGGGCAAGCCAGGAAGCGTGTAGCTCTAGGTGACCGGACCAATTCGATCAAGACGGAGGCCGTCGGCGCTGGCGCAAAGGACGCGAAGGAGATGAAGAAGCCCTCCGTAGCCAAGAGCGGTCTGGCACAAGCAGCACACCCTACCAAGGTCATGAAGACTTCTCAGAAGCAACCGCGTTCCGTGCTCGCTCCCAAGGAGAAGAATGCCAACTCCTCCGGATCAAAGCGACCAGCACCTGGCTCTGGCATTGCCGGCCCAATGAAGAAGCGTCAACACAGCGCGCCCGACTCTGTGAAGGAGGACCCTGAAGAAGAGGAGAACATTGAACCTCCGACGAACATCAAAGTGGAAGACAGCAAGGCCGCCCCGAAGAGCAAGGATGTCCCCGTTGCTGCACAAGTGACCGAAACTGAGGTGGAGGTGATCCCAGATCTAGACAAGGAGGATGTCGACGACCCGCTCATGGTCTCAGAGTACGTCGGTGAGATCTTCGAGTACCTGAAGGAGCTTGAGATCGCTACCATGGCAAACCCCGACTACATGGACAATCAGACCGAGCTGGAGTGGAAGATGCGCGGTATTCTCGTCGACTGGCTGCTCGAGGTTCACACGCGCTTCCGTCTCCTACCAGAGACGCTCTTCCTTGCCGTCAACATCATTGATCGCTTCCTGTCCACCAAAGTGGTACAACTCGATCGCCTCCAGCTTGTGGGTGTCACCGCCATGTTTATCGCTTCCAAGTACGAGGAGGTCCTGTCACCACATGTGCAGAACTTTAGGCATGTTGCCGACGATGGTTTTACGGAGGAGGAGATCCTTAGTGCGGAGCGCTTCGTCCTGTCTGCCCTCGACTATGACCTGAGCTACCCCAACCCGATGAACTTCCTTCGTCGGATATCCAAGGCAGACAACTATGACATCCAGACCCGTACTCTCGGCAAGTACCTGCTCGAAATCGGATGTCTTGACCACCGCTTCATCGCCCACCCTCCTAGCCAGGTTGCAGCTGCTGCTATGTACCTCTCCCGAATGGTACTTGACCGCGGCGCATGGGACGCGACTTTGTCGCACTACGCTGGTTACACCGATGACGAGATTCAGCCTGTTCTCGAGCTCATGATCGACTACCTTTCGGGCCCCGTCCTCCACGAGGCATTCTTCAAGAAATACGCTAGCAAGAAGTTCATGAAGGGTAAGTCTCACGTATTGTTTCCATTGTATGTATTGACACTGACTGTTACAGCCTCCATCGTCCTCCGTTCATGGTGCAAGAAGTATGTCGCACAGTATGGTAACCCCCTACAAGACACGTCCAAGGCATGAGGCGGCGCCGAGCTTGTGTTGGGATGCTAGTCATCCCCATAGGACCGGCATGTTGCAACGTCCGGTATACTGCCGGAGCACCTAAGCCCCAGGAAGCTTCGTTGCAACGAGGCGTTAGTGCGCTGCAGTTGCTCCGCTCCCTGTTCATGCTTGCATTTTGCCATCTCATACTGGATCGGCGTTAATAAAACGGATGCAATTGGTTAGCTTCGAGGGCTTGAATGTCGTTTTTGTTTGGATGTCAATTTTTACCTCACAACGGAGTTCGGTGGCGTCTTCATGGCTTTTGCTTCTCATGACGGCGCATCAGGGTCCTTTTTCAGTCTCATCGCAGCATCTCTTAACTTCATTTCTGAGAGAGGCTGGCTCCGAGACACATTCGTAGGGGGATATGGTAGCATGGGCATGGGTGGGTAGGAAGGATTACACATTGCTTGGGGGGGTGGGAGTGTGTATGAGTAGGCAATGCGAGCCTCGTCTGTCTGTGAGCTAGTCGTGCTTCAAGCGTTTGATCTTGCTTCTTGTTCTATATCACATGAGCGTTGCATTGTATGACGGCTTTTTGGTAAACGAACACGAGCATTCTTCAAAAGTTCAAATGCACTCTTCAACACCTTCGAGACCGTGTTGCCCCGGGCTACTCCCGGACCTCATCTATGCGATGCATACATAGCTAGCTTGCATCCTGTGGCTGTATCATTGGGAGGATGCTTGCAACCTACGCGCTCACCCGTCGTGCGTGCTTCCTTGATTGCGTCTGCGCTTGGGGCAGCCAGCATGCGGTGCTCTCGAAGACGTGCAAGTGTCTTAGTCGTGATGACGCGATGCGTCAACACGCCATGCCACGGCACGTACACGACCGCGCTCACTTGCAGACGTGAATGTGGACCTCGGCATCGGCCGGCGCCTAACCTAAACAAGCCTACATTCATAGACGTCGATCGATCGAGTGCAGACGACCATCAGACAAGCTTGCTTATTAGAAAATACCGCTTTTGAGTCGTAGTACGGCTTCTCGGTTTATATTATCTTTTCATATCGTTGTACGCGACGTCATGCGCAGGTAGTCCATAATGAACGAACTGGACCTCCACTACCCACCCGAGTCGTGCCCTTTTTGCACCATCGCAGCCGCATATCCGCCGTCCTCTTCACCTCTCTGGACTTCAAAAGGGGAGGACTTACTTTCCTGTGTGCCCAATGGAGACGTACAGCCTGAGAAGACTAGCCCGGGCAGTTTCGTTGTCCTGGCAAGCAGGGATGTAGTTGCGTTTCTGGACATCTTGCCCATGGTTGGGGGCCATTTATTGGTTGCGACGAGGGGCCATCGGGTTAAGGTTGGAGACATGGAAGGGACAGAGGGAAGGGAAATGGGTGAGTAGATCATGTGATGTGGGAAGAGATGGGGCTAATGGTGAGGGTGTAGGGTTTTGGCTGCCGGTGCTGTCAAGAGTTGTCTCGAGGGTGGCAGGTGTCACTGATTGGAATATTGTGCAGAACAATGGTAAGCTTCGAGATCCTTTTCTTTCCATCTCAAGTTCTCTCTACTACGTTTCTCTCACATTCAAGAATGCATATCTTGGTCATCAGCAATCGTCACGTTAGAAGCAAGTGACCTTACTGTAGACAGGCGCAAGAGCAGCACAGGTGGTGCCGCACGTTCACTTCCACATCATCCCCAGGCCAGAGTCGAGACCTGAGATCAAGAGTAAGAGTTGGACCATGTTCGGACGAGGGCAGAGAGATGAGTTGGACGATGAGGAAGGCATGCGGCTAACGGGCGAGATGAGGAGAGTGCTCAGAGAGGAGATCGCGAAGATGAAGGAGAGGCCGAAGCTATGAATGGACTTTTGAGGTGGTATACTTGCCGATCGGCTAATATTTGGACATATGGTGTGGCTCAACTGATACCAGGATGTATTATACATACAACAAAGACTTCTGTCTTTGAACTGTACTACCACGATACATGTACAATATCTATACATAATCCTTTCCCAATGCTTATACAAGACGTTCGAATCAAATACTCTACTCCGCCGGCTTCTCGCCCTTCTCCTTCTCTTCCATGTCCATTCTCCGACCCTCGACCGTAAAGTACAGACTCTTGCTGGCGCCCTCCAGAGTGCCCGTAAGTGCGCCACCAACACCTTGCAGCATGTGTACAAGCTGTGCCCTGAGCCCGTCGAGACCACCGTCGATGCCGCCAACCCATTTCGTACCCTCTGAGTCGAACACCTTGCCCTCCACTCGGGCACCCAGCAGCATTAGCTTTTGCAGGCCGGATTGCACTTCTGGCTCGTAGTAGGAGGGGGTTGCTTTACGCCTCGGCGCGGGGAAGTTGGGCGGCGAAGGAGCGACGATGGAAAGCACGGTCTTAAGGTATTGCGGCGAGACGTCGGGGAAGGTTACAATGGCCAGGGGCCCCGATAGGAGCGGCTCCAGCTCGCTCTTGAGTTTGCGGTTTGAGGCTACTTCCCAGGCTCTCCTACTCAGACCGTGCTTGAAGCGCTCATCCTCGGGGGAGTTCGATGTTTGCGGGATTTGCGCGCTCGTCGGTGTTCGTGGGTCTGTGGGGTGCTGCACATGGTCCATAGTGTTCTCTTCAGGTTTGAAGAATTCAACGACACGCAGCGCACTTGCAAAGATGCTCGTCGTTATAACTTGGAACTTGATTTGGTCTGCGATCAAGCCCTCCTGACCGTTCTTCACTCTTTCAGCGTCAATCTTTTGCAACGCGGTTGCCAGTTCCCGCCGTATGCTCATCCATTCTACGGCTTTGACGTTGTTGTGTTGGAATAGTAGGATTAAAGGCGAGGATTTGAGGACGGATTGGTATGTTCGGTGGAGCTGCGTTTTACGGACCTCCGGCGGTTTGTGTGACGGGGGTTGCGTAGGTGGGTATCTCAGTACTGGAGGTGCCGCGCTTGTCGTGTCAATTGACGGCGCTGGAGTTGTTGCTGTGGCCAGAGAGGCGTAGGATGCGCAGAGGGGGCTGGATGGCTGAGCGGTGCGGAGGCGAAGGGCGCGAGGCCGGAGGCGTATTCGAGGCGGCATTATGTTGCTTTGTAAGCTTCTAGTAGAGCCTGCGGAATTGCAAGGCGGGCTCCTACGTGGTGTGTAGTGGGCGCACAATTGAGATGAGGATGCTTGTCTGGAAATCTTTCGGCGCAAGATCGAGAATCTTGGTGCACGGACCAACAACGGTCACTTCATCTGAGCAACCGCGTTAACGTCCAATCCATCAATTGCAATTACGTTACATTGTCTTAATTTTCTTCTGTCCCTGTACAATGACTCCTGGCTTGTAAAACATCTGCTCAGAAATTCGATTCAAGTCTGCAGACACTGCGCGCCAATGAGAGCACATATCTGGAAAAGCGCGCATCGAGCGAGTCTAGTAACCAGACCAAATTACAATGCTCGCTTCTTAGCAGTAGGCGATCTCTTCGCGCTGTAAATCTACAGTAAACTTGCTGATCCTGTTCACTAGACCGACTCAAGAAACCGATTGTCCAAATTCTGGGCCCCGACAGGAGGCATATCAGCTCAAGATGGAGAGAAGGGTTAGCAACGCACAAACTTCACTGAGTGCTTTAGTGACATATACATAGATGACTCCCACGCGCTTCTCCTCAAAGGCGGATTTCTCCGACAGGTACACAACTTCCATTAATCACATTCAATGCGGGTATCGACTAATCACGTGCAGGCTCACTCTGGAGTCTTCCATCTTCTGCCCCTTGGTCTGCGCGTCCAGAACAAGCTCGAGAGTCTGATAGACAAGCACATGTCCTCTATCGGCGCCTCAAAAGTCTCATTATCCCATATCAGCACAGAAGAGCTCTGGAAACAAACAGGTCGACATTCCAGCAACTCCGAGTTCCTCCACATCAACGACCGCAGAGAGTCTGGATTCCTCCTTGCACCCACACACGAAGAAGAAATCACAGCTTTAGTAGCGAGCATGGTACATTCGTATAAAGACCTCCCATTGCGACTTTACCAGACCGGGAGAAAGTATCGAGACGAAAAGCGGCCGCGGCAAGGCCTGCTCCGGACGAAAGAGTTTATGATGAAAGACCTCTACACTTTCGATTCATCACATGAGGCTGCACTCGACACTTACGCAGAAGTCCGCCAAGCCTATACCAACCTCTTCGACGAACTCAAGTTGCCCTACCTAGTAGCCGACGCAGATTCCGGCAACATGGGCGGCAAGCTCAGCCACGAGTACCATTTTGTTTCGCCGAAAGGCGAAGACAATGTCTGGTCGTGCGATTCCTGCAGCTACGTCGCGAACGAGGAGCTCGTCGAGAAGGCAACCCCTGAGACAGACTTAGACAAGACCGACGTACCAGGAGAGCCTGTACCGCCGCTTTCCTTCCAGGGCATCAGCATGGACAGAGAAACAGCCATTACCATCCTTATTGCTCGACCGCCAGACTTGCCGGATACCACAATATCCTGGGACAGCATATCATCCTTCGTCAACCTACACGCCGTGAAGCGAATGTACCCAGATCTTGACACAAGCATCGACACAGCGTCTCTCCGAGGTCTTCTCTCTTCTGCACATAAACACAAATTCCTCTGCTCGCCTTCATTACCCGAGCTTGCAAGAACCGCACCGGAAGCCTTAGACCTCATAATGGAAGCATACACGCACGCACAATGCGAACGCGGACAGGATACTTCCTCCGACCTGGGGGAAAGCTGGCGCGAATTGGTAAAAGAGATAGACGCATCCGTCATCCGCCCCGGCGACGCCTGTCCCCGCTGCGAGACAGGCAAGCTAGACGTCCAGAAAGCTATAGAAGTAGGCCACACGTTCCACCTCGGCACGCGCTACTCCGATCCGCTCTCCGCACTCATCGCCGTCCCTCACTCCACGCAGAAGGAAGCGATACACATGGGCTGCCATGGCATCGGTGTCTCTCGCCTCATCGGCTCTATGGCTTCGCTGCTTTCTGACTCGGCGGGCTTGAACTGGCCCCGCGCTGTGGCGCCGTTTGAAGCTATTGTGGTTACTTCTCCGCAAATAACTGAAGAGGATAGTGTGGGCGTTTATGATCAGCTCCAAGGGGTCGATACGGTACTTGATGATCGTAAGGGCAAGGAGCTGGGGTGGAAACTAAGAGATGCTGATCTAATTGGGTATCCGGTCATTGTGGTGTTGGGAAGGGCATGGAAGGAGGGGAAGGTCGAGGTGCAGTGTCGGCGATTGGGTGTGAAAAAGGTGGTTGAAAGAGGGGAGATGAGACAGGAGGTGAAGCGGTTGCTGGAGCAGCTTTGAGCGTACGGAGCTGAACTTTCATTGCATTTTGCATTGTTTTGTGAATGATGGCCTGTCCCAGAGCTTGACGTGTGGTTGGGTCACTGTTTTATTAGGTATCTTTTGTACGCTGCCGATGTACTGCGTAAGTTGTACGATATTTGTAGAATTTGCCACCTTGCTTGTGCCGGACGGTCTCCGTCTTACACGTCCGTGTCTATTACAGAAACATGTACAATAGGAATTGTCATATATTACTCTGTTCAATTGCCTTGCGCAACGTATTAGCTTTCTCCATGCGTGTTATAGAGCGTAACGGAGGGCGTTAAACATTGACAGCCTGTATTATACACAGTCGAGAACCACGTAAAACCATTCACTTCTACATAACCTCAAAATGCGGCATTCAGCTAATGCTCAAGCCTAGTGCAGTAATAGCCTTTGCCGAATGCAAGAATCATAAACCAGCATCGAACCACAGTTCTCCAACAGATCTTCTCCCGATTTGCACGTGGCACGATTGATTCGCGTTGAAATCAATTTTTCCATGCTACACCACCATCTCGTCCCATTGCCGATTCTCTGAAGTGGCGGCAGCCCTGAATTATCGCAAAACCCCAAGACGATTGGTGATCTTCCGCTTCTTGCCGCTTTTCTTGGGGAATTGGGTGCATGTGAGGGTTTCAGGAGACTATCTGTACACTCTGCTTCAGGTAAGACTTTCCCGGTACTATATAGAAACACGAGGCGCCGGAGGAATGGCGGGAAAGTCTGGTATCAGAGCACCACTAGACTGGTAAATCACCTGCGAAAGCTCCATGAGCTTGATCATTAGGAGACGGATGCCGTCGCGTGGAAGCGGCTTGCCATGGTCATCCAACCTCGATGGTTCTTCCCGTGCAGTCCATTGAGCAGGAAAGAGCCCATCATCCGGAAGGAAGGTGCCCAAGGTGTTTCCCCATGAAGCACATTCACCGGGCCGGAGTTGCTCAACTGTTGCGAGGTGAGTGCGCCAATCGCTGTGATAGACATTGAGACCCCAGCAGGGAACCTTCTTGCCCGGATACCACATCGAAATAACGTCAACTCTATACCCGGTCTTTCTGATGCCGAAAGTGCGTATCTTGTCCAGACGACCCCTCAAGAGTTTCAACGAGTTTTTCGAACCGTCGGTGAAATCCGCGAAAAGCTCCTTCGAGGCGATGTCGTAACCCGGCTTGAGGCAGGTCTGGTCGGCAAAACGGCGAAGGGCAGTTGGGGCGACTGCTTTGCTGACAGGAGTCATCGACGTCAAGCTGAACTGCCATCCTTTGCTCCTGTGGCACTTGTCAGCGCATGCTTTAGTGGGCGAACGTGCTAAATGCATAAGGAGAGAGATGGGACTCGAATCTACAAGAGGAAGAGTATGCTCCCTACTCCTGTTCCATGACGGTGTTTGTCACTTACTCTCCCAGCTCCAAAAGCTTTATGTCAATATTCTCCTTCGGTGCAGGACTCCCTGGGCCCAAACGATAGAACTTGATGTACTCCTTCTCATACATGCCATCTTCATCCATAGTCCAGTGCACTTGCACAACATAATCAGACGATATGGACTGAGAAGCGTTTGGATCTTTGAAAACCCAGGTCCCGCGAAGTGTGCATTTCGTCTCGGACAGGGATTCCGGTTTGTTGGCGAAACCGAAGCCGGTACCAGCCGCCGTAGGCTCAAGTAGATAGTCCGCAGCCATTATGTGCGCAAGGAACTCTTCGCCACCTTCGTCGTCTACAAGCCTACGCATGATTTAGCGTGGTCGATGGGGAAGTGAGGTAGCATGTACCAGTGTTTGACGACAAAGTCCATATCACGCCTGTTGATGATATCGTCCATGAATTCGTCCGTGGCATGCTTTGTGCCAACACTCGAGACGTTGCGTTTCAAGGCAAGGCAGCCGAGACGGATGGACAGGTCATAGAAACCCTTCTCGTACCGAGCGATGTCGAGAGCTCGCTGGATTTCAGTCTGTAAATCGTAGTACTGATGAGGCTGAATGTCTTGCCAATATTCACCAGGTTGGCTGCTAGTAATGGCGCAGCGAATGAGGCGAGGAGCTACGGGATGCGCGTCTTTTTCGGGCCACCAGTTCTCTGCTTTCTCGTAGATGACACCATCTTTTGAGCCTTCTCTCTTGTCCAAAAGGATATACTTTGGATACACAACCTTGCTGTTGATCATTGCGCGCACTTTCTCGATGAGTACCTTGAGACGCTGTTCAGCTGATCGAGCGCGCAAGATATCAGATCCGCATATCTCTAACTGATTCAGCCCCACTATAAACTGTCAGCGATGCGAGATATCTCGATCAGAGCGGCACTAAGAGCATACCGGCTCTGATGAACACTTCCTCGTCCATGCGTATCGCGTCAAGCTTTGCCAGGTTTGCGCCGAAAGCGTCCTTCATCGACAAACTTGCTTCCAACAAATCACTTGGCCAATCAACGGTGATCTGGAGGTACTTAGTATAGGGACATGGAGGGCTACAGACACAATAGTTTACCACTCTCTTGTAGGTTTCGGTCTCTTCCTCTTTCATGTCTTCGATGAACTTTTTCTTTCGTTCAACATGCTCCTGCTTGAGGTGGTTCTGGGACCAATCCTTCGGAATGTGAGCCTGGATCTTTGCCCATGCGGTGGTTTCCGAAGTCTTTGACACCGAGTAACGTATCCATTCCTCGATCTTCTGAGCAGCATCGTCTAGGTTGCCAGTTGTGCCGAAAATTTCGAACTTCGTAATGACAAGTCGACCGGAGCCATATTCGGGTTGAGGGATGACCTCGCACCCCGTTTCGCTCTTCCAGAGGGCAATAAGTCTTGCACGTTCTATTTCCTTCGTCTGGCGTCGAAACTCTGGTGGTACCAGAATGACACGATTTGGTTCGCGCTTGCCACGGTTGTTGTTTACAGTCGACTGCGCGCGGCCTTGATACGTACCACCTCCCCTCGAGCCTCTTTGGCCGCCACGCGAAGCACTGCCCTGCGAAGGACTGCCGCCTGCACGCATATCGATTGAACGCTCTTAGTCCGGATGGTCTGTGAAGCATTAGTTATAGTCAGAAGATGGGCAACCGTGCACCTGCGCTCAAGAGCTATAGTTTTTATAGCTTTTGGTGTGTATCGTTTTGACGTTGGGATCCAGCACTTGAGGACTCTGACAGATTGTATGCAGCTGGATTAAGATTGAGTGTGACCTCAGCGGGAAGGCGCAACGGTGCTGCCAATGGAGGCGAGTGCGATATCGGCAATTGCCGCGTTTCAATTCGACAAGTCGGTGGTGTAACGATGTGAAATTGTCGCTCAATTGAACGGCCTGATGTGGCCGAAAGGGCGAAGGACGAACGGCGACAAGCCAATCGTCACGGTGTGTAGCAGCACCTCCGCATGAAGCGAAACTTGCTACGTGAGCCAAACTGCTTACAAACCTCGATTTCAAGGTTCGTGTGCCCCAAGAAGAGAAAGCTTGTATTAACAAAGCTTGTGAAGCCGTGTGGCGATCGGTCGGGGCGGGCATATAACATTGATCGTGCAGCTGTGCCTTGGGTTATGGTAGGGGACCAAGAAGTAGACACACCTGCCTCTTGCGGAAATTGCGAGTGAAGCAGCCCGATTTCAGCTTCAGCTTCGCGGAAGTCGCCAGGAATAGGAAGGAGCCTCCCCGTATGCATGCTGCATCTCCCACATCCGTATACGAAACCATACTACACCATGATGCATCTAACAAAGAGAACAAGGAACTAGCAGCTTTTCTCCTTTTCTTAGATGTGACTTCGCTATCGATGTGTGAACTCGGCAAGCAGTCGAGCTAGGAGCTACTCGATGTGGAGAGCCATGCATCAACACCCACAGCCCTCAGTTGGGGCCTAGCACCAGATCATGATATATCTCTTACTCTTACTTGCAGACCTTTCCAGTTACTGAATCAAGGACAGGGTGTATGTTGTAATGGGCAGACGTGTAGAGACAGCGAAAAGAGTGGATGAGGCTGGAACACTGGACCGCGAAGTGGCTTATAAAGTGACCAAGAACCCATCGAGACTGATAGAAATAGAACAATTGAATAGAAAAATCACTCAAAGGAAGACAGACAGATCAGAGCGAAGGTATAATGATAACAAATTGTGATAGAAGGTACCAACTGAGCCACTGGTAGTCCACGACAGTGAAGCGGAATACTACTTCTCTAGTGTCTCGATATAGCATTCGTCTCAGAGGTCGAGGCATGATTTGAGCCGTCAGTCTGAACGGTATGGACGAGTCTTCAAAATTATTATGTTTTTGTAATCAAGCTCGGTGTTCGTTAAATGCTTCAAATGTTCGTTGTGAGGTTCGAGTCGCTGAGTAAGCTGAAATCGCGGAGGTGCACGAGCCATCTCCGACGATTTTCTGAGGAACCATCACCGTGTCGACCTTTGAAGCATCTCACGCCGTACGGCCCGTTCATTGGCGTGCAGACATTACGACCAGTCAATTGAGCGTCGCATACGTTCATTCTCAGATCCAGACCGCATCGCCTCCTGTCGACTTTCTGGGCGCATCGCCCGACCTCGCCCAAGATGGATTTCGCTCCCGTTTCCAAGAAGATTGTAGCCTTCGGCAGCAAACAGGTCTTCCTGTACGTAATAACCACTCTTTCATTTCATACTTGCTAATTCAGATTCAGGCCCAAGTTCACTGTCGCCCTAATCCGCACACCCAACCTTTCCCCTTACCACGCGAAGTTCCGCGTCCCCCTCAACTTCTCCAAGTACGACCTCCGCGATTACCTTTACCACGCCTACAACGTCAAAGTCCACAGCATCCGCTCTCTTGTCAAGCAGCTGCCCGTACGCGACACGGTCAAACAACCCCGCCACTGGTTCCGCCCAGAGAACGAGAAGTACATGACAGTTGAGATGGAGAAGCCTTTCGTCTGGCCGGAGACTCCAGAGAGCTGGGAGGCGTGGGGACGAAAGGAGAAGCAAGACGGCGTTTTGAATAGCAGAGCTTACCAGGGTGTAAAGTCTGCTCAGGATCAGAGGATCGATCAAAAGACACTGAGACACGAGGCTTTGAACCTGCTGAGGAAGGAACCTGCATCTGAGGCTAAGGAGAAGAAGAAGGACGGTAAGGAGAAGACGATCGAGAACGCCGCGCGGAAGTCAACGAAGCCAAAGAAATTGGACGAGAACGTTTTGCGGAGATGGGAGGAGCAAAGAACTCCTCAGATCCTGGGTCACGAATTGCTGGACTCCAAAAACTGGGACCGCCTCAGGCCACAAAAGTCTACGCCCTTCGGTGAAAAGAACGTGCCAATAGTCTGAGTGGGAACGTTGGCTCGGAATCACGTGAGGTGGACTACATGGATCAGCTTCGAAGCGACTCTGTCAAGGAGACTCGAGCTTGTACATTCGAATGTAATATATTGTGTTGGAAGCATACGGCAAGACGTTGTTGGATATGTGGATATACTGAACGTAGGAATACAACCATTCTTCGAGTTTGCTGTCATAGTTCTCGATGGACCGTATATACCTTCAACGCGCAGTTTTCGTCCACTACATATGTTCCCCATCTGTCGCACGACCATCTGCGCCACTAGAATACAAGACTGACATTATTGCGTTGCTCGGTTTCCATGAATAGATGCGACCGAATCGATAGATGCTGATGGTATGAGGAGCGCCCTACGCTAACCAACCAACACATACCATCATTTCGACTCATCCAGACCCACATTTTCGGGACCCAAGCATTACATATACAACCTCAGCCTCAGACACTCTGTATCATCGTCAGCCTCGCAAACTTCTCAATAGATGATTCTCTATACTTGAATTGCTGCATAATGTCGCACGCCCTCGTAATCGGCGCCTCGGGCCTCATCGGCTGGGCAGTCGTCGACCAACTCCTCCGCTGCTACCCCTCTCCCACTGCCTTCTCAAAAGTCACCGCGCTCGTGAACAGGCCACTAAAACTGGAAGATTCGTTTTGGCCTATTGATGGCAAAGAAAAGGCAGAGTTGGATCTGATCTCTGGCGTGGACTTGACCAGTGATGACGAGGAAGTTGCAAGGACGTTCAAGGAAAAGGTGAAGGGAGTGGAGAACATTCGCTATGTGTTTTATTTCGGTACGTCCTCCATTTCTACAGGATCTTCAGATGACGCTGAGAACAATCACCACAGCATTCAAAGAAGTCCTCAGTAGCCCCGAAGAAGAAGTCCGCACCAACGTCTCCATGATGCGCCGCCTCGTGCGCGCACTCAAAAAACTCTCCCCGTCTTTCCTATCCAGCGGCTTCCTAGTCTATCCCGGCGGGACTCGAGGCTATGGGATCTATCGTCCGGGGGGGATTTTCAGTGCTCCGTTGACTGAGTCCATGGCCGACACACTACCACCTGACTACGCGCAAACGGTGGCGTACCCCCATTACCGCGCAATGCTGGCCTCCGAAAGCGCGGGGCAATCCTGGTCCTGGTGCGAGCTCTGTCCCGACGCAATCATCGGGTTCACGCCTAACGGCTCGGGGTACTCGCTCGCGGGGCACTGGGCGGTGTATCTGTATGCGTGGAAGCTTGTGCATGGGGAAGGGGCGGAGGTACCGTTTCCAGGAACGAAAGAAGGGTACGACGCGTTGTATACGGAGACGAGTACGAGAGTGCTAGCAAGAGCTGCCATATATGCGGCGCTGCATCCGGAATCTTTCAAAGAAAAGATCTTTAATGTGGCCGATTCGGTAGAGCCGGGACGGATGCGAGATAGATGGCCTGAGATTGCGGCTTGGTTTGGGTTGAAGGGTGTACAGCCGCATAGCACGGCGAGAGTGGAGGATCCTAAGCCGAGTGACTTTATCAAGGAGCATGAAGACCGATTGAGAAAGGCGGGAGCCAAGGGTGTCTCAATTTGGAATGCGCAGCAGCTAGATAGCTATGGATATTGGTTGACATTTGACCGTCATCTCAGTCTGGAGAGGTTGCGAAAGGCGGGTTTCAAGGAAGAGAGACCGCCACGGGAGGGATGGGAAGAGGCCTTTGACATGTTCAGGAAGGCGGGCATGGTGGGGTAGAGTGTGTAGCTGAGCGTGTTGTGATACGCACCCAATATGCTCGTTGTTGAAAACATATTGTAAAGCACTCCTAGGGCAACTCAAACCCTCGTGAGTCTCCAAAATTGCTGTCCGGTACTTAAGGCGTGAACGTCAGCCCTCTCAGCTGATAGCAGCAGCCTTACGCTTCCCGTTAGTCGCTTCTGAACGGCTGATGTCCTCCTCCTTGGGATGTTCTATGTCTTTGGAGGTTTTGCCCTCGATACCAAGCTTTGGTTTAGGCTTCAGCCACCCGTCGAGCTTGTTTTTCTGACGCCCTGCTCTTTCCATCTGACTCATCGCTTCGATCTTCTTTTTCGTCGGTGCGGGCTCCTGTATCTTTGTATACGTCCCTCCGCACTCGGCTTCGTGTCTTGCCCACCATGAATCATATTTTCCTGGCGGCCGGTTCATGCTACGTTTGACAAGACCAAAGTACGGTGGCTGATCTTTACAAGACCCCGAGCATTGCCAAACGTGCGTTCTGTAGCTGTCCTATGATATATATTGAGTACGTGATTATAAGACACAGTCGCCGGGTGTAACTCACCACTTCGTCATGGAATGTGTGGAAGACGGTGATCTCGTAGTTACCGTGAGAATTGATAGCGTCAGCCAGTAGCTGGAAGCCTTCACCGTGGCCGGTACCATCGTCCCCACGTGAATGTCGCCACGAAGTCGTGATGAAGAAGTAAGCGTGAATAGCTTCATGCAACAATGTGTTGACGGTGTCGGACCTGGGTCGGTATTGCAATAGGGGCGTGCTCATCTTTAGGCGAATCCTTGTAAATTTCCCGGTTGTTGGATCCTTGGAGAGCTCACATATTCCGGCGCAACTAATGCAGGTCAGCAAGGTGGTCAGGAAATACCAAAAATCGCACGTTGTGCATGACGGAGAATGTAAGCTGCAGGAGGCACGGCCATGTATGTTTGTTAATGTTCGCTTACAGTGTCAAACGGGGGGACCAGAGCACCTCGACCCGGGGGAGTAGAAGCTTCCGAAAATACAGTACATTGTAGTAACCGAAGAGTTCGTGGATATCTACGAAAGGTTCGCCATCGCACAATATCGCGTTGAGGGCTTGCAGTGCCTGCTGTTGCTCGGCAGAAGGGTCCTCAAGGGTCCCAATCGCCTGGAGAGCGGCGACCTCGTCTGTAACAACGGGCATATTTGGATCCTTGTAGCGTCATTTAAGATTGGCGTCGCCCGCTGTCTCGGGGATCGAAGAGGGAAGTTCGCGGTTCGGGACGAGTGAATGGCTTGCAACGGGAGACAGGGGTCGTAAGGCTGTCTAGCGCCAGATTGCAGGGAGGCGAGGCGTGGTCGCTGGGCTGCAATTATGCTCGCACGTTGTTTCGAAGGCCACGGGTGAAATCGACCCCTTGGCCGCCCTTGCTTTAATAATATTACTCCCCGACACTTGCCCAACGTTGTTTACTATCACATTGACTGCAGGTTGTGCGCTGGAACAGCTCAGAAGCGCAACGAAGCTTACACAGTCGCGATCATCGCCTCCCCTGCTCATGACGCATATTGCTCCACATGCACAACATTCCACGCCCACACAATTCGACCGCGCCGCGCAACCCTAACAACACCACAGCTTCTCACACGCGTGTAAGAGCCCTAATCCGCCGCCGAATGCGGACCTTCGCCGGCGAATTCGACTGAGATGGCGGCGTCCGAGACCTTGGGCGCAGTTGATCTCGTGCGCACCTCTTCCCAGAGCTCGCACGTATCAAATGGCAGGAGGACTGGCACAGTGCGCGTCAGGCCCCTCAAACGCGCCTCGAATACATCTTTAGGCCGTTCATCGTCGCCCGTCGCCGACGACAAGAGCCTGACATCATTCCCCTCGCTGTCACCCACGCCCGACTCTTCTCCCGTGCAGTCGCGCGTTAATGGCTGGTTCCGCTCTGCTGTGGGCGCGAGCGAGCCCGGCGACAAACAGGCCGAAAACATACCCAGGAGCGCTCCAGACACGATCCAAGTTGTCTCCCCATCGCCGGAGCAAAGCAAAACCCCCGGTCCAGCCTCGACGGTGAGGAAAGTCACCAAGTCTACACAGCAGATTGTCGGGAGTTTGGTAGAAAGATCAATCTCGGTTAGAGACCGTAGTGCGCTGTTCGACGATACTCCGCCCGAAGCTTCTAAAGTTGCTGGCAATGTCCATCTTTCGAGCGACCAGAACATTCAAGACATGATCGGGCAGACTGGCGCAGTAGTCTTGGTGCGGCAGATGGCAGGGGACCTAGCGCAGCGAGATGCGCAGATCACAGCTTTACGGCGAAGAGCGGAGGAGCGTGAGAGGATCCTGCGGAAGATGCTACAAGAATGCGAGGTTTCAAATATGGATATCGAGAGCAGGCTCAGAGACTTAGAAAGGGGCCGAGGGCGTGAACAGGCGCAAAATGGACTCGCAGGCGCAAGGAAACGAGACAGCGAGGTCAATCTGGCCGGGCTACACCCGGATGATCCTATGGACCAGCGCATCGCCCGAGCTTTGGAAGACGAAATAACTGAGCACCCTGACGCCTTGGGCTTTGATTCGGGTAACAATCCGCAGGAGTTGGACAGCGCGTCAATCAGTGATATATCAGAGGCACCCAAGGAGCTAGGGCGCGGCAATTGGAGGAGTTTGCTCTTCAGCGGAACGAGTAGGAAGAGCAGCAGAGCCCCGTCCGTGGCGAGCATGATTGACAGAGACGCAGAGAGCATGTCCGCCCAGAGTCGATCCCGAGCTTCCAGTGGAGCGAAGCCGTCTCGCAAACCTATCAGCAACAGTCTGTTTGTTCCACCCGGCACAGAACAGGGTGCTGTCCCCACGTTACGTCGGCTACAAAGCCAGGACCATATCCAATCTGATCAGTCTTCCCGGAGATCGTCAACGTCAATTATGAATTGGACATTGAAAATGGTCGCAGGCAACAGTCAGGGAAATGCTGTACGAGGTCGCAAGAGTGTCACATCCGATTCCGTGGACAGAACGGCGTCCATCGATTCTGTTAGGACAATGCAGTCAGCAAATTCGGGTCAGACAGCTGCTCAGCGACGTGCCGGACGCGTGCTTGGTCCTAATGGAACCATCAAAAGCGTAACAGGAGAGAACCCGAAGAGTACAGCTATTACCCCAAGCCCGCAGCCGCCAATCCGTGGATCTAGTAATCTGGGACCCGTGGAGATGGATAGAATATTACCCGAAGACTCGCGGCCTCCAACATTGGTCCAAAATCACAACAGGTTCACAACAAACAATGAATATCTTACCGATAGATTTGGATTCATCTACGATCAGCGACGGAAGAAGAGACAGAGTGAGGCAGCTGCAGCATTGACCAAGCAAAAGCGCAGCAGCAACGTGGAGTCTTTGGGTAACCATCGATCTGCACTCCACAACATGGGCTTGGAAGATGATGGTGATGAAAACGCTCTTCAACCGACTCGTACAAATGATTCGCCCTCACCCTCACGACCTGCAAGTAGTGGTTCCGAAGACCAATTGAACAAGGCTCCTACGAAGACGTGGGCCGACTACCTCAAGCTCGCTACTCATCCCACGGAACTTTTGTCGCATACACCTGCAACAGGACCTATCACCACTGTCGACTCGGCCGAAGCTGAGATACTTGCGCCAAAACTTAGCCAGGTTGTGGTTGCCAAGCGGGGCTCTATGCCTTCCATGAGTGCAAACCCGGAGCCGTCGCCTTCACGAACTGTATCTGCAAGAGGAGAATTTTCTATTTCTTCACCCTCTGGACCGACGTCTCCCATCAGTCCCTTTCCCCCGCAGCCGCAAGCAGACCCCGTCAAGGCACTGCTTGAGCAGCTCACGGAGCTTCATGACAACCTGCAGAAAGAAAAGACAGTCAAGTGGAATGAATTCCTGCGCAAAGTCCGCGCTGAGCGAAAGCGACAAGGCGAGGCAGTGGGTGCCGGTGAAGGTCGAGGCAAAGGACTCGAGATGCCAGAATCTCAGTTGACAGATGGTGAAATCGTCGGTGTCGCAGGCCTTGGAAACAAAGGAAAAGTCGGACGCGCAAAGTGGCAGGAGTTCCGTCGACTTGTGCTCGGAGGCATTCCTGTCTCGTACCGTGCGAAGATCTGGGCTGAGTGCAGTGGGGCTTCCGCTCTGCGCATTCCTGGCTATTACGAGGATCTCATCAACAACGGAGAGGATAACCCAAGCATTGTCACGCAGATCCAGATGGACATCACGCGTACGCTTACAGACAACATCTTCTTCCGCAAGGGCCCTGGAGTTCACAAACTGAACGAAGTACTTCTCGCGTATTCGCGCCGCAATCCCGAAGTAGGCTACTGTCAAGGCATGAATCTCATCACCGCCTGCCTTTTGTTAATTATGCCCACCGCCGAAGACGCATTCTGGGTCCTCGCCACAATGATCGAGAACATCCTGCCCCAGAACTACTACGACCAACACTTGCTCACCTCTCGAGCCGACCAGTCTGTCCTGCGCGAGTACGTCGTCGAACTGCTCCCCAAGCTGTCAAACCATCTTGAGCTACTTGAAATCGAGCTCGAAGCCCTCACCTTCCAATGGTTCCTCTCTGTCTTCACCGACTGTCTCTCCGCTGAAGCCCTATACCGCGTCTGGGACATCGTCCTCTGCATGCAAGACGGCTCGACGTTCCTTTTCCAAGTCGCACTGGCCCTGCTCAAACTGAACGAGAAGCAACTCCTGCAGTGCGATACACCGGCTGCCATTTATCACTACATCAACCACCAGATGACGAACCACGCTATTAGCATCGATGGCCTTATCCAAGCCAGCGATGCGCTCAATAAGGAGGTTAAGCGCAAGGACGTCGAGGAGCGCCGCGCACGCGCTGTGGCTCATGAGCAGGAGCTTATGCGGCAGCGGGACGAGGCGCGCGAGGAACGTGCAAGGAGACGCGCTAGCAAGATATCTGAAGAGTCGGCACGCGAGCAGGATAAGGCGCCGTCCATTTCCGCAAGTCTAGACGCAGAGCTATCGTTGCACACGAGTCCCATGCCGACGCCGCTTTCGAGCGCAACACGGAGAAGCGAAGAGGAAGAAGATGCCGACCTCTTGAACGCGAGCTTGGAGAGTTTGTCGGCGAGGACGCCGATGCCTATTGAGGAGGAGAGTCTGTGGCGGGCTTAGGCCGCCTTAAAAATACCCGCCTTTCAGTACGCTGCCGTACCTTGTTTATTTCAGCACGTTCCTTTTGCGGATGGTGGAGACCTTTGCTTTTGATACCCCATACCCCGATCGCTCCTTTCAGCCTTTCCTCTTTGTCATACTTGCATAAGCGGCGTAAGGAAACATAGCATACATATACCCCCAGATTGCACGGTGGTTGGCGTCCATCAGTCGGGCTTCGGCCCAGTCTTCAGTATAGTGAAATCAATTTGACATTAGACATTAATTAAGTTTTAATATGTAATATGTACTCGAAAAGAATGCCTCGGAGCAATGAGAGCAAACATGTGTCCTGGAAGGGGAAGTCGCCATGCATCGAAATACCCCAAGATGCGTGCTGTGAATGGGAAGTATCTGCCATCGTCTTGCTGGATGCCGGACAACGCGGTGCAGATCGTAGATCAAGGTCAAACTTGAAGTCCTCCCGAATAGCATACACAGAAGCTAAAGTCATGCTGAGCCCACCCTATGATAGAACTTTCGAAATTGCAACAGACCCACAAAGAAACGTAGTCCAATGCGATGCGTGTCTTCCAATCTTTCAACACGGATCATATTCCTCTCCGATCCCATTCCCCCACTGTACCGGTCCAAATGAGCCGCGAATTTGCTCTGAAGCCACGCTGCCCCTGCTCCCCTTCCTGCTGTGAGAGATTGGAGCCATACTTTCACTGCTCCCAATCCTCATGTAAGTCACTGGTCCAGAACCCGAAGAAAACGACCCATAGGTCCGTTGGGAATGCAATGGATTGAAGTGCTCCTCGGAGCGTCTAAGCCAGCGCGCCGTTTCGGTATCATGACTGCCCAGCTGTCCGGAGCGTGCGTCACGGTTATGGATGTATGTGACAATAGCGATCGAGAGGAACGTGTAAACGGCTAGGAAGGGGAAGATGATGATAGAGAGGAGAATCTCGATTCCGGAAGGGTGTGATTGGGGTTCAAGGACGTCCTCGGGTTCATTGGACTCATCTAATGGATTTCCAAGAGCTTCCGATAACAGCGCCTCATGTGTTGATGTCGGAGGGGCCGTCTCGTCTGCTGTTGCTGGTCCTTCTGCTACTGAGGGAGCTTCTTCCGTGTAGTCTTGCGTCAGGCTGCCTTGTCGCGCCAGAGGCGACGGTTCCCTTCTCACTTGCCTGGCGGGTTGATGCCCGGAGCTCCGCCTCCTGAGAGTTTGCACCGTTAGCTCCGCTTCGGGACAGCGCCAGCAGTCTCGCAGGTCGATGAAAGATGCGTTTCTCTTCATATGAGGTTTGTGACCGCCGGGATAATTGGGTCGGGCAAATGGCTGGTAGGAGGGTCCTCTGAAGGTGCCCATGAGTTTGTCGGGGGAGTCGTTGGATATCATGATGTCTGAATTATGGAGTGACTGTGAGGTGTTGCGGGAGATGCTGACTTGGTATAGTTCCGCGGCAGTGTGTGAAGCTTCGATTTGAGGTTGTCTCGCGGCGCTGTGGGCAGGTCTAGGTCGGCGTGGTTTCTTGAAAGCCATATGCGGCAAGCACGATCGCCGCTTAGGTGGCACATACAAAGCAGCGTTTGGTGTTGATGGCAGAATCTTGACCTTTGGGACTTCACCGAGCAGCGGAAGTGAATGGCGAACTTCTGGGGTGGGAGGCAGGATGTTTATTCGCGGAGCTTTGAAAGGCGCCGACGGTGTCTGTGATATTTCTGGGGTAGGAGGTAAGACGTTGACACGTGGGATCGGAACTGGAAAGGGCGATGGAGGCGATTCTGGCTTCCACAATGAGACCCGGACAACCCTTTCGGCGCTCTTGGTGCGCTTCATGAGAACTCGTCTGCATCTCCGAAAATGGGCTCTATGGGGAGACGTTTTCTGAACAGTAGACCGAGGAGATGATGTTTCGGAGAGGAGGGTAGACAGGCTGGAGCTTGAATCCATGCTTTCGGGAGCGGCGACTCTCATGGCGGGTCCACTATTGGATCTGTCTGGATGTACAGGCGCAGAGGCATAGGCGAGGTTGTCGCAATACGTGCGTGTGTTGGCAGTGTAGTGGGAAACGGGTTTTGAGTGCCTAGGAAGCCAAATGTGTTTCGATACTGTGCATCTGTTGGGAGCCTTTTCCCGGGTGTTTGAATCGATATATTGTAGGTGATTAGGTTTGCGTTGGGCATGAGTCCGGGAATAATAGTGTCGTACCGGTGGCATGCGAACAATGTCCGAATAACTTCCTTCTACAAACCCAGCCTGTTCCGTGCGGCCTTACAACAAGAGATAGAATGTTATGGACAAAGCGTCTCGCTGGATTGCTTGTGTTCATGTGTCACTGGCCGTCAAAGGCAGATCAGTACCGCACATGTGCTCATCGATCTCAAAGTGGTCGGCCAGTATCCTCCCAACTAATCGGATCGCAGTCGATGACGCCCCATGGTGCATGTAAGGCCACTTTGGTTGTATTACATTGGTTACCGTAATCGTCAAACCTGGGGGTGAGGCTCCGCAGGGGGAGTCTCAACAGAAAAGGCACATTTCGCCGCACCTATTAATGTGCCCGCTTACTCATTGGAAGGGATGTGTTCATAGCGAGACTTGTCGACCATCACCGCCAACCTAGTGTCGCGTCTCTGCGAGTAGAAAGACACATTCTTCTCCCTCTTCGCGCCGTGTCTTCGATACTTCTTACGCAAGACGGTGTTCGGCCAACAGTGAGGCCAAGCGAATTCCGCTGCCATCTGAGTCTAGTGCACTTTTCAATACATTCCTCCCTTGACATTAGCCTCAGCATGTGTCGCTCCACGCTCGACGCGCGTGCGTATGCGTACGCGTAAAGCTTTGAAATCCGTGCATGTCTCAAAGTTGACATTGTCGAATGCAAAGAAAAAAAAGCCGAGTATAGTATTAACGTAAGAGTATGTCAGTGATAAAAAGAGGGTGGCTACTCAAAAGCCAAAAAGACAAGTTTTCCGTTACCGGGAATCGCTAGTCAATATTAGTTATTGTGATCGTTTGGCAGATCGAACTGGCGCAACTTACAACCCGGCTCTCGTCGGAGGCTGACATTGGCTCAAGAGCTGATGAAAGCGACGGATGCTAGCCGATCTGAGTTGAATTAGGACGTGTTTGACTGAAGCGGATGGCAGTCAACACTTACACACCATAACGGATGACCGTATTTGATTGGATGGCAAATTCTCGAATTCGTAAATATATGTGCCAATGTCGTTGCACCCATGTGGCAGCGTGCACATCAGAGGAATTTTCAGTTTACGGCAATGCGATGGCTTGCATGTGGGGTTGTAGATAGCTCGAGTGCGCCTCGCTTGTTAGCTGCGTAATGGCACTAATCATTGGTTCCGTTGGGACCACAATGACAAGCAAGCGATCATGTGTGGCTTACAGCTGCAGGTGCTAGATACTCATTCAAAATTGTACAGTGTGGTGGGTGGGAACATAGATGCTGTCTCGCGCTTCGAATTTATTGTCGCTACTCTGCATGAAAATTTCCCTGTCCTTCAGGACTGTGGCCGGCTGTTGTAGGAAAAGGGACGAGTCCTAAACAGAAGTGTAGCGTCAAAAGCTGGATGAGATATCGTGGATTTCACCCTCCTAAACCTATCTTGTATGTGTATACCTCTGTGGGAATGATATTTGTAGCAGAGGATTTATCCTCCGTTACCAATCCTCTTCCCTAACTAAACTACCATCGATCCAGGATCTGAAGGGACTGGTTGTAGGCTTAGATCCCATTGGATCCTCAAGTTGGCAAGATTGATTCAAAGTGCCCACCTGACACTCTTCGCATCCCCGTTGCTCAAACACTGCGAGCCTGTGCAATCCGTCGAGCATGGACAGGCAGGATACATTGCAAGCTACATCCAGAGTGTCAATATAATGACCAAATAGGACATCTTTCTACGATTTGAATAACAAGGAGGCAGAGTCAACTACCTATGGTATGTACGCCTTGTGCCTAGCCCGTCTAATAACAAAATCGAACGAAGACGGGAGCGAAAGTGGCGCATTCGAAATTGCAGAAGTGTGCGGATGAGAAGCGTGAGTTGGAAAGGACAAAGTACATATTGGACCCGAGGTCAACAGACAGTTCAAGACACGATGCATCACTGACCTTCCCATAGGCTGTACAAGTTGATCAGAGAGAGGTCACGCGCCGGGGAGGAATAGAAGCTTCTTCAAATCTTGTTCACGTTGTGGCCCCTTGACCGGACGATCATGCAACGAGCAGGGTCTGGGAGCGATGTGGAAGTTCACTCATGGCTGCATTCGAACGTGCGAGGTGTCATCCTGGGCTCGGACGAGTGTCATGGAAAGGTTGTCACTCTGTCTCGACCGCTAAACATGCGAATTGAAAATCCAGTCATGGAAAATTGAGCTATTGTTTGAACCTGATGAAGACCCTTTGAAGCCAATGCGAAAAGGATGGCAGTGGTTACGAGTGAGTAAGAGGTCATGAAGCAGAGTTCTTAAGAGCTTCAGTGGCTGACTGGGAGCGCCCTCTAGCTACGACGTACACTTCATTACTGACATTCCACGAGTCCTACCTTTGCTCACTCCCTGCCCCTGCAAGCGTCCTCCACCCTTCCCATTGAATCCCTCATCCCCACCTCGTACCCCAAAACACCCCACCCCACACCCAAGACCTATCCAAGACTTATCCAAGACCATCCAATAGTCTACCGTCTCATCTCACGAGTCAACAGAGCGCAGACTCCCGCGGACTACTCTCCACAGGCATCAAGATCGCGAATCCGAGCGACTAGAACCCCATCCGCTAAACACGCAACTTGTTAACAAGTGTAAAACCTTAGCTCGCAACCACGCGGCAGCCTTCGCGCAACAGCGAGCGCCACAGAGTGCCGAGAACCGAGTAGTGATCGGAGAACCGCGCGTGCAGCTAGAAAGAAAAGTCCCACAGCGGATGTTACGTCTCGTTGGCGGACACGTTGGGCAGAAAAATGCTGTCTGTCCAGTACGCGGTGCCAGTAGTTGCTACCCTCAGTAAAAGAAGAGCCGCAGAGCCGCGTACCTTCATCTTACGCGCGAGACCATCGATTTGACGCGCGGTACCTGAGCTACGCAACCAAATCCACGGTCCGCATTCCTCCGCGCATCAATACGGCAGGAGTATCCGCGCCCGCATTGCTGACACTACTGGGAAACGAACGAAGGATGCGAAACAAAACGCCGGGAAACGCCCCAGGTGCCGGCCTTAACCCTCGCGTAGATCATCCGCGTCCGAAATTGCGCTTTGCTTCGCGAATCGCGAAATCGGGATTCCTATGACCCGTGCACCACGGACAAAGTGCTGACGAGGCGCGCCGTTGGGCTACCAGGCTTTAAAAGTCTAATTGCAGTTCACACTAGCAATGCTCGTCGCATGGAGCGTATTTCATTCGCATGGATGTACCCGTTTGTTCATAATCAAACAGGAGGGAGTGCACATACATTGGGCAGGGCAAGCGAAGTGCATATGCAATGTGGTGTACTATGATGCAAGATGCTTTGACACATGTACTGGCTATGCACAGGAGTTCGTTAATGCTGCCTGACTGCGAGGACAGCAGTGGCCGTAGTATACAAATGCGACTTTTGAGGACTCAGTGTCCACCGTGCCCTGCCTGAAGAGGCATTCCACGGAGTAATCAAAGACTAAACCAAACCAAGACATGCAATCCGATATGCTCGCGTGTAAATTCGCTTCAGGAACGCCATGCAGAAGAATGTGATGAGTGCCAGTTGGCAAAAGCCCAATCCCGTTGGCACGCGACCTTGCATGCATTTTGATGATGTTTCAGATGTAACGCCGGCCCATGATGTTGTAATGTGGTACGAGAATGTAAGGAGGTTCCAGATGTGAAGTTACGCGCGTGTAAACCCACCGACCTGGGAACTGCGATCGCCCATGTCATGACGACAGGGCATATGCAAGGAAATCATCGTCCTAGACTTGTTCGACGAAGTGGGATGTTCTTGAAGCGGAGCTGGAAGTCCGACGTTTCTTTTGAAGGCGTTTCGACTGGCGTTTCTCTGCAGCTGGCGCCGGCTGTTCTTCCTCTGGGCTTGGTAGCGTACCCGGGCGGAGGATCTCGAAGCCGGAGTTGACCTTGCGGAGGACCTGGCCGTTGCCGTCACGCTGTTCGTTTTGAGAAGTATTCACCTGAATCGGCATCTCATCGTACGAAAACTGATGCTGCGGACCTTTCGGTTGGTAGACGTCGGGCAGGTAGAATGGTCGTGGTGCATAGCTCTCAAGTAGAGGAACGGCTTGCTTGGCTTGGCTTGCGGAAGGGCTCTCCATGGCTGGTGAGACGTCTTGGGGAGCTGCAGCAGGAGCTGGAGGAGGAGAAGGAGATTTCTGTTGAGGCACAAAATAGTCAACACCATTGACTGTTCCAATTTCTTCAGGGTGCTTAATGTTATCCGCAACACTTGCCCATTCGCCGCTATTACCTGGTCTAAATCGTGGCCGTGGGGTGAGCTGTCCGGTCTCAGCAACGTGGGACATGCGATGGCTTTGAAGCAGATCCAGATCGGTTCGCGGGTCGACGGGCATGTAGTGTGAACGCTGTTTAGGGTTGATGTAGGCGGGTTCGTATGGTCGACGTTCGGGAGACTCAGACTCGTCGCTCGTCCGGCGACTTGATTTGCCAGAGTTCTCGCGGGAGCTTCCCGAGCTAGGTTGGTCACTGATAGGTTCGCGACGCGCTGAAAGAAGCGTTAGTATTAATGCGGAGAGGTGCCATCAAACAAAGACTCACAAGAACAGGGTCCAGAGGAAGGTCCTCCCTCCAGTGCCTGTAACGTTCTTGACATGTTATAGCTATATCTATTCATGGAAACGGGTGGTCGTCCGCGACCGGGTGACGTTGAGCGAGAGTCGTTGGTAAGTATACGTTCGGCGCCAACAGCCATATCGAAGGAGCTAGGTGCTTTGGAACTGGAATTGCTCGAAAGGAGTGCTTGTGGAAGCTCGAGCTGAGAGCTGTTGTGGCTACGCGGGAGCTTGAAGTCGGTAATGGATGAGCGGCTGCTACCAACGGGCGTGTTGCTGCGGGAGATCCAGACACCGTCAACCTCAATGCCGCTCTCAATGGCGCGGATACCGAACGGCACGTCATCTTTGGTCTCTTCGCGCTGTGCTTCCAACATCTCAGGCGTCGGCGCGGCCTGTTTGCCCTTCTCGACCTTGGAGTATTTCGCAATGCGATAACGGTCGTATTGCAGTTTGACGAGGCCTATGAGGATGGTCGCAACCTGGAAGAATTAGCGATGCTGACATGGGAATATTTAGGACGAGTCGTACAATGCCGCAGGCGAGAACCTATCACAGCGTTAGCAGGCAACTACAGATAAACCTGACAAGACAACCCACGAAAGTCATTTTCTGCCATAGCTCCCAACCGTTGAAGAACTCTTTGCCCATGGTTGTGGAGGTAGAGACCGACTAGGATCCAGGGTTCGATACAGTATTGACGGGCGGGGTGGTGGATCGGTCGTCAAGAATGTAGGAAGGTGCAGACCGGAGCAGTTCCGCGAGTCAAACGCAGTCGACGTCAGAAGATCGGGGGACAAGGTGAGGGGTATTAGATACTAGCAACGGTGCTGTAGAGGTGATAGAGGGCTGCCCGGTAGCGGGAGACGCACGATCGGCGTGGATGGCTGAGGGCTAATTAATGTCTGTTCACGCGCCGTTGGAGTGGTTGCCGGATGTCTTGAACAGGAAGCTAGGATGCGGTGCAGCAAGAATCCCGTGACTTGGCAATTGGTCGTCCACGATTGAAGAGCAGCGAGGGACGAGTGCAGACTAGCATTCCAGTGCCAGCAAGGCGGTGAGGAGTCAAGCGAATGTGGAGGTAACGAGTGTGAGAGCGAGCGAGGGAGCAGCGAGGGGAAGGGTGTCACAAGCCGTGATTCAGAGAGAGCATGTGTACTCGCGTCCAAGATATACCTGAGGGTAGCGTGCCAGCCTCGTGCTCTGGGGAGGCGATCCTAGGGTGCGTTTCCTGGGGCGGGGGTGGATTGGCGGGCAGTAGGAGGGGGCATGGGGCAGGAGTCAACTTTATGGGAAGCATCAGGAGACGGCCTACCAGCAGCACCGCGCAACACCAGTTTGTACCAGCATCCACTCTGCAGGAAACAACGGAGCCTGCTGCGATGACATCCTGGTCTGATCCAAGACGACCACTCTGCGCGAGATGCTTCCATGCACGCCATCGCGAGCCTTGGACCGCGCTTGCACCGGAGCGCCAACCGCAGCGGGTGGGCGGCTGGGCGTTATCCCGCTGGCGAACCCAGTCTTCTCGAAATAGACGATGCGATCTGCGAGATCCCAAACGTTGGTCGTCAGGCATCGCCCGTCTAGTTGAGCCATGGTGGCGCCGCGTTGCGGGAAAGAGAGCTTCTGCACGGCGTGTCCTCGTCGTTCTGCTCAGCACCGGTTGTGTGACCACGCACACGCGTGCCGCACTCTATTCCTCGACGGAGATGGGAATTGGAAGACCATCGACGTCTACTCTGGGTGTCGTGGCGCTGTGCACGGTGCAGAAGCGAGCGCGCCATCCAGCCTGTCTTGGACAAGCTGTACGAAGAGCTGGGCAAGCGTATCCGTCTTGGACACGAATGCGCTCGGCTGAAGGTTGGCAAGTCGGCTCTCTTCTCCAATACCAGTACGTTGAACAAGCAACCACCAGCACGCTGCGGAGGGACTCCGTCGAGCGCCGCCTAACCTCCTGGCATTTGGACGTGCCGACGCGGTGCATGCTGCAGATGTGGCGCCGAGCAACGGTCGGGGGGTGCACGCCGCCGCACACCAACTGCAACGTCTCTCGTGCCCTGATCTGCCGTGCCTCTGCTACATGCTCGCAGAAAGTGCAATTGTGACGCAGGTGCCCTTACCGTGGACCTTTGCTTGTCCCACTATGCTCAAGTGGAACATCCATCCATCCGTCCGTGGGGCTTCTCCTCAACACAAGCATGCAATTTCCACTTTCCAAGCACTTTGACACCTGCTTCGCCTGGCACAGCGCCGTTTGCTGCTCGTCGCGCTTAGGGTGCCCGTTGGACCACGATCCATCTGTTGGCTGGCTAGTGCGATGCTACCTCTGCTGGCGTGTCCGATTGCCGTTCGTACCTGGCGGATGACGCCCGCCCAGCCGCCGACACAGAGTGTCCTCTATGGCCTTGGACCATGGTCGGGAGCACAGCGTCAAAACGCCGTATTGATTTGCGCCGCACCGCCTTGTGTAACTGCAGCCCGAACAGCTCTCACCGCTTCCTGTACGTAGCCGCGAAAGAGTAGACTTACAGCCTTGGCCCTGGACCATCTACGAATCCTTCGTGCGAGTCAAGATCATACATCTTGCATACTTCCAATATTAGCGACATGACTGTGTGTCCAGTGAGTGGTATCGATTGGCGAAGACGAGAGATCCACAACTGTTTGCAGTCTAGTGATGCCCAAAACACTAGTTACGCCTCGCTTCACGTTGCCAGCCTGTCGATGTTAATCGCCGCAATGGACTCAGATCACTCCAGACCAATGCACTGGCGCCTGCTATGACGGCCACATTTGCACTATGTACAGCGTATATCGCTCCGAGGCCCCATTCTATCAGGCTAACCTCAGCAACTTGAAATAGTTTCACAGTTTAAATCTTGCACAGAGCTCACACGAGACGAGTATCGTCGTCACTGGCTCCGTGGCCAACTCTTCCCACTAAAGGCATAAAGCAAGCTGACTTGTTGAGTTTCTCGACACCTACATTCAATAGTCAAGTGGAAGATCACAATAAGTCTGTGGTTGTACGGAATTGATGACTATGGAAGACATGCTCGCTTGTGCCTGAATTACTTTCGGACCGCTGGCATGTCTCAGATCTTTGCAGGGCCGTGAAAGGGCCTGCCCTGACAACTGTACCAGCTTCCGCAGGGACATGCTGCGAAGAACACTCGTTACAGCCTTGTTCCATGTAGACCGCTTACGCCAACGACATCCACCCATGTAAATAGGAAATATGCCCGGAAATAGCATGTAGCCTGGAAAGGAGAACCACAATGAGTTTCTCGACGGAACCTCTTTCTTCACCGTCTGATCGAGCTGAACGAAGTACCCTACCTCGACAGGCGCAAGCGAGCATCGATCAGAGCCTCAATATTCCTTTGTACAACATTGGACAGCTGAGCAGCATCTGCCTCGTACTCTTATGTTCTAGTAGATTCACCATTACAGCTAAGGCGATAACGTGACTGGATAGTTGGAAAGGTCTTCTACTTTGGGTAAGTCCCAGGCGGCTTGATGGATGTGGTGTATGCTCAGAAGCCCCCCGCGCAGCATCAACAGCTCACCTAGGATCCGAACAACGTAAAATGCACGCTGTCACGCAGCATGCAAGATCTGGGATCCAGAAGCAGCATCAATGGTCCTTTCAAACAGTTCTGCGCCGAATGTTGGAAGGCGCGGTCAAGAGTCACTACTGAAAACCAAGGTTCGACCAGAATCCCCGCACAGTGTATGCATACGGACTTGGCTATAGCTGCAAATGCGGGCTGCACGCCGTGTTTTGCATGTTGCAGCGAGCCTCGCCAAAACGTTTGTGATCCGTGACATGGTTGCAGGGCCGCGTGGGTTGACCATGTGATATCGAGATGGGCGCTTCGACAGAACTTCAGGCCACGGGCTGCCGTGCCGTCGTAGCATGGTGTGGCGATAGGCTCCTCCGACTGCGGAAGCACGAGACCGTCATTGGCCGGGAGGAATGTGCGCGAGTACTGTAAGAACGGAACTTGGGGCTGAGGAAGGTTTTCGCGGTGCACCAGCTGAGCAAGCCGAAAGTCTGGTTCCTGACTCCAGTTTTCGTTTCATGCAGGGACCGGCAACAAGAACGTGTGAGGCTGCGCGGTCCCTGTTTCAAAAGCCTGTGGATGCGATGATCGTGGTCAAAGCAACTCAGCCGAGAGAAACGCAAGAGTGCCGTTTCGCACCGCGGTACCAAGACTTGCAGAGAGCAAAAAAATGTCTTCACCGTTGAAGAGTCCAGCCGGGCAACAGATGGCCAGAGGATGAGGCCGGGGCATCCGAGCCCGACCATGTGCCGAGGCGATGCTCTGCCCTCATTCGGCAATGCTTCACGTCACCAAGGCCAGTTCTAAGCCACTGCAACCCAAGCCACTTCATCTTTCACAACTCGGTGCACAACCGCCCCTCCAGACCCCCCACCTCTCCGCACTCTATTATCGCCGTTTTCGTTTGCGCCATGCCTATCCGCAATCCCTTCCGCCGCACTCCGGGCGCTGAGGTCGTTGACGATGCCAAACACGACAACGACGCTGGCACCAAGCCTCTTCAGATCAAAGAACCCACCGAGTACAAACTGAGCGGTACGTTCTGCGCCGGAAGCGCCATGTTTCTAAATTCTGGGTTGAGAAGCTGACACCTTCCAGAGATCAACGATAGTGGTGTCTACCTACCTGTAAGACTGCATCCGATAGTGGCCATGTCTACCGTTCCGGAACTTGACTGTGACATGTCTGTACTCCAGTGGCGCCTGTTCTGACACACGCTGCAGCCATCACCAACCGAGAAGCCCACGTTCTGGCATTCCAAGTCCAATGTCTCCACCACATCTTCCAACCACAGGAGCCTCCTAAGCGAGAACGAGCCCTTTAGCATCTCGCGAGAGAGCTTTGATTCCTACAGGAGATCATTTGTACGTCTGCACCAGGCCTGTACTCTTAACGCGGAACACTCATGGTAGCACAGGACATTTCCGCACGTTCTCCCATCCCGGATTGTCTGGACCCGCGGACGCGCCAATCTCTCGATGCTCGCAGGTCGCTCGACACCCGGCGCTCGCTCGACGTGCGCCGCTCGCGGGCCCCACCGAGGGCGTCGTTACAGGAGCGCCGTCCCGGCAGCAGCACAAACGAGGGCGTGCCCGAAGAAGGAGGCTTCGAGGACGTCGGGCTGAACGATGAGCCGAAGCCACAGCCGAAGAAGCGTGGCATCTTCTCGCGATTTGGCGATAATCACGATGCCGACGTTGCAAAGGAGGATAAGCCGGCCAGTCACCACCACTTCACATTCACGGGTCGCAAGAGGGCACAGAGCGGCGGTCAAGGATCTGAGATGAAGAGCATGTCGAAACCGTCGACTCCACAACCGCCCACGGCCGAGGCTGTTGAGGCACGTTAGATTCCCACTTGACATGTTGACACGATACGTTTGGAGTACGATCGGCATCGCATCGTACTGGCACGGGAAGCCTATTAGAGTCTTGATTGACAGGCGTTTGGCTGACACTGGCGTTAAGAAGATTGGGTTTCCGCAGCATATCCAGCATACTGGGAGGTTCGGCTGCATACAATCGCTACCCCACGCTACATACGCTTTGTAGCGTTCTTGCGAGGACTCACGAGCTCCTATCTAATAATCAATGTTAATCTTCGCATCTTGCTACTGCGCGCAACATCGTGGGTCCCCAGCTTTTGCAAAGTTACAGCACGTGGTTTGCGGTATGGAACCTTGGTTCTGCACGGGAGTCGTTGATTCCGGTTCCGTTGGTTCCGTGTGCGTCATTGTACGCTAGCGCAGGTCGCTGTGGGGGGCGGGAAGGAAGGTTTGCCAGTTTCCCTGTCGATCGTATCTTATCGCGGGGTTAACTAAGGATGGCAACGGCTGATAGTCAACCACCTTTGGAACCATTCAGTTGGTGTAAGTGAAGCTACAGGACGTGCTACTTACGTGTTCAACCATTGTGAAAAAAAGTCTGCTTCGCGGATTTGCTTTTAGAAGGGACCCATAGTATGTATATACATGGATGTCCTGAACGTACTACAATAGAATGCAAATGATCGTTGCGCTGCAAACCATGACACTCAATCATGCTGCTATACAACTCCAAGACCTCTCCCATGGGAAACATGAGCCTACTACTCTAGACCGATTATGCAGTGCGAGCGCCCCTACGTATAGGTTACTACATAGCTCAATTAGTTTAATATTTGTGACTCGATCTGCGAGTTGGTGTCGGTGATGCCACGACAATTCAATCGATTTCATGAATATCTCACTGTACTCACTGTATTCGGCTAAAATGGCCTGTGAAGAGCATGGACTAGTATACAGAGAACACGACTATGGTCTCATCGCGTCCCCTTCGCACATTATCATCGACTACTATCTGACGAGCTTGAGGAGAAACGTTGAAGAACTGAGAGCGTTCATCCCATTCACAGAGACCTACAGAAATGTAATGCCATATCTGGGAAGTAATATCGTAGGAACACCCGCGAGAATCTATGGACATGAGCGTACCGTGAGGACCTACGACGCCGTTGAACTAATTGCGTTCCGCTTTCTCTGTTCAATACTTCTTATTCTATAACTCGACAGATATCTCATAATGTGATCCCTACACTTGCGACGGTGCCTTATTGATTGATCGGACCAAGGCAGTTCGTACGACCAATGCGTGCACTGCTGAATTACTCCTGATGGCTTCTGAACTACCAGTGCGTCCGTTACACAAACAAGTTTGGGTTGGCAATATGTCAGTTACTCAAGCATGTTCCGATGGTGCATGATAATCTGCACTAGTACAAGGTTGTTACTCCTTTGAGGGATGGAGCCAAGAGAGTGAGGGCGGAGTTCAGAGTACAATTGCAGAAGGACGAATTCAAACTTCTTCACCTAGACTAAGTCCAAGTATCCCCTGCACACTGGAAAGGATGCTGAGATTTGCTGTGTCAACTTATCAAACCTTTGACAGTGCAATCACGCGTCCCTACTGATAGTTGCGACATTCATTTAGAACAGCGCGTGCGATCGACTGGTGTGTGTATGTAGTTCGACGCATGGCGGGGTTGAGATATGGAAGCCATGCGGCCCCGGGAGCAACTGATCATGTGATAGCGCGTTCCACGCTAAAGCCGCACTGACAATTCAACGCGTTGTCTTCGCCACCTTCCCAGGCTTCTTCTTCCCACCAGCTCCTAGCGACCTTTTACCACTCCAATATCTTAACGTCTCCGTGCCAGCACCATGAGTAACGAAGAAGAGCAATATGACGAGAGCGCAATGGGTGCACCCGGTGCTCCAACGCCTGTCTCCGCGCTCGAGGTACGCGTCGTCGCATTCGTACGGCGGCAAGCGCAAAGCTAACAACAGTACGTAGGGCATCAATGGATTGACTGCACGAGACATTAAGCTCATAATGGAGGGAGGTTACAATACTGTCGAAGCCATTGCATACACGTAAGTATGGTGCCCCGCATAGCGAGTAGTGGCTAATGGGAGACAGACCTAAACGGCAGCTTGAGCAGATAAAGGGCATATCGGAACAGAAAGCAGGCAAACTCCTGCAAGAAGCCGCAAAGCTAGTACCAATGGGCTTCACCACCGCCACAGAGATGCACCAGCGTCGAAGCGAACTTATCTCAATAACGACCGGATCGAAACAGCTGGACACCTTGCTCGCAGGTGGCATTGAAACTGGTTCTATAACTGAGATCTTCGGCGAGTTTAGGACTGGAAAGAGTCAGATATGTCACACGCTCGCGGTGACCTGCCAGCTGCCGTTTGATATGGGCGGTGGCGAGGGCAAGTGCCTGTACATTGATACTGAAGGCACGTTCCGTCCGGTTCGTCTACTTGCCGTCGCAAACAGGTACGGTCTGTCCGGAGAGGAGGTGCTGGACAACGTCGCGTATGCCCGCGCGTACAATTCTGACCACCAGCTGGAGCTCCTCAATCAAGCCGCGCAGATGATGACTGAGACACGTTTCTCATTGCTTGTCGTCGACTCTGCCACTTCGCTCTACCGGACAGATTTCTCTGGTCGTGGAGAGCTCTCAAGCCGTCAGACTCACTTGGCCAAGTTCATGCGCACGCTGCAACGGCTTGCTGATGAGTTTGGCATCGCGGTCGTCATTACCAACCAGGTCGTGGCCCAAGTGGATGGAGGACCAAGTGCAATGTTCAACCCTGATCCGAAGAAGCCTATTGGTGGCAACATCATCGCTCACGCAAGTACGACACGTCTTAGCTTAAGGAAAGGTCGAGGAGAAACGCGAGTGTGCAAGATCTACGACAGCCCTTGCCTACCTGAAAGCGACTGTCTGTTTGCCATCAACGAGGACGGTATCGGGGACCCCAAAGAGAAGGATCTCGAGAATCATTAGTCACATCTCTGGGCGCAGCGAGGCGCAATGGGGAGATACGAGTTTTTTCATAATGCATAGGCGGCGTAGACGGGGGCATGGGTACATTTGGTTGGCTGGCTTTCTGAGCAGGCGTTTTCTCTGTGTTATGTTGATATGCTATTGCGCAGATATCCTTGCAAATATACGATGTCTTGATGAATCGGGCTGGTAGTGATCAGTCCAAGAGGCTATGCTTGGACAGTCATCTGAGCCTCGAAAACAATGGTCAAGTTTAGTAAGACGATGTTGAGAACGATGATTGCAGCATTCGAGCGAGTCCACTCAAGTGGCTCGTGCGCGCGATGAAGAGGCCCAAGCTCTGCAGCTGCACTGCGAAGCTCCGAATTTGTTTGGATATGCGCGACTCTGAACCTCAAGCTGCACCCCAACTCACCGCGCACACCTCCGATTGAGCTCCACAAACCCGGCGCATGGGATCGCGATGGTGAGGAACGCAGGCACTTGCCTCTACAAGGAGGCACGACTCAATATCGAGCCCGCGTTCCCTGGATCGACTATCTCATTTACACTCCCCGCAAAGAGCGCGAACGCAATCGGCTTCTCGACGCGACCGAAGCGCACCGTATACGACGAGAAAGACACAGGAAGTGACGACGATGCATTCACCAAGCGGCATCTGGCCAATGATGGTTCAGTATACTTCCGACGGCGTCACACGTACCCGCGCAGCTTTCTCTGGCGCATGCTAGATGAAAGAAAAACACTTGAAATCCAGGCGGTAGACTTGGAAAACGATGAACGTAGCACGCATGAAGCAGATCTGACGTTGCTTCTGCACTTCAGCTCGCCTATCCGCCCATTCTGCGTCGCATTCGCCGAACAAGAGGACCAAAACTCGATTACCGTCTTCGCGATCACTACCACCAATGAGCTATATACGATGTGCATACCCTGCGCATTCTTTAGTAAAGAGGTGGCATCAGAGGTAGAGATCGAACATTGGTGCAAACGTTCCACGCCTGCCTTGCTTCATGCCAACACCCCATACCGCCTTGTCGCAGTCGGTATCGACCAGCTACTGGTTTCGTTGGATAACGGAAGCATATTGCGTCTCTTGAGGGAAAATAAGGACGACATACTATGGACGGAAGCGACTTTCCAGCACAGCAATTGGTCGCTGACATTGCGCGGTGTACTACCATGGAAGGGACAACAAACGGTGCGCTTTGGAAACACAGACCTGGTGGCATCCACTGCGGCAAACATGTCACTCTCACCTGACGGCAGCCATATCATATGCGTATGTTTGGACCACACTTTGAGAATGTTCAACCTGCAGTCTGGAAGAATGACGAGGCAACAAGACCTTCTAGACATTGAGGACGATGCGCAGGACCGGAATCAGTCACATCTTCTTGGATCATCGCAACCCAGGCTGATGCAGATAGTAGAGGTCACAGGTGCCGCAAATGTTTCCTACTTTGTGATCGTATACTCCCCGATTCGACACGAGTTCAAATTCTACGGTGTTCGATCGTCAGACGCAGCTCCCGAAGCCTTTGTCGATATACAGCCTGACTTCTCCTTCGTCCCTCCGATTGACGATCTTATGAACGCAACAGTGTGGACTTTAGAGGAGTTCTTCATTGTGCCTTCTGGCTCTGGCTGGAAAGGTACAACACTTTGGCTCCGCGCGCGGTCGGGTCCAAGCAGCAGAGTCTTTTCAATCATGTTCGATCCGTCTGACGATTCGGAACGGTTGCCCCGCGTTTGGCATACTGATTGGACGACCGTAGATTCTGGTCCGCTTACCATCGAAGGATTAAGAAAGGAGCCAACAAATCCTGGAGAGCAAGACTGGGATGCTTCAGAACTCTATGAGGTAGATATCACTGAAAAGTGGCTGGACTTTCTCTTCGTTCCTGGACGGTTCACGATCGCCACACTAGAGACTGCGCTCTTCATCTTACGGAAAGGACTGGACGGTGATCGCGGACCAGCTAGGCTTAAAGGGTTGTTGAAGGATCGATTATGCGCAACAATTGCGGAAGCAGCCCGAAAGCACGCCCCAGAAGATACTACAGAGAACTACGAACAGTTGATCGCCATACAGTGGGACGCCTATTATGGTTTGGTCAAGGACTTGCACAAACGAAGAGGAGAATCTCTCTCTTTAGCATATGACCCTGTGGCGGATCAGCCATGGGTAGTCTTGAGCGATTGCTTGTCCGCCATCCGCAAGTGTAGTGAGCCGGAGTCTATCCTGAACAATTCAGATGTCCTCACGAATAGGCTTCACCCGAGTGGGCCTCTGCGCAAAGCTTTGCAGAAGCCGGAAGCACAGTCTCTAGAAGTACGTCGGTTACTAAACGCAGCCTCTTCGTTCCGACGACGCTTGCCGGCATCATTTCAGCGAGATCTAAAGCGAGATCTTCATGCAGACCTACTACAGAGTCGCTCTGTTACTGTGATCGACCGAATGGAACAGATGGAAGCGGACTGCGACCTCACCTCGGTAGTGACTGAGGATGACCTAGCCTCTCTCATTGAAGATCTCGGCAACGGCATCAACCATCTGAGCACCGAAGTTTTCCAAAGCGCTATAAGGGCTCTGAAATTCGAGAGAAAAGGTGGTCAGCCTAGGTCAACACAGTCTGCACGATATGGACTGAAAGCCTTGCTGAGAATAGCATCAGAGACTCTGGACTTCAACTACGAGACTTTGCTTGATCTGCTCGTGCTCATCTTGTTCATGCAGTTCGAGGAGGACATATCAGATGATTTCGACGCGTCAGTAGTCTTCTTCGACCTCATGAACGAGTTCAAGGACTGGATTGTTTTGGATTGGATTGCGACAACTGTCTGGTCGCACCAAACGCCTACTGGTAGGAGCTCGACACGTTGGATGAAGGAATTTCATGATGCTTCGAAAACGTCTTCGAGATTTCCCATCACTCAGACTGCCCTTGAAGGCATGTTCGGCTACGGTGCTACTTCAATTCCGATGCCCGGCAATCTAAAGACTGGGTTTCTCACGTATTGGGGCCAGGGCTGGCTAGCATCGATATTCTCCGCGCAACAAGGCCAGACTTTCGATTCGGTTGTGGAGGACATGATGGGCAAGCTCCTGTTCCAGAAGGAATACGACCTCGCAAAAGACTTCTCTAAGTTCTTACCGGAGAGTAACTGGGCAAGCTACCTGAAAGGTCGGATGCACATTACGCTTGGGGAGAACGAGCTGGCATCTCTATGTTTTCAAAAACCAGCCTATAATCTTGGTAAGTTTCTGAAGCCATGCTGATGTGCGTGTCGCTAACCTTGTCAGCTCTCGGAATTGGTTTTTCAGTAGACATGGCGGACACAGCGCGACTAGTTCCAGAAACGGAGCAGGATCTGTTCTCCGACGGTCTACCGAAATACTATAGTCATGTTCTAGGTTTGTTTGAGAAGGCAAAGGCTTACTCTTTCATGGCCGATTATGCTCGACTTGGCCTGAACTCGATGATTGGATTTGAAGACGAGATTTTGAGGACCGAACTCTTGCAACGTCTTTTTACAGCTTCGATACAAACATCACGATTCGAAGAAGCATATACTGCTATGACCAGGCATTCAGATTCGGCATTGTAAGTACAGTCCTTGTCTAGTAGTACGCTCATGCTGATCTATGTTTAGGAAACTGTCCTCACTCAAGAGCCTCGTCACCTCCATGGTTGCGCAAGCGCAGACTGCAGCGCTTCTTAAATTCCCTCTCGTAGGCCTTGTTGAAGAGATGGACACCATCCTCTCCGACTTATGCCAAAAGACACTCAACATCGGGTCAGGCCCACCTTATCATCAGATTCTATACTCTTTCCGAGTCTCTCGGGGCAACTTCCGAGGGGCAGCAACGATCCTTTACGAGCGCCTACAGCGACTCAAATCCACATCATCGAAAATCCACGATCCGGCTGATGAGTCCCTGATACATTGCTATCTGATGATCATCAATGCATTGTCATCGGTGAGCCCACAGGATGCTTACATCCTCGCAGATCAGCGTATTGATGAAGGAATACCTCAATTCTTGCATGGGCCCATTGGCACGGCGAAGAAGTTACTCAAGCGGCACATCGTCACGCTAGATACACTAAGAAAGGAATACCAGGCGGAATTGGACCGCGTCGCAGCTATTGAGAATGGGCACTTTGCTTTCATGGACCCGGCTGATGAGATGGATATCCTGTAAGAGTAATTGACGATTTAGCCTGGCGTTTCTTGCGGGTCGGGAGGGATTGAGCATCTGATGGCATTATGCGCGGCATCGGCGCGTTCAGCGATAGGGCTATGGCCATTGCAAGATTTTAGATAGTATTACTGCTTGAACAGCATACACAAAGACGTTCAGAGACGAAGGTGAAAGTGAGCTAAACGCCAACGAGGCGCGCTATGACCCGTTGCGGGGGTGGGACGCGCCAACGCGCCTTCCCGCCGCATTGAGCGCCATAACCCAGCTGCGTGAGCTTTGTCGTGCCCACCACCTGCTTCCCCGGCCGTTGCATGTCGCATGCTAACCCACGGTTCACGTCGCATGAGTTGTCCACTCTTCTCCACCCTCTTGCTACTTCTATAAAACTCTAATTACCCTACACATTGCATACGATAACATGGTAAACAACGCCGCAAGACTCGCTTCTTCTAGGATAGGTAACTTACACTTGACCTCACAGAACTCCAAGTCACTGCGCCGTCTCGCCGCGGACCATGGTTCGCTCCACACCGCCGGGCTACCTCCGAACTATCTCTTCCCGCCTTCGCAAACAGCCGATCCACTCTCCGACCTAACATCGCTCGACATCCTGCTCGCAGGCCCCGTTGGCACTCCCTATGCGCACGGCGTCTGGCGACTTCACCTCGATATCCCTCCTACATACCCTACAGCCCCGCCCACGGCTACTTTCCGCACGCGGTTATGGCATCCAAATATCGACGAAGCAACAGGCGCCGTATGCGTGGAGACGCTAAAGCGCGACTGGAGCAGCACACTTAAGCTGCGGGATGTCTTGGTCACTATCTCTTGCTTGCTTATCCAGCCGAATCCGGCGAGCGCGCTCAATGAAGCTGCGGGGAAGTTGGCGAGCGAAGACTGGGATAGCTTCTGCCGGAGAGCGAAACTCATGACGGAGATACATGCAGCTATTCCTAGCAACATCGTGGAGGAGGTCAACAAAGCTCAGAGCAGGGGTGATGAGAAGGAGGTCGTAGCCGAAGCAAAAGCAGTCGAATCCAAGATCAAAGGGAATGGAAAGGCTAAGGCGACACTGACGGCAACGAAAGTCCGCCCATCAAGTAACGAAGACGAGGAGAACCTGCGGCATGAGAACACGAACGCGAAGCTAGAAAGTGACCCGGAGGACGATTGGATACCAGGGCCTCTCAAATCCTCGCACACACCTCGTGTCGGGCGCAGCAACGTCTTCGGAATCCAGGGTCTCGACTCGCCCGCAAGGCCAACAGTTACGCGTGGCTTCCAGCAGAATGATGACTCCATTTCATCAATAGACAAGGAGAACGATGATACAGACCCCTTCATCCAGGACCCGTGGAAACGCATCGCTAAGCAGTCCTTCAGTCTCCGCCTTCCGTCCGAGCCAAAGCCTGCCCCCGACGTCACAGATACTCCTGAACTCCTCAAATTCTCCGACAAGAACCCTTTCTCCGCCATACAGCCGAATAACCAAACACATCCTCTCCTCAGGGAGTTCTCGTGGTCGTGGGAAGAGTCTGAGATCATGCATGAGACGGGCAGCATCGCGAACGGAGAGTCCAAGGCGAATGTACGGAAGAGGCTGGCTTCGGATGAATTTGAGAAGAGGCGCACGTGGGAGCTCAAGAAGTTCAAGAAAGCAGGATGTGATTTGAAGAAGTACAATCGCGGCGACTTTGGTCCAAGAACAGGCATTCACAGGCTGTGATTGTTCTGTTAGCTCGTCAAAGAACAACGGAAGTCTGAGTTTTGGCTTGGATCAGTCACCGCGGCATCGGTTTGCATGACGAGGGTTGCGAGGTTGGAGTTTTAGGTATTTAGGCATAGCATTGCTTTGGCGTGCGATATGCCAAGTGTCTTCTTCTTGCCATTTTCTTGCTTTGAGCATCTTCGGCGGCGTTATATACCTCAAAATGAAGGCTTGCATTGGGGTCTTGGTGTAGCCATGGGTTCAGGCCTTTGGACTTGCTGTCATCGTATCGGTCGCACGATTCAACGCAATGGGCGTGGAGGGCACCCCTGAAATGCTGTTTTCGTACCTTAGATATCCAACGTGTTCGCTCCAATTCACTGCATTTGGAGGCACATGCTTCGCGCACTCAAACGTGACAGAATAACAGTGGACTCATTTCAGATTGAACATAGAGAAAATTACCCTGCAAAATCTCACTTCTTCCCCCAAAGCGGATTCGGCTGATACTGCAACTCCATCTCCCCAAGCAACCCCTCAGTCTCATCATCTACCTTATTCGGCGGCGTCCTGGTCTCGCCTCTCATCACCTCAATTAAGCTGATTAAAGGCATAGCTAGCAACAATAGCGGAAGCAATTGCCCATAACTCCAGTCCTTCTCGCTGCTTCCTACAAGTTTTACGCTAGCCGGTGCTGTGCCAAACGCCTGGCTGACCATCACAACGCGCACCGTGGCGCCGACGCCCATGGCGATCAGGATGACGAGCCCGACAACCTGCACTGACTTCAACCAGCGAGGATTTGTGCGTGTGTGCAGGTAGAGCGTGGAGAGGACGAAGACGATGACCTGGCCAGCGATGACGGCAATAGTGCCGGTTACACTGAGCGCGGCGTTGGACGAGGCCGGCCTTTTCTCGACTTCCCAGACACAGGCGATGGGCAGCATAGGCTCCAAATCCTTCATCACGCTCTGCAGGATGAAGATGCCCGAGAGCACGCCGAGCAGCATATTCACCAGCATGAAGAACTGCCGCAGCCAGCGGAGGACCCAGTCGCGCTTGAAGTCGTTTACGAGAGCGAGAAGAGTAGCTAGATTCGTCGCGGTAGAGAGCAAGGAGAGCAGCCAGATGATGAAGAAGTGGTAGGGTACCATGGTGTTCATTTTCGCGAGGCCGATGGACTGGATGCCGATTCCTGTGATGATCTGCTGGTCGCTGAAGGAGAGGAGGAGTTTTCGACATATTGGGGCGGAAGTCGACTTGCGCAGGCCGAGGAGGATGATGACGGCGGCGAGGAAGATGGATATGAAATTCGTTATTATGAAACTGAGCAGTGTGCCTGCGCCGGCGACTCCGGCGTCCGTGGGTGTGGTGTCGGGCACCACGGAGCAGCTTGCTGTGTTGTTGCCCGCCATGGTGTTTGTACCTGCTCAGGTTGGGGTTTGGACGCCGTGCAGTGAATCCTGGGATAAGTCGCGTTGCAATGACTCTCCCAGTATCGCAGTAGACCCCTAAAGCAAGCTGAACCGGTCGATCGCAAACAGTATATCTCTTGAAGCGCACGCGCTAAAATGCAGCAGAAAGGAGCGTGTGTCGTGTATCGCGGGTCGTTGCCAAACAGACCGGCAGCAAGGCAGGTGTAAATGATCAAGTGAGTGTGAAGGTCAAACAGCAAGACAATGAAACAGCAGCGCACAGCCTCAGCAACGACATCATCACAGTCCGGGGTCTCACTTGCCTGCTCCTATATTAAGGCAGAGATTGGCGAGCAAAGCAGACAAGGGGTACAAAGGCGTCAAAGCGCAGGCAAAGGAATGTCAGCCAATTGTCGATCTTTGTCCGCTTTGTTCTGTGGCGCGGCGGTTAATCTGCGACACGCTCGTGCGCGGCGAAACGCGTGCGAGCACTCCACTCAACCTCAAAGTCGATGGTTGATATTCTAGAGGAAGGAAAGAGTTTGGAACAGCCGCGCGCGATGCGGGGGTTATAGTAAGTTTGAAAGCGCCATCTAATCGCGGTGATGAATGCACATCGCTGGTCTTGCTGGCAGGATTCCCAGGTAATCCTCACATCTCGGTCACAACGACAACACACATCATGCATTCGTGCAGAAATTCTCTAACGTTGTAGATGCATTTAGTTGTGCATCGTGTCATCGTTATGAAAAAGAATAACGCAATATCACATCCGACTTCGAGTCGCAAACCGCTGCAATGAAAAAGCCGTCAGATCGACATCGCACGATCCCTCCACATGCAGCTGCGCCAACGCTTCCCCAATGCCAGCAGAGTGTTTAAACCCATGACCTGAGCACGCACTGACAACAGTGACTCCACTAAGCGTCGGGTGCTGGTCGATAATGAACCCACCATCGGGCGTGATAGTATAAGTGCAGACCTTCGAATCCACCACCTCAGGACTGAGCCCCGCAATGTACCCAGCAACATGTGCCTGATACATGGTGTCGCACTCTGCGGGGGAGATATGGCGGTCCAGGGAGGAAGGCGAGGTCGTCGTGCTGTGCTGATGCGTGGCAATCTTCATCGTTCCTTCGCCTGGGATCGGTGGGAAGCCGTAGCTCGCTTCCTCTAAGGTGTGGCCATGAATTATGATAAAGCTTGGTGAATTGGAGGCAAACTTCGAGGGCTCGGCGATCTTGAACCAGTAGAGCTTTTGTCGATATACGTTGAGTAGACTCTCGAAAGGGTCGCCTAACAACTCAGAGGTCCACATTCCTGCGCTGACGATGGCCCTGTTGGCGAGGATTGTCCCATTGTTGGTCGAGACAAGGACCTTGCCGTCTTGAGAACTGATGCCGGTGACCACTGTACCCAGCTTCAACTCAGCGCCCAACCGCTTAGCCATCGTCAACTGAGCATCAATGCATAGCTCTGGTCTCACATAACCGCCGCTGGGTTCAAGATAGCCCAGCGCGTCGTCCCGAATAGGTCCAAATTGAGGAAACCGCTCTCTTATCTCCCTCGCATTCAACACCTCATGCGCAATCCCATAGCTCTTAGCAATCTCAATGGTGTTCTTCGTGAAGTCGGCCCCACCCAAGTTGTCTTCCGTAGAAGTCATAACCAGCACGCCACATTGCTCGAAGAGAGCGACGCCGAGTTCGCGCTCCAGCTCGCGCCAGATACGGTGCGAGTTGGTCACGAGCGGGACATATGCTGGGCCTTCGCCTACCGACAATCGCGTTATGCGCGTGGCGCCGTGACTGGAGCCTTGGTCGTGGGGAGGGGCGAAGCGGTCGATACCAAGGACTTTGACTCCCCGCTTTGCGAGTTGGTATGTGGTTGCGGCACCCATGGCGCCGAGCCCGACAACGACGACATCGTACTGTGGCTCCATGTGTGTAGAGACTGCGTCTGAGGCTGGAGTAGATCAGGCTTGAAGGTCTCACACTAGATCTAGTTTAACGTGACTCATTGAACTGTAGGAATCAGTATCAAAGGCAGGACGAGAAGCGTAGAGATGAGATATACATGAAAAATGATGAATTTACCGTAAGTCAGCGAGAGGGAGTCAAAGCCTTACAAAGGGCATATCTTTGTAGGATGAATAGTGTAGAAAGCGTACAACACATCTTAATGCCTTTGTCATACCCGCTCTGTCAGCGCTAAGAATTGCAGTTCTCGGAAGGCATTTCCCCAACTAGGAATATGTGTTGTTATCATTGGGCGATGGGGCTCTCAGCCTGACTCGACTCGCCTGCTCGTGGGGCTAGATAACAGCTTTAGACATGGTGGGGCTAGAGATAGTTCTCTGAACCGTCACAAAACTCTCAAATCCATGTTGAGGTATTATACACACACGCAACGTAAATTTTGTACTGTTTGAATCCTGCTCTGTACTTTTCTCCGCGAGATCAGCGGTTGCGCCCAAAATGCGATATGCTATGTGACTCCCAATGTGAACGGCGACGCTAAGCCCCATACTCTACAAAACATAAGGAAGCAGTCATCTACATATGAGTCGCTCAGAGGCTCACTGCCCCTCACACGGCAAAAATGGTACTTCGGAGCGTAAATTTATTCGCTATTGGGACACAGTAGCGTGTGGCCACTCCGCTGCCGCTTGTCAAATCGCGTTCCCGGCTTGCGCGTTGCTCTTCTATTTCTTCAAAAACTTCAGGCCGACGGGAAATCTTTCTTGATGGCCTCGGCCACAGGACCGGATAGCGGCTCCTGGAGGTTATTGACTGCTTATGTCAGTAAACATACTTGGAGTCGAGGCACAGCAATTACTCACGGTGTTGACGAAGGGCGGTGGCATTCTCCTTCGCTCCAGGATTCTCGGGGTCGAGCTCCTGAGCAGCCTTCAGACACTTGAGAGCAAGCACAAGCTTATCTGGAAATATTGTTAGTTGAACTTCAAGAGCTCAAAAGAGGATGATTGACATACTTCTCCGGAGATACACCTTGAAGCCTATGTTTTGTGCGTCAATATTGCGGGGACTGAGCTCAAGCATCGGCTTAAGGAATCTAAGTGCCGCCTCCAAAGGCTCCTTGGTCTGGAGGAGCGTCTCGCCATTAGGATCTGGGTCCTCCTTCTTGACTTCGCCATCGTCAGCCTTCGCGGTTGCTTTGGCTTGAGCAGCCTGCTTCCTGTCCGCCTCTGCCTTCTTCTTCTTTTCTTCCTCCTTCTGTAGCTTCTTCAATGCCTTTTTTCGTTCCGAGGGGTCAAGGTTAGCCAGATCTGGTTTGCCATCTCTAGCTAGATCCGGATTGTCGTGAAGCTTGACGTATAGGTCTACTGCGGACAACGCAGCTCGCGTGAAGAAGGGGTGGTTTCGAAGGTGATCTTCCCATCTGATCATGTCGATGTAGGCCCGGATCTGTCCCTTTCGCAACGAGAAGCTGTGGAAATCGAATTGATCTTCTTGCCAGACCTCGAAAATATCCGCTATGGCAGTGAATCGCTTAAGCGCAAGACCGAGCTTGTTCTGTCGCAAGTAGGCCTCGCCGTCTTCCAGCAAGTACCACATGCATTGCATGTCGTGCAGATCTCCCAGGGGTCCTCCGACGGTTTCATTGCGTGTGAATTTGCTCATTGTGTCAAGTGCCTTCTCGTTCTCATTGTTGCGCAGCTGATACTTCGCGCACTTGGTGTTGATGTAACGATCTTTCAAGTCACACTCCCGTGCGAAGTTGATTAGGTCTGCTGCTTTCTGCGTCTCGCCTTTGTGCTTCCAAATCCGTGCCTTCAACTGGTTGTAGTCGACATTCTTCGGTTCCAGCTCAACCAAGCGATCCACATACTCCATTGCCTTATCAAGGTTGCGGCTAAGTGTATAATCGTAATGTTTAGCCAGGAAGAGCAGCACTGACTTTTCGAAGGCGTCTGAGATGTTTCCGTTTGTTTCGCCATTTGCTGAGCCATTTTGCTTCTTCTCTTCTGACGCGTATGAAAGCACAAGTTCTTCGATGACTTTCTTCTTCGCGGGGTCCACGTACAAGGCCTTTACGTTCGCGTGGGTCGAAGGGACGCCCTTGGTCAGCTTCTGTCGTAGATACTCGTCCGCTGCCGTCTTGAAAGCATCACCTAATAGATCGTCAGCTGCTAGAACCTCTAATCCTTCCTAGCAAACTTACCCTCAAGGAAATCTAGCGGTATCCGACGTGCGGCATCGTTTCGCTTGTTCTGACTGGCATATCCCTCGTAGAGCTCAGTCAACTTCTCCAGGGATGCGCTGTCCGACCTGTCCAATTTAAGAGCCTTCTCAAGCCCCTCGAAGTACGCGCGGTATTCGCTGTTTCGGTCGAGAAGCGTCCTGTACACCTGAGCGGCTTCTTCGTGCCTTTCCAGTTGTAGGAGGTATTTTGCCTTTAGTTCGAGTACGGCCGTGCGGTCCAGGCTGTTCTTGATGATCGTTTCCAAATGCTCCAAAGCGCGCTCAGTGTCCCCGGACTCTGCTATAATCGTGTTCTTGTACAGAACGGCTTCCGAGTGCTCAAGGTCCGTCTTAGGAGGCGCTTGTTTCAGTGTCCCTTCGTATGTGGTTAAGATGTGCTCTGCTTCCTTGTAATTCCCGCTGAGATGGTATGCTATCGCTAACCCTGTCCAATTCTGCCTCAGTTGTGATCGGTCGCTCAGCATTTTCTGTCGGCTCTCGATGTAACCTTCGAAGTCGCGAATTTGGCATTGAAGATGGGCAAGGTCGCGTAAAATGTTTTGCGATTCGGGCGCTAATCGGAGCGCCATTTTGTATGCCTTAATGGCCTCTTCATAGTTCTTCTTCGACCGCCAAAGCAAGCCGTAGACGTGCCAGCAGATATTCGATTTCATGTCATTCTTGAGCGCGAGCTTTCCGAGCGCGAAGGCCTCCTCACCGTGGCCTTGAGAGTTAAGGATGAGTGCCTTCATTGCCTGTGTATCGCCATGGTCGGGTACCTTCTTGAGGATTTGGTCCGCAGCTTTGATGCCTTCTACACGTCAGATTTGGCTTTCGGTTGACCGTATGCAACATACCCTTCTTGTACTGCTTCGCCTCATAGTTCTTGACAAGCTGGCGGAAAAGCGAACCCTCTTTCGAGGGTAGTGGTTGTGGCATTGTGGCGGTCGTGTGCGGAGCTGATCGTTGAGAGTTGCGACGGTGCGCAACACGCCACTCGATTTAGGTGCACCGGTCGAGGTTGGCGAAGGTCGGATTGAATATACAATGAGAGTTATGATTTCTGGTTATACAGGCGAAAGCATTCCGAGCCGGCAAGCGGTCAATGTTGGCGGTGAGTGGTTGGGGTTCACCTTCGGTGGAGTGGTGGGGGAGCTCGAATTTCAGACATGCGGGTTGCGGGCCAGCAACGTCTAGCGTCAGCGGCGGCACGTGCCGAGTGTGGTACCAGGTACATACATCAATCGTTCGCTTCCCGCACGGCATTTAGATCATCACTAAGATGAGGTGGAATAAACGCTCGTAGCACTCTCCATATTGCTCTACTCGACGCTCACTGAGAGTTATTTATCATATTATTTTCTTAGAGGTGCGTGCACAATTATCATGAGTCTGTCCATTGCTTATGTATCGGAATGCCGTCCGAATTAAAACTGGAAAAAGTCCGGTGAAGTACAAATTTTACAAGATATCGATAAACCTCCAAAGCTCAAGCTTTCGAAGCTCTACTGGACCGTCTTCGCACACTTGACTCGTCGGTGTTTTCTGCTTGTGTCCCATTCGACTTCTTGGTCGTCGTCTTCTTTTGCGTGGATGAACTTTTCGACATCTTCTGCTTCTTCACCTTAGGCACTTCCTCTTCATCAACGTCGTCCTCCTGTTGAATATCCTCCACTACCTTCTTGTTGCCTCGCTTTGTCCCCACAGGTAGTTTCTCCTCAGACTCCTCGTGCTCGTCCTTAATCGGCGGCTCTGGCGCCTTGCGTCCTCGCCCGCGTTTGGTGCTCACAGGCAGCTTCTCCTGCGATTCCTCGCTATCATTGTCCTCGTTCTTGGCCTTGTTCTTCCGTTTTGTAGCCTTCTTCAGCTTGGGCTTTTCGTCATCGTCTTCTTCACCGTCAACGTCCTCTGAGATATCGCCAGCTACGGCGCCCGTTTTCTTCTGCACGCTAGGCACGATAGCTGACGTTCGTCCGCCAACCTTGAGGAAGGTGATCTTTGCTCCGTTGGGCAGCTTACCGCCATCTTTTTTGCCTTTCCCCCATCGATGCTTCATCAACCAGTCTTCAGGGAATTTTTCTGAATCGGCAAGCGTTTCGACTGCCGTGTTGCAAACGTACATCATGGCATCGTGAAGCTGTTTGACTTGAGCGTCACTGAAGGTGTTGCTGTACTGCTCGGGATGCAGCTTGGCCTGGTACATGACCTCATCGCTGTGTCAAATTAGCACGATTCACCTTAGGCCGAGATACAGCGCCTCGTCAAAAGTTTGAGTGCCGTATATTACCCCATGATAAGCAATGCAGTACCCAGACTCTTCATCCAGTACTGTAGCAACTTACCCGACCCAGTTCCCAATACCGCTGATGTTCGCCTGGTCCAGCAGTAGCGCCTTGACTGGTACTCTCTTGCTCTTGAGTTTGTTTGATAGCCACAACACGGTCAAGATGTCAGGGTCGATCACAGGATCCGGCCCGTTTTCCTTGAGTGGGCTTGTCTTGCGCATATCTTCCGCTTTCGCATCGATGAGCCTTATCCTCCCCAATCGGCGCGCGTCAACAAATGAGACCTGGCAATCAGGCTCACCCTCCAGCTCCAGAACAAATTTCCAATACTTGGGTGGCCACTCTGGTTCGTCAACCTTCGCAGGGCGGTAGTGCGCCGTGTCATCGTTGCTAAACTTCATCCAACCCGACATGCCAAAATGCATGAGTGGATGAGGCGGTGAATCCATCTCAAGCCAGAAGTATTTGCCCTGCTGTTTCGCGTCGATAATCTTCTTGCCGGCCATGGCCTTCTCAAATTCGGAGGCTGAAGTGCCGACCTTGCCATATACGATGGTATCTTCTTGCGTATTCACGGCCTTGATCACTCTTCCTGTTGCATACTTCTTAAGATAGTGCACTATGCGTGCGACCTCTGCAATCTAGAAACCGTTTAGTCGTGATGAATCGTGAAAACATGTCGTCGCGTACCTCAGGCATGGCGGATTCTCGTGCGTACCGAACGGGAGATGTCGAGATGGATGCACCGCTCCTAGATTATTGAAATCTACGCGCGAGGGTGTATGAACAATGTTCAGGGTGGACGATGACGTGGTGCGGAAGGCGTGCTGGGGCCTTCGGGCGCGACGCGATAACACGAAAGCACGGGACCGTCAAAGCTTCTGCAGCCACACCATTGGCCACAACCGAAGCCTTCATCCTTTTCAGCGTCGTCGCTTTTCGCAGGAAAGCTGTTCCTGCTTCCGTCCTCTATCGCCATAGACGCCGCGGGCCGGCTGGACCTTCCAAATGTGGGCCTGGAGCTCCCCCCTTCCCCGCTATCGGCACTGCACTGCAATCGGCATTCGGAGCTCGATAAGATGATTAAGGCTGTTATAAAATGCGCCTTTGACGACATGATGTAGCTGCTCACCTCATCAATTGCTACCATACTGCTTAAGATGTGGCTTCCATCAGCCGTTATTTCTTTGCTCTTTGCTACTACGCTTGGTCACTCTACGCACCATGTAGAGCAGGATTTCTCGCCAAAGCGTTTGAATAAATTACAAGAAAAATGGGGCACTGATGTGAGCATGTCCTATACAGCTACATTTTCAACAATCTAACATATGCTAGTGGGGGTTCTCTGGTGTCTCGACTTACGCACACCTCGAGCACACGCGCTGCTTAACCCACCCTGAGGCTGCATTCGATATTGGAATCATAGGTGCACCCTTTGACACAGCAGTATCCTATAGACCAGGCGCCCGATTCGGTCCTCGAGCCATTCGTGCAGGCTCCGCCCGCCAAACATCTTTCCGAGGCTTCAATCCGCGCGCGAATCTCAATCCATATACGTCGTGGGCCAAGATTGTGGACTGCGGAGACATCCCAATCACGCCTTTCGATAATGCATTAGCTTTGAAGCAAATGAGCGAGGCATTTGTGGAGTTAGGCACTAGGGCATCATCTGAGAAGTCACAAGCGAGCGGGTCAACATACCTACAGAAGCCAAAGCTCCTTACACTAGGAGGAGATCACAGCATTGCGCTTCCAGCTTTAAGGGCTTTGAAGCAGGCGTATGGGAAGCCTGTTGCCGTAGTTCACTTCGATGCTCACTTAGATACCTGGCACCCTGCAAAATATCCGTCTGCATGGATTGACCCTGAAGATGAAAGCACACAATCTTTCTTCAATCATGGCAGCATGTTCTGGCTTGCAGCAACGGAGGGCTTGATTGCTAACGGCTCTTCTGTTCACGCTGGGCTACGAACACGTCTTTCTGGCGACGACGCCACCGACCACGCAGACGACTCGCAGCAGGGCTGGATTCGTATTGCTACGGACGACATCGACGAAATTGGTGTTAAAGGTGTCATCCAATCTATCATGGACCGCGTAGGCACAGAAACACCGGTGTACCTCAGTATTGATATCGATGTGATCGATCCGGGTATGGCACCAGCTACAGGTACTCCGGAACCAGGAGGCTGGACCACGAGGGAGCTTATCCGGATACTCAGAGGGATCGAAACGATGAATGTCATCGGAGCCGACATTGTTGAGGTCTCTCCTGCCTATGACAGCGCGGCCGAAACCACTGGCCTGGCGGCTGCTCAGGTCGCATACGAGATTATCACCAGCATTGTCAGGAAAGGCTTGATTGAGCAGGAAAAGACAGGCAAGAAAACTGGAAGCGTTCGTGACGAGCTATGAGCAGTTCCAACACAACGCTGAACAGAGATGATTAGATGAGAAATGTGAAAACGGCCGAGTATTAGCGTAGAATATGTACATAGTACGCGGTATGTACGTGAGGTGGAACCTGGATGTATCACAGTAAGTAGAATGGCTTGCGAACGAGCATCTTCATTGTGCCAAGACTCTTTACGACTACGTCATGACTGCATTACAACATCAAGCGACGAACTTCTGACAGTGATCAAGAAACCCTGCATCGCAAACATATCAGTTGATATCCGCAGGTCTTCATTGAACGCTACGTGCAGGACACCCGAAAGAGCTAGCATTATTAGGAACGAAATATATGCATAGAAGCCTGAGCGCCTGCAAGCGGACAACACCAAATAAGCACCACATCGGAATAGCGACATTGGCGAGACGGTTGAGTCTCCTTCCACAGCTATGGAGCACTTCGCACCGCACCCGAAATCTCGCTTTGAAGGCTTCTATTCCAAGTTCGATCTACCTTCAGGCTCTCACATTGCGCTCGTCATCTGCACTGTACCCAAAGCTACCAAGCTCCCTCCACACATGGTCTCTTTCACATACTATCCTTCGTCTGGCTCGCCAATTTTCCAACGCGAACATTGGGTCTCGAACATTGATCGAGTCATCACCGGCCCAAGCAACGCATTCGAGCTCAAGACCGATTTCGGCAGCATGCGTGTCGCCCCCAACGGCGACACGACCTACAACCTACAAGCCCCTGAATGGGGTCTCAAAGCAACGACAACCTCCCGAACAGCCTGGTTCCCCGAGCAAAACAAGCACACTCCCGAAGGCTGGCTCGTGCACCTCCCTCTACCCCTCCACTGGCACGTCCACAGTCTTTCCTCCCGTGCAGATTTTCAGCTTTCGATACCTTCCCAAGGGATAAATCAGAAAGGCACCGCAGCCGTCCACCAAGAGAAAAACTGGGCAAACAGCTTCCCCTCAGCGCATGTGTGGGTGCAATCCAGGGACCCCCTTTCCGCCCGGGGCATCTGTCTCGCAGGCGGCAAAATCCTCGGCATGCATGCCTTCCTCTTAGGCTACCGTTCTCCATCACTGAGCTTAGACTTCCTGCCTCCATTTGCGCTCGCCATACCCATATCCTTTATGTCGTGGATGATATCGCCCTTCATGACCCACACCGTCGATTACGCGTCCCGGCTCTTCACCCTTACGGTATCCAATCTCTTCTACAAGATTGAGATTAGAGCGCAGGCGCCGAGGGAGGGTGGCTGGTTTGGTCTGGGAAGTCCGTTCCCAGAGGGTCATAGGAAGAACTTTTGCTCCGAGAGCTTTTTGGCGAATGTTGATGTTATGGTGTGGCAGAGGAGCGTGTGGAATTGGGCGTGGAAGGAGGTAAGCAGGGAGAGGTTTGAAAGGGGAGTGAATTTGCGGGGATTATTTTCCGGGGAGGGGAGAGAAGGGGGAGTGAGAGTTCGGAGGGACACAGAACGTTGTGGAACGCCTTAGTATATCCTATTTTACGGTACCCACGGTGGTCAAGAGATGGGTCGGAGAAGAAGACGCATGGAGGTGAGCAGAAAGCATCACTCACTTCGTCGAATCCGGTCTGGCCGGACGACATGCTGCATAAAGATGGGTGGCTGAGTGAGAAACATCTACTGTGCCCTTGCAGGTATCTAGCTAGTGCCACGGCGGACTTTAAATGCGCTGTATCAACATCACATATCCGAGCAAAAGCAAGCGAATCGCGGGGACTTGCCGATCGTCATAGGCCACAAGCACGTTCATGTTCACAAGCAAGGAATTTCGAAAGTATGGTGGTGTTTAGATGGATGGACCATCTTGTCATGTTTTCATTTCAGTTCAGTTGCCACCAACGGGGCTCATAATCGTCAACCCATGCATAGGTAATCCTTCCCAACCGTCATAACTCATGAGACCTGCCTTCCTATAATCCAGAAATGTCTAAAGAGGGGCTGCAGACAACGTCTACAATTTCTGCATGGCAATAATGTCGGTGGACTGGACGTGGTCCTCGTCCTCCTCGATCTGCTGCTGGAGCTCGTCCGTAGAGACCTTCTCGTCCTCGACGACCAAGTTGATCTGCAGCTTCTTGATACCGAAGCCAACGGTGACGAATTGGCTGGCACCCCAGACAAGACCGTCTTTTTGGATAGCAAGAACATTAGCCTTGAGCTCTTCGAGGTTGGTCTCGTCGTCTGCGTTAAGTTAGCATTTGCCTACAATTTCTGTAATCACGGTAAACTTACCCCATGGCTTCACATCCATGGTGACAATGGACTTGGCGGCAGGCTTGACCTTTCCAGCCTTCTTCTTGTTGTACTCGGCCAAACGCTCGGCCTTGAGCTTCTCGGCCGCCTCATCGACCTCCTCATCATCGGAGCCGAAAAGGTCGACCTCGTCATCATCCTCTTCAGCGGCGGCGGGGGCCTTGGCCGGGTTCACGGGGAGCTCACTCTGCTCCGGGCCGTAGGCGGTGTGGTCTTTGGTTGGGTCACCAGGGAGGGAAGAGAATTCGGACTCCCAGGTGAGCATGTGGTTGTACCAGCGCCATGCGAAGGGGTACTTCTCGGGGGCCGGGACAGTCTTCAGCTGCTGGAAGACCTTGACATCGGCCTGCGACGGAGTGTAGCTGAGTCACTGTTAGTTGTTACTCGAAGAACAGGCGTAACGAATGCCGTGGGAAGAGATGACAGTCAGAGCTGCGACAAGCGCGAGGTTTTGTATTCAGATAGCGGGGTCTTAAGCCGCCTCATTAACACGGACCAATTATTTTCATCACAAAGTCAAAAGTGGTAGTAGAAAAGAAAATACAGCGAGGATGGTAGAAATGGGGATGGCGGGGCACTTACCCAACGATGTAGCTGCGAGTCTTCACCCAGTTGTTAAGGATGGTGAGGCCGGCGTCGGAGACAAGATCAGCGAAACCCATGATTGCGTCTGTTCGGTAGAGAATTGAAGAAGCTGGAGGGAGTGGACGTGGAGGGGAATGGGCGAGGCAGAGGTGGCTCAATTTGGGAGCGTCCTAAAATTCTGAGGTCTATGCCAAGCCGCTAGCAGCACGATTCATGCTAGTTACCCACCGCGCTTCCAGCCTGAGCCCGAGCTTCAGTATGCTTCAGACAACATTATCTTGTATAACAGCGAACTTGAATAGTCTAGTACCTGTCGTTTGATTTATGAGGTCCTAAATTGTAACGACTAGTCCAGTCATATCACTTCACGGTATCAGAGTGGGTAGCTCCCCGCGAAGCTATTAGGTCAAGCTCGGAGCTCCTAGAAAGCGCTCGAATCATCGCGCATCATTCGACCTGAAATCATAGCGCCACCCCATGAAGATATAACGATGCTCTCTCCATGAACCGGGCGCAATTCCATTGATACCTGTTGACCTTATCGTTAACACAACATGCTAACCAGCAGAGCGCGCATTCTTGTGAGGCGCGTACCGCCAGCGAGTTCTCGACAACGTTTGCCTCGAATCACATCCATACCTAGTTCCTTGCTACGCGCAAGTCAGACCCATCCGAGCCATTTCGCCCTCCCGATCGTTGCGACTCGCAACTATGCGAACGGACGACCGCATCCACCCGGTGGTACGCACCGCATGAACTTGGGCGGCGAGCCCGAGAAGCCAGCCCTGGAACAGTACGGTGTTGATTTGACTGCGCGGGCGAAAGATGGAAAGCTAGACCCTGTCATTGGAAGAGACGGCGAGATACACAGAGCCATCCAAATCTTAGCGCGAAGGACAAAGAACAACCCGGTCCTCATCGGTGCTGCTGGTACAGGCAAGACAGCCATTGCCGAGGCGCTCGCCCAGCGAATAATTCAAGGAGATGTTCCTGAGTCGATTAAGGAGAAGCGTGTCATATCGCTCGACCTTGGTCAACTCATTGCTGGCGCAAAGTTCCGAGGCGACTTCGAAGAGCGTTTGAAGAAGGTTTTGAAAGAAGTGGAAGACGCAAAAGGAGGCGTTATACTTTTTATCGACGAGTTACACACGCTCCTAGGGCTGGGCAAAGCTGAAGGTAGCATCGATGCGAGCAATCTTCTCAAACCCGCTTTATCTCGGGGTGACTTGCAGTGCTTTGGAGCCACCACCTTGAATGAGTACAGGCAAATTGAGAAGGATGTGGCGTTAGCACGTCGATTCCAGCCTATCATTGTTTCTGAACCGAGCGTACCTGATACAATTTCCATACTGCGAGGTATCAAAGAGCGATACGAGACACACCACGGTGTGAGGATTACCGATGGCGCACTTGTCGCTGCCGCAACGTACAGCAATCGATACATCACTGACCGCTTCCTTCCCGATAAAGCGATCGATCTGGTTGACGAGGCCGCAAGCGCTTTGCGGTTGCAGCAAGAAAGCAAGCCAGACCCCATTCAAGAGCTCGATCGCCAGATAATGACCATTCAGATTGAACTCGAATCTCTGCGAAAGGAAACGGATGTTGCGAGCAAAGAGCGACGAGAGCGATTAGAAGAGACGTTGAAGAAGAAACAGGATGAAGTGAAAGTATTAATGGACAAGTGGGAGCAAGAGCGCGCTGAGCTGCAGAAATTAAAGAATATCCAAGAGGAGCTGGAGAAAGCCAGATTTGAGCTAGAAATGGCACAACGTGAAGGCAACTTCGCCAAAGCTAGTGAGCTCCGCTACTCGAAAATCCCAGAGCTTGAGCAGCAGCTACCGAAAGAAGAGGAGGCTAGGGCAGGGAAAAGCGCTGATTCATTATTACACGATTCGGTCACTGCTGATGACATCGCCTCCGTTGTATCGCGGACCACCGGCATTCCTGTCTCCAAGTTGATGCGTGGAGAGAGCGAAAAGTTGATCCGCATGGAGGATGCTTTACGCGCGCATGTTCGCGGACAGGACGAAGCTCTCACAGCTGTCGCTAATGCTATTCGGATGCAGAGAGCTGGACTGTCGGGCGACAACCGACCCATCGCGTCCTTTATGATGCTCGGTCCGACGGGTGTTGGCAAAACTGAAGTTTGCAAGCGACTGGCTGAATTCCTTTTCTCGACACAGCAGGCTGTTATTCGTTTCGATATGAGCGAGTTCTCAGAAAAGCACACGGTCTCGCGATTGATTGGCTCGCCCGCTGGCTATGTTGGCTACGAGGATGCAGGACAGCTCACTGAAGCTGTAAGACGGAAGCCCTACGCTGTTCTACTCTTCGATGAATGGGAGAAGGCGCACAAAGATATCTCCACGCTTCTGCTCCAAGTTCTCGACGAAGGTTTCTTGACCGATGCCCAAGGCCACAAGGTCGATTTCCGGAATACCATCATCGTGCTGACGTCGAACCTGGGCGCCGAAATCATTGTTGGCGATGACGCGCTTAGTCGAGCTAGCGATTCGGGTGAGATCTCTCCAGATGTCCGTAACGCCGTGATGGACGTGGTGTCCGCATCGTATCCCCCCGAGTTCCTGAATCGCATCGACGAATTCATCCTCTTCCGACGTCTGTCGCGGGAGGCCTTGAGGGACATCGTCGATATTCGTTTGAAGGAATTGCAAGAGCGTCTAGACGAGCGCCGCATCACCTTAGCCGTGCCCGATGAAGCGAAACAATGGCTATGCGACCGTGGATACGACCCTCGATTTGGTGCACGCCCGCTGAATCGGTTGATTGCAAAGCAGATCGGCAACGGGCTTGCTGATAAGATCATAAGGGGCGAGCTGAAGTCTGGTGCCACGGCGACCGTGTCAATTAAGGCCGATGGCAGCGGATTAGATGTCACAAGTTCGGCGTAGGGTGTTTTCGGACGAAGCCTAAGTTGATAGTGGTTTGCGCCCTGTGTAATGTGTTTACGATGTAAAATATGGCGTGTGTCAGTATCACCGCTCACTGTAAATAGTACCCACAAGCGCTGTACATAAGATTGTAGGAATACGCTGTTGCCGCCCCCCTGAACAATATCAGGGTAAGATGTCATTCAATGGACACATATTTTGCTTTCTTACTTAGATCTCTAAGTACGTTTTGGCAATGTGATGTTACGCGGAACATCTTGTCACCAAACCCGTACACAGGAGGCAGGTACGGCTGTCTTCGCTCTTTCCTCACCATCACCCGCCTTACCTTTCTTTGTGTTAGTCTCACCACCACTTCTTTTACGTCCCCACTGTGTATCTTCAGTATGCCAGCTGGCCCCAGGTCAAAGCTGCCGTTCCGCAGCAAAGGCAGACGCGGCGGTAGAGCAAGCTCTATGCACAGTCAGAACAGCAGCCGGAGAATTACAGTATCCGCTCCTTCCCACCGCGCGCTGTCGCGCTCGTCGACTGAAGCGTCAAAAACATCACGACTTGCAGGTCGGATACGCGCCTTCGCACCACAGCCCAGCCATGACAACGAAAGCGAATCGCGACTGCCTCCCAGTGCTCTTTCGCGTGAGCACAGTCTGGAGCAGGATGACGACACGTTAAACGAAATCATAATGGCCATTGACTTACAGCAGAAAGGAACCGTCGGCTGCTGCTACTACGTAGCGCGGGACGAGAAGCTCTACTTTATGGAGGACATGAAGCTCGGAGGAATTGCAGCCATTGATGCTCGTACGTACTGCGTACGAAAAGCGTACTCTTCCAAGCTTAATCAGAACAGTGAGGGTCTACATTGACCCGACGGTCGTTCTCGTCTCGACTAAGATAGACGACGCTGTCATCGAGGCTCTTGAAAATCTGGCAGAAGATCGATTCTCACTTCCGTTTCTTCTGGAAGTTCGGCCACCTGGCGAATTTTCTTTCGATACAGCCGTGGGTAAACTCGCTACTTTGAGATACGAAGACGTTGGTGCATCACAGATGAACTTCGTCGTACCTGGAGATCTCAATTTGCTCAGAGATGAAAGCTTAGAGAACGCACCTGGGCAGCAAGGACGACTCCTTCGTCTCGCTGGGCTAGTCGACATGGAGAGTCGGCTAACGGTATGTTACGATACCCTTGTATATCTTATCATGTTGATGACGTGTAGGTCGGTTGTGCTGGCGCACTGCTGTCCTACTTACAACGAAGGCGCGCTTCTGCCTATCTTCCGGGAGATCATGCAGCGTACGAGATGTTCCGTATCTCTTCACTAGAGATGTTCAGTGTCAAGGACACTATGTAAGGCTCAAGAACAGAGTTTTGCTAGGTAGCACTAACATGGTCAGGTTCATCAATTCTGACACCCTTCATTCACTTCAGATCATGGAAGACGAGTCGCATCCCAATTCGCACAACCAAGGCCCAACAAAAGCATCCTCAGGATGTAAAGAAGGCTTATCAATATTCGGCCTGTTCCATCATTTAGCGCGCACGCCACAAGGAAAGCACCTGCTGCGGCAGTCGTTCCTCCGCCCCAGCTTGAACCTGGACGCCATTCATGAGCGCCTTGATACTATCCATACTTTCCTCCGCCCTGAAAATTCGGCCCCTTTCGATGCGATAGTGAACAGCCTGAAATCTACTGGCAACATGCGTACAACCCTGATCAGCCTAAGGAAAGGGACCATTGCTGGAGCTGGAAAGAACGGCAAGAGTACTTCGAGCAGTCTCTGGGTGAGCATCCGACGGTTTGCGTTTCACGCGCTCAAGATCAAGGAGTCATTCCAGGAAATAATCGGCGGCGACCGTCTAGCTATCAGAACTAGAATACTTGAAAAGTTCGACGGATATCATCTGGCGCAGGTCGGCAGAAAAATCAGTGACACGATTGATTTCGATAAGTCTGCCGAGGAACTTCGCAGTGTCGTACTGGAAGGCGTTGATGAGGAACTCGACAACATGAAGCGCACCTTCGCTGGACTAGACGATCTACTGGGAACCGTTGCACGTAGTCTATCAGAGAAGCTACCAGCAACATTTCAAGGCTCACTCAATGTTCTCTACTTTCCTCAAATTGGGTTTCTTATCACGGTGCCTCTCGATCGTACGACAGGCGAAGCTGTGTATGATGGCAGCTTTGACAATCCTTGGGAGCGTATGTTCTCAACCGAAGATCAAGTCTACTTCAAGAATAGTCAAATGCGAGAGATGGATGGCCACTTCGGTGATCTATATGGAATCATCTCGGATCGCGAGATTGAGATCAGTCATGAGCTATCACAATACGTGCTTGAATACGAAGAATTACTCACGGCTGCTTCAGACGTTTGTGGTGAGCTAGACAGCATTCTCGCACTGGCACAAGGGGCCCGACTGTACAAACTCTGTCGACCGAGAGTCTCTCACGACAATACAATCCGAATAAAAGGCGGCCGGCACATACTCCAAGAGCTTAATGTCTCTTCTTTTGTACCTAATGACACTATGCTGGTTGGGGGTGCCAACTTCGACCCAGGAAACGAAAGCAACATCCCAGATAGCTCATCTGTTCACCACACTGACACTCACAAAACCGGACCAAGTATGCTCATTCTCACTGGTCCAAACTATTCCGGGAAGAGCGTCTACCTGAAGCAGGTCGCTTTGATTGTGTACATGGCACACATCGGCAGCTACGTACCGGCAGAAAGCGCGAGGATAGGTCTCACGGACAGAATATTATCTCGCGTTACAACTCGGGAGACCGTGTCCCGAACACAGAGCGCTTTCATGATTGATCTTCAGCAGATTTCCCAAGCATTGAGCCTAGCTACACCGAGGAGCCTGCTAATCATTGACGAGTTCGGAAAAGGAACAGATTCGAGTGATGGCGCGGGGTTGGCTTGTGCTGTATTCAGTTACCTCATTGGCCTGGGTCACGATAGCCCGAAAGTTATTGGCGCAACTCATTTCCATGGTATGTTATGACGAAGTGAACATAATGCAAGTACTGGTGGCTCGGGCGCTGACTAGTTTCAAGAGATATTTGAGAATGGACTGCTCAAAGCAAGCCCCTCGCTCGCGCTCGGCCATATGCAGGTGCAGATCGACGAACAAGCCTCCGAGCTCGATGACCAGATTACGTATCTCTATAAGTAGGTTCCCGCAGATGAATCATGTCACCGTGCTAAGCCGTACCAGTCTCTGTGAAGGCCGTAGTAACTCAAGCTTCGGCACTTGGTATGCTATGGCCCGAGATCCTCTCTCCTTCGTGCTGATCTCTTACTTTTCCAGCTGCGCAGCCATGAATGGGGTTCCAAAGGAAATCATACAGCGTGCAGATGAATTTATAGTGCTAGCCCTGAAGGGCAAGGATCTCATTGCTTCCTGTTCAGTAACGCCGCAGTCAGAGGCACAAGAGCTCGAAGAGGCGGTGAGTTGCTTTAAACATTCAGGAGCGGGTCTGACGCCACTTCAGGAACAGATCGCACGCGAATTCTTGGAGGCGGACATTTTCACAGAACCTAAAAGGGCACTGAGCGACATACTTACCATATTTGGCACAGCGGAGTCACGGTCTTTGAGTCAAAAGTAAAGACGAAGCTTTGGAGATAGATGAAGCCCTATCTTTCCGGAACTAAATCCCCAACCGGCCCGACACCGTAGGAACCGCGGGTATTTGAAACAGCGCGCGATAACCGAGCGAGTTATTCGAAGTCGGGGTTTGCATGCAGTTCTAATAGTAATGTCCCTTCACTACGGTCCTCTGCTCAGCCGTGTCGAAAGATAGATACCAGCAAAGGGTACAGAAAAGCTCTGATCCGAGTGTCCAATGTTCTCTCAGCGTCCCAACTGTTCCAGAATACTCACAAAAATAGCAGTTTTGGTGACTGTTGGTCCGACGGTACCCGCGCCTCGGGTTGCGAACAGCATTTGCGCACCGCGAACACAAGTGCAATTTGAAACAGCCGGCGGCGCAAGTATTTGAATAGCCGTCTGCCTCTATGTCTGTGAAGGAGTGCCCTTTGGGCTGCTGATGGGTCACTGTCATCGTGGCAGGAGCGACTACTAAGATCGCGCATCGAGGCGACTGCGGACAATGACGCAAGACGGAACCTGCGACATGGCTGATAGAACAAGTCTGGAAGCGGAATATATTCTCTCCCCCACTTACATCAACAGATGCACGCTACCGTCGCCAGCACACCAGACGAAGCTTATTTCAACCTCTTCCTCGCCCTACGACGGTCCTGAATGGCCCATGTCGACTCCTTCCTGCAAGACATCCCTCGTGGCTTACCTACAACGGTCAACGGAAACCCACGTGGGGTGAAGCTCACACTGTGTCGGCTCGTAATCATTCACGGAGCCCCACCACACAGTTCCTTCGCACCGGGCTTGCAAAACCCCCCTGGTCTCGTACCGTCAAAGGCCGTCTCATTTACAGCTCTTGATGATCAAGTTCTCCGTTAACATAGGTCAAGTCAAGATCATAGCTCCCTTCATTTTAAGACAAGAGCGGTGAGAGAGCGACTTCGCTCGGCAACTATAAACCAGACCACGCAATCCCTTGACAAATGACTGGCTCACTTGTCGGTTCAAGCCGAACAACCCTGTAAGCTGGACGCCTCCCGGCCCCATCGGTCGGCATTTGAATCGGCGAGCGAGAGAGACGGACAATATCCTGCCAGTTGAGAGGGATGTTGCGGCTCAACTGCTCCCCATCCCCAGAGCCATATGCCCCACAAATCCCAACGTCCGCGCGTCGGTTTGTGGCAGTATGTTATGACGGCATCGACGGCTAGAGCTTCTGCTGATCCATTGTCGCCGGTGAGAGCTGCACAACGGAATTCGAAAAAGCGCCGTACCAACCACTTTGATCCAACGAGCTCTCGGAACAATCATATAGACCGAACTCTACCCAGTCATCGACACCTCCTACCAGGAAAGGAAGTGCTGGCGAACAATGTGGCTGGCTTAGGATCTGGTCCCGCAGAGCCGCACATTAGCTTCAGAGTGACTGCAGGATGGTCTGGACGCTCAACAACATACACATCGCATGCAGGATTCCTTAAAGGATCGTGACGGCTACGGCGGGAGCAGGAGGAAATGAGTTAGTCCGATACGAGCTACCACTTCAACGAACTGTGAATCATTCTAGGATCGGACATGGCCAGGGCAGGAAAAGCTACTGGAAAGCATGACACGTGTACGCCATGAATCACAAGAATCACAAGAATGCAAGGTTCCGACAGCGCTGAGGGTCAGAAAACCACATACACCAGCGCGTTGAGCACGGTAGAAAGAGCGCAACGTAATCACGGTTGAGTGTTGTGGTTTTGATTTCAGGCGAGTTAGCCGCCGGTTCAGATGCGCTCGGAAACCGAACAGCGACAGGAGCCGTTGCATAGCATACGAACGAGAAGCCGGAGACTAGAACACGGACCAACCGCTGCAATTACGTAGTTTCCAGGTTTTCAGTCTCGACAGCCCAGAAGCCCAATCAGATCATGGTCGGCCTTTGCTGGTAATGTTTTGTTGGTAGCCGCCGTACTCGGGCCGTTTGATGTTCGACTACACAAGCCACCTCCACCAACATCATGGCCTGCACCCGGTACCTTCCAGGTGGCTCGCTACTCTGACAACTTTCCTCTGAGGCCATCCGAAGGCGCATACGCCCTAGTAATTGCCTGGCTGGACCCCGCAATCGGTTGGAGACGCATCACGCACTGTCTAACCGCTCCTGCAACCCAGGCGAAAACATAGCGATATGTCTAACGACAAGCGGAGCCATGTGCACGACTGACAGGCAGAGCGTGCCCCATGGGATCTAATATCTGCAGAAGAACAGCAGGCGGACTGTGCAAAGATGCTACAAGTTTACGAATGCTTGCGAATGAGCTTTATGGAAGAAATTCGTCCTGGGTCTCATCATAGCGAACCCGAATGATTGAGCATTTAACAAGTGCCACACAGGGTCTGATAGCATCGCTGAAAAGCGTACGGCCTCCCGCGACTTGGAAAACAGCATACAAAGTGCTCTACCCCTCTTTCTATCTCATGGATTCCGTCGTTATCTTCTCTGGCGGTTTGCAGCAAGTATCTCCAGCGACCTAGGGGACTTTACCCCAATAATGAGCGCTGGAAGACACACCTTACCAACGGCACTTGTCTAGCGAATGGTTGGTCTACAAGCGACAGGGCGAAAAGCGCCAGGTTGTGCAAAAGTGATTGGCTGGCATAGGCCGTACATTTTACCAACTGGACTTGCGTGCACAATGCAGTCGTGTCTGCATTGGTCAGAAGTCCGGTCGTTATCCACAGTCGGATGTAGAGACAATGCACAAGGCAGAAGAATTAAAGTCGAACCGCCGCAGCCGATCAGGAGCGCCAACCCCAGCTTTGATGAACAGGATGTGGCTAGTGCAAGGCGGGAGAGCACCATGCTCCTGCACGGCAGCTCAGGGTCATCTTGCCGTGTCTGCAGGGTCAGAAAGGCCTCCGACTCCGATATCTTGGACATGGTGGTTCGTTGTTGGGCCATCCGTGTAACCACTGCTCGACTCGTATGCCGCAATCTGACGGGCACAGTGGATACGCAGTTTCGTAAGGTGATGCTGGCTCCATCATTTACGTAGACCCGAGAAGCGTACGTGAGAATGCGACGATTATGGGGACACTGGAGAGGCAGGATCCGGCCGTTATCGGACGAGTTGCTTTTGGGGCTCAGCCGAGTCAGCCAGTCGTGACGCTGCGGCACGGCCACATGTTTCAAAGGTCGACTGACGAGGGTTTGTGCAATATATGTTCGAGGATGCGGCGGTTCGTGCCGCTGCGAAGATGCTTGAAGACTTGTCGTGGAGGGTTGAGGTGTACAGTGATGTCTGCGGCCAGCACACGAAGCCAGGACGCTTTGTGGGGCGCACTGATAGTGCACTGGCCGACGTGTCGTTCATCGCACGTTCGTTGAAGATTCAAATGATTTTCAGCACGATCGCATCTTGAAGGTGGTGTCTGGACAGCGGATGCACAATGACGATGGACCCGTTAGCCAAGCTTTTCGCTGGATCCAAACCGCTCGTCTGTGCGCCACGATGCTGAGATCCACAGCGAGCCGCCGTCGCATATGGTTCGGGGCATGTTCCGCTGCGCACTTGCGGCTACATTGTGACAAGCCCATCTACTTGTGCGCCCTGGAGACGCTGTCCTGAAGCACGCCTTGCGCACACTTATCACCCTATTTCCAGTGTCTGCTGGGCAGTGAAGCGAAGCGCCGCCCGCAGTGCAGCCGAGAGCGCGCGCTCACGGCGGGGCGGAGCACCGAGCAGATACACCGTATTGGCGAAGCTGGGGCCGATGGCCTTGCTTGCACTGGGAACTGATCGTCGATTATAGCCATGTTAGGCCAGAGCGTGTCCAGAGGCGTACGCGCATTAGACAAGACTGCCTGTTGCGAGAAGAGGCACCCTGCGTTCGGAGCAAAGAATCCCCACTGACAGCCTGTTGGTCAGACGCCCGCTGATGATGTACAACCGTCTCGAAGATGAGACCAATAGGCTCTGCCATATGCCAGCTCACCGGCACCCTATCGAGCACGCCAGGCCAAGGTGCGAAGACGGCGTGGCTGCACTGTATCACGCAGGGCTGCTCAGCGAGGACCAGACGATCCTGATGGACGTCTCCCTCCCTTACATGTGGCAGCAGTGCCGTGGGCGCAGCAGAGTTCAAGTATCGTTGTCAAGGATGTCCTGCATCTTTGTGGTGGACACGCATAGTGTTCTTGTGAAGGAGGACTCGATTGAGCAGTCAGCGCTAACACGACAGCATCACCAGTTGTCGATATCGGAGGGCAGGCTGTGGAAAACATGACCGTCTGTGAGCTGACTAACTTGTGTACCTGTCAGTACTCCGACCGCAACAGCACGTACCGAGCATCTGGAATGAGCCTTCACCTCGCTCGTGAAACCCAGCCATCTCAGTCCGGCACCGCTCCAAGGCGTGTAGTCCGCTCCGCACGTGTAGTCAAGCACGAGTATCAACCGCATGGCGCGTCGTCAGTGCCGTGTTGCGACCGGACACCAGACGCTGCCGAGATGCATACCGGTAGCTTTTGACAACACCATCATCCTTCCACACCAAAACAGCCTGGGGCAGATAAGATCGCAACGCACAGGGCAACGGCGGCTCGAGCTCTGACGGAGTGTTCAACTCGAGATGCAGGCCACCAAGCACGCACGCTAGGCCGCATGGAGCATGCAGTGGGCCTGTAAGATCTCAGCCCCAGTCGAGCAGGCCAACAACGCCAGCCCTGCACCCACCCTGTCCTTGCAGCTCCCCAGCGTCAGCTTTGACGCCCACCGAAGAACATCCTGGTACATGCTGGATTCCTTCGAGATCGCTACCAACTCCAGCCTAGTGGCTTGGGGCTGCAGCTACCTGCAGCTCTGTCTAGCTCTCCCCGTATATAATACCTACGCTGCTCCGTTTAGCAATGACCATCATCCCCAAGTTCTCCCAGCGGACACACATACGCAATGTTCCAAGCTGCCCAACAGTCGTATACATCTCAGCCTTCATCTGCTCCTACCATTAACGCTATGGCCACTGTGCCTCCTCAAAGCACTATGCTTACCGGCCCCAACGGTGAGCAGAAACCTCGCAAGCTACGAGCTTCCTGCGATGCCTGCTCGCGTGCAAAGGTCAAGTGCGACAAAGTCAGACCAACCTGCCACAGGTGCGGCAACATGGGCATCTGCTGCAACTACTCGCCCTCGATGAGGTAGGCGACATTGCCTTCGTACTCTAGCTTCCTAACTCACAGAAACGTAGATTGGGCAAGCCACGGAAGAACAGGAACCCAGATGGCACGATTATGCGCGATGTATCGCCAGCTAGCTCGATGAACTTGAATCAGCGGCCAGACATGATCCCCCGCACTGCTGCTTCCTACACCACAGAGAGCTCTCCGGAACCCACAGACCCCTTCTTCTTCGGACCTGCCACTCCAGAGTACCATTTCCAGGATGCTTATATACCCACTGCCTTCGAAGGCGGCCAGTCACCTTTCTCCGAGAGCGGTTCTTTCCTCAATGGCTGGTCTAACGATGACCACCTGATGTTTACGACCCCATCAGACATGTTCACTAGCATGCCTCAACTTTCTACATCCCCTTACGCGGGCCATGTTCGATCATCGAGTATGCACAGCCAACCGGAGATGTTTGCGCCTATGGAGGGCATCAACTCGCCGTTAGCCAGCCCAACCTTCTTTGGAATGTCAGACCAGCAGACTCTGCCCATGTTCAGCCATGACAAGATGACGATGTCTCCTCCAGCCATGTCTCAGACTCCTCTTCCTACTCCACCTGCTTCCACCACCACCGCGAACCACGACTGCACACAGTTCGCCTTTCAGACGCTCAACAGCCTCTACTCACCGCCAGCTTCACTGCCATCCGCAGGCGACTTCAACGGCTCCTCGAATGGTCTGCCAACCCTTGAGACTGTCATCTCCACCAACAAGTCGGCCGTCGACAAGCTCTTTGTACTCCTGGGGTGCCCATGCTCTTCCAACCCGCATTTCTCCACGACCATCGCCTTCACCATCGTCAAGCTACTTTCATGGTACCAGGCAATCTCTGGTGCAAGCTCCGAGGGTGATTCTGCGATGAACACTCAGATGGAGATGTTCTCCCATTCTCCCATCTCGATGGGTGACTTTAGTCCCATGAGCGAGACGGATGATGCTTACCGGGCTCAGCTTGTCCTGACGGAGCTTCGCAAGGTCGAGAAGCTGATCGACAAGTTCTCTGAGCGCTACACCAAGAACACCAACCACGCCGAGACTGGAATCGACGGCGGCGTCTATAGCGCCTTGGAATCTCTGCTCCGGACCCGTGTGCGCGACACTTTCAAGGTCACCATGCGCAATGCACCCGATGACATCAAGCGACAGGTGGCTTTGCGGTCTCACCAGCGCTCACGTACGCACACTCTCTGATCTGGCCTTTTGACTGCGAATTAGCGACTGTACATTCTTATCGCTTTGCTTCTTGTTGATGATTTATCTTTCCAATACTCTGTCATGATTGCGCATTATAGACTTGGGCTTCACAGCTACTGGGGGTGCTTTTCCCTTTCACGTACGAGTATACGTTATGTTTGTTGTACTCTTGTCTCTCTGCAGCGCGGCGTCGGCATGCCCCGCCTACCTGCCTTTTGCCTCGCCTGGTTTGGTGGAAAATAGACTTCGCTTCTTGTGTACATATTTTTGGAAGGGAGAGGACAGGCAAGGGGCAGTGTAGCGTGCTGCGTCTGCGTCACACGCAGCACGCAATATACGCTTGCAGGGGCGGGACGTCGGCGAGGCCACGGCTTCGACCGCGAGGGACACTCAGGCCACACTAGGTGCGCTTGCCAAATGAATGAAATGAAATACGCTCACAATCACTTCGCTTCCAGTTGGATACTGGGATCAAATTTTCTTGAGTGTTTGGGGGCGGACCCAATCAGGCTCAATACCCGCCAGGTGGACTCAGTCTGACGGAAGCAAAGCAGGGCTGTCACCTTTCTTACCAGGCAGCCCGCATTGTCCATAGGTCACGTCGTCGACCGAGTGGAGCTTCGTACCACCACACGATGACACAACTACTCTGGAAGGACAGGCGATTTGCGCATCCGCAGCCCCCCGTGCATCATCACCATCATGAACTGCCACTCTCCAAACTACCAATGGCGGGGTTGCGGACTGCACCTCATCACTTCATTTAGCCAGACTCGAGGGTGACGCATGCTGAGCAGGCATACCACGCGCGTCGGCCCCCAAACACCAGGTCGAAACGCCCGCGATGTGAGGGCTAATCACCACGCATGTGCTATGCCTCCCAGTACCTTGGCTGAGGCAGAATCACCATGGATGACTGCTGGGCCAATCCGGATGTATGGCGCGCGGTCAACGAGAAGTGGGGATGTGATGGTCTGCGCAGTCACTCTGCCACCGTGTTTGGGACGAAATTCAAATCAGAGAGCGCCTTCACCGACAGCCGTCACGCCCCCTCCACGCAATCGCAACGCAGCGGGCGCATGTCCGGCAAAGACCAACTCTCCTGGCGATGTGATGCTACAGTGGGATGGCGGCTCTGGATAGCATGTGTACGGCGGCGGCAGGACGAGTGGTGGAAATTGGAGATTGGCGGCGCGGGCGTTGCAGGCGTGCGGCGCCGTTGAGCGGGAGCCTAAGCAAGGAACGGAAGGAGGGATTGCTGATCGGGAGAGGCCGCCAGGGTCTGGAGATGCCGCGTGGAGATGGGCGTGCTGCTAGGTCAGCCCTTTCGATAGTGTACCGGATGCGAGAGGGTTTTGGGTGTGGAGATGCCCCGGGGATTGTAAGTACGCATTTGTGGTATTATCTGATATTTCTGATGGATGCTATCGTGAAGATGCGGCTTGGGTCGGAGAGAGAGATGGTTCTGGTCTTGGAGACGGAGAGACATGGTGGATGACGGCACTTGGGAGGGTGGTGCCGTGCCACAATGTGTGCAGCGGAAGGCTCGACCCGCTGCAGTGAGCCTCCTGTGAGTACACGGCGCTTTCGCACGACAACATGGCAGTGCACGTTCGTTTGATCCCTGGTCTACGTGAATTGATCTATGTCTACAAGGGTCGTCGTAATAAACCCAAGACGAACTCTTTCCCATCGCAACCGCCCCTTGGCCAGACTACTGCCCTCTGCGGGTTCTGTGGGCCTTGAATCAGGTCCGCATGCACGCCGGGTATAACCAGAAGGAGGATTACGTTCGCTGGCGGTGGGTCCGGAATGGGTAATCGGGCTGTGCGCCTCGGCCGATCATAGTCGGAGGGATGTGCTGTGTAGGGACACGAACGGGCGCGATTGGGCGGGGCCTAACGGTCCACTGATGACGGCAGCCATCGTGAGCGCTTAACACTGGCTGCTTCTGCAGCGCGTGTGGCATGTGGTGATGGAGGACATGGTGGACTAATCTTTGCCTCCGACAAGCTCTGCCACGCAACGCCGCCCCAGATGTGCATTATCTTACGTTGATAACTACTTATTTCTGGCAGATTGACAGTTTGTCCTCCTACGTCCGTTGGGGCGTACAGCGCAGAGGCAGAGTGATTGTCGGTCGCCGCAGTCACCGAGTCCGCCTCAAAGTGGGTACGTTTCTTTGAGGTGTTTTGGACACGACTTCACATGCTTACTGCGTCCAGCGTCTCCCGAGTGAGACGAAGGACCAACGCAGCCCTATGCGCGCAGAACATGGCCATGCCCATACGGTGTCGCCTGCAGGACGCCGTTCAGAATAGCGCTAATGACTTGTTCGTTGAAAGCGAGTCGACCATGTCCATGAGGACTTCAGTGTTCGTTCAATTTTGTGGATCCGGACGCGTTGATGGGGCCCGCAGTGGAATCAAGGAACGAAGTGCGATCCGGACGGCATACCGGCTGAACACCCGTTAGCCCACCGATCTGAGCACCTTTACACATCATGGAAACGGTTTTGTACTCGACGATACAACACACTGTGCTGAGATGGGAAGCCTCACGAGAATGGTGCCTCACTGGACATTCGGCCTCAGGCTCTTACCCAAATCGCTTCGGGTAAGCGAGCCGCGCCTCTGAACGGCCTCAGGGACTTCGCAGGACCCTAAGGATCATCAAATGCGGGGAGGAAGGCAAGAGACCGACCATCTGAACACGTGTGTGGCCTCTGCCTGTTGATTACATGTTCCTCCAGACGACCAACAGTGCACAGCAACAGAGCAACTCCAACACTCGCCCACGATAGTACAGCTCGGCGGCGGCGCTCCGGACTGTCACGCTTGTATCTAACGCGACTGGAGCATGCATGCCGAGACAACGCAATGGGAGCTTGCATGCCGAGAGAACGCAACTGGATGCTGAGAAGCCTGTAGACTCGACGATCCGGGCTCCGGTGCCCTAGCCCTAGCCCTAGCACTAGAGCCAACAAGCTCACCGTTCGCACAGAAACACCAGATCCTATCGCGAACGACTACCTGTTGGAGGCTTGCGATAGTCGCCACTGCATGCTTGCTAGATGTATAGGCGGAGCGACCGGCTGGAGAAGATCGGACCACCGTCGCTCTTAGCTGTCGCCTGTCGCCTACCGTCCGCCCTACGCCAGCCGAGTGACTGCGCGTGTGTGGCAGCACACCATTGCGATTCGCTGGATTTTACATTACTAACTGCTTTCTGATCGTGTTCTGCAAACCTGATGGCTGCCTGTCAACATTCTGATCTCGTTAGCTCTACACGTACGCAATGCTGAATGCGAGTTCGCGACGCCATAGCCGCGTTGATCTAGAACTCGCAAGATGCAGCATGCGAACAAGTCCAACACGGAAGATGGCCAAAAGCGGGATCCCATCATGCGACACTGAGGATAGTGACTTCGCATGTAGGAGGTACCGGGACCTTGTATCTCGGACATGGCTTAGTGGTAGTCATGATAACCGTATGCGCTTACAGAGGGCTATATCAGCCGGAGAGGACGCGAGCTGACGTAGACATTGGCTTGCAGCGCTTTCCTCCATATGCCCAAGGGTGCATCGCATTTCCATTCTGCTGGTAACTTTGAAAGCGATACCTCGCTTGGACAAAGTCACGAGCGACATCACAAGAACAAATCACGCTATGGCTTTCCCCAGCACCGATAGTCCTTGTTCTCTAGCTCTTACTCTGTCTCCATGTTCGGCGCCCTATCTTGTGCTGTGCCTCCCGACTGCCTCGTTCCCACAGCTTGGAATACGCATGCGAAGCTCCACCATGGGCAAGGCTCATATAATGCACCAATGACGTTCCAACCCCACAATGCGGCGCATCCCCGTCACAGATTCCCTCGTCCTTTGAGCACTTAGCATCGGTGCTACGTATGTACATGCTGCCTGCGCGCGCCTAGGATCGTGCAATCCCGTGTTAGCCTGCTGCAGTCAGCAGGCGGATTCCGACCCACTCTGTGTAAGCTTCCTAGAAGCTTTCTAGAAGGTTGCTAGAAGGTTGGCACATGACGCTCGGGCTTCACCTCGTATTGCGGTTGGGTTCACGGATCGGCGATCGGAGACCTGGTTCTGGGTTTGGCGCGTGGCTGGCCGATGACGGAGTGTAGCGACTTTGGCCTTGCGAAGGGATGGGAAGGGTCAAGCTGTGTGCCTCATTGTTGTTCGCTTCAAGCGGCAAGACATACTTCGAGGTAAGATTTTGCGAGACACGGAACGAGGTACTTCACCGGAAATTTGGGTTGAAAATCTTACAGGGTGCTTGTGGATGAACGTCATTCTCTCACGGACGAAATGTCGACTTCGCAGTGCTTTCGATCCATCGATGCGCAGCACTGCACTTTGATGTACCTTTATCACACGAGACATTCATCACACGATCAGTATGCTTGCAAGTGGCGTGGCAGCTACCCACGTATCTTCCTAAAGCCAGCGAACAAGGACACGATATTGCTGGACAACGTAGAACCACGACCAAGCCTGATAACACGAGAAGTTGGAACGAGTTCCATCTTAATTTTCACACGCCTATTATACACCTAGTACGCTTCACTTGTTCATTGATACAACACCGTTCCCCTAATCTCGAAACACCGCGCCTCAATCTTGCATAATCTCGCTCCGCAAAGTTGATTCTCGCCCCATCATTTGCTTGCGTTAAACGCATACCTCGAGGCCATGCGGCACATACGGCGCACTTTTGGAAGAACGAAACATATGTTTGTGAATGTATTGCATTAGCTCCCATGTATAAGGCCGCTATTACAGCGCGTGTACAAGAAAACCTCTTGCACAGCGCATGAGAACGTGGGATGCGCTGTGCCACGAACCTGGGGCGAGGCTCCCTCACGAGTCTTGCTTCCCTTTGAAAGCATTCTATGAAATACTATTACTACCGTCCCTGCCAAAATTGCATGACCCTATCTTCAGTTCCAGATCGCCCAAGAAAACCCCCAACTTCATCACAGCAGCACTGTAATGTCTTTCAAATACCAGCCTGGCATGTCCTTCTACGATTCTCTACCATCTTCACTCAGAGCACTGCTCCCCATTGAAACGATTAATCTCTGCCGGCAAGAAGATCCAGTGACCGAAGCGCAAGAGCTATCGTGCATGGACTGGTAAGACGGAGGTTCATCTCGTTTGTTTCACTGGACTGACTAAGGTTATGTCCATAGGTACTTTGACATTCTAGGCTGCTACGCGTGGGAGCATCATCGAGGGTTGGATAGTGTATGAGCTTGAGTTTGGGAATCTGAGTAGGAGGAGATAAAGGTGGGAAGAGTCGGTTCACGTAGATAAGTCTTTGTTAGCCTTGTGCTTGTGGAGGACGCAGTATATCCGGGTGTTGAGTTACTGCATACGATAAATCATTGGAATGAATATGAGGCGAGGGAGCGTGGCGAGTGGGTTATTTATACTGGGAGGTAACTATGTGGTATAGCAATAGAGTCTTTGCATCGGTACATCAAGCGTAATAGAACATCCAGATCAGAGTCTGTTCAGCCCACACAATGGAGTAAAATGGTATAGACTACGATGAATGAGTGTAATATTGAAGGTGACTTTTGCTCCCCATGCGTCCTGGGTGGACATACTTCAGCAGGTGCTGCTTGCCCATGCAAGTGTAATGATTGACGATACCTACGGAATGGAAGATAGCGATTTCGCATGTAGATGATTGATGACTCGGATGACTTCTCGAAGTTAGACAAGTATACTCACGCCGGAAGCCGTCGTTATTTAATACAAACTTATCCACAGAGGTTGAAGGGGAAAGTCGAACTCTCTCTCAAAATTCAAAGGTCAGCTAGTCACCAAGAGAGGTTAGTAAATGCCACATGGAATTTACATACCAGGGTAGCTCACTGTACAAAGAGCGTCTAAATTTCGATGTGATACTGTATCGTGGGTGTTCACGCGCAGGATGTGCTACCGCCAGGAGTCCAACTTATTCCTTCGGCCATTGTGATACGTCTAGTTGATGACTGGAAACTCTTCAGACCAATATTCTCCGTCGCAAAGCCTTATATTCTCTCTATGGAGTTGAACGAGAAAATGTTCATACTCTTGTCGACTGTAGTTGCTTATTACGAGGGGAGCCAGGGACTGTGCATAAGTGAATGTCTGGACACCTATTGAGATTCGTGGAAGATGTTGTAACCCTACCTTAATCGATACGCGGAAGGCTCGAAACAACCTTGGTCGTTGCTGATCGTATGCTCGGCTAGTACAATGTAAACAGCAGGTGCGGGGTTTCGCGCTAGATCTCCCCACATTATCACATCCTCTTTTAGTGTGCGAGACCTCGTGGACTTCTAGTTGTCTCTCAAGATAGTAGGAGAAGGATTTGTCCCTGGAGTCGGACCCAATAAACCCGAGCGCACTGCATATGCTGCAATACCACCGGTAATATTAAGCGTTACGGTGCTGAGCTGGGCTTGGAAGTGTACGACCGTTCATGATAAGGTAAGGTACCCGCTCGTAAAACTAAGCTACTTTATGCCGCACCATGCATCTACTACGTGTATTGCAAGCTCTGACGGTGCCAGCCATAGTTCTGGGCCTGAATGTCCAACCCGGTTCCCTCAGGGTGGATGGCACAATCAAACCGCTCGCCGTCGACTCTACCAACCCTAGGTTATCCTGGCGCCTAGTCTCGCAAAGCCGTGGTGACTCGCAGATTGCTCTCCAGGTCCAGGCTGCAGGTGCTGATGGATTATGGACGTTGCCCAATCTCTGGGATTCGGGACGTATCTCATCGTCTGACCCCTTCGCAAGGTACAATGGCCGCGGCCTTAAGTCCCGATCCGCCATCTTTTGGAGGGTCAGGGTTTGGGATGCAAACAACAAACCCTCGCAATGGAGCCAGGTGTCGACGTTCGAAGTGGGGCTGCTTCGACCTTCGGACTGGGAAGCATCCTGGATCACGAATCCCGATTTCGCTACTGGCAAGAATTCGCTTCCAATGTTTGCGAAAGAATTCAATGTGGGTTGTGTTGTCCCTAAGGCGAGGCTTTACCTGCTAGGTCTCGGTGTTCATGCCCCTGAGATTAATGGGCAGGCTGTTGACGACAGGGTCCTTGCGCCGGGCTACTCAACGTTTAATAAGACATTGTGGTACTCGACTTACGATGTGACACATCTTCTGAAGCCTGGCAACAACGTTATTGGCGTGCAGCTTGGCAAGGGCATCTACGACTCCGACAAACCTCTTGGCGGGAAGCGGTACACGAAGTTCACGATTCCTTCGCAGCCTTTGAAGCTGATTGCACAGTTGGAGTATACGTGCCTTCTCGGTAGCTCACACACCGTAACTTCAGACGATACATGGACTTCCTCAACCAATGGTCCTTACCTTGAAGCCCACTGGTACGGAGGTGAAGAGTACAACGCATTGAAAGAGATCAAAGACTGGTCTAAGCCAGGCAAGAGCCGTCAGAACTGGACGACTGCGCAGGTCACTACCGGTCCTGGAGGAGCTCTAACAAGCCCTCGAGCACCTCAGATCAAGAGGTTCGAAACAATCACAGCCGTGTCCGTCAAACCAGGACCCGACTATCTTTTGTTTGATTTCGGCGTCAATAACGCTGGCACCTTCAACTTCAAGATCAACGGAACTGGTCTCGCAGGACGACGCGTAACCTTCTGGCCAGCCGAGCGCCTCAAGAGCAATGGCTATATCGACCAGTCAACAATGGGCACCAATATCTTCCATGCGTACACGATCAAAAACTCAGAGAGTGAGATCTACTCACCCAAGTTTGTCTACCACGGTATGCAATTTCTTGGGATTAACTTAACCCTCGGCTCCGATGTAACATGGGCTCCCAAGGCTAGCGATATGAGCATGACGGTTATTCGCGCTTCCAACGAACAAGTACTGGAGGTTTCCAGTAGTAATGACCTGTTCAATGGGATACACAATAATATCGATCGATCTATTAAGGTATGTGTCCGCAGCTAGACGCAGTGTTCCTATCTCACCAGACGTGACAGAGCAACATGCATTCTGTTCTGACAGACTGTCCGCACCGCGAGAAGCTGGGCTGGCTGGAACAAGATCATCTGGTCTTCGATCCCGTCGCCATGGGCTATGACATCGAAGCATATGGCATCGACTTTATGCGAACCATCGCCGACGCACAGGCGCCAGATATTCCTGGACTGATTCCAACGACAGCACCCGAATACGTCGTCTTCAGCGGCCAGTTACTGATGTACCGTGACGACCCAAACTGGGGTGTAGCAGCGATCAGGTTTCCTCTCTTCCACTACGAATACTATGGCGACATTACGATCCTGACAATGAGGTACAACGTCATGACACAGTACATGGACTACCTCCAACGGAAAGCTGGCGGAAACCCTTACATGCCTGATAGCAGTCTAGGAGACTGGCTAACGCTGAACAACATGACTCCGAAAGGGGCAACCGCAACCTTCGCATATTACCAGGCCGCTGCAGGCATGACTGCGGTAGAGAAATATCTAAAGCACACAGCGAAAGCAGCAGAATATCAAGCATTAGCCGAAAGTATACGTGAAGGCTACCATTCAAGATACTTCAATGAGACAGGCTCTCCACACTATTGTGCCAACACCCAAGCCTGTAACGCCATGGCACTTGATATCGGAGCTGTGCCCGCGGAACATAAGGAAGCCGTGCTCTCAGCCTTGATAGACTCGCTAGAAGCGCAAGGCTGGCACTGGGATGTCGGCGAGATTGGCCTGCCGTGTACGTATCGCTTACCACCTCAAACTCTATGTGAAGCAACAGCTCACTAATACAGCACTCATTCGCGTTCTTAAAGGCGCGGATCGAAACGACATCCTCTACAAACTCTTCTCCCAGACAACAGTACCAAGCTACGGCTCACAGGTCGTGCATGGGTCTACCAGTCTCTGGGAGCACTGGGACGCACCAACTACGGGGGGTAGTTACAATCACTTCATGTAAGTTGCTATACCCACAAGGCGCATGCTTTCTGCTCATAATTGCTAGGTTCGGTTACGGTGACATATGGATAGAGCAACTGAGCGGCCTTTCCCAGAGTAGCGGCTCAGTGGCTTGGAAGCAGATCGACTACAAGCCTGTGATAGTAGGCGACTTGACCCAGGCAAGGACAAGCTACAGGACGCCACGTGGGCGGGCATTGGCGGAGTGGAGCAGAGCCGGAAGTGGCTTGGAGTACAATGTCGAGGTGCCTGTTGGTTCGATCGGCACGGTGACACTGAATAGTACAAATGTGACACTGGACGGTGGGAAGATCAAAGCCGGAATAAATGGTGTCGAGTCCACAGAAGAGAACGGAGGACAGACGGTGATTAAGGTTGGCTCAGGGACATACAAGTTTCATGCAGAGCTGCCGTAGTCACCAGCAAGTCACCAGCATAACAGGTATAGGCAATTTATTCTGAAACGACAGAATCCTTTTCCTTACGGACCCATCATCCCACCTATCAGTCCTGTGTCTCTATTTCGCCCCACCAATAACCCATATCTCATTCGTGGCATCGCTGCTGAGGAACAACTTCCCGCTCGGACTCCAAGCCAATCCTACCGGCCTGAAGCATCCACTTGGGCAGGCGGCGTTGTTCGCATTGTACATGATGTTCTGCGCTGCAGACGTGTTCGTTACGCTGGCGACGGGCTGACCTGTCTGCGAATTCCATGCTACCCTGCTCACCCTGTAGCCATCTGGCGGGGTTTTGTCCCAGCTTCCGTGGAATGTAACATATGCGGCGCTTCCACCGCTATTGAACTTAAGATCCAGCGGAGCGGTATGCGCAGGGAAGCAAAGCTTGGGAGCGACGCGTGTGCAAGTGGAGCTGGAGGCGCCGTTGGTCACTGTGTCGCCAACTTTCAACTGGGTGTTGAACGGGGACGGGAGAACGGAAGGGTCGTATATGGAGTGGCAGGTAGGGTAGCCGTAGGACTTTCCACGTTCAGGGGATGAGGTGTCGTTGATTCTTCCGTGGTAGTTCAGCTCCTCGCATGGGTTCGTGTTGTGGACATCTTTGCCGTTGACGGTCATGTCATCCATGCCATTGTTTACTGAGAACTACTGTGCGTCAGCTCTGCTAGATCTATGACTTTGTTGCTTCAGAGGTGGGGGAAAAGGATGAGCATCATGGAACCGAAGCTGGGTAAGAAGTATCTGGACTGCGGACTCAGCACAGAGTTATTGAGTTGTAAACTTACAATTCCACCATGAATGTCCTCAGCAATACCAGCATTGTTTCTGATTCCATAACCTAGAAGTTCACCCGTTGTGTACGCCTTCGACCCAGCCTCGAGATCGGCAAGCTTGAATATCCGGATCTGGCTCCTGCCACTCGAAGCTTGAGCAGCACCTGTGTCAAGATTCCCATTCGAGCCGACCTGCACGAGGAGGACATTTGGCTGGGTTTTAGGCACCAAAAGAGTCCTACCTGTCTCCGCTGTTAGCTCTTTCTTACAGCATGAAATCTGTTTAGACACTGCACTTACTCACATGCCCACTGGTACTCATCCCTGTGACAACCGTCTTCTTGTTGCCCACAGTTCCCGTCGTACCGTCATAGTCCCAACTGTATACCGTGGTCTTTGATGACGCAAATAGTTTCTTCCCGTCAGGCGTCAGCGCGATACCGTGGTTGAGCGAGCTGTCCGCGACAAGCTGCTTCTGGGACCTGACGCAAATATTCGTGCCGCCGTTATCAGTCAGTTGAATGTAACGGAGGCCGTAGGAAGACTGTTCGGCGGTGAGAAGGTTGCCTTGGATATCGAAGATGATACCACGAGGGCCTTTTCGAAGCCAAGGTTAGCACTGATACTATATTATAGAGTCGCGCTTGCCTTTGAGGCCATTCGCAACTACACGACCTTCATAGCCAGAGGCAAACGTAGCGGCATTGACGGGATTGATAGTAGCACATGTCTGACCAAGTGCAGAAGGGATCAGAGGCAGCAAGGCCACGACAACAGGATGGATGGCGACCATGCTGAATTCCTTGCGTACGTCCTCAAGATGAGGAAGCGTGCAGATAGCCTAGTTTGGGAATCCAGGTTCCCGTTTCCTTATATCCCAATTATGTCCGCCATGGATCACACACATGCCACGGGCTTTCAACCAGTCCAAGCCCCAGGTTGTACATGGCATCATATTTACCCCTGTGCTACCAATCAGGTAATGGTGGGTTCATTAAATATCCCTATTCGGACCTTCTGTGCACCAATGCTTGGTCATTTTAAACTGCGTCCAAGGGCTTTGTAGGAGCGACTGACCTCCCATGGTGGCAGGTAGCAACTTCGCGCACGGTTTCGCCAAGTACGGACAAGGTTGACCGCTGTGATAAGTAGAAGGATGCGGAGCGGATTGGTGCGAGCTGTATAAGCCAAGATCGCGCTTCGATACAACTGTCGATCGGCATTAATGAAACATGATTGTTTTTGGCGGGGTTACCAGGATAGCAAAGTGCCTAGAAACCTGGGGATAGTGCGCTCGTTGACAGTTCAGCGGCACAAAACTAGGTGCGCTTAACGACTACCGAAGCATGTTGCGGATCGGTCGATATGTCCGATGTTTGTGTATCGCGAAAGGAAGGTGAGAGTTGCGGAATGCCATCCATGTATGGAGATCAATAGGAGACAAAGCTATGACCAGGTAGGTAAGCAACGGCAAGGGGCAGAATGATCTCATATGTTTCGAACAAGGAGGAATATCAAAGGAACGTGGATTATTCACCAAAGCGCGCTTGGGTCAGACATGAAGCTGGCGGAGGTAAGAGGTCGAAGCCATGGAGAGATGTGGGTTTACGTACCATACTTGCCGGACGAGGTCTACTTATGTAGGTACTATATCTATTCTACGCGAGTACGACAACACAACTGTCCGCTGCAGTTCGTTTCTGTGGACATGGAATAGTGCATCGGATTCGACTTCTGGAGACGCAAAGCGCGGAGCAGTTCAATTCAGACTCTTCAATCGTTGCTTTGATCAAAACAGACCTCCAGCAAAGTCTCGTTCTTATTCACGGCGCACATGCATTGGCCACTGTGTGTACGCCCCCTTATTTTACGATGACTGTAGGTGGATACGGCTCACGCTTGGAACGATGATTACGCCGCTCTTCCAAGGATGACCAGTGAAATGACCCCGGCAACGGTTGACAGCGGGCATTCCGTCTCGGGTCGATCGGGCCCACCTGGCGCCGTAGTAGGAATGTATTTCAAGCGGTGAAGTATCCGCGGGCTTTAGATGAAGGGACGACCGAGCACGTGCGGGGTAGCGAACCATCCATCCCAACAGATCAGTTGCTTGAATTCAAAAAACCATTACCCCAAATCGAGACTGATATCCCTTCTCGAACCTTCGCGATTAAACAACGACTGCTTTGTAAGTGCACGGTTATGCTGGATGGTAACAAACGATGCGTGACTATGCCGCACACTCAGGTGTAACCCAAGCGAGTGCACAGCTATGTGTCAGTACGTCCCTTCACTCTCCAAACCAGCAACACTTGTAGGGAGAAAATAAAAGTGGAAAAAGCAGTTCCAAAAGCAAAGCGTTTTTTCCTTTACCAGGATCGAACCCACGCCCAAAACTCAAAAGCGCAAAAAAGAAGTTCTCATAGCTGAGCTACGTTTCGATCGTAGGTCCTCCGGGTTATGAGCCCGGCGCGCTTCCGCTGCGCCACTCAGCTTTCCTTGAGTAGATGAAAAGTTTTGCACGCAAGTAAATATATATACCCGGTGATGTGCGCAAAACTAAAGATATTCGAAATAAAGCAATCAAAACTTGGTCACGGTGGGGTAGTGGGTGGTACTAACGAGCGGGTTGAAAGAGATTTCAACGTTGTGAGTCATGGAGGGGAGAGTGGGACAATACACCGAAGGACAGACTGCAAGCGAGAGCACGTCAGGTGGTTATTGAAACAAACAAACTCTGACACCTGGCTGAATAGTTCTCAAGATTGAACACGATTAAATAAGTATGGACAGTGCATATCGTACACAGCTACGCACAAGACATAATTCAAAAGCATGACTCCATTTGAGGCGAAAACTAAGGATACAATGCGACATGCGATGCACGTCAACATCTCAATGCAATGCTGGGGTATATCTCCGACTCTTCCACTTCCTCCCTCTTCCGTTCGAAGAATATTTACACGCCCCTGGCCTCAAACACATGTCCGTTCTTACTTAGCACCGTCCCCAACTCCTTGTGCATTTCGACCTGGAACGGCGCAAACGGTATTTTCTCCCCATCAACGCTGATGTACCCATCCTTTTGATTCTTGGGTATAATACGGAACGCGCTGATCTTCTGGTAGTCGACATGCGGTGAATCAAAGAACTTGTGCTGCTCAATAGCAAGTAAAGTGGCAATGGATTTTGTCCGGGCTAGAGTACCCTTGATACGTATTAGGTCGAGACAGCCGTCGCCAGGTAGCGCAGCAGGGAAGAAATTCGCGTCGGGAGACATGTAGGCGAGGTTGCCTGCATAAAAGTTGCCGAGTTCGTCGTGAGGGACTAACTCCCAACCGTCAGGTAATGGGTCATTCATGGTGCCGTACTTGAGTAACGGAAGGCCACATGCTTCGCCCGGGGGTGGTAGGATGCGGTCATCGTGCGTGCGTGGGGGTTTTGCGGCCTCTGCGCGGTAGGCTGCCCGGACGGCCTCTTTGTTGTCGTGAACAACTTTTATGGCTATGTCCGCCGGATAGCAGGTTTTCTTTATTAGGCGGATAAGGAAACCGTACGTGAAGCGTGCGCTACCCATCCAGCGCATGTGTTCGGTTGCGAGATCGATTTCGGCGACGATACCGACAGATTGCGAGAGGAAGGACAGCGTGCGGCGGTCGCCCTGAGTCACTGAAGCGAGGTCCAAAGGCGTGCGGAGGCCTTTCATGACGGCGAGAGCGGCGAGACTCGGGCTGTCAGTGCCATTGTGGTTCAGGCACAGGGCATTTCCAGATCCACAGGGTAGTTGGACCACGGCGACCTTGACTAGAGCGCGTTGCGCATCCTCCCTCCTGCCAAAGCCATTCCACACTTCGTGCGGGATGCCGTCCCCAGAGCAGCAAGCCACCACGTCATACTTCTCAATGTCCAGACTCTGCGCTATCTCGATACCGTGACCGTTGTGCTTGGTCGTTTCTACGTCAAGCTCGCAGCGCGCGGCTGCGAATATGGGAGCGATGTGTTTGTGGTAAAGCTGCGACGCCTTGCCCTGGCCGCCAAAAGGATTTATCAGCACCTTGATGCGCTTCTGTCGTTGCGACGCGCCGTATGCCTTCTCTAGCAGTCTCTCTATCCATGCTTCCGCAAGGTCGCTGTCTGGCTTCTCGAGCTTGTAGCTGATAATCTGCGGCCGCACGACCTGCTTTGACACGGCGTGCGCATAGTGGATGATGACCTCGCCATCGTCTGCGGTTTCGGCCCAGAGGACATTGTAAAAGAGGATCGAGCGCGTCGTGTTATTATCTGTTCGCCGTCAATGGCTGACTACGTGTTGCGGGAGGTGTGCTTCTCACTGCCTCCTCCAAGAGAGATGCCGCAGCAACCCGCACCTTTGCTTTCCAGGAGCTCATCTGCGGCCTGTCAGCGCGCGTCTCACGCACTCCTCTGGCCGGCAGTACGTACCAGTCACTATCAAAGCATCTGTACCCAGCGTCAGCGAGGCATTCCTGCCCACTGCAAGCGTCGCAGGCACGTCGGCTTGGACATCATTTGTAGTGTTGCCAGCCATCGAAGGGTCTCTGAAGGGATCAATTGCGTCTTCTCCAGCACCGTCTGCCATGGCTATGGTGAAGAAGTATATGTACAAGTCTTCATGGCATGGGTAACGATAGGAGTACCGACTAGGCGTAAGCACGATCCATAAAGCGGGTGAGCCGGGAGGGAGAACCTGGCGTTAATCGTCAAGCGGGTGAGGAAGTTGGCCCGTGTTGGCGCCTGAGCCGAGGCTACCTAAACAGAGCTCAAGACACCACCTGCCACGTTAAAATTCCCATATATTCAATCAATATCACCTGAAACTTGTAAACGTTCCGCTAACCATATTTGTTTTAGACGCCGCTGGAAAGAGTATGCGTTAAAGCCGCCACTCCGCCTCTGCCACAGAGAGGCTACAAGTTTCAACCACCTGGAGGGTTCAGAAAGAGCATAGAATCTTTGACGTTCATATTATCTCGCTTTACGTAAATTGTCTCCATCACTGAAACTTGGACTTCTTCTTTTACTTGGTCCAATATATCGTCTTGGACATGGCTGTGTATTATCAGTTCCAGTGACCTCGCCTTTTAACTTCTCTGGGCCTTCCGTTCGCGGTTGCTTTCAGTGCTGTTAGAGCTGCCTGGTTCCTCTTGCAGACACAATGAAAAACACGATTGACTGTTCAGACTGTCCAGACTATTCAGACTGCTTTGAATCAATTCTCTACCAAAATCTGCAGCCAACAAATAATATGGCAAGTTCATACGTACATGAAGTGGACAAGGCAACTCGTGGTACGAGGGTGATCAGTCAAGAACCCCAAATGAAAGAGGAAACGCGAAGTACGAGCTAGGAAACCCAAAGAAGACCATATGAGCTTCAGAGCGATATTTGATGCGGGTAGGATAATCTTACAAGATGAGGTATACTCCGCAATGCGAAAGGCGATGCAGCTGGTGCGCAAGGAATCAAATTAGAGTGAACGGTGACCCGAATTGCGGGGACTACACATTTGCGAAATAGATATTGAATTCTTTCTATCTCTCAGCATCTTCTTAGACAAGTGGGGGCCATCGCATCCCAAACACCACGCTCAAGCCTCCAACCGGATCCGGATCCGGATACGTCAAGCGCCTTCTCTATATCAACATGTGCCTCGAAAATTAGCCTTTGTCACAATCCCACAAGCCGCAGGATGGAACGACAACGACTCGCATTATGATCGCCTATTGGACCTCAGCTTACCGGAAACGTGGTCGTGTAAGCGCAGCCTGGAAGCCTTGCGTTATGGCCCCCAGGAAGATATGCTCCTCGCCCCTTGATCGTCACAATCTCCTCATCTATTCTCTAGCTTTGCGCAGCGTACCTTGTCGCGGTACGAAAGCTCTGGAGGTATCTGCACGATCTGAGGAAACATGGCAACCGCCAACTTAGGAGCACTTACCACTGCATTCGTGCCGCCTTCAGCCTGTCTATACCCTGGGTAAATATCGTACTTCACCTAAATAAGCCCAGCTGCTGACGACCACGCAAGCAACATATGGCAAATCCACACGACCTACACCGATGGTCAACGAACGGACCGGCAGTACGAAATCTTCGGTGCGCCCCCAGAAGCATCACCAGACTGTTACCCCAAGGACTACAGCCCAAGGAAGTACTACTCACCGGGCGTATGCCCGTCCGGATACTCGATTGCAACGGCGGAGACAAACGCCATTGGCACCTTGACGGAAACGACGCATACATGTTGTCCTTCGTACGAGTTCCCCCTCCCTCCACGCTAACATCTTGATCCCAACAATGCTCCCGAGGGCGCATGTCGCCCACCGTAGCACCGTCGCTAACAAGCAAAACAGCGCCATATCAATGAGCCTCCAAGTCCAACCCATCCCCAACCCCAACTTCCCCTGGCTCGACACGCTCCGCTGCGAATCAACATACACTGCCGAAGGGACAATAAGCCTGACGAGCAGTGAGGAGGGCCAGGAGCCCACGCCTGCGGTATTCACTCATTCGATGAATCCTGGGGCGATCAATGCATACGCAGTGGTCGTCCGTTTTCAAGCGTCGGATCTTGCGGTAGGCTGATAGCAGACGATGAGTTAAGGGACGATGCTAACATATAACGCAGAGTAAGACTTCCTCTTCGTCAAGCTCAGCCTCGTCACCGAGCACGGCGTCCTCGTCGTCAACGCCAAGCGCTTCCAATACCCCCGATAAGTCAGGCCTCTCAACAGGCGCCAGTGTAGGTATTGGCGTTGGTGTTGGCATTGTTGGGCTAGCTGCGATCATTGGTGCTATTTGGTTCATATTGCAGTCGAGGAAGAGGAAGCGACAACATGCATACAGTGATGACCTACCCGCTTATAGCGATAAGCCTACGATGAATGGATATAGACACGAAGCAAGTGGAGCGAGTGCACCACAGGAGCTAGGGACGGCAGATCATATTGCAGCAGGTAGTGCGCAGAGACCGATTGAGCTAGAAGGGCGGTAGTTTCTGACAAGCGTTGAGGATGTAATGCGGTGTAGAATATCATTCATGTAACAAATGGGCGAATGTTGGGGCAGGAACCGAAGCTTTCATGCCTTGTATATCAAGTATCTCAACAGTACAAACATCTTCGATGCTCTCCACGCCCTGGACGGTGAATCTGCACCCGCGCATGGGCATCAGCGCAACACTGTTCTCGTAAAATGCGATCATGGCAACCTCTACATGCGAGCGATACAAGCTCACTTATTTAAACCCTTCAAGCTCCCCAAACTGAGCGCCAATCCCTGACTTCTCGACCGAATCCTGACGAAACCTGTAATCGGTCCGTTGCTACCTTCCTGTTCAATGCTCAAGTTGGCCAACGCATCCTCACCTGCTCTAAATTAGTACTTGTACTTTTTCCAATGCCTGGAGGAATGTAACTCACCGAACACACTCCTAGCATACAGGTTCGCAGACAAAAACTGGCAATCACCCTTCATACTCGCCTCTGGCGTAAGGCAAGACATGTTGGTGGATGCCATGAGCTGCTTGAGGAAATCGCGCAGTGACTTGGCCTTGGAGTTGATGTTAACCTTGTTCTCCCATTCGAACTCGGTCCACATTGTTCGGAATTGGGTCTCCGTGCAGTTTGCAGGCTTGATGTAGTCCATGATGTCGATGTGTACATCGTTGAGGATAACGACGTTGGAGTCGACGCCCTTTTCACTGTAGGTTTGTCAGCACGCGCGCGTGGTGTGCAATGGAGTGAACTTGCCCTTCGTATATGATGTTACCAAAAATGACACCAGTGTCAGTAGAAGAAACTTTGATGGTGGCTTGGAGGTTGATGAAATCGTGTGGGCCAACATTCTGCGTAGGCGGCCGTTCGACAACCTTGAGGTCGCCAAGCGTGGCGAACTCGACAGTCAGGTTCTGAAGAGTTTCGGTAGTTTGGTTGACCAGCAATACGTCCAGGACAATGTCGAACTGATGTACCTTGATGTAGGCTTCAGCGTAGACCGGATCCGAGAAGCCTGTGAGTTGCTGCACCCGGCTAAGCTTCGATGTGATATCTTCCGTGGCTGTGTCACCACCAGTTGCTCGTTCGAGGTCTTCTGCAACCTCGTCCAGACCCTCTGCATCCTTCTTCTTGAGCTGTCTTATCGAGAATGAATCGTCAACGTTGATTGCAGACTTCGCCTTCTCGGATGCTTCTTTCGCTGCTCGCTTCTTTTCCTCTGCTTGGACCATAATCCTAAAAGACTTTCGTGTGTCTTCGAGGTAGACAGCTTCAAGCTCCTTCTTCTGCGCAAATTCGGACAGTGATCGCACGCAAGACATAATGCGGTCGACAGAGTCTTCGTCGATGAATGTCTTGACAAATTGTGACTGGCCAACGCGAATGATGGAGATCATGATGAGCATAGCCTCTGCCCTGAGACGATTAGTTTGAGCGGTATCCTGTGAGATCTCTGAGATGCGCATGACGAGCTTGGTAAGAGTGCTGGACAGTACAGCCGCGAGATAGTAATCGCCATCGAGAATAAGCTGGCGGAGCGGAGGTTTCTGGGAGTTTTTGACGGCTTCGAGTTTGGCTTTGGCAGCGGCAGATGATGTGAGCGCACTTTCGGTGGCATATGTGCCATCTGCGAGCACTTTGCGTGAACCAGAGGGCGCTGCAGGTTTGGCATGGCCGTTTACTTGTTCGACAGGTTCCTTGCCTTCTGATGCCTCGTCCAGCAGCCTCTGCTCCGAGCTCAGGATAGGAATTTCGCCGAGCGATGCGCGGATACCTCTCCACGCGTCTCGAATGTCCTTAGCTTCCAGCGAGAACTCTCCAATGATCCAAAGGACACCGCGGTAGACTTTTCCTGCGCGGACCTCACCCAAGGTGGTAACAAGGCGCTGGACGATCGATGCCCTGAGATCTGGAAAACGCTCAACGACCTCTTTTACGAAAGAGATAACATCCACGGCAGATGCGTTGCTGCTGACATCGGAGATGAAATCCATGAGCGATCCGACAACACTTGCAGCGACTTCTGGGAATTTGATCGCTGACTGGTGGATGGCGGAGATGAGCAGTGTCCGATACTCGGAGTTCTTCTCGTATTGTTCATCGACAGTCTTGACCAGTTCCTTCTTGAGCAACAGGACCACCTCTTCGACATTGCGGCTTGTGACCATTTCCAGTGCGATGTTGAGCGCCTTCTTCCGCACATCCAAGTCCGGGCTTGACAAGACACGGAGAATTTCCATAGTGAGATCATCCAAAACACCCTCATTCTTTTGACGCAGTTGGTCTACGCGCTCCAGAACAATAAGCTTCACGTTATTGTCAGGCTCCTTGACAGCGAGTTCCACAAACTTTCCTGCGGCTGCCTTGACAGCTACGGGATTGGAAGTAAGAGTGGTGAGTGCGTGCGCAGCTTCGTAGATAACCGTTGACATGCTGGACTCTAGCAGATCAAAGATCAGCCGCAAATACCGTGCCTTGTTCTGGGGGTTGCTAATGGCGTCTTTCCGGATAAACTCCAATTCGGCAAGCAGTACCAGCTCATCGTGGTTGGGGATAGAGTCGAAGACAGTGCTCAAGTATTCTAATGCTTTTTCGTGGCTGATTGAGACAAGAGCGGCGAAAGCGTTGCGCTTGCAGGTCGCGTCGTTTTCGTCGTCAAGGAAGGTGACGAGCAGATCAGGTGCGTCTGGAAGAAGTTCAGGTAGATGTGTGAAAATAGACGCGATAGCGAAAGTTGCGTTCTTTCGCACGTAGGCGTGTCTGTGTGTGAGGCATTGTCGTACAGGCTCTGCAAGTCTTGTAAGCACCTGAATTATGCAAATGGACTGAGTGGCCTACGAAGAAGAGGCTCTACAAGCTCAGCATCCCGCAATTTCGTTCTGTATATTGTCAGCAGCATGCGACGCCGCAGAGCTAGGTCCATACACAAAGCGCAATGTATTCCCTCGCACGTATTCGTTGGGTGCCTGCAAGTCGAATCGAATGGCATTGCTACCGCTTGTCAGCAAGTTTTCCAGATATCAGAACCATCGTGTGAACCCACCAGACCAAAATCCACTCCTGTCGCAGCTTCCCTGAGGCATCATATTTTGGGCACACTTCGAAGAAGAAGTACATGAGCTTCTTTAAGGGCTTCGATTTCGAGGGCATGACGAATCGTATTATGTGCATGAGCAAGCCGGTCTGGGGATCGCCGTTGAGCATGATTGAGAGGACCTTCTTCTGCGGGCTTGTTAGCGGGAGTCCGCAGCGCGGGGCATCGTGGAGGGACGCAGGCGTACCATGGTCTCAATCTTCTGCTCATCCGAGCCCTTCTCCAAGGCGTTCTTGAAGTCATTCTGAGAAGGGACGTCGGCGGCATTGTCCTGGTGGACCTGTTGATCGCTCGTCAGCGGGGAGCTTCACCACCATCATCAGCAGCGATGGCCCGTACCAAGCTGTATGCGCTCTCTAAAAAGGTCGTCATATTGCCAGCCTAGCAGCTTCACCTGCTACGCGTCTGCGCAATTTCTTGTTGTCGTGCCGCAATGGCTCTGGGAGACGGCAGTGCGCTCAATGCTATCGGCGTTGTATATAGGCGGACTGCTACGTGGAAGGAACGGCGGCCGCGGCGGTGAAAATCGGAGTGCGGCGAAGCAGGGGGATAGGCGGGGGAGCTTCGAAGAGGTCGAAAGGGTCGTCGAGCGCCAATAGGTGGCTTCAAGGATTCAGGCGCGCTCCACAATGTAGATGCCTCCTGCTATTCAACGTCCAGGTGTCTGCTCGAGAATAGTGGTCCAAGGGCGCTTGGCAGAGCTCGCTAAACCGACCAGGGTCCGTCGACGATCGTGAACTGCTACAAAACATATCAGGCTGCGCACGCCCGCTCCAACGCGCCTGCATCAACCGACTGAGCCGCGAAGCTTGCCGCCCACCATGGCTTCTGAGAACAAGGTCAACAACGAGCCGTTCTACCTCCGCTACTAGTAGGCTACCTCCCCTCAAGGCACGTGTTCATACTAACCATCATAGCTCTGGTCACCAAGGACGATTCGGCCACGAATTTTTGGGTTCGTAATTATTCAGGAGAAGCATTGAGTTAGGCTAATTTCTTGAAGAGTTTGACTTTCGCGTGCTGGGCGACGGTCGCAGCGCGTCTACCCGTTATGCGAACAACTCCAACTACCGTAATGATTCGTTGATCCGAAAAGAGAGTAAGGGTTATTGTACCGCCATCTACGACATGTACTGAGCATCTTTTGCAGTGTGCGTGAGCCATGCGGTGGTCAATGAGATCCGGCGGATTGTGAAGGATAGCGAGATCTTGAAGTGCGTCGCAGATGCCTCATCCTGGACAGACCACCGTTTAACATGAGCGCAGGGAAGACGACACCAAATGGCCACAGAAGAACAAGGACGGCCGACAAGAACTGGAGATCAGGCTTGGAAACGAGCACATTTCTTTCGAGGTACGCCTAAGAGCACTGCTGCATGTCCGTTCAACACATGTCCCGATGAAGTGATTGTGGGATGCATATCCGAAAAGAACAACCTGATTGCTTCACTATCCAAGTTGATGCATATAGACAAGTGGTTGTGTCGATTTGCTGACCTGTCCCAGACCGCAAAGATTGGCTCTCTACAAGATGTACAGGACTCGTCCGACCCTGAAGGTCTCCGCGTCTTCTACTACCTTGTGCAGGACCTGAAGGCGTTGGTCTTCTCACTGATCAACTTGCACTTTAAGGTACTCTCAACATGACTGTTCTAAGATGCATGCTTACACCCTCGCAGATCAAGCCGATTTGAGCCAGACCACAATATTCGGGGGTCCTGCTGAGTTTTGCTTTTCCTGCCAGCAAACGAGCCAGGGTTGAAGAACAGGCGAACACGGAGTGGCACCACCTATTTGCGGGCCGCAAGGCGTCTGGAGTCTAGATTCATCATTGACCCATAGTCATCAGCAGCGTAAGATAGCTGTCGTCGATGCTAGCGGACCATGCACTCACAGTGCCGGTAGACGGAATGAATGGAATGTTCGACTTGGCCATATGCGTCTTCGCTGTGATGCAAGACAAATTCAGCCAGCGTCGCCAAGCGTGTCGCCGCTCGGCTGGGTCCGCACTGACTCTTCCAGATGTCACGTCAGGTTGAAGCAGCTGCGAAGCCGACCGAGACATGGCTGCCTCGCATCGAAAAACCCAGCAATCGCGTCGGAACAAATCTGCTTGGACTCGTGCCTGGCTCAACGCAGGGTCGCTGAAGAGCTGAACCCGTGGCAACCTTGGAATGTGTGACGCCCCTTGTCCCACAAGCACGCGAGCTAGCGTGCCCCCGGCTCCTTCCCCCCGCAATAGCGCACGAGTAAGCCCAGTCAAGCCCAGCCGTCACTCCAGATGTCGATTCCGCATAAACATGACATCCCACCGCCTTTGACCCTGGATCGTCATCCGTTCTTGAATCGCGTTGGTCTTGTCTCTCTCATCTTATGATTTTATAGTTCCATTGTTCTATTCTGTGATCTTCTCGCCGGCTATGCCTACCGATGACATCGCGGCCGTGCTCACGCCGCCAGTCGACGAGTATGAGAGCACGCTGGCCGGTCGCTCCACTTGTCCTCCAGAGGAACTGCGCATTCACCCATCGCACATTGTGACTATCGCGCCATATTCACAGAATGCGCTCGAAGACGATACCCCAATCGATGCTCCAGCGCAGCAGCCAACGCCGCCTCCGACGGATGACCCAGCATCGCCCGCGCGCGCACGTTCTCCGTCAGAATCGCATCCTAAACCCATAGAAACGTCTGTCGATGGCCCCATGCGGGATATTCCCACACCAATGAGCACGGCAGACGATAGCACTGAGGAACCGCGGCACACGCATGCTTCACCGCTTTCAGCGACAGCACCATCGACCGCCTCCTGGTCACAGCAGAGATATCCTACACCGCCGTACTCAGGCCACAGAGTATGTTGCAAGACACTGTCTCTATGAGACTAAGCACGTTTGGATTGTGACTGACCCATTTCAGTTTCTTCCCAACTCGTCCTCATCGCTCCTCCGCCCCGGCAGTCGCTTCAAAGGAAACCAAACCTCGGATCGGCAGCAGTACGAAGTAGAAGTCGAGATCAAATATGTAGATATGCGCGACTCATTCCTGTGTGGGTATCTGCGCATCAAAGGTGCGCGCTCCGGCCCGCCCCAGTCTCATCATCCCATGCGACTAACACTTCTTAGGCCTGACAGAAGACCACCCAAGCTTGACCACATATTTCGAGGGCGAAATTATTGGCAGCAAATATACTTTTATCACACAGCATCCGGAATGGGGTTCCAATGAGAAGGTGGACCGGCAGCACTGGGGTAGATTCTCAGCATACAAGCCGCTCTCCAAGTACTCATCGCGACCGGAACTGGTATCAAAAGATTGGATGCAGAAGGAGCATCTTTTCATGCGCTGGAAGGAGTACTTCCTCGTTCCGGACCACCGTGTCAAAACCATAAATGGCGCGAGTTTCGAGGGGTTCTATTACATCTGCTTCAACCAGGTTTCTGGCAGCATTGAAGGAATATACTTCCACGCTAAGAGCGAGAAGTGAGTGGTTACTCTTCCTCCATATGGACGACAACTGCTAATGCCAAAGACAGATTCCAAAAGTTGCAATTAGAACACGTTGAGGATCACGGGTGTCAGGGCGCAATTGAGTTCCGATAATTTTGACGACTTTTTCTGTTCAATCATGACGGCGAAGGAGGAGCATGTAAATGTGATACAGGGCACAAACGGTACACCGCATTCTGGATGGGCACGCGAGCGTTTTTGGACCCTCCGTATATCTTTGAGGTTTTCCTGTACAGATCCTACATTTGTCTACTACCACTTTTAATGCTGCTGCCTTCTCAGCAGTGCGCCAAGAAGGCTAGCTTGCATGACCATCAATATCATTCTTTGACGTTGATCATTGTTAGGACTTGACTTTCGCTTGAGAGGACCTGTGTTACGTCATTCCACACGGCTGGATCGCTTGCTCTCCGCAGATGTGAATCGTGGCACGCGTGGGTTGCAAGCTCTGGGACCTAGCGAAAAGCTTGACTCCACATCCGCCTTCACTCGCTTCGCTTCTATTCACCTAGCAGCTGGCCAACCAAAACCGTGCAGCCTGAGCAGCTTACCTCCCAACATCTACCCACAAAATCATGATGGCTGCGGAACCCGTTAAACGCCAAAAGCGCGAAGCATACAAGAAGTCTCTCGCAGCTGACGATGGTGCTCTCCCGAAAAAGAAATTCTTTAGGCAGCGCGCACACGCGAATCCGTTTTCAGACCATGCATTAACGTAGTAAGACTTACTACTATTTCTGATTCTAGGAGGTGTTATTTGCTAACGGTATGTAGTCCTAAGAGCCCGGCAGAGATGAATTGGGCGAGCTTGTACCCCGCATATGCTGTCAAGAAGCCCGCAGAAGGAGAGAAAGAGAAGGTCGATGAGTCACGTGCAGAAGGCCAGGTCGCGAACGAGGAAGACCAGAGGCAAGCAAGATCTATCACGAAGGATGTTGAGATCGCAGACATAGGCTGTGGCTTTGGAGGGCTCCTCTTCGCGCTCTCTACGGCCTTCCCAGACACTCTATCAATCGGTATGCCCTCTCCTCTTGTCCTCGCCCATCTCAATAACTTCACTAAACATTCGACAATGTAGGCATGGAAATTCGCATCTCAGTGACCGAATACGTGCAAGAGAAGATCCGCGCTTTAAGGAGTCAAAACGCAGAAAACCAAGCCTACCAAAACATCGCTTGTCTGCGCGCGAACACTATGAAGTTTCTGCCCAACTTCTTCCGCAAACACCAACTTCGCGCTATCTTCCTCTGCTTTCCGGATCCGCACTTTAAGCAGCGCAAGCACAAAGCGCGCATTGTCTCTAGCACGCTGTGCGCGGAATATGCTTTCGTGGTGAGGCCCGGTGGGTATGTGTACACGATTACCGATGTGAGGGATTTGCATGAGTGGATGGTGGGGCATTTCGAGGGGCATGCGAGTTGGGCAAGGGTTGAAGGGCAGGAGTTGGAGGAGGGTGAGGTCGGACAGTGTGTGGCGACTATGTCAACGGAGACGGAGGAAAGTAAAAAGGTGACGAGGAATAACGGCGAGAAGTTCGTGGCGGTATTTAGGCGGGTGGAAGACCCGGCTTGGCCGGGAGAGGAATCAGAGGCGTGATAAGACTACGACAAGCAAATGAGATGACGAAGAACATGTGAGGGTGATCCACTTGATCGGTCCCTGAGCAAATGCTCCTGGGCCAGGTATCTAGACTTTTCGAAACCTAAAATGCATGCAAATGCAACCATACGCCCGCAAACGCCGCGCTCGAATGCTGTCTTCTGCTGTCTTCTTCTAATTCGTTACCCGCTCAATCCTCAATCCCACCCCATTCCTCCTCTTCATCATCTTCCATATCTTCATCCTCCTTCTCCACCTCCTGGCCCCTCCACGATTTTAACCTCTCATCACTCAGCGTCTCCTTCGCCGCCGTCCTCACAACTTTCAATTTCCCCTCCTTCGCCAACGATTCCACTGGCACGCACAACAATTCCAGCGCCTCCCCTCTTCTCCACCCCCCACTCCCCATCCACCTTCTCCAGCTCATCAACCCAAACATCCAACACGTGAAACCTCAGTCCATTCGGGATCTTTGTATCCGCTGGGTTCAGCGGAATCTCAGACATGATCTCGCCATGTTCTTTTATCCCCTCCTTATTCGCCCAACTATTCTGCGAGAGGAGCCGGAACGAGGCATTGACGTACTGCCTAATAAGGTAAAGGTACTTGTCTAGTCGAAGCGCCTCAATCTGCGTCCACTCGCGGGCGATGGTAGCCCAGAAGGCGCGGAGAAAGGGAAAAACGACGGGGGTTTTCAGACTTGAAGGAAGACTAGCGAGGGGAGCGGGAAAGGGCTTGTTGGTGTGCGGGTTTGTCTTGCATCCAGAGGCCTAGGGGTGTTAGCTAAAATAACCTTGTGGATATGTGAGGGGCATGCGTACAGTAGAATAGTCCTTTCCAGAGCTTGAGGAGATCGAGTTCTGAGATTTCGGAGCGAGAGGAGAGGAATGCGCGGAGGGAGGCGAGGGCGGAGTCGCGCGTGCGCTTGTCGCTGGATGCGAGGTTTTTGATGAAGGGACTGCTTTGCGCGTCTTCTGCCATTGTATGGGTCTGTGTTCTGTCTCTGGTGTGCTGAAGATTGAGCTTTGCGATCGGGCCGCCTGTGAGAGTTGCGGCGGGACGCGATCCAAAAATTTAAGGTTATCGATAAGGAACCTCGGACAGGGACCTGACTGAAGAAGATCTGCACGTGCTAGCGCGTCGGCCTCGGGAACAGGTCGCGTATGGTTTCTCGCTGATTTTATTGTCTTGTTAATCAAGAAGACAAGGACGGTGATCTTAGGTTTTGAGTATTGAGAAAATACAGAAGGTTTTTTACATTACCAAAAAATGGGCTACAAGCACTTGGAATGAGGTGCTCCCAATTTCTACGAGTTTATGATATATTCGTACATACACGATAACGATTAGGGCCTAATAGCGAGCGCTCTACACGTAGCAGGATTTTAATTGGATTTTGCTCCATATGACTTTCGGATGTAAGCGCATGAAAAGGAGGCGACGGGTAGGATAGCGCTCTAATCTAAGTTAGGATTTTCGGATCGACCTTCTGTCCCCAGAATTTGAGGTCCTCCCGAATGTAAAGAAGGGTTAAAGTTATTTAAGAGACGTTAAGTATACTTATTACGCTAAGCTAAGACGAACTTAATAGTTACTAGATTTTATAAGAATTAAGAAAGATGTGTGTAATAGGGGCTACTAGTAGATAAGTTTCCTAGGATAGTGTTACAATCCTATAGGAGAATAGTAGATAGACAAAGATAACTAATAGGGTAGAGCTAATAAGGCTAGGGGCTAATATATTATAGAATACTAAAGAACTAAAAAGGTTAAGTTAGTAAGTATATAACTATAATCCTACTAAGATAATAGGATTCTAGGAGTAAAAGAACTTAGTAGAAATAAAAGAGCTACTTCTAGGCTAAGATTATACTCCCTAGAAATAGAGGTTAGTAAGGGATTATAAGAACTAGAAAGAATAGTATATAGTTAAGAATAGCTCCTAAGTATTTCCTATTCTTTATAGTTAATTCTATAGTTAAAATTAGAGTATATCTTCTATACTAAAATTTATTAGTCTTCTTATATAATTATTACCTTACCTTTTATAGTAAGGCTAGGATATTCTCTTACCCTATTATTATTTATCTACTCTCGTCCACTAAATACCTATAAGGTCTAATCTAGGTTAGGTATATAAAAACCCCTTATAACACTTTAACTACCTAAAGGTATAAGACGTAATAGTAACACTAACTAGCTTATAAGTATTAAGGGTAGTGGCTAGAAGTTCTACTTCTAGGCCTATAACTAGTATAGCTATAGTTATGGCTAACTAGGCTAACTAGATTTAATAACTCTAAGAGTAACTAGTATAGTTAATAGAATAGTTCTAGAAATAGGTAATAGTTACTACTCTAGTTAAAGGAACGTTTAAAGTCCTAGAACTCTTTAATAGAGACTAAGAAAAATTAAAACTATTTTTTACTAATATAGAGTTATATAATTACTCTTATAAAGCTACTATAGGTAAAGAATAAGACTAAATATTAGCTACTAGAATATATATAGTAGAATAGGCTACTAGATAGATATAACCCCTAGTAAATAACTATATAGAAAATAAGGATAATATTAAAAAATATTAGGAGGACACTAAACTAGTCTTTAAGAATTAGAAGTTATTCTAAGAATAGATAACTATTATATTTAGTAAAGTTAATAAAGTAAAGTAGGTAGAGTAATAAATCTAAAGGCTAAAATAAACTATATTAATAGGTAAGTATACCTTAATATTTAAGTAACTTTAAGCTAAGATAGACTAGGATAATACACTACTCTAATTAGTATTCTATAATAGTCTAAAAGAGTTAGTAAAAGACGGTCTTATATACTATATAGAACCTAATAATCTAGGAGCGCTAATAGAACTAGCTATACGCATAGATAACTACCTATATAAGTAAAACTAAGAAAAGTAGGAGGTAACTAAGCCTATATACTACTAGAGAGCTAATACTTAAAAGAGATATAACTATAGGGATAAATAAGATAAGGATAGTAATATAATTATAGAGGATAAAGTATAAACTAAAAGGGAATATACCCTATAGTAAAAGAAGTAAGATAAGATCTACTAATAACGCTTTAAAGATAAGGCTTACCTAAGTTATAGAAAGTAAGGGTATTTTAAAACTAACTACCCTAACTATAAGGAGTAAGGTAAAAGAGCTAATATAATTAAAATAGCTATAGTAATACTATAACCTAAGAGGCTAGAATTAGGTAAAGTCCCTAATAATACTATAATACTAGATTCTAAGGAGGAATCTTAGAAAACCTAACTAACTAATCCTAAGGGGTATCTAGATAAAGACAGCTACTAAGTTACTAAGGGAGGTATAGTAGTATATAGGGTAACTAAGTAGTAATACTAGGTTTATAGGGAACTTAGGCACTAAGCTAAGTAATACTACGTAAAAATAAAGATTATAGGACTAGATATATACTAGATATATAAATAGGTAGTAACCTATTAGGGGAAACTATAGAACCCTATCTAGTAACTTAAGATAATTAATATATATATATAGAAGGATATTATAAGGGGTTTCCACGTATTTAACCTAGGTTAGACCTTATAGGTATTTAGTAGATAAGAGTAGATAAATAATAATAGGGTAAGAGAATATCCTAACCTTACTATAAAAGGTAAAGTAATAATTATATAAAAAAACTAATAGATCTTAGTATAGAAGATATACTCTAATTTTAACTATAAAAAATTAACTATAAAGAATAGAAAATACTTAGGAGCTATCCTTAACTATATACTATTTTTTCTAGTCCTTATAATCCCTTACTAACCTCTATTCCTAAGGAGTATAGTCCTAGCCTAGGAGTAGCTCTTCTATTCCTACTAAGTCCTTCTACTCCTAGAATTCTATTATCTTAGTAGGATTATAGTTATATACTTACTAACTTAACCTTTCTAGTTCCTTAGTATTCTATAATATATTAGCCCCTAGCCCTATTAGCTCTACCCTATTAGTTATCTTTATCTATCTACTATTCTCCTATAGGATTATAACATTATCCCCCCCCTTAAGGTTATTATTTTAATATCCTATAGTTATCCCGTAATCTCTAGTAGTATAGTTATAGAGTATAAAGGTAGGCGTCTTCCCTAGCACTCCTATAGTGTTATAACCTCTCCCTAGCTTCCCTAACTATACCTAAGGTACTAAAATAATTATTAACTAACTAGCACTATGTCTATACTAATAGAGTGCACTTACATAGCCTAGAAATACTAGTAAAGTATAAGTGTTATATAAAGGAAAAGATTCTAAAGTATTTTATAGACACTTTAATAGGGGAGTATACTACGTATATTACTATTTATATAGAGTATAGCCTTTAGGTTTCTAAGAAAGAGTAGGAGCGCGTTTAGTCTAAAAAGTATTAGAAAAAGCTTATACTTCTTTTTATAGAGGCTAAGGTTACTCGTCTTTACTTTAAGATTACTTAGGTAGAGGAGGAGGAGTAAGCCTTTACTATATATAATACTTACGTAGCTAATATAATAGAGAGTCTTAAAGGGAAAATTCTAAAAAGTAAGGTTACTAATGCTTTATTTACTCTATTACTATTCTTACCTTTAACTAACCTAGGCTAGTTATAGGCTAATTCTTTCTTCTTTAACCTTTCTAGTTTTTTATCTAATTTTCTCCTACTAGGTTTTAACGCTTATTCTTCTAGTAGTCCTAGAAGTTCCTTAGTAATTCCCTATAGTTTATAAGGTTTCTTATTAGCTCCTATATATTATACTATTCTAGCTATCCTTTTTATTTAACTAGGTATCTCTACTAACCTTTAACTATTTTTAGGTCCTTAATATCCTTAACTTTATACTTATTATCTTCTAGTTCTAGCTAGGTCTTAACTAGAGTATCTAGCGGTACTAGTTCTAGGAGGTTTTTATAGAAGGTATTATATATTTTAGTACCTATAGGTAGAAGTAATTTATTTATAACTAGTCTCTTAACTTTTTATATTTTAAAGGGGCCTACCTATAGGTAATCTAGTTTTTTACTTTACCTTTTAGTTTTTAGATTTTTTTATAATAGGAAAACTTTATCCCCTTCTTAAAGGTTAGTCCCTTAATCCTTTATTTATTTGCGTTTTTAGATGCTAAGAGGATTTTTATATAATTCTTTTATATAGGATTTTATAAAGTTCCTTTATTTTCTAAGCTTTATTATAAGCTCCTATAGAAAGACTTTCTACATCTCTAGAATTCTAATAAATAATTAGTTTATATCTATAGTTAGTATAGTGTGGAGAGTACCCTATTAAGCCTAACTTAGAGCTATTATATACTAATTACGCTATAGGTAAGAGTTCTACCTAGTTATTCTACTATTTATTAATATAGAACTAAAGGTACTATTCTAGTATCTAGTTTATTTATTCTATTTATCTATCTATCTAGGGGTAGAAGCTCGTTAAGAGTTTCCTATATATACCTAGTATTATAGTAAACGTATTCTAGTATTTAGATATAAAGAGTTTATTATAGTCTATAATAAATTCTTTAGGTAGGCTATATTCTATAAATAGCGTATTATCTATCTTATATACTAGTTCTTCTACTAATATAGATTCTTCTATTAGCCTAAACTTAGTAGCTTTTATAAGTTAATCTACTATAACTATAATAGTATTGCATATGCGTTTTATTCCTAGTTATAGTAATCTTAGGAGTTTTACTATAAAATCTATTATTACACTTTACTATGGCTTTTCTACTAATAGTAGTAGTTATAGGAGTCTATAAGGCTTATATCTCTTAGGCTTATTCTTATAATAGGCTAAATAGTTACTTATTTCCTTTATAACCTTTTGCTTAAGTTTTAGGATAGCATATTTATTTATAATATAACGCATTATTTCTTTAATACCTAGGTGTCCCTATTTCTTAGATTTATAAAGCTTCCTAATTAAGATAGGTGCGTATTAGTCTCTAATAATTATCCTTT